TATTCTAAAATCTTTAATTAATGTTTGGGTATTCCCTATAGAGATTGATATAGGTAATTTATAATAATCACTAAATAATAATTAATTATTACAGATATAGGTATCTACAGTAGTATTAAACACTTAATTAAAACTAGTGTATTTTTCTTGTCTTATTAAAGTTAAAACTATTATAATTAAATTAATAAGAAATTTATTATTTTAATTTATTACTTAATTTATTAATCTTAAGTAATTTTTTATAGCTTTAAGTACTACATAAAATTTAGAGTTCCTAAAGGCTCTATTAAATTATTAAATAATCTTAAGATTATATAACTAATTTTCTGGTTTCTTTAATAAATCATTAATATAGAAACATTAGTTAAATTCATGGTAGCCTTTATTAAGGGTTTATTAACAGGGGCAGTTTTGTTTTTTTTTAGGAGTTCTAGGATTAAACCTAGGGCTTAGAGTATTTTCTAAGGCTTCTCCTTTAAAGATTACCTAAGCAATTCGGCTTGGTTAATTTGAATATTTAAATATTAGGAATATTTTTACATAATCTCTAATCACTTAGTTATATTAAAAAATAATAGTATTTTATTATATAATTTAATTTTATTATTCAATTTTTCGCTCTAATAATTTGTAAATATTAAATAAGACCCATAAATGGCTTTAATAAAGTTATATTAACCTTAGTATAGATTATTTATTTTGCTTATTTTAAATAATTTTACTTTAGTATAAATGTTTTCCCATAATAAAATATATAAATTAATTAAATATTTATTCTGCAGATTTTTAAGTATATAATATTATTTAATAATATTATGTTTTCTTAATTTATTAGTAGGAGCAAGTTTTGTTTAAAGAATCTGTAACACATAATATAAGGTTTCTTTATCAGATACTAAAATTTTATTAGCTAATAATATTAAGTTTTTAATCAGAAGTAAAATTAGGGCTAAGCCCTTATCTATATAGCGGTATTCTTAAAGCGCTAATTTATAATTATATAAAAGGTCTTGATAAAGTACTTAATTATTTTAAATTAGATTAATAATTAATCTAATATTCTTATTAAGATTATATAGTTCTAGGTGACTAGGCTGTACAGGTTAATCAGGCATAGTTGTGTGACTAGGATTAATAAATTCCTAAATATGTTTACTTTTAGTAATTATTTTAATTATGTTAAACCAGTATATTTAGTTATATAACTAATTTAATTAAAAATTAAGCTTTATATTTATATTAATAAGCTTAAAGAATCAATAAAATAATTTAAATTACTTAACTTTTATTTTACCTTAATTTTACCTCACTTTCACTATATAAATTAATAATAAAAGTGAAAGTTTAATAAAGTGAAAGTAAACTAAATAAATAGGGGTTAATTAAATCAGACAGGTAAGTAATTTACTGCAATAGTAAATAAACAAGTAATTAATTAATTCGCGTGTGTGTGAATTCAATCAATAAATTAATAAAATAATTCAAATTAATTAAACACTTCAGACGGGTGAAATAAAATACTTAAAGTGAGTACACGGGTTAAATAAATTAAATCAACATAAATAGTAAATAGTTCACTGCAGTAGTGAGTAATCAAATAATTAATTCAGGTATAGATATAAATTTAATCAGATATATATAAATTCAATCAGATAAATAAATAATTAATTCACGTGTATGTATAAATAATAGGAACAAAGGGCTAGACCGGGCTTATAACTATCAGATGGGGTAAATAAGTTACATAGGTTAAATAAAAATTTTAAATAACTAGATAAAATAAGGAAAATTAATTAATCAGATAAAGTAAACAGTTCACCTAGATTATCTAGTGTCAATTGGGGTCACCTGACATCACCTGATTCATCAGAATCACCTGATTTCGCCCCACAACCGAAATTATTCAAAATTAACTATGAATTTACTCTCACTTTATCGAACTCTCACTTCCACCACCAAATTGTATGGGAAAAGTGAGGTGAAACTGAGCTCAATGTGAGCGGAAAATGAAAAAGAAAAATTTCTGAAGAATTTCCTATTTTGGACTAGCTTACCTTCTTAATTAGGAAATCACCGATCGCTAGAATCCTATGGAAGTCAGAAAACATAATTCGATAAATTTCTTTTTAGGAAATTAAAAGTTTGTTTTAACCACTGCAGTCAATGGCTTTGTTCAGATGATCAATACAAAGGGTCCAGAATGTCTCGCCTATTCATTTTATAAGCCATAAAGTGAATATTGCTACCCTGGTCATTCTGATATCATTTAAATGATTTCATTATGATTTATGTGTTGAATCTCGATTGTTCTGATCATAAAATCTTGATCATTTGATCATTTAAATGATTAAATATTGATCTAATGATGATCTATGAGGTTGACCTTGAAGGCCTAGATTAATGACAAGACTCACAGCTGAAGGCCTAGAAGGATCTGATGATTTCATGTTTGCAATGTTTGCTTAGGGCCAGATTGAATTAGCCCTGATTCAATTGTCTATAAATATGCAGTCAATGACCTGCATTGATTCATTCTTTTCATCAAGTTGATTTTACCGTTTCAATTTGACAAGTTGATTTCATCTATTCAATTTACTTATTGATTCATTCATTCATTAATCAATTTCACCTATCTACATGCATAGCGAATGGTAGGACCTCTGGTCTATCTATTTCAGATCTAGGTGGTCCAGGTGAACTGTTTACTTCATCTGACTGATCGATTTCCTTTATTCTATCAAGCCATTTGAAATTTCTATTCAACCCACGTGACCCACCTACCCCATCTGACATCTAGATCTAATAATAGACCAGAGGTCCTACTATTCGCTATGTATGTAGATAGGTAAAATTGATTAAATAAATAAATAAAATTTAATTAAATAAATTAAGTGGGTAAATTAACTTAATAAAAAGAATAAATTAATGCAGGTCATTAACTGCATATTTATAGATAGTTAAGTCAGGGCTAATTTAATCTAGCCCTAAGTAAATATTACAAATATAAAATCATCAGATCTTTTTAAACCTTTATTTATAAATTATATTATTAATCTAGGCCTTCAAGATTAACCTTATAAATTATTATTAGATTAATATTTAATTATTTAAATAATCAAATGATCAAGATTTTATGATTAGAATAATTAGAATAATTAAGATTTAACATATAAATTATAATAAAATTATTTAAATAATATTAGAATGACTAGGGTAGTAATATTTACTTTATAGCTTATAAAATAAATAAGCAAGACATTTTAGATATTTTATATTGATTATCTGAACAAAGCCATTAATTACAGTAGTTGAAATAAACTTTTAATTTCCTAAATAAGAAATTTATCGAATTATGTTTTCTGACTTCCATAGGATTCTAGCGATCGGTGATTTCCTAATTAAAAAGGTAAGCTAGTCTAAAATAGGAAATTCTTTAGAAATTTTTTTTTTTATTTTCTGCTTATATTAAGCTTAGTTTTATCTCACTTCTCCTATACAATTTAGTGGTGGAAGTAAGAGTTCAATAAAGTGAGAGTAAATGTCACCGGCGCTTATCTCAGCGCGGGACACGGAACAACTGGACCGCCGGAGGTCCGCAGGGTTGCCGAGGCATTCGGGAACCAATTCCCGCGAAACCCCTCATTAAAAGAGACCACCCGCTTGACCCCTAGGAGGTCAAGCGATCAATTCTATTCATCATATACCCGTCCCTCAACTCCTTGTATCTCTCAGCGCGTAGCAGGCGGTCCGCAGGCGTATCGCAGGCGTCCCGAACTCCTCGGTACATCCATCTAAGGGAACCAAGTGCCCGGAACAGAACCTTCGTGGCTGCCCCTTACAGTAAAGTCGTAGTGAATTTTGAATAATTTCAGTTGTGGGGCGAAATCAGGTGATTCTGATGAATCAGGTGATGTCAGGTGACCCCAATTGACAATAGCCTAACTATAATAACAATTAAAGACCTTATAAACCTAGCCTGCCTGATCCTACTAGACCGCCTGCCCTGCCTGCCCCTATTACACCAACTCTACTAACCTGCCAGCCTGCACCTTGACAATCGCGCCCCATAAAATATAAAATAACTAGACTATTAAAAATCTATAAAATTACTAAGATATTTAGGAACTAATTCCTATAATAATATTATATATAAAAAACCTTTTATTTAAAAAGATCACTTACTTAATTTTTAAAAAATTAAAAAACTAATTCTATTTATTTTATACTTATCTTTTAACTTTTTTATATCTCTTAGTATATAGCAAGTGGTCCGCAGGCATATTACAAATGTTCTGAACTCCTTAATACTTCCATCTAAGGGAACCAAGTGCCCGAACCAGAACCTTCGTGGCTGCCCCTTACATATCTTCAATAGCTCGATAGCTTGCAGTACCCATGGGTCCTGCCGAAGTCTAATAGGATAGGGGATCATAGGCGCTGGTAGATTACCAACAATCTACTAGATGACTCTCAGCTCAGCCGCCTATCTTCATTAACGGGAGCTCTATACTAAAACAGAGAAGCAAGGAACAATGAAATCACTAAATCAAGATCTCAGAGACAAGGAACAAATACAAACAAAGACAACGTATTTTTTAGCTAGACGTATAAGCTACTCTGTAATACTTGATTCCGGATAATGTTTGGCCTCTCCCTTAGGATGACGCGCATGGTGGATAAAGTCTTTCAGGCCATCGGTCGTTTTGAAATATCTCTGCATTTTCCGGGGAGATAGTTGGGCCACGGCAGCTCGGATGAAATAAAATTGCTCCACAAACAGTGTTTTTGTCCCCGAACCGCCCCACTTTATGCTTGTTCGAGTGTGTTGTGGTGTTACCACCGCTGCCTGTATCTAAGAATACCTGTGCCTGTCAAGATGGCATCTGTCACTAGGATAGCGGAAGATTCCGGAGGATTCATGGACTATTTCACACGTGATCATCCCTACATAAGGATGATTATGCCCCGCTGTTGATAGAAGATCATCCAAGATCGATCAACTCATTTATTGATTTATTCCTTGATATCTTTCCGGCAGTCGTTCCTCACGCCGTCATTACTGATACGTTGTAAAATCTCAGCCAGCCATTGATTGCTCAGAGGTTTCAGGCCCCAAGGCTGTCGCGTTTATACTGCTGCAGCCAATAACAGGTACGTCTTTTTAGTACACTGGGTTCTCTCCCGAGCATCCCTTTGTTCTGCTTCCGAGTCGTTTGACGTTCGCATTTTGTCCACCTTCCACCTCGTACGACCACCATACACAGCGAAATGTCCCAGAAACCACGGGACTCCGGAGTGCCCGGGTTTCCCAGCCTTTTCCCGGCCAAGGAGGAGCCCGAGTCGCCGTTCTATACCATGCTGCGGTCAGCGCCTCCAGACTACCTTGCGCAGCGCCCCGAGCCAGTCGAGTTACCGCCTGCCTTTCCAAAGTATTACTTCTTCTACGGAACTCTTACCGCCCCGGCCCAGGTGAAAAAAATTCTTGATCTGCCAGAGGAGCCGCAACTTCGCGCGGCGGAGATATTTGGTTATACCCTTGCGAAATGGGGTGATTATCCTGCCCTGATCAATGGGAACCAAGGGGATGTGGTGAAAGGGTTTGCGTATCTTGTGCAATCAGAAGAGGAGGCCCAAAAGCTGTCGTATTACGAGACGAATGCCTACGAAGTCGCACCGTGTTGGATTTCCTTCAAGGACGAGAAAGAGCCGAAGGAGGCCAGTGGCAAGGTTTTCATGTACGCGGGTGATGCGCAGGCTCTGTTGGAGCAGCGATTCGACCGGAAACTCTGGAATCGGCAGATGGCAGGGAAATTGGGGTGATAGCCTCCTGGCGCGATTTGAAGTTGCGGGTCTCTTTTTCTTTCCTTCTTTTTTCCTACTTTCTTTCTTCTTGCTTTTCCTTCTGTCCTTCGTTCTTTGTTTGTCTTTCTATTATTTTTGTGAATGAAACGATTGTAGACATGTTAGTTTCACATCGCCTGCTCTGTGCTGATCGCATTGACGAAATTGGTAAGAGCTCTTACGGCGAGATGTTATTCAACTTGATCTGCGGGATACTACCTATTAAACAGCAAAGTTTATTATTCGCCAGTAATGCTGTAGCCTCCACAGTGAGCGTTTTCAGAAGTTGACCACTACGGTAATGGAATAGCCCTGTCTTTTGTGTCCAGGTGCCTCCACTTAATCGTCATGGGTTAGGCATAGCGTAAGCGGTACGTTGGTAAAATGATGTGATCATGTAATTGGATCGAGACTAGCCCACTAGACCCGCATTCACCCGCGCATCCGGGACCACGGGCCCGTGGGCCCGAGCCGGGAGAGCCTGATCTAGGCGAGTAGTGTTCACTGGTTTACTGCTCCTTATTGCTGAATATAAAGCCCATTTAGGCGGAATATTCAATCGTCGTTTTCAGATAACCCCAAGCCACGAGGCTCCCACCTACCCCGCCAATTCGTGTTCCTTTGAACAGCTTCAGGGCTGTAAATCTCAACATCGCCAGTCATGGGCGATCCAACTTACGTCGAGGAACTATCCCCGCTGGACTTATCCATGCCCAGGACATACATTTCTGTTGTCCTGATTTTCGAACAGCCAGGCCCAAACGCAAAGATCACTCAAGTCCTCCAAAACAGTCTGGGTCGGCTTTCAAAGCAGGTGCCGTGGCTCTCCGGGAAGGTCTTTCCAAAAGCATCATCCGGAAAAAGTGCTTCTTCTCTCGAGATCCGATGGAATGCAAACGACACACCAACCCTTGTCGACAAAGGAACTATAGCAGCGTCATACAAACATACATCCTCTCACGGGATGCCCGCAGATGCCATTTCATCAGACGTGTTGCCAGTTCCAAGCGTGATCGACGATGCTCTCCTCGCTGAAGGGGTTCCTGTTTTTGCCACAAGCATTTTTCGCTTCGCTGATAACGCCCTGGGCTTATGTATCTCTTTACATCACAATGCTGTCGACGGAACTGGACTATCTAGTATTATGCGACAGTTGTCTCGAAACATCACGGACCCTGGCTTCACCTTCTCAGGCTCGTCCCAGGGTAGGACCGACCGGTTTTCAAAAGCGCTGGCGCTGGATCTCCAAGAGACATCCTCCATTTCGTCAGAGTCTCTCTTCTCGCTGCATCCCGAGTATTCCAGAAACCCACCTTCTCTGCCGGAGAAATTCGCGCCGTCTACGTCGAAGCTCTTCACAATTTCCATGATCTGGATTGATGCACTGAAGGAGCTGATGCGAAAATACACGTCGAAAGCACCGACTACAAATACAGTGCTATCCGCACTGATCTGGACCACAATCACCCGGATCAGGATGCAAGACAACCCATCTCTCGGTGGGGATATGAGTCAGCTGGTAACAGCAGTCAACGGCCGACAACGCATCGGAACAAATTTTTCAGAGCCCGACTCACCATTTTTCGGAAACGCAATGTTTTACTCTTTGTCGAAGTTGCCGGCTGATATCTTGGCTGCCTCTGATCAAACTCCCGTCCGCTCGCTTGCGCAAATATGCGATCATATTGCGCAGTCGCAGTATGCGATTAACTCGCGTCATATTGCAGAGGTCTACCAACTGATCGAGGGTGTGGAGGATTGTAGGTCTCTATTCCCGGGCTGGGACCTCTTCGGGTCGCGTGACCTCACGATTACAAGCTGGGCTGACCTTGAGCTATATGATTTGGACTTTGGCGACGCTATGGGGAAGCCGAAGTTCGTGAGGGTGCCTTACTTGGAAGCAGATGGTGTTGCTATTGTTCTCCCTCGCCAGCGAGCCGTTCCCCACGAAGTCCTCGAGGTAATGGTCATGTTGCGCAGGGACTACATGGATGCTCTTGAACGTGATGTCATGTGGCAAACCATTGTTTCAATCGGAAGGAGAGATGGGAATAGTAACTGACAGTGAGGTCAAGAGGCCATGTATTCTACGTTACTGTACAAACTAATTTTCCTGTATATTGTTAAGTCAAAGTATAGGGCTCTGGCACCTAATGCTAGTCTAAAAACACCGTCCAATTACTTGGCCTTTTGTGGATTGAATTATTATAATACATAGAAAAACGTGAACCGTTTCAAATACTAATACATGTTGTATGATGCGTTCGATTTAAGCAGTTTTGGAATGCCTCTTTCTGTGGGCTTGGGTGGCATCATTATCAATATCCTAGGAAGACAGGCATTGGTAGGCTATTAACCGTCATAGTCTTTCTCGATGGTGCGTGTTATATCACAACTTGATGGTTAGTGAGTGAGAAATGGTTCTCGCTTAAATATGAAGATAGTTACTTTTCAAGATCTACAAACCTCTTCATGGGTCATGACTGCTAGCAAGATAATTTGATGACTGGATTCAGATCGTACATTTCTAGGTTAGCACGTCCCTCTACATTTCTCGTCCCAGATGTGCTGAGCATGACTATCGGTACCATTTCAGACGTAAGCATTCTGTACCCCTAGAAAACACCAACAAGCACATAGATAGTGTGTGCAAATGCACAATTATCATGGTTCATACTAATATCTATCGAGTTCCCTGGTGCCTTGAGTCAAGCTCTTCGAGAATTATCTCAACCTCCTTGTCAAGGCTCTCGAGTATATGCTCAGGAGGGTATTGTGGCATCCACCCCAGAGACTTCCCGTTCGCTGCTGTATAAGTCGACCTATACTTGAAATTAGCACGGATGAGTCAGGGTCATTCGTGACGACTGATACCGACCTTCCACCAATCTTGACAATGACTGACGACGGAGAAACCTTTTGAGCTTTGGCAATTTTCTCGAGAGCCGTGTCGTTCATCAGTTCAATCCGCTCATCCGGTATTTTCCCGCGCCTGGCTAGGCCTTTAGCGATCCCGGCGTATATATCGTGCCAAGCGACCTTTCCAGATGATGCTAAGTAGAATCCATTTTTTCCATGTCCGGGGTTCTTATTTTTCAAAATAGCGTCGAGCAAAGTAAAATAGAGGGACACGGTATCGAGGACGTGTGACACCGGCCATATCTGGCAGAGGATTAGTTTCCAATGGGCTAGGATCCAAGAATCCCAACAATTGCATACCTGTCCCTTCTGGTCGAATTCATACATTCGGCCAGCTGCGGTTGCGGCAATCACAACATCCACAGTTTGAATAGAGATTTTGTTACCGAAGCCTTCGCCCTTGCCATCTGGTTACAATATCAGACTTGCATCATCAAAGAGATATAAATCAACTTACAAACAATACAAGGAGAGAAGACATAAATCTTCACACCATGCTCGATGCCTGCTTCCACAACTGCGATGTTCGTGTCGGTTGCCTATCATTTGACGGTGAGCATCCTTCTATATGGTAGTTAATTAATACATACGGTTTGCAACTCCTCATGCGGTGCGTTCTGCGCCTTATGAATATCGAAGAGGTGGGGCTCATTATCAACCAGATCCCGATCGATTGGAGAGCCGGAGAGGCTTGAGAATTGCTTGGTCCCGGTGGTCTGGACGAGACATTATAAGAAGCTTGCTATAAAACCACCCAGTGGAATGAGAAGAATACAAACATAAATGAAATGGGCGTCTTGGCCAATTTGTTTCTTGGTCTCGGCGAGGGCTCTGATAAACGCAATTTGATTCTTGAGATAATAAGCATCAATCAGATAGAGCACAATCGTGATCTTGTTAGAGACGATGGTGTTCTTGACGGCATCTTCATCTTCCAGGTCAATTCTCAGAGGCTCAGCGCCGTACAGTTGCCGAGTTGCCTCGGCCTGTGAGTCTGTCCGGACGAGACTGAAAAGCTTTCCATGTTCGAGGAGCCCCGCCTCCGTCCATCGGGCCAAAACGGTTCCGCCGAGGTAGCCAGAACCTCCAGTAATAAGGATGTTTTGCGACATTGTAATTGGGAGGGTTTCCACGAAGAAGGTCCGCGCAACTGGATTGATGCGAAGGAACGTTTCAGAAGGCGAATCTGTGCCGATTTATATCTACAAGAGCAGTGGACGCAGTATGACGTAGTAAACAACTTGATTTGTCATTTGGTCGACTGCTTTAGCTTCCCGAGGCCGCAGCGACGTAGGTCTGGCTATGTCGTGTTACGGGATGGCTTAAAATGTCATATTGGTAATTGTACCTAGGAATTTCCTCATGTCAAAGGGTGGTTTGTGCAAGGTGATCAAGCTTGATAGATAATTCGGGCTGTCCAATCGGGAGGAAAGGAAAGAATCAAAGCCCCTCCCGGTATCGACCCAAACATTCCTATTGGCTGAACTGTCTGAATGAGCCCATTTTCATTGGACGAAATCTGGGTTTACATAATGTGCGGTCCATAGGTAGAACCATGGGAGGCGATCTTAGAAATCCAATCAGCTTTTTACTCCCTAGAGCCGTTGAAATCAAAGAGAACATACACCGACACTGCACATAAGAATTCCTGTCAATCAAACCGCTACGTCATTGATTCGTTTGTGCTTGATCTGTTGTTTGTATAAAGAGATCGCACAATGGAAAAAGGCGGGAAACAAATGCCGATGGCTGCTGTGGCAGTGAGTCTGATAGGCGCAACACACGACTGCTACTGATCGAGAATGCAGAATTAATGGAACTGCACAGGAAGCCATGGGATTTTCGTTACATTCGGCCCCTAGTGCGACGTACCCCTGCGTGGAAACTGCATATACGGGCATACTGTCGTTAGCATCATGCCACTTCGAGCAGGAACCAGCAACCGCTTCCAAATTTGCAGGGGATTATCTTCGACATGGGGTTTGGGTATTGAGCGCGGATAGCATTCGTCTGTCTGAGCTGTAGGAATGGGCAACATTGTAGTAGACGACTGGGCCGCTTGGATGGCCTTCCCGGGTCAATTCACACAAGGGGTTTTGTATAGCCCTCACATGGTCTATTCTTCTGCCGGCAAGGGCCACAGGAAGGCCGCTGCTCGTCGCATTTCCTGTGGATGCGTTTGCAGGTCCTGCATCCCCCTCTTGACCGGAGTACTCGAGATCGCATGGTGGATTGGTTGAATTGGAGTCGTGAACAAGAACCAAGACGGGAAAGGCACAGGTCAAGTAACTCTCACGTAAGGCAGCTTAGCTTGCGGGTTACGAGGCAATATCCGCGGAGCCGGTTATCTTGAGCAACGCATATCACTTGCGAGACACGCAGGAGGTCGGTCTTCTGGTTCAACCACAGATATTCTCTACCAACCATTTATATACACTAGGAATCCTAGAAACTGCTCATTCAACCGACTCGACGCCACACCACTCGGCCACGTACAAGGCAATGGCAGTCGTGATCCGCTTCAGGCTGCTGATGCTGACCCACTCGTCAAATCCATGGATATTCCCACTAACTGGACCATAACATAGCGCCGGGATCTTGTCGTAGAGGGAGTGAACTCGGGTATCGAGGTACGCCGCAGTGGTAAAAGACTTCAATTCACCCCCTGTGGCCTGCTGATGTGCCCGTTGAAGTGTTTGTTCCGCCTCGCTGTTGGGCTCAAGAATATATCCCTCCGAGAAGAATCCGTTCCACGTCACCGTCGGAGGATTTTGTCTGAGAAAAGAGTTCTTTTGCGCTACTTCCTTCACTCTGGCCTCGATCTCCTCCGCTGCCGATTTCGCGCTGAAACCGGGGAATGTGGCAATGCGGCAGTCAACACGACACCACGCGGGCACGGACGAGGCCCAGTCGCCGGCATTAATCTTTGCGACGTTCAAATCTACAGGAAGGTCAGAAAGAAGTGGGCACCTGGGTTGTATTCCCAGACTCACTCAGAGGATGTGGCTCGCTCTCAAAATGTAACCTTCCCACTTTCTTGGAATTCCACTCTTGTTCCAGCTTTCTCAGCCCCGTAATGACCTCCCAACATGCATCGATCGCATTAGTCCCCGTGGACATATCTCTGACGTGAACCGGAAGTCCCTTGACCTCGACTTGGAACCACAAGACACCGGTATTTGCCCGCACCAGTTTCTCATCCATGGGCTCCGGAATTATCACAGCATCTGCCCGATATCCACTCAAGTGCGTTAATAACGTGCCATTCCCTGTTGACTCCTCCTCAACTACAGATTCGAGAACCACCTTGGAAGCCGGCTGTAATCCCAACCGGCGCAGCGCGTCTAGTGCAAAGAGGTTTGCTGCACTGCCAGCTCTCATGTCGGCACCCCCGCGACCATATAGCTTGTCGCCGTCGATGGCACCACTGTACGGGTCTCGGGTCCACAGATCGACTGGCCCGGTGGGAACTATGTCGATATGCGCGTTGAGTATCAGGCTCTTGCCGTCAGTGGCTTGAACCTTGGGCTGATGGACTCCCACGACGACTGGTGTCTTGGAGTGCTCAGCACTGAAACGGCCTGCTCCTTCGTGCTGGGAAATAAGGTCCTCATTCATGTCGAGTTTCACCGGGTTGTATCCACGCTGCCAGAATTCATCGTAGACTAGGCCCTGGACCTCAAATTCTAGGCCCCGCTGGCCTCCGACTCTAATCAGGCGTTGAGTGTAGGCAATCTGATCATCGAATCCTCGGGCAACGGACTCGGCTATAGATGCGGCCAACTCGGACGAGATTTTGGGCATGTTGATAAGCTTTCTTTGAGCGAAGCGGGGGGGTTGACTAGGAGGAGGGTAAGTCAGAAATGATTCCGGATTGTGGTATGGCGAGGTCGAACTATTCGGAGGCCGTGGATAAATGCTGGGGTTCAGAGCATCGCCGATCGCTGCCCCATGGCATGGTCTAGTGTCGCGCTGCGGGTGTACTTTCCAACACCGGTTACGGCGAAGTGGCCCCACGCGCTAAGCCGACCGATGATTCTAGAGGGCTGTTAGTATTTAACGGCTCTATCGCATTCTCTAAACGGCCGAAAGAATGCTACCGATGTGACAGGTGGGTGCGCAGCGCCGGGGCGGGAAGAACAGACTGGCATGAGCATAGACAGTCTTATAAGTTCGATGGTATTTGGAGTATGCTCTAAGTGAGATTCAACTAATAGTTATTTCTCGGGGTGCTTTTGCTAGAATACACTTTTGTGTACTATTGCTTAAACATCAAACCCATAGGCGCCCCAGTTCTTATTCACCTTCTCTTGGACGTCCTCAGGGAAAGATCCACGGAAAGAACCCACATTCCAATGTACAATATCATCCTCAAACTCACATGGGAACATGCAACATCGAACCACTTTCTGATGATACCCAGTAGTTGGCTGAACGCCATGGGTAACATACGGGATCAAGGGAATGTTGCCATACTGATCAAAGAAAAACTCATTCACTCCCGGTTGGCAGCGAGTCGCTTCTGCCCAGATAACCTCATTCAGATCAGTGGGATCAATATCATCCCCGACAACGTACAGCTTGGGGATATACCACCCCGGCTTCGAGCCAAATACCAGATGACCCAGCTTCACGCAGAATTCTTTCATTTCGGTCTTGCAATTCTTCAGCTGCGTCCGATCAATCTGAAGCACGAACCACAGACAGTGCGACTCGAAGGGGTTCCAAACCATCTTGACAGGAAATCCCGCCTGCTGGCATATATGCAGGACTTCGGCTGCCTGCATGACCCCCCACAGCGTGTGGCTCTCCTCGGTGGCCCTACCCGTGACGGAGATCGGCACAATGGGATCTTTTCTATGCGTTATGGCGTTGACCTTGAAAACCGGACATTGCTTAGCTGCTCCGGGAAACACCAAGCCGTGATACTCGGCCATGGGGCCCTCCGGGGCGGTCTCAGAGATGGACACAACGCCTTCCATCACCATCTCCGCGTTTGCTGGGACCCAAAGATCATTTGTCTCGCACTGCACCACTTCCATAGGCTTACCCGTTATTGCGCTGATGAACTCCGTCTCGTTCGTCCATTGTGGAATGGGCATGCCGCTGACCATGATCGCAGCAGGCGGGACACCGAAGCAGAGAGCCCAAGGCATATCCTCGCCCCTGTCCTTCCACATCTGAAAAATGACTCCGATGTCCTGTTTCGGGATGACCGGGCCCACGAGTGATCGTGCATCATTCACCATGTTCCGGGTAATCGACCAGTTCACCCACTTCCCATCTGGTGTGCGAACAATGTGCATTCCGAATGACTGCAGGAACTTTCCCCCGTCATCTTTATGGACAAGTGGTGCCGGAAGTGCCGTGAGATCAATCTCGTCGCCAAACAACTTGTATTCCTTCACTGGTCCGGTGGAGAGCTTGACTGAAGGCAAAGCCGGTCTTCCCTTGGCGTCATTTATCTTCAGTATGATATCCCTGCCAGTAGCAGTAGGCGGAAGTCCCAAGGATCTGGCAACTCGACCGAGCTTCTGGCCGGCCACGCTGCTGAGGCCGACGGGGGCGCCTAGGATGCGGAACAGGCCGGACTTCCCCCTATCGTATCCGGTGAAGCTCTCAAACAACGGGGCCTTTGCCTCTGTTTCGTAGACCTTTCGAATGATTGCGCCAACTTCGAGGTGTGGATCGACGTCTTTGGTGATGGTTACCAGGTCGTTGTCGCGTTCGAGCTCACGGAGGAACTGGCGCAAGCTCTCGGCCGCGGATTTGGAGTCTTCGGGGGATGACATCGTATGGATGGAATTTTATTTGAGAAGATTGAGCAGTTGAGTTGTTAGGGACTTTCAGTAAAAGCAAAAATAAAATTCATTGTACTACAGTGTATGCCTTTATAGATATCGCCTGTAACAAGGTTCCATACTGCATCATACGTCCATCTCCAATTTGGGGTGCCGCTCGGGCACAGGAGCCGACGGAGTGGATCGCCGGCTGCAGAGACAAGCCGGCACATTGTTCAGGATCTCTCTTTCGTTGACACTTTAAAGAAACAGCCACGTCCAGTGAGGGAAAGATCTCCCAAAAATGTTTGTAATGGAAACGGAGCGTCCTGAATATTGCCGAAACCTGTCGGCTTCATCCTCCGATATGCCCAGTAACATTGGAGCTAACCGGGAAATCTGACCTCGGGGGTTCTTTTCAGGGATTGTTCTGTTTTCTCTTTCCCTTCTTAAAGAAGCTGCCAAACCTGCACAGTACACGGCCATGGGTTTATCTACTACCTCTCGCGTTCCCTTGATTTGTTGATTCTGTGATCACCGAGCACCCCTCCCCTGCCTCTATTTTTTAATTCGAACTATACCTCCCCCTCAATACCCAGAGATGCTGTCTTTTACAAACTCAGAGCCCCCTACCCCTTGTTGTAACAATGACCAACATGCACATCGAAGTCAACTCTCACCCCCGCGCAAAAGAATCATCGTCGCCATGACCGGTGCCACCGGCTCAATCCTCGGCATCAAAACACTCCTCGCCCTGCGCCACCTCAACGTCGAAACTCATCTGATTCTTAGCAAATGGGCCGAAGCTACACTTAAATACGAAACGGACTACACCGTGGGGAATGTGCGCGCCCTTGCCGACCATGTGCACAGCATCCACGACATGGCCGCGCCAATTGCCAGCGGGTCGTTTCGCGTGGACGGCATGATCGTGGTGCCCTGCAGCATGAAGACGCTAGCGGCCATCAGCTGCGGGTTCTGCGACGACTTGATCGCGCGGGCCGCGGATGTGGTACTCAAGGAGCGACGGAAACTCGTTCTCGTGACGCGCGAAACACCACTCAGTACCATTCATTTGCAGAATATGTTGGAGATTTCTCGCGCCGGGGCAATCGTGTTTCCGCCGATGATGACGTTCTATACTCGACCGGCCGGGATTGGAGAAATGGTGGACCATAGCGTGGGAAGGCTTCTAGACTTGTTTGGACTGGATACAGGGGAGTTCGAGCGGTGGGAAGGGTGGAGGAAAGATTAGGCTGTTGTCTTCTCTTGCTTGCATTTGATCCAGCAGGCAGAATAATAACACATTTCCTGGCGCTGTCAAGGAGCTTATTCTTTGCTGACACATATTTCGACACGATGCATAGAGTGTGATGCATAGAGTGTCAGGGAAGATCAGCTTGCGGGGAGAGGTACCAGGACTAGTAAGTAGAAATAGAACGGGCCGGAACTGTAAGATAGCATCGGTGCGTCAGTTGGGATGCCAGGGTGCGTTCCGTGCAGAAGCCGAGTCTTTCTCGCCTGCATGGTTATTCTCGCAGCAAGGCTGACTCAATCCACTGTCTATCCATATCAATCCCAATTGAGTCCAGAACCTCAGCCCAAAGCCCTGGGTCGTCACAGGAGTTCAGGCCGAGCGAATCATCTGCAGCTTGATTTAGGCCTGTCTCAGGCCCCATAGACTGTGCAATGTCGTTGTTTTGGATTGCAAGTACCGTCTCAGTTCCATTTCGCGGACTGCTGGCTTCCATATTTTGCCTGTTTGCCGGAACAATTGCGCTTATGTTGCTCGATATCCTGACTAGCAGCGAATGACAAGCTTGCATATATCTGTTCCCTTTCTCCGCCATGCCTTGTAGGACCGCCAAGGCGGCGTTCATGGCCGATGCATCTTGGTCCTTGTACGGGAATGCAATGTTGACCATCACTAGCAGCAAGGCGTTAGAAAATGCCTGTTCTCCATCGATGAAGCCATACGTTGCTGGCGATACATTGTTAGTTAAGTCTTGCGGTGCCCGCAGTAGAGAACCGGGTTACTTACCGACGAGGTTGTACTCTGCGGCCATTTTCCACAGCGCCATGCTCGACCGTGCGGCTGCGATAGACGTGTCGATAACTCCCATGATATTGGATTGAATGCCATCTTCCCATATTGAATGGCTGGAAGGCCCATTATTCGCCGCCATTTGTCTTTGGACCGCATATAGCAGGAGCGGGCGGACGGTCATGTTGATGCAGTGATAATAGTGAAGCTGTGTTGAGATGATCCCTCGACTCAGTCCAGTGGGCGGGCTTGCTGTGTTGATCCGCAGGTCTTCAGGTAAGTTACCGAACCAGTCGGAGAGGCTCTTCATGATTCTATGGACGGATGTGAACAAATTGCTACCCGACGTTTGCTTCTTTCGATAAATCTCTTCGCCGATTGTTCCTTGGATCCTAGAGAGTTGCGCATAGCACGCCAAAATAGACGAGATCCGTGGATCCTCGTCACCATTTCGACTAGGAAGCACTAGGTTGATGTCGGCATCCTGAATGGAGAACGGGCGACCCGAGGTAAGAGAAAGCAGCCTATCCATGCTATATATAGACCACCAGACGCGTCGTCGGTGCTCACGCTCTTCGGCACCCATCGCCTGGTCCACAACCTCCTGATGAAGGCCCAGAGATATGGCCATTCGAAGAGCAAGTCCGATGTAGATATACGCCGAATCCCTTCGATTCAGGGTTTGCAGGAAGTACGCCACGTAGCTCAATACCTCCACAAATAAGATGGATCCATCTTCGTGAGCATCCGGCAGAAACTTCAAGGCATGCTTGAAGTAGACAAATCCGGGTGGTCCTTCATCTCCGACCCACTGGTTTACCGAGTACATCTGTCCGAAGCCGAAGACCAAGAGCATCTGGCAGTATACTAAGCAGTCCTCACGGTCGCTGACATTCGGTGGTCGGCTATATAGCCTGTCCAATCTTTGGTAGAAGTCGACATCCCGAACAAACGAGAATATTGTCCCGAGGTAAGCATGCTGCGCCCGGTAAAGTCGTTTGGCATGCTCATAGGGGGGTAGCTGGGGCAGCGTGGGATCAACGTCGCGCCTGATCCAGGATGAATCGGTGTAATGGGGATGTAAATGCCAAGCGAGAGTTTCCGTAGTTGGATTAATACTGTTTGCGATATAGTTGGAGGAGGAGCTTCCCATATAATCTATCACCGACGCATCAGCCCGAGGTTGCCAACGGATGAATAGATTCTCATACGATACTGTCCTGAATCACCTGCGAACCAGTTCCCAGTCTCGGCAAGCGCCCACCCCGCTTCGGTCGGACTTTCTTCTGCCGGTTCAGGATGTGTCTCTACGGGCTGAGATTTAGAAGCGCGTGCCAACGCTCGCAGCTCGAGAAAATAACTGAAGCGGTGGCGGATTAGCCAAGACGGACCAATTCAGAATTGCTACCTCAGCACCGACCTCTCAGGGATTGTGATCTTTTTCTCCGACGATGGATATGTACATGTCTGGCGAGAATTGCGACAGGCGACACAGGCGTAAGGGGGCGTGCCTGCGCACTTGGTTTTCCTGCTCCGACATCGATTACAGCTGGAATGCGTCATTAGTACCTGGGCAACACGGGCCTGAGGATGCGCTTACGCCACACCCGATCGCCTTGCGAGATTGAGACGCTGATCGGCGCGGGGGCCTGTCCTGGGGCTGTGCATCGTGATGGTTGTTGCTGGTGCGATACTCCGGAAATCCTCGCCAACTCTCCGGGCGGCGGTCATCTGACTCGGCGTCGGCAGCCGATCCCGATCTTATCTTATCTCTATCTCACGACACTCTTCCTGCTCTTCTTTTTTTTTTTTTTTTTTTTTTTTTTTTTTTTTTTTTTTTTTTTTTTTTTTGCTTCGATTGTGAATTGTCTAGAGTCTTATCGGGTTATCATATGATCTGTTAGGATTTGCTCACCCCGTCTCTCGATTGCTGTCTGTTTATGTTTATTCGTAAAGTTGATTTTTGCGTAGCGACTGGGTTATATATATTTCCCAAGACTAACATTTCTGAGCTTCCTTCTATTGGTAGTCCTATTGCTTCGTGTTTTCTGTCCTCCCTTCTATTTTTTACCAGACAACAACGTCAGTGACTGCCCACTCGAGAAACAGGTATTTTACTCCGGCCGCAGGTTAGCTAGTCCGCTCAAGGCGAAGTATTCTAAATGCGACAATGATGTAATTGGTTTGCCTCACCAACACCATGACATGCTGGAGGCGGGAATATTGGAAAGAACACTGCCGCATGCATCGGAGATCGCACACCATTTCCGACCAGGTAAGGTTATATGGACATTGCTCCATCAAGGCTTCTGACAAATTGATGGTCAGGCGGAGAATTCCATCTGGTTCTACTCGCCGGAGTGTGTACCTCCGACCTTCCAAGTTTTTACTCCGTCGAGATAACGGAATTTATTCGGGAAAGATCTCGCCCCGACAGCGCCGGTGGGTCATCCAGCCTCCTGTGAAAGCCAAGCGGATCCACCAGCCAATAATGTTGCTTACAGATCATATTTGAAATTTGTCTCTTTGCATTGTGGAACCCGCCCGGGGTTGACCATTGATAGTGTGTCCAGGGATTTTGTAAGAGTTTCACCAACGTGGTCCCGGCACAACTCCCATCAACCAGCAGTACGGAGTATGATGCAGTAGCCCATGCCTCTTTACGGGGTATATATTGGAGGCGGTTTCTCATCCACGAAAAATTACGTACGTCTAAAGAGCTTAAACCGGATATCCCTGCACGCATGCAGGAGGATGAGACAAGTCCAACGCGGAAAACAAATGGAAGCAAAAGTAGGTCTATGATCAGCGGAAACTGGCGACTTACGACCCGTCTTGCCCATAACTATTTGCCATGAACAACCGGGGAATGCTCGACACGTCATTGCATACACTGCTTCTCCTTCGAATGCAACGAGTCAGCTGTTATGATGTTATGGCTGTCCCTGTGCTGCTGATTCGACGCTTCTAGCATAGGATTCACTTCATCCTGTCGTCGCTCCTCCATAATCAGTTTCTCCGTAATTTTATCCGCTGTCGCTTCTCAGATTCATTCATTGTTGATGCGTGCTTTCTGTCGCGGAGGATTGCCAATTGCTGTGCTCCGCGGAGTATATCGAGATTGACCTGCATCCCCGGATGTAAGGGGTAGACGGAGTGTGAACTAGTCTGCCGCCTGACAAACCAGCCAGGATTCCCCTGCTCGAAAGCCGGCCGACATTGTATGAGGGATTTTCCCTCCAGCTCGTGGTGAGAAGGCTGTTCGACCGTTCTACGGAGGAAATCGGATGGACACAGCGTCCGTCAACCAACAAGACGGAGCCAGCTGCGAAGATCACCTTTCGTACTGTCATTGAATCGGGCCAGCCCACCAATACGAGAGGCGCCTGGGTGAAACAGGCAAGATTTTCGAGTCATCTTCTCCAACCCCGGATTCTCTGGCGCGGGAGTTGGGGTAGTCCCCATGGGCTTGGAGACTCCGGAATTCTCCAGGCTGAGAAGGAGGGAGTCACGGGACTCTCTGCAACTGCCGTATTCGGCAAGCGCCTGGCTGACTAATCGTCGTTCTGCTGATTGGCCAGAAATCCTTCGAGAGGGAGGCGCCTATCAGGACGCACTCCGTATACTTCTACGGTACTTTACCTACCTATATAATTGCAGAGGTCATACTCGCATATGCACCGTCGACGGCAGGCCAACACGAACAAGATGAATCTGTCCGGATGGATGGGAGATGCCGGAGAAAGCCAAGAGAACTACCCGAGACGGCAATCTCTGGCATCGCAACCCTAAACTGCCTCTCTCCCAGTCGATTTCCCCCCCGCACACGCACCCCGCAGACGATGAACGTCGTTCCTGCTGTTGGGAACGAATTCAGAAACAATCCCCATTGGAAGGATTCGGGCGAATTGCCTCTTCCAAGGCTCGCCAGCGCGCGGCCTATCGACCAGACCCATCGAGGCCCACGCGGAGCATATCCATTAGGTAACGACACGGACGTCGTCCATACAAAACTCTGCATGCATCGGTGGACCACCCCCCACCGCCCGGTCACTCCATTTAGCTAGTATTTAAGGCCCTCGAGAAAAATGTTTGCCGTCGTCGTCTTGCGATTCTGTTCACACCGTCTGAGTCTGGAGTCCGGGACGTATACATGTCGACCTCGCACGCCCATCATGACCCGGTGAGGGACCCCATTGAGGAAGACCAGGATGGCGCCACGGTCTTCAGCGACACCAAGCATGAGGACCAGCCGCCGCAGAACATCTTCAGCCAGGGCGGCAAGGACTACCGCACCCTCGGCCGCTGGGATACCGTCTTTGCCCTGGTCACCAACCAGGTTGGCCTGGGCGTGCTGTCGCTGCCGGCCTGTCTGAAGACCCTGGGTGTGATTCCCGGTGTCATCGCTATCATCGGTCTGGGCTCGCTGTCCGCGTACACGGCGTACGTGCTGCTGCAGTTCTACCGCCGATATCCCCAGGTCGTCAACGTCGTCGACATGTGCGGCATCGTGGGAGGCCCGTATCTCGAGATCCTCGCCGGCGTAGGCCTGCTCATCAAGGTGATGATGACCTGCGCCTCCGCCGGCGTGACGCTGTCCGTCTCGTTCAACACCCTCAGCAACCACGCCTTCTGCACTGTGGGCTTCCTGACTATCGCCATCGTGGCCTCCTGGATTCTCACTTTGCCGCGCACCGTCAAGTTCGTGTCGCAGACCGGCATCCCCTCCACCATCAGTATCCTCAGTGCCGCTCTGATCGTCATGATCAGTCTGGGTGTTGCGAATCCCGCCCAAGCGCCGCCGGGCTGGGAGAACAAAATCGAGGTCATCGGCCGGCCGACTTTTCGCGAGGGTCTGAACGCCTGTTTGAAGATCTGCTACGCCTATGCCGGCAACATCAGTTTCGTCGGCTACATGGCCGAGATGCGCAACCCGTCGCGCGACTTCCCCATGGCCCTGGCCTGCCTGGAGGTGTTCTCGATCACCATCTACACCGTCGTGGCCATTGCCATCTTCTGCCTGGCAGGCGACTACACCACCTCGCCCGCGCTCGGCTCGGCGCCGCGCATTCCGGCCAAGGTGGCCTACGGCATCGTGCTGCCCGCCGTCTTCTCCACCGCCATGGCGTTCGGCCAGACCGGCATCAAGTACATCTACGTGGTCGTCATGCGCTGGATGAACGCCACCCACCAGGTCACCGACCGCAGCGTCAAATCCTGGACCACCTGGGTCGGCTGCGGCACCTTGTACTGGCTCGTCGTCTGGGTCATCGCCAACGCCATTCCGGTGTTCGACTCCATCCTGTCCATTTCGTCCGCCACCACCATCGCCTGGTTCACGTTCGGGCTGAGCGGCGTGTTCTGGTTCCATCTCAACCGCGGCTGCCTGTTCCAAGACTGGAAGAAGATCCTGCTCCTGATTCTGAATACGCTGCTGATTATTCAGTCGCTGTTCATGAACGCCGGTGGCCTCTGGTCGTCGATCACCGAACTCATGAACATCTTTGATAACGACAGCAGCTCAGTCAGGGGGTCCTTTTCCTGCGGCGACAACTCTGCCATCTGAGTTCGACGATATATGGGAACTTGAAGTCTACGTTTTTAGAAATTTGTACATACATTCAATGCCATGTTTGATAGAGTAGCGTTCTGGCATCTGGTCCTGGACATATTTTGCAGGAATTTTAGTTACGCAAGAATAGACGTTGCAAGGTTTTATTCCACTTCGGTTGGGTTCCACTGTGCCAAGACAGCACATGCAGTTCAATAGTCGATGACCCGCAGGCGATGTGTCACAATCGTACATGATATGTATTCAAGAACCGTGGATCAGTGTCATGACCCATAGTATTTGTATTTTCATTCTTCTGACTGCGGCCACTACATAAAATATCCCAGAGGGCAACCCGCAAGTAACGGTAGCGAACCATTTGACCCTTCAAGGCAACATGCATGAATGTAGAAGAATCTGTCTCATCCTTGGACCTCACTGGCGACCAGGTCATCAGTCCGGACTCCCATATTCCAGGTCTACAGGTGTCAGAGTGGATGCCTGAACCGCCCTTTTGGCTGTCAGATCTTGGCTGCAACAGCGACATGCTGCAGTGGGACTTCACAGGAGCTTCGACGGAAGATGGGAATTTGTGTTGATCTCATAATATTCAGATGGTGGAGCGGGTTCACAGTGAGAAAATACAAAAATGGTCATGTCCATCTATTTTCTATGAAACGGACTGGCAGATGTGACTAGGTAATCAAAGACCTTATAACTTACTTCTGTGTATGTAATTGATCGCTTCTACCTTACGGCCTTAGGTGTTTATACTATTTTTGACGGTGTTTGACTGTGTGATTTAAACTATTGATTCATGTACAGCTGCTGGATTGATGGACGGGAGAATAATTGTAGTAAAAGAACACGGAGAAAGAAGGGAAAATAAATAATAAAGTGAAGTTAGTACAGTTGTATTAACAGCGTTGTTGAATATCATATCCTAGATTTACAGATTAACCCTTTCTCTGGGTATGTCTTTCATCTAGAATAACCTTTCTTTGTTTGTATGCCTCAAATTCTTCATAGTTTGAAATTGAAGCTCTAAACCTCGAATTTTCCAAGGGCAATTGCAAAAGAAGAGTATGTAAAGCCAGTTGAGTTTCTAAATCACAATTCAGATTGGTAAACCTCCAGGTTGTTCACAGATATTGATCAACAAGTAGCCATCAGAGTGGACTTGGAGCTTGGCTGCTCTCCATGCCCGTCTATCCGGCTTTGCTGGCCCGAGCCAGCTCTAGTTAAAAGTGAAATTCAACGATTCCGCCCCTTCTGTACGAGTACCATCCTCATTGAAGGTCGGATGCCCATTGATGAAAGCAAGCGGATATGGTCGCTCAGAAGGGGTGAGGATCATTTTCAAGATCATCTCCATGTATGTCACGCATGTCTCGTGTCTCAATATCGGGGCTGTGCGGAACTCCAATGAAAAGAACAATCTGTCACGTTTTGGGGTAAAGTGGTCCTTTTCTTCGAGCTGCAAGGTGTGATGGTTCTGGTAAGCGATAAGATATCTCTGGTGCTCGTTTTCGAACGGCCCTGGGCCAATCTGAATGGATACCCACTGGATATTCTTCGAACGCCGCATGTTAGTATATTTTGAGTGCAAACTGGTGACTAGTGGCATGTGCTGGAGATATGCTTCTGGAAGAGGTTAAGAGATGTATGACAGTGGCTTAAAAGCAGAGCTAGGTAGTCTTGCTGGGGGGTTTATATTTCTTTCGACTAGACTATAAAGGCAGGTTCCTATAAGCACAAATCGGGACTTACCGCGATGCTCGAAGAATGTGCCCTATAAAAGGAATATTCCGTGAGAGTCACGTCTTCCCCTTTCAGCATTCAATCCCATAAACTATTATATCCTACTCCATCACTACAGACTCATAGACAATATTATGCTAGAGCCCAGTCTTATGTTGTGATCCCTTTGATCCTTGTTCAAAGAAAGTCCAACCACATGTCCAATGCCTAACTGCTCGGTCGCAATCATCCACATTGTCCCTTTAGCTTTGTACAACGACATGGAGCTAGACAAGGAAATCACTCGAAACATCATCCAAGATTGCTATCTGGAAATTATCGTCTCTCGTGTCATTCCCAGGAACTTGTTGGCTGAGCTAGCTCGATGAGTAAAGAGTTTCAGTCACAATGAGAGAAGTTATGTGACCTAAGCAATTGCTTTGTTCGATTCGCTCTTACTTGCTACTGGGATCTTACGAATCTCTTGGAAAAGGACTATGGAAACGATCTTCAAAGTGGCCTAAGGTAAATGACAGCAGTACACATACTCGTTCCATTAAAAGCAAATATTTTGTTAGGTTACTTTTCGTGAGTTTAACAATCTTCCATTTTCAATCCATCAACTACTGGCCAAAACGACGCAAAAGCAAACAGCTTACAATTTACCGTTCTAGGCGCATTGGCTCATGCGTAGCGAGCTCATTTACCCTCAGAGGGGGTTGGTCTGCCAGTACCAACTGGGTCTTGCTGTTCATAGGACCCCGACTTTACGATGACACTGCCCTCATTTAGATGTGAACAGTTGGCAAAGGAAACTCTGCGCCGTTGACCCGGCTCCCGGAATGGGCTCGGAGTGTCCGTTGGAGGTCCGCGGAGAAACGTGCTGACACCAGCTCCGGTCTGGCCAGCATTGATGTTACTCCCCCAGTTGACCCAGTCCCCTTCGCTCGACCGGGTTCCGTCAGCATTAAAGGTCGGATGACCGTTGATAACAGCAGCCTTCATTGGGCGACGCTTCGGGTCAGTAATGGCCATCAAGATACTGGTTGCGTGATGAAAGGCCGATTCCTCTACACCCAGGCCCAGGGAAGCATCTACTTCTACCCGCATCAAAATCCACTTCGTAGCAGGGGCAGACGCGTTGGGCATCATCAAATAGCACCTTCCCTTTCGCATGCTCTGCAATGCGTACCGATACATGTCGATCTCTCTTTTGAATGGTTCGGGGCCAATATAGATAGCCACGAACTCCATGCCAACGGGGGTCATCGACTCCGAGGGCATCGAGGGCCCGGGAGTTGAGAGCTCCATGGTATTAGTTAATGAGATATGAGTTGTGTGAAAGACCTGAAAGTGATTTAGTGGTCGCCGTGCTGTTTGTGAAGACTGTTGGAAATCAGACAAGGAATATCTGGCAGCTCGAGGTACTTTTATACTGCTCCGGGTTGAAATACGTGGACTGTCAATTCACGGAACTGGAGGCTCCCGGGGTGTATAAAGAGGCTCGCGTCAAATATTATATTTTCATTGTCTATCAACCGGTAAAAATCGGCTTATCATGTTCATGGCTCATGTGTATGTAGGACGACAGGCTTTACAGATGCCGCTTGCGTGGAACTATGTCGCAGATAAAGTCTTCTTGCTGCAGGAACCAGACATTGCGCACTTTCCACGGCTTCCCCTTGTGCAAATAAAAGTCGAAAGATCGCAGTAGCTGAGGCACGATCTTATGCATCTCCATGAGAGAAATGGCCTTACCCACGCAGGACCGCGAGCCGGCTCCGAAGTTGAAGAAGGCCTTTTCCATCTCTTGCAACTTCTCGGGTGAGCTGTCCAGCCAGCGCTCGGGACGAAAGGCATCAGGTTGAGGGAAAGCGTCGGGATCACGTTGGACAACCCAGGGATTGATTCCTACGGTGGTGCCTCCAGGGATGTATGTGCCCGCCAGGTAGACGCCCTCATCAGGGACACGGCGCTCCATCGTCATACCGATCGACGGGTGCAGCCGCATTGCCTCCTTCATGACGGCCCCAAAGTATGGCAAATACTGGACAGATTCCTGGTAGGAGATCGGGTCACTGAGTTGGCCGGCTTGATCTGCGCGGTCAATCTCTGTCTGAGCTTTAGTCATGGCATCGGGGTGACAGATGAGGTAGTACAGAATGGCTCGCAGGGCCACGGCGGTCGTGTCGGATCCTGCAAAAACGTTGGTCGACAGGTGCACGATCAGATCTCGAGTTGACAGTTTCTCCGGATCTGCCTCATGCATAGCCATCCAGCGAGACATCATATCCTTCCCTCTCTCCTGTGTATTGGTTTTTATCATCTCTCCGTTCCGCTGCAACGATCCTCGATTGTTAATGGCCTTCAAGGTAAACACTAGGACCTGGTTCCACAGCTCCATCTGAGGCATCAGAAGAGGGAATAAAGGGTTCCCCAGTAAAAAATTATGAGCCTCAGGAATCTGACCACATACAGCGGCATACTGGATCATAAAGCTAATCGCCTGGATCATGCTGTCCACGTCCTGTCCTTGTTCCAAGAACCCAAGTTTCTGAGCGAAGCACATCTCGCCCACAACGTCGAACGCGTAGTACTGCAGCCAGATGCCTAGGTCGAAGGGCTTCTGAGCATCGATCGTCTTGCGGATCTGAGCCAGGAAGATCTCGGTGCATGAATCCACAGCCGGCTCGATTTCCAGCATCGCCGTCATGCTAAATGCGCCGGCCACGGGCCGTTTCTGATTGCGATGAAAGCGCTCGTCTCGTGTGGAGAAGAGATTCATTTGCGGCTTTTGGTTCCACGAGATACACTGGATGGGATAGAAGGCCGTCTGTACAGTTGAGATTTTGTCACATCAAAAATACCCGAGGGGACCTACTTTGGTAAAGCTCTTATTGACACTGTAGATGATCGGGATGGCCTTAGGATCGCTAACCGAGATGTGATCGGGACCGATCCGTACCAAATGCCCATATCGCCGGTGCAGCGCCAAAGCCGTATGATGATGCTGTCCTTGCCACACATTATGAAGTTTCCACAGTCGCGTATAGGCCGCCAGCCATGGCCCCGGAATGCCCGACAGTCGCAGTCGGTTCCTCAGGAGCTTGAAAAGGATCAGTCCTAGGAGAAAAAGAGTAATGGTGAGTTTGTTTTCCATGGTGAATGCGTGAAAAGTAGATTCTGCCAATCTGCAGCCTCAGTCTTTGGCGTAACATCGACTTTTCAGCCGTGCCATCGCTGCAGAACCCCGCAGCAGACACGTCGCGCAACATCCTTGACAGCGCCGATCAACGGCTGGGCAAGACCAATTCAACCACTGAGGTAGTCATGATATCAGGACATTTGTTTCGATAGGCGGGGAGCAGAGCCTGGCTTATCCATGACGCTGCCATGCATCTCGGGTGTTTTAACAATCTCCCTACAGGACTACACCTGTCACACGATTTGGCCCAAAGTTGTGGCAAAGTCTCACCAGGACAGAATCGCGTTAGCTTAGCGCTATTCTTCAGTCACCAGAGTCCAACCATGCCGAGCTTAAAGGACACTTGGCCTATTTAGACCGCGACTATGAGGGCAGAAACCCTACCTCTACTTCTATCAAGGTTGCCGAGGAGACCCGCTTATCGACAGAATGTGAAAACGGTAAAACTGGTTGTTAGCAAAGGAAAGCCAGGATCATGGGAGTGTCGAGTGGGGTCGAATTTACTGGCACCGAGGGCAACTATCTGCTCCCCCATCATCGCGAAGAGATCGCGCGCCTCGAGCGGCAACATAACTTTATCAAAGCCGCCACCCATGATACGCTGACTCCCGTTAAGCTTCCGCTGGGATCCCGAGTTTTGGACTCGGGTTGTGCCGATGGTAAGCCAAATTCAACGTCCTTTTCTCGATTTGTCGACAATGGCCGATTAACTCGGTTCGATAGGCAAATGGCTGCTAGATCTGGCGGGCAGCAACAGACCCGATTTGCATCTTTACGGCGTGGATCTCGCCGGAGCGCTGTTTCGTGATGATCCCCGGCTTCAACTCCATCAGCACGACATCCGCACGCCTTTTCCGTCAGTCTGGAGGAACAGCTTCGAACTGGTGCATCAGCGTTTGTTGGTTTGGGGCCTCGGCTTCGACGAGTGGGCACCGGCACTGGCGAACCTGGCCGACGTGGTCAAACCCGGCGGCGTGTTGCAGCTGGTCGAGGCCGAATGGGTGCTGAGCTCTTATGCGGACGAGTGCGTGCAGCAGAAGAAATTGGCTCGCGTGCAGGAATGGTCGACCGCCTCGTCCGGCATGGACGTGCATGTCTGGAAACGACTTCCGGATCTTCTGTCGGCCCTCGGTTTTCAGGACATCCAGGTTGAGACGTACCCTCTGGGCTACGGCGCGACGAGTGCCCGGCCTGAGGACCGCGTCTGGACAGCGGAACTCCTGCCTCAGTCCTTTCGCCATTTGGCCCGCAAGATTCCAGCCGACGGCATCCCCGGCGTGGCCCAGAGCCCCGAGGAGTATCTGGCCTGGTTGGATGAGCTGGTGGTGGAAATGAAGGAGATCGGGTACACTCCCAATCTCCGGTGGGTGACAGCGCGCAAGCCTGAATAGTCATGGAAACTTGGTGAAATGGACTAGATTTATGAGCACTTCCGGTTGACTTGTGACATTCACTAAGTGAGTGCATCGTTGATCTACTCGTTGCCAGCGGCCAATACACTGGGGCCGCAAACCTATCTCCCGTGTCGCGTCAGAACATAGAAAATAATGAGAATCGCAGATGATTGAAGTAAATCCAAAATTATTTAAGGCAGAATTCATATTCGTACATGAACCTGGGCCAACGATTACCCCCCAACGAGCCCTGCACACATTGTGGTATCTGACGACGGGAAATAAGACCCGATTCTATCCTTCAAGAAACAATTGCCTCCTTGTCCACCGTCAAAGGCAGCGGTCAAATTGGCAGAATATGTGACACCTCTGCATATATCCTCGGTGCGATCTTGATTGTACTCGATGCAGGCGCCAATGCAATCTTCCAGCGAGTATTCAGTGCGATAGTCCAGATCCTGCACTTTGCCTTTTCCATCGGCCGATTTGACGCCCTTGGGCCAGTCGACGCTGCAGAGCACTGAGAATAACGATCCAGTAGATGCTCGAATGGTTGTTTCATTTTTGGCCGGACAGGGATTCGACGCGATCCCGCTGGTGCCCGAGGTGACGGGGGCAGAGGAAGTTGTCGACATAGTGGTACTTTCTTGGGTCGTTGACGAACTAGAGAAGCTGTTTCCAGTTGTTAGTCTTTTCTGAGGCTTATAACAAGCTAGTGTCGGTAAAACCTTGGTATCGCAGCGCTCGTTGACTGTGGAGGTGCATTCGTTGACTGGGATGGCGCATTCGTGTCGCTATTCTTGCTAGCCAGCGAGCCACCGACACCTCCACCCACGGCTCCTCCGATAATCAGCACGGCGATTATTACCGACAGCCAGAAGACGATCGGTTGTAGACCGCAAATGGTGTTCTTCTTGCCAGGTTGTTTGAGGGGGGCTTCCAATGAGTTGGGAATGTATGCAGGTCCGTAGTATCCCGTCTGCCCTGGAGCGACATACTGCAAGCCCTCGAAATCTTGATTGACGATCTTTTGTTGCGTGGGAGCGACCTGGAGTCCGTCCATAAGGCCGATCAACTGTCGGTTTTCCCGATTCCGACGCTTGGGCTGAATCTATATCCACGACAAAGTGCAGAGATCCGCGTATCCAGGGACCGTTGTCGCGGGCTTTCAACCGCGACCGGGCGGTGCCCTATATATGAGCTAAATCACTCCTAAATATAGACGGCGCATCGACACTGCCAGTGTCTCTGTACCCCTGTTTAAAGCGACCAATCCAACTGGTTGTGCAAGCATGAGGCGCCGGCTGCCAAGCATCTCGCTGCTTGCTGACCCCTCCGTGGCCATTTCCTGTACGCAACCCCAAGGAAGACATCTTTCTGCTTCTTTCAACGTGCGCCATTCATTCATGCGATTGTTTGGATCATTGTAAACAATTATTTTGATCCTTTCCAATCGCCGCGGTGGCTCTTCGTGTCTCTAATCTCCGCACGGGTCTCATGCGCCGAGTGTGATTGATCCCTGTCGGCGCCTAATGCGAGGTTCTCATGCGGTGCTTCTGTAGCTGCGCCCCTGGCAAATAAGCACCAGACTCAGGGTGAAACGGCGGTTCCATTTCTTCCGGTCCTTATTATCATAAATTCAGGCAAATAAAACCAGGGGAATGATCATGGATTGTCTCATCATAAAGATTTTCGAAGCTCGGGCGAAGGTTATCGCCAACGGCCCAAATGACCTGGTGAGCCCTGAATCGAGTCTCAAGAAAAGACTGGAAGAAGCCTCGAGCGATGGCAGTGGGCGAAGAAGTTTGAATGCCATGGCCAGCCATGTAGGATTGGTAGTTTGTAAGTAACAGCTAGAACTATGGCCTTACATCTGGCTAGTGCTTAGTGGCCTACGGACGCTACCAATCTGAGCCCGAGCACCCAACCGCCTATCATTCCTCGGGGTTTTCAGTCTGTTTCCACCAAAAGCGACACTCAGCCTGCGCAAATCGATCGCGAACCGACTGCGCCACGACGCCGGCGTGCGAGCCACCCGCCCGTTCATCGTTACCCATGCCCAGAACCATGGTCTGGCCCGACGTGCCCTCGTCCGGAGTGACAAAGGCATGCCACTGCGGTCGGTCGGGATATCTGCCCGGTACGCGATTCGGATCGCCCGACACGATAAATGAGGTCACGTACGCATGGAGGGTCCCTGCAATGGCGTCCTGTGCAGGCGAAATGGATCGAACTTCGGGATTGTAGGTCTGATACCGCATCTGATCGCCATGGTTTGCTCCACGCAGCATGGTCATGTTGACGCCCCAATGATACAGAAAAATAGGCGGATTGGTCATGCTACTACCCAAATGCGCCGTCTGCCGCACGGGACATATATAAGCGTACTGTCCGTATGCCGCTTCCGCCCGCTTGAACTGATATCCGACCGACATGTTCCGCGTCTCTAAGTACGGGGAGTCAGCCACCAGAAGCGGATCCGGGTAGAGTTGATCGAGTGTGCGCAAATCGTCCGGGGATAGCTGCGGCAGCAGGGTGGCAAAGAACTGAGTGAACTCCTCGGACGTGGTCATGGACGGCGACACGAAGTAGGCACCCTCGTTGTGGGTGAATCCCGCTAGTATGGGAACTTTATGCCAACGGCCGGATTTCCATGCGTCGATGGGCCGACGCGAGATGATGTCTCCATCGATGACCGGTTGCCAGGCCCAGCGAACGGACGGGTCTGTATCCCAGAACACTTTCTGCGAGGCTTCCACGATCGTAGACGAGGGCTGTTTGCGTAGGCATGGAAGGATACCATCCTCTGTTTGTTTATCACAACCCGTTAGGGAGAGAAATTGTTCAAAGTGGGATATGTGAAGACTAGCGTCTGGAGGATGGACAGCCCGAGCTGTGTGAGCTCCCGAATCCATGATAGCTTTATGGAACAGGGTTTTATTTTGGTTGATGTTCATGATATGATGCCCAATCTGAACTTGTCAGCAATGATCATCGCGTGAGAATGAGCGGACATACCGAATGCGCTGCAGCCGACAAGCCGAGGATGGTGATGTCGTCGGGATTGCCGCCAAAGCGGGCGACATTTTCTTGCACCCATTCAAACGCCAGAATCTGGTCTCGCAATCCCAGGTTCAGCAGACCCTCTTTGTCGGTGAGAGGGGCGTTCAAGAATCCCGGGGCTCCGATACGATAGTTGAAAGAGACGCCCACGAAAGGCTCAGCCGACCAGGCCAGCATGGACGCGGTGTTGTGCATCCTTGCCGCTCCCCGGTTGAAGGCACCTCCGGGGACCAGGATGGCGACAGGTAGTTTCTCATCTCCATCAGTATGTGCTTTCGGACGAAAGACGTTGATGGTCAAACAATCTTCGCTCTCAGGATCCGGGCCATCGGGTAGGGTCACCAGCTGCTTGCCAGGGCATCTTATGCATCGTTCAGCATACATAAAATCTAGCGTATCTCACCATCCTAGAACTCACCTAGGCCCAAACGTCGACGATTCAAAAGTTCGATTGGACGGTGGAACCGGCACCGCGGGAGTAAACCGAAGCGGACCGATGGGTGGCAGGGCGTAGGGAATATTGTAAAAACCCTCAATCGGCTCTGGGAAGGTCCCGTCGTCAACGAACGTTCCACGAATAGTACCTTGTGGAAGAACCACTTCAGGACGGTCGACCGGTGTCTTCGTGGGCAGATATTGCAGGACCTCCTTGGGGAAGAGAAGACAAAGGGCTGAGAGGAGCAGCGGCCCAATACCAAGCAGGAAAGCCGACATCATATTGTACAGAGATGCTCATGTCAGGCATTCTGCGCCAGAAACAATGGCATGACCCAATGCATTCATTTATCAGATCGATATAGCTGTTATCTGGGTCGTGACGATCGACCGATCGCCCGCCGGAAAAAGTTCGCTTTCTTTCTCGGCATCGTTGATAACCCGCCAGATAAGATGGAGGACATCGATGACATCTCTTCGCTTGCCAAGGAGAGATAGGCTGATAGGTGATCAAATGATAACGTCTCCCCACGGGCCTTGAAATGGCACCGACTAGCATCCAATCGCGTTGGTGTCGTGCGGGGGATTCGCGCTAATTGTCGGGCGATGACCGAGTTAGAGCTGATAACTGGCCGACTATCTCGCGCCTCAACTGCCATCGGGCGTTGTTTTGGCGTCCGACTGTTGTGTTTATATAGTTGACGGCCTGGGAATCTGCATTTTCCCGCCGGCCAAGGTGCGCCACGCGGTGGATCATCGCCATGATAGTCCTCGACTGTCGTCCAGAATGGGGCATCGAGTCCGGTCTGCCCCTCACGCTTATCACCAGCTCTAGCGAGGACGATGGCAATAACCGGTAGAGCGAGAAGAGACACGATGGGTGCGGTTTTTCTTACTTATGTGCCATCTCCCCGCCGGCAAATGGATCTGAAGTGATCCAAGTAGTTCTCGACCCAGTCTTGACTTCATTTCATAGCGTATTTTACTCTGCAGCTGTCATGACGACCCACCCTTCTGCCGACGTGGACACCCAGAATGACGGGGGAAAGATCCCCACGATGGAAGACCGGGTTGTGGATGAGAAATCGCTCTATAAGGAACAATCTCGGGGCGACGCCCACAGCGTGGCCGTCGGAGAACTGGATTCTTCCGGCGATGCAGAGGAGTTCCTGCGCACCCACAATCTCCGACGAGGCGACCTGGAGGAGCTGCTCCAGGATGAACAGGCACAGAAGCGACTGGTCCGTCAAGTGGACTGGCTCTTGATGCCGCTGCTCTGCGGCACGTATCTGCTGCAGTACATCGACAAACAGGCGCTTTCCTACGGCGCCGTGTTCGATCTCTTCGACAACACCGGCATCAGTTCGAACCAGTATTCCTGGCTGGCCAGTATCTTCTACTTCGCCTACCTCAGCTGCGAGTGGCCGGCCAACTACCTGGCACAACGCTTCCCCACGGGCACCTTCATCAGCATTTGCGTCATCTGCTGGGGGTCGATCCTCTGCTGCACCGCCGCGTCGCACAGCTTCGCCGGCCTCGGGATCTGTCGATTCCTCCTGGGCGCCTTCGAGGCCCCCATCACGCCGTGCTTCATGCTGCTGGTCAGTACCTGGTACACGCGGGCCGAGCAGCCCGTCCGAGCGGGTCTCTTCTACTGTTTCAACGGCTTTGGCAGCATCGTCGGCGGCCTGCTGTTCTACGGCGTCGGCCAGGCTCAAGGATGGGACGTCTGGCGCATTATTTTCATCCTCTGCGGCGGCATCACCGTCTGCTGGGGAGTGGTCCTGTTCTTCTTCCTGCCCAACACCATCGTCAGTGCCCGATTTTATACGGTCGAGCAAAAGGCGCTGTTGGTGGCGCGAAGCTACGGTAACCAGACCGGCGAGCAATCGCGCACGATCAAGACGCCGCAAATCAAGGAAGCACTGTTGGACCCGCAAGTCTGGCTGCTCTTCTTCTTTGTCTTGCTGAACGAGTGCGTCAACGGCGGACTGGCCAACTTCGGCAAGCTCATCGTCAAGGGATTCACCGGCGGCGACGCCCTCTTGACCACGGTCTATGGTATTCCGTACGGTGCCTGGCTGGCCGCCTTCATCCTCAGTGGCTCGTGGCTCGCCACGCGGTTCAACAATATCCGAACCTGGGTTATGATCGCCTACGTGTGTCCGACGCTGGTCGCCTCCTGTTTGTTCTGGAAGCTGCCGCGTGACGGGAGTCAGGAGAATGGTCTGTTGATGGCGTATTACATTGTGAGTTGTGCTCTCCTCCCTTTCCTTGGAATCCCGACTGACCAGATAGGCACCCTCCTTTGTGTCCTCCCTCGTGCTGGCGCTCCAGCTGCCGGCCATGAACGTCAGCGGGTACACCAAACGGGTCACCAGCACCTCATTCGTCTTCCTGGCCTACTGTGCCGGAAACGTCATTGGTCCCCATGCCTTTCTGTCGACCGAAGCTCCTGTGTACCAGACGGGCTGTAAAGTCATCATCGGATGCACGTGCGGCCAGGTGGTCCTCGCCCTCGCACTCCGGGCGCTGCTAGTCCGGCGGAACAAGAAGCGAGATGAGGAAGCTCGTCAGGCGGGACCGGGGGATATCAGGGGGACAGGAACGGATGGGGTCATTCTGCAGGATCTGACGGATTTCGAAAACCGCGAGTTCCGATACTGCTATTGAGCGTTTTGTTGATTCTTCTTTCAGCCGTCACGTTGCGAGGTGCAGTGATGGGATGGTTTAGGGGAATTCATCGTCCTGTAATTAGTTATGATGCTCAAATGCCATGAATGACTTTCACTCCGTTCGCGTCATTGTCGAGTGCTCCATAGAGGGATTGCCGAGAGATGATGCTGGAGATGATGCTGGCACGACGCATCGATGAAGACCAAAAGACGCGCCCGTGTGTTAATGCCTGAGGCTGTGATCATATCACGTGATACTGCCCCGCGTCAGGCACCACGGCCGCCAGCCGGAGGTCGACATTCTGAACCCAAGGAGTAGCTTGAACATAAATGGGTTCGATTCTTGTGCGTACTCTAGCTCTGCCTGTATATTCTTCCTTATTCACACCTTGAATTCTAGAGATTTCATGGGGTACAATTCGTGATCCTCATCGCTCGTGGAAGGACGGATATATATTGCGGATAGTAACCAAGAGTCAACAGCAAGAATGGCATACCACCGTAGCTCCTAGTAGACAATTAACACTTTGACGCCAACATAATCTACAATGACTCAACATGGCATCCTCCAAGCATCAATTACACCTAGTTTCTCATCCATTATTGAACAGGATCTCATGCAGTGAGGACAATCGGCGTTCGGTGGAAACTGGCCAGGCAGCCAGGCAGCATCCCCCAGCCGGAGCTAAACCCTCTCGGTACAGAACAACCATTCCTCATCGGGTCATCCTCTCTCTCTCTCTCACCTCAACATCACCATCATTACCACTCGCGATCTCTTGTCGCATCGTCAGGAGCACGCATTCTGTGCTGGCCCATATATCTGACACCGAGGCGGATTCGTCGCTGGGCCCGTGGATTAAAATTCGCCGAAGATCACAATGCTTGTGCTTAAAGAACTGGGAGACTTCATCTGCCGATCGAAGATAGCGGCGCGCGAGCAGGACACGCCGCGGATGTCAATGCGCAGACGCTTTATCCCTAGAGCTTCATAGGTACACAGAAAGCAGACATGTTGATTGGATTGAATTTGCTATTGTCTATTCTCCCCTTTAAGGATTCCGGACCTGCCCAGCCTGCCCCAGGAATGATCGCCTGATTCTACCCTACACTGCACCCTTCAACCACACATTGTAGTTTTTGGGTTTCGGCTATCTTTGGTCCCTGGACTTTTCTCACTACTGTCACGCACTACTGCTCTGGCATACCTGTCTCACTCCGTGCAGTATACATGAGAATCCTTTATTTGGAATCAACAACAATGCATCACTCTACCTAACCTGTCAGAGTCCGACGAGTGGATTGCTCTATACCGGGAAGAAGCTTACTCGAAGTGAAAAGAGGTATGACAGCCTGATGAGACCTTTGATTAACTGCGGACAGAGTTTAGCCTACCATGCATCGCTGAGACAAGAAACCCGAGAGGCATTCCGGCAAATAGCACATTGGAGGAAACAAGAAGAAAAGAGAAAGTTTATTCCTCTACATGCCTAGCCACCCAGAAGAACAGACCCAACCACCCCTGGCAGCGGTGCAACGGCATCCTTGTCGTACAGTTCCTGCCGTAGAGACTCCAGTACCCGGTCAACCTCTTTCGTGAAGTTTTTGCGTTCCTCTATCTGGAGGAACCGACAAACAAAAGGCCACACGAGAGGCGTAACCTGGCATTCACGAATCGGTTTTCCGCCTTTGACATACTTGAATAATATCCAGTCCAGTTCTCTGATCCAGCACCTTTGATAAGTCCAGGACGCCCCCCGATCCCGAGCGGCCAAATGCAACAGACTCTCTAAGAGACAGCCCGGTGTCAGAATTCGATATGGAAAGTCATCATTGGCGTATAAATGCCGCTGGGAAGCTTCTAGACGGGAGTCGTCGGAGTTCATAAAGCAGGGATCATCGAATTTCACAGGACCGAGCGGGAATTCGGGCACAGCCCAAAGAAAGTTGGATTGTTCTAGAAGTATCAACATCTCCCTGGGGTCGCTGGGATTGTGAAAATGCTCATCAGGCAACGGTCCTTGCCCTTGCGGCGCTGCTAGCCGACAGGTGTTGACTCGCGTGCACAGTTTGAAGCCGGCACGCACGAGAGCGTCGGCGGCCATATCGAGCAGGTGATCGGGCACGACGAACTGAATCTCCTGCATGGTGTTAGTCCAGTTATATCACTCGAGATAGTGTGGGATGTGCCCTCTTACTGGTGGCGAGGATGGCGCTTGCTCTCCCGTGTAGGCCGTCTTCATGCCATTCCAGAATAGCACTGCGGGCACTCCAGCGTCCTCCAGCCACTCCGCAGCTGTGGAGGCTACACCTCTAAAGGTAGGGAATTGAAATCTTTCGGCCATAACTCTCGCGGCATGTGGATGGTTGGCAATGTTGACAAGGTTGAAAAGGCAAGGGGGAAATTGTAGCATGGAAAACGGAGCCCAGGATTTCAGGGATTTGGGAAACCCAGAGCTTCTTTATACCCTCCATAGTCAGTAGCGGGATTGAATTCTGTGGGACAGACAACAATTCTCAGGAGGTGGCATGGTCAGAGGGTTTGATTTTCATTGTCAGTGTGAACAAGGAAGATGCGCCAGTAGGACAATTCAATCGATCTGTGTTGCCCAGATGACTTAACTGGTGAGGCGCTATGTGCACGGAAAACAAAAGATATTATAAAAGGAAATCAACCTGATGCCCCATATGTAATAAGGAACAGCCCTGGCCTGAACATAACAGCTGGTGGCTGAGTAGGTCTGTCTTACATGCGCAATGGACAAAGGGAATTGATAAAGAGAGACCCATGAACACTGATCTCAGACCCTTGTGGGATCAAGAACCTCCCTCAGGGGTTTGGAGAAGAACAATATGATTCCTTTCTTTGAGTGTAATTTCTAAATTAGTATCGCAGGCTATTGTTCAGGCCGGGTTGCTAATGTAGTGTATATCAGTGATGGTAAGCCAGGGTATACCGGTGCTGCCCTGAACTGATCAGACCAAGGCCAAACCTGTCTTCCATTTGAATTTATCAGGGCAAAGAAGGCATTTCTAGGGTATCAGAGAACCTCTAGAGCTGAGCTGGTCTTTCTCAGATGTCTTGTTTGGGTTGTTGTTGTTGCTGTTGTTGTTGTTGAGAGGGAGAAAATGAACTGTGACGTCATCAAACCGTTCAACCTGAGCTGACTCAGCAGAGTACTCCACCAATGACAGTCCCCTGATAAGAAATGCGGTGACGGCGATAAGCGCCCTGCTGCCTTCCCGATTGGGCTGGTCACGCTCCTTGGGCTTCATCTTCATTTCCATCGCTTTTTCTCCTGCGCTCGATCGGTCCATCCCATCTGCCAGGATGCCTCTTGCGCGCGCTGCATTATCCTGTCGCCGCTGCCACCGACGCAAGAAGCGCTGTGATCGCTCACTGCCCCAATGCGAGACCTGTTGCCTGGCTCAAACGCCCTGCAGCTTTCTCGACGATGACCGCCAGGTCGGGTCATATCCAATTGTGTGAGTATATCTGCATTTCATTAGCCAGATAGCCTGTAAAGCAGCATGCGATCGGGCTCACCCTCGATCACAGGTACGTTCAACGGCTGGAAAGCCGAGTCCAGGAGCTGGAGCAGCAACTTGCAGCTGTTGTGACCGGCACCGCATCCACCAGTCCAAACAACCCGGTCGACGAACTCCATGTGGCAGAAACAGTCGATTTCTCGGCTCCTCCGATAATGGATCCCATACTAACTGGTCATTCCGTCCCCGTACCGCCGGTAGAACGGTCCGACTCGCTCGTCGAAGAGCTGAAATTGCTATCGCTAGAGGCAACTGCCGAGCGTCATCTGGGTTCTTCGTCCGGTATTTCATTTGCTAAACTTACCCAAGCTGTCCTTCGGCGGCTTTCCCCGGACAAGGCCGAATTTGTCTTCGAACCAGATCTCGAGCCCTCGCAAGACACAGGCAATTTTGTGGACGAGTTTTCAACCCCATCGGGCCTGGGGAACTGGGGCAGCTCGTTGCTTTATACACCTTCCCTGTTTAGCGGACTTCCTTCATCTCTTGAGATGGAAGATGACACGATGATGGCTGATCTGCGACTCCCTGACGAATCTCGCATAAATTACCTCATGGAGTTCTACTTTGCACACTCGCACACCCTCTACCCGATCATCCGTCGCACCGAATTCTGCTCGGGGATTTGGCGCATCTACTCGGACCCTCTTGATCCGCTGGCCCAGTCTCCGCTGTGGCTGTTTCGAGTATGGATGGTCTTGGCGATCGGATCTACAACGCACTGTTCAGTCACGCTGGCTGAGGAGTCCGAATCGGTTCTGTACTATAATAAGGCCATGGTGTACTTCGAGCAGGCACTGGGCTACGGGGATATGGTACGTCTTCCGGGAGCGGCGATACGATAGACTGACCACTGTCAGGCTGCACTTGAGGTTTTGATGCTGCAGGTTTCCTACTCGTTCTTTAATCAACTTGGACCGAGTACGCCTCTCCCTACCACAGTGGTATCTGCTAATGACCTCAGACACATGGTTTCTGATCGGGGTCGCGGCACGAATGGCCATCGGGATGGGACTTCACACCTCGTCGACATACATCCAATTGCCAACCGACATGGCTGAATATCGCAAACGAGTTTTCTTTTCGGTCTACATGATGGACCGGTAAGTCTAAGGGATAGAAACGACGGGGTAGTTCTAACTATCTGATCTAGAGTAGTGTCCATGGCTCTGGGTCGTCCATTTGCCATGCAGGATGACGACATCGACGTAATAGTAAGACTCCCAGCTGTGGAATTAGTGCCCTACCAACTATGACAGCCGTTTGCCGACGTAGACGACGAAAATATCAAATCCGATAGCATCATTCCCCAGGACTCCTTGCAGCCCTCGAGTATGGCAATTCCCCTGCACATTTTGGCACTGAGGCGCATCGCCAGCGAGATCTCGACGCGGGTCTACTCTGATCGCAACGCTCGCCTAAGTTCAACAGACCGCGAAAACATCATTCAATCGATCCATTGCAAGTTAGTTGAGTGGCGTCGAAACATGCCGTTTCCGCTGCCCGACGTGCACTCGCAGGTTCCGCATTTAAGTAGCAGCTGGTTTGATCTAAACTATTACACCCACATCGCCATGCTCTACCGCCCGTCGCCGTTGTTTCCCACCCTCGATCCGGCAAAGGTGAAAGTGCTGGCCACGGCGGCAGCCATGTCCATTCGCCAAGCGATCAACATGCATCGACAGCAGCGCTTTGCCTACAACTGGCTGAACCTGCTGGGCGTGTTCACCTCGACCTTGTCCTTGATGTACGCAATTACGGCGCAACCCGACAATTTAGCGATAATAGTCGCGGAATCCAAAGCCATCGAGGACCTGAAACTGTCGGTAGAGTTGCTGGAGACATTCAGCCAGAAATTCCCGGCAGCGTCGAAAATTAAACGCATGGTTCAGGAGGTGATGACGCGCTTTGCAGTGGTGTGCGGTGACCCGGTTATATAATACTCATTTGCATGTCAATTAAAGCACGTAGGACTTCGGGAGTAGTCAGGATTGCTGATAATGCATGGCCCTGTAATCGAAGCGACCCCCGACCCTTGCTTATCGGGTCGGACAGTCCGACACCACCATGTCGACCACACCGACAGTAACGCTGGGTGGGGATCGCTGTCTATATTTTGGATCGGCTATATAATGCTTCGAATTGACTCAGCAATCCAGGTACCATCGAAATAATAAACTCAAAATGTCTGACCACCATCTTACCGACAGATGGCCGAGTATCCTGCAGCGCGTCCCTGATGCGGCACCACTGGCTGTGGCACTCGCCATCATTTTGATATGTGCTATTTATCGCGTGCGCCTACTGCACTTCATTTTCGTCTCAGGACATATTTACTGACCTATTAGGTAGTTTACTTTGGACACCGACATCCCGTATATCCGCGGCCTCCCTGAAATCCCGGGGGCTGTTCCTGTCTTTGGCCACCTGCTCAGCCTCGGCGAAGACCATGCAAGCTCATGCGAGAAGTGGTGGCGCCAATACGGTCATTCCGTATTCCAGATCCGACTGGGTAATACCCGAGCGGTAGTTGTTAACTCCTTCGAGGACTGTCGCAAGATGCTTCTGGGTCATCAGAATGCTTTGATTGATAGACCCACATTGTACACTTTCCACGGCGTGATTAGCAGTACGCAAGGGTTTACGATCGGCTCGTCGCCCTGGGACGACTCGTGCAAGAAGAAGCGCAAAGCTGCTGGCACGGCACTTGGACGGCCTGCACTGCGGAACTACCATCCCATGCTTGACCTGGAAAGCTACTGCATCGTGCGTGACCTGTATAGGGATAGCCACGAGGGGGAAGTGGAGTTGAACGTTCGACCGTACATCCAGCGGTATGCGCTGAATACAACCCTCACGCTATGCTACGGCATTCGCATGGACGAGGTTTACGATGAGCTTCTCCGCGAGATTCTTCATGTTGGCTCGGCCATTTCCCTTCTGCGAAGTGCCTCCGAAAACCTGCAGGACTATGTTCCTCTGCTGCGATATCTGCCTCGGAACGAGAAGAACGCACGATCAAAGGAACTCCGCGATCGGCGAGACGCGTATTTAAATCTCCTGTTGGACAAAGTCCGAGCCATGATTAAGAAAGGCACCGACAAGCCCTGCATTTCGGCCGCCATCCTCAAAGACGAAGAAACCAAGCTGACTGGAGTCGAGGTCTCCTCAATTTGTCTGTCTCTGGTTTCCGGCGGATTCGAAACCATACCGGGAACGCTCACCTCGGCCATCGGCTCGCTGTCAACCAAGGAGGGACAAATTTGGCAGGATCGTGCCTATGAGGATATCAAACGGTACTATCCTGACATCCGAGATGCGTGGACCAGTTCTTTCCAGGAAGAGAAAGTCCCGTACATCAACGCGATAATTAAAGAAGCAGGACGATTCTACACGGTCAGCGCCATGAGTCTCCCTCGGAAAACGGCAACTGAAGTCAATTGGAACGGAGCGATCATCCCTGCTAAGACCATGATGCTCATCAATGCGCAGGCCGGAAACCACGGTAACATCACATGTGTTCCTTGCTTCTTCCGTGTGAGCTGACCATCATGTAGACGTCGATCATTTTGGCTCTGATGCAGGCAATTTCAATCCCGAACGCTGGCTCAAATCCACGGATCCTCCAGTAGAGAAAGAATCCATCGGCCTGGGCCACCTTAGCTTTGGTGCTGGATCGCGCGCCTGCTCGGGGCAGTATATCGCATCTCGACTGCTGTATGCGGCTCTCGTGAGAATGATCACGTCATATAAGATTGTCGCTAGCGAGACTGAACCTCCGAATACGGATTACGTGGATTATAATCAGTTCAAGACGGCCTTGGTGGCGATTCCGAGGGATTTCAAGGTGAAATTGATTCCGCGGGACTCGGCGGTGACGAAGGAGTGCTTGGAGATGGCCGAGGAGAGGACAAGGGAGCATTATCGGGAGTAGGATATCTGCATTGATGCTCTAGGAGTGATTTGTGGTCGCAGTGCCGCTGTAGCGTCGTATTTCCCGAGTGACTGCAATCTATGAGTTGCCGGATGGGCTGTCGGACAGTCCGACGGGCATATGAAGGCGGGGAGGGTTGATCATATATACTCTGCTAAATCTGCAAGGTTCAAGAAGACCTTCGCTCTCAAACATATGGCTATTCAAACATGTCACTCAATATCACCTCCCTCTTCGACGTTCAAGGCCGCGTGGCCGTAGTGACCGGCGGTAGTAGCGGCTTGGGGTTCATGATTTGCCGTGTATCAACCCCATCTTACTTCTGATGCACTCACGTCTAACAAGATCAGGGCTTAGTGACCAACGGAGCAAAAGTATACCTAGTTGCTCTTCCCAGTGACCCCATCGACGCTAAAGTAGTCGAGCTCAATGCACTGGGGCAGAAAAGTGGAGGGAAAGCCGAAGGGTTTGTTTCGGACCCTCCTATTCGCTCACCAAACCCTGACACAATCCCCAGAATTTCCTGTGACATATCCTCCAAAGATGCTATCGATAATCTTGTAGCTCAAGTCTCCAAACACGAAACCCACCTGGACATGCTCATCTCCAATGCCGGCATCCGCCGCGATCCACCAATCTCTTGTAACGTCCTAACCGCCAGCTTAACACAGTTGCAGCAGTCAATGCAGTCTTCTCGCCCCACCGACTGGGAGGATACATTCCGCACAAACACAACAGCGCATTACTTCCTCTCCGTCGCATTCCTGCCTCTCCTAGCTGCCGCATCCGAGAAGACCATGCCCGACGGAAAATCAGGCAAGGACCATGGACGTGGCGTCGTTCTGCTCACCAGCTCCTGCGCGAGCATGCACAACGTGACAAACGTCGATCTCACAAGCTATGCGACCAGCAAGGCAGCAACAGACCACTTGGTCCGGTTGCTAGCGGCGAAATTTAGTCGGTTTTATGTGCGGGTGGTGGGAATCAACCCTGGTTGTATGGCACGCGCTCTAATGGAAAACTTGATCTTCTTAGAGGGATGTTCAGCTGACAGGCTTAGTCGTACCGAGTCAAATGAATCCGGTCGGTCAAGCAGGAAACATCTTTCGAGGTCTATTTGACCAGGTTCCGGCTAGACGAGCAGGAGAAGATGGCGATATTGCCGGGACGGTATTGTATCTTGTTAGTCGGGCGGGTGTAAGTTGCTCTTATTATTTTTATACCATTGCATCATGACTGGGACGCTGATTAAACAGGCATATGTGGATGGAATTTCTCTGTGTGTTGATGGAGGACGGATTCTGTTGGCGAACGGACAGCAGTGAGCTTTGTGGTATGATGTTTCTAGAGATAATAGTAGAAATACCCCTTTGAGTAAGGCAAGATTCTTAGAAGCCGCAAATCGAATTAGTTTGTAAAGATCCTGCGATGCAGCGGAATTTACTCCGTGCTTTCCGCCCCGGCGGCTTGGCGTTGAGTGGAGAGGTCTTGGCACAGGCCGTGCTGTTCTCGGTACACTTTGACAGCTGTGTTGTTATTTTGATCCTGATTATTTCTTTCCCTTTGATTTCAATATTATTCCCCTTGCATAGTTGCTTAATACCAATTTCCGCAGTCAGATTGATGCTGAACATAAATCTATACAAATTGGGCTGACACCACATACGTAGTTTTATAGATGCCATGGAATAACCAGCCGCGCCTTGCACCCTCTCAAACAGACAATGAGATTAAATTCAATTAGACAATACAACTATTTTCCAAATTCAAATCTTTATATACATATATCATACATGTACACGTTCTGACACACCATGCAAAGCAAAGCAACTGAACACGGGTGTTGACGATTACGCATTATTGGCGCACGAGAAACTAGCACTGCTGGGGTTATCGTGCAATGCCTTACCGGAGACATAGAGACCGAGGCCGCACTGCATTATATGTAAGTATTTCACCATATGAAGATACTTATGAAACTGAACGGAAACGGGGAGAACATACAACACATCCGGCAATCCCGATGATGATTAGATTGGCGATGGTCAGGAACGCTTTCGTCGGGGTGGAGAAGTAGCGTCCCTTATTAAGAAAGAGCCAGAATACACCGTTGACACCAACTGTTCAGCGCGTTAGCATTTGGACCTCTCATTGGGGAAATTTGAAATGGAGTAAGTACAGGTGAACCAGCTGGCGAAGAGCGAAGCCTGAAACAACAAGTTAGTATCGATATGCCAGAAGGAAACCAAGGTAAACATACAACTAAACTCAAAAGATCACTGAACACGGGAATAGCTTCCGCAATGATCCAAGCAATAACCCAGGCTATCAGGGTGATCAACACCCAGGAGCCAGTCGCCACCAAATCCTTCTTGTGCATGCGGTCGCTGTTCCGGAAGATACGGACATAGATGCACTTGCAGACGATGTGGCCGCTGACAACACCGCCGATGATGATCTACCATATCATGAGCTTCTGGTTCGATCGTAAGACTGAAACAGACTCACCGTTGGCAACGCAATTCCGTACGCAACCTTCCGCACGATCGGACTAGCCGATCCCAAGGCGGGAGATGCCACGTCGTCACCGGCATAGTAGTAGATCACGACGGAGACAATGACGTAGAGAGAGGTGTCAATGCTTTGCAGCAAATACAGAGCTTTAGGATACTCCTTGGGGTCTTTCAGTTCGGCGATGAAGCCGAAGAAAGCCACGTTTCCGGCTGAAACTGCATCAGCATAATCGCCAACAGGCGAAAGACAAGAACATACCGAAAGAAAAGACAATGTTGCAGACAGCAAGGAAAGCCTTGTAAAGACTGGTGTCGACAGTGGCGTTGATTGGACCATCCCATGGCTTCTTCACACCGACACCAACCATGGCGATAATGACAGCCGCCAAGATACTGACGAAAGCTGGATCAATGGTTAGTTAATCATACGATGACATCACCGACAAATACTTACAAGCCACGGAAAGATAGGATAGCTTGGTCGCCGTCCTGGGCAAGCAGATGAGAAACGAAATGACCATGCTTACGACACCAAAGACAATAGAGCAGGTGCCATGGTCCGTGATCGAGTTCATAGCCACGGTAAAAGTCAATATATGACTCGCCATGATGAAGGTCAACAGCAAAAGCTGGCCAGTGCCCATGATTTCACGACCGATAGGACCCAGGATCACTTCACCGGCATCAGCCATACTCTGGATGTGCGGATAGCGTGCTCTGAACTGTCCAATGCTGTAGCCGGTATAGGTTGCAATACCACCAATACCAACAATCAAGATAACAGCGCTAGATGAGGTTAACATGCTGGAAGCTTCAATCGAATATGTGAAAACTTACGGCACCAGGCCCAAAGCCGCCACCACCGCCGGCAGGGAGAGAATTCCCAGAGAGACGGTCTCAGCAACCATCACTGAGAGGGTCAGTAAGTAGATAACATGATATGCAGACTACAGAAACTCACAGAAGCCGCATTGCCTAAACAGTCACTGTGAGTAAACAGACCACGACGCGCAGATCGAGGAAAATGCACTTACCACCAGCTTAAAACCTTGTACTTCACCTCGGCGCACTCCTCGTCTCCAAAGGCATCCTGACTCTCGAGCGGCTCCTTCTTCTCCTGCTGCTTCTCAGCATCATGAGTGTTGGCCTCGGCCTCGAAGTCGTACTGATGAGTAGCCTGCATTTCCGCTGACGATTGGATCTCGAAGTATGGTCTCAGGAAGTATGAAGAGGAAAGGATTTGCTTCCGGGACCAGGAACAGCAGGATTTGACTCCCACTAAACAAACAGAAAGGAGAGCTTCCGAATCTCCGCCGCACTCGCTAGCGGGAAAGAAAAAAAAGAAAAGAGACGAAAAAGACGCGCCCCACGACCAGAAGCGGATGGGATATACCGATAACCTACTGGGCCACCCGACGAAGCTGAAGGAAGCTAGCTACAGTGGAATCGCGAGATAAGAGAAAAGCCGACAGAAGAGAGTTTAGGATACCGAACCGGAGACCAGCTGAAACCACGGGGTACATGGCCTGACTCACCCACATCGCGGCGAATTCTGCAAATTCGGTGCCTGAGTGTGTGAGCCTTCGCTTTCTGTTAGGTAATGGGTGGCCCCAGGCATCCGCTCCACGTGGGGCTCCCGTCCAGGGAATCCCTGTCGGACCAATGGGAGGCCACGGAACACTGCAGCCGGCCGGCATGTGGCTAACCAGAACGAGCGAGCTGCATGGGTCCTGCAGAATCAGCAGCCAATCATATCCCGGAGTTTCTGCCGGGCGGGACCTCGGCTAATGGATCGGGCGATCTTCCTTGTTCAGGATGGAGATGCAACAAGGCCCCCCCCTCGCATTATCTATTTATGCTCGACCAGATTAAGTTTTCTCCTCGATTGCGGTTGCCAAAGGTCGGTACTTCTCCATGGTCTCCATACCTTCGACGAACCTGAGTTCGAGAGTGGCCCCTCTGCCGCAGGGATCGACATGCAGCTGTTTCGTCGGTGGACTCCATTAATAATGAAATCTGGCCGAGAGGGTCGAAATGCACGATCAGATACTTGGCCAGGTGGAAGAACTTTCCTTTCCCGTGTGCACTCGACCCCTGTTTGATCTGGAACACTGGAAACCTACTCCCGTGGACTAAACTGGACCGGGATAGACGAGACAAAAGCATTATGATATGAGTTCCACTAAGCGACCCATTGGGAAAATGGTATATCGGGTATAAACGACAGCAATCTACTCCCCATCACCTTCCGGCCATCACCGAAACAACAAGAAAAGAAAGACAGAAAGGAAAAGCACATTACTTCATACAGACCCATCACAACACATTAAACACCACAGAATACGACCTTCATCAGCACGTACCCCAGTATCTATCGCACTCAACAGTCTACTCATAATCGTAGAGCTGCTTCTGCGCCGGCACGTCGCCCCGCAGAATATACTTCTTGAAATACCACGGCAACATTTCCCAGTAATGTTTGGCGTGCTTGCGGGTCGGGACGGAAAAGACTTGGTCCAGTTCTTCCAGGGACAGCGCCTTGGTCTCAGGCAGGCAGAAGTAGCAGAATACCCAGCCGAAGATGTTCCACGCCGCGTACCATCCGAAAGCACCTTGCGGGGTGAAGGCGTCTCGTAGAGGGAGCCATGTCAAGGAGACGATGAAGTTGAAACCCCAGGTGGTAGCAGTAGCGAAGGACATACCCACATCACGGACGTACAGGGGCTAATAATATCAGTTAGTCGGGACGGGTATTGTCCGAGAGATGAACTTACGAAGGCCTCTGCAGAGTACGTGAAAGGCACCGGGCCCTCACCGGGCGAGTACACGATCATGTACAGATAGATACCCGTGGCAACGCAGGCCGTTCGAGCCGTCTGCAGATGGTCCGGAATATAGAACGAAAAGCCGGTGAAGAGCAGGAAGAGCGACATGAGGGGGAAGGTGGTCAGCAACAGGTTACGACGACCGAAGGTGTCGATCGTGTAAACGGCGGGTAGGGCGAAAATCCAGTTGGTGATGCCGCAGCCCAGCGACGTGACCAGGGCCATGCGACGGTCCAGACCGGCATCGATGAACATGGACGATGAGTAGTACATGATGGCGTTGACTCCGCAGAACTAACAGTTGCAAAAGTCAGATTGCTGCGGGAGCAACGACAATGGGAGGGAGCATACCTGCTGCATGAACATAACAAAGAAAGACGACTGGGCGGCACGACGATTACGAGGCACGGTAAACATCTCCCGCCAGAGCTGCTTGCCCTCGCGCATCTTCTCTTCAATCTTCAAGGCCGAGTGGATATAGTACAGGTCTCGCGCGGCCTGTAGGGTTGAGGGACGCAGCTGGCAGAGTGCATTGAATGCGTCCTGGTAGCGGTTTCGCATCATGTACCATCTAGGGGACTCGGGGCAGAAATAGACCTGTGCGCAAACAACCATCGGGCTACACCCACGTTAGTCACTAGGACAAGGAGATGAATATGAGGAAGGGACATACGGGATGGCAGTGGATCCCAGCATCAGTCGCCAGTTCAAACCGACAAGACTGTCGCTGTGGACATTCATGAACGCGACGGACGCGATATAACCCAGCATGATACCGAACGCCGTCCACATCTGCCACATCATCACCAGCGCACCACGGATGATGGCCGGCGCGCACTCGGCACCATACACGGGGGTGGTGGTGGATTTGGCGCCCACGGCGAAACCTAGCAGGAACCGACCCAGCAGCAGATTCCACCAGGTGTGCGCCGCAGCCATCCAGAAGGAAGCGGCAAAGGAGATGAAGCAGGAGATGAAGATACAGCCGCGACGGCCGAACCAGCGATTCAGCGGCGCTGTGGTCCAACATCCGATGAGGGCCGAGCAGAGATACGGCGCACCGTTCAACAGGCCCTGCTGCCACCGATTGGTGATGTTAAACTCACCAAAGTAAAACTCCTGGGCACCGTTGACGGCAGTTTGGTCCATACCCTGCACGATGGCCGAACCGGCACAGAGAACTACAAAGCGTCAGACGGCTCGAAAGGCTTTGTCAGTTGAGAGAGGGAGGGCATACTGGTCATGAAGTACATCATCCAGGGCTGGTGCCAGCGATGTGTCTTCTCGCGTCGCAGCAGCTCCTTGTCGCTTTCGGACAACCAGTCGAGCTGCTCGAAGATCTTCGGGTCCTGGGCCACAAGGGCGCCTTTCCTGAGATCATCGACAATATGCTCCAGGTTCTTTTCGCGCGCAAACTCCTCGACATCGCGGAATAGCTCCTCCTGGGTTAGACCGGCCAGAGGGTTCTTCTGCTTCGTTTTCTCGGAAACCTGGGCAGGGTTATCCTTCTTCACGTCGCGAGACCACTGGCGAGCCATGTCGGCAGCATTTTCCTTCTCAATGGAGACGGATGACTCCAGGTGGTTGGTCTCCTCGATGGGAGCTTCGGGGTCGGAAGGCTTCTCACCCATGGCGGGGGTCAACGAGGGGCAGATCGGGATCGAAGATCAGAAGAAAGACGACAGGCAAATGAGAGGTCACAGAAGGAAAAGAATTCTGGGGCAAGAGACATGCCCAGGGAGGCGATGCGGGAGCTTTTAACGTCGCCCGTTTGCCTCATGCAGCAGGCAGAGGGGTAGCCATGGATGGCATGCACCCTCGAGGCTGGGATTGAACAAAAAGGTTTTTTCCAAGGCCTCACCCCCGCAGAAAATGACGGGTCTTTTTCTCCAGACTCCAGACCCGTTCGGGAGAGTCTCCCCACCGTCTCCAGGCCAAGAGGCTTGGAGTCCAAAGAAACGCCGTGGCGCTGTTAGGCTGCAGATGGCTTAATCCTGGCCGTCAGCCCGATGGGTTGAGGATGGACGGTCCCGTGCAACCAATCCGGTTAAAAATGCCGCGTACGACGTCGACGGCGCAGGGGCAGGGCTAGCAGTGATCGAGGAGGCGGGCTTTGAGTCGGTGGCGCTAGGATTAGGCCGGTCTTTGTTGTGAGCCGTGAGTTTCTACCAGTCCATCATAATCCTATTGAACGGGAGAGCCGATGCCAAGATATGCGAGACTGCGAAATCCGGGGAGACACCAGACAAGCGGTCGATCCGACTTGATTCTTTCATGAGTCAGACACGAGAATGAACAAACAGTGAGACAAACAGGCCGGAGAAAGGCAGGCCATCGTCCGACAGAATAGCGAGTGCAGCAGGCGAAACAGCGCTCGGCACGCTTGGCGCCTAGAGATTGTGACCAGTCATTCGCAGCCAAGAGGACAGGCCTTTGTCGCGCGATGATCCTGTCCGTCTGTGGCAAGTAACCTGCAGCCTGACGGGCAAAGTCCTGCGGTCAGCTTGACGGGGATAGAGTTTTCTTTCTGCTCGGTGGCATGTCCTCAAGGCCCGGAATAGCAAACGCCGGGACAAAGGATTCTCTCCTCCGGGGACCGAATCCTGGGGATGTTGCACGGCAGGAAATGGGGGCTGAAGAGGATTCCGCGGTTTAGGAGTCTTCGGATCGGCAGAGATTGACAGGAGAAAGAATCGGATTCCATTCTCAGGCCGATTTTTAGAAGCAACAGGGTGAGAAAGAGCGATTGAACCGACAAAGACATGCTTCTCTTGGCCGCACACCACATGTTTCACGCGTTCCACGTGGTCCCTTTCGTTTTGATCTCGATCAAAGAGCTGGGATATGACATGATGGGCTTCACTTTGCATGCGGACGCTCAGCAGATGACTTCGACGCCATGGCCTGAGCGACGCCAAGAATTGCGTTGATTCGAAGTGGCATTCCAGGGTGGTATTGGAGGATGGAAGGATGGATTCGCGTTTATTAGAGCCGGCTTCGCTATTTATTAGGAACTGACCTGAATGAGAGATCTCCCAGTGGGCCTCCTTCAATCAAAAATCCTGCACGACACTCTGGAGATACAGAGCAGGACCTGGAGTACGAGTACGCAGGATACGCGACAAAGCCAGAGACAAGACCGAGTGAGCGAAGACGATCAAAAGGGATAAAAGAGACCAAGTCTCGGCACCAAGACATTTTAGCTAAGGAGTTGCCGTGATTGGGGGTCCAAGACTCAAGCGCTCTGGTCCTTGGGGCAGATTGCATGAGATCATCTGGTCCGGCCATTTTCTCGCATGCCTAGAATTTTCCCTTTGGGGGGGCGAATCCGATGACAGCTAGGCAAAGGACTGGGTCTGAGCTTGTCCCAGCATTCTGAATTGTCAATTTCAAGCGGAGTTCTCCAGTCTCTCGCTCCACGTCTATCAGGAATACGACTATTCACATCTTATGGTGAAGGCTTTATCGCACGGTCGCACGTGCCCTGGGGAACCCTACGTGACACCGTCCATCAGCCTGTCAATCCTCGAATCGACGCGATCGGAGTGTCATGGAACTGAGCTAGCTTAGTGACAACTACACGGAGGCTATTATTCACGAGGCAAAGTGCGTGATCCTCGGGAGGTGTGGTTGGCTGAAGCTCTGAAAACTGTGCTTGCGCAAGGATCAACAGCTGTCCGTTGCAGCCGTGTAGCTTGTAGCCTTGCTCGTGTTGTCTCAGGCTACTCGCCAGTACTAACCTCCTTGATCAGCCAGAGCTGCATGCAGTAGAGTTATACCCCCTAAGAAGCACGATGTGTCTCTCAGGCTTGCCGGGTTGTCCATCGCAAACTCTGCAGAATCTGCCGGTCGCACTCCACGGCCAAGAACTGAACAAAGTCGCTGCCACAACTGATCTTTGAGTTGTGAGTGATCATATAAAATGAACAATAATAGGGTATTTGGCTCTAATATCTTTATTGCGTGTTCATCGTCAGTTGCTCATCCCTTGCAAGGAGACGGATTGCCGGGGAAATATATAGTTCACCCTAGGGAGCCTACAGCCACACGAACGTCTCCAACTTGCAAAAGCTTTTCCATATAACCATACGAAAGAGATCCTTGACAGTTCTTCGAGGCAGGACTCTTGATTGTCAATGCACATTCGGTGCCTGTTGAACTCTACGTCATAATCTGTTGTCCACAGGGGCCAAACGCCGAGCGCTCAGCCATCCGATCAGCAACTGTCTTCGTGGAAAAAAGACAAAACCAGACAAATAAGAGCAGCGATTGGATCTGACTGGACAGCTTTAATGCATATCTCCCTTATGATTGGCCCTGGATCTCACAATCCAAAGGATAAAACATCGCCACGACGATCGCCCGAATGAGGTAAATCGGCAGCAGACGATCGGTCAACTTTACGAAGTAGGTTTGCTGAGCCACATCGTCGTCGATCAAGGGTTCTCAACTATAAATCTCTCGAACGACGTTGAAGTTGAGGTCCATATCAGTCTACGCTGTACAATCGAATATCGTCATGCAACTATCCAAAGAATTCTCCCAGGATGGCCACCCCGTCATCTTGGCCCTGCGCATAAGCGCCGTGCTGAGCGCGCTGATCGCCTTAATCGTCTTTGCCTGGGCCGTGAAAGCGCACGAGACCGTGTTCTCCGATGTTAATGGCTCTTCTTTATGCCTTATCGTGCTTATAACCGTAAGTGATCGTCGGTGGAGTCGGCCCTGATTTATTTACTCATGCTCGGTCGGTTTCCACAGGTGGCCTATGCCTTCGTCTGGTCCACGGTCGCATTGATCGTACGATTGGTGTTCAACCGCCCCCTGCATGCCGGCATCTACATTGCCCTGGACCTCCTGGGTTTTGGCGCCGTGGTGGGTTCGACCATTGCCATGCTGGTGGCGCTGGAGCCATACGGAATGGACTACCAGTGCGTCAAGGACCCGTGCGCAACGAACGTCGGCCAGGTGCAGGCGTTCGGGGCCGCCATGTCTCTTCTAGATGGGTACGTCTTGGACTGTCTCGGACCCTCCTGCCCAAATTCGGTAATTAATCTATTTTGGGCCAATCTAGGGCGCTGCATTTGACGCTGTTTGTCTGGGCGTGCTGGGCATGTCGGTCGACAAAGACGCAGGGGCGGAAGACGGTGGACGCTTGACCTCTCCTTTTTGGTTCTTGTTGAAGTTCACTTTCTGAAGCCATGTTGAATTATGGTAATGTCTAATGTTTAATGCTATTAATGTTTAATCGGCTGTCATGGTTCGGTAGTCCGTCAAACCGGTTTGTCTACGCAGGGCTGCATTAATCTATCCGCTGCACGACCGTTTCACAACCGTTTCAAGTTGCTCCGGCAGAGATTTCACCGGCATGCAGGAGAGAACTAGGAGATATCAGATTCACTTAAATGACAGCCGGCTCCACCGGGCTAATTCCCGTCGCTGTGATTGGCAACGGCGGCCATTTTGTAACGTTGGGTTCGGGGGAATTCCTCCGCTGGTCGAGCTGCCCCCGAGCTTCACCGGCTCCATCACGGCTTTAAAAGGACGTCGAATTCGCTCTCTACAGAGGGTTTTCGTTTTCATCTTCATCTTCATTCTTTGCTCATTGACTGAGTTGTTCGTTCCTTGCGCCGGGTCGCATTCATTCTTTATCTTCCTTACCGTCTACTTCATTCATTCTCTTCAATCTTTTTACAGTCTCAAGACATTCTTTATATCAACTTCAAAATGCCTTCCATCCAGTCCGTCTCTCTCTTGACTTCCCTGCTGGCCGCCACCCGCGTGGCTGCCCACGGCCATGTCACCAACATCGTCGTCAACGGCGTCTCCTTCGCTGGTTTCGACATCGGCAGCTTCCCCTACATGGAGGACCCTCCCACCGTCGCTGCCTGGACCACTCCCAACACTGGCAACGGCTTCGTGACGGACTACTCGTCTGAGGACATTATCTGCCACCAGAACGCCACCAACGCCCAGGGCCACGTCGCCGTCAAGGCCGGTGACAGCATCAACATCAAGTGGACCGAGTGGCCAGAGTCGCACCACGGCCCCGTCATCGACTACCTGGCCAAGTGCGAGGGTGGCTGCTCCACCGTCGACAAGACCGAGCTGAAATTCTTCAAGATCGACGGCGTCGGCCTCGTCGACAACTCCGAGGTGCCCGGCACCTGGGGTGACGACCAGCTGATCGAGAACGACAACAGCTGGCTCGTGCAGATCCCCGAGTCCATCGCCCCCGGCGAGTACGTCCTGCGTCACGAGCTGATCGCCCTGCACGGCGCTCAGACCGAGGGCGGCGCCCAGAACTACCCCCAGTGCTTCAACCTGAAGGTCTCCGGCTCCGGCACTGACGAGCCCAAGGGTGTTGCCGGTACCGAGCTGTACAAGGCCGACGGCGCTGGCATCGAGGTCAACATCTACTCCTCCATCTCGTCCTACACCGTCCCCGGCCCTGTCCAGTACACCGGTGCCTCGTCCATCAAGCAGAGCACCTCCAAGGTCACCTCCACCGGCACTGCCACCGCCGGCAGCGGCAGCAGCGTCCCCAGCACGAAGGTTGCTGTCCCCACGGCCTCCGCCTCCAGCGCCCCTGCTCAGGCTCCTGCTCCCTCGACCCTCGTCAGCGCCACCAGCGCCCCTGCTGCTACCCAGCCCGCTGTCACCAGCCAGCCCCCCGTCGTTAGCCAGCCCCCGGCTGTGACCTCCGTTGCCTCCTCGTCCGCTGTCTCGTCCTCCGCTGTTCCTTCCGGCTCCAACAAGCCCTACGCTCAGTGCGGCGGCCTGAACTTCCAGGGTGCCTCCGCCTGCCCCGAGGGATACACCTGCCACAAGTACAACCCCTACTACTCCCAGTGCATTTCTTCCCAGTAAGCAGTTGACCTGCGGGGATTGCATGACAAAAGAAAGGTCTTTGAGTGTAGGATAGGATATTAGGTGGAAGATGGACTTAATATCACCTTCAATTCATAATATTCGGTATTCCAATATTTCCCGTAACCTGCCTTAACATCTTATTAAAATGTGCATGTAGTCAAGATGAGCTTCTACAATATGACACTGAAGTATTCAAGCATTACCATCCACATACGATCCTAGAACTAACCCCCAGCTAGAACTAATACGTCGCCTTCCCCAGATTATTCTCAAAATTCGCATCCTTAAACGGCACATTCGCATCCCCAAAGTCCGTATCCTCCAACGCCGCCTGCACCACCTCCGACAAACTTTCCCACGCCACCAGCGGCTGCTCACCCCCGACGGTGCTCGTCAGCCCGCACTGGTGATTCACCGGCCAGACACTCTCATACTTGATCAGCGGCCGGGTGCCTTGCAAGCTGTACCCATCCGTCGAGCAGTCCCAGCCTCCATGAGCAGACGGACACACGGCAATCACATTGTCCGCGGAAGTCCCCTCAGCATCAGACAGCCACACAATCACTCCCTCCCAGTCGTGACGGTGTCCGAGCCCCGTGCTCGGCGAGTCCTTGGGGAAGTACCAGGCGTAGAGCAGGGCGTGGGCGTCGCCGGACGAGGACGCGCCCGAGCGCACGTAGACCTGCCCCGTGCTGGAGGCGCAGTCGGCGGAGGGCGCGCCGGAGGGGTTCAGCCCGGCGCTGGTCTCATTAGATACTCGTTTGTTATAGAGATGGAAGGATGTGGGGTGGAGCCGTGGAGAGTACATACTTGGTGTTTCCGCTGGCGTCGACAGCCGGGAACGGCACGCACCCGTTCACCACCTTCAGATAGGGCTGGTAGGCCTGATACACGTCGCCGGTTGTGCCGGTAGGGATGGTCTCCTCGAACCCGACGACTTTGTCATGGTCGATACTGTCGGCGGCGACGAGGGAGCCCAGGGCGAGGGTGAAGGCGAGAAGAGAGGAGCGCATGACGGCGAAGTCAAACTGACAGCGGAAGCAAGATTGACAGTGACAGGACCAGATTGACAGGCACAACTGACGGATTGGCAAAGTTTGACCCTTTTGAAGGCCGTCGGGGTCCGTCACGCCCGCCCTGACGATCAGCCATCGTGGTGCCAAGATGGACGCTCACTGGCGGAGATACTTGGTACACTAGTTGGCGACTAGTCGTTGGTGGATCTTGGGTCTGCAGGAACTGAGGAGTTGATCACGGAGAATTCGGCAGCTCGGAGGAATTGCTTTTTGCATGTTAGTTCTCAGTTGATTGAGGCCTGGTATCTGGTTCGGGGGACGCCCGTGGAGGACCTCGGGATGGTGAATGGCTACCTTTGGGTTGTATGATGCGATTAATATACTCTATAGTATCAATTTCGCAGCTCTGCCCGTGAAGAATCTCGCGATTCTGAATGGTTACATTGTATGGTGCAATATCGTATTCGTATACACTACTATTGGCACAGCTCGTGGGTTTACCCAGATCTCCCGATGGTGGATAGTTACCTTTGGAGCATTCATTGATCGTACTCGGTTTTTCAAGAAAATTATATACATCCATAGTCTAGCGCGCAAGTTCGGAAGTTCTATCCGACTGACCAAATGATTATGTGCAGAAACTACTCTGTACTATGTGCAGACTTTTCACCCCCTCATACAACACTAATCCAAACACTCCAGCTCTCCCAATCGCTCCAACACCTCAGCCTGCACCGTCGCATTAGCGTCCTTCTTATCGTCCGCCTGTCCAACCGACACACTAGCATAACACCCCGACAGAACGGTCTTCGTCTCCGTCGGCAGCCTCTTGCTCCCACAGGTCTCCACATCATCGTCCGTGATCAAAGGCACGGCAGGGAAGATCCTGGTCAGGACAAACTTGACATCGTCGACGCTGTCACATCCATCGTCAAACGACGGGAAATTGACATTCAGCCAGGCCCCGTCGGGCAAGTAGGGCGCGCCATTGGCCGTCACCCGCTCGGTGAAGTTCGTCGCCAGGTCCGCGTAGAAAGTGCTCGATTCCGGCGTGGTCTCGTTCCACGCCGTGGCCGAGCCCGATCGTCCAGAGAACGCCAGGGCCGGGACGCCAGCCTTGACGGCGGCGGTGGCAGCGCCGACGGTGCCGGAGAAGAAGACGGCGATGCCAATGTTGACGCCGACGTTGGGGCCGGACACGGCGAGGTCAGGCGCGCCGTCGAAGAACTTGGGGGCCAGCGTGTCGATGCCGTACTTCATGGAGGTGACGGGGTACGAGTTGACGTAGTTCAGCTCCGGCGACGACTCGTTGTATCCCGTGGCCGGGCTGCCGGCGGGACAGCTGTTGTACTGGCACGGGTCGGTCAGGGCAACGGGGTCCTCGTCCTTGGAGCCTGTGGATAGTCAGCACTGCTCTGGAGAGGTGTAAGGGTAAATTGTACGACATACCAGAACCGCTCTTGTTCTCAGCCGGCGCAGAAAGCACCACGGTGTGGCCGGCGTCAGTCAAGGCGCTGTGCAGGGCGCGGACATTGCTCTCGGCCCAGCCATCGTCGTTGGAGGAGACGATGTTCAGGGCGTAGGTGAGAGGCAGCGAGAGCAGGAGGAGCTTCATGGTGGCCGGAGTGCGCGGAGCACTCGAACTGAATGGCAGCGAGCCATGGTTTTATATGCGAGCGAGACCGGAGATGCCCTGAACGGACACTCGGAGGCAGCGGAACTCAAGCACGTGGGGAGACGGAGGCCGCTGGAGGACAGAGAGCCATGGCCCCTGATCAAGAATAATCAATCTATCCGTCCTCCCTCAGGCCGTTACTCCGTCAGGGCTTGTCAAGGAGTCCGCCCGTGTTGGCTCGCGTTAGTGCGACTATCATCGCCCAATTGAGGGATGGCGATGTCGATCTGAATGTCGAGCCGGAGATGACGCGGCCAGTGGGCGAGGGAGGTTCAGCACGTGTGTGACAGGAGTAGAGATTGAGAGAGCTGCATCTCTGAGGACTACATCTGAATCTGGAACTGTCCTGACAAGATCATCTCGAACTGCAGTATACAATTAGGAAGAATGAGGGAAAATGGATAATGAGGAGGAAATCCCTCTCTCACCGCCTCCCCCAAGCAGCGACGATGACGCCTCAGGCTGCGGGAGCCATGGAAAGCGTTAACTTTGTTCGCTTCAAACTTCAAACTTTCGCACGCGACATCTTTTCCCTCTCGCTCCCCTGAAAACTAAACCTTCTTCCAGAACTTCTTCCAGAATGAAGATGGCATCCCCGCCATCCACTGCCTGTCGCTCATGCCCCGCTTCACTCAGGACGATGGCGAGGGTACGGGCTTAGAGGCGCATCTCCCCCCGACCACCGCGCAGTATGTCTACCCCATGCTCATCGCCCTGGCCTGGTGCAACGCCATCGACCTCATCGTCCTCTGCCTGAACACCTTCAAGCGCTACGAGGGAAGCTACTTCTGGAGCCTGTTCGTCTCCTCCGTCGCCATCATCCCCTTCGGCCTCGGCTACATCCTGCGCCTCTTCAACATCTCCTTCTCGCGCGGCTTCCTCGAACTCGCCATCGTCGATGTCGGCTGGAGCGCCATGGTCACCGGCCACTCGCTGGTCCTGTGGTCGCGACTGCACCTAGTCCTGCACCGCGAGCGCGTCCTCCAAGCCCTGCTCTACCTCATCCTCTTCAACGGCGCCCTCATCCACACGGCCTGCTCCGCGCTCGAAATGGCCAACAACGCCCTCCCGGACTCCCCGCGCGTCACCACCGGGTTCGGCGTCATCGAGCGCATCCAGCTCGTGTGGTTCTGTCTGCAGGAACTCCTCCTCTCGGCCATCTACATCCGCGAGACGGCGAAACTCCTGCGCCTCGACCGCGGCGGCATCTCGCGCAGCGTGCTGTCGCAGCTGCTCGGCGTCAACGTCGTCATCATCGTCCTCGACCTCTCCGTCGTCGCCATCCAATATGCCGGCTACTTCACCTTCCAGGTCACCTTCAAGGCGCTGGTGTATAGCATCAAGCTGAAGCTGGAGTACGTGATCCTGGGGAGGCTGGTGGATGTGGCGCATATCCGGTCGCAGGGGGAGACGCCGCGATTTAGGTTTTAGACTGCATATATATTTGCTTAGACATAGACTTGTTGATAGCTAAAGCAGCGTTATTCATATTCACTTGGCCCCCATCGTATGTCCGATGCAACCCGAATCGACGGGGTTAGCCAATCTCCATGCCGAAGGGGTATATAAGCTGACCACCTCGTATCACCACCCTCACTCGAATCTTACTCCCAGTCAATCCTCAACCAAATCAAAATGATCCTCACAGCCCTCGGCCTCAGCGCCACCCCCACCGCAGTCCCCAACTACGCGCCCTACGCCCTAATCTTCAACTTCGTCTGGGCCTACGGGCTTCTCTCCTCCCGCACGCTCAAACAATACTACGGCATCGACCACAACGTATCTCCGCGCCAGGACCTAACAAAATACGGCGCGGCGGCAGTCTCATCCGGAAAGATCACGCAGCGACAACTAGACCGACTACACCGGAACGAGGCGGCGCATGCCAACGCCGTGGAGAACTATACGCTGCTCGTCGGGGTCGTGAGCATGGCGAGCTGGGCGGGTGTCGATAACGTCGTGATCAATCGCAGCGTCGCGGTCTATACGCTGGCGAGGCTGGCGCATGCGGCGGTGTATATCGGGATTGAGCGGCCGGGGTGGAGTCAGTTGAGGGGGATCTGCTGGTGGGTTGGGAATTTGAGCTGCTTGTCGTTGCTGTGGAGGAGCTTTCCGCAGTTGTAGTCAAGAAACAAAGGCACTATAATTTATAATCTAAGTGAAGTCGGTCGATAAAAGTATTAAATTCATGTCTATCCGGGAAGAATGATTAAACTACCACTAGATGGTGAAACCCAATCACAAAAACAAATCATCAGATTAGGTATCATGCGTCGTATCAACTGACGGGGTTCCTTTTGCCGCCCTATACACTCCCATCCCATATACATACAATGACAAAAAGAGAAAAGAAAGAGAAAAAATCTTAGCGTCGGTTGACGCAGCACTTGACGCCCGACTTCATCAGGAAGAACAGCGATCCGAAGAATCGGAAGAACGACAGACCCGCCGTTCCCCACAGGATGATCTGGAAGAACATGGCCGTTCGCCCGGTGGAGGTGTTCTATTCATAGCGTTAGTGATCGTCCATGCGGCCAGAACAGTGGATAACTTACCGTCAAACACATGCGGGACACGGAGGTACTGGTGATCAGCAGCGACATGATCAGGTTGCTGAACACCCACAGCAGCACCAGCGCGGTACGGAAGTTTCGGAAGGAGTCGTCCAAACTGGGCGAGTTGTCCTCCTCCGGCTCGATGAACGGCGCCAACGCGCGTTTGACCGTCGCCTCGAACTGACTGTCGATGTCCGCCTGCGGTTTGTCCAATTCCTCGATGAAGTTGTTCTTCTCACCGTCGTCCTTCTTGGTCTGCGCCGAGGGCAGCGCCTCCGCCTTGTCCGATCCCTTGGTACCCCACGACACGTCGTGCCAGTTGCAGAACGCGTACACCATCAGAATGTTGATGGACGTGGTCATGGTCACGAAGTACGCCCACGAACTGGTGAAGATGTGCCACGGATCGGCGTACAGGAAACTGGCGAACGCGTAGATACCGTAGGTCGACACCAAGGCGATCAGCACGATACCTCCGCTGCTGGAACTAAAGAAGGAGGCCAAGAAGGCTCCAACGCCGTCGTCCATGTTGAAATCCAGCATACCACCGGTAAAGGCGTTCGCGACCAGGTAGAAGGAGTCGACCAGCACGTAGATCTGCACGAGGGAGAAGTAGAGGAAGGACAAAGTGTAGTGAATTCGCGTTCTGTCCGAGTTAGCAGCTTCCAAAGAAAAGTCGGCTGGCGATACTCACCCCTTCGGCCGGTTACCCAAGGCCAGAATGAATTGCAACATCAGGAAGAACAGATAGAAGAATTTGACGAAGTTGTTCAGAATAGGCGTAACCTCGTTACCGAACGGCCAGCCCTTGTTCTTGTTTCCTGCACTCGGCGTACCCACCAGATCCAGAATGACCGAACTGGTCAGCCAGTAGGATGCTGTTCAAGTTAGTTGGAGATCGAGATAGGGGAGCAATCCACATACCCAGTGAGAACCATGTCATGATTAATTGACAGAAGTTGTAGAGCATCTGCAGATGCAAGAACGCCATACGGATGATGCTGTGACCACTGCGGTAGATACGCCCGAAATGCATCATAGCGTACAAACCGGCGGCGAACGATCCGTTCAGCCATCGTCGACGTTGACCGATGAACTCGGCCGTTCCCTCGGGCACGTCAGTCTCGCCCTTGGACGACTTGACGTAACTCAGATGCCATTTGAAACCCGCTTTAGCCACTAATTCGAAGCACAGAATTCGATCCTCGGCCAAGAACATGTTCTTTTTGAAGATGTTCATACCGTCGATACCCTTCTTACCGAGACGCTTCGACAGCGTGTGATCACCGTGGAAGTACTGTTCCAGGGGCCGGCCCATGATGGCGCGATACCGGTACGCAGAGAAGGCACCGGGCAACACACTGACATAGCCGAAAGAACTCTCTAGCGGTTTATCCAGAATGTTGGAGATTTTATACTCGAAGTTCTGCGAGGCCACGAGCGGGTTGAGGACCTTGGTCCAGCCCTTTCCTAACATAGCGTGAATTTCACCACACGCTCCGCCTAGAGTTTTGTCGTTATAGAACGCTTCCCAGAGGGCCAACAGCGACTTGCGACCGGGCTTGGTTCCCGCGTCCAGCAGAATGGCGACTTCGGGGTTCAGGATTCGACTGAAGGCGTTAAACAACCAACGATGGGAGTTGATTTTCTTCGTGTTCTTCTGCTTCAGGCAGAAAATCATCTGGACGGGCGGCAGGTTGGAGGAATCATTGCCTTGGGGACGGATCAGTTGCTGGTTCGCCGTGACCGAAAGCTGGGTGGTATATTCGAACTGTGCCTGTTAGTTTCGAGACGCTGACGACTCAGCGGCCAGATGGCCCGGTCGGAAAGACTTACAATATGAGCGACCGTCTCGCGACCGTCGACATCCTTTTTCATGACGCCATCTTGGTAGATACCAACGGTGGCCAGCACGTCCAGGGTGTTTTTATCGCAGGGCTCGATACCGTCAAAAACCAGACAGACCACGATCTTCTGCCAGGCGGGACCTCCCTTGTTCCAGAACTCCGATTTCTTCAGGTTGACGATATCGCGGACATTCTGCATGACACCGTGCAGGGTTCGGGCGGTCAGCACCTTGTCTTCGTTGTAATAGGTGATGGCGATCAACAGCTCGGTGTGTCGGTTGTAGATGGCCGGGCGCAGGTTGTATCCGTTCCGCAGGGTGAATTCGTCCGGGTCACAGGTGGCCGCGGTATCTGCGTCGAAATTAGCCCGAAGATCCCTCTGGACGGAGGTGTCATCTGCAGCGGGAACGACCTACATCGCATATGCGTGAATTCCTCCGAGAACGCCTCCTCGGCCTCGCGGTATTCGGGCTGGATGGCGTTCTGGATGGCACTGGGGACGGGGTAGTCGACACTCAGGACGGAGCCCTGCACCAGGTTGATCTTTCTCGTTCCGTATCGGCGGAGGGCGCCGGTCGAGCGACTGGCACCGCCGGCCTGGCTGTGCTGCCACGTATCCATCTTGATCCCGCTGCGGTCGGAGGCGCGAGCATCGTAAATGTCGGCAGCTTCGGACTCCTGGTAGGGCGGGGCGGCGAAGACGGTCACTCCGGGGTCGTGCAGGGTGTAGCGACGCAGCGAGTCGGACGAGACGCTGGGGTCCTCGAAGGGGGCACCGCTGCCATAGGGACTGGGGTGGTTGCGATACAGCAGCGACTGTTCCTGCTCACCACTCTCCGACACTCCGGGCGTTCCCTGTGGTCGCTGTTAGCTGGACGCGCGAGACGAGGACAAAGGGCCAATCACACTCACCCCGGACGGACTGTGGGAGTAGTAACTGCTCCGACTGTTCCGACTGTGTTGCGAAGAATGAGACTTGAAGGGCCCCGGGGTACCCATCTCGGCGGTTGAGGAGATGGGTGGTGGAAAAAAACGAAGGGATGGGAGAGATCCAACGAGTGACGGGGAGGTGAGGGCTTAATAGAAAGAGGAAAAGAAAAAGACAGGGACGTTGAAGATCCAAGAAAAGAAAGGGAAACAAAGGTCGGACGATCAACAAACAATAAAGGGATAAAGCCCCAAGCGAAAAAATGGAGGGGATCGGAACAATCGACAGGGCGAAAGGGAGTGGGAAAGGGCAGGGGAAAAAAGCGAGAGACGAAGGGTCTGGGCTGGATAAGGCAATGGGAACAGTCCGTCAGGCGGTGGTGGAACCGCATACACTAAATATAGCGAGGGCTAAGCCTTGATTCCGACTCAGTGAGCACTGAGTTCTACGCAGTACAGAGTACAGGCCCGAGATCTGAATTCCAACCGGCCTGGAGAGGAGTCGGGTCGATCACGTCGGGATGAACGTTGAACGTGGTGACAGGGCTCCGCCAGAGGATATTCGGATTCGAAGCCCGTTGATACGGAGTACGGATAGAGCAAGAAGCGAGAGAATCTATGGCCAGGAAAAAGCGACCGCGAAGTTGTCGACGAAGGGGAGTTTGCCGTGTCGTCACCGGATCCACCACGCCTCCATCCACCCGGGATTCTCCTGGATCGCTGCATACTCCGTAGTGCGCAGACTAGAGTCCGAGAGAAGAGTCTGTCGGACGGGGCCATCTGGCCATGCATGCGCGCTGCACTCGAACAAGTGATCCCAAAAGAAGCATGTCAACAGCGCAGTTCTAGTCGGTCTTCCACCCATTTCTCGGGCAGGCTGGTGGAGGAGCAGAAAAGTGTGCGTGCCAACCAGCGGACGAGGGTCTGCGATCCATGGCCCAAGTGAATCAGCTCCAGCGGCGCGGCGCATGTCATTGGCCGTCCGGCATCGGCTAAGACCGCACAAGTTTCACAATGTTGTTGGCCTGTTGGTCGGACGACGCGCAGTCGGTGGAGCCGATGGAATCGATTTGGTCTTGGGTGGCGCAGGGTTGCGATCCACAGTGGAGCGGGGGGTGATACACCTGAAACCATCAGCTGCGATCATCGCCTGCAAAGTCCATCGCCCGGATGATGGATATAAAGGAGAAGTGGCATCATGCGCCGTCAGGGATGATCTGTTGCTTTACGCTGTCGGTCTTGTGTCTTTTGTCTGATGAAAAGATACAAAGAGAGACAGAAAGAAAGACAGAAAGACAGAAAGAAGAGAAAGCGGCGCTGACTCATCCGCGCTAACTATTTTTAGTCGGCCGTTTGTTTGTTGACGCTGCCTGGGAGCCTGATGGCGGCTCAGGCATCCCACATACTTCGTAGTCCGTCGTAGTAACCCGGAGTATGTCAGAGTACAGAATACAGAGTGTGGAATATGGATAGTGGGCGGTCTACGGCATACCGCGAGTTATGCCCAGCGCCCGGTATGTATGCACTCCCCAATCCAGCCCGCTCAGGACCTGCAGAGCCCTGGCGCAAGGAGTGCGACGTGACCTGTCCGACAGGTGGGCCGCCCAGAGGATCAAAGGGACGATGCCCAAGGCTGTGTCGTCAGACGTTCTATTTAAACCCGCCTATGGCAAAGAACAGGGAGATTTATAAGCGTTGACGCGCATCGAACAGCGTGGCTCGTCGTATTTGCCTCTGCGTAGTGGCCGTAGCATCGATATGGTTCTCAGTAACTCCTCCCGTAGAGCTCAAAATATACGGAGTGCGGAATAGGGACCCCAGAGTCTCTATATTTAGTCGGTCAATCATGAATTATTGATGTTTCGCCTGGCATTTCCGAGACCACGCTAGGTTTCTCCAGTCCCGTCCCGTCCGGGTGGACTGGAACTATTCGCCAGTGTTCCAATACTTGATCCAATTTCCCCTGACCATCGGGGTGTCATAGTCGTACGGAGTACGGAAGAGCGGGGGCGACTATTTGCCATCTGATCTCACATTTGCTTGTCAGGGCCGAACATGGCGTCGCGGGGAGAGACCGGTCCGGCGTTGAATCGTACTCGGCCAATGATGGGCAAAGTATTGGACGGTGTGGTGTCTCTCTGCATACGAAGCACAACTCGACATCAGGCCCCACAGGTCGAGTCTAGACCTCTGCATACGGAGTACATACGGAGTAGTACAGGTATTGTGAAGCACATTGCGACGGGCTATTTCACTGTGCCGCCGGTGGCCGAACCGGAGATATATATCCACGCTGGTATGCAACCCAATGTCCTGGGCAGGAACAGATTACGAACTGCGCCGACTCCAAGTTATAATCTGGACTTTCTTATGGTCGGGATCTGACTTCATTAAAAACTAGGAAATGAGAAAAAAACGAAATGAAAAAGACAAAGGTTCGAATCAAGCAATATCATGGAATAACATGGCTTGTACGCTATCCAATACACAAAAAGAAAACACCAACATAAATCCCAACGGCCTAGGTGAAAAGCAAGGTGTCGCAATAACTCAATCCATCTAATCACGACCGCCAGCCAATCGAATCGCCACTCAAGACAGCACAAAATACAAAAGCGCACTCATGGTTGATCCCGAGTACTTCTTCAATATCCCAACCGTGCGCTGATAATAAAATATATTCTCCAACTGGCAGCTCCTCATTCCCTGTTTGGCGTGGTACAGAGGCAATTTGCCATTCTCATCCGCTAGCTTGGGATCGGCTTTCTCCTGGATCAACATCTTCACGAGCATCCAACACCCTGCGGCGGCCGCATAAGACAAGACGGTCCGTCCGCGCCGATCCCGCGCATTCACATTGACTCGACTCGTGTCCAAGAGCAGGCGCATGACTGCGATTTCGTTTCCGTCGTCGAACTCCTGACCTCCCATGGAGGTATCCTTGAAGCGCTGCAACGCGGCATGGAATAACGGGGTGAGGCCGTCGTTGTCTTGGGAATCGGGGTTCACCGAGGGCTGGGATAAAAGCAACTTGACGAGCGGCACGTCGCGGATCTCGGCTGCATACGAGAGAGGGGTTCGTCCGTCGTGGTCTTTGGGATCAGGGTCGATGCCTGTCGTTGAGAGGAGGATCTGTGTAACGTCGCGGAGCTTCGGGAGTTCGGGGACGATAGGATGAAGATGGTCGCGGCTGATGACCGACGTGGCCAGTGAGAGTGGTGTTTCGCCGTCGCTACTCTGGGACTTGCGATCGACTTCGTCGACGCCTAGCAGGAGTTTAACCACCGATGTGCTTCCACTGGCTGCAGCAACCGACAAGGGCGAAAACTGAGCGTGGTCCTGACTATTTGGATTCGCTCCGTGCGCAAGTAATAGCCCAACGGTGGTGTCGTGTCCACTAATCGCGGCAGCCATGAGCGGCGTCGAGCCGTCGTTGGAGGAGGATTCGATGTTGACTTTGCGTTGTTCCAATAGAGCTGAGACGACTTCATCATGGCCATGCTCTGCAGCCAAGAACAGGGCGGATTCCTGGTCGCGATTGACGATGTGAGACAGAGCGCCTCTAGCGAGCAAGGCCCTCACGGCCTGAAGCCTCCCTTGTTTAGCCGCTATGATCAGGCCGGTGTTGCCATTTAAATCGGTAATGTTGAGGTCCAGATCTTTTCGTTCAAGTACGACAGAGAGCAATTCGGGGGAGCCCGACTGAACAGCATAGAGCAGACACGACAAATTCCCTTCACTAAACTTGGCATTCACATCGACGGTATGATGTGCCAGCAGCAGCTTCACGATGCTGGTATAGTTGCACAGTATCGCCAACACGACCGGGTTGTGGGGAGAAGCTTCTATTTTGGCGCCAGCGCCATGACGGAGGAGTAGTTCGACAAACGGTTCTCTATTGTTGGATACCGCCAGCGAGAGGGGAGTACTTCCAATAAAATCACCCTTATCGACGATGCATTTCCCCGACGTGAGAAGCGCCTCCACGACGGGGAGATGACCAGCGGAAACAGCCAACGTCAGGGGAGGTCGACGCGTTGAAGGCTCTACGCAGCGGTTGGGATCTGCGCCGTATTGCAGCATCTTTTCCACCACGCTGACTTGGCCCTGGTTGGCTGCCCATATCAATCCAGAGCCGCCCAAGTGAAGGATGTTGTATCGGTAGAGCTCGAGGTTAAGGAGGTCGTGGAGACGGTGACTGCATTTGCTGAAGTTGCGGATATCTTCTTGGGTGGTGAGGTGTCGGCAGACGTTAATAATTAATTCGTTGGGCAGATTCAGCAAAAAATGGAACTTCTTTTTTGGTCTCTGGAGCTTCAGGCGCCTCAAAAGGCGACCGCGTTTTGACATCGTGAGTGATGACACCCGATGCAAGGGAAATGACAGAAGGAAGTGAAGGTGAGATGGATGAGTCTTGATCAGAGACGAATTGTCTGGGATAGAGTCATCGGATAGCTTCATCCCGGAACATGAACAAAGGTTGACGTCGCGATACATAAGCTTCACTCTGAAATGACTCGGGATGACACAACCCGTACCATGTACAGATAGTTTTGAGTCAACTGGTTGACTCACAATGGGCATCTTTTTCTTCGTGCTGAAGATAATCTGGCTATACCTACTACTACGATAAGTAGAAAGAAACCTTAAACGAAGGTGTATCAGAGTGGTGATTCCACACCATGAGCCGACTTGGAAATCGAGAGGAAGACAAACAAGACCCGACAATCGCGATCCAGTATCTAGTTCTTCGACAGCTCGCTACCATAGATTGTCGAATTCATCGAACTAGTCACTCTGCACGAAGGGTCAATCTGTCGAGAGTTTGGTCTAGGCCAAGGAGCAAAGTAGAAGAACGAAAGGCAATGATCGCAGCCAGCTATTATGTCAGTAAGAACGTGACAGAAATTCAGCCAGCAGACTAACAGCAGATATCTATTTGGCACGAACCGGGTCATAAGCAGAGTAATGGATCATCTTAAAAAGATATATCAAATAACCGGAGACATGCCATTCTGACCAACTGGGAGTTTCAACGAAGGTGGATATCTTTACCGGACGACTGACTCGCGGCATGGATGGTTGATATGCACGCCCTGGTGTGGAATATCAAAAACACAGGAAGGCCATTGTCGAGCAACATGGGCCTATATAGGGATCGAATTTGAATAGAGACGCCATTTTGAACACTGCAACAGCATCGGGCGCTTGCAGGCAACCTATCAGATGATGTTTTTGGTTTAGTATCAAGATCAGAAGCAAGGAACTCGTCCTTGATTGACCCCTAAAACAGGACAAAACCCTCTAGGTTTCCCGGGAAAGATTTGGATACTGAAGATATCTAGGCAGCGATTTGGGTTCTGCGACATAATAAGGGACAAACTAAGTAGGTACCCATGGAGGAATGGAACTGGCATGCTTGAAGGCATACCATCGGGTCTTTGGCACGAACAAGCACAAAAGAGTGGCTGGGTGATGCAGGGTAAGAGGCTTTCACGTCTTCGGCATTATGACTCCGATGAAATAATTATTTGAAATTGAGCAATCTCTATATAATCTGAGGATGGTTATTAGCGATTCTGGTTTGAAGTTAAAGTATCACTTATAAAGAAACTATTACTATGAAAGTCTCAATGACTCCAAGCCAACCGCCTGGGAAAGGAAGATCTAGATTCGCGACTTCGCTAGGGCCAAGATATGTCCTTGAACTTGCTGATCAATATGAAATGGTTCGTAATCAATCACTCTTGTGACTACCTGACCGCCGAGATATCGGAAGATTTGAATCTGTGCTCCAAAATATCCCGCTTTCGTGCAACAGATCTAGGTAAGAGATCCAACCAGGAAGTCGCTACAAGACCGGTATAAGAATCGCAAGTGTTATAGTCGGGCCATTTACAGAGGCTAGTGAGTTGTTGATAATCCTGTTATTGGAGCAAATTTAAATCAATCCACAACCTCGGGAAGAATATTGAGGCCATACACAGTAAAGAAGAGAACAATCGCCAGTAAATCTCCTGATCACCAGGACTCGACAAACTCAGAAGTGTATGACCCCAGACAAGACTCCGACCGCCATTGCAACGTAGCTGCAACACAGTGCGTAGAAATACGAATGTGCGTGGGTTTACAACTAGCACATTCCTTCGGTCCCAACCAACAGACCTACATGGTAACTACCCCGCGCAATAAGGAGTCATTATTCTGAAGTAACGGGTTCCTACATCCCAACACACCCAGGTAGATTCTCGCATCGCACGATGACCCGACTCCAAGATTTTGCCGCCCACCAATTCGACTACATAATCATCGGCGGCGGCACCGCTGGCCTCGTACTAGCACGCCGACTGAGCGACCGAGCAGATCTCTGCGTCGGCGTCGTAGAAGCAGGACCGGCAGCTCCAGAAGAGCCGGCGATCAACATCCCCGGTCGCTACGGGGAGACTCTGGGCGGTAAATATGACTGGAAGTTCGAGACGACCGAACAGCCCGGCCTCGACGGACGCAGAGTTCCATGTCCACGAGGCAAAGTGCTAGGGGGCACGAGTGCGCTGAACTTCATGGCGTGGAATCGAGGGAACCGGGAAGACTACGATGCCTGGGCAGAGTTGGGGAATGAGGGATGGGGATGGGAGGATCTTTTGTAAGTCTTTTGTGATGGAGAATTGACCTGTCCCGTGGGCTTATGAGATGGTAGACCATTTTTCAAGCGCAGCGAGACGTTTCACGCCCCGGACTCATCTCATCAAGAGTCGTGTCGTTCGTATTATCAGGCCGATGTCCATGGGGTCAATGGACCGGTGCAGACAACGCATATCAGGGAGTATGGACCGGCACATCAATTCTGGCATGACACGCTGAACAACCTCAACGTGGAAACGAGTCCCGACAGCCTGGGTGGCAGGAATTCCGGCGCCTGGAATATGGTCTGTTCGATTGACCCGGTCAAACAGGCGCGCAGCTACTCGGCCACTGCGTATTATTATCCCATCAAGCAGCGACCGAATCTTGTGGTTTTGGAGGCGACGGTGACAGAGATTATCTGCGAGAGAACGGAGGACGATTGGCGAGCAGCGGGCGTTCGCGTTCGCTGTGATGGCAAAATCACTGACATTCCAGCGTCTAAAGAGGTAGTTCTCTGCGCTGGAAGCATCCAGTCGCCACAATTACTGGAGTTGTCGGGAATAGGGAGTCGAAGTGTTTTGAATGCTGCAGGGATTCCAATCAGAGTCGAGAATCCGAATGTGGGAGAGAACTTACAGGATCATATGAGTGCGTATCATTTCCCTGTAATGAGAAAGAAATCCTAACCAAGCAGTGACTGCCACGATATTCGAAATCGACCATTCGCTGCCAACGCGAGATGACATCCTCAGCGACGCCGAGTTGCGCAAATCCGCCAATAATGAGTACGCGACATCTCGTACCGGCCCCTGGACAATCCTGCCCTGTTCAATCGCGTATTGCCCCTTGTCTACATTTGTCTCACCGGAGGAACTGTCGTATTTTCGATCACGAGCACTATTGATAGCACAGGAAACAGGCCACCCGCGAGATGAGATTTTAGCCCGCCAGTTCCAGGCCGATGCCCACCTAGGACAGATTGAGTATTTGTTCGATGTCGGAAACTGGAGTCCATTCTTCCAATCGGAACCGAGCAAAAAATATGGCACGATGCTGCAGATGCTGCAGTATCCATTCTCCCGGGGATCTATTCATATACCACCTCGGTCAGGGGGCCGGACAACGGCCGATGACCATCCAACAATTGATCCGCAAATTTATCTCGGACCGGGCGAAATCGATCGGAAAGTTATGACCATGGCGCAGAAGTTCGGAAAGACAATATGCGAGACAGAGCCCCTATCAAGCATGATGCAGGCCCGAACGGCGCCGCCGGACGACGACTATGACCGGTTTGTGGTGCATAACACGATCACCGACTGGCATCGTGAGTTCCTCGGAACCATTCGTTCATTCCGACGCAGGATCATCACTGACGAGAACACAGCCATTGGAACGTGCGCGATGGGCGGAAAACAGGGCGACAAGGCTGGCGTGGTGGATCATCGACTGCGGGTATACGGGGTCCGAGGACTCCGCGTGGCCGATGCAAGCGTGATGCCGTTGCAAGTTGGCGCTCATATTCAGGCAACCGTATATGCAATCGCGGAAAAGGCGGCGGCGATGATTCTGGACGACATCGATCGGAGTCCGCGGGCTGGTAAAGCTTGATTTCGTTAGGTAACTAGACCAATGCTGATTGAACCCTTTTTAGCGTGACATTAGTTCAGATTGCTTGACTGTAACCCCGTCGAAAGGGCTGAATCAATATTATAGACTGTTAGAAGGAGTGTTTCTGCATTTTATACGCCCAGAGAATACAAGGGAAATGTCCCTGCTATCGCTCACAATGCGAGATGTCAAGGAGACCAGCCATAGACGAAAATAGCACGACGCAACAAAGAAGGTTGCAACTTAAACCGAAAACCAAGCAAAGCGAACGAAGAACCCTTCGGCGGGAGGTTTACTGCATTCATCGTAGCGTCTGGCCCACCAGGCTCAATTTTCCAATTGCAATTGCAGTTCCATGGCGCGCATCCGGACTGATCTCATACTCCACTCGGGCGGGTCGGGCTGTCCGTTGGCCTAGAATCCCTTTGCAAGGCTTGGTGCGTGAGCTTAATTCTGCTGCCTGAACTGCTTGCTGCAAGGGTGACATGTCCAAAATGACAGAGGGCTAGATGGCTGATGCTGGCTGCTTGTGTCACCATCCTTGACGATCTCACACAAAGAATAGGGTAGGTTCCAAATCTGTTGGTTGTAAGGGCAAAAGGATAGAGAGGATCAACGGAACAAGAGGAAACGACAGGATCCAAAGGATGAAGAATGAGGGAACCCAGTGGGTACACCCTGTTCCCTTGCAGCGCGTATCCCTCCGAATTCCGACCAAATGTTAGACCTAAATCCTGCATCCCGTCGGAATGAAATGACACGAGACAGCCTGAGACTAGTAGGCCAGCGCCACCCGGCGTACTGAATGCGACTGCCTAGGATTTGCAATATCTGCTCGTAACAGGGGTCCTGATCTGGCTAGTGAGAGCAGATGTTCGTTACAATATATAGGAGTTGGGTCTTTCCGCGCGTGGGCCGTTTCCGGTTCAGCTGCGTCATGCTTTGTTCAGTGATTTCGAAGGGGTCTGCTGATCATCATTGACCTTTCTTCTTGCAATCTCCTGCTTCTTCATTGTGCAATTCCTCTGTTATCACCTCTGCGCGTCGGCGAGATGGCTGTACCGCCATGCGAGGACAAGCGGCCTGTCAAGCCAGCCAAGGGTAGGACCAAGCAGCCAAAGCAACACAGGACCACGAAAAAAGCGTTACTGCTTGACAGCGTTGGCCCGCAATTGCTGAAGACGCTTAATTCATATCCCAAACCCGATACCTACAATCATAACTGTGGATCACCTCCAACCGACAGTTCCTTTTTCCTTCAACCTCGCCCCTCAAGGCTTAGTCGAAGCGCCAGCAGCGATAATGGCAGAAGCGACAGTAGCGATACCCTCGTGGACCATGATTTGGGATCAGATACGACATTCGAACATACCCCCAAACAATCGAAGTACCCAATATTGCGCGAGCGCCGAAGTCTGCCGTTCCTAAAACGCAAGCCTCAACCCAGCAGACGCATCCAAGACTACAACCCCGACGCCAATACACGACGCATTATCGAATACCTGGCGGCACGCTATGGCACGGTATCACACATGGGTATGCTAGATCGTAGTTATCGGTTCTTCCTGAACAAAGCCCACACCGCCGCTCTCTGCTACAAAATACTAAACCACGTCGCCATCGTCAGCGGTGATCCTCTTTGTGAATCCAGCCAAATCGACAACATCCTCGACGAGTTTACCAGCTACCGAAAAAAGCATTCGCTAGACCTTGCCTTCATGGGAGCCAGCGAATCATTCGCCAAATACGCGCGCCAACGGAACTGGAACACTATGCAGTTCGGGGTCGAGCGAGTGCTCAACCCTCGCACCAACGACGTCCTCCTCGAACGTAGCAGCAAGCGAGTCATCGTGCAGAACCGCCAGCTCCTGAACCCGCAAAAAGGCGGCATAACCCTCGGCGTATACGTCCCTGCCTCCGGCGAAGACGCGCGGTTTCAATCGGAACTGATGTCCATATACGACGCATGGCGCGAGCAACGCAACCAAAGCGCCACGACATCACAAGCCTTCATCACAGTATATAACCCATTCGACTTCCCCAAACTGATGACGTTCATATACACGCGGGCCTCCGACGGTACGGTGAACGGATTCGCTGCGCTCCGTCGCATCGGCACAAACAATGGCTACCACATCGATCCGTGCATCGCAGCACCCGGCGCACCGAAGGGGATATCCGATCTCCTGACCTACGCAGCGATGGCGCTGCTTCACCACGGCGATATTTCCTACCTCAGTCTCGGATACGAGCCACTACCCGAACTAGGAGAGGTTACAGGGATGTCGTCGACGTTGGAGCGACTCACTCGATCTTTATATCACCACACTTATCAGCGACTACCAATACACGGAAAGAAAGCATACCACGACAAGCTCCGCCCGGACGCATGTCAGGAGTCAGGCCTTTATGTGATCTTCCCGGCTGGGATGCCGGGTGTGCGACAGATGGTTGCGATGGCGCACATGGCCAATATAAGTATCCGAAAACTTGTTCGGACGAAGGGTGATTCGCCGCCTGTCGACTCAGCGAGACAGAGTGAGGTGAAAGATGAAACGTAGCGTCGGGTAGCTCTTGGTAGCTGCTGGCCAGCTTATATTTGTGGATTCTGTATTCGATAGATTATGCTAATGGGCACTCGGAGTAGGACGGTGGGAAAGGACTCTTGTATCTTATGGGTTGCCGGTTTATTTTGATTTTCTGTTCGAATATCGTCTCATATAGAACTTTTATAATTTTTTTTATTGTTTTTTAATTGAGTTTTAAATAAAATTCTAATCTTGTTAAACTGTTGTAATAAACCCGACTGATATTCATGATGGGCATTTCAATCCGTGATTGAGAGGACACACATCAAATGCTCTCTGTCAACGTGAATTTCTCAAACGTGTCGACTTAGACTAGGGACGGAGAATGCAGAGGTCCACAATTAGCGTAGTCGGGTTGGAGACTGTCGAACATCCATGGTCCTAAGTAAATCATCCGGGGTCTAGAAGCTTGTAAATGGCGGAGAACAACGGCGCGGATAAGGATGCGAACCAATAACATCGCCATCTATGTAAGGTTGTAGGGAATGACGTCCTCGACTCTCGGGATGGAACGGACATGTCAATAAAACCGACCATTGTCAAGCACCATTGTACTCATGTGGACCGTCTCATGACGCACGGTCGTCTATCGACAAATACTTAAAAGGAAGCACACGGTGTCGAAAGTGGAGGAACAAGTTCCAATATCTCGAGCAGAAGAATATAACATCCAACCAGATACGCCACCATCATGCCCGACCGTAAGCCCACGCGATTAATCTACCATTAAGGATTATACTGATTATTGAGACCAGAGTCGCAAGAACCCCACCAAAGCTTCATGGACAAGATGTTCCATCACCACCAGACCCGCCAGAACCAAGAACGGCAGCAGCAACAGCCGCAGCAGCAGGGGCAAAGCCAGATGCAGGACCCAGAGAAGCACGAGAGTGAAATGGATAAGTTCAAGGATTACATCGAAGAAGATGAAGAAATGGAGCGGGAGCAGGGCTCTTATGGAGGATTAATGTAATTATCGGAGCGTGAGCTATGATATTATCTGTGGACATAGTTATTGGTGATGAAGGTTATGTTATGTTGTCGGTGGCCTGGACTGCCATTTATGAAAACGGGATATTTTTACAATGAAAAACCAGGGTTATCATTCTGATCTAACGTTAATAGCCCTGCCGATTAGTATTTAGTAAACCAATCGTAATAGGGAAAATGTCAATCAACTTACTCGTGAAGTACATGCTACTTGGGAATGTCCAAGTACCACTGTTAGCAACACACGTTAGATGGAGAAAATGTGTCCCTATTAATAGCTCTTCAGCGACCTCTCTATGCTTCTGGGGTAATAGAAGCACACGGATTCGCGAGTTGTGACAAACGCTCGTTTAAGCAAGGCATTATGACCAGTGTATGACCTCGTTATGTTTAATTAATTTGCATACCTTTCTCTCAAGGAAAGGAAATGAACGGCCCTGATTGGGGCCGATCAGCGACAGCCACCAGGACATTGTGGGTCTTTCTATTCATGACTATGACGCTCACCAACGTAATCCGATATTTGATCACCAGCTATCATGAGAGTGCATTAATGTGTAAAGTAGAGAAAACATCGCTCTGGAAGATAGTTCACTTTATGCTCTTCTAATTGGCGCATATATGCATTAATCATTAAATCGTAAGCCGAGGCGATCAGTACTCCACGCCACTATGCTTCATCATCAGCCTCTTCCTCCGTATCACTTGTTAGATCCAGGTCATCCCACTTGGCAAGGAAATTGTCCAGCTCCGCGTCTCCGAGATCTTTCTCTCCCTGAACAGTGACCGCGAAGTTGGGATATAAGCTACTGAACCGCTTTCTATCACGCTGCTTCCATGACCGCGATCCAAATTCGAGAAATAGACTGCGCGTTGGGGAAGGGAGCACAATTCCTTTTAGTCGAGCAGTAAGTTGAATGAGACGTAGCATTCCCTTGGCCAGAAGCCATCGCCGGGAGAGGGCGCAAAGAATGATACACAGGTCTATGAACGCTTCGGCATTCTCGTCGTCATCTAGGCCCTCTAGGAGACTGAACAAGGCAACAGTGGCGTATTGTGCGTAATTCATCGGCATCCAGTTTGTCGTCCATCGGAAGCGGTGCGAATTGAGAAGATCACGGATGTGTCGTGCCGCGGAATGCCGGAGATACTGTGCATTGTCAATCGATACCACCTGTTCATTAGGGTCTGGTGGGGGTTTGATAAATCCAAATATCGTCGCGATGGCTGCGTGGTACTTCATACTGCGTGGTATTAATAAGCGATATGCCGGTGTAAGCGTGAATATCCTTACTGCATGTCCATCGCCGCGGGTGTACTCTCGTTTCCGAGACTGACGCATTCCGGGATGTGGAGAGACCATTGCTTGAGATTTCGGTAGAAAGAATCGACCATAGCTTCGACATCGCGATAGAGAGGCGATAGATGATCTCCGTAGAAAAAGGTGGCGATATCGGATATGATCAATTGAAGGTCCACCAACGCTGGCATCACACAACGTACATGCTCTGGGACTGGAGGATCACCTGGCAGAGGATAAGGCACCCATGCAGCGTTCTGACTGTGATCGCCAGGCGAAGGTTTCAGCTGGGGCTTGTCCATGACTGCCGGCTGCTGGAGCATCATGGTAGCGGTTCTGATGAAGGAGGTCAGACAATGCCATTCTACCTGCGGAAGAGATTCCACTGACGAGATAAGGTTAAACAAACCGAGAACTGTGGTATTGAACACTCGTACAGATTCCTCCCGGTGCTCTGCTTTCGCTATAAAATGGGGCCTTCGGGCGAGGATCTGGCGAGTGCTGTCACCCACCTCCACCAGATATTTCCAGCCGAGCCTATCTTTGCCCATCATACACGAGCTTCGGGATGGTTAGATCAGAGTCTGAACAGTCTTGCCGATCCAATGATACCTTGTGTACAAAGCGCCGAGACCTTGGGCGTTCGTCAGGCTGACTTTACCTTCCTGCTGGCCGAGGAGATGCCTGGCCTCGTCATAAAAGTGCAGACCCTTGGACGTGGGATCGCCATACGTTGCCATCGCCTCGGGCCAGTCAGAGAACCACTGTCGAACACCGTATTAGTCCAGTATACTAATGAAGGCCGGTTCGCCTTTCTTACGCAGGCAACAGCAAGAATAGCATTGACGAGGAACGGAGAGCAGAATTCCGACTCTAGGTTCCCTGATTTCATGGCATCTAGAAACACGTCGCGATCAATCCAACTAAGAGCTTGGTGCTCCCAGGAAAAATAAAGCGAAACCAGATGCGACACAAAGTCGTTATCATAGGTCACGGACGTCCAGGGGTGGGCTGGGACACGGTAGAGAGGGTTATCTGTTAATCGCTGGATATTCAACATCGTGCGACGAGCGCGGGGACTAGGAAGAGGTGCGGGCAGGACGTCAGCATCGTGCTTGTCGGAAGGCGAGGAGCTTTCGGTCGAGCTGTCAGGCTGTGTTGGGCTGATCACGAACGATCGAATCTCGTCAATCGAGGCGTCGCTGCGGATGAGGTTCATCGTGTCGGAGACTTGACGCCGGTCCTCATCGCGAAGAGAGTCCACCAGTTGAAAGAGCAGCTGTTGATCCTTCTCCAGCATCTCGATGCGACGTTTCACCATAATCTTCCGCCTTTCGTCGCTGGTTTCGTCGACCACGCAGGGCGACTTGGTCTCGAGACACCGCTGGCAAGGGATGCCGCCGAAACACTAGACAGACTTCCGATCAGCGCAAGGATGCAGGATGGCTGCGATTCAACGGGCGTACTTTAGTCTTCTTCTGCTGACATCTGACACACGCCCTGGAGACATTGTGTCGCTTGGGGAGTTGGGACGTCGACACGGAGGTCGAGCGCTGGAAGGTCGGGGCGAGCGGTCGTTCGCGAGGATGGGTCATCATGCACAGATTATCGCGCAACTGAAATCCGGTCGGAAGTTCACGGGGGCGACCGTAAATAAGGCCATGCTGGAGGCTGAAATGGCGGAAAAAATACTATATCCGAAGCTGGTGGTGTGTTGGGCGGGCCATGAGACGTCTACAATAAATGGATCTGCAGCGCGCTAACGGGCTAAAGCAAGATACTTGAGCATAAAGCCGGTTTATCAGGGCCGACTTCTCACGGGCCTAACGAGAATACCCCAGCCAGCACCCACTTGGTGTATTCCATGCATCTCTTGTTGACCGCTTGCTCATTGACGAAATTCAAACGGTATGAAAAAGGCAGGGTTAAGAATGTGCCGGATTAGCGAGCGCTCATCACTGTTCGTCAATGATCTTACTGTCGTGTCTTGTCTTTTTTTTTCTCCCTCTTTGTCCTTTTTTTCTTTTTTCACTAGAGACCATTTATGCCGTCACTCTACCGTTGGAGGTGAGGCCTTGTTGGCAGCGTTGATTGGGGTGAAGTATGTATGACCTCATTATGCTAGTCTCTAAGCCCCCGCTTATCGGGAAATCCGCTCAAGACTACTGGAAGAGAAGACCGGATCTGTTCTCCGGAGTGGTGGTAGCTCTTGGTTGCGAAGATCCTCTCGAGAGGCCCGCTCACACGCGTCTGGCGAATAATATGTTCTTAGGTTGCTTCATTCCAAATAGAGATTATCCTACGCAGAGTGTCGCCCCGTGCCGAAGGGCTCTTTGCCACACCCCACAAGGTACACTGCAAACCCACCGTTCTACCACACCGACAGCACGGTAAATACCCTAATGAGTGATACAATGCTATTTATTGAGGGTTTCTCACTATGTTAAGCAGCCCGAATATCAAGCCAGCCGTGGTGGCAGTATACTAATTGTTCGACAACCGGTGTGAGCTTACCTCGCAAATGTCTCCTACTGCTAACTGATGGCTAGAAACCGTAACACGAACACAGTTCATACTGCAATGCTGCGCTGGCAGGCTATAGACGATGGCACATACCCCTGCTCCAACGCCGTGTGACTTGGCTTCGCTTCTACTCTCAAGACAGCCACTTCCTTGCGTGAATGTAGATTCTGCACTTTACTATGCGGATGCAGTTTGTCTGCGCTAGAGAATTATTTATAGCAAACACTGAGTAGGAAAAGGCCTTCATCCGTGCTTTGATAGACCTCCTGTATATCCTTGGTGCTCATAATAGTACTCTAGCCTCGTAAGGCCACTTAGACAGACTCAGCATGATGGCGCCTACCTCCTATGGACTCCTAGAGAGTAGCAACCAGACCAGAGGCCGATAGTCTGGTCCCAGTGCAATGCTGCAGTCTTTTTGCGACGCTAGTACCAATAGTAACAGCACATGAGCTTTCCGGAACTGTGTTCCACAAGGGCCATGCAAGGCGTTTCAATCGCAACTGCCAATTGGACCACGAGCTTACAGGTCTGCTGACCTGTTTGACAAGATGGCTGCAGATTCCAGTCTATAAGGCCCTTGCTCCTTCGGGCCCGGCATTCTGCAGTCCACAGACTCCTTCATAATACACCTTCGACCCACAAGGCTGGTCACACAGGGGCCGCCGACGCGAACCCATCATTCCTCCCTTGCTCGGAACAACACCGTTATCATGTCAGACCATCTTAGCGAGGCAAGCGCACCCTCCGGGACGCCAAAAAAGTACCCAATTCCCGGACTCAAGAATGGACAAAAGCAAGAGGAGAATGTATACTTCGCCGAAGAGCTCAAGGGATGGAGCGGATATATCGAATGGGAACGGTATCCTGCGAAGAAAGCAAGGGCAGCTCAGATCCTAGCTAAATATCAGTTTATTGATGTAAGGCTCCTGTTGCCTGCGTCCTCACTGGTCCGCCGAGTGCTGACCGACAACAGCCTCCCGAGTTCCAGCTGCTTCCCCTGCCCAAAGCAAACCCCGTACTGGACGGGATTCGATTCAAGCAGTATCATGCCGTGCTTGGACCAACGCTGCGAGACGTCCCCAACGAGAGCTGGAGGACGGTGCTGAAGGAGAAATCCCCGGACATGATCCACCTGCTTCAGTTCCCGTATAATGGAGAGCCACCACGGGTGAGCCATGTCGTCTATGGGGGTCAATCCCACTAACGACCAGGACAGGACCGCCTTGTCGCGACCGAGATAACCTCGAATCAAGACTTCTTCGTTCGCAACCACGGCGGGATCCCGGACATCGACGCGAAGGAATTCAAGCTCGAACTCGGCGGCCTAGTGAACCACCCCCGTTCATTCACCCTGAAAGAACTCCAAGACGAATCCCTCTTCCCTCGACAAACGAACGTCGTGACCATCCAATGTTCCGGAACGCGCCGCATCGAGCAGATTCACGAGTATCCTGGCGACGGCGACGAACTGATCAACGCGCCGTGGGGGGAGGGGGCGATCGGGAATGCGCGCTGGACTGGCGTCAGCCTGAAGAAAGTCATCAAAGCCTGCGGTGGGCTCAAAGAGGGGGCAAAACACATCGAATTCATCGGGGCAGAGACATACGTCAAGAAGGGCCAAGTCTTCAACTATGCGGTGTCGGTACCCTGGCGGAAAGTCAAACTGAACGAGGTGTTGCTGGCGTGGGAAATGAACGGCGAGCCCCTGCCTCGCATCCATGGATTCCCACTACGCACTGTTGTATTCGGATACATCGGGGCGAGAAGTTGCAAATGGCTCTATCGAGTCAACGCGTTGAAAGAACCGAGCGAAGGCCCCGTCCAGAAGAAAGAGTACCTCTATTATAGCCCGCAGATGGGAAAGCACAATACCACGTACTCGAACGGATTTTCGATTCAAGATATGCCCGTATCCAGCGCCATCATGACGCCCGTGGACAAGGAGGTGATCGTACACGACGGACATATTCGGCTTCACGGCTGGGCGTATAGCGGAGGGGGACACTGGCCGGAGCGGGTGGAAATCTCGGGGGATGGAGGATCGATCTGGTATGAGGTTCCGCAGGCGAACTGCTCGACGAAGTATTACTATGGCTGGCGAATCTGGTGGTATGATTTGCCGGTGGACGCGGAGGGCTGGCTGGAGCTGGTTGCGCGAACATGGGATAATGCGCTGAACACACAGCCGACATTTGTGCGGTCCGCATGGTAAGCTATAATTTTGAATACACTGTGAGCTCGACTAACACAAGCGTTGAGGAATTGGGGTCTTCATGTCACATCCAGGTATGTCATCTTCATCGGATAAGAGAGTCGACGGTTAACCCGGAGACAGTTGCCACCGCGTGAAGGTCTACAGCGTCAATAAAACCAAACCGGCGACAGCTCGTCGCATGCAGGAGCTATTGATGCACGGACGAGGGCTTACCCCCATTACCCTTCCCCTCGAGTTCGATCTGGAGACCGACGAAGCATATAAAACCACCATGGAAAGGGATCGGGGACGGGATCCGTTGGAATAGTGAGGCAGTCCGTTGAAAGCGCCGGCAGTATCACACTCGTACTGTTTTTATTCTGCTCGGGCTTGAGATTATGAGCTACAGTTGGAAACGGTCGTCTGACTCTGGAACTACCGGGCTAGGCAGAGTCCATGCAGAGAAATACGGTGGCGCCTTTCCATTTTGAGCGTGCATTTAGTGAGATGAGGCAAATCCCTTCATCGGAATCTGATTCCGAGGGAGGTAGCCGGATTAATAGTTTATCTTCATGGCGGTAGTGATTGGTCCCTGCATTGACCCCCTTGCGTCGACTCCAGGATGTTTAGTTGATCCTCGGTTACGGTCTGCAGAACAAGGAAATTTTCTCACCGGTTCATTGGGAACTGACTCATGGTTTTATTTTCTGCACTAGTTCCTTCTTTAATTTTGTTTTTCTTTTCGTTATAGGGACATTTGCTTCGTGATTCCTAACGGAAGATCCAGTCTCAATGTCAATTATAATCCACAAATTTGGCAGTATCATATGTCGCGGGTAGAAAATGGATGTATCAAAGAAGAAAAGACACGAGGGGAAAAAAAAGGAAAGGAAAGCCGAGAAAAGAGAAAGGGGAAAAAGGAGACTTAAATGGAGACGAAAAGAGCCGACAGAGACATCCTACGGTCTCTAGCCATTTCTCAGGGTGAAATACATCCAGTAAATCCACTATGGCCCCCATCTGGTGTGTTTTACTCTAAAGCGGCCCTCCATTGCCACGACCATGACATTCAAACAGAAGAAAAACAGACATTTCACACATGAACTCGTCACACTGCATCAGGTCTAGAAACAAACTCAGGTATGTACACGCAATGGAAATTACTGACTGCTGGCAGCTCCAGCAAATGGACATCTGGCGGCAGCAGACTCCGCGCCCTCCTTCTTGTCAATCTGGCGAAACATCTCCAACGGATCGAACCAGACATCAATGCTCTCGAGCTGCAACTTGTCATTCACCTTGGCGATGACGATACCCTGGATATCCAGAGTCTCGCCATGGGCCTTGATCTTGACCTTCTCGGCAGAGCTAAGTGTCGTTAGCATAATCCAAGTCCCGATACCGATATGATGATCAGCTCCACTCACTCATTGAACCCGACATAATCGTTCGCCATAACACCCCAGTGTCTCCATTTGAAAATGACCACCGGAGGGCCGCTATACACCTCCGTGACCTCCCACGCAAACGTCGGCATCATGCGCTTAAACGACTTGTGGCTCTTCTCGAAGTCATTGTGCTCGGGGTCGTAGTACTTGCTGGGGGTGAGGAGGGCGTTATACGTGCCGACCTTGAGCATGTGCTCGCCAGTCTGGGGAGGGCCGCCGTTCAGCGAGAATGTGTATTTGGAATGGTCGATGGTGCGCCAGTCGGCGAGGGAGGTCTTGAAGGAGGCTTCGATTTCCCAGTTCTTGACTAGGTTCTCGACGAGGAAGGGGAGGCTGCCGGATTCGTGGAACATCGTTCGTGCTGGGGCTGTCAGTACTGGCTCATCGGTCCAGGAACAAGGTCAGACTCACTCTGCTCGTAGAATGCTCGCGTCTTGGAATAATCAGGAACCCTGCCATACCGCCACCCGGCCTCGGTGTCCTTGAGGACCGCATTAGGGTCGAGGACGTAGTCTGGTAAGCCTTCAGTCATGTTGTGTGTGTTGATAATGTCGTCTTGAGTCGAAAGAAGAAAAGAAAAGAAGGAAAGAAAACCCCCGATCGGATATGCCGGGATTTATAGGCGACCGAATCACAGGCACGATAGCAGTAATCCAAGAGCCACGGCTGGATCATCCAAACAGCCGCTAGGTAGACACCCATGTCCAACGTTGCAACGCCACTGCATTGGATAATTAAGATGGGAACGCTAGCGTGGGTATCTCAATACAGACAGCCACGACCGTAATCTAGACCTCTCTCACAGCCCAGGTAAGCAAGGCGATAATCTAACGCGTAGTCATACCCTTAGTCCTTTGTGCGCCGTGGCTCCGTTAAGCAATTCTCAGAACCTTAATGACGATCGATCCGCAGATGACAGGGAGTTGAAACGCAAGATGCAGGCATCAACATCCAGGGCGCATGGGGATTATGAAGTCTGATATTCTTGGAACCCCACGCTCAAATTCAAGTGGAGAGGAGGCGTAGTAACCGCTTGGCGAGGTATTCGGGGATTGCTATGTCCATGTTTTAATCTATTTAACTCTCGCGGATCGAATTGATGTGGACTATTCCGTACGGAGCAGTCCGTGCCAGCCTATCACCCGAGGGACATTACGCTTGTGCTGATATTGGGGCTGCGATCGATAGGAGATTGACCCATATGGTATAGCACTAGTCCCTGGGCTAGTCGGTTGAACGAGATTATGACCTACGATGAGCCTCGGCTCCGAATTATAACCCAACTTGCACTTCGAGGATCAGCAAAACAATCCATTCTTGCATACTAAACAGGCATTAAACCAATTTAATCCACTGACATCAAGAGAAACTAGATGAATCAGAAAAATACACAAATCATCTCTTGGCAGGTGGCGATAACTGCTAGTAAAAAAGTCCCCAAGTCCGATGACGCCCAGAACATCCCCCGCCACCCACTCCAAGAGGCCACATAAACAAATCCATCACAGAGCATTCCGTACCCCGTAGAATACCATTGTTTGCCACGGTTTCCCACAAGCCTAAATCCCACCGGAGAATCTGCCTGCATGCGCCAAAAAGCCTGGACTCTGGGCTGCAGCGAGGCTTGGCGAACTACCCTGAATGGAGGCACAGGCGCGTTCTATCGGAGATCCAGGCGGATTTTCCGTCCAGCCCGGGGAACGGAGACCTTGGTCCGGGCGTGTCGCTAGGACCAAAGCCCTTAGCGTTTAATATAAATTAATATCGATTCATTGAGTGCGTCCGGGCAACTTCTTAGGGCTCCCGAATTGGCCAATCACGGCCTCGCATCGGCGTTGGAGAGCGGGATTTTGGAGCGGCGATTCCGGTGGTCTGGCACTAAGGCATTGGCTGCATGCGGCGTAGGAGGTCATTAATTTGTGCTGGCCTAGACGATGGCGACGAGATAGTTCTCACTGTTCCGAATATGAAGGGTTGAGGGAAGAAAATATGGGATATCTTTGCCCTACGTGTAGAGAACTGAGAGCCATTTCAGAAAACTTGACTTGTTGGAAAGGAATACTTGACTTAACAATGAAATCTGAAGGCACATCTGACCGATAAATCCACGGTCCCAAAAAGGCGCCTGAAATAAACGACCGAAAACGAGACTTAGAGACGTCTTTCCATGGATTCCGAGACAAGAAAATGACAGGGCATACGTTGTTCAGCGAATATTTCTTTCTGATAGTTACTGTGATATCCTCAGCGAGAAACAAGCTGTAGAAATAGATAGAGACCTTATGCTTTTGATCGATAGTTTTAGGAGGCAGAGCTTCCCGACGAACAAAGAGGCTTCTAATTACAATCTTTTGTCCGGTCTTCTACGAAACCCCCGAAATATCGTTGGTAACCGTGGAATGTTAACTCTTGATCGTAACCTACTCCGTAGAGTTGATCATCACTATATACCTGCGCAGTGCTCTATGGCAGCGTTGACGGGGGCAGATCAGCATCCAATGCATCGAACCTCAGAGGCTAAACTAAAAGAGGAAGACAAATGCCACGGATACCCCTGTAGCATCATTCGGCGTCAATGCACACAAGCATAAGCTTCCGGTACCTATGTAGCCGACGAACTCCACTGTCCACATGGGCAATGACCATGGCAAGGAGACGCGAAGTATTCTAACGGCGCCAGCCCTGTCAGGGCCAATGAAATCAGAAGCGAGATTCAAGCCAGTGCAAGCAAGCTAAGTTTATGCGGCACTCGAAACTGCATGAAATATGCCACGATTTATATCTCTTAAGCCAATTGTACGTGCAGATTTGTGATGACCCCCGGCTCTATCTGTATCATCCCCGGATCTGATCCTGCATCATGGCAGGCTGATCCCAATCAATGATCATCGCAAGAAAGAGTTTCCGACAACCGCTCGGGAGACCCAGCAGAGTGATAAATGTTTTATCGACGCAGCTTTGGGCCTAAAATCAATTGCGCTACTTCTGTATGCGACGCTAAAATTCTGCTACCTAAGCTTTACACGCATCTTCGTTGGACAGCGGCATTGTATTGGCGTGAGAGAGTGTCCTTTGAGAGCAATTGAATAGATTCAGGAAGAGCTTATGACACTGTCTCTCGGGGAAAATAGTGGTGCCATATGGTGGCAGAGTTCCTTGACGAGAGAAACAATATTTTTCTATTTGTGAGATTTGATACTTCACACTAGTGAATCAGTATGCCCTTTCTTTTCACTTCTTTTTATCCCCCTATCTTTGAACACGAAACCGGATGAGCCTTTTGTAAGTCCGCCTGTATATATTTCCAGACTTTGCCAGGAATTTCACCAACTGCAACTCAAATAATCGACTATATAGGATTACTTTCGATCTTCGGGGCATGACACCAACCTTCCAATCAGCTTCAAGTTCTAAAAGGTCTCTTGTTCCCAGACAACTGATTCCGATGAAGATGGACCCTCATGGTTACTGTGAGCGCAACATGCACAATATTCACAAGATGGATAATCGGGCGGGACCCACTTATGCCGCAATCTATGAAGATGCACCGATCGGCGGGACAAACAATCCGGGCACAAGAGACAAGAAGCAATATTTATTGAGGGTGTTCTCTTCAAGTTCAGAAGTTCTCAACACCAAAACGAGTACTCTTAACTCATCGAAAACTTTATCGCAAGCTTCAGCTTCAAAATGAGCCACCCCAAACTAATCTTCGGCGCCGCTTCCTTCGGCATGAACTTTCTCAGCACCGAGGAAGTCCAAGAAGTCCTTGATTTCCTGAAGCAGAATAATATCATGCATCTTGATACAGCCGGCAGATATCCTCCTACTTCACCCGGGCGCTCAGAGGAGCTGATAGGAGAGACCAAGGCCGCGAGCCAGGGTTTTACAATTGACACCAAAATTCTGACGCAGACGGCGAATGAAGGAGGGGATATGGAGCGTAGTGCGGTTGAACGGTCGATTGAAACCAGTCTGCGGCGTATCGGTGTTGAGCAAGTATGTCCTTTCGCAAATGTTGATGCTAGATGGCTAAGTAATATAGGTAAATACCCTGCACATCCACTGTCCAGACTTTCATACCCCACTCGAAGAGCAGGCCAGGACTATCAATGATTTATATAAGGCTGGTAAGTTCAAACAGGTTCGTATATATATCCGAGACTTTTAATTTCCGCTAATATGGATTGACAGTTTGGTGTGTCCAATTTCCAGCCAGATCTGCTCCAGGAATTTCTCGATATCTGCGATGCAAACGGTTACGTGAAGCCGAGCGTCTACCAAGGTGACTACAGCGCTGTAAATCGTGGAATGGAGAGAAAGCTTCTCCCCATTCTCAGACAACACAACATTTCTTATAATGCGTTTCGGTAAGGCGCCATTCTAACACAAGCGCCAAATAATCTAACAGTCCGCTAGTACCCTGGCCTCCGGATTCCTTTCTGGCAGATTAACCCACGGAACGACAGAAGGCACTCGCTTTGGCGCATCTAGTTCTTTGGGGACATTTATGCAAGGACTGTATGATCAAGAAGGATTGCATAGCTCATTGAGAAGACTGGAGATCACGACGGAATCTCTTGGCATCACTACTGTTGACGCAGCACTGCGATGGGCATATTATCATTCGGCACTGCAGAAAAGTGACGGCATAATCCTGGGCGCAAGCTCAATCAACCAGCTCAGGTCAAATTTAGAGAGCATCAAGAGAGGCCCGCTGCCTAAGGAATGTCTCCGTACATTCAATGAGATATGGATGGAGTTGGAGCCAAGTAGAGGAGATATTATTTGATGGGCTTCTGCTGGTTCTGACAACGCACACATGCAAACTCAAGTGCGGCTTTAGATAGATTGAATAAAACATTCCAGTCGAAAAATACTAGATTTCTGGAGAGATGAATACGCTTTCTCAGCATTGTCTGGCGGTGGCAGAAGGATGTGGAATGCAACCTGTCTCAAATATCGCCCATGAAAGTAGTATAGCGCATTCTAACTCACAGTTGCTGTAGGAGTGAATAGTCTTATATTTTCCTCACTGTCTTCTCAAAATTTGTGTACTGCTCGGGTTGGCGTGCTTGGAGTTGGACTTTTAATTTGCAACCCAAGTAGACATGCTCAACCCACCATGAGGAAAAGAGGAGAAAAGGGCTATATATTGCCACCAACACGGCTAAGCACTTATATATTTGAACTAGGATAAAAAAGCATTGAGTGATCGGATGCCCAGACATCGTCTCAGAAGCTAACTGGGAGTTGACGCGGTCCACCACGCTAGTCGATCAGATGACCCCGAGGATAATTGACATCATCCAACACCGTTGTTAGCAATTTGGCTGACCACGAAAGTTCCCTCCATGCGTTGAGTTCGAAATAGCATTAAAATTGGTTGCTCGCCATTTCAAAATTAAATTGACAGTGCAGTTCGTCAAGTTGAATGAGAAAATAATCTTTGGACCCATGGGCGACATCCCCGGAAAGATATAAAGCCTAGATCTGACGGAGTTTTCCCGGGTATTCCCTCTAGCCTCCATGGTACTATTGCGGAGAAAAGTGTCACCATTGCTTAGCTTTGCCGATAGGCCATTGAGAACATTAGAAAATCGCCGTGGACCTGGATGCCTTGCCAATCAGTGCCGAATACAGTATCTTGACAAACAGCCAGACTGCATGGGGCGTCATACGTGCGGGAGTGAGGATGGCGTGCCACCTTGCAGGATGGTGGAATGGACGAAAAGCCTATTTGCCTGGTATAAAACGGTGCATTGATCACTGCAATGAGTCCCGGCTGTCATCGCATATCGGGGTATTTTGATTCATCCAACTACCCGTCCCCAGTTATCACTCCGATACAATGGAGAACGACAGCGAGAAAGGTGCCGGGGTGACGGTCCAGTCCAACTCAAGGTCGGAGGAATCTGTTATCCAAGAGGGAGGAGTGAAGTACACAGCAGAGACCGGTGTCAACTCCACGGCAGTCACTTATCAAGATGCTTCGGGCGCACCGGTCGAGACAGACTCGCCGTTAGGATACTCCGTTAGCTTCTGGACAAGCTTATGCTTGAACATCAATCAGATGATCGGAACGGGTATTTTCTCAACACGTCAGTTCACCCTTAATCGTCACTGAACTGGGATACTGATACTTTTTAGCGGCTACAATTCTCTCCGGTGTCGGCTCTGTCGGACTGACCATGGTTTACTGGTTTATCGGATATGTATTAGCTCACACAACGCTGGCAACATATCTCGAGCTAGCATCATACTTTCCCAGTCGCTCCGGCGCGGAAGTGGTCTATCTCGAACAAGCATACCCGAAGCCGCAATATTTCTTCCCGACGACATTCGCCGTCAAACACGTCGTGTTTTCATTCGGAAGCAGCAACGCCGTTGTGTTGGCGCAGTATCTCTTTGGCATTTCTGGTCATGAATACACCAACTGGCAACTGAAAGGTGTTGCCGTGGCAGTTTATACCCTTGCGTTTATAGGTTGGTTTGCTGACTACGGAATGTTGGAATGACGCCACGACTAACGTATGAAATAGTGGTCAGTGCGAACACAAAATGGTCCCTGCGACTAGTAGTCTGGTTCGGCTTCGTCAAAATCGCCACCCTGGTGTTGTACGTGTGTACCCTCAAGTTAGGACAAGCTCAAGACTGATCGTTCCACAGGATCTCCATCGCTGGGCTCGTAGTCCTTGGAGGACACACCAAAGTGGCCGATCCTCAGATTAACTGGCGAAATGCTTGGGAAGGAAGTTCAGAGGCAACTGCATACGGCGCCACAAATGCCATGGTCAAGCTGATTTTCTCCTATGCTGGCTATACAAACGCGTTTAGTGTTGCCAATGAAATCAAGGTACTTGATTCCGCCCCTCTCTAGCCTATCTGCGGCATGCTTCTGACCTACCTCAGAACCCCGTGAAAACGCTCCGCTGGAGTGCGCCGTTCTCACTTATCCTGGTCACAAGCTTGTATATCCTGGTCAACGTCGCGTATTTCTCCGCCGCATCGAGAGAAGAGATCCTGGCGTCGAAGCAAATTGCCGCCGGTATATTCTTTGAGAAAGTCTTCGGCTCTAATGGATCGGGACGTGCGCTGAATGTACTCGTCGTGATCAGCGCATTTGGGAACCTCATGGCGGTAATGGTCAACTATTCTCGCATGCTGCGAGAGACTGGAAGGTATGCAGCCCAGCATCGCCCTTGAAATAGTACAAAATACTCATTTCCACCCAGACAAGGCGTCCTACCATGGGGTAAGTTCTGGACCTCCACGAGGCCATTCGGAACCCCCATCGGCCCATACTTTGTGCAATGGGGCATGACGGTGATCATGATCTTGGCTCCACCTGCTGGAGACGCATTTAACTTTGGTGGGCACCTTTTTACTTTTATGGCTTCACTTTGCTAACAGGTGACAGTGGTTGACCTATCCGTCTACCCATCCAATATCTTCAACTTCCTCCTCGTCGTGGGACTGCTCATCATCCGCCGACGTCGCGCCAAACTGAACTTCCCGAGGCCGGAGTACCGCGCCTGGAACGTTGCTATTGCTTTCGCGATACTCACCAACGTCTACCTGCTCGTTGCACCTTGGTATCCCCCCTCGGGAGGTGCAAATGGTGGCGACGTTAGCTTCTGGTATGGCACGTACCTGGTGGTTGGAATTGGAATGTACGTCTCGCTCTGTCTTCCTTGGTTTTGCATCACCGGACTAACAGGGATAGGATCCTTCTTTGTGGAGTATACTACTACTTCTGGATCGAGGTACTTCCGAAATGGAAAAGATATGAATACCGACAGACGGTCGTCGATTTTGATGACGGATCCGTGGCCCATAAACTGGTCAAGGTACCGACCGCGGACTTGGTGCGTTGGGACGAGGAACACGACGCTGTCGGACGATTGCGCCATCGGACGGGGTATCAGGAGGAGAATAAGGAGAGCTATTGAGTGATGCATATCATGAGGTATTATGTCTCTTGTTAGACCTGCTGAAGAGATCCGTATGTACGAGCCGCGTGGAAAAACCCAAGCCGCAAATAGATAACAAAAAAGAGTTCAAAAGTAAATGGTACTCGTGCCTCAGGAGTTCTGATCGGCATCAGGATTCAAATGGACTTGGCGAGCTGCAGTAGCGCGGTTGAGTCATTGCAGGCACGATTGACGTGATGCATGGGATGTGATAAATAGATAGTCGGCCCGCCTGAGGAGTCCAATGTCTGATTCGCTCAGTTGAGAGGGGAATTCCGAGGTTATCAATTCATGTTAACATGGATCGTCTATCTACTACATCCCACGTCTTGGGCGAGACAACGCTAGAAAAAAGAGCGAGCAAGGTCTGTTTCAATGATCACACGCATAGGATAATGCTGAAATATTCAGGCATGCGAAATATGTCGTCAGAAGAAGATAAAATGCGACGAAAGCCAGCCTTCTTGTCGCTACTGCCGTCGCAGAAAATTGGTCTGTCATTACAGAAAGGACCATCAACCAGCGTAGGATCTTTCCAATTGGTAGAATTAGCCGATCAAATCTCTGACAGATAGGTTCAGACGTGATCCGAGTCTTCAATTAATTCTAGATCACATCAGTCAACTGAATCGCGCGTTCCAATCCATTGAAGGCCGTATGAGCCGACTGGAAGATAACATTCAGATATCGAGGTCGGCAGAGCGACCGGGGATTGAATATTTAAATTATTCAAATGTATCCACCCAAAGGAGAAGTGCAAACCCACAACCGACCGCCTCTATCCTGCGATGGGAACGAATTCGCTATATCTATCCCACCGTTTCAGGGCAATCCGCAGACCAGGACGTATACTCCACCTACGCATCAACCACGCAGCCCTCGTTCAAAAGTCTGAGTCTTGAAATCCACCCAGATGAGACAGGACAGGTGCTATTCTATACTCGATGCTTCCTGGACCTAGTCTATCCTCTCTATCCGATCATGTGTGAAGACGCACTCTATGCCGCAGTGACAGCCTGTATCAAGGATGGGTTTCAAGATAGTATTTCATCCGCGATAGTAATGCTCATGGTCTGTCTCGGAAAGCTGTATTCATCCCCTGCTAGCGTTGACGAGGCCATTGGTTATTTGAATGGCGGGGCACAACTTCTTGCCTGGATCCCGATGGAAACAAGCCTCGACCATGCACAGGCTCATGCGCTGTCGGCCATGTGTTTTGCAAAGCTCTCCATGCTCTCAACAGCGTCCGTCTATCTTCAACGTGGATCGGCTATTTTGCACCGGTTTCTTCTAGAGTAAGACTTTTAATTTTGTGAATAGAGCATGTGCTAAGTGAACAACAGGAAAGTTCTAAAGCCGCATGGAACAAAGCTTACCACGCGAACCACCAGCATCCGGCTATACTGGGTGCTACTGAACATGGAGCGGTAGGCATTTCCATTGCAATGATGCTCAAATACTAATAAAACAAGTGACCTCAACTCGGAGACGAAACTCGAATCAAGCAGCCAACTATCGGAATTAGAAGACCGCCTGCCACTTCCCTTCGAATGCATGGCCCAGGAGCCATCCACGGCCAGCCAGCTGCACAGTCCATATGCCTCCGTCATCGACTCGTGCTACTCACTCTTCCTGGCCGAGACAAGCCTCCGTCAAATCCTGTGGCGAGTGGCATGTGCCCCCGAGCTCCAGGAATCAACGGCTCATAATCCCCATCCATCGCGTGCACTGGAGGTGATTGCAGAGCTCGAAGTACAATTATCCGAATGGCTGGTTTGTATTCCCGGATCGGCCGGCTGGTCACCAGTCGCCGGGGCCGGCACGATTAGCTCGTTGAGCAGCCGGATCAAATTGCAGTATTGGCTTTGTCGATTCCATATTTACAAGGTCGCGTTATATCGCAGCTTCCAGGTGCCATATCAGATGGTCTTTCCGGAATCGATCTCGCAAACATGGACTGAGGCCACCTTGGTGGCGGCAATGAACTGTCTTTTGGTTTTTGTGTCTGAGGGCGTCGTTCCCGAAGATATCATGACAAATCGGTAGGTCTACCTTTCTCAAATTCAGAGAGTCATGCTAATATTGCCCCAGCTTACTCGCGGTTACTATTCTGTTACAAGCATCCATTCGAGTATTTGGACCCGAGAGGCTAGGTCCATGCTGCCCCAGCATGTCTACAACTCCCCAGTCGCTGATCGACAGGTCAATCGAGCGCATTCAATCTCTTTCCATCCTAAACACTGCAATCGGGACACCGAAATGGCAAAGCCGATGGGTAGCAAACTCACTACATAGCTTTCTGCAAGATATCTGCGGGGAAACAACACAATACTAGGCCTTAAGTCCATTCAGCGAATCTAGTTCTCGTTTCTCTTAGTCAACTCCCTAGCCACCAATCTAGCCTTCTCTGCCCTCGGAACAGCGGTAATTGAAGTAGGATCCTTAAGTCCCACAACCGGATCAGCAGCATCTTTGCTCTGCCCATGCATGGGATGGATCTCAAACGTGGCAATCAAATGGAATATAGCCGTGTAAACCAAACGAAATGCCAGATGTGAGGCAATGCACATGCGCGATCCATACCCAAAGGCAAACTGGTGGGTATGTTTCTCGGCATTGTCGAGCCATCTTTCCGGTTTGAAGGTCCAGGGGTCGGCGAATGCGTCGCCGTCTGTTATTGAATAAGTGCCTATCCTCGGAGTATAAATGAATGAATGGAATTGGCCTACCGCGGTTACATCCATATGCATTTAGAAACACCATAGTCCCGGGAGGAATTGCCCTTCCCTCGAAATGCACCGTCTCGGTGGTTTCTCTAGGCATGCCAAGCGGCAACACGGTGTAGACACGCATCAGTTCTTTGGTGAGGACATGGATGTATTCCACTTCTTGGGTTTCAACTTTCGAGTCGATAATAGCACCTGACCTTTGGATCTCATTGAACGCGCGCTGTTGAACATGCTGGTTATGTGCCAGAAAAAGAATTGCCCATGCGATGGTTGGCTGCGTGCTATCTGCGCCCTGTAAGATGTTAGCAAACTGCACCCACATTATGAGAAACAACAGAAACATACCGCCATCATGCTCAAACTAATACTCAGTAGCTCTTTACTTGATAGTCCCACGGACTCTGGGTCGCGCAGCACATTCCCTTGAATGCAGGGCTTATCGGTATCATATTTCACCGCTTCTTTCAATCGATTCAGCAGTTTGTTGTTATATGCGATCCGGCGCTGGCCTATTTGAGCGGAATATGCGGCAGACTTTTTCCATAGTAGTGGCTCGAGCAGTCGGAGCAAGGGAATGTAGTTGGTGAGGTTCTTGGAGGTGGATCGGAACCGCGAGATCTCGTTCTCGACCTCGATGATTTCGGCGTAGAGGGCGTCCTCTTGGAGGTCTTTCGTGCTTGACACCCTGTTTATGTGAATTAGTATGTAGAGGTGGAAGATAGCAAGAGAGAGAATACCGAGTGCCATAGTTCAACGTCAGGACCAAATTAAGAGACAGACGATGGACCGTCGGTTTAAATTCCACCTCTGTGTTCTCGCACGACGCTTGTAAAAGCTCTTGAATAAATTCTCTCGTCTCGAGTAGAATAATCTACACCGCCATTAACTACTCCCCGATCAAAGACAAAAAGCGAAGAGAGAACATACCGGCTCATAAGACTGCACCTTCGGACGATTCAAAGCCCCAGCCGCCAGCTTCCTCCGGAACTTACAGCTCTCATCCCACGGACTGGTCCCGATGCTAGCGACGCTTTTACTCACCGTCTTATGCAGGACATGGAAGAGTGGTCGTGAAATAAGAGCCGAGCTTTGGTTCAGGAACAGCGATTTCGCTGAGTCGGCCGTGTTCACGATCACCACTGGGATATTGCCCAGTTGGACTTGATATACGGGTCCGTATTTCTCAGACCATTGGCGATATTGCTCCGCCGAGAAAGACTGGGTAACCTGGGTCTGTTAGCATAATTTGGATATTGGTAGAAAGCTGCTACGCGCAATACCTGGCGAAGATTGCCGATCACTGGCAGTCCTTGGGGTCCGGGGAGGCCTTTGATGCGTCGATTCCAGCGGATGAATTCGTTAACTAGCAGATACCCGATCAGCAGTATCACGCTCCCTTCTAAAGGAAGGAGAATGAAGTTGAAGAGCGACATCCTGATTCAGTCCGATCGCCATCGAATGCCAGGCATCAAGCAGGCGGGCTCAGCTTTGGGGTTGTATTTATTTCGCGTTAGGGGGAAGGCTGGTATGCCAGCGACGATGCTAGTATATTTTGCATATCATATCGCACGATGACTCTATCATTGAATTGGAGTAACGGGGTCGTAACTATTTCAAATCCAAGCACGCAATGGCGTATGTGTCTGATGAATAGGCTTATGGTGAATCCTTCCGCACCATTTCGACAATGGAGATTGCAAATGCTGCGGATGACGGACCGGAATCCGAGAACGACACGAGTCGATGCGGGGTTCTCGATGGAATGTAGTGATAGCTGTCGAGTTCTGTGCAGATCGAGTCCACTTTGGAACAGACACCTCGTTCACAGGGTCTGTTTAGCTGCATCGCGTATGCAGCTTCCCCTCACGCGATGCAACATCCACAATCACACCATCCACTAGCCAACGCTCCAGCTTCCTTTGCATTTACCACTCCGTATTCGACTAATTGACCAACAAAGCTCTAGGCAACTGCCTTATCTAGGTATTGATCAAATCTTAATACTAAAATCATTGGCTCCCGGCTTAGGACCCTTCTTCCCGCCGTGCAGTCTGGACCTCGTGCCCGAGAACATGAACGGCAACCAGCTATGCCCTTTGGTCCACCGTCTTCCTTCCCAGACAGCTTCGTTTGGTAGCGATTCCTTCGTGCCTTCGCCTCGGATCCACGCCCCGGTCTGCTCAATCTCGCTCCATACGCGCAGGATATTCTCGCCCGCGAAAAGGCGCGCTTGCTCGTCGGTGGCGCCTCGTTCCAGCAGAGCAGCGACAAGGTGGGGGTATTTGGAGACATCCTGTGGACTAATTAGCACCGATTGAGTTACAAGATAGGAACGAGAACTCACCTCCAATCCGATCGGAACCTCCGGTGTACCGCTATAATCACCTCCGACACCGACATGCTCCCATCCCGCGACCTCCGCAATGTGAAAGATATGATCGACTACATCGCGAATACTCGCACTATCGGGATCCTCCATGTTCAAGAAGCGATTAATGAAAGTGACCATCACAATTCCTCCATTACGCTTAACGCCGCGCAACACGTCATCAGGAACATGCCGGAGATGGCGCTGGAGGGCGTAGGCGCCTGAATGCGAGAAGATCACCGGGGACCGCGTCACGGAGAGAACGTCGCGCATGGTCTGATGCGACACATGCGATAGGTCGATGATCATACCGAGGCGATTCATTTCCTTCACGTATTCGTGGCCAAAGGGAGTCAGGCCACCGTCTTCGCCGCCCGCCGCGACGGTCGACGCGGAGGTCGAGAAGGCGTTGTCGCAGTTATGCGTGGTGGTGATGTAGCGGACTCCGAGGTCGTAGAATTGTCGGATGGCGGCGATCGAGTTACCGACTTGATGGGCTCCCTGGGTGGATTGGGGTCAGATATGAGGGAAATATGGTAGAGGGATCTAGTCATGCGTACCTCGAGCCCTAACATGCTGGCGATTTTGCCATTGCGGAAAGCCTGTCGCGCGCAGTGCGAATCTTCACAGTATGCCAGATCGGTCGTATAGTTCTGAATCAAGCGTTTCGCCACGTCAATCTGTTCCAGGGCATCGCGAACGGATGTCTATCGTGATCATATCAATATTGTCCCCAGGCAGCCGGTCAAAAGTCATACCGTCGGATCATCCACGTAACTGATCTGCTCGCAGTCGATGAAAATGCTCCAGAACTGGCCGCCCATCTGCCCCTCGCGCATCCGAGTCAAGTCTGTATGTCCCAGCAGTCTATTACTTAGATTGAAATCCGAGTAAATGTGGTTCTGCAGCTCGACCTGAATCAGATACGGAAGGTCATTGTGGCCATCGATTAACGGCGTTGTTTTCAAGATGCGTTTTGCGCGACCCAAATAATCTGTCGGGTCTGGAAGGTCGGGCGCGTAGAGAAGTCCGGTCGCAAGCTGGTATACGGGAGAAATCAGCGCTGCGATGGAAGCTGTCACTAAAATCGACGGCCAGTGCCAGAATCTCCGAGTCGGTGATTGCGCATTGCGACGATTCGGGTGGAGAGTGACTTCGTTGGAGCTCGCATCGCGGGGGGTTTCGGTGTCTCTGTTGATTGCAGAGCTTGCGGGAGAGAATGTGGTTGACATCGTGGTTTGTTACTAAAACACTGAACCCAGTACTTTGGGCTCGGTGAATTCTTTATATCTCACAATGGGAATTCCATCTGAAGATAGACCTGCTGGAGTCCCCGCACTGCCGTTGGAGACCTCAGATCCCACATCACAGCCCTTACATATAAACGGAGAACACCGGAAATAGCCCCTTGGCATTCTGGAGTCATTGAACCGATGCAGTAAAGGCGTTTAATTGGTGCTCATCCTGGTTCTTGATGTTATCAACTGACCGAAAATGACGAGCTCGTGATAGCGTCGGATGCGGACCGAAATCCGGTCAAAAATACTGCAGGGATTGTGTCGGAGCAACAAAACAATGAATAGTTGAATAGTTGCTCTCTGCTCTTCCAAATTGGCGATTGAGTCCGGAAACAGGCTTAGGGAGCCCGTGGCGAATTGTTAACTTGATCTAGGTCCGGGCTTGACGCCGCTATATTTAATCGCCTGGGAGCAGTTGATCTGTTTGGATCGAAACCCACTCAGCAAATACTATAACCTCACAATGGGTGTCTCGCCGACCGAGCAAAATGTGAATGACGATGTGGAGTCAAATTCTCAACCGGAAGAAATCGATCGCAAAGTAGAGAAATCTCTGTTGCGACGACTAGACATTGTTCTACTTCCTACACTTGGTAAGAACGACCAATGCGATGGTCTGGACGCCTATACTGACTTTCCTGCAGCTCTCCTTTACTTAACGCATACTCTCGACCGGGCGAACCTCGGAAACGCAAAGAGTGGCACTCTCGAAGCGGATCTCAATCTGCACGGCAACCAGTACTCCCTCGTTCTCATCCTTTTTTACATCCCATATGCGCTTTTCAATATCCCCGCGACCGTGCTTTCGAAGCGACTCAATGCAGCTGTTATCATTCCCATCCTCGTCATTGGCTGGGGCAGCTTGGCTATGATCACAGCAGCAGTCAAGAATTTCGGTAGTTTATTGGCTTGCCGAGTCATCTTGGGCATGATGGAGGCGGGTTTTATTCCTTGTGCAACCTTCTATTGCACGCTTTTCTATACAAGGAAGGAGCTTGGGTTGCGCCTGTCCCTTTTCCTGATGATGGGTTTCATTGCTGTGAGTGACCTGGTTTGATTGGTGAGCTGCAGCTAATGTATACAGGGCGCTATAAGTGGTTTGATCTCGTGGAGCGTGTTCCAGTGGAACGGAAAGCTGACAGTAGGTCTCTATCCTCATGTACCTGTCCCGAAACGCTAATATATGCAGGGATGGCAATATCTCTTTCTGATCGAAGGAGCAATGGGCGTCGCAGTCGGCGCGTGGGCCTTGCTCTGGCTTCCTCGAAGTGTGCAATCCTCGCCATTCTTCACCGAGGAACAAAAGAAATGCGCCGGACAGCGAATGGCGCTCGAGAAGGAAGACTTCTCCTGGGTGGAGGGTCTACAGGCACTGAAAGACTGGAAGATTTGGGTGTTCGCATTCTGTGCCCTGCTATATGGAGTTGGCGTTGCCAGCAGCTCTAACTTCCTCCCTGTACGTCAACTCACCCTCACTACCTACCTACTGAAGCTGACCATCCCAGGTTATGATCAAGCGTCTCACCGACGACGCCGTACAAGCAAACCTCTACACGATCGGTCCCAACCTGACCGCAGCCGCCATCCAGCTAACAACATGCTACCTCTCGGACCTTACGCAACAGCGCGCCTGGTTCTCCATCGGCCCCATCATCGTGTCTATGATCGGCTGGATCCTCCTCGGCTCGCTGGACCTCGTCAAGCACGTCAAGGTCGGCTACTTCCTTACATATCTCATCACGTTTGGAACCTTCACGCCCTCGCTGCTCGTGCCCGCGTGGGTAGGCACAAACACGCCGTCGACATCCACGCGTGCCGTGTCCTTAGGCCTCCTTTCAATGTTCCAGAATCTCGGAGGGATTGTGTCCTCGGGGGCGTATAGAGCGCAGGATGCGCCGATCTACCGACCGGCATTGACGACCGTGTTTGCGTGCCAGGCTGTCTTTGTGGTTATTTGCTTCCTGATGAGGATTCAATATAAGCGAATGAATCAGCGGTTGGATGCTGGCATGTCGCTGGAGGAGCGGGAGAAGATGCGTGGGAAAGCAGCGCCGGGATTCCGCTATATGTTGTAGATTTACAGCTGGATTCTGCTCTAGAATGTCGTGATTGATGAATAGACCTTATATGAGATTGTTTGACCTCTTCTGTGCGCTAATGCAACATGCTAATCGACCACCTTCCTCCGATCCTAAACAAAACTAAGCAAACTCCCCATTCCCGACAAACTTCTCAACCTTGATGCCCCTCGTGTAAACCCCCTTCCCCTTCAACCAAACATTCAACTCACTTGGATGCACCACATGAAACACTAACATCGTCGCAAACATCAGCAGCGCATCAAATATATACAAAAACACCTCGTGAGAAATCAAGTACCCGTCATTCCCCTGTGCATACTCAATCAACCGGAAGATCGACCGCACCAGGATCAACAGACTAGCCGCGTACAGCACATAGATGATCTCCGTCCAGCGGAGGGGAATGGAAAGCGAGTATGGCGTCGGATCCCGATGCATGCGCGTGTGGAACACAGCGGAGGAAATCATGAAGAAGCCGAAGAAGAGGACTTGGATGACAAGACCGCCGATGATGATGTTGGGTCCGTTTTCGGCCATTTTGGACTTCATGCCCATGAGCCCGGCACCTGCATTGTGTTAGATATGCATTGGGCGATAACAACATGTGGAAGTAAGAGCAAATGTACCGGCTGCTTGGAGGAGAAAGGAGAGAACATCGCCCGTCACGAAGATCTTGGTCATCCATTTGACCCTGATTAGGCTGTGTTTCTCGGCGTGGAGGACCACAATGAGACGACCTAGCTCCATGTATATACTGGCGGCGAAGAGGGCGGGGGCCACAAGAGGAAGAACGGATTGCACAATGAAGGGACCGAGAGTCCAGTCGGGGGATTGGTTGGCTGCAACTGCTCGTGCGCAGTAGCCAATCCATTCAACTGCTGCCGTTAGTAAAATTCCAAGGGAAAAGAAATTGGAGAGTGACGAACAGTATCCCCCGAGGACAAAGGCGATGAAGAACCATGTTCGCGTGCGGAACAGCTGATATGTGTGGAAAATGGTCGTGGCGACGAAGCAGATAATAAACACCACTGCTGCACCGAGATTCGGAGTATAATGGAAGAACTTGAATCCTTCTCTCGCCTCGAGATGGGGCATTTTGGCAGACTGGTGAGATATCTGACCGTTGACTTGAAGCCGAGAGGGGAGAATTTAAATCACCAGCACATCCTGTCAAAGGAGTAGGCTCGCCAACACGGAGAATAGGGTCGAAAACTTTACTTTTTCGAGACGGACGAACGTCTCCAACTGCGCCGCCAATTCTGGGCATTTGATTAAAGCAGTTCTCCTTCTCCATGTGGATAGATCTCGTCCTCCACTGTAGATTCGCGAGCGTCGCCAAATCTACTCGTATTTTTTCGCGACAAACACGCGGCCAATCAGGACAGACGCTGTTCTTAAGCTTTGCAGAGAGTTATTTATAATCGACGTGATTCCAGTCTAATTGGCTGCGGGTTCCCCAGCAGACCCAGTCGTTGTCGTAAACCATGCCGAACCAGGCAAAGTTCACGGACATCTCGGAAAGTGATGCGATAGACCATCGTCACCCACATGGCTCGCCTCTCTCCCCTGATTTCTTTTTGCCCGAAAATCATAAGCGAAAATGCCATTACGCCGGTCTCATAAAAAGTCGCACCACGGCTGCCTGCAGTGCAAACAACGGAGAATAAAATGTGACGAGGCTCGACCCTACTGCGGCCCCTGTCATCGAAAACAACTTGCCTGCGCATTCCAAAGCGTTGCGCCACGACCTCAACAACGCCAAAAGGCGTCTAGTAACTCTCCATCACCCTCCAATGGCGACTCTAGCCTTCCGCTATTGGATCTGGAGCTCTTGCACCAGTGGCACGTAGCCACGGCACTCTCACTCGCCCACGAAGAGCAGCTCGCCGATGTAGTCCGCGTCGCCGTGCCTCGAGAGGCCCTCGCCTACCCTTTTCTCATGCACAGCGTCCTCGCAGTCTCGGCCCTCCATCTCAGCTATACAGGTCCCTCCGAGCGATGCCAGTCCTACAAAGAAGCAGCGATCCGCCACAACAACCTCTCCCTCACGCTATGCACCCCTCTCCTCAGCAACGTGACGCCAGAGAATTGCCACGCCCTATTCGCATTCTCCTGCCTGACCGCGGTATTCGCCTTCGGCGTCCAAGGCCGCGAGGGGCTCCCCAGCGCCCAGGGCCTCGTCGATGTCGTCGAGGTATTCAAGATGGTGCGCGGCGTCGCATCCGTCGTACAACAAGCACGCGCATGGATTGAACAAGGCGGAATGAGCCAGCTGTTGAAAATCGGCAAGCTACGCAAAAGGGCGGCAGGAACGATCTATGATCGGGAGCTCTGCTCGCATCTTGAAACCTTTATCGAAGAGCAACTCCGCCCGCGAGAGCCCTGCATGCACCAAACCATCAACAACAACAACGTCAACGCCGTTCTTCTACAATCGGCGAACCGCCTCCTCCATGTCCTGAACATGTACATGACCATGGAAGATCCCAATGCGATCCTAGCCTGGCCGGTCCTGCTGGATGCGCAGTACCTGGATCTTTTATTGCAGGTGGAGCCGACGGCGCTGATAATATTGGCGTATTATGGGACAGCGTTGCATTTGCTGTTCGATAATTGGTGGTTGGATGGTTGGGGGCAGTTCATTATGAATCTTGCGTCGATGCGGCGTGGTTCTGTCGGGGACTGGAGGATATCGTGGCTTGTGGATATTATTCAACGAGATAAGGAGTTTAGATTGAGGAGTGTATGAGTACGGAATGTAATTTATTAAGTAGTAGATGCTGAGCACAAAAGTTCACGGGAAGTCGAATCAAATGAACTCAGTTGGAGTCAAGATTACAGCTTTATAGTTCAGTGTCTAGGGGGTTCCTGACGCCAAATGGTCGATAGAATGTGCGGAGGAACATACTCCACTCCTTGTGATGTGATTAGATATCGTAGATTTAAGCTTAAATAAACAATTCTAGAATAAGTCCAAGGTTCATTAGCCAACCTGGTTTGAACCAATAATATTAGCTGGAGATTTGACAATAGTGTCTACTTACCCATAGAGCAACAAGATTAGTACAGTTTTTTTTTGTCTAAAATAAATGGGCTTTTCATGTTTATTTATTTCCTTCTTCATAGAGTCTCTCGTTACTCGCCTTCCTGTCTTGAGAAGAGCAGGCGAGCCTCATTCCACATTGGGCTAATAGATTGCAGGACTGGGAATGCCTAATGGGCACCCCTGGATATGGGGAATGTCATTAAAAGGGGAATAACTGAGCGATAATTAAAGGTTAACCTCAATTGACCAATCTCTGGCCACATTCGCTGCAATCGATTCTCTCCTCAACGCTACAATCTTCACGCAGTCCGAGTCACAACTTTCGAAAAATGCCGCTGTTGAGACAAATACTCAAACGCTTCCTTAACCTCCTCCAAACCAAAAGGCCTGTCATCCACAACGGGTTTAATGTTCTCCTTCTCAATGAATTGGTTCATAGCCGCAAACTGGGTCCTTGTCCCCAATAGAAGCCCACGGATTGTGCATAGATGCACAAGACCATCCATGATATTTGGAACATCGCCATCCGGCGCTTGACCGAGCAAGCCCGTCAAAGCGATCATACCCTCCGGACGAACAGCATGCAGGGACTGGCGCAGTGTAGATAGACCACCCACGTCAATGACCGTATGTACACCTTTGCCATCTGGGCTAAGACCTTTGGCAACTTCACCCCAGTTTAAGGTGGCTTTGTAGTTGATGATGTGGTGCGCTCCTAACGACCGCAATTTGGCGGCTTTCTCGTCTGAGCTTGTGGTCGCTATGACAGTTGCGTCTGCTGCAAGAGAAAACTATCGTGGTGTGTTAGACGTCTGCTGTGAGCCTCATGAAGCCGGGAAAGTGTGCTTTGCTTACTTGCAATGCCGCGACAGAGACACCTCCAGTGCCCTGTACCAAAACCACATCGCCCTTCTTCGGCTCCCGTCCTTTAACCCCAAATAACCCGTTCCACGCAGTCAAACCAGAGCATGTTAGGGTTGCCGCTTCATCGAAAGTCAGATTCCCGGGCATCTTGACGAGGGATGTATCGTGAAACACCCCATGTGTGCGGAGAGTTCCATGAATGCGTTGACCAAGTCCAGCACCAATATCGGCAAATGTCGCGGGAGCATCATCAAGCATATGGGATGTCAAATGGGTGCAAACGCGGTCTCCCGGTTGGAATCCGTCTACAGACGAACCGATGTCTTCAACTACTCCAGCAGCGTCAGACCCAGGAACGACATTCGGTTCGATAGTCAGGTTATAGGCGCCCTGTATATTGGGTCAGCACCTTTTAGGATCGAAAGTAAATGGTCAATTACCTTTGCAATCGCAATATCCCGATGATTGAGAGATGCCGCGTGGATTCTGACGCGCACGTCATGATCTCCCAGTGGCGGGAGCTCCTGGTTCTCAACAAACTCGAGACTCTTCGGGCCTTCCTGGCCCGACAAGATCCACGCCTTGCATGAAGAACTCATTTTCCTGTTGGATGCAGAATGATGATTTGCCGTCTGACGTGTGGGACGTCTGGAACAAAGACATTCAAGCCAGGGGACGCCTTGGCATAAAAGCCTGTCATGTTTGCTATGTCTGCCGCGCCTGAATAATGCGCCACCAGATTCTCGCTACCACTGAATCATGAAAACCTCAAAATGGGAGTATCTCCACCGGCTGCTCCACTGTTCCAACGGCACCGAAATTATGACGTTGGCAGACGTGGACCGGTGAGGAGGACCGAGTCGGCCATATTCACTCTTGTGTAACTCCAGCTCGTCCATAGGAAGCAGCCTGACTGGACTGCATTGATCTTGCAGCCATGGACGCTGTTGGCATTTTGATTCGAATGTCATGCAAGCCATTTGGCTTTTCAAATGCCGTCGCTGGTTGTTAGTGAATTCTGCATCCGATGACTAATTTTCGGGCCTCCATAGTGAATCCACTATTTGTGCCAATTCGAATTCGACGTGCAAATCCAAACAAACCTCCTTTTCTCTCCATAATCAACATGCATCTGGACCACAAAATTCCCTGGAACACGACAGCCTCTCATTTCAAATACATCAAGTCCAATCCCCACATCACACCGCACACCACCGATCTCTTCGCTCGAGACCTCCCCTCCCAATCCAATGACCTGAACCACTTCCGTCGCGTTCTAATCGCGACGATCCGCGAATTCGGCCTTACCCAAGAGAGAAAAGCCCCGGATGTGTCGGGAATCCCTGACCCGGGCCCTCTCTTCTCTGAGACCCTCCTGTCCTATCCCGAAAGAAGATACGGCCTGGGTCCACACACCACGAACTCTGCATTTGACAACCCCTTCTCAGACCGATACCAAAACCTCGAATATTGGATTCATCGTGCGGCTAGCCCAGATGATCCAGACTACCTGGGCTATGGGACTGGGGACGCGGACTTGGCCGAGGCCGTGAAGATGCTCATCACCATTGTCGCTGAGGGCGAACCTGACGTATCATCGGAAGCCCAGGGAGCTCTTCTTCGGCTGATGCGACACCCGCGAATCCCGCTGCACGATCTCTGGAATCTGCATTGGGGCCATTCGTTCGGGGTCGATCACGTGGCGCATAGAGCCCTGGAGATGTACATCTCGTTGAATGTCTTCGGGGCGGTGTTTGAGAAGAAGCCGTTGAGTGGCGATGATAGCGCCCTGTTCGCAAGCAAGACCTTTCAAAGGTATCTCAATCATGCGGTGGCGAATTATGACTACCCTGCGCAGAATATCCCGCATCGCGCATTCTGGCAGTCATTGGGGCTTCCGATTGATGGGGAGGGAGAGAATGACAGCACGGTGAAAGATCCACTGGATGCTCATTCGACCGATGATACCAGAGACAAGCTCAAGGCCTATTTGAAATTATGCTTTACTATTTTGTATGTCTTTGATACTTGTCAGCGGGAGCTTCTGAAGGATGATCCGACGGTCGACAGAGAATGGAGTTATATGATCACAGGCGTCTTGTTGTGGTGGGGATGTGATCATGACTGGGAGACGATGGAATTTGTACAGAAGACAAGAGAATAAATAGATGAAACGTATACAACTTCGCCGTATTTGAAGTGACATAGTCCTGCACGCGGGACAGGGATTCTTCGACAATTATCTTGTTTTCGAATGTTCGACTGTCGTCAATCCCGCATGAGTTCGCATTTCAATTTATCGATTTGAAGCCTCTAAAATCCCCTCTGTAAAAAAGAAAATAAAGACAGCCTCAGCCACCGCCCCGATGCTTACATGCACAAATCAATGTCGCATTTCGTCAATAAAGGTGACAACGTTTCTTCGATGGGCAAAAAGAACAACATCATGCGAGAAAGAAAAGACTGCATCCGTTGACGCCTCAATGAAATGTAAACTTATAGTACCCAGCCACTTAGACCGAGTTTCCAAGTTTCCAATCCAGGAACAGTCAGCTACTGCAGGTAGAGAACCAACTTTCTGGAAGACAAACCGAAAGTAAATCCAGCCTGCCTTTGCCCGCGGAAAACGGTGACCACACACTGCTGGTTATCTGCAAGGGACAACGCAAGGGGCGCGCCTTTGCCGGTTTAGGACTGATCGACGATGCAGCCCAACCCAACGCCCGACCCAGAACAGGCTAGTTTTCAGTTACCCTGAATATTTCCTAGCAATAATGAGATGAACAGTACTACGTACAGAGTACTATTTACAATTTGCAACTATCTGACTGAACGGCCGTGTTGCGAATACTCAAACATGAACCATTCACTATCCCATGCGGGCCGCTCATTCGGCGATTGAATCTTGGATCGGCGTCCGACATATCAGGAATGTGAATGGAATCAGGAATCCCAGGAGAGCCCCTTCAATAACACGTCATTTGGCAGCCATGTCTCGCATTTATCACAATTGGTCTTGGCACACCTTCAAGCCGTGGAACACTAGCTCAGGCGCCCAATGCAGAGATTTACGGTGATTCGACAATATCTACGTCAATAGACCCGACGAATGAGCTCACTGACTGGGTTGATCGTTGATTTGCACCTCAACAATCATTCTTGCGATTCAAGCGAACAGAATTTCCACACAATACATGGAGTCCGGGTCGGATTCTCAGCTCACCCACGCGGGCGCAGTCCCTGCCGGACTAGAAAACGCCCTGTCAGCGCCACAGTCCGGCGATCTGGAGGCCAATAGGTCGAAACACGATGTCGGCTGGCGCCGCATTGTGCGCAACTTTACTCCGGCGTAGGTCGTTGCTATCTAAACTCTAGCGACTCACTAACAGGCAGTATAGATGGTTCTCGGTGAACATGGGGACCGGGATCGTGTCTCTCCTCCTTAACACGCTACCATACAATGGTCTCTGGTTGTACTACATTTCCATTATTATCTTCGTTCTCAATGTGCTTTACTTCGCCACGTTCTGCGTCATCGCAACTCTGCGATACACGCTGTATCCGGAGATCTTCAAAGCGATGATCACGCACCCGGCGCAGTCCATGTTCCTGGGCACGTTCCCGATGGGCCTGGCGACCATTATCAGTGTATTCTGCAACGTGTGTGTCCCAGCATGGGGCGATGGCGCTGCCTACTTTGCCTGGGCCTTGTGGATTCTGGATGCCGTTCTTGCGGTGATGACAGCAACAGTGGTGCCATTTATAGTGTAAGAATGCCTGTCTGAATTCCGCTACCCAAGCTAAACAATAAAATAGAATGACACGGAAAACCGAGATTAGCTTATCAGCCATGAACGCCGCCTGGCTACTACCGATAGTCTCATGCGTTGTCGCCGCAGCATCGGGGGCCGTGGTAGCAGGCGTCCTCCCAAATGCGCAGCACGCTCTTTGGACGGTGATGGTCAGCTACGCACTCTGGGGAATGGGCGTTCCGCTCGCAATGATGGTCATGGCCATTTATTTGCAGCGGCTTCTTCTTCATAAGCTTCCGCCCAAGACAGTTCTTGTCAGCGTATTCTTGCCCCTGGGTCCTCTGGGCCAGGGCGGCTTCGGGTACGAGCTTCCTAGTTCTTCTTATGGCTTGTCAGTTACTAATTTCAGCTATGCAGGATTCAAAAGCTCGGCGAATGTATTTACAAGATCTTCCCAGAAACTCAATCACTACATGGGTCCACGGGGATCATCTTCTACGAAGGCGGCTTCATCATCGGGCTAATAATGTGGGCTTTCGGTTTGATCTGGATGTTTTTCGCCGCCGCCTCTCTGATCCGAGCCCGGAAGTTCCCATTTAACTTGAGTTGGTGGGGACTGACATTTCCGCTGGGCGTGTATGCGATGTGCACTTGTCAATTGGGACGAGAGTTGCCGTCGACGTTCTTTGCGGTCCTTGGGACTGTAAGTATGCCTCCTCCCTCGGTGTGACACTGGAATTGACGAAGTTTAGATCTTTTCTGTTATTGTCGTGCTCCTGTGGCTTTTGGTCAGCTTCCACACGATTAGAGGGACGATACGAGGGGATCTATTCGAGGCTCCGTGTGTGGCAGATCTGGATCGGAGGAAACGGGAGGATTCGGAGTAGGTTTGGGTCACGTCAAATGGTTGGATATTCCAACTGGCGACAGAACTAGGAGCAAATCCGAAAAGACTGTATTTAAACTGGCTAATATCTAAAACCTGGCCCCTTCTACGAAATGAAACTACTCTTGCTTTCTTAATCGTTTCGAGTTCGCCTCGGTCCATGCCATTTTAACCGCGATGAAACTAATGCGATCCGGATGTACAAATAAGTATGTTTAACACCAGCAAGAGACACCTGCGATGCAGCGAGCAAATACTAGAAAGTTAACCCCAACGTACCGGGTAACCTTTCGTAAATAAAGAAGGGGTAAGCAGGAAAACAAGATAAACGCAAGGCAATGAGTTTTGGAATATCAGATGCAAGTAATGATAGACCCAGGGTTTCGAGTCTGATTTGCGCCCAAAGTCTAACTTCCGTTGTTTGCGCATGTCCAAGCAGACGACTGAGAACTTTCATGAATTGATTTGCCAGAGACGTAAAGACCAAGGCCGCACTGTATATGTCAGTATACAATGGTGCATAATGCGAAGAAAACAAAGGAAAAGAAAACATACAATAGTGCAAGCAATACCCAGGACTATCAGCTGTATAATAGTGACACAGGTCCTCTTCGCCGAGGAGAATAGCTGGCCCTTGTTCATACCGAGCCCGAAGGCCGCGGGAAGTCCATCTGTCTGGTCAGCCTCATTCTATCGCGCAATTGGATGTGCACTCACAGCTAAACCAGCTACCGAATAAAGAGCTCTGCGCGAAAGTTAGTCCTGTGAAACATAGAGCAGCGTAAGAACATACAATCAAACTCAACAAGTCATTAAACACTGGGATGGACTCCGCCACAACCCAAGCAACCACCCACACCACAAACCCAATTCCTAGCCAGGCCCCAACAGAGCGGAAGCCCCGACTATGTATCTGCGACGAGCCACGGAAGATGCGCACGTAAATATATTTCGAAGCGACATGTCCGTGTATAACACCGGAGAAAACGACGGTCGGTATCGCGAGTCCCCAGGCAACTTTCTTCATTACGGACCCAGCAGAGCTCAAGGCCGGTGACGTGACGTCGGGCCCAGCGTAGCAGTAGATGACTACCGCTGTGACGACGTACATGCAAGTATCGACAATCTGCAACATCGCAAGCGACTTTGGGAAGTCTCGTGGGTTTTGCATTTCCGAAATAAAGCCGAAGAAGGCAACGTGGGCGACTAGTGGGTTGTTAGAACAGAATTAATATCAAAGTGGATGCTCCACTGCCATACTATATGCAAACAAGATGTTTGTGACGGCCAAAAACTCCTTCGCAAATCCATGGCTAGTGGCGATCTGAAGGCGGTGCGACACTGGATTTTGAACACCGATCGCAATCATCGTAACAATTGTCGCGATGAGGATACTGGCGAAGGCTGGCATTGTCAGTCTCGCTTGAAACAACCCGGAAACCTCACTTACATATCACCGATATCCAATACACCTTTTCCATGCGCCGCGGCAATGACCCGATGAAGCTCACAACCAGCCCAATCGCCGAGAATCCAATAGTACAAGCGCCATGGTTCGTGAGCTCATTCATCAGTACCGAAAATGTCAGGACGTGGCTGGCCATGAGAAATATTAGAAATATTAACTGGCCAACACTGAGGAACTCCTGCGCAAATCGGCCGAAAAATATTCCTCCGGCATCGCTCATGCTGTGGATCTGTGGGTATCTCAATTTCACTCTGCCGATGATGTGACCAGTGTACCAAGCTACTCCTGACATGAACACAATGATAACGACGGCTCTGTATTCGGTGGATCAGTAGGGGGCTCGTTTTCGAGGATTGTCGTCGACATACGGAACGATCCCTAAAGTCGCAACAGCAGATGGCAAAGACAGAATTCCCAAAGAGACATTCTGCGCAGTCATCACTGATGAGGATTAGAGATAATTGCGATATACTATCAAAGAACACCCACGCATTCCGCTCTGCCTAAGGAAGATCAGCAAAAGGATATACCATCAAGAAACAACCACTTTACCACCACTTCATCACTCGATATTTGACCTCCGCATTTTCCTCATTCCCGAAGGGATCGTCGATCGGAGACGGCTCTGCTGGTCGGTCTTTTTTCTCATCGTCTCGGACATCATCATTGGTGCTCGGCTCTTCATACAGAGTCTCGGCGGACTCCAACTCCCGAACACTCATCTTCACGATCACAGTGAGTAAATAAATGTAAAGACAACAGTAATGCCAGATCAATCCTGAGCGAAGGACTGAGAAAATATCGAGCACATGTTTACTCTATCTCACCCCTTGCGTCTGGCTCCACCTTCCGAATGCAACCGCGATCAGGTAATCGACAAAGAGTCATGAGAATTGGTGCATTCTGAGGGTACCTATTGCGTGCGATTTCTGAGTCCAATCAGAGTAAGACTAATCATGCAGTGGACGACATTTGCCGCATTCCTCGTTATCGGTGTTTCCGACCCTTCGCTGATATGTCCTTTGATTCCAGGTTTCTTGACTTACTGATTCCTTCATGCACTGATAAGCTAGCTTCTCATTTTCTCTCTTCATCTAAGAGATGTTCGTCAATTGTCTTCTTGCGATGATCGCTGCATGAAGCTCTGAAAACTAGTATGTGACGCTGCCTCCGGAAGTGACCGGAGCCGCAAGCGGCAAGAAGAAAGAAACAAAATGGATAAATTATCGGTGCAGAAGAAAAAAGAATGTCCCATATACACTTGTTGCATGACCAAAAATGTACTCTGGACTTTACTAGGTGCTTCTTCCATGCATGTTCAGAGCTCAGTAGTCGTGGTATATATTTCTGCAGAAGGCTTTACAAGTTCCTCTGTGCCTTGACGCCGGCTGAGGTTTGGGGCGTATCCTAGGCGTAATGAGGGACTCGAGGCCCAAAGTCTCAAAGAAGCAAATTTTAGCCTTATGAGTGCCAGTAGCTGAAATTTATCGTAAATGCTTGAGACTCTAGAGGATAAAAATGGCTGCACTTTTCACAGGGGTTGCTACGTAGACGCTAACCGCATTGGAGCGGACCGATGGATTCCTGCCTTAGGCATCAGACGCCCGCAAATGCCTTGTTGCCTTGCTGCCTTGCCGCTACTGTTCGATGCCTTACTGTCCTGCTGCCTTACTGCCTTGATGCCGTGGCAAATTTTGTCGCTGCCCCCTGCTTCGCTATTTCACTGCCTCACTATCCAGCTTACCCTGTGAGGTGAAATAAAGTAAGATGCTAATCAATCAGTCCATAACAAACTCTCTGTTCAAAGACAAGAGTTTAAAATGCCTGATTCATTAAAGGAACAGAAAATCCCGCAAAGTATGCCTCCAATGCCGCTGTATCCTCCAGATCGCCGACAAAAGCAACATGCTGATCAGGGCGTATCAGCACCAAGCATCCCTGGGGCGCGATGCCATACGACTGGTAGGCATGGCCACAGCCTTCTCCGTAGGCGTCGTCGTCTGCAAATACCTGTCCATATTCGTATCCGCCATGGGGATCGAATGGTCGAAATATCTCAGGGAGTTCCATGAATTCGATCTTTCTGTGGCAGGACGAATGGACCAGATGAGCAGCGATAGACCCGACGGCCGTCTGGCGGATACTCTGGTTGATCTTGGTGAAAAACGAATCCGGTTGTGAAAGTGATGCCGCGAGCCTCTCTACTCGAAGCATCTGAGCACTCTCGACAATGTTGCCACCGAAAACGACGAGGTTCCACTGGCCTGTACTGCGAAGCCTTTGCTGCAGATGCCATGGGCGAGAGTCGCTCTGGCAGAGGACTCGATAACTAGGGAATCGACCGCCGACTATGATACCTTCCGCCAGGTAAGGTTTGCTCATTGGCCGGGTACATTCTGTTTTGAGGGCTAGTTTCCAATGGCCAGAAGCCGCAACTAAAATTCCGGGATCATAGATCACGCCGAGCCCCGACGCGTTGGAGTTTTCTTCTCGGAGGGACGCCTTTAGCGGGTTGATTTCGCCGCGGGAAGTGAGGGCCTTGTCTGCTTCGGCTGAGGAGCAGATGCCCCGGCAGATCTGTTTGTCAAAGGAAACTAATCTCTCTCCAACCGGTAGCCGTTCACTTTGGTATGTATGAAGTAGCTTCGGGGTAGCCATTCCTTTTAGAACGCTCGCCAATTTCCAGCCTAGATTGTATGTATCTTGCATACTGACGTTCATTCCTTGCCCGGCCTTGGGTGAATGTGTATGGACTGCATCTCCTGCTAGAAATACCCGGTTTTGGACCGAGTAGATAGGACAAAGGCGTTGGCCAACCTGATCCGCTATTAGCATGAGCGGGACGCTTTTTGGGCGTTTCACATACGGTGTATATCGTGGACCATTGGACTTTTGCGGCGTCGAAGAAGTACGGTTGCAAAATGGCCTTTGCTACTACGATCAAGGCAGCATGGTGATAGCAGCTCCGGATTTTGGCAGCCACCGTGGGCGACAACTGGATATAGAATCGCACCAACCGCCTTTCTCGGGGAATAATCATTATATTCCCCACTCTGGACTTGATAATACATCGTTTTCGAATATCGGCTGAAGGGAAATGAACAACGAGGCTGGTAGTAAGGATGCCGAGGAGCACTTACGAAAGTCTGTAACGGGGATGCAATCAATAACGCCCCAATGCTCATTTGAAGATTCACCTTGAAGGGAGAGGCCGAAATGCTTTCGGACCCAACTTCTCGCCCCGTCGCACCCGACGACATATTTTGTTCTAAATACGGATTCTATGACGGGCTCTGATCCCTTACACTGCTGGGTTATCAGAAACTTCAGAAACCTTCTAAGCTGCAAAAGCTTACCTGATCAATATCACTTCGCCATGGTTTTAGTCTAACTTCAACGGGGTTATGGGGAATGCTTTCGACGCGGTTTTCGTCAATTTTGATAGATGTGGGAACGGTGCCCCATTTAACCTTGACATTCCCATGGTCCTTGATAAAGCCAAGAAGATGCTCTTCGACCCGGTCCTGAGCTAGGGTGCATTCCTTGAATCTCGAAAGCCCGGGATTATGGTTTAATGTCATACTTTCCCTGCGGATCCCGTCATGCGAGTCAATCTGGGCCTGTCAGCGTACAGACCAACTTGAACGACTCAACTGGAGACACGTACCCACAAACAAACTTCAACGGTAGGATTGGACTCCGACCAGACTGCATTGCCGATTCCAAAACTGTCCAGGATCTCGATTGTTCTGCTTTCTAGGCCGTCGGCATGCCCGGCTTGGGTGCGACATTGTTGTTTCTCAGCAACTAGCGTTTTCACGCCTGCTTGAGATAGCCAAGTGGCTGCCATTAGCCTGAGCTCTCATTAGTCCACGTTTGAGATCGGTAACCGAAAGGAATGACGAAAATACCCCGCAGGACCAGCCCCAACAATAATGACATCGTATTGGTTGTCGATAGTCATTGTGAGAGGCTACGTGGAAAGGGATGCAGGAATGTTTGCTGAGCATGAGCTGGCTGTTAGCCGACGCTAGAGAGAGAGAATGAAGTGTAGCATAGCATAAGACATGAATTATATACCGAGCCTACAACTTTCATCAAAGTCTATCTGATTGTACACATGATGGACAACGCCCCTCCTTCCGTCGTCATAGTTAAGCTTAATCGCAGCCATGACCGCATGGCTGTTGATGCAGAGTTCCCGAAAAGTATTCCGTGATGCAATCAGGCAGATACGCCTGTGCAAACGCACTTAGACTTTTCGCGAGAACCCCTTGCTTCGCTCGAACAAGATTCGGCCATCTTGGCCACGATCGGGCATTCCTGAGGTTGTGGAATGTGCCTGTCCTGGGTAGGAGAAGCCGAGGCCAATCAGGTGCCGGGTGCGTTGTCTCGAGGCACGAACACGTTGAAATGCCCGATAGCCCCCGTTAAGGGATTGAGGTATTTATGAAGCGATGTGTCCAACTCTTTCGCTCTTCAAAGTGTGATGATTTTACAGATTGATCGAAATACTTGTACTAGACTTACCCATAAATGACGGTGCATAATGTCGTCTCATCTGAACTTAGTGAAGGAATGCTGGGCTGATAGGGAAAGCCTACTGAAAGATAGGAGTCAGGTGGTCCTGGACGGAGACTCGCTAAGCCTGGGGGCTGTTGTTGCAGTTTCACGGTAAGTTCTCTCATTTTAAATTGAAAGTCCAAAGCTGACGCGTATAGGAATTCTACCAAAGCCCTGATCAAGGAGTCCGAAGACCTGTACAAAAGAGTGCAGGATAGCATCAAAACATTGACAATCAGTCTTGGGAAAGGAGAACAAGTATATGGTTAGTTTCGCGACATGAACATCTTTGACAAGAATTAATCTAACAAACTGAAGGAGTCAATACTGGTCCTGGTGGAAACGCTGCCACTAGAACCCGCCGTCTGGAGATGCTTCAACACTCCTTTCTACAACACCACCAATGCGGTATTCTAACGGACCCAGCGCTAAATGGCTCGGAAAAGCTCGTCTATCAAAAAGACCTAAGTGACAGCTTACCAGTAGAGGTTGTTCGAGGAACAATGCTCCTGCGTTGCAATTCTCTTCTTCGAGGGCATTCAGCAGTACGAGTTGAGGTGATTGAATTGTTACTTTGCGCGTTGAACAATAACATGACACCTGTCGTGCCCCTACGAGGGAGTATCTCTGCTTCGGGAGATCTATCTCCCCTTTCCTATCTCGGTGGCCTTATTGAGGGGAATCCGGATATATTCGTGCAAGTCAAGGAAAATGACAGGTATCGCATTCTATCTGCAAAAGAGGCCTTGGAACAGATGGACCAAGTCCCAATGACACTGAACGCCAAAGAAGGCCTTGGAATCATGAATGGTACAGCACCTAGCGCCGCAGCAGCCTCTTTGACTCTGTACGATAGCCACAACCTGGCACTTCTGACTCAAGTTCTTACCGCCATGGCAACTGAGGCACTCATGGGCACCGTGGACAATTACCATGATTTTATCTCCCAATGTCGACCGCATCAGGGTCAGGCTGAGGTAGCTCGAAATATAAGGTCATTTCTTTCAGGATCGCGATTATCTCCCGAGTTGGATGTCAACAAAGTGGGCCTCATACAGGATCGGTACGCTCTACGCACAGCACCTCAGTGGATAGGGCCGCAGCTTGAAGACCTCTTGTCCGCGACCCGCCAGATCGAAGTAGAGATCAACTCGTCTACCGATAACCCATTGATCGACATAGCCGAAGGCCGTTTTCACCACGGAGGAAACTTCCAAGCTGCATCTGTAACGTCTGCTATGGAAAAGACTCGCACCGCATTGGTGATGCTGGGAAGGCTTTTGCTCGCACAATGTGGAGAGCTTACGAATCCGATGATAAGTAGAGGCTTGCCTCCGAATCTCTGCGCAGACGACCCGAGCTTGTCGTTTGCCATGAAGGGACTCGATGTGCACATGACGGCCTACTTCTCTGAGCTCGGCTTTCTTGCAAATTCAGTCGCCAGCCACGTCCAGACAGCCGAGATGAATAATCAATCCGTCAATTCCCTTGCCTTGATATCATGCAGATATACAAGGCAGTCGGTAGAAATACTGTCCATGATGTGCGCAGCGCACCTGTATATCCTGTGTCAGGCTTTGGACCTTCGGGCTTTGATGGTAGATTTTCTGCAATCTACCCAGACACAAGCAAGACCGGTCTTCGAGGAGGAGTTTGGAGCCCCCAAAGGTTTTAAAAAGCCCAGCTTCGAGGAAGTATGGATGTCCGTCGAAAGCGCCTGGCTTGACACAAGCCAATTGGATCTCGTTCCACGGTGTGAGGAGGTAGCTTCGCGATCCGTCGGCCACATCGTGAACACCGAGTTGAATGCCTCTGATGCTCCTGATCCGAGTGTATTAAACTCAACCAAGGCATGGAAGGCCAAACTCTCCTCCCTTCTCTACAGAACATACTCAGATACGCGGACAACCTTCTTCACCGACAAATCAACGCCCCGTCTCCTTGGACAAGCATCAAAAGCCATTTACCTGTTTGTCCGTGAGGGACTTGGCGTCCCTTTTCATCAAGGAGTGACTGACCATCCTGTCCTGCCGAATTACGCTGATTGCCAAGATGGGAAGAAGACAATTGGGTCTTACGTTACGCGCATCTATGAGTCGATTCGAGACGGTGAGATAATAGATGCATTGAAATGTGTAGTGTGATGGAAATAGAATTGTTCCTTTGAAGAGCAATATGATCTGCAATTTTCTATAAAAGGAGTAGGTAGCAATCAACAAATGGAGAATATTGCATATACCGCGAACCTGGACCAAATGACCTGACGATTTTACATGGTTGCCTGTAGTATTATGCGCACTGGCTTCAGAATAGTGGGTATGACACAAGGACATACACAATCAAGCCACAGTCATCATTGACTCCCTTGAATGCCAACTCCTGCAGGAGGTCGCCAAATTTGGAAAGAGGCAGTAACTCGAAGGTCATGTCCATGGAATGCAAACTGTATTAGTCAACCACGACAGGATACAGCGTAATGGGTTCGTTGAGGGCCTCATGCGCCATGACGTTGTGCCTTCGCATGAAACTATGTGCCCCGTCAGCACTAGCGTGGTCTATCTCTCTTGAAGCTGATCATATACCCATTTCATACATTTCTTTGCATTAAGACACATATAACAGGCAATCGAGGATAGTTGTGCGAGAATTTACCTAGGTTCTTGTTTTCCCTGTTTCATGTTCCAAGTATGTTGCCACCAAAGGGATAGAGTAGCCCCATGAGTTGCCCACTGCAGATTGATCGCAGAATTCTGTGGGTTGAAGAGTCCGTGACGTCACAGTGAGAATATCATGCTCATTTGATCTGCTGTAAACAGTTGAAATCAAGGCCAGTTCAATGTCTGGTTGCTAAATGGGGTGAGGGAAATATCGTTAGCGGGAACGCAATGGACTGCATAGAATGCGATAAGAATGACAGACCGCTTGACTGAAGTGAGATTCAATTCAAGAAGATTGCTTTTTATTAGTATTCTTTATCGTAATCGATACACAATATTGGGATTATCTAGTCTACCCATCCCAATTGCATTTTGTCTTTCCCAGTTCCCGCATTCCAACCAAGACCTATTTTCAAACCTCTAATAAACGATGTCTTTCTATAAACAGGAGGAAGAGATATACGTGAGCACCTCAACTCAAATAGCTGCATATGAATAGCACGCTAAATGATTAAACCCGACCAGCACAATGATGGCCGCGAACCAGCCCTTTTGGCCTTCATCGAATCCCACCCCGACTACGACCAAATGAAAGGCTCACCGCAGAGGATCCTAGCCGCAATCGACCAATACGGACGAGAGAAGGATTTTCTTATGAACGTCGGCCAACACAAAGGAGACGTCGTGAGAAAAAGGATTGCGGAACACAAACCCACTGTTATGATCGAATTGGGCGGGTACGTCGGGTACTCGGCGATTCTGTTCGGAAACGCCCTCAAGCAAGCAGGAGGCAGGAAATATATCAGTTTGGAGATCAGCCCTGTGTTCGCATCCGTGTCCGCTTCTCTAGTCAAGCTGGCCGGTCTCGATGATGTGGTGGAAATTAAGATCGGGCCATGCCGAGATACATTGCGAGCGCTCGGAAAGCTATACGGGGAGCACGGCCTGGATATGATATTCTTTGACCACGCAAAGACCGCATACGTCAACGACTTGAAGCTATGCGAGGAACTAGGTCTGGTGGCTCGCAACACTGTGGTGTTAGCGGATAATGTCATTTGTCCTGGGAATCCGGCGTACTTGGAATACGTTAGGGCCACGCCATCGAAGAAACAGGAAAAACGCCAATGTGAAGGCTTGGCCGGCAACAATGATCACTCCGTGGGCAATCCACTGTTGGTCTATGATACATGCATTGTGCATGGGTTGGAGCCAACGGGACAGCCGGTGTGTTTATTTTCAACACTTGTCCAGGAGACTTTCTAACTATATGCTTTAGGATGGAGTAGAAATCTCGCGCTGCTTGGGGGTGGAGGCATGATTGGATGCATTCAAATTTGTTTTTAGCTTAAGCTTAAGCTTTGAAGAATGAGTTTGCGCAAATTGAGCAGTATTAAAAAGCCAAATCTTGTCATATAAATGTCACTTTGAAAGCTATTTTCCTCTTAAGTCTAGTTGAGGAAGCAGTTCCTATGGTATTAAATGCCGCGCCGACGACGTCTCAAGCATCATTTTTGTGGTCTATGGTAAGAAGTTAAATTGAAACATCTTCTCTGGCATTCGGTGTGCTGTAATTAGATAAATCTAGTTTACCTTACGTTAGCAAAAGAGCTACTCGCGCTGCGCCATGGTTTAAAATTAAATTGTTATGATATATGCCCGGAGTCTACATTTGACAAACGACGTTAGATCATGAGTTCTTCGAAAACAATGCCTGAAAATATTCATCCACCGACAGCGGCTCCCGTTGGAGCAGATGATCTTGAAATTGCCCCCGGGGGCGCCAGAAGATTCCCTGGCCCTGGACATAGCGAAGCAAAAGGAGAAAGTCGCCAGGAAAGCCGCTATCGAAATGGACATCCTTAGGAATCAGGGAGGGATTGGTAATCCAATTCTCAGCGTCCTCAAATGATATGAATTTCAGACTCACTGATCTTCCCGAATGCCGCTTTAGAGAACTTGCGACCTCGCTGAAACTAGTGTGATCTCCGCGAAATCCCAGAATTCTGTTCTCCGAGTACTCTGGATGACAAATGGTGGACACAAGGAATTCGGCGACATCTTTGACGGACGAATAGTCCATCAGAGCATCTGGATTGCCAACTACGTATAGGGTGTAATCTTCTGCATTGCTGTCGTGCCAGGGGCATAGAGTGTCTTCTCCCGGGGCATCGAATAGCTCGCCGCAGCCAATAACAGTATATGTCATCTTGCCTGATCGCACAGCCGGATGTCTGATGGCACTCTCAAGACACTGCAGCTTCTGTAACCATGTCTGTACTCCCGTACGTAAGTCAATAGGTTCGCTCAGATTCGAAGCTAGAGAGGACATCACTTACCGGATGAAGGATTGGTTGACTTCCAGGGAAGATAGGGATTTGGCACATGCCAAATTCGCTAGGATAGAATCGTTTTACACCAGCGAGCGCAGCGCCGTCTTGGATGCATCGCTGTCGATCAAGAAGGTTCCCGCCCAGAGCGCTCAGCACAATATCCACACCTTGTAGCTTGATGCCGATCTCCTCGGGTGATGCGCTCGAGATGTCGAGATGCACAGACGTAACAAATTCCGACCGTACAGAGAGTCGCAGCGTTGACATGGGAGAAATGAAAGCTAGAATCTCGAAACGTTGCTCTTTGCAATTAACTAAAGCATGGAGCAAGGCATTTCCCACTCGACCATTTGCCCCAAAGAGGGCCACCTTCTGAGCTTGAATAGTCATCTTGGGGTCACAGTTCGAAAGAATCCGAGAGACGGAGAAAGTGGCACTAGAGCGAGAAATAAATATTATTCTAACGAAAGTCGCAACGATCATCACATTCCAGAATTTCAAAGTAATCGTCATAGGACATTTGATGGCGTTCATAGCTTACCCCTTACAGGATATTTAGCGATTACTATGGAGTAGTTTCGTGTTACTCTGAAATCTAGGTTCCCATTTCATAGAAGATTAACAAAGGCCCAAAGTACTTGTTTAAAAAGCGAGACCCATAGTGAGAATTTATCCTGCGCCACACGAATTCTGTAGGATAGACCTGAGGCGCGAACTCAAAGAAGCGGACTCATGATCCTACCACAGCAATTTTGCCTTACTATCCTTTTGTCTTTTGTGGTGTGGATATCAAGCTTACCTTGTGTTGAATATTCTAGGATGATTCTAGGATGAAAATTCGAATAAACTAAAGATTATGGTGGCGAATAAATCTCCTCTATCTTAAACAATTTTTTGTTTTCTGTTTCTTTCTCCCCTCCTGTCCTTTATGCTTTCCCACTCTCTTATTTCAACGCAGCAAGGGAGATTCTGTGTTATAATCTGTAATGTAGGCCACCTAATCTGGAAGGGAACATGCGACCCGTGCTGTTCTAGGAACTTCCTGCATAAAGAGAGTGTTGCACAAGAATGACCAGGAGGTCTAACAAAAGCCATAAATTCCGCATTGTTCACGCATTGCGTACAGTCATGTATGTGGCCGCCTTGAGCCCAACATATCGGGTTCAAACTTTTCCAGGACGGAAATTGTCAGTCATCCCGGCAAATGCACCATTCAACCCCTTCAAACGTGTTGATCCAGTCAGGAAAGCTACCTAGGTACATGGGGGAAGGATCCGGAATCTGTAAATGAATTAAAAACCCCTATACGCAATTAAAATACACACTTCTCGTGGAAGCGCAGCAGATGCCGCTTGCCACTAACTTACAGGTGGGTGGTAATCGGCAGCAAAAAAGTATCAAACCTCTCGTATTAATATAGGAACAATTGTTGAGCAAGACTCCGGGTTTGCAAAGTATTAAGCCCTTCATCAAGAGGTTTGCAACGAGTTGTTATATATGCCTTAGTTTTCCCTAATTAAGTTTGGCCAACTTCATCTGACGGATCTTTTTCGAAGGATCTCTCTACGGTGCAAGGAATACTGAAGTAAAATCCGAGTACTTCATAACCTACCTAACTATGGCTTGCTGCTTACGTATACATCAAAATGAAAGAGCTTTCGAGAGAGTTGCCTAGCCAGTCAGGCAGTTCAATTGGGACTAGAATTGTTCAACACAGGCCCTATAAGGTGGCCGAGTCGCGTAGAAAGCATTTCTTTAAATCTTCTTTTCTTTTCTTTTTTTGGTTTAAATCACTAAGCTCTTCTGACTCGGATATACTGTTCTCATATCCACCTTCTACCCCATAACTTTGTTCCGTCGGTACGTTTTTCTAATTGGATGTCCCAAAGCTACCAAATGGCTCAGAGCATCAAAAGAGTTTAAGCTCGGCTATAAGAGCTAGCGTTCCAGCCGTGCTCGGAGATCGGATATGAACTCGGATCCTTGAACATCGTGCTATACGTTGCACCATTGACGAATTGATGGTGCAATCTCTCCCTCATCATCCCGGCACATGGCGATATTTCACGCCGAATGACCAGTAACACGAGTTTCAGGTTATCCAGCTTACCAACACCGCCAAACAAGATCACAATCAGCTTACGGCCATGACTAGATCACTTCTAGGCGTCGGCTATTCGGATGCGCCATCCTCCCAAGAAATGCCGTGGATTCAGCCGAGCGACGCCATCGCCAACCATGACTAATGAAAACCCCATGGGACAAGGGTCCCACTGCGGGGATACGGGGTAACTAATTCCTCGAATAAATAGAATCCGCTGTCGGATCCTTTTCCCTCGGGGATTTCCGCCTGATGCGACTCTGCTATCGATATAACAATGGCGATTGAGAAGTCGGCAACACCGTGTGATGGCGGTACCACCGGCCATGTTGAGCAGCAATCAACCACGCAAAATGCAGTAAACACTGAGGTGCAAGAGAGGCCATCACCTAATGGTGGGTTTGAGGGTTGGATAAGTGTTGTTGCTGGATTTTGCGTTTTTGTTAACTCCTGGTGTGTATATCTTCGATTTCGATTCTTTCTCTAGCTAATCTAACCCAGGGGGTTGATAACTACGTATGGCGCCTTTCAGGAATATTACCAGACAGTGCTATTGCCCGATCAGCCTCCATCATCGCTATCATGGGTAGGCAGTATCCAAGCGACACTCATTGTCATGGTAGGAATTATAACAGGGCCGTTGGTGGATTCCGGCTACCTGCGACCATTGATTGTATGCGGGAGCTTTTTGACCGTGTTTGGGATCATGATGACCAGTCTATCAACACAGTACTATCAAGTGAGATACGCTTTCTCCACTGCAGACTACTCGAACTAACTCCACCAGATAATCCTAGCTCAAGGGTTCGGCGTGGGTCTAGGCGGCGGAATCGCATACATCCCAGCGCTCGTGGTTATTTCCTCACACTTCACCACGAAACGACCCATCGCAATCGGCTGCGCATCCATCGGGTCCAGTGTCGGTAGCGTCGTCTTCCCCATCATGTTCCGTCAGCTTCAGCCCAAGATCGGATTCCCCTGGACGGTGCGCTGCATTGGCTTCATCAACCTCTTCCTTGCCCTAATCACGTGTGCCGTGCTGTGTCGACGTCCTGGAAAAAGGACCCGCGCCAGAAGCATGATCGACTTCAAGGCCTTCAAGGAACTGCCATTCATGCTCTACTCTGTCTCCCTGACATGCATCATGCTCGGCTACTACATCCCGGTCTTCTACGTCCCATCCTACGCCCGCGTGGCACTACACACCACCCGAGACCTATCCTTCTACATGGTCGCCATCATCAACGGCGCATCAGCATTCGGCCGAACACTACCATACCTCGCCGGCTCGCGCGTCAAACCCATGGTCATCTTACTCTGCGCTACAGCCGCCGGGGCAGTCGCCATGTTCTGCTGGATCGCTGTTAGCAACACAGCCGGATTTATCGTCTGGGCATGTTACTGGGGTTTACTCAGCGGTGTGCTGGTCACGGCTCCGACCTCCATTGCCGGCCATCCGGTTTACTGTCCGGATCCGAGCTATCTGGGCACGCGCATGGGGATGATGTGGGGAATCAGTTCGTTTGGGTCCCTAGTTGGGACGCCGATCGCGGGTGCGTTGGTTGATCTCGACACGGCAGAGTTTTGGCGAGCGCAGGTATTCGCGGGTTGTTTGATGGTAGGGGCTGTTTTGTTGCAGTCGTGGCCTACTACTATTGTCGTTAGATATGATCGCGAGAAGGCCTCGGTTGATGGCTAGGTTTGGTGGAGGGCTTTTGCGATAAGTGGTTTAAAACGGTTTTATGTCATCAGAGACTTGTAAATAGAATCGATTCTAAAGACTATAGATTCTACCATACGTTCAAACGGGTTTCAGAACACGAATATCTCTCAATTCCCGTGGTGGTACGAGGGTTTGGTTTATCCCAAATTCAGCAGTTGTCCTACTGATCTTCTACCGCAGAAATAATGAAGTCGTGGCATTGCAGCTCAGTACTTAATCTGCCCTTGAATTACTATAAATATTTCAACGGAAGCCACAATTCGTGAACCTCCTTTCTGTACCTGACTACAGGAAATGGTATGCCTTCAGGATATGACGAGTTTCACACTGAGTTCCATCCATAAACCTTGCGCAGCCTCGTGGAAAACATAGTTTCACTGAACCCGGGAAGGGAAGTGTTGACCATCCATTCTATTGGCAGAGTGTACCAAACGAAAGGGAAAAAATAGGGGGGAACTAAAAATTAAAAGAAAATGAGCAAAAAGATCCTGCCCAGATAACGTAAATGCGTCAACGGCTTCACCGCTACAGCGCCATCTCGAATCAAACACCCGATTACCCCTGATCGGAGCGAAGGTCGGTGAAGCCGAAGCCACCAGCGCGCAGATCACCCGTTCTTGGCGTCGGGGAACGACCTTTTCAATCGGCGACCGGCAATATGCAGGTCACTTGGATAGCTGGACGACTCTAGGACGATTGTGCATGTGACTTATTTTATAGAAGGCTATCAGTCGAGAATGAGTCAACGAGAGGGAATTCTCTAGCCATTAGGTGTAACTCTATCCTTGCAGTGACAAACTCCAGCGTGGGAATCCACGGAGTCGATCGCGAGAAAATTTTTCTCGGACACCGATTTCGGAGTCTCAAATTTGCCAGGTGTTCAGAACTTCGCGTCTTCTCCAAGGAGCAGGAATAAAGCAGGAATAAAGGGTAGTAATATTATTCTAGAAACTAAGAATACACCACAAGGTGTCAAAAAGAGCCGAAACAGAGGACCGAGGAAACAAACCCCGGGCAAGAAAAAACCCCGAGAATGCAACAAGCGCTCGAAAGCAAAGGGTATCGTAATATCATAAAGGGAGAGCCTCGACTGAAGACCCGCTTCGGCCTCTCCGTGAATAGACAATGACGCACAGTGGCTTATTAGGCTTTGCACTCGGACGTCTCCGGCTTCAAGAACGACCGAGCCTGGGGCACGAAGCTGGCCTTGCCCGTCGTTTCGTCGAAGATATGGTATCCATAGTCCGCAGCGTTAGGCGGAGTATACACTAGTCAATCATCAGCTATTGTACAATCTCTCACTTGTCTAGATGAGGGAGCTTACGGTGCAAAGAAACAGCCACCTGGTTGGGACTGGGGTTGTGCACGCGATGAAGCCCGATATCATCCGAGATATACGTGACCGCGTCCATCGGGTGCACCGTCTGGGACTTCAACCTGAGAGGAGCCGACTTGTCGACTTCGGTCTCGGGCGCGTGGTACACGGTCTCCATCAACTCGCCAGCCAGCACTTTCATGATGCAGTGGGCGTTGGCGTGGTCGTGGACGGGAGAGCCCTTGCCTGGGTTCCAGACCAGGAGGAGCTATCAGAATGGTTAGCACGGCTGTATACCACAATTGAGACTTGGGAATGAAAAGAACGTACGATATTAGCCTTGGAATTGATGTTCTCAATGGCATTGCGGGTGTAATTCTTGCTTGGGTCACAGTGGAAGAATTGCACCCAGTCGTCAGGGTTCGAGACGTATTTCTGAACCAGAGATATCAAGTACTCTGCATTGACGCTGGCAGCATCGATTCCCGATGTTTCACCCAGGTATGACTTGATATCGCGAATGAGATCCTGCAGGTCATACGACGGCGGCAAAGGGCCGTCGCATTTTGGAAGAGACTGAGGGAGGGGAATTGGCAAAGAGAGCATGGTGGATAAAATTATGGGACTGGTCTGACTTGGTTGGGTTGCTGGTAGACTGTTGTAAGAATTGAGAAGAGTTATATTCGTTTGATCATGGAGCTGTGGTTCTTAAGGTCCACTCTGCTTCCCCTTGTGAGCAATCGCCGATTAACGGCACAAATTTGAGTCGGCGAATGACGTTGGGCGGCTGGCGTCGGAGCGTCGCGATAATGCACCGACCCCGTGGAGGACACCAAGGACTAGACATGAAACAAGAATTCCCTGCTCTAAAGAGTAATGGATATGCAGTAGAGAGGAATCATGGCTTGTATACTGCGCGTTGAAGTGTGCTATCTTGCAGGAGTTGCCTTAACTAGCCGGTTCTAGATTGCGAAGAAGCCAAGATGGACTGTAACGTTGGAAACTTTTTTTTTTTTTGGAAGCGCATTCATAACAGGCAATTCAGATGGAATAAAATGAAAAGAAGATAAGGCTAGATCGAAGCGTGAAGAATTAAACCTCAATCTGGGTGACTGAGGCAACAAGGCCCAAGCCCGACCAGTTACGTAAGACGAACGCCGCAAGCGCGACGCAGCGACCAAAAAAGCCAGACTGGTCAACCTCCCAACGATGAATCAGGAATGCCTCCTCTCCGATCGACTCGGGATAGCGGGCTGGCCGCACTGGCCTGCACCGAGTGCAGGAAGCAGCATTTGAAATGCGACGCTAGCAAGCCATCCTGTTCGCGCTGCTCGCAGAGCGGCCTTCTCTGCCAATACCTGCCTTCCCGACGCGGCGGACGCAGAAAACCACGCCACGACTCCATCTCGCAATATCAAACCCCGACTCGTAGAAATGAAATCAGTGTCAGTATCCCCTATCCTGGAACATGAGCACGGTGATAACGTAAAGCGAGGATGCTAGTAGTCACCAGCTTCAACTCTCCAGCCCAGTTCTTCCCGCCCGACTAATGCGCAGGACGACTCGTCGCAGAGAAGCTCGCATCCGGATTTTGGAAGCATCTCATGGCCTGCGTCGCTGCCTCAGAATGGTGTCGGACAGAATGGTTTAGGTCATGAATGCAGCGTTGGTGATTTCGACGATCGCTTCCTTCGTTTGTTCTACGAGAATTTTCACGTTGCGCACCCCATTCTGGTGCCTTTTTCTCTGTACAAGGAACGCAACTACCCCCAATTTCTCCAACTGGTAGTGAACTTGGTCGGCTCTCACTACGCACCATCTAGCTCGAGTTTGCAATTGAAGGACAAGGTCGACGCCGAGCTGAGGTCGAACCCCGACCGGTCGCCATGCATGGTCCAGGCCTGGTTGATCTACTCCATTGCGCTGTATGCGCGCGGGGAGCAGGAAAAGGCCCAAGAGGCTTTTTCACATGGAACTGAAATCGCGTTCGAGTTAGGCATGAATCGCTGGGAGTTTGCATCAACGTCTCAGTCAGACATATCGATCGAGGCCGAAAGCATCCGACGAACGTGGTGGGAGCTGTACATCACCGACATCTTCATGGCAGTCCAGCTCAAAAACATCACGTTTCGTTGTAGCGGCATCACCCCGGAGGTCGGACTGCCGTGCGAAGACTCGGTGTATGCCGCAGGTTGTGATGTGCCGGGACCCCGTCGAATGTTGGACTTCAAGAGAAGAGTCTTTGCAGAGGAAGAGACGGTGTTTTCTTCTTTTAGTTATCGCATCGAAGCAGCGACAATTCTCTGCAGAGTTTTGGTCTTGAATCGGTTACGCGACTACCATCGCGACCATCTGCAGGCTATCGAGAATGCTCTCGTCAGCTGGGTCAACCACCTACCGCCGAAGAAGCTGGACATCGTGGACTCGTATGGGAATGTCGACGAGATGATGTTCCAAGCGCACTTAACTATCGCCTATGCTGCCATGCTGCTTCATCTCCCAAGAAGCGACCTCCAGCCCCTTTTATCGCAACCGGACGACCACTTCTGGCCCTCTGCGACATGCCATCTCTCCTCAACATTCACGCGTCTCGTCCACAGCATCAAAGCGACCGAAGCATCGCGACGAATCTCAGACTCAATCTCAGTGTGTCCCAACATCCAAAAACATTCCCCATTCGTGATTCCGGCCCTAGCGCTCTGCGGAATGATCCAACTTGCCACGTCCATCAGCCACTCCGAAGAATGCTTCGATCACCACTGCAATCGCGTCACGCTGATTCTGGGGTGTTTGAAAAGCACAAAGCGGACGTGGAACTCCGCAGAACCGGCATATCACTATTTGCGATCTTCGGCGGCAGATATTCTCTCAGATTCCATCGAGAGATGGAATGCAGGACCACTGGAAAAGATAACCCCGTCACAGTCTGCGCCGAACGATATGGAACGAACGGTCCAAGGCGCGCCCGCAGTCACCACGATCGCAGAAGGACAGAGCCTTTTGGCGCCAGAACTTGCACCGGCATTTATTGATCCGACGTGCTATAATGCGTCGTTCTTCAATTGCCTGGCAGAGTTCGATATCAATTAGCTCAGTCATCTACCGGGGGTGCGAAACGGTATAATTGAATCAGGGGGCCGAACAACAGTCACCAGGAAGCCATGGTATAGAATATTAGGGGCTGGAATACCCGGCGATAAAGTAATGCCGAATCTAGGCGCCTGGTGAAACATCCGACCGGGGAGCGATCCTAGCAACATTCTACAGAATAACAATAGCCGTCCCTGGCCGGCCATGACGATATCTATTCATATGACGGGTCATTTGGTGCGACAGCAGATCAAACGGATGCACCGTGCGGCCAATAAACCATGCGCAGTTCAGTCGCCGAATGAAGTGCGATGCACAAACTCGCCGACTCAGGATGCAACGTCACATTTAATCAAGAATGCGGTACAAATCTTCCATAAGAGGCAGTAAATGTGCATTATGCAATGTATCTCAATCTGATACGTTATGTCTAATTACGTGAATTAAAATCCCACTGGTCAAGCCACATTTCCATCCAGCTGCCATTTGCTGCGCCAATCTCACCGAGTAGTGGCAGACGGTCTTGCGTATGCTGAGTATCCAGCACCACGGGGGCCTCTTCCTGTGTAGCTTTCAGGCCCTGGAAGAAGCTCAACAGGCCCAGGCCCAGGCCCGGATTTGAACCATTCTCTGTTGTCGCTGCCGATTTCTCCAGTCGATCCACCCATTCCGATAGAGAAACAACCCTCACCTCCTCCCCCAGCCGCTTCACAATGACTGGAAGAATATCCTGATAGCTCACCGGCTCCGCATTCACCAGATGATGAAAGTCAGTTAACGCCATTCCGTTGGCGTCTATGGAGTGTTTCAAGACCACCAGCTGGACTATGATCTCGGCCAATTTATCCACCGGTAACCAATCAACTCGACCAGCCGAGCCCAAAGAGTCCGGAACACACCCAATCGCCCTCGACGTCTCCAGCAAGCTAGGAAACCAGTCTGTCCGCGGCCACATTCTCTGTTTCACGACCCTCCCAACAGGACCGGCAACCTGGCCCAACCGGCAGATCGATGAGCGAGTGCCGAGAGTTTTGCCAGCCTCTTCGAGCAGCACACTAGCTAGGAGTTTGCTTTGCCCGTACCATGTCTGTGCGTGTTTTGGGTCGCTGAGTGGCTTTTCAGGGACGGGGATACTTTTGTCCCATTGCTTGACGGTCGCTATTGATGAGAGGAAGACGATAGGTGGATTGTACGAGGCGCCGTGTGCGAAACGAATGAGATTCTCGACGCCTTCGATGTTTGGTTCGAAGGATGATAGCGGCTGGTTGAAGTTCACTGGCCATTGGCAGTGGACGATGACGGTGATAGATTCGAGTAGAGTCGAGAGTACGCTAGGATCGAGATTGAAATTCTCGCGTTCAAGACTTCCTAGCAAGTATTGCACATCAACTGGGTTATTAGTTGTGTTGGTGTCGGATGATGCAGCTCGATACTCTGTCCATCTGTCAAGGCAAGCTATTCTCTCTACCTCTGGACAGCGTAAAAGAGAGTCCAGCACGTATGATCCGACGAACCCTGTACTTCCGGTCAAGAGAACGTGTGCTTTTTCTTCATGCGGTCTTTTATGACTGGGCTCCCTTGGCGACAGAGACGATAGACTGTCGAGATGTTGTTGCAAGAGTCCATGAAATTCGTGCTCCTCTGTTTCATCACCTGGGTCTGAAGAATGGATGTGCTGAAAAAGCGCGCGGGCGAGTTCATCGACAGTTGGGTGTTTATACACGATGTCGACAGAAACTCCTTTTTGAGTATTGCTCGACCGGCCGTCATCCGACTTGAACGATGCTCTGTTGATAGCATTCACCAGGATCTGAGCCCCTCGGGAATCGAGTCCACTGTCAAAGAGGTCCTCGTCAATGTCTAGATCATCTATTGAAACCAACTGCCCAGCCATTTCCAACAAGCCTGAAAAAAGGGTCTGTTCCGAAGAAGGATCAAGCTCAGAGATTAGGCTGTCATCATTTCCATACAACCTATTTATCTCATCCTCATAGTCCTTCTCTATCGCACTGCGACGGAGGTTCCCCTTAGCGTTTCGCGCCAGCGGTTTCTCTGGACCTGCCCAGATGACATCTTTCAGCTGAATATGAGCGTCTCGAGACCCTTGGAAATTCGTATCGGCAAGCGTTTTGTCAAGTCGACTCATGATGAGCTCTTTTGCTTCCGGGAAGATCGCATCGAATCCCAACTCAATCAAAAGGCCCGGATAAGGCTGTTTATTCCCGACCACGAGCGCCGATCTGACTCCAGGAATAGCCGAAACAGCGTCCTGAACAGGCAACGGGTTGATCTTTTCGCCCGTGGAAAGCACCAAGATATCATCTGTGCGGCCTTGATAGACCCAGTAATTCTCGTTGTCCGGATGTCGTTGGAAGATATCCTTGACAGGGAACTCGTGCAGGTCTGGGAAATTGTGGAATATTGATTGATACGGGAAAGACGTCTCATCGCGAACGACAAACAGTTCGTAGAGGCCATCGCTATTCGGGATCGGTCGGAGGTCTGCACCACTGAGAGGATGAAAATGGTAGCAGTTCCAGTACGGCGCGTCGGTAGGATACAGAGGCATAGATCCACATTCCGTGGAGCCGAATCCATTCATGAGTCGGGTTCGCGAGGAAACTGCATCCCCCGTTTTTTCGGTTATAGGCCCTATTCAATTCAATGAGCCTGTCATACAGGGAATGGCGTTTTAAAACGAAAGCCACTCACCTCCCCCATACATAATCCACTCCAACTTCGGGACCACAGCCGACATCAACGGTGGATCTTCAGCTATCTCGTTCAACGTCTGAGGGGCCAGCATTGCAGCATCCGGCCGTGCAAGCTCAACCACCTTCTTGTAAACTTCGATCCCCGGAGGACGACGCGGTGGTCCCAGTACCACGCAGCGCCCGGTGAACAGAAAGAGGCAGGTGAGCTCGAAGCCGGCGACGTGAAATAGTGGGAAGGATTGGTATGGGCGCTTGGCCTCTGCCAATACCTCCAAGTGACACTTCCGTCCGTCGGTATATTGTTTAGACACTGACTGCTGAATGTCGATGGTCGAAATGGCGCTGTGAGAAATCGGGACACGCTTAGAAAGGCCGGTGGAGCCTGAGGTTTGGAGAATCTAGGAGAGTAAGTACTGATAGAACGGTGTTTCTTGAAATGATTATCTCACAAGTGCTGGCTTGTTATATGCGCTGGCCCAGGTTTCGTAGTATGGGAAATCCTTCGAACGAGCGTTCTTCGTCTTAAGAAGATCAACTAAGTCATTCATGCCATGGAGGGTAATTTTGCTTTTAGCAGAGATCTGGTCCGCGACGTGGCTGCATGTGGCGTCGAATATAAGCAACTCGCAACCGCATTCATCTATCAAATGCGCGTTAATGTAAGCGCTATTTCGAGACGAGAGCAGAAGTGCCTGATGCACGGTTAAATCTCCAAGTTCAATCTTTGCAAGTTTGGTATAAACCGCACCTTCGATCCAATCCTGTTGCAGGCCAACGCAAGCAGTAGATGTCTTAGGTCACTTGGTGCCAGATACCTAAACAGATCAGATACAATCTCTTAAGCAGATTGAGATTGTACTCACGCTATGGACCTTTCTTTGTAGGTGCATTTATTGCCACTTAACCCATGGATCCACCAAGCAAGTTGATCTACCAAGTTCCTCAGATGGGCGTATTTCAACGGAACGACCTTATCCTGGGGGCTATCAAGGATGACCTGATAAAAGGCGATTTTCTCCGGGTTTATTAAGGCCCATTTGTCGATATAATTGAGCAACAGACGATGTCCGATCTCATCTTGCTCCTGTTCGCAACACAGCTTAGTCAACATGCTGCTTGGTTAAAAGGACTCTGTAGATACTCCGGTGAGCGAATACTTGGGTTTTGGAAGGACATTAAGAGGATGAAATATTCAAATTCAAAATTCAGAATGCGCATTAGAAAGGTTGACTGCGGAGGTGACATTGAAATGCAGGATGACATTGTGTTGAGAGCTTCGCATATCGCTAGATTACCGTTGGGAAACCACAAGCCGGTCGCCTCGATCGCAGCCTGCCGAAGGTGATATGATCTCATCGAAGACTAGGGCAAAGATCCTTTTGCCACCGTCATTCACTGTCCGTGATTTAGGTTTGGTGATAAAACTTGAATACTGGAGTCCCGTACCCAGACTTATAATGATGGACCGCGGACCTGATTAGATCACTCGATCACATACGGGACTGAATTTATTATTCGAGGGATAAAATTGGCCTTGGGTGTTTGAACAGCGCGACTATTTCAGGTAATGCGCATCTGGAATTATGTCGCGATATCCGTGATATAACTTTTAGAATTGATATATGAGGATATCAGTCTTGTCCACGCTCATATTCTCTGTCGGTACTTATTGTCTTAGTCCCAAACCTGAACATTTGGTTACATGATGTCATAGTTGCAAGGCAAACAGAATGATGGGGTTTAGTGGGTGTGGCTGACCCCTTGCGTGGTTCTAATCATCGCATTGGTAGGATCAAGTCATTGCTCCCGCGAGTCGGGCTCTGGAGGCTTAATAGTTACGAAGGCGTAAACCAAAGAAAATAAGCATCCCAACTCCCGATAATGTTGGGAGTCTTCCTACTACACGTGATCTTAAAAGCTGGACGCAACACGAAATATAAACCTTGACCTACTACTAATTTCCATCTCGAGCGACTATAACCGGTAGAGCGTACGTATTACAGCCTCAACAATTACAGGATACAGGACACTCCCATTGGGCGCATTTACTGGTCGTATCGCTGCATTATTAGCGAAACATTGGCATATAAAGCCGGACGCTTTGTGCTGTGTTCGCATATATAAACCTCAAGAGGCTCAAATGGCAGGAACAGAATGGAAGAGAACTCCACGCTATCATAGCTGTTACCGAGGCACTATGTCCCCACCCCTTATTATACTAGCCCCTTAGTGCAGTAAAATGGTGGGCCAGGTAAGACATACGGCGTTCAGTTGGCGCAATGTCAGAATTTAGTGTCGCGATGCTAGGTTTAATTAGTTTCTAAGCCTCAACGCCTATCAGAGCTGCAAGATAAAGGTAGCACTGGATCAGGGGGATTACGTACTTTCAGTACTAGAATGTCTTGAATTCTGAAATTCTTTCTGACACCTTACTAGTTATCGCACCCAATCAGCGTAACAAGTTATGCTTTCGACTCTGAAAAAATTTTATATCAAAAGTTGTTGGCCGAGATACCCAATGGGGTATCCAACACGAAGACTAGCGCTAGACACTACGCAGTACAGCACTAAATCCTGACATCTCGCTAATGGCACACCAACAAGGCAGACGGGAATCTACGGAGTACGCAGTAATCTAGAATTTATATTGGCCCCCACGTATGGTCACGTACTCCGTCTCCGTACTCCGTATTCGTAAGGGGCATTTGCTAATATTATAGGGTGATTCTACTAGTGGCCTTCAATATTATCCAGCTATACCTACTTCTAATAGAAGACTAGTATGCAAGTACGGACGAACAACTACCTCCTCCGTGTCTCATAAGCATCGGGTGGCACGGCTAGCACCATGAAACAGCGGCAGGAATTTGCTTGTAAAGAAATTGAGCCGAATAACCAGATCTTCCATCCTAATCATCCTTCTCTCGCCATGCCCATAACCAAGCTTTTGGCAGGATGCTCCTTCCGCAACTCCACTGGAGATATTGGGCTTCATCCATGGTGTATCCCAAGGACGCTCATTGTCTTGGATATTTCGAAAGCTGCAACACAGCCAAGGGCCCCCTTGCTAGCGCTCACGTCCGGAAGGTTATCTGCATATGCCTCTACTTGGAAGGAAATGAGCCGTGGCCCGTTGGCCAAGACAATTGTGATTTGGATGCAGTGCCTTTCTCACAACTAACGAGTTCCCATGCGGCCATTGGTTCAAAGGCTACATTAGGAAACTTGGCATTTTGGGGTTTTGAAGTCTTTTCAGATGTTAGGACTTGATTATGCCTTGTCTATATTATCTTAGAAAATTGCAATAAAATCTGACAGCCTTCTGTGTATATATTTACCTCTCAAGCCCCCGGGCTCGAATTCATTGTTCAGAATATTTTCTAAACTTCGAGATTGCCTTGATAATCATTCAACTCCAGCCATCATGCCTCATTATACAGAATCAGTGTTCCGTCCCGAAACTGCAACGGAATTCTCCTCTTCTCGATTCTTGTCTGACCTTGAAAGTCTTGCGAAAGAGGTCAATTCCTCCATCGACAAACCCGCCGTGGAAAACGTCCTCACAAAGTTTGACAAATACTTTCAAGAGGGTTGTGTCGTGTTCCGCAGCAAAGACCGGCCCAATGACACTCTAAACTACCGTCTATTCCTATTCAATGCCCATGACACAATGAAGGCGGCCATTGAGGCCGGTCTACTGGACCCTAGCCACCCGTTCATTCCCTTGATGGGACTATGGCACTTCTTGTGCCATCAAGACCAAACTCCTGCTTTCTGGCCCGACTTCAGTGCCACAAAGGCAACCATAGCCAAGACCTGGCTCCTAATCAGCCCTCTCTGCTCAATCAAAACCCTCCTTCGAGCACCTGGCATCCCGAACGGAATGCAGGACCAATTCGATACCCTCCAATCCGCAGGTTTGGACAAAGTCCGATTCATCGCCGCCGACTACGACGCTATGACGGTGAACTTTTACTGGCCCCTTGCGGAACCCCTGTCGCGCAAACAAGCAGACCAGCTCGCCGCACTCGGAGGCTCCCCTCCACCCAGCGAGGACAAGCTGCAGGAGATGAAAAAATACCTCGACCCGCGAGGGACCTTGTTCGCTGTCACTATGAAGTACCCAACTGGGGAAATGACCAGAGTTGGATTTTACGCGCTTAACGTCCACCTGACCCCGACCTTGAAGGACTTTCCTCAGGTGAACGAGCGCGGGACGAAGTTTCTCACATCGGTTAAATCACACGATAAGGTCCCAACGACGGTGGTTTCATGGTCTTTTGGCCGCGATGGCGGGGAGTATACGAAGCTTGAGGCTGGGAATTCGGGCGAATTTGAGGATTTGATTCTCCATGTGGGCGCAATGCCATGAGAGCTTTACACGGTCTTATTGTTTAATTTCTTTTTCTTTCTTTTTCTTTCTTTTTTATTCTTTTTTATTCTTTTTCAATCTCTTTCGCGTGGATTTCTAGGTACTGGAAATGGGTGGAATCTTTTTAGGATTATAATCAGATTGTTTTACTACTCCTCGCTGGGGCGTCTGTAGACTGAAACTCGATACATCCAGTACTGTAGAGACAAGTAACAATTCTAAGATGATCCTAAACTGGGTCTCAGTAGAACGAACTGCATAAACTCCCCTATTAATTGAAGCTACGCTGTATTGTACAGTCTTAGAACTGATGGTAAATCTCTTTTCGGGATACCTCGGAGATAGTCCGGGTCGGATATAACATCCCCGACGACCCGCGGAGCATATAAAACATCGCAGGCAACCCGTAGAAACAATTCTATTAAATCTACCCATACCAAAATGTCACCCAAAATCGGCCTCGTTATCTGCAGCCAGCGCAATCCGCGCGTAGGACCACAGATCGCAGACTTCGTGCACGAGACGATCACGCAGGCCTTCCCGACGACGGATCTTTCACTCATAGATCTCGCCGTGTGGAACCTTCCACTGTGTAACGAGCCCGGGATACCATCACAGATCAAATCACCCGATCAATACACACACTCCCACACACAGGCGTGGTCGCGAGAAATCGCCGCCCACGACGCCTTCATCTTCGTCACTCCGCAATATAACTGGGGCTATCCGGCTAGTGTCAAGAACGCGCTGGATTATCTCTACCACGAGTGGACGGGGAAGCCGGCGTTGATTGTCAGTTATGGGGGACATGGCGGTGGGAAGGCGGCGGCGCAGCTGCGTCAGGTTCTACAGGGGTTGCGGATGACACCGGTCGAAAGGATGGTTCTTCTGGCTTTTCCGGACAGGGATGTGCTGATGAAGGGGGCGGAGGGGGGTGATTTGGGTTTGACAGGAGAGGGGACGTTTTGGGCTCGTGAGAAGGAGGATATCACGGCTGCCTTTGGGGAGTTGCAGCGTGTTATCAATAATGTCTAAGTTGGAGATTTTACCTAGGCTATGTGGGAACGACTGCATGAGCAGGGAATAATTAGCACCAGGTGAAAATGTACTTTTTGTGTACAACAGAAAACTATAATCAAGATGTTCTGAACTCCCCTAATATAGGCGTGGTTAAGCCCCCCAGGGGCACTGTAGCACCTTGGACGAGGCGAAATGTAGTATTTCCCCAGTACGGCCATTTCGTGTCAGCCCACCAAACTCTAAGGCGTCACGCTATTGGTTTTGAGGCCCCATGTTCCAGCTGATCCATGGGTTGTGATTTCATTCCTATTAATTAAGCCTTAGGGACCTCCCTTCGTCGGTTGAAACGAAAATGGCGTCCCGCATATCTTCACTCAGATCACCCACAGTCGTGCTGTTAGCTGCGGCGACGCTTGCAAAGGCAGCTCAGATCTCCAACCTATCATTTGCACCAGAAGACACCATCACTCGCGATGTCTGCATCATCGGCGGCGGGTCTACAGGGACATACGCGGCAATTCGCCTAAAAGACCAAGGAAAGTCCGTCGTGGTAGTCGAAAACAGCGACTATCTCGGCGGCCATACGGAGACATACTACCTTGGGAATGGCCAGCACTTCGACTACGGCGTCGAGGGCGTGATCAACGACGAACTATCGCGGAACTACTTCACACGACTCGGGGTCGACTGGCGAACACTGCTCCCAGACACCTTAATCACGGAAAATGTCAACTTCCAGACCGGCATGCGGGTCCCTCCTCCGAACGGCACTCTGACGGGGGCGCTTTTATACCGCAGCGTGATCGAAAAGTACGACTACCTTCGCGATGGAACGCTGAATCTCCCAGATCCAGTTCCCGAGGAACTGTGGCGTCCATTCGGCGAGTTCGTGAGCAAGCACCGGCTTGAAGGGGCGTTGGGTATAATTTTCACTTTCAGTCAAGAGGTAGGAAATCTGCTGGACGTGCCGACTGTATACGTGCTGCAAAGCTTCGGGGTCCCGCAGGTTGATGCCCTGCTACGAGGATTCATGACCCCTAGGAACGGGGGTATGGATCTATATCGCAAGGCTGCCGAGGTGCTTGGTCAAGACGTTCTCTTCAACAGCACCGTCTCTCAGACCGAACGATCACTCAGCTCAGTGCAGGCCGTCGTGCAAGGAGCCAACGGGACCTCGAAATTGATCCAGGCACAGAAGCTTCTCATCACCATTCCGCCCAAAGTCGACCATGTCCAACCCTTCGACCTGGACGACACCGAACTCGAGATCTTCCAAAAATGGAAATGGAACAGCTACTTCGTCGCCGTGCTGAACAACACCGGCATCCCCGACGCCGTCACCGTAATCAACACGCACCCCGAGAACGGACCCGGAAGTCTACCTCGGACACCGTTCGCCTGGCGCCTTCGTTATCCAGGCGTTCGCGGATACGTCACCAGCGAGATAATTGCCGACGAGAACTTCACCGCGCGAGACGCCATCGAGCTCATCCAGTCTGATCTCCGCCGCATGAAAGACGCCGGAACATACAACGTGACGGCGCCGGAGTTGGTTCTGCTAGCGAACCACTCGCCCGCGTCGCCTATGGTATCAGCGGAGGATATCCAGGCGGGTTTCTATCACCAGCTCTATGCTTTGCAAGGGCGACGGAATACATTCTATACCGGGCGGAGCTTTTGTGCGGACCATTCGTCCCTCTTGTGGGCGTATACGGATACCGTAATTGCGACGATGTTTCCTTAGCGACTTGTTGAATTTGGGCTGCTGTTTATTCAGTGGCATTTTCTGGTTAAGTCGTGAATTTTCTGTAAGCCATGGTATTTTCATATTTGGGATTTGTGTGGGCTTATTGCAATGCATGTTTAGCTTGGTAGTCATGCAAGATTGAACAAACTAGTGGTTAGGCAACACGTAATCAGCCCTGTGGGACAGGATGCATTGGCAACAACTCAACTAAGGCCATGTGGATCCATAACGTACAATCCAATGCTTGCTGGTTTAGAGTCAGGCCGATGGATGAAGCAATTACGGTCAGGATTCGGACAAAACGCGCATCTCCGATCCAGCCTCTGGGCCACGTGATTGGCTGTCGGACATCTGGCAGATGAGTCATCAAGTCCAAGATGCCAAGCCTCGGCTCGGCCTCGGCATTTCAACTCCTTTGGGAATCGAACTCCGAAACGCCGGTGCGCTGTCGACAGCAAGACTTGTATATCTACAGTCAATGGCTTCATGCTGGGATATCCATGGAATATTAAAATCTATCTGAGCTTATGCCAGCCTAATTCAATATATACGACCGGAATGTCCAACAACGCCGAGAAACAGTTGTCTGGGAACGAGGAGAATCTCCCTCCGAAGCCACCGGCATTCCCAGAAGGCGGATTCAAAGCATGGATGGCAGTCCTATCGTGCTGGTGTGTGATGTTCAACACATTTGGATATATCAATGCCTTTGGGTAAGTCCCTTACTTCTTGTAGGCCTCAATTGCCCCAGTTCTAACAATTGTAGTATCTACGAAGCATACTACGGACAAACACTTCTCAAAGATCAAAGTGACTCCAACATTGCCTGGATTGGCTCGCTGCAGGTCTTCTTCATGTTTTCGGCAGGACTGGTCTCGGGGCCGCTGATGGATCTTTACGGGCCTAGGGTGAGTTTAATCAACCTTATATTGCAGATATCCCTAAACTAACAACCACCAGATCATCATGATCCCGTGTTCGCTACTCTTCATCCTATCAGTTATGTTGACGAGCCTGTGCACGGAGTACTACCAGTTCATCCTAGCACAGGGTGTCCTAGGAGGCATCGCAAACGGCTTGACATACACCCCCACGCTAACCGCCGTCAACCAATATTTCTTCCAACGACGCCCACTCGCCATGGGAATCGCAACCAGCGGATCCTCGCTCGCCGGAATCATCTTTCCTATCGCTCTGAACCGCATGCTCAACCGCTCAGACCTCGGCTTCGGCTGGTCCGTCCGCGTCCTCGGCTTCATCATGCTCGCGCTCAGCATCATCGCCTGCGCCTCCATCACCTCCAACGTCCCGCGCCGACGCACCGGCCCTCCATTCCTGCTCGAAGCATGGAAGCATCCCGGCTACACCGTCCAAATCATCGGCCTGTTCCTCGTCATCTGGGCCCTCTTCGTCCCCTTCTACTTCATCCCCGGATACGCCCAATCCATCTCCATCAGCGTCGACCTCTCATTCTACCTCATCGCCATCCTCAACGCCGGGTCCCTCGTCGGCCGACTCCTCGGCGGCGCCGTCGCAAACCACATCGGTCGCTTCAACACCCTGTCCGGAGCGTCCATTATCTGCGGCATCCTCATCCTCTGCTGGCTGCGCATCACCTCGCAAAGCGGGATGATCGCGTTCTCCGTGCTGTTTGGCTTCTTCAGCGGGACGATCATCTCGCTGTTCACGGCGACGATTGCCATGACGGCGCCGCAGCCGAACCAGATCGGTTCGTATATGGGCATGGCGCTGGGAGTGCTCAGTTTGGCGGGGTTGACGGGGACGCCGATCACCGGGGCCATGATCAGTGCGTATGGGAGCTACAATGCGGCGATTATTTTCGCTGGGGTGGCGTCGGTGCTTGGGACGGGGATTATCTTTGTGGCGAGAGTGTTGTTTGTGGGGATGAAGGTTGTTGCTTGAACAGTAGGAGTCATCTAAATGTTGATCATGTTAGAGTAGATAAAAAGATAGAGTAATTAGATGGAGTTTATTACACAAATCATCGATGAATTAAAATCTCACTCTGCATGAAGTGCTACTCAAGCTTCTACCCATGCAATAAGCCTTACCGGCGCGGCGGCAATTATGATCTTTTAACCCTTTTGGATCAGTCGTGTCTGGAGAACAAACTGCGGACTTGGAATACTTGAAGGGGAAGGGCCAATTGTTTTTTATAGTACTCGGTCAACGTAGAAGACAAAAGTATTGAACGGAAAATGTGAGAAAGAAGAATGAAATTATAGAATAGCGCTGTAAGCAAAAAAAAAAAAAAGAAAAGAAAAGAAAAAAAAAGAAAAAAGAATAGAAACAACGTATATAACTTAAGGACTGTAGAAGAACTGTACAATGAAATATTTACTCGGGAACAGGCAGCACATACATTCTCAGATATGAGCAGTGAAATTGACGCCGAAAATGGCACACTTTTTCAATCTGTTCCAGATGCCGAAACATTAGACTGTGTTTCTCTCCTCACATTCTCCCAGTCCTCTCCGCAAAATGAACTTGGTAACGTTGTTAAACCAGCTTCCGGATTCCAGTCATGATCATAACGAAGAGCAAGCTCGATCTAGATCCTCTCGCATGACCGAGCAAGACGCAATGAAGTGCTGCAAGACAGTTGGATAATCGGGATGGCTCTTGTCTAGTAGCTCCCTCCGCTGCTCCAAAAATTTGATTCCTTCAGTTAGGAACTTCGTGTCCTTTGTCTTTTGGAAAAGGGTACGTAGAATGAGGACCAATTTCTTGCATTGTGGGATCACCCCATTGGAGGTAGTCGGAAAACGAAGAACGGCCTCTCTATACCTGTCCGCCGCCTTCTCCAGATCCTCCAAGTTCCCTCGCATTAGATACCGGGAGTGGAAACAATGGCCCATGGCAACAGATCCCGCGCTTAGGTACTGTGGAATGTCCGGCACGGTTTCTAGTATCTTTTCCATGCTGTCCATGGCCTTTTTAAGGTCGTCATCGGCGTCCCTCGCCACTGCACGGTCGCAGAGGGTCAGTGCAAGCTCTATAGTATGGAAAAAGATATCGTGGCCAATGTCGACAGCCTCGTGAGCATCCAAGATAGCCCGATCTATATCTCGAATGTGGTGCGACTTCTTGAAACGGAGCCGAAGGACGGAGGCGCGTCGAATTAAAGCGTTCGCCCTGTCAGGGTCTCCCACCGAGCGTTCCACTGCCTTTTCGGATGTCAACATGGCCTCTATCAATGCACCTACGAATCGTGATGATTCACGTCGCTCATATTTGCAGGTCAGTCCCTGGGCAAGGATCCCCAATCTCCTACCTAACTTTGGGTCGCAGTCGCTGGTGTGGGCAATGGCCAATCGAGCCAAATCAATGCCATAACGGAGATCCGCAGAGACGCCGGCGCTGAAAGACTTTTGGATAAATCCCTGGCTCAAGGAATTGAAGATATCGGTTTTGTCAGCGTAGTCCTTTGGGAGGGCGTTCTGTAACACCTGCGCCTCTTCGAGTGTTGGCAGACTTGAGCAGCAAAATATGCTAACGGCCAGGTCTACCAACGAACAACCGAATTGACCTATAACGATGTCGAGCAATGCGGCACTGTCCTGTGTCTCTTTATGTTTCTGTGCAAAGTGCACAATCCAACTCGAAAATGCGTATTTTCCGAATAGAAAGTTATTTCTGCACCACGTGTGGTAGGTGAGCTGGGCAATCCGGGGGAGTATCATGTACTCTTCAATAGCTTTGAACCCTGGATTATTCGCGATGAAAGGAAGCGAAATATACTTCATGCACGCATTTGCCAACACCCCGTGGCAATTTGCAAGGTCCGATTTTGGCAGCCAGCCCGGGAACTGACTCTCATCCTCCTCTGAGACAAGATAGTCCTTCACAGTCTGGTGGAGGAAGTAGACTCGACCGGCCACGACATCTAACAGGAAACCACATTTCTGACGAACAATATTCTCCATCAACCAATCTGAATGCAGGGAAAGGTCGTCTTCGGTCTCGCAATGCCGCCGCTCCCTCAACGTGAGTTTCACCGCAATTTGGAGTTCCATGACTGACAGTGGTCTGGTCGCTGCAAGCACAATTTGGATAATTGCTCTCACATATGGTATGTCATCTTCACTTACCGTTTCCAACAAAGCTTTATAGGCTTGATACACAGTTGTTGGAACGGTTTTGAAGACTTCGGCCCAGTCTTGATCAAATGCGGGGAACTTTTGGACATAGATAAATAGCAACTTAACGAAGAGATATGTCGAGTGCTGATGACATTGGAGAATTTTCAGGAGCTCTTCTGTCTTCGGGCGGCTAATCCCCTTGTCCTTTGCAAGATTTTCCAGCTTTACTTTCGCGACATGGAGAATGTCACTTCGTAGAGCACTACGACAGTCGACATCGTCGTCAAGATTTAATATGCACCATTCAAGCTCATCGGTCAGGTCGCTCAGAGGCCTCGTGGTTAAGAGGAATTTGACTCTGGCGTCTGGAAAGTCCGACTGGAACCTCCCGATTCTGTCTAGAAGGCGTTTTCTGTTGAACTGATCGGATTCATCGAGCCCATCAAGGACAATCGTCACACGATGATGCCGACTTATCCTGCTGATGATCTTCCAGACCTTGTTATTCAAAAGTCGGATTTCCTTCTTTTTCAATTTTTTGATATCTTTCAAGGTTCTGGGATCTGGGAGCCTCGGCAATCCTTGCAAAAGCTCATAAAAGATTTTGCGCAGAGCGACCGTCGGATCTGTTTGACCACGGCTGATATCCTTGAAGAAAAAGGAGCACACTATTTGATCATTTTGTTCTGAAAACAGACCTCGCGAATGATTTGCGAGCACGGACTTTCCAGTTCCAGGACGAGCTACCACAACAAGAGCACCTCGTTCGCTCTCTTTCCATTCCAAGTAGGACTGGTGCTCTAGAACACCGTGACCGGTATTTGTCTCCTGTTTCTCGATTCCAGCCACATAATCGTCATATGTTATGGTGTCCAGTTCGGACTCGTCGAGGTCGAATTTCTCGAATCCTTCAAAGGCGATTTCAGCCTCGGAATCGATGCGATTATCCCTAAGATTGCGTCTCTCCTCGTGACACTGATTTATGAAGTCAGGAAGCCCTTCCGTGTTCTTCAGCATCTGATGAATCTTTTCTCGGTAGTCGGCTTGGCTGCAGAATTCAATATGTTCCATCAGCTCTTTTTCCAGTTCTTTTATGGAATCTAAGCTCTTTTCCCAGTCGTTCCACTTAACAGTGTTCGAAAGGATTTCCCTCCACTTGCGGTTGTGGGCACGGAGACTGCGGAGTTGATATTCAACAAGAAGTTTGTAGAGATCGACGAGAGACTTTCGAATGATACTGGTGCGGGATGGGCTTGTCGGCTTGTCGCTCCATGTGTCGGCATTGACCAACTCGATTAGGTGAGAATACCATGGCAACCGGGATATAACATGTGTGAGCCCCTTGTCGTGGGCATTCATCTGTTCCAGATTCTGTGTAATCTGTATGATGTCAGCAATCCCCCCAAGGAATAATTTCAAGGTCAGTCGCTCACTGGTACAGCAATCAGACAAGCCAATGCCCACCCACCGGCCGCAGGAGGGCAAGATGAGAGTGCTTCCCCGACGGTCTTTTTGATTCTATCCACCATTTTCACACCTGCCAGGAAGATGTCCCTCGTACATCCGGAGTCCTGGATCTCCTTGATCCGAGCCTGTGTCAATTTCTCCAAGAACAGGTCTGGGTTGCACTGGTAGAAGTCGCCGATCCGCAATGTAAAATCGGCGCCTGGTTCAAGAGTGCATGTCAGTAAGGGTTCTCTCTGGATATCAGGACCAAACATACTCTCCCCTTCTGGGAGGAGATCGGGATGCTCTCGACGAAAGAACTCCTCATATTCAGCCACAAGAGACTGTGTCGACCTCTCGTCGCGGAGCTCCTCGAACGCAGTCTTCCAGATATCCCTCGCGGTCATGCCCGGCGCGTTCTCGGGTGCTTCAGTCTCCGTAGCATTGGTATTGCCCGTTACATTCAAAGTCGGGCCAACGCTTGCTTCGGGGCTGTGGTTTGCGTTTGTCTCTTCGGCGCTCGGCGTCGCCTCGGAAGGTCCTTTCCACCAGCGTCTGGCGCATCCGCAGCAAAACATCTTTTCTTTCTTCGAATAGTTTGCTTCTACTCAAGCTTCAATTAGCTTCCAGAAAAAAATGCAATTGGCGACCAGGAGAATGCACTTAGCTACCAGGAGAAATCGAATTGGCTGCCAGAGGAGATGCACCCAGCTACTGGGAGAAATAGAGTCGGCCACCAGGGAAAATGGAATTAGCTGTCAGGAGAATGCACTTGGCTACCAGGAGAAAGAAAACTGGCTGCCAGGAGAAATGGAAATAGAAGAGGGAATGAGGCAGCTTGCCAATGCCTGTTTCGTTGCTCAACGCGTTGACAAATACCAGCCGGGCAAAAACACCTTCTTCGTGCTCTGGGCGTCTCCCAGGTCTCATCTTTGACGTATTTCTATTGGCGTGTCGCAATGGTGTCTTGCCTTTTGGGCACAAATCTACCTAGGGGTCAGATGAAATTCATCGAATCGGAATCGGAGCGGGCCGTCCCCAAACAGCCACTCTCCATGCCGTCCGTCCTTGCGCAAGTGAGTCCTCATTTCTATTTCGGTTTTGGCATCTAAGAGCAGCTGAACAGATGCACCGATCCAGCGATTGGAACTGCTGATGATTCGGAAACAGTACTGAAAAGATGATAGGGGGTTTGAAAGGGATTGGTGCCAATTTTGCGATACAGGTAAAATGTCATCTAATGTTGTACTGAATTAATGGGCCACCTGGGCCACGTCTGTCTCACTATACAGCCGTGTGGCTGCCGGGCACCCGAAACACGGTAAAGGAGAGGTTGCCTAGCGATGGTTTGGATCTGCGAGGCAGCGGCGCCTGATTTACTTGGGTTTTTGGTGCGTTGCGGCCCTGGTAGTGAAGGGGCGGACTTCTCGGATATGAACACTTTTAGGTGAATTTCTGGCTAGATTTCCCGCGTAGTATGGACGAAAAGGTTGTTTTGGTGCTCTTGGGTCCTCTGTATGTGGTAGTGTGAGAAGCACAAATGGTGCATCATATAAAAGAAAATAGTGAGGGCTTCAATATGTGCTCTTACGAGTGTGCGGAGTATCCGGATGTCACCCGTGTGTGAATAGGTGTTTTACTTAGAGTCAAGGTGTGGCTGAAAGAGCGGTAAGAAGATTTCAAAGGTATAGTAGAGTTTTGTGTGGTGGTATTTCTTCTGGTCTAAATGCGGTGGGTTTAATTCAGCGCGTGGATTATGTTTCGTAGCCGTGGTATGTCCATGTTGGTAATGGTTTCATGTGCAACTATCTCCACAACATGGACACTTCATCTTATACAAGCCCAATTAAGAAAGATATACACTGTGAAGAGGCCGTAAGGCTTGATGCACTTTTTAAGCGATGAGAGGGTTGTGGGATGACGTGTAAATGCGAACGTCTGCAAAGAAAACTGTACTTCCTAGAATATGCGACTTTTTTGAAAGGCATTTTTTATCTTCCGCTTGCTTTTTTATTTTCTCTTCTTTTTGTTTTTTATTTTTTTGGTTTGGGGGGGAGGGGCTTTTAATGGTGCTCAATCTGACAGTATAGAACTACAGAACAGACCATAGACCTAACTCAAAAACACATGCACAGGGAACAAGCATCCCTACTAGCCCATAGAATGTACATTACCTTGCTCATCCCCAGGCTCTGCCACCATATCCTCAACATTCACGAACTGATACTCATCATGATCCCTCTTATCCTGCGCTTCATCTCGGATTTCTTGCTGCGTCAACTGCATCGGAGCAACATACCCAGCTGCGTACGGTTGCCTCGTTGCGCGATTAAACGTCGGATGAGAGAATGGCTGGAGACCAACGAATAAATTATCCTCTGCCTTCGGATTAAGACAGGTATTCAGTAACTTCATGGCCTCAAGACGAGCAACTTCTCGGAACTCGTGGATTGGATTCTCCATAACCACGGAGACTTTGAAGACGAGGGCGAATCCATCCCGCTCGGGGGCAGTGTGGTACACGTCGTATGAGTGGTTCTCGGATAAGCGCTTGTGGGCTAGCTCGTACCGGTCCATTAAATTGCTGAGTTCCATGGGGCCGATACCCACGGACACGAAGAAGATTGAGCTCTGGTTTTTAGAAGCCATATTTATTTCAAATTGAAAAGTCGACAGCTCAGAGGTTGAGTATTTGCGACTATGCACTTGTCTGGGGAGGGAGGAACAAATGGTATGGTGGCAAGGGTAAATATTGGAGTAAATATAACTTGGCTGTGGGATCTGCTGAGTATTTATGCCCGTCTACAGTCTGTTTATGGTGCTTTTGTGCCTTCGTCATTCCGTGTACGTCCTTTTACTGACGGGATCCTCCTTTGGCAGGTTCTTGCTGATTGGTGGAGCCTCCGCGCCATATTCATTATGCTGTATACTGATTGGATTGGATGCCATCTGCCAGCACAAAGTAGATGAAGCAAAAAATGGGAACTCTGTATCATAGACTGGCAATACCTCAATAGACCTGGCGTATGACTAGTCCTCTGGTAATCCGGACGAAGCTTTAAAATTGGTCCAAGATAAGATCCAACAACGTTTAAAAAAGTGATAAGCGATATAAAACTTGAAATCTTTGGTATTACTTCAACTTTGTCTGGGCCGTATTATGTCATCTAGAATTCAAGCCTCAAAGACAGCCCTCGGGGGACAATGACCAACTTCCAAGACTATCTAGCTGTCTCTAAACAGATTAGCCTGAAACAATATTGCCTTAAACAGACGATTATCAGTTCATATGTCTACGGAGAATCAAAGTTGGAACTCAAGGTGTTACAACTGGTGCTTGTGCACCAGGCAATTTCTTTTTAGGAGATTTTCCCTTCACCCCTCATTTTCTTAGCTAGAACGAACGAAACCGCAAATTCAAACACGTTTCAGAGTCGGTAAACAAAAAGATGGAGGAGGTCAGTAAGAAAGCCCAAAGAAACGGTAAGAACTCGGGACTGGTCCGTCAAAGTGGTCCCACGCCCGCGAGCTATTTCCATCCACGCCGGGCAACGATCTTCTTACTCAAACATTAACTGTCCAAGCATCATCTGTAGAGGTATGATCAATATCATCTCCATGATCCGTCACCAAATTGTGGGTAGCATTGCGGTAGGCTTCACCAAACTCAAAGTCGTCTTCACTCTCGGCAGGCGTATTCTGATCACTTTCGTGGCCAACAACGTACACATGGTGGGCGGTCGACTGGATAGTATAATCGCTTTTGATAGATACTGAATAGCAGGAGTGTTGATGAAGTCCACTAGTATCGTGGTGGGTGATCGCCACCCAGTCTCAGTTTAGAGTTCGTTTTATTGCCTCGCAATGCTCGTTAAAGATGTTTTGGAGTCGCTTCAGGTCATTATAGGACGACTCCCAGTTGCGAGGCATCTTGAGGTGTAGGCCATTGGAATATTCATAAGTGGAAGATATATGAAGAATTAACCTCCTGTAGTCAGAATGACTCATAAGAAACGGGAAAGGGTGATTGGGTTGAGAGCTTCAATTAGATGGGCACTGAAAGGGTATTATTATGTCTCTTTCGTTGAACTTAAACAAAGGAATGCTTGTATATGTTGCATCAATTATTAACCACTTTCTGGAATCTACCGGAGCTTCGAGCTACTAAAAGGGAATGTCCATAACTCATACAAATTCATATACTGGTATCGCAAAAGCGATAAATATTCTAGGCACTCTCCTAGTGCTTTCGGTGAATTTCTAGTATGATACTCGAGTACTACTTCTCAACTAGAATTAAGATATGGCATACAGACCATGCCCTTGTTATCTCCCGCAGGATAGAATTTATTGACGTGAATGTTGCTGTCTGTAAGGGCCCTATATTAGCTGCATCATGTGAATTGAAATTAGATAGAAATATCCTCTGGGTCCACTCCAGTCATGACGCAATATGCCTTTGCATTTGCATGTCTCTAATCCATATTCAAGCACAGAACTTCCATAATGTTTGTGTTTCAACAATCGAAAAGCCACCAACTGCATTCTACAACAATGTCATTTCACAAAGACTCGAAAATTACTCGAAAAAGACCTTCTGAATGTTCTTCTATTGACCAAACGATATAAGCAATAACAACCCTTTCAAATAAACACTCTTCCTTTTTCTTTTTTTGTGTTCTTTCTTTTCTTTTTCTTTTCTTTTTCTTTTTTTTTTCCTTTTCTTTCTTTTCTTTTTCTTTTTTCCCCTCAATTTTGGTTGGAGAACTTTCTCGCCTGAACTCGAACATTTGATAGCGTCGTGAAGATGGGTTAGATCATAAAATTAAGATAGGTGAGAATACCTATCCTCTAAGTATCTATAGATCTTTTAATTGTCCCGTTAATCACTCAATCATGCCCCAGCGCGAGATTTCCTCGAACGGCGCAGCTTGATGGTGGACAAAGACTTCGGTCTCACCAGTTGAACTCCTGCTAAATGTTACAGCATCAGCACCCAACCTTTTGTGATACCCTTGTCTTTCCTCTCTGCAGTCTATACTCTCAGCGCAGCTCTCCGGATAGCTAGAATATTGCGTCTCTATATCTGCAGGGGTCCACTCACGGGGCGGGATTTCAGTGGTTGGTTTAGATCCGCCCTGAAACATTGGATGATGCCCAGGGTCAAGTCGAAGAACAACGTGCTCCAGATCACATGGAAAATCATAACAGATTTCATTGAGTGGAGCTGGCATATCTCCGTAATCAAATCGGTGTGATTGACAAAGCCCCTGCACTCCAGAAGCTGTAAAGGCCGTTGGCTCAGCTGTCAAGAGGCCGGTGACAGTATGCGCGGCGGCATGGCGGATTACCCGATCTGGAAGGTTCTTCTCGTTGACGATTACCTTGATCAGCAAGTGCGAGTGGAGTTGAACCTCTCTGATGTAGGATGTTTCGGGTGTAATATCCTCGTCGTTGATTATATTGCCGCTTCGGCCCACCATGAGGGTGTACCATGCATCCACATACTCATCCCGGAGGTTCGAGAATAAACCAGGGCCAGTATATACTGACACGTACCTGATATATTCAGGCTTTTCGGGTGACTTTTGGGACATGGCTGTGGTTTGAGATTTGCGGTGAAGACTTGTGGTGTGCGTTAGTGAAGAGAAGTGGTGTGTTATTTGATGATGGACTGTATTGTAGATGGCTCCCGATGCTCTATTTATAATGCGAGGCCAAGGTCCTATCCTTATTTCTACGAGGAATGAGCCGTAAGACTCGGAATTCTGATTTCGGTATCCAGGGGAATTATGTGGGGGATTCTTTGTCTTGAAGGACATAATGGCTCCTTTGTCGAAACCCCTTTGTGATGGGGATAGTTGAGGAAAGAAAAACGAGTTTATCACCCGGAACCCTTCTTCGTTTCAGATGAGTCTTTATTCCTTTATTGTACCTTGTAGCAAGAGTAATGAGAATGGTATTGTTGGTTTGTTGTGCTTTCCGCCATCCGGTCTGTCTCCGTGTACCCATGTACGCTACCTTCATCCAGAGATTTCATCAACCAAGTAAACTTTGCTATCAGATTTATTCCCTCTTGTCATTTTCTTTGTTTCATTCACTTTCATATTCGGGATTTTTACTCACCTACCTCGTACTGATTTCTCCCTCTCCCTCTCCCTGTCACCCTCACCCTCGCCACACTCCTTCCACTCCTAATGCTCCCTATCCTTTTATCCTCCTTGGCCTAGCCTTCGCCCTGAATCTGAAACTTTTGTCTGCACACATCTACTCTCTTTATATCGTCTTCTCCGTCAACGAAACCTCACTTCTATCCATTCTGTTCATTTCGACTGAAAGTTCTCACCTAACCATGTCTGATGCGTCTTCCCAGGGAACGTTGTACAAGCAGATAGATACCTGCCCTGATGGTGACCTGGATGTTGTTGTGAGAGAATACGAGAGACATAATGAATACCCCATCCAAGGCGTCACGTTTAAGACCCAGAGAAAGGTCGTGATCAGTTCGAGTGAGTATTTCCAGAAAATGCTCAACAGTTCTTGGAGCGAGTCCGCAAAACCAGCGTGACATTGGAAAGAGATAACGTGAAGGCTGTTGAGATTTGGCTGCGATGTTTCCACGAGACATTGCAAGAATCGCTTGGGTCAGAGACTATTTCCGTTGCCGAAATTTGGCACATCATCATGGCTGGCGACAAGTACGGATTTGAGCTGCCCAGGTTGTATGACTGGCTTGTTGCCTGGTTTGCTAAGAATACACCTGATGCACCGAAAAGTTTGACTTTTAACTTTGCGCCCTCGATGCTGTTCCCTTGTTACGCATTCAACTACGCGGAGGGCTTTCAGATCGTGACCAGGAGGCTCGCATATCATGGCGTCAAGTTCGTCCACGAGGTTAACCCCACGAGCATATACCAAATGCATATGCCTCAACGTATCATCCGTAAGTCGATGCCCACCATCCTCTGAGCCTTACTAGGTGCGAACAATAAAGACTGACAAGACTCTGCGTAGAGCAAATCAACGCTGCAAAAGGGAGATTGCGCAATATCTTCCTACGGGAATTGAACAAAGGCATGCTTCATCTTCTGGATGCCGCAAGATGCAACTGTAAAGAGATGACCTTCTACAACTTCCACAAGGAATTGCGGCGTATCAAGGTTTATCCTCCAGAAGAACACATGGCATCGTCCAGCATCGATGGTCTTCTTCAGCGACTGAAGAGTTTCGACAGTTCTCGCATGACCCAGAGCAAGGACAAGGCCAGCCTCTGTCAATTCTGTGCGAAAGATTGGAAAGAAACTGTGTGCGATGTGATCCCGACCGTCGGAAAATATTTTGATGGACAGTGTCTAGACTGTCTGGAGAATAGCAAGAACACCGATCAGGAATACTGGAGTCTCCATCTGGATTCGGGTCGGTATGATGAAGAATGCAGGATTACCCATGGAGAGCCAGCCCATTATTTCAGCTTCATGGGACGACGCGAGAAACGTGGACTGATTGCCGACGCTTGAGGCGCAAGCTTCAGGTGCCAGGATATCAAATGGTGGAATCATGGCAAGCAATGGATGGTAGGAGATGGGAAAGTCTGTCGGGCCATGGCGTCGCAGGATGAATGTCTTTCGAAACGAGGCTGTGATGCTTGGTCAGGCGAGATTACTTCTTGTTGTCAATTCTGCGGCAATTATTTGAAAATCCTTACAGACCTGTAGCCGCGAGCTGGAAACAATCAGATTGATCCCTGAATTCCCTTTCATTCTTAAGGCCTTAATGATAATGGCGCCACCAGAAGCACTTTGTTCTCTGAATATCGCTCGGGGATTCTTCGGCATTTCCTCGGCTGACTAACCGTAGTGGCCTGATCGAGTCTAGTGTATCCCGTGACCCACAAGACCCACGTCGAGGCGGTCCGAATAGATTCATCATCCCATTCCATTGACCTGCCTCAACATGAAACCACCGATACTGATATCAGGGGTCTAGCAGTTGAATTCTTTGTCATTAAGACCGTCTAGAAGGCTTTGTCAGACGCGCAGAAGATCTGTCCGTTTATATGCTGTCCCTTGAAGGACGCTTCGGAAAGGAGGCCAAGAGGCCATAACCATGTTTGGATTTCCTCCTTCTGCTTATGAATCGTGTCTTGAATGTCATGGTTTGCTGAGATGAATTGAAGCGGTCTCCTCTTGCAGATTAGTGAACGATGTTCGACCATCTGTTGGAAATATCGAGGGTGCATATCGATGCCGGTTTCATTCATATTGTCGGTCCTCGAAGGCAATTGTATCAAAACTGAAGAACAAGAAACTTTCAATTATACTCCGTACTCTGAACCCAGTCGTCCAGTTCCTACAGAACTAGATATTCCAAATGTCATGGCCATGGGCAGCCTTGGCTGGTTCCGAGTGGAGCCAGGGACAACAGAAGAACTCGTCCTTACCCCAGATGTTGGTGCCAATGACATGGCTAGATTAAAAGGAACTGGCAGAATGAAAAACGAAAGACATACAGACCCATCCTGCCAAAGATGTCGACGTGGTTATTTCACATTTCGCACCGATGCTCGATCCGAGAATGACCGGGGCGTTACGTAAGAGTGGCCCACCATACAGGCCTAATGCAACCTCGGCCTGTCGAAATTGCAGAAAAGAAATTCAACGCTGCCAATCTCTAATACGCGCTTTCCGTGGCGAAAACGTGCAGGGCGCAATCCGGAAGGCAAACTCTTCCTCCCTTGCGTCGACCCCACCGGCTAGAATAGGGTTTTTTCCCGCTACCTTAGTATCGCCCCGGATTCACGCTCGACGTGATCCCTCATTGTGACTCATTGACTTGAATATGGATAGATCTGTACCTGGCATGGCTTCTGGCATTGAAACTGTCCCGGAAGAGAAGCGTAAATCAGCGCAGCTGTCTTCCACGGGCGATGACGACCAGAAAGTCGAGATCGGGTCCTGCCGTCACGATGCGTTCGGTGACGAGCAGCACGCGCAGGTCAAATACAAAACCTTGAAGTGGTGGTATGTTTTCTCTCTCATCAGTCGGTTGATATTACTGATCGTCATATAGGCAATGCGGTATGCTCATGGTCGCTGAGACCGTTTCCCTCGGGGTTCTTGCTCTCCCCGCGGCAATTGCAGGACTGGGTCTGGCTCCTGCGCTTGCGATTCTGATCGGTCTCGGTGGGCTAGCCACTTATACTGGCTACGTGACGGGACAGTTCAAATGGCGATACCCACATGTCTCCAGCGCTGCAGACGCAGGGGAGGTCTTAATGGGCGGCTTCGGCCGGGAGCTGCTATTTGGCAGTAACATCTTGTATTTGGTCTTTCTCATGGCTAGCCATGTGCTGACCTTTACGGTGGCTATGAACACGATCACCAAGCATGCCACCTGCTCTATTGTCTTCGGAGTCGTAGGATTATTGGTTTCATTCCTTTTGGCTCTCCCCAGAACACTGAAAGGAATGACATGGCTTTCGGCTATTTGTACGCACCGCCTCTCCGCGAGAGATTTGATTTCCTTGATTTGAAAACTTTCGCTTTGGAAGTTAAATAAGCTGACATTACCAGCGTTCACGAGTATCATGGCCGCATTATTCATAACGATGATTGCAGTCGGCGTCCAGAACGATCCATTTCCAGTCAAGGCAACCGTGAAGACTGACCTAGTTAGCGGCTTCATGTCCGCCGCTAACATTGTCTTTACATTTGGTGAGTACTCAAATTGGCAGAAGGATAAGATACAATATACTGACTCTGCAGCCACTCACAACACCTTCTTTACAATGATGTCTGAGCTCAAAGAACCGAGGGAGTTTCCGAAATCCCTGGCTTTGTTGCAATGCCTCGACTTGTCGATCTATCTTGTCGCTTCGGTGGTCATTTACCGATATGCCGGCGACGGCGTGGCCTCCCCGGCCTTAGGATCCGCGGGACCCTTAATCGCAAGGATCGCCTATGGAATTGCTCTACCAACAGTACGTCCACCCCAAGTGTTTAGAGCTCAGCTAAAAAGTCCAGATTATCATTGCGGGCGTCATAATCAGCCATATAGCCTGTAAATCAATCTACATTCGCATCTTCGCCGGGACCAACCGTATCCATACAAAGGACTTCGTTGCCGTCGGGTCGTGGATCGGCATTGTGCTCTCTCTTTGGATCGTGGCCTGGATCATCGCCATGTCCATTCCTGTGTTCAACAGTCTTCTGAGTCTTATTGTGGGTTCGAACTTCCTATCCCTGGACTATGCTGACACCGGAACAGGTTTCCTTGTTTGCCAGCTGGTTTTCCTTCGCACTGCCGGGGATCTTCTGGTTCTGGATGAACAAGGGCCTTTGGTTCTCGTCGCCTCGGAAAATTCTTCTGAGCTTCGTGAATGCGCTCGCCATTGTTGTGGGCCTTGTCCTGGTAAGTTGATTTCTTCAAGTTTCCCTGGCTCTTCTGACAAAAACAGTGTGGTCTTGGCCTCTACAGCTCAGGGAAAACGATACATGATGATCCCAGCAGTGCGAGCTTCTCATGTGCCGACAACTCTCTTTGAGCCTTTGTATTTTGATTTGCATTTTCATCCGTCCGTTTTACATCACTGCGCTGAACCCAACAAGAAATAGCCGTTCGGATAAAGAACACGCTTCACTTCATTGCATATAGCTAAGAATGCCATTGTACTCAATCAAGCTGTTGAATCCGACAAAGAGAAGAACACCACAAAGCCATCCATGTACAATTATTGAATCCGAAAGAGAAATACCCTGAACAATCACCAACTGCATAGCATACTATAAATACCAGCGCGTCATCGTCCATCAATTTCCCAACAAAAACACTCTAACCATCAAATACCATGTCTGGAAAGCCTAGACAGCTCATCCCCCAGGTCGGCGAATACCTGTCGGCCGTGGTATTCTCCTTCCCCGAGATGCCGATGATCCTGGGTGGCAGCCGCCACATCGTCGTGCACTTCAGCCAGTCGGTCGCAGTCGACCAGATCACCGTCTTGAAGCTGGTTCTCGCCAAGCTCAAGGCCGGCGACTTCAAATGGTCCCTCAGGAAGCCGTGCCACGATTACTACACCTACCACTTCGAAGTCGAGGTCCCGGCCACCGTCGAAGAAGATGAAGAGTGTAAGAACGCAGCGATCGATTTCGTCAGCCGCCGGCTGGAAGATGCCCAGCATTTGGGGGGGAAGCGACAGGGGAAGTCTTCGGTGAAGGATGCGCGGGAAAAGGATAACGTTGCCCGTGTTAAGGCGAAGATGTATTCTAAGGTTCCGCCGCCGGGTCCTTCGGAGCCTGCTCCGCCTGTTCAGTCGATGGTTGATGAATCTCTTTTGGACGAGGAAGAGAGGAGGAAGAAGCAGGAGGAGTGGTATTGGGGATTTCTTGAGGCTGAGAGTGTGGATAGTTCCCTCGATGGCCTGTTTGACGTTGAGGAGATCCAGAGTGATCTTTGTTTTGGCTCATGTTCTGGTTAGGTAAATTCTGAGGTTCTTACTGTACTTGCACAAATTGCATTGTGTGATCATTTGATTTGTTTGATAGAACGATTAATTCTATCAACGTAAGTATGCTAGCAAGCAAGGAAGAAAAATGCTTTACTTCTATTAACCTCATATTATAGTGTTGTTTTCTAGTTCGGTTCTAAGAACTCTCTCTAAAATCGCGTCTTCTTATGTTGAGTTGGTAAATTGAAATTAATGCAATATATACAACATCTTCAAAAAGGATAACCAGAACAAAGGATATGAGCAAAGGATATGAGGTCATAAATAGCAATCAGGTATAATAGTTTCATGGACGAGCGTCCTAAGGAACCTGTTCGTCCTCCGCGAGATCTCGCCGCTAAACACTGAACCATAGACACATAACAACGATTGAACAAAAGTACTGGCTGATAGAGTAAAGAGGAACAATTGATGTCATGGAGTACCCGGGTCATAAAGTCGAGTTTCTTTGCTGAACTCCTCCTACTATACAGAGTCTAAACAAAGGTGCCATTATGTTATTGACGACAAAGAATTCCCAACAATTGCCTTGGACACTCGACTATCAACTGAATATTTATGTAGAAGCTGCCAGCTCTACGGAGTCTTCCTAATATAGACAAGGATGGAATATCGGCCTGACTCTATAAATAGAGCAGCCAAGAGCCGCCTACAATATCTACAACACTCTATCAAAAACACACACCATCATTCTTCATTACAAACCTCGTCACCATGAGCCGGCGCTTCATCCAAACGACTGAGTACATCAAGTATGTGTCAGTATACACTGGCCCGGGTCTATTCGCCAACCTCAGGGATGAATACGACGAAGCACGGAAACGCCTCATGAAAAGCGAACATGCCAAAATCATCAACGACGAGGACATCACGTCAGAGACATGCTATGTCAGAGAGGTCCAGTTGCACTCACACCTTCTGTTCAAGGTAGTCGTTCTCGATAAGAACCCGCCCCGTGAACTCATCCTCCGTGCCGCCGCGAATACAGCCTGGGGCATCCTGTATGCCAGGACGCCACAGTGCTATTCAGGTTATAAAATGCTGCGGTTTCACCCGTCCAAGGAATTTTCTAAGCAGCTCAGAGGAGACATGAGGCGCATTTCTCGTATTGACTTTTCTCATCATCACCTTTTTCAGATGCATGTTAAGCCGGTTACGGAGCTTCGGCCGAGTGAGTGGACTCCGGCGGATGTGGATGCGCAGTATGAACGGTATCCCTTGAGCTGCGCGGAGGACGCGAAATTTAAGGAGGAACGGCAAAAGCGTTGCAAAATGCTGGGCTATGATACCATTACCTTCAGCAGGAACTCGAAGGGTGATACTGAGATTCTAGTTCAGCGTAAGCCTCTGCCGTTGAGGACTGGGTGTACCGACAAGGTCAATTACTGATTGCAAGATATTCTAGGGATGAACACCTAGTTTTTGGTCCGAAACTCGCTTTGCCGTCCGTGATCTGACCTAACTTCAGGCTGTTATGAGGTCTTACAGTGCCAGATGGGACCCGAAATAAAGGTGAGAAGTTCACTAACAAACAGCAAAAAAAGGCTAAAAACTTTGAAAGGTTTGTGCTGTTGATTTTGTTTCATCAATGAAAGTACACGCGCTGAGCGCTAAGTCGTTTTCAAATTTTATGAGAATTTCCCGTAAGTAATAACTCGCAACAAAGTGGATTGCTAATCGAAATTATAGATAATCCGAATAAGCTGTGCGCGTCCAGCATAGTAGTATCCTACCGGAACTGCCCACGAAATACCCAAAGGATGATTGGATATTGATTGCCTTCCAGAGAAAGGTATATGAATATACAGAGCTTTCCTGTTAGGAACCCACGCACCGGTTGATTCCAGAACAAGTTAATTATTAGCAGGGCATGTTCGCCACCCTAGCATATAATGTATGGTTTGAGACCTTCAAAGTAACCATATGTGCTCTCTGAGTACCTATCGAATTGAACATCTCAATTACCACTCTTGGGTTTGTCACCACTTCTTCTGCTCCATGCCATCATTGTACCTTCACACACCATCCACTTCCTAATACTGGAAACTGATCTCCATCACCATGCCTCGCAAGTGGGTATCTGTCTACACTGGCCCCGAGCCATTCCGATACCTCTTTGATGAGTATTGCGAGGCCCTCAAGCGTCTGCTCAACGGGCACAGGGTCCTGATCACCAACCACGATACCAGCGGACTTCACCTGCACCTTTGCTTTTCGGTATTCATTACAAGCCACCAGAATTTGGATGCCGTCGACACCGCGGTTGCTATGATCGAATACCTCATCAATCCCCGAACCAGAAACCCTCTCGACACCGGCAGCGGTCTGCCTCATCTGCTCTTCAACGATAGCCGGTATCCCATGCGGCAACTCACCCCCATTGAATGGACAGATCGCCACGTGGACGCTGATCGTGCGCAGAATCGGGATAGGTTTGGCGAGGGTGCAGATGACTTTGCGTTTCGTCAAGCCCGCCGCAGGGCTACCCGTGATTTGGTCACTTATCATCGAGATGAGTATGGGTGTACCTCTGCTGTGCTGAATGACAACGAAGGGGAGATTACAATCACGAATCATGACCCTCGCGATGGGTTCGAGTACAGCGGTAGTTCTTGGCGTTCTAAAGGTCCAGGGCCGTCGTCTGTTGAGGACCATAAGGACAGGTTCCCGTTGTTGGGTTGGGATTTGCCGACGGAAGACTGGTGATGTAGTTGGATCGATTACTATCTACAGTCAAGAACGAGGCACTGCCACGCTTCTGGAGTAGTTTTCGGGTGTGGAGTGTTTGACAGAGATCAGTCCCGTGTTTCCGGTTTCTTGGTCTTTCTTACTGAGTTCTTCTCCCTTTTTGTCTGTTGATTTTGTGCTGCAAATGACGTTTCTTTGTGGTGCAGATGGTTACTGGTAAACATAAAACAGATTAAAAAAAATATTTTTCGGTGCAACAGCTGCGACCGTTTAAATTCAAACTTTGAAGAGAGAATTCCTAATAATAATTGTAGATAATATGAAAAATCTGCGGGCAAAAGGATTTTCAGACATTCGATAGTGATATGTGGCTGCCTTGACGGATATCAGCTATACTAAAAGCTTTATTTTACTGAGGAAGCCTCTATGGATTGATGTGGTATAAAAATTTAGAGGTTTCGGTTATGAATATCTATTGAGAATATGGAGTATGGATTGTTGAGTGAGCAAAGATTGCTACAAGAATCGGCAGAAGAGTTGATGTCAGCCAATCAGGAGGCGGGGTGTTCTTCTAAGGCATCAGCTCAGAAACGGCATTACATAATTCAGGCATCAATACTCTTCCCAAAGTAGAAGTTGTGGCGCGAAGAGGCATGCCTGGGTGCCTTGTTTTGTATATTGATGCCTTAGGCCACCATATCTGGTGCCTGAGTGCGAGTGCCTGAGTGCCTTACTTCTTGCTCTATCACCTAGAGTAAATAGAACAAAATCAGAACTAGGTAAATATCGACAACACCACCCACAATCAACAAAATAAACCAAACCACAAAAGAGCAATCCAATCCTCATCCTCAACCCAAATAGGCCTTCCTAACCCCTTCCACCCACTCCCCCAACGCCACCCCATCCCCATCCCCATCTCCATCCCCATCCCCAACCCCCCAAAACTCATGCCCACCCTCACAAACCGACAACAACAACCCCTCCCCCCTAACCTTCCCCAAACACCCTTTCTCCAAGGTTAAGGCCACACAATCCCTACACCAAAACAACTCCTTCTTCTCCTCCCACGCCCACGACATCCCACAGTCGCCATCGCAGGACACTCTTCCAGCTGGGCCCTGCATACGCGCCAACAGGGTAAACGCCGCTCGCGCGTTCGCGTCATCTTCCAGCGGGATGAACACGCACAGAAGGGTAATGTAAGCGGGTATATCGTTGTTTTCGTCCTCGTCTGACAGGATCTCGAGGGCTTGGGAGATGATGGGGCGGACGAGGTCTCGTGCTTGAGCGTGGTTGCCGAGGGTGTGGTGGTAGCGCGCGAGATAGAGGTGAGGCGGGAAGAGGGATTCCATTGTACTAGACGAGGAAGGGGAGGAGGAGTCCGGGATGAGGGAGGAGAGTTTGTCGAGGTAGGTTTCTGCAGCGGTGCGGTCTGGGCCTGCGGAGCGGGCGTGGTGCAGATAGACGGGCCCGAGTTTGCTGATGAGTAGTGGGAGGGAGGAGGAGGTTCCGCAGTGAGGGATGTTCTCCTGGAAGGCGAGTTCCCACTGCGCGAGGGCTTTGGATTCGCGATCGCGTAGAGAGTACATGGCTGTGCCGTAGTGGTAGCGGAGGAAGGAAAGGGGGCGGTGGAGGTCTTGGGAGTGGAGGTGGGAGATGGCGAGTTCGTAGGCGGATTCGAGGAGGGGGAAGGATTGGGTGTGCAGGGCGGCGGAGAGGATGGATTGGTGGAAGCGGACGTAGGGGGCGAGGTGAATGAGGACATCGGCGAGAGGGTTGGTGTCCGATTGAGGTGGGGAGGACTGGATGGTTTGCAGGGAGGTGGTGATGTCGGACCAGCGGTGTTCGGCGGCATAGAGGCCCACGACTTGATAGATGCGGCCGTAGTCGGTGTAGTCGGTGTGCATGGCGGTGGTGAAGACGGGGATGGCGAGGTCGTGCTGGCCGGTGGACCAGTATGCGGAGCCGAGGCTGAAGAGGAGTTTTGCGAGGTCCATTTTGTGGGTGAGAGAGGCGAGCCACGGAGTGTCTTGTTGGAGACGTTCGGCGACGGGGTTCAGGATGGCGATGCCCTCGTCGGGGGAGACGACGTCGGCGAGGAGATTGGATGCGCGCCAGTCGAGGGAGTCGAGGGCGAGGGCTTCTCGGGCTCGTGAGGCGGCTTCGTTGGTGTAGCCGAACTGGTCGAGGAGGATGCCAATCTGGACGTGCCAGAGGGAGTTCTTCGCTTGGACTTGCAGGGCGAGCTCGCACCATCGTTCGGCCTGGTCGACTTGCTCGACTGTCGGGGTGAATGGCTCTACGGGGGTTTCTCGACTGTCTTTCTCGGATTCGATCTGATCTGTTAGCATTATCATCATCAAAGGAAGAAGGCAACATACCTTGTTCACGTATCCGAGCAGGAACAGGAAGGAATCCTTCGTGAAGGGCTTGAAGTGTGGCTCCTGGACAAAGTGAACCGCCATCTGCCTGGCAGCTGCGACTAGAAGATCTCTCTCAAACGACTTGTTCTGCAGCAACGCATCAACCCACTGGCGCTGTTCGTCAGAGATCCCAGAGACAACGGCCGAATCACCCAGCCACCGCACGACAATGTCCACACTGTCATCATCGTATATCCACGCGTCGCGTACTTTGCGGTGGACCGCAGGCGAGCTAGTCGACTCGTCGCCGTCGAGCAACCTGTCGATCGAGCTATCTTCAGTGAAGAGCTGAACAAGGCGAGACCCAACGCGGCTCTTGCACGTTATATCCGCCAGGGCAAGATCCACGGCAGCCAGGTGCTTGAGCAGGTACTTCCGCGCATATGGCAGCAGACGCATGCGCTTCTTGTCCAGCTCCTGGGTCAGAACATGCAAGCATGCCAGCGCCATCTTCGTTTCGCCGGTGTGCGGATCATCCTTGAAGACGGAGGTCGACTTGCGAGAGGATTTCTGCGCAAGGTAGTCGTCGAAGTTGAACTTGGCGTAGACATCCGGCGGACAGACCGTGACGAGGAAATGTTTCACCATGGCCACTTCTGCCGGGTGTGTGGTCTTCGCATCGTACTGGTCGTCCGACGCATGCGAGTGACTCTTCACAGGAATAAAATCCTCAATCTCAGACGACCGAAAGTCAATCCGTCCATTGTTATTAATCTCAAACAGCGGATACTTCATCTTGAACTTTTGCTCCAGCGGCAAAAGAGACCGCTCGCCGCTCTTGACATACAGCGCAGCGGCCATCTCCTTGGGCGAGAGCAGCCCCCGACAGTACACAATCCAGAGGATGATCTCATTGATCTCGGCGATTTCCTTCTCGGATCGGTTCTCGTTCAAAGACTCGATCTCCTCGATGATCTGCTGCGATCGCTCCTTACTGGCGTTTTCCAGCGCGTCCTCAATGTCGGTGATGTACTCCAGCTTGCCGATGTGCGTCAACGTGGTGTCGATCTTGAAAAAATCGCCCTTCGTCTGCTCGCTGAGTCGGCTGCGGATGCGAGACCGGAGTTCAGGGATGCCGAACCGCGATCGGTCGGCCACGACGGGCATTCGGTCCATCTGGCGCTCGATGTAGTTTTCCACGTCGGACTGGTTGTTGCAGCTGATGGAGATGGTGTCGAAGGCAACATCGTCCACCTTGGCCAGCTGCTCAAAGCATCGAGAGTCTCCGGTGAGAAGAACTCTGATGTCCTGGCCGGGTGGTGCCGAGCACGCGCGCTGAAGGAAGCGAATCATGCCCTCGCCGACAGCATCGCCGAGACCGTCAATCACGATGAACAGGGTGATGTCCATTTTCGCGAGATCCTCATTCCCGAAGAGCAGATACCGCGAGATATCCGCCGGGTCGATCTCTCCGAGCGTCTCGCAGATCGACGCCGCCGATTTCAGATACAGCCGTTCGACCTGGCTGAACTGCCAGACCAGCGACTTGGCGACGTTTTCCAAGTTCGTAGCATTCTTCAGCTCCTCTCTGGAGTCGCCTTCAAGGAAATAAAATGCAGTGGCGATGCGCGTGTCCGCACCCTCTTTCACCTTCTGCTGCCGCAGCCTGTTGATGATCGTCGAGGCGAGGAAGCTCTTCCCCGATCCCTCGCCTCCCTCGATGGCCAGAACAGGGGATTCAGACCGGCCATACTCCCAAGCCGTATACGCCGCGTGATCGAAAACCCACTCCCCAGTCCCAAGAACCCTCTGACCCAGATAATTGCGATAGATAGTCTGCCAGAAGGGTTCAGGCTCCGTCCGATCCGCATTCAACTTACTCTCGTCGAACGCCAGCGACCTCAGAATTGTCTGCGTGCGATACACTTTATCCTTCTCCCTCCTCTGCTCCGCCTTATCCTCCGCCATCGAATCCACCAGCCCCTGCGTCAGAGCCAAATTGGCCTTCGAACTCGCCGCCGCATCCGACGCCAACGAGAACGTCTGCGCCGCGACCAACCGGCCCTCCTTATCGACCAGATTCGCCATCTTATCCAGCAGATCCGTGACGCTATCTTCTCTAAAGAAGAACATCTTCGACACCGCCAGCAGCTTCATGCGCTTCGACCGCAACTTCACCGTGCGGTCGCAGATCTCCACGAACAGAAGCAGATGCTGACACGCGACTTTGCTCAGGTTGGCATCCATCCCGCCCTGCACGTGGTACTGCAAACGACTGAGATAGTCTGTGCATTTCTCCAGCAGGCCAGCCAGCTCGTCGAAGACCCCGCGATAGCCTTTCCAGGCGTCGATGACGAAGCTGAGCGCGTTGAAGCAGAGCTCTGAGGGGCCGAAGACCTGGTTTCGTTAGCATCATCCATCCATCCATCCACCTCCACTCTGAACCCCTCTCCCAAAAAAGGTAATAGAAGGAAGCATACTGAAGAAGCCGCCCCGGCAGCAATCCCACCCACAGTCTGCACGAGCGCCAGCGTGCGGTGGAACGTCTTCCTCACAGTCTCCTTGGCCGGCGACTCCTTCTCGCTTTTCTGCGCGCGATCCAACTGCCCCAGAACCCCGTCTATGCCGAGGGGTTTGATGCGTTTCGGGTCGCCGCCGGCCAGTGCCACGACGCGGGCTTGGACTTGGGACCATGCTGCGGATAGCTCTTTGTTTGTGTCGGCGTCGAGGCCGTGTGGGATGTATGTGCTTGGTGCGGAGGTTAGGGATGTGACCATTATGTATAGATGTATGTGGACATAGGTGTAGAGGATGGGTTAGATAGGTTAGTCGGTTGAGTTAGGAGCAATAGGACTGCGAGGGTAGAGAGAGTAAGGCAAGAAGTAAGAGGGAGTATTCAGCTCTAGCGAGATTTCAATCTCAGCTGAAGCATGGCGGGGTGATCGGCAGCTGAAGATGCAGGATAATGACGATGAGCGAGCATCGTTGCCGGGTTTAGATCGCACGGACCGAGATCTGGACTGGGGGGATGTTATTGGGTGGATGGGATCGCGATCTCGATTGGTTTGGTGGATGCATTTTGTCGCTGATGTCTTGTGCATCTTCGCTCTCCGGGGTGGAGATGATGGATTTTAGATGTCTATTAGCAAATCAGGTGCAGAGAGGCAATTGAGCAGGATGGGAGATGAGATGGAATGAGTCGGGTAGAGTAAACAAGCTGAGATCGGGAGGTTGGGAGTAGATGATCACGGCGCTAACCGAATCAGGCACCCTGCCTTAGTGCCTGACATCAAGTATCAGACGAATACCCTGGCAATGTTCGCATATACCATATTCCCATAGATATGCAGGAACCGTTCCCAGAATGGCGACATAAAGAACCCAATAAAACATGCATAAGATGCATAACGCTCCCCAAGGCTGAACATCCATGATCCATCCCAATTCCCAACCCTAACCCGCACTAGTTATACTCCACTCCCCACAATTAGTGCTGCAGATATCCACACCACAACATCCACAGCAAAAAAGAAAAAAGAAGAATCGACAGCTATGAGATTCGAACTCATGCCCACGAATGGACGGGATTACAATCGACTGATCAGATCAGTACTATATAGCAGTCCCGCGCCTTAACCACTCGGCCAAACTGTCAGTGGTGATTCTTGTTGAAGCAAGTCTCCAAAATTGGATATATATAGCAACGGGTGATTTGAACACGTAGCGAGCAAGGAATGTTGGTCTGGTCGTGCTGTGTTTGTTGTGAAGAGGTGTTCTACTGTTGCTGCTGAGGTTGTGATTGGATTTTTTATTTTTATTTTTATTTTTCTGGATGATCGCTCTCTCTGAAGAATAATTTACTATATAGATCAATGATTATTGCCAGTGGAATAACTTGCTTGGGTATGCTAGTTGGGGTATGAAAGAGCTATATATTTTGTCGTGCCGGGAAAAACTGATTTACCACCGGCAAATGGAAACCATTCACAACATCTTCTACACATCTAGGAGTAAGACAAATAGTATAGAACATAATTCCTTACTTTAACCAGTCACTCCGCAGACCAGAACTAAAGACAACCTAACACCCACAACGACCAAAAAAAAAAAAAAATAAATAAAATAAGATAAAATAAATAAATAAAATAAAAAGAAAAATAGAAAATAAATGAAGCAAAAGAAAATTCAAGGAGACTCCCACTCCCTCCTCAACGGCCAACTATCCGACGTCGGAACCCTCACATGCCCAGCCCTCTGAAGCGGCGACCTTGGCTCCGACGCAGCGACGGGCGAATACTTCTTCGACGCGAGGATATCAACTCTGCAACCATCAGCACTCTACCCACCATCCACCCCAACTCTCCAAAAGAAACCAGAGAGAAAAAGAAAAAGGGGACATACATCAAAACCAACGGAAACAAACACTCTCCACAATACACAAACCGATCGACCTCACCCTGCACACTAACCGCACTCTGCGCCGTAACCTGCCACGAGTACGTAATCGCCCTGGTAACGCCCACAGCCGCAAGACTCGCAACCCTAATCTCCGTCGTTCTGAGCAAGTACCGAAAGACCTCCCTCGTCGAGGACACTTTAGGCGAGAGGTCCCGTGCACTGTTCAGTAGACGGATCAGGAAGAAAGAGCTCCAGGATTCGACGAGCGCGATGGAGACGAAATAGCCCACGTGGAGGTAGGAGATGCGGTGTTGGTTGAGGGTGCTGGGTTTGGTATTGGAGGGAGTTTGCAGGTCGAGGATGCGACTGACTAGAATGGCGAGACGGAGACCGAGGATGAGGAGCATGAGGGACCAGAAGATGAGGAGGAAGGAAGTGCGGGCGCTGTTGTGCAGGGTGTGTGTGAGGATCTGGTAGCTGTAGAAAGAGAGGCCGGCTTCTTGGATCTGTGGTTTTCAGTTCTCTGGACGAAGACGAGGGAGGTGGATGGAGGAGTACCAGCCAGAAAATGTCAGCGAAGGCGCTGCCGGCGATGCGATGGACTAGTGAGTGAGAAGTGTAGTATGAAAAATAACACAGTCCGTTGGCAGCCGCGCATGCGACGGATACCACGATGGGAACATAGCTCAGCGGGCTAGGCCGAGTAATTAAGACAGCCCAGATGGCTAGCAGCGCAGTGAACAGGCCGATGCTGCTGAGGATGGACCAGCTGAGCTCGAAATACGCGATACCGTGCATGGAGCCGGACGAGAGATCCATACTGCAACTGAACAAGAAAAGTCATTTGGTGACAGTGACTTCCGCAGACATGGCTGTCAAGATATAGATAGCACCGGGGCAGCGGGATCGGCGGCCGACGGGTCTGATTGATGGAAACACGCCGCCACGCTTGCATGGAATCTGGGGAACTGCACTATGCGCCAATGATAGCTAATTTCCGATAGGCCTCGGAGGAACTGGAGGATGGCCGTGCTGGAATAAGCATCCCGACCGTTGATCGCGGAGTGGATGTTCCCTACGCCGACTACAGAGGTCCGGGAGTCCGATCAATAAATAAATAGAAAACCAAATTAAATAACCAATACGGCCAATAATATATTATTCAAATCTAATTAGCAGCCAAAACAGCAACCGACCACGCAGGCAGCGTAAACGAAAACTTCCCGTCCTCAGCCTGCACATCCTTCTGCGACGGCGTGACCAGGGTCTGCGCGTCCGAGTTATACGCCTCCGGATCGTCGTCCGCCACGACGGTCAATTTGCCGCTGGTCAGTCCGTCGATCGACACGCTGACGTCCTGGGTGTCCGCGCCGAAATTGGCCAGCTTCACGTAGTACGATTCGTCCGCGCTCGAGGCCACCCAGTACACGGGCCCGAAGGCCGAGTCGGACTTGACTTCCTTGATGGTGTCGCCGCGGTTGACGGAGAACATTTGCTGCACGAAGTAGCTGGTCGTCTCGTGGTACATCTCGGGGGATTGCGTGAAGGGGATGAGGTTGGGCTATTCCGTTAGTGTCATTCGATAGATAGATATAAGGAGACGTACCGTCCACTGAGTCGAGTTGACCAGCTGCAGAAGAGGAGCGTAGGCGGCCATCTTGACGACGTCGCTGTTTCGCTCCAGTCCGATCATGAACACCGCCTCCGACACGGCGCCCTCCATGTCAGGCCAGTCGCCCTCCTGGCGCGAGTACTCGCCGATGAAGTAGGGCACCGAGCGGTCGTGGTTGTCGAACTTGTCGAAGTTGCCGACCAGGCCTTCGGGCGTGTCGTACGTGTGCCAGTCCACCCAGACGCCTTCGGGGAGGTCCTTGGGCAGGCAGGAGGAGTTGTCGGTGCTGGCGATGAGAGTCAGGTCGGGGTAGGCTTTGTGGATGGCATCGTAGTAGGCCGTGAAGCGCTCGGCGTAGGATTCGCAGCCGCCGCCAAGGTTGTCCTCGTTGCCGATTTCGACGATCTTGACGTCCCAAGGCTCTTTACGGCCGTTGGCAGCGCGTTGACCGCCGTACGTGGTGCTGGAGTCGCCGAGAACGTACTGATTCGTCAGTGGAAGTAAAAGTAACGATCAGAGATGGAGACATACTTCGAGCTCGTTCAAAACCTCGTCAATATACGGCTTCAAGGCATCGCCGGTGAACGGGGTGTTGCCGCCAGACCCCAGCGAGAAGCCGGCATACACATCCAGGATGGGCGTGAGACCCAGATCCTCGCACCAGTAGAAGTATTCATCGAGGCCTAACTAGTCAGCGAGTCCGGATGAATCGAATGGAAAACCTACCAAGTCCATCGGTGTTGTAGTAGGTCCACGTTCCCAGGTGACCAGGGCGTTCCTCAACCGGACCGACGGTTTCATTCCACTTCCAGCGCAATGTTTCATCATCGCCCTCACTAGGAAGGTTAGCCTTGATTCTATAGAGGTTCAGGGATACTCACAGGTTGTTACCACCCGGGAAGCGAAGGAAAGATCCCTTGACAGCGTCCAAAGACTTGGCCAGCTGAGGCCGCAATCCATTTGCCCTACACAATTAGCACCTGACACACAAACGCAGATAGAGAGAGAGAGGTACATACCGCGACTTGTATGTCTCCGGGAACAGCTCCACAAATCCAAAGTTCAGCGAAGATCCCTGCACCTCGCTGCCATCGACCGTAATCTCATAAACCACCGCACCGTCGGGCGCCTTCTCAGTGGGAAACTTGACCGTGGCCTTGGTGAAATCATCCTCCTTGGACTCCTGGGAGAACGTCTTCGACGCATACTCCGTCCCGGTAGAGTTTCCAACCAGACGGACGGTGATGTCGCCGGAGAACTTGCCCTTGATCCAGAACGCGCTCGTGAACTCGGATCCGTCCACAGGAATACCCCAGTAGCCTTCGTTGGAGAACCCGACTTGACCACTGGCGCCCTTCTCGACGTCGAGACGCAGGGTATGCGGAATGGCCGTGGTGAGAGGGTTGTCCGAGTCCACGGCTATCGAGCCAGCTCCGACAGAGCGCCAGGCAGTGAGGTCCGGGTTGGATCCCTGCAGACCATTGTTGCGCAGCATTTGGCCATAGATACCGCCGTCGCCGGAATGGTTGATGTCCTATCCCGTTAGATAAGTTACACCAACTAGGCAAGATGCATACCTCAAACATAAACCCGTAGAGCAGCGAGCTGGACGAGTTGCCTCCATTCTTGGAGACCTCCAAAGAGACACCGCTGGCCTGCTGGACCAGAGAGAGCAGGAGGGGAAGGGCACTGAGGCCCGAGAGCGTCGAGAAAGCGACCATGGTGATAATTGTCTTGTTGTCGTGCTCATCTACGAGAACTGCACACCCTTATATAGCCATGATTGCAATTAACCGACCTCGCCCAAGAATGCGAGCGGGGATACATCGGCGAAGAGCAGATTCAACCGAGATGTGGAGGTCTGGGGATGTGGAGGTCCGCAAGGAACAGAGCTGACTCCACGCGAGGCCGAAGCTGTCCGAATTAACCGCCGCAGACTGGAAACCGGTTTGGTGTGGCAGGTGCTCCGAGACAGCGATCGTACGATCTGTCGATCGTGTCTTGGAGAGATTCAGGAACGACTGGATCTGAACGATGATCGTTCAGATTTAGACACGAGAGCTCCAAGCTATCCAGCGATAGACCTACAGAGTGCTCCATAGATACCTACAGAGTGAAGACAACCGGACAAGCTTTGTGGCTGCGGCACAGGCCAGCCATCCGAGTACAACGGAAGAAGCAGCCAGAGCTATACACGCCCCAGTCGAGACCAGCCAAGAACCTCGGACAACGTCCAGGCCGACCATACCACATGCGACGAGTTAATGCCGCGCCTGGCGAGTCTTCCAGGCACCAACCATGCAAGACGCCTCAAGGAGCTGCAGCATGACGTTGGCCACGCTTTTCCCCTCATTTCGGCTCCGCATTGACGTGCACGGCAAAACCCCGGCGGAACTCGGAGCCACAGGAGCCAACTGACGGAGGAGTTCCTTCTTGCGACATGAGGACCAGACTAGAGTAATCCCGCACTCGTCAGAGGATCGCGGGGAATCTATTATTGGAGGCCGCGTGAACCAGGGCGCAGCTAACTTTAATCGTCGCTCCGACCGAGACAGGGGTTCAATAGTTGCTGATCGTGTATATGCCCACCGGAGAAATGGAAGGATGATGCATTGTTGGAATATCCTTGAAATTGTTGGAGTTGATGGATTGATGGAATTGATGGATTGTTAGATGGAATAGATGAAAGAATGCAGAAGAGAAAGGAGAAAGTCCAGCGACGGAGGCGAGGAATGCATAAGAATTATACAGGGATTGCTGACTAATATATACACAGCACAGTTATGCCGTCTACTGAATCATCACGATTAAAATAAAGTCACCAGGACCATCCATGGATGATTACAAAAATCCCTAAACTATTGATAAACCCTCCCCTCATCTGGCAAATCGACCTCATCCGCCGAGAACGTACAATGCCCCAGCCCTCCGTCCAGACGCACAGCGCCCCATTTAATCGGCACCAGAGCGACGTCTTCGCCGTAGAACTGGATCTCCGCGATGCCGTCCCCGCCCAGATAATTCGGATCGAAGTAGGGGTGGCACGCCGCGGCGATGGCCAGACTGCAGCTGCCAGCTATCGGCATGCCCGATGCAAGGCGGCGACAAGCAAGCCCTGACACGATGATAGCGATAGCCGCAGCGACGCCGACGGCGCTGACGATAGCGACGGGCGAAAACCCGCAGGTGATCAGGTCCTGGGAGCGATCTCTGGCGTGGTCGATGGTGTACGCTTCAACGGAGACGACGAAGAGACTCTGCGAGATGAGCCAGTGCAGGAGGGCGCATATTAGCATGAATGGGATGCCGTAGTAGATGGGCAAAGAAAGAAAGTAGGAGCTGCGCTGGGCGACCTGTGGGGGACTCGAGATGCGCAGACCTCTGCGCTGAACGGCAAACCGGCTCCATTCGGCGGCGAGGGTCATGGCAGAGAGCAGCGAGTTGGTGGAGAAATACAGCATCGAGAAGATCAGCTGGGCGGCGTTGGCGACGAGCAGGTTGACGCCGACTGTGGTGGGCCAGTAGTCGCCTTTGATGATCGTCTGCGCGGTGGCTTCGCCCAGTCCGACGTTCCAGACGCTGTGGCCGCTGTTGGTCTCGCTGAGACCGTATGCCAGGAGGCCGAGACAGACGACGATGGCGATGAGCCAGCTGCGAAGATTAGCACAGAAGTACGGGATGGAGGATGGACGGAGGAGGGCGTACAAGATGACGGTGAATGCCCATTTGGCGAACGATGCAGCAGAGAACCATCGTTTTCTCTGACGCTGGAACATCAGCGGCTTGTCGAGAGCCCTGTAGACGGGCAATCCGGAGTTGAGCTCGCCGACGATGGCGCGACTGTGGAAGCACTTGTTCTGAGTCGACGTGACTGGCTGGTTTAAGAACGAGGCAATCGCGTCGCCGACTGTCAGCAAGGGAGACTCTTTTGAGCCGAGCGCGACATAGCCTAGAATCAAGGCATTGAGCACGTTAATCACGATCAGGATGATCGTCACCGTTAACGAGTACTCCAGTTTACAGTGCTGAGGCAGTTTCTCAGCCAAACAGTAGTTCACCTGATACTCGCGGGCAGCAGTCTGAACGACCCAATCGTCCTGGTCAATCTGATCGTGGATTTCCGGCAAATACGCGTCGCAGTCCTTGGTGGCACCGTCTGGACACAGCCATCGATAGGGATCAGCTCCGGGCTGAGCCACCAGGAGGTACTGCATCGGGCTGAAAACGCTCTGCGCGTAGAACATCTCGACATTGGAGTCTTTCACATCGTCCGTGGCCACCAGCACACTACCGTACTTCGTCTGGAAGGTCGTCGCATACGCATCCACACACTGGGACGCATCCAGCCGCTCCAAGGACTCATTCCGTGCCTGAGCATGCAAGCCCTTCAATGACGGCCGATACTCCGCCCCGACATCGCTCATCTGCGAGCCCTTGAGATCCCCCTGTCCGAACGACGAGCCTTTGCCGGCAAAGACATTGTACGCGTGGGCAGATTTCGTCGAGAAGATAGTGGCGTTGTAGCTATGACGACTGAGCAGAGGTCAGATCAGACGATCGGAAGTCTTACAGGAGATGAAGCGGCAGCGCCGTGAAGGCCAGGCCAATCCACAGCAGACAGCGCCGCACCGACACATGCGCCAGATTGCGAATACTCGGCACGCCGATGTCCAGCCAGCGGCCGTTGCCGTGTGCGCGATCTACGTCGCATCTCGTGGGCGCCGACAGGCATTGCTGGGGAGATCAGCGCTGTCGACAGGAGGCGGCGTCGTACGTACCATGCCATAGTTGCTTGCAGCCAGGATTATCGTCGCCAGGACGTTGATGAGAAAATGAATGCCCACGTTCAGCCGCTGCACCTTCTCACAACCCCCCTCGAACAGAACCCCCCGACTCTTGCGAACCTGATTCCTCGTCGCCGCCCAGATCAAGAACACCAGGTTCAAGAGCAGGACGACCAAACTGACCAGAAACGACAGAAACACCACGAACCGCCAGGTCCCAGCCCAGACGCGCAGCCGACCCTGCCGACCGGGCTTCTCGAAGGTCAAATTGTCGACGCTTCCATGGCGGTCGGATATTCGCAGGAGCTCGGTTTCTTGGTGGACGAGACCTTTATGCATGGTCGGTTGCGGGAGTCGAAGACTGCAGAATCATCATCTAGCGAGACGGAGGGTTTTATTTCGAACTTGAACTCTGCAGGGATGAGTCGATTGGGGCTGAGGAATTAGCTTGGGTTGAAACATCCAATAGACTAGTGCTGATCTGTTGGTCGGTTTGGCCCGTTGTATTCGATGAGTGAATACATCGTGGAATTGGAAGATGCCATATGGAGTTCTCGAACTCGTCAAATGTTTTAAAAGAATGTGAGCAGAAATTAGGATAATAAAACCCGACCGACCGCATCAACTGCCTCCATCATGATTCTATCGTGAAGTTTTGGTCGCAGTTCCCAGTTGTATGCCTCGATCGCCCCCAGATATTCCCTTGGCATGCAGACTTCGATCGGATAAAATTAGCTGACACAGCCATCGCTCAGGAACCCGAAACACCCCGGACGTTGCGTTCGTCTGTGGACTCTACACCGGAATGGGATGCTTTGGCCCCAGGCTAGTTGGATTCCACCTGCTTTGGTTAGAGAGATTTTAGGCCCCATGGATTTCCCAACAGAGAAATAGGGAAATGCATGTAACGCTGTATGGTTTGCGACCTATTTTTACGGTGTTGACAAGTACTGGCGTAGAGGGCTAAATCAATCGTAATATATAGCACGGAGTATAGCCACTGAGCAGATACAGTCAGTCGAACCACTGTAAGCCACCTGCAGAAATCGATTCTGCCATCTCCTCTCCCTATACTTTCCTGCGACATAGCGCTACTCAAGCGCCCGGGTTGGCCATCATCTACGAAAATACCCCCAGGCAAGTCCCCACGTAAAGCGGGATTCAACCTACACACCATGCATAACAGCAGCAGCTATAGACCGCAGTAGTCCTACACCACAGCATCTGACGTCATCCCCACTCCATCCCTCCTCACTGACATACATACATACTTACTCTCAGATCCCCATAACATCCGATAATATCCTGACCCCAACTGAAGTCTAGATAATGCAGCACTTACCTGCAACTGTCAACATCCCGCATAGACGATTGGACATGTTTCACCGCACAACCGGTTATCAATCAATCAGCCAACCAGTCAATCAGTCAATCAACACATCCATGCACCAGCATGCACGGCCCACGACCAGCGTCCGGGGTCCTAGATCCAGGGCCTCGTGATTGGACGCGAGCCGCGACGCTGCCTGTTTGTGCATTGGTGCCCAAGGCTCTGTCCTCTTTCTGTCCTGTCCCTGTCCCTGTGGTCGGGCAGGTTGATTGGGTTGGGCTGGGTTGAGTATACCAGAAGGTATCGGATGGAAGGAAGACGAGGTGATATAGATGGTACGTTACATTGGATGCAGCGTAGATGTGAGGTGGGATCGAGGGTAGAGAGGGTGATAACTGGATCTGGAGAGTAGTAGGGTCCGAGAGAGGGGATAGGTACAGAGTAATTAAGGATAGTAAAAAAAGACATAGACGTAAATCGCAAAGGCCACATAGTCTAGAATCCGAACCGAAAAACAGAGAACACATTAAGACAAGTGGACACGCATACGCATACGTACAAAACCGCCTCAGGGATACGGCAAGCCCGTCCAAAAATACATGAAACAGCGGGAGATCGGGAAAAAAGGGTCTGATATCACAACGCCTCTGCTTAGCTACGGCAGTCTAGAATCTTAATTTATCGTCAAAACAGGAAGAAAAATCTTCAACGTTCGAAAGAGTCGAAAATAAAGTTAAAAATAAAAATAAAAATAAGAATAAAAATAAATGAGTACACGATAACCCAACACCGACTGAAAAACATCCATCCCAACCCGAGCTCCGTCGCCTGCAAGCATCGCATGAATAGACAGAATCACAAAAAGCCAAATGTAAAGATAAAGACGCCGACCGATCCGACACATGCAATGCGAATGTTTCCCATGATGATTCAATATGCGAGTGGCTATCGAGAGCTTTTATCGGAGCCTTTGGCCTGTTCTTTTTCTGTAGGAGTCAGTATATAGCACATCCGTAGACATGGGAATGAGGAAGAGGGTACCTCTGATCTGCTTGATCTGCTTGATGGTGTCGTTGTGGATTTTGGTCCATTGGGCCTGGTACTGGGCGAGGTCTGGCTGAGCGGAGTCTTTGTTCTGGGAGGAGCTCTTGTCCATGATGAGCAATAAGGCTGCGTCTCTGCCCGAGGGTTCGATATTCAGGCTGAATATGTATGTAGTATGTATATGTATGTGTCTTTAAGCAAAGCAAGAACAAATCCTCGCAGGAAACCACTCACTATTTATCCTCCCACAACCACCTCAGTCCGCCATCCCATCCAGCCATGTGGTCCTGTCAGAAATTTCGGCTGAAATCCATTTCACACCAGATATGCACCCGTCGGGATCATCGAAACTTCCCTTGCATTCCGGGCAGACGGGAGTGGAACGCAGAGGGCCGGGCCCGATTGGCCGGGGAAGTCTGCAGACCGTCGGGATGGGAGGGAAAAATGGTGACAAACGCAGGGCGAGCGAAATAACACGTAGTTCGCAGGATTAGGTTGTGTGACGGAGTGTCGGGATGCCAGGGCTGGCGGTCATTGGGTGCGTAACTCTCCGATCGTTAACGCGGATGCAGTTCCGGCGATAGTGGGATCCGACTCTTGGGCACCGATCGGATTGATTTCGGTATGAGTGGGTTGGCTGTGGATAGCAATCTGATCTGTGGTTGGTGGGCCGGTGGGCTGGATAATCTGACGGATATTATGAGGCTACTGGAGAGTCCTACAGAGTACAGATACAGGAGTATGCTCGGTGGTGGATAGGGGCTGAAACATACGGGTCCAAATATCAGATACTTGACCAGATCATAGACACGGGAATTAATAGATAAAATTAATAAATCATACCTAATAAAAAGTAATAGAAAATAAATACACCGCCACTACTCACCGCCATCCGATCCAGCAAATGGTCGGAATCGCGGCCCTTCATCCGCGCCTCGCAAAAATCCCGACTTTTCTCGTCGCAAAGTACCTCCGGCTGACCATCCCTGCCACCCACACAGCTCTGCCCGTGCTACCGTGCCGGTTCCCTGTCGCAACGGAGGCAGGGTCTAATGGCATGGTCGGTGAAGAGCCTACGTCATAGCGGTTCGGCGCTAACGGCGGATATCAATTATCACGGATGTATTTATCCCGGCGTAGGCTATTATTTGCCGCAACGGCCTGTCGCAATGACGAGCGACGCCGCTAACCGAGGAATATCCGATTCGATGGCGTGCTGTCTGAAGCCGGAATACTGGAATACTTCCCCGTCTCTAGTGCTTTTAGTCTTATATTAATCTACATGAGGGGCATGACTCAGGAGGGGATCACATACCTAGTACCTCCTCCTACATTCTACACGGTTGTCTACGAAATCCTCCCGGAACATGTACAATGCTGTCATAACTGCCTAACGCCTACCAGATGACCTGCATCAGCCAATATAGAGAATTACCCCTCCCCCGCGCAACGCGCTGCCAACTCGGTTCAGATTTCCCTGGCCTCCGATTGGACCGAGTGCATGGCACTAGGATCCTGCTGCTGTCAGTGAATACCGACGGGAGGTGGCAAGTCAGGTAGCATCGGAGGTGCAAATATACTAGGATGCAGGTGTGACTGGCAGGGATGGGTGCATGCGTTGACTGGCGGTGAGCTGGATATGTTGCCTCAGTGGGTATGGTTGAATGATGCCTGACCGAGATGGTAGGGAGTATTCGCTTGGAACCTGTTTGATAGCCTGGTTGCATGGGGTTATGGATCAGATGATGATCAAGTCATGCCGGCAGACAATAGTCCGGAGTATACACAAACATCTAACCGATTTACAATATCTGGTCAATCTGCCTATTCCTTGATTTCGGGATATCAGATACCAGGTGATAATGCGACAAGAGGTAGCAGTGTGTTTAACATGTCATGTGGCCGTTGACAAGTCGGTGCTGATGAGCCTACCTGACTCTGATATCACCTCGGTTGATACAACAGTACTGCTATACTAAGATGCTACCTCTAGTCCCAACCATGACATAACCTTCACAGATTGCAAAGGCACCTAGCTGCGCCAGCATCAAAACAATGAAAATCTTGCAAAATCAGTCAACCAGGTTCAATTCCCAGAAAGTAAAGTTAAGTTACAATTCCTAGCCCAGACGATACCAAACAATCCCCAAACAAAACTCCTATACAACCTCCATCCTAACAAAAGGCCCGTGCTTCCGCATCACAACGGATTATAGCACACCTAGCACCAAGATTCAACTCAATGATAATCACTAATCTCATCTGAAAGTATTTGCGCAATAAGATGCGAAAAACTACTCAATAGGAAATAACTGCTCCGCATCCTCCAACTCCCGCTGTCCCTGCTCGTGCTCGCGTCTCCCAGACTCCTTCCATTCTTCCCACCCGGCCGTGTTCCCAATCGTCTCGACCACGCTGCCTTTCATGGAGTGGTACTGGCCGGTGACCTTGCTGGGGTGTTCGGTGCCGCTGGCGGCGGCGTCAGCGGCAGAGGAGGAGCTATCAGAAGAGGAGGAGGTGGTGGAGGTGAGCTTGTCGACCTCGTCTTGGATGGGGTTGGTGAGGTCGGTTTGGCGGGTTTGGGTAGGCATTTTCTTCTTTCCTCTGTTTGAGGGACTTGAGTAGTTTTTTTGGGAGGAGTTTGTATAATAGATAGTCTTTGTGACTTGTAGACTGGTCATGCGGGGGTGGAAGGGAGAGATCCATCTTATATCTATTCGATGACGTGAGTGGCAAGACAAAACTACAACATCATACCTCCCGTCATCATGGATCATCACGAGGATGGGACCATGGAACAGGCGTTTCTTTTGGTATGCTCTTTGTTAGGATGGACCAGCGGGAAAGAAAGTTTATTCAAGACGCAACTCAACTATATTTGAGATGTAGAGTCACTGGTGTATTTTTGTCCCATCACTAGATCAAGGACACAGTGTATAGCAAAGACTAGAAACCCTCCAGCTCGTAACTCGCATACATAAACGGCCCAGCACCCTTGATATCGTTATGCTGGATTGGCACCGAGATATAATACTGCACCCGTTAGCACCCATTCATCCCAACCAACAAGTCAAACCCATCAGGAAGGGGGGAAACTCACCTCAAAAGACCCATTACTACTCAAACTCCCCACCTCAACGGTCCCCTCCCAATTCAACGTCCCATTCTTATTCTGCGTCACAAACTCCCCCACCAAATTCTCATACCCCTTATCCGCAACCCCCTTATACTCCTTCTTCTTGAGATACCCCTTCCGAATCCCCTTGAGGAACCCATACGTGAACATCGCACTGCCACTGCTCTCGATATAGTTCCTGGGATCAGAAGGGAACGGCTCGTCCATGATGAGCCACCAGCCGCCGGACTCGTCCTGGGTTTTCTTCAACGCCGCAGCGAGGGCTTGGAACCGACGCAGGTTCTTCTTCCACCCGCGGTGAGACCGAGGGAAGACGTCCAGGATGTCGACCAGGGACATGAAGTACCAGCCTAGTGCCCGGTTCCAGACGTGAGGGGCGGCGCCAGTTTCGGGGTCTATCCCATTAGCATACTCACTCACTCTCAATTCCAAGGTCAAACAACTTCACTAGAAAACAATCCCAAATACAATAGGGGCGGAAGAGAAAGGAACATACCAGCCCAAACCGCGACCTTCGAATGATCATACCCATGCGCCAACAACCCCGTCTCCTTATTCAGCGTATGCTCCTCGATCAAATCAAACTGCAGCATGATATCATCCCACGCAGTCTTATTCTTCCCATCGAACCACGCGGTCCACTGCGCATAGAAATTCGTCGACATGTAGATCCCATCCAACCACATCTGGTTCGGATACGTGGGCATGCGATGCCACATGCCACCTGCTTCATTGCGGGGCGTAACATCGATCTGATGACGGAGGGTATCTGCGGCGATTTTATACCGGTCGTTACCGGTCTTCGCCCAGAGATTGAGCAGATTCGTCCCGATACGGAGATCATCGAGGGAGGTTTTCTTGGTGAGGTTGTAGTCGACGAGTTTGCCTTCGGGGGAGATGACGGCGTCGACTTGCGAGGTGATGTAGTTGAGCAGGGACTCGTCGTGGGTTTTGTTGTAGGCGAGTTCGATGCCCCGGTACAATACCCCGTTGGCGTAGTTCCGCGATTGGGTTACCGATTTGGAGAGGTACGAGGTGGCCATCCATTCGGTGTAGTTTGCGGCCGAGGCGGTGGTGGCTAGGGCCAGGACGACGCCTAGGAGGGAGGGGAGGATCATGATTGATGAGCTCAGTAGCTAGTAGCTGTGCAATGGATGAGCTATTGCAGGAATCTACCTGAAGAATGCAAGATGCAGAATAGTAGGTTATATAGAGCCTCGCCAAGACACGGAATTAAAGGACCCCTCACGGAGGAATTGGGCCGCGAATCGTAGTTCTTCCAGCTTGGCTGGCACTGAATGGTGGAATTGTCTTATCCGCCGGATAAGCAGTAGGGGGCTGTGCTGGGTGCATGGCATTGTTTATTGATTGAATGGTTTGATTGTCGGGTGCTCCGGGGGAAATCCGGAGCGAGGACTAACTAGAGTAGGGGCTAATAGACAGACAGCAGAAAGACAGCAGACCAGGGATAAAAGATAAAAGCAAAGATACCAATTTGCTGACATCATATCATATCACATCAATCACATCACTCAGGACATCCCAACCAGGGTGCCGTTCCTCGAGCACAGCGTCAGAGTCAAGCTTTCCTCCCACGCTCCTGCATCGCGACTCTCCAGGACGGAAAACCGCTGCGCCAAGCGAACCGTCACGTATCCGGCTTCAGTGAGCGCGTACTGCTGACCCACGCAGATCCGAGGTCCCCCGTTGAATGGCAGATACTCCCACCCCGGTCGCAGCGTCGCCCATCGCTCCGGTCGGAACTCCTCCGCGTCCGGTCCGTAGAAGTCCTCGCGCCGATGCATCGAATACGTGCTGTATCCCACCACAGTGCCTTTGGACACAAACACCGGGGACTGACCGTTGGGGCCGCCGCCGACGGGCAGGACGGTGTCGGTCATGGCGACGCGACTGTTGGCGGGGACGACGGGGTGTAGACGGAGGGCTATGACGTCAGTCAATGATAAGCAACGACCTTAGTGGGTTAGTTCGACAGGGGGACGTACATTCGTTCATGCAGTATTTCAGATAAGTGAGATTGCGCAGCTGGGAGTAGGTGGGGATGCGGCCGTCCAACGTGGCGATCTCCTCTTGCAGCTTCGCCCACACATGCGGATGCTTCGCCAGCATGAAGAACATGTTACTGAGCAGCGAGGCGGTGGTGTCGCGACCGGCCAGCAGCACGTTCATCAGCTCGTCGCGGATACGCTTGCGATCGCCCGTCTGCTGCGCCAGACCCTGCAGGAACAGGTACTTCTGCTTGCTGTCGTCGGCGCCCTTCTCCTCGTCGAAGTTCGCGCGGTACCGCAGCGCCTTGTCGACGAACTGCTCGACCAGCTCGTGGCAGACGCGATGGCAGCGCTGGGCCTTGCGATCGGGGAAGATCTGACTGAGGCGGCCGATGCGGGACTGGTGCGCGATGGCGTCCTGCGCGTAGTTGAACGCACTGGCGAAGTCCTTCTCGGCGTCTTCCTGCACGGCGGAGCGACGCTTCTTGAGACTTTGCACGCTGTGGCCGAACAGGAACTCGGTCGCCGAGTCGATGGTGTAGCTGAAGAACAGCTCCTGGAGGTCGAATGTGCTGCCATCCGTCGGGATCAACGCCAGCAGGTCGCCCATCAGCTCCTCGAAGATCTCCAGATGCGCCACCTGATCCTTGCTGAAGTTGGGCCGAATCATGGCGCGCGACTGCGCCCAGTGCTCGCCGTCGGTGGTGAAGATGCCATGTCCGAGCAGGGGTCCGAAGGAGTGGATGCGGTCGCCCAGGCCGAAGTCCTTGAACTTCAGCGACAGGATGGTCTTCACGTTGAGGGGATCCCGAGTCACGATGATGTTAGTGCCCAGGCGTGTGGCGGAGAAGGTATTGCCGTGGTTGCGGAAGTTGGCCAGCCCGCGTTCGAGGAAGCGATGGTGCTTGGCGGAGGTGACGCTGTTATAGACGTTGTCGATGCCGAAGACGGGGTCGATCATGTACAGGGAGGGGGGAGGCTCGCAGTGATTCTCGCGGGCGATGCGGCGCTGGGTCCATTTGCGTTGCAGGAGAGTGACGATGTACAGGGCCAGCAAGACGATGCCGGCCAGGACGAGGATCGAATGATGAGGAGGGTCCATGGCGATGGCGGAGTGATTCAACGAGAACCAAGGACTGAGAGAGGGAAGCCGGAGGGAGGGAGGGTACAAATAGGCGACATGATGGCCGACCCTACCGGGGATCTTCGGCAGCGGGAAGTCGACGGTAGCATTGATTCACTTGTGCGGAGGGTTGCGGTGAATATCGAGCATAAAGCATAAGGGCCACCGAGTGTGAGGCGTCTGGAGATCCTCGGCCACGGAGCGTCCGAGGAAGACCAAAAGGGCTGCGTCCTGTGAAGACGTCACGGACGTCCGCGAGTTGCTGCTTTCGGGGATGATTAATCCCCGTCGGTGCCTCGGGTGTCGAGTCTCGCCCAATCATACGCCGCCGGGCCCCGCGGACTGGCTGACTCAGCTCGGGCCAGATCACGGCCCGAATGAGCATGGGCGCTGATTGGCTCGGTGCCCGAGCGGCGGGCCCGATCGCAAGCTTCGCCCAATTGGGTTAGCGCCAGACGGGTTGGCCATTCGTGGACTGTGGATTGATCGAGGATGACCGTGGATGCACTATCGACGGCGATGGATGCTCGTGTCTACTGTCTAGTTACAGGAATCTGCGTAACCACATCCCTGCCTCTACAGCCTCCCACCCATCCATTCCCATCCCGAACCATCCGATCGGAGTATCTCATTTCTTTCCGGCAGGAGTGTACGTGGATCCGCCGCTGCCATTGTTGTAGTAGCTGCTGCCGTTCGGGTTGGAATAGTAGTAGGAGCCGTCACTAAACCTTAGCACGCGTCAATAAAACCCGCGGGGCCCGCACCTGTTCGAGTAGTGGTAGCTGTTGGAGTTGGAGGCGCTCGAACCGTAGTCCCGAGAGCAGTAGTGGTTGCCCTGATGTTGGGTATCAGCAGTGTATGACGATCAGACGGGTTGGACTTACCTGGCTGTTGGTGCCGGAGCTGGTGTACGAGTATCCTTTGCCAGAGCTAGACATGTTGGTGATGATGGATTGACGATGGATTGATGATGGATTGATGATGGATTGATGATGGATTGATGTTGGATTGATGTTGGATTGATGTTGGATTGATGTTGGATTGATGTTGGATTGATGTTGGATTGATGATGGATGGGATGAGAGATGAAGATGAGAAGAAAGAGGGGCAGAGGTTTGTTTGGATCCGCCCGTGACGGCAGAAGCGGGAAGAGACTACGACTGGTCACAAATATGGATCGGCACACCAATCGGAATGCTGGATCTATCAATCCATCGTACTCATTTAACTCATGCTTTCAGTCCAGTTGGAATTTCATCAACCCGTGCGTAAAACGATGGACAATCATCGAGGTATCCCACCAAGCCAGCAAAGCCATTCTCACTTCTTGTCCGGAGGAGGCGTGTAAAACCCCTGACCCCTGCCATTGTTGAAATATCTACTACCGTCGGGATTTTTATAGTACCAGGATCCGTCCCTATGACTGTTAACAGCCTCCCATCCTAGTAGTACTATCGCGTCGCACCGGTTCGAGTAGTGGTAGGCATCCCCGCGGCCTGGGCCGTTGGTGTCAGTTCCGGTGCCATGGTCGCGAGAGCACCAGTGGTTGCCCTGTCGGTTGGTGTCAATGTCGTCAGTGAGGATGTGCTTAGAAGCGACGGGCGGGGATTACCTGATCATTGATACCAGAACCGGTATGAACGAAACCTTTGTCAGAGCTGGACATCGTGCTGCTGAATCGGATGACAGACAGAGTGAGAGGATCTGTAGATACAGGGCTTGATGAAAACCGATGGACCGAAGGATGCAGGGAAAGCAGGAGGATGAAGACGGTGAAGACGGGAGACGACAGATCAACGAGGCCGAAGAGGTTGGTTGGGTACACCCCGTGACGACACAATGCGGTAAGCGCAGCCCAGGGACTTTGGATACTAGAAGATTGCCTTATTCTACTTCCTCAAGTCCTGAAATTGTGTGGACAGCTATCATGGAACTTGGCTGTCATGCTCAACTCCGGAATACCGATTGGAAAGGCCCATCGTACGGGCATTAGGTTATGGGAATCAGGCGACTGATGCTATTCTATAACTATAGATGAGGCAGTGCGGATATATAAAACCCTCTAGCAATTCGAAACTATCTAGACCAGGAAAGTTGTCGGCTGTGGCCAAGGCAAGGAAATTGAAAAGCGAAATCATGAGCAGCAATCGGACTATATAAGTAGCATGGGTATGTCCAAATTCATCGCGCAAGAGAGAGGGAAAAAGCTAATAAAAGAAACCGGGGGAAACGGGACGGAAAAAAAGTCACGAAACATGAGGAAGAAACGACGTCCACTGAACCATGGCGAAGGCATCCGCTGGCAACGATCTCAAGCTCATCAACGCCTCTACCAAGAAATAACACCGAGCCAGAGTATACATAACCAAAATTGCAAAGAAGAATGGAGCCGCAACAATATCCAACTCACCATCGCGGATGAGATATAGCCATTTCCGCTGCGAACGTACCCCCCTCCACCAGAGAATCCACAGTAGTCCCCACAGAGGGACAGTGGTCAGAAACAAGGCCGAGCAACGCCATAACCAGGACTCCACGGTGGACGGGAAGAAAGAAGACCACGCGGCAAGATGGGACCCGCCATACAGGACGTTGAATAGGACATGGATCCCTTTGGCTAGAGAAGGTTCGTGTCCGATATCAGAGCTCCAGCCACCCCATACGGACCGGATTGCGAAATTCTCGGCACTGTCGCGAAGGAGCTTCAGATTGCCAGACGAAGGGTGGTCGAGAGCGGAGCATCCTCGGCTCTCGATGTAATGAAGACCCTGAGTGGCGTTTTCTGCGAGGGCATGAAGAATCTCGATATCCTGACGTAGCTTGTCAGGTGCATCCAGATTGGGCTCAAGTTTATAGTGCTGGAGTGCTTGGCGAAGACCCATAGACACGGGGGCTTGGGGAGGAGAAGAGAAGTTCGTGTCTCCACGAGATGCCTGTATAACACGAGTCTTCCAATATTCGATTCTCTCATCTTCGTACCGATGCCACTGCTGACGGTAAACATCACGAGAGATATCATGAAAGCTAAATAGAGCGCCAATATTCTGTGCCTGGGGTCCTTTGACAACAATGGACTGTGTCAGATTATACGGCTTGTGGAACCAGATGATATAGACAAGAATCGTACAGCCCACATGGATTGCCGTGTGGGTCTCGAGAGGTGTGACGGGTAGGTTCCGGCCTAATCTGCCAAAGACCTGCAGCGCGAACCAGATAATTTGGCCGACGACAATTGATTTGGCGAAGATGTCCGCTTTACTTCTCTCCTCGATGTCGTTTAATGTGATAGCGGGAAGCTCACCGATCCTAGCAAGGATGGAGATTCCGTCCGCAGTAACAAGGCGTCGGAGTATGTGTTCCTCGCCGTCGTGTGTGTGATATCGTGTTTCCATGGCGTATCCTCCCATTACGCCAAAAAGCGCCCGATCGAGGTCCCATTGATGATGCCTTGCAATGCGGGAATTGTCAGATGCTGGAAGAGCCACAAGCTCCACGCCGGAATAAGTGGTCAGAGGCGAATCGGTTTGACGGATGGAGTCATTGGGTGACTTGTAGGGGCTTTTCTTGAATAGATTTCTGGTACGGAGCTACAAATTGGTAAGTCAAGCTGTATACCATTGGAAAGACAAATGAAACACAGATAAGTGTAATTGTTCCCAGGTCTGAGAGCTATGAGAATGAGATACAGCTACCTTTGGCCCTGAAACCTTGGGCAAGTACCCAAAGGACCGATTGACGTCTGCTAACAGAGATTGGCCCCGTCGCCTCTGACTCCAGGCTGCGGTGATGATAATTTCAGGGAAGACAATAGCCAACCCCATCAGGCCTAGCCGGTCAAAGAATACCGGCCAGAACTTGTATACGACGGGGATATTCGGATGGATCGCTGTCCAGACGCAGAGCGCCAGTGTGGAAAGACATGACCACAGGATGTCAATCGTTCCTCGGGTGTCTGGCGATGATCGCCACCCTTCAATGTCGGACATAGTTTGAAAATGGAGCTCAAACGTGGCAACATGGGAAAGACAAAGGCGCTTCCAGGGTGTTTGCTCGGGAGGGGAACCTTGCAGGGCTGGGCAAACAATCCTTACCGACCCTGGCTAGGGTCAATCTGACGAGGCCAGCCTTGTCGTACAACTCCAGGTCCGCCTTGTCAGTCGCAATCCACAAAACTCCAAGTTCTGCCGGCGCCAAAGGAGTCTGCGAGCTTTCCTCTTACACTGAAATCATGCTGTATCGGCCTACAACCCGCTGGACATGGGTTTTTTTCCTGTGCCTCCTCCTGGAATCCCTAGTAGTCATGGCTTTGGAAATGTGAGATTGCCTCTTATGGGATACTCAGCCGATCATGGCTAACTTATTTATCTAGCGCTTGTTTTATAACATTCACAACTCGACTAAGACCGAAGGCGGATCAAGTGTCCGCAAGTCGGATTCTTCATTCCTTCCTAAGCCTTATCATCATAGGACTTTTCTATCGATCGGTTCTTGCCTATGATATGCTAGCCCAGCAGAATACCATCCAGATATATGGAATTTGCGTCTACTCCATCGTTCTATCCGTACTAAGCGGCTTGCAGTATAGCCAATTCTTTCCTAGCACCGCGGTGCTATCTGATGGTTATGCCATGGACGATTACCCATGGCCGATATACAACGGCACTCTGATTACCATTATTGTTTTATCCACCATGTCTTGCTGTTGGATTCTTCCCGTTGGATGGAAACTGTCTGAAGAATTTGCCTGGGTGGTATTCCAAAAAGTGGAAGCCGATATACCTATGCGAAGCCGATATTGGACTTTTCAGGTGCGCTCTCGTGACTAATACGTTCGATACCTATGAACTGAAACATTTGACCAGATTTTAATCTCCATTTTGAAGTTCGATGTGTTCTTCTTTCTTGGTTTCATGGTGCAGGCAGTAGTTATCCAGACTGAACGGGCTGACCTTGCATGGAGAATGACAATAGTTGTCATTCCACTGTCTTGTGTGCTTCTTTGGGTGACAGCCTCTTCTGTAAGGCACGAAAGCAGAACTTGGACCTTAGCTGTATTTGTAAGTTTTCAAGAGTGTGGTTCATGAAGCCAAGTTATGGCTGCTAATATCAAATCAATCAGGCGTCTCACATTGCCCTGGAGGCTTTTTTTGTCTGGTGGTTTGAGCGAATATTTTCCCAAAGATCATATGAAGACTTTTTTCCGGCAAGAAAGAGTCTAGCATTGTTTGGGGGTCTGTCCTCTTTCCTCTCCCTTGCTACTATTATTATGATTTACATGTGTTTCAAAAACTTTGGCAAAGGTCTAAAGCCATATGTCTGCGGTGGGAAAGAGGCACGAATTATGGGAGAAAGATTCGAAACTTCCTTACGCCAAGAATATTCGCTGGTGGCACAGGCATAAAACTACTGCCCAGACTATGGAGTGGATTGAAGTGTCAGACATAGCTCTATTACAACGGGAAGGAAGAGGGTCAAAGTTTATAATTTCGTTTGGATGCTAGGAATAAAAAATGGCCCTTAATCGGAATTTTATTTACTTGGTTCTTAGTTTTCCCAGGCGTTAAGTCCTCGGGCGTATCATGGCTCAGTAGGACACAGTCTCCATAGCCAGGTACATTCTTGGTTTCTGCGGTCAGCATTGTAGATGCCTGAGGTGTCAGCTGCCAAGCATTCCGCTGTTTGCCGGCCATTTCATCTTCTACAATATTCAAATAGACATCCCAACTTATCTTTTCAACCACAGCACCCCCCTCCCCTTGCATCTAATTGGGTACAATCTCCTCGGAAATACAGCAAATTAGACCATTTTTGAACTATTGATGCATCAGATGGTTTATATCCTCTTGACTATTGAAATCAATACTGGCTGCTACCTGTTGAGAAATGCATTGTCCGTCTACATGTTTGCAGCAGCAGCCAGTCACTGAAGATAATGCAGCATTGAACATGCTTGTATTTGGGAAAACTGACGGCCGAAAATATCCAGAACAACAGAAATATGGAAACAGTCAAGAAGTAAGCTGTTGTAGAGGAATCCTATGATGAGGCCATCCCATGACGGTGAGATATATATCCATCTTAGATATCCGGCTCCGCAGCTTACTGACTCCCCTACTGTGTTATAAGTTAGAATAAAACCGATTGTAAGGGTGTGTTGCCATCCACCCATGAAAAGCTCAGTAATCAAATGATGGTGGTGGTTTGTCATCCGTCTCGTGACAGAATACATGGCTTGACTCGTCTGACCCCTCCTTCAGATCTTACATTCTTCCTTCCCTCCCAGTTCTTCTCACTTGTATTGAAGTGAGCTTTGACGCCCATAGAATTGATATCTACATTCTGATAGTTCTTCACCAATAGATAGATAGGCACATCATCCTGTATGTAATGGGCTCAGTACCAAGTGACCGCGACAAGCGTCACCTGCAAGGAGTTGGCTCGCAGGTGGTAAGCAATGAGCCTCGTCACGGTCGTGCATCACTAATCGAAATAAACAACTGGAAATGGATCCGTCAGGCTTGCACCGCAAGGGACGACAGGGAACGACGATTTCAAATGCGAAAGATCACCGCAGGTGTGTGGGGTCGTGGTCGATGAGAGCAGCGGATTTGGCCACGTCGAGATCAGTGGCGGCGCAAGGACACAGTGACTTACTATACTGGCCGAGGGGTACGAATTTTCGATTCACAGGTAGCACCACGGGTCAGACATGCACGCTTCATGGATGTCCCACAGTTCTGTATATTTTTCCTGTTGAACCCTGAGTGCAATCTGGCATTTGCTTTTGCAAACCCTTCTATGCATATACCCTTTTTCGCGTTTCAAACATGCGAGTCATTTCAGTCATCTTCTAGTTGAAATCATTGATAGTCATCTCGCGCAGTTTCTATTTCATACTTCTACAATGACAAGTCATATTAAATGAGTGAATTGCTTGAATTGATGGGTTTGTTCTAGTTTGCTAACTAGGTTAAAATGGCCAACCCGATTCACAGTCAGATCGTCCAACTTAAAGGTACTCGACAGTAACCTCACTGCCAGAGACAGAAGAAGAAGTCAGGATATCACCATTCTGTCTGATATCAATCAGAGTAGCGCCCGAAGGTCCAACGGTGGACCGGCCAGTCGACGCCTCGGCTCCGGTGAAAGTGACAGTACCAAAGTCCGCGAACGAAACCAGCGAGCCACTGGACTCGAAGTCCTCAACGATCCACTCAGCGTTGGTCTCGCACAAGTCGCCATCCACACCGCCGTTAAAGGTATGAGTGACCTTCTGACCAGTGGAGACGTTCTCGACAGTCGCAGTACCGGTGGTCTTGCTGCTGGCGTCGACAGTGACCTTGATCTTATCGCCGACGGAGATGTCGAAGTTGTCAAAGTTGTACGCATAGTCGGGGTACCACTCGTACCAGGCGTCAAAGGAGACGGAGCTGCCCTGGGCGCAGAAGTCGATACCAGTCTGCAGAATGGCGCTGGTGCAGGTATCGCCGTCGATACCGACCCAGGCAGAAGCACAGTATTCGCCGCGGGAGGAGCTGCCAGAGGGCACGGACGGACTGGGAACGGTGAATTCGCCAGTCACGGAGGTGTAGCCGGATCCGATGAGCACGGCACCAGCCCAGTTGGAGCTGTACTGCTCCTGGGTGGTCTTGTTGAGTTGCAAGATCTCCTGGGTGTCGGGGACGAGAGGAGGGTTGCTCTTGCGGGCATTGCGCGCCTGGATGCGGGCTTCGTTGCGAGCGCGACGCTTCTCAGTCAGAGGAGCGGCGACGGCGCTGCCGGCGAGGAGGGTAGAGCAAAGAACAGTAGAGAACTTCATGGCGAAAGTTGATGAATGGGTTGCGAGATGCGATGGAGAGAGTGCTGGAGAACTAGGAGAACTGAATGCTGATGATAGACTCTATTCGCGAGAGAGAAGGCCTTTTTATACCTTCGCTCGACGCTATCACCGGCTGTTCGGCCTCCTAGCCATCTATCCGACCGATGATACCATTCTGCAAAGGCCAAGCGAATGCGCCAGATAGCGACTAGCATGAGTTGGGAAGATACGTCCGAAGCCCAAGCGTTGTATAGCACGCACTTGACCTGCAGCATTCTGCGCCACGAGAGTCTTGATTCGCTGGCATAACACAACCTGCAGAAGAACTAGACAAGCCCTCGCACTGTTCACGATATGGCACAGTCAAGCATTGCCAAGCTAACCGAAAATGCAGAGGCGCTGCGTCCGAGACTAGCGTGGTTCGATATCACATCTCCGCGCGGAGTCCGACGGGTGAATATATCCTAGCCCAGCTTATCTCGCGCCATTCTGGCTCTCTAATGGTTGATATTGCGCTTCATTCACATTTTGACCTTCGAGAGACGGCGCCGGACGACAAGCTTTAGACAAGCCTTCAGGCGAATGACAAGCACTGAGGATAATCAATGCGGGGTGTGACTTCCCCTGTGGCGTGCGGATGTAACGCTGGAGTGGAGTGATTAATTTATATTAATTCTGCAGATAATGCGCTACGAGTACGAGGAATGACTCGGGCGGTGTTGATTTATGCAACTCTTACCGCAGTATTTCGCGCATTGGGGGTTTGCGTTTTCCCCCTTCCTTTCGCCGTCGCACTTCTCCGACAACTAGACGCTATCGGACAACGGCATATGGCAGGGATATACCTCCGTATCTTAATCTATCGATCGGAACGAGTCAGTCTAGGAATACGAGAGCGATTGAGCGAGCGGAAGCTGGCGGATGTCACATTGTCTATTGGTCTAGTGAGGCACAATTCCAGCAACAACCCCTGACTCCAAACACCGTCACCCCGAAATGTCCGTGCCCGTCGAGAAGTCCTCCCACTCTTGCAGCATTTTCAACGTATTCTGGCACTTAGTGCGAATCGCCTCTATCGCATCAGACCCCAGCACCAGTTCCTTAGGCCACTCCTTTCCGGCCGCTCCGTTCTCGCCCCTGATCACATCGATCACCCGAGCCACAGCTTTGACCGGATCGCCGACCTGCTTGCCATGCGTGCCCCGGAAGGCAGAGAACGTCGCGTTCGTGATCTCCTCATAGTCGGGGATTTTGGTCTCGACGAAGTTGCTATTCTGGGGACCGAGCAGCTCGGTGCGGTAATAGCCCGGCTCGACCAGGAGAGTTCTGATATTGAATCCGGACACCTCCTTGTCCAGGGCCTCGGTGATATCTACTTCGATTAGCAATGATCTCTCAAGACAAGGGACAGGGGAACGAACAGCGAACCGCGGCCTTCGATGCCGAATACGCCCCGACGGTCGGGTACGTGATCCACGCGGCCATGGAGCCAAAGTTGACGATAGTCCCGTCTCTCCTTTCGCGGAAATGAGGCAGGAAGGCCCTCGTGGTGTTCGCCGTGCCAATCACGTTCGTATTGAACTGCACGGCATATTGCTCCCTGCTGGTATCAGCATCCACTCCATTAACAATTGTCTCGACATCACCCACCCTAGATCCTCAAGCGTGCCGAACTGCGTATACGCGGCATTGTTAACCAGCACATCAATGCGACCGTAAATAGCAATCGCCTCTGCCGCTTTCTTATCCAGTTCCTCCTGAGACGCCGTGATGTCCAGGGCTAGCACCGCTGCGCCAGCGTCCTTGAAGGCAGCGATCTTGGCGACATCACGCGCGGTCGCGATCACTTTATCGCCGCGGGCCAGCGCCTGCTTGACCAGCTCGTTTCCAAAGCCAGATGAAGTACCGGTGATGAGCCAGACGAGGGACATGGTGAGGGATGTTTGGGGGGAATGCGACGAGGGCCCTCGTGCCCCTCGTGCCCCTCTTATGAAGAAATGGGTTGTGGGACCTGCCATGGAGGATTAGTGATAGTGAATATCGCATGATGATAATTTGCAGCCTTCAGGCCAATTATGGGATGTGTTCTGACGAGATTGGGGCCGACTAAACTCGACGCGACAGGAGATGCATTAGACTTGTGCAGGGGTGCAACTGCCAAGCATCTTCAGATTACGTCAACAATATTGAATGTAGACAGTTCAGATGGACAGAATTGAATTGATCAATTTATCTTCATAACATAACAATACAACAAAATGCTCAACAATCTATCACTTTTCCATCGGCGACATCAAGTCCAGCCCATAATTCAAATTTAACCCAATTTAACCATCATACCCCAGCGTAACCGTCAAGATAACCTGACCATCGCCCGAGATATTGCCTCCAATACCACCAATATCCGTCTCGGCGGTGGTATACGCATTATCGACAGAGCCAGCATCAGTCGTAATACTGGAGCAGGTGCCACTGCCCTGCTCACAAATACTCATACCCTGGACATCGAGGCCTGCATTCTGCGCCGCAATCGCACTAACATCGAACCCGCTCCAGCCGCCATTACCGGCGGAGCTGAAATCAAACTCACCCCAGGTAGCAGCGTACCCGCCGCCATTATCCTTAGGGATCTCAGACGAGGAGGGGGCGGCAGCGAAGCCACCGTTCGTGTCATCAGCGAGAGCCACGTATTTGGTCTCTCCGGCCTCGACGTCCAGGTTCAGCGCGGAGTATCCGTACCAGCCGTTCATCTGACCATCGGGGCCGTACTTGTTCCAGAAGACGACGGACCAGGCCTCGGAGTCGGGGCCGGTGATCTCCAGAACGTGCTTGTAGGAGGATGCAGCGGAGGAGGAGACCTCGATGATGTTGCTGCCCCAGGGGGAGCCGACGTTGCCTTTGTAGGTGATGTCGGAGCCGGAGGAGGCGGTGTTGGAGCCGAAGCCGGCGGTGGAGTAGCCGTCTGAGCTGGAGGAGGAGGAAGAGGAAGAGGAGGGGCTAGAGATGGGGGTGGAGGAGGTGACCTGGCGTTTGATGTTGGTTGGGATGGCGAGGGAGGTGGCCGAGAGGGTGGCGAGGAGGAGGAGGGGGTTGGTGAGATGCATTTTCTTTTGGTGTGTTTGCTTTTGAAAAGGGTTGGAAAGGTTGTAAGAGAATGTACTCGCGTCAAGCGATGAAAAGAAGTATAATGAATGTGGATAGTTGGAGTATACAATACAACACAACCGAACAGAACTGAAGTCAGAATCAACTGATTGAAGCAGATGAGAAACATCCAACAGACGGGGAATCGCCTCTCTATATACCCATCCCTCGCTACCTTTCACCAGCCAAGGACTGAAAAACCCTCATCTGCCGACGCAAGCCACGGTCTCGAACGCCATGGCAATGGGCCTCAGACCTTGGTCCAGACTGGAGACGTCGAAGGAAGAAATGCGTCAGCGCAACGGCTACCAGAGGAGCCGTGGAAGAAACTGGGTCTTAGAATTAGACTACGAGTGTTGCATTGTAACTCAGACAGACCAAGGACTGGGCCATTGGAAGTCAAGACTTGGAAGGAACCTAGGGAGGATCTTGGACACGACATCCAAAGCAAGCCGATTGGGCCAGACAGCCCACATTTGATTCCAGAACCAACAAGTGGACTGTTCCTGGATTTTAAGTTGCAAGACCATTGGCGCAGTGGGCTGGCCGAGCGGGCGTCAGCGGCTGAACCCCGAGCCTTAAGGACCGGTTTTTAGTCTTTGTTGCGCTGATCTGGGTGTCTTTGACAGCGGAACCGACGGATCTGAATCGGGTCTGAAACGTTTCAAGAGTGAGGAGGAGTCAGGGATACACGATGTTTGAATGCAGATGACTGAAAATGCAGAATCACGGAGTATTGTGCGCAGGAGGATGATTGTCTGGGCTGATTCTTAGTGTAGAGTCCAGACTCTGGCGGGTCATCAGAATCTGTTGGAATTGTTGTGTCACGGATTGCTTTGCGCGCTATCACTGCGCTAGTCTTGTGTGTGGAGCGCCTAGAGGTCTAGTGTTTACCCACTGCCTAGTCGGAGTGTTACTGCACTGCGCTGCGTTTAGAATCGCGGTGTCTTCGTCAAGCTGCATGAACTACCCCTGCGCATACTACATCCACCACCATGACTCCCACCACATCAACAACACACTCCAATGTCCAAAACCCCTGAAGACTCCCAAAAAATAAACCCCAAAAGACGACAACGACAAAACTCCTGAAAATCCCTCCGGACCCGCGGAACCAACCTTTAGTCCAGGGACGCGAACCAGCAAACCCTTGCCGAGCACTGACTAAGCGTCACTCAACCAATGGCAAAACAATCCACACTGTCATTTACTGTGGTTGCATTCGTAAGAGGCCACCGACAAGTCCAAGTTCCATGGATTGCTCCGTTGGCGCTGAAACAGGCCACAGAAATGTGTTGCTGTTCATTGTTGCGTGTTGATCTCCTTCCTCGTTGGGTGGTGTGCCCTGGTGGGGTTGGCTCAGGTTCAGGAACAGCATGCGTAGCCCATTGATGAGGGGTTCTGGAAGGAAAGGAAGTGAAGAATGGTCCAATAAGCTGGTTGTGGATTACTGCATTGTATTATCTACGATGGAAAATATTGCAGTACGGAGTAGGTTCTAAAGTCTAGAAGCCACCTCGTCAGCTGTCCACTGTGGAGCGAGCCCACCGTTCTCGGCGTCCCATTCGTAAGAATTGCAGGCCACGTAGGCGAGAGCAAAAAAGGAAGGAAATCTCGTGGAAATTTCTTGCTCGATCGCTTTCTGTCGGAGTGGTTTGAGTTATGCTTCGGCAGCCACATAGCTACTGGCTGGTTGACGCGAACGCGTTTTGCGATGGTTTATTGTTCCGTAGCTGTTTGTGGGGCTGCTCGTCATGGATTGAAGCTGTCGAGTGGCGATTGATGCGTATGCTTAATGCCTTGGTGGTAAGAGGATGGTGACGATGGGATATTAGGGTTACAGCCACAATGTCATAGCCGTTGAGTGGTAAAACCTTAGGTGAAGAGGTGGCAATAGATTGCGATCTGGCATCCTCACATCACGACTCAAATATAACAATATATCCGTAATCAACAAATAACCTCGGCTCTACAATCTACAACCCTCCCTAGAAATCCTAACAAACGTTATTCCCACAAGACTGATCACACCCATACGTCCCCACCCAATTGTCATCCCCATAAACATCCAACCCCAACAACCACCCATTCAACACCTGGTGCAAATAATCCAAATTCTGCGGAACCCCATTCTCCCTCCCCTCCTCCGAGCACGGATAATCCTCCGTCAAGCCCCTATCCCCATTCAACCCACTCCCAGCTACAAACCACCCATTATACTTGCCCAACGCCTGCACCGCATTCCCACCACTCTCCTCAATCTGCTCGGTAAGATACTTCGCCCCCGCGTCTACATTGTCCTGCACGGAACCCGTACACTCCCCGTTCGGATAGTTCGCGCAGTCAACTTGCATAAGGCCGGGCGTGGGACCGCCTGCGTCCGGGTTACAAGATGACTCCTGCATGGCTAGGACAGCGAGGAAGATCGGGTCGACGGAGTATGTAGATGCGCTGGATTGGAAGTACGAGTCGTACTGGGCGCAAGGGGTGCCGATGCCGTCGTAGAAGGATGAGAGACTGATGGTGTAGATGTCGGAGAGGGAGAGGAAGGGAGGAGTCCACCCGGTGGTGGTGAGGTTGGTGTTCAGCCAGGATTGGGAGCTGTTGTTAGCTTTTAGGATGGGCTGTAAGGCAGGGTGTGTAGGGAGTGATGAGAGTAGGAATGTACCCGTTTGGACCGCCATCAGGAGTAACTTCCTCAGTTGATCCCTCGGCCTTAGGGTTCGCGCCGACGCCGGGGTTGGCGGACTGAGCGTGAACCTGGGCAGCCAGGAGAGTGGCAAGAGAAAGAGCCTTATATGTCATGATGATTGCACTTAAGAGCTGTTAATCTACTAGGAAAGACTGCGGATGTAGAGGTTTATATATTCAGCACAACATCCCAGGTCCTCATTCCATCAATCTGACGATTTTCCTAATCCGGTAAATCATACTGGAGCGGAAGGATGTTCCTGTAGGGCCAGGAACAAGATCCATACAGCATCAATGACAGTGCATTGCATACCGATTACCCAGACATCTCCACCTGACGGTGCATCCCGTTCTTCACGCTAGTCGATCATCTAGCTCTATTCGGAAGAAGCGTGCGAGTTAGCGTCAAGTAGTGCAGTTTGATCGGGATAATACGAGCGTGCAGTGATTTACCCCTTTTATGCCGATCGGAAGGATCGATCAGAAGTTTGCAGGATCACCAGTTTCTGGATAGGGTAGGTCGCAACTTAATTATCTTCCGAGAACCCGGGAAGAGATGCTTGCGATATACTCAGCCACTGTATTCTTTGTTCAACTGAAATAAAGCTGCGGCAAGAAATGGAAAATAAAGAAAGGAAAAATAACAAAAAGAAGAGGGTCCTGCCCTGCGATAATTCAAACACTGGCTAAACAGGACTGGAAACCCTCACCCTCTTCTTCATCTGTGCCCAAAACCCAAAACGCAGAAAATCAGGAATCCTACTATCCAGCCACAAAAAACCCATAATAAACGCCGCAGTTGGCAGCGCAGTCACCCAATATACCCAGAACTGATCATTCCCAGGCCCATACGGCTCACTCATACTGAAGACCCCAGCGATAAGGGATAACGGTACACAAGCCATAGCGATGTACGTCAAACGCCGGATATCCTCCGCTTGGGAGATGGACTTGTGGGAGTCAATGAGTTGCACTAGCGAAGTGATTATCGGATTCAAGGCTTCAAGGGATCGAGCGTGTTGATCGATCTGCTCTTCTGAGTATTTGAGATCGGCGATTAGGAGGTTCCAGCTCGGTAGTTCCTGTGATGAGGATGATACTTTGGGTGTTACTTCGTGTTGGTAGAGGGTTTGCTCCTTTGGCATCCAGTATTCGACAAAGCGCCGAACCGTCTGCAACTTGTGCAGACTTTGCAGACTCCGCCGTCGCCATCGATGCAGATCTATTATATCGTTTTTCTCGAAATGCTCGAGCCGTGTGGGTGCCGATTTGAACGAGTACTCGTAGTACTTGATATAGCGACCCATCAGCAAGCCATATAGAATCCACTCCCTAATGACAGACTGGATGGGATGGTAAGCAAGGGACAAAATGCTGGGATTTCCTGCGTTCCACCCTGGAGACGAGTCATGGAAGAAACTTAAAATCTCCTCGCGCGGGCTGAGAGGTTGGATGTTTTGGCTCCCATTCGAGCCTTTGAATTCAGCATAAGTTGGTAGATCGCGGAAGTCCTCAACAGCGATTCGACGTGGTATTTGAGGGATTTTGGAGTGCAGAACGTGGGATGTGCTGCTTGCTGGTCGCACAACGTCAGGCGCAGGATCCACAAGGATTAAACCTGGCTTGGCATCAGTATATATTATCCACAGGGACAGCCATGTAGATGGTTTCTTACATATCCAGACATCACTAGACAGATCTTTCTTTATCAATGAGGTACATGCTCGACGGAGACCAATCGATCTACCCGACAGTGCGGGCAGACGTCTAATATTCCGAGGAACATTCGCCGGCAAGGCGAGTTTATATGGTACATGGCCCACGGAAGACTCATCGCCCAAATCAAGGACCTTCTGGTAATGGATGTTGAGAAATGGCTTCGAGACAATTTGGGACGGTGGTAAAGCTAGTAATGGTGGCGCAGGAGTGTGTTCGATGTCTGCGTACGACGACGCGATGTGGCCACAGAAGAAGAACGGATCAATATCAAGAGATGCACCGAGAACCTCTATATCATCGGGGTGAATATTCTCGACCACTGCGATGATTCTATTGTTCAGCCCAGAATCAACCCGGGTCATGAGTTGATTTGTGTTGCTTTCTTGGGGTGGACCCGCACTCCCAGTCTTCTCTATCTCGATAAAGCTGACATGGCTGTCGGAGGGCTTTCGGGGCTGGTGACGAAGAAAATCAGAGAGTATATTTAGGCTTGGATTTCGAAAAGCCAGAGATGACACATAATCAGTGTAAGAAGCTTCCATATTTCCCACATATTATGAAATGCTAACAGTACAAAGTCCTCAGTCGCAGCCATGAAGATAGGACTTCAATGATATTCTTCAACGAAGTTTTAGCCGCCGCGATTTCAGCCTCGTCGTTTAGAACAAAATTTCTGGTGTAGGGAATGCCACGTCAGGCATGCAGTAGTTCGACATGGGTATTGACCAATACAACCGCAGCCCGGCCCAAACGGCGCTTAGCCCTGCTTCCATGGAGCCACAGAGTTACGAGGGTCCCCTCCAGTCGTGGAGAGTGTTTCTCGTCTCGAAAAACCTCTGGGAGACTCGCCTGAGAGCACTGACAACAGAAGAAGCGAGATAAGAGCGTGATAAACCCCCCGACCGGTCCTTAGACCCCGCGCACCGACTACCGGCTACTACCGCATACCATGGATTCTACTCAAGAAATCAGCGACTGGGAAGATCTACATAGCCTATTCCACCTCAAAGCAGACACGATGCTATTATATACAAACGAAGTCCGAAGGATCTGCTCCGAAGCCCTAACCGCGTCAAATATCCGCCATCCCCCGATCACGTCACGAATCAAGTCCTGGGAATCCGCGAAAGGGAGCATTGGCCGAAGAAACCGGGAACGAGCTTTACGAGGGCGCTTACGGGAGGCCGTGGAGGCACAGGATCGAAAATGGGAGGATTATGCTCGTGAATCAGGGCTCAGTCTGTGCAATGAAGAAACAGAGCCCCTCAAATCCCCGGAAGAGATGCTGAGGGCTTTGCCTGACTTTGGGGGTATTCGAATATCACTCTACTTTCCAGGGGACCTTAAGCGCGTTACTGCTATTCTTGAGGAGAGATTCAACGTCATGCGACGCATTGAAAAGGGCCAGGGGGCTCCAGATAATGTTCAGAGCTTGGAAGAACGACTTGAATTGCTCCAGGACCCTGATAGAAACAGGAATGGTGCGACCGATACAAACCAGATTCAACGATACATGCGGACTTTCACCGGGTATAAAGCAACCCATTTCGTCGTGAAACTGCACTATAAAGATATTCAAGAAAGCAGAAGGTACTCATGGAAGGATGCTGTCGTTGAAATTCAGATAGGGACGCTGGTTATGCACGTATGGTCGGAGATTGAGCACGACATGATTTACAAACCACTTGACTCTCAGGGTGCTAAAGTGTCCGAAGATGAGGAACGAATATTAGATCTGATTAACGGACTTGTTCTGACGGGAGAGGCTGCACTACAGCAGCTTGAGGCCAGCACGGCTAAACGTTTGAATAAACGTGCAGAAGACCAAAAGCTCATGGCGAGCAGTCACTATGAGCTTGCCACTTGGATCGAGAAAGACTGTGAAGAGCGCGGAATTCTCCTCGAAGGCGCGAAATGGAGAAATCTAGAGCAGCTGTTCAACATTCTAAAGACGACAGAAAGTCACAGGCATTCAGAGGTGACAAAGCTGATTGAAGATGCAACCCAGCAGACTTCCAGTCGCAATTCTCTACCGGCTGAAATACTTTGGTCATTGTGCAAAAACGCTGTATATTCTGAGTGGGAGCCTTCCAATAATCTCTCTGTCGATGGCTTGATTGAAAACGCCAAAGTCTGGGCGCTACGTCTGGTGCATAGTGTGAATTTTGCCATGTATCTTGGGGTTGTCAAAGATCTCCTCGATGTGCATCCCTTGCCAAACCTTCCCTCTATGGTATCCTTTCTCGATCTTGTCCACCCTGATAGCCCCAAGGGATTTGATCCAAACACTGCTGAGACCATTGCAAAATGCTGCAGAGCGATTGTAGACCCTGAAACCCGGCCGGGAGTCACATCGAATACGCTGGTCAGAGTGGCAATGAGCTTACCGGTAACAAAGCTAGTGGGAATGTTCACAGAGTCAAGCGTTTCCCTTGGAACCCCAATCCCGGCCAGCATCACTTTACTCCTTCCCGTTAAGGACAAGACCGATCCGGGAATGAACTTCCAAGATGCGGACGAGCCGTATCGTGCAATAGAGCTTATTGACTTCTACCTGGACAGCAGTCAAGATCAAATCTTGATATGGGATCGTCTTACAAGACAATTGCCCAATTCACAGACCAGAAAACCGATCGAGAATCGCTTTTTCTTCCCCACGACCTTTTTACGCGATAGTTGGGGTTGGAAGTTAGTTGATGTAAGCGCGCCGCTGAGCCTAGCGAAGATGGATCCAAAAGATCTTGGTGCAAGTGCCAACTGCTCAGAGAGACCGTCCTATTCAGTTGCGCCGCCGTGTTTGATAACATACCGACACTCGTTTCCGGAGGAACAGGAGGATGGTGTGCTTGATCTTGCATATCGCTTCTATCCAAAGGAACAATGGGATGCTGTGCGCAAGGCCTGGGGGATGGTCAAAGCCCTTAGACCAAAATACTTGGTCCAGGGCCGAAAATCGGAATACTCCATCTACCGCTCTGAAGGCATCTCTCACTCTGAAGGTTCAATGAACTTCTTATCGAGAGGAAGTTTCATTGATGACGGCTGCCTGATTGGAATAACACCTAACGTTGCAGAAGATCCTTCAGAACTCCCCTTCCTGTACGATGAACTCTTTGGATGTATGAAATAACATGGAAGAGCTTCTGCAACCAACAAGCTGCAAATCTATCTGCCCAGGCACATTAATCCGATCCAATCGACCATTTCAACCATTTTAATAGGATGTAGTAATTCTGTTAATTGCCGCGCTAACCCGTGGCTCCTTAGAATTCAATATATCCATTCCTACTCAAATGCGCCCTTATTTGATAAAAGAAAAAAGGCTTTGACTCTGAAAATCGGACTATGAATGGTGAAAATAGCAGTGAGCTACCTACAACTTATCGCCACACGTCTATTCTGCGTTGTAGCCGAAGGCATCGATATTTCCTGTCCATAAATGTCCATACATAGGTTCATTAATCATTCCCCCTTTCCGTATTTGCCCAAAATTATCCAGAGTCATAAATATTAATACCATTCCATATAAAATCCCGATCACAACGTTGCCTGGGACCCATCAACTTCCTATCGAAGTGCAAGTTGTGAGTAACCAACTAAGCATTCTTCTTCCCCTTCCTACCCTTCTCAGACCAGGGGAAGTGGAAAACGGGAATAATGAAGAAACTGTTACTATCGTCCGCAATACCCGCCAGGGCAATATACCACGCCAAGAACGCCGCCAGCAGCGCGAAGAACCCACCGGCCTTGATGATGGGCGTGTTGGGGGCATCCATGGCGTCGCGGCGGATGTACCCGATACCGAGCAGCAGGAACGCCAGATCGAGAGACAGGAAGAGCGAGAAGAATGTCACAGTAGACTTGACGGTGCAGGTGAGAAGGAGGAAGGTGAATATGAACCAGCCCTGGTGGAATGTTAGCTGACGTTAATGTGGAAGGAAATTGTGAATGCGTACCATAAGGAACAGACCCAGGGAGTCATAGAACATTCCCATTCCTCCATTGTCCGCTTCGATCAGTGACTTTTGGATACTGAACCCGCCAGGCGTGAAGACGATGGCCATAGAAATCCAGAATCCACCGTACGAGGACAACGCGGTGGCACCGAACGTATTTCCGGCGGCCATTTCCCTGCATCAAGATTAGTTATCATTCGCCCATGCAGGGGAAAGTAGAGAAGACATACCACATGCCAGCCAATAGCTGCACCAAACCACCATATGCAAAGGCCGATCCCACGACAATGTTCGGCTCCGTGATATCACGCGCCTGCATATTGGCCAATCCCAGAATAAAGGTGGTCAAAGCGAAAGCGCAGAGGCCCAGAGGCGCCGGGTTTGCGATTTTACGATGCTTCACTGACCGGTAGAGACCCGGTTGCATCTCACCACCGAAGGCAGGAAGCTGCGTCTCGGCGGTGTTGACATGCGCCAAAGGACCGAAGCCGACATGGTACGACCGGCGTTGTTCCTCGTCATTGGCGTAGCTCATCCGAATGGTATCAGCCGCCATGCTGTAGCGGTTCTGAGCGTAGCTGTTGCGATTATCCTGGGTGACGGCGTCGGGGGCATGGTCGAAGACCACGCTCTGGCGGTTTCCGGGAAACGCATAGTCCTGCGTGATACTGTCATGGTGGGCGTGTCCATGGGTTGGAGGCTGAGGAGTCTGAGTCTGGGTCTGGGGAACCCCAGTGTCGCTGTCTTGAGTCTCGGTCGCGGGGTCTGACATGCTTGCAGTTGGAACTGGGTGAGAGTTTGGGTGCCAAAAAGGGGGAGGGTGGGTTCCGCCGAATTTATGTTCTATCCCAGGTCCCAGAAAACGGAGTCTGTTTGCGCCCACGCGAGGATCGACCCATTCCGTTCGTCCATGGTGGATCTTTGCAGAGATTAGGGATGGGATGGAGTTAGGTACAGCGGGATGTGGTGATGGACTCGGCGATCGATCAATAGTTCACAAGCTGGATCATCGTCGGGGCCGTGCCATTGGCCGAAGCTGCGTGACGCTCCAATGACAGCGCTCTCCCCGGGGGGATGCAACGTGGAGAGAGGGAAGAGTTCCCGGCGTAGTCAAGCAAAGAGAAGCTTCTGCGCCCTCAATTTTGCGAATGTTGAAGCTCAATGACAATCAGTGGGTATGGGATCCACCGTGGAGTTTATTCAATATGCACCTGCCATATTGAATGTGGTCGCGTTGACAGGATAGATTTTCCAAGCGCATAGGAAGAGCAGTGAATTACTCTACTCCAAGCAATTGGATAATCATGCTCCTGTCGCCTTGAATCAGTATACATTTATACAGATTTTTGTTTGAAGCATCTCACGCGAAGATGGATAGTAATCTCCTTGCCGAACTAATGAACTTTCTTATTGGCCTAGCGAGTCAGCGACACGCGATATCCAAGCTACTCGTTAAGCGCTGGAGCTAGCTTCCGCTATCGAGAGACCGGACCTGGCAGACCGGAGGAAGGGAACAGATTAGGAGCCAGAGTGGAGACAAAACTGGAGCATTGTTCGAGTTTGTCCGCACGGTGCAAGCGCTTCTTGTCTGTGCGAGCCATGCTGTTGGGATGGATAGGAGATTGCAGGAGTTTTCCTCCTGCCAATGCAGGTAAATTGAATTGAATATCTGAATATCCTGCTGGGTGAATGGAATTCCTGAATTTGGGAATGTTTTGACTGAAAGATGATACTATTCACAGATCTCCAGGGCCAAGACTGAGTCATCGTCTCGCTTGGAAATGCACGTGATATTCACCAGGGCTGCAAAGTCACGTGTATAAAAACCCGCTGTTCTCACCGCCCTCATTCTGCAACCCCCTTGATTGCCTGTCAATATTTGGCTGTTCTTGGCACTTCTACTTTAGTTATTTCTGGTATCATCGACTACAACAATCTTAGCTATCTCTCTGCCAGCGTATCTTTGGCTGGTATACTTCACATCCAATATCCCATACGGCAGCGTCAATTTCACGTCAAATTTCGCTCAGTCCTTACTCTGAATTCTGACAGAACTGCACGGTTTATACAAGCCCAAAGAACGACTGTCGTACCTGACAGCTAAAAACGGACTGGAGCACCAAGACACACTTCAAAAGTCTCCGCTAGGACATTGTATGGTCTGGAAGGTCTCTATTTGTTAGACCGATAGAACAATGAGTCGTATCGTGTCTCGCGTAAATGACTGAGCTGTTAACCGAAGTGATATATATTTGCTCGGTTGGTTATGAAGATCAAGGGCCGTGGCTCCAGCCAACGTGCGAGCGTGGATTTTTACACGTTCATCATCAAGAGCCGCTATAAAGAGGACAACCTTCCTACTGCAATTTACTGGTACGGGCTTTGGGTTTCTAATCTCCCATTCGGTACGGTATTCCTGGGTACAGTCAACAAACAACAATCTCACATTTCAAACTGGGTGGTCTGGATTTATGTTCTACACAGTTTATACAACATATGACGGAATAGTTCGGGAAAGAGCAAAAGGTGACTGCTATTGTTCTGAATCTTCGGATTCCTGATAATAACCTGCCCCTTAGTAAGTAGGGCTGCGCTGTCCTTGATGTGGCACTTGCATATGCTGACCTCCTAGGAGAATACTTCAAATCCTCAAGCGATCCTACCACTAAGCTGTCCTCTCGCCACTCTACCACTTCATCCAGCTCGCATTGCTCGCTACGCCCACACCACTCAAATGGCCGACACCGACCAGCCCGTTGAAGAAGTCGCTCAGGCTCAGACGCCCGCAAAAGGCTAGAGAGGACGTCAAAACCCTACTGCTGCCCTACAAACTGAAGTTCGGGCCATACAAGTCGCAATACGAGAAAGTCTCGCCCAAAGAGCGCAGGGAGAAGTCTATCCGATTGACCAGTAAACAATGGACCCTAGAGTTTTCTTAGTTTATGGGAGGGCTCTGCATGATGCCTGATCCACGCAGAAATCACAATATGGACACCGAGACTGCCCGGAAAATGTGTTCACACCCCACAGACAAAATAATTGTACCTTTTATGGGAGCAAAGCGACTACTTCTATGGGGTTATTGATTTGAGCATTCAAATGACTAACATCCCCTAAAGCAACTCGGCTGTTGTCACACTATACCGCAAAGCAAAAACTACCCACCAAGCAGTGGCTTTAGTAGCAACTTGGATGAAACAGCGGCGCAAGGATTGCTAAAGAGCCTTCTCTCATGAGGATAACTTCGCAATGTGAGGTGGTCAATGCTAAGATGCAACTCGACAGCGGATGGCATTATCCCGGTCTGAATATTCTGATAACCGTCTCTTGAGGCTTTTATGGCCCCTGAACTCATATAAGAGCAGCATAAAACCTGTGACATGTGGCCTTCGATATCATATTCTTCAAACACTTCATGGCCAAAATAGATTTTTTAAATTTGTAGCTACGGGTACAATACTTGAGGAACAACAAAAGGTCATGAATACCTCACTCACCTTCTTTCTCACTGCTACCTAATCTGCTATCTATCATTCATAAATACAACATTCTTATTGCATGATGAGACTTCACAGCCCTCTGCATGTACTGGATCAAGTCGCGACGTGATCCTGGATATCGGAGGATCACAAGACAAGACATCCGCCAAATAGCTCATGTCGTCACGGGTACTAAGCGATGAATCCTTCGTCTTTGGGGCTATATTTAAGCCCTGCTTTACGGAAAAGATAGCGCTCAGAGAAGGCAGCTACCCGGAAATACCTTTTCCACAAGATAACCTCGCCGCGATGGAGATTATACATACAGTGTATTTCAGCCCGCCAGCCATTGAGACTGTTCGGGACCCGGAACTCCTTGGAACCAAAAGGGAAATCAGACAGCCCCGAGATACCCAAAGATCCTAAAGACCCTGAAGATCTTAATACACATTCATAGCGATAAGTACAGCTGTATCAACCTCTTACAGAAATCTGACCTTGTCAATGAATGGTTCCGAGCGCTGCGATTCGATGTTTTAGCCCGTGACTCTGGTGAATTCTTACATCGACCTATTTACGAATCCACACCACCGAATGGACCGTAAATAACTACAGCCTTAAATCAGAATGCGAAGAACCTCCATTGATCAATAGTGAGGGATATAATGCAGTTAATTTCATTGGCACTTCCGAGGATAAAAACTAAAGAGATCGTTTCCTGACAAAAAAACGTCTTCAGCCCTGGTTTCAACAACAACTCGGTATTCACATGGACCCAGTTGCAAGCATTCATCCAATTATAAAGGATGATAAGCCCTGCAACAGAATTTGACTTAAAAACTGGAACTAGCTAACTGCTCGTCAAATTGGCCTTCATTGCCTTTCCCGTGACTGTCGTAATCAGGCTAACGATGAAGATTACCTGCCCACTATTTTGAATACTTTACGTCCTCGGAGGAAGACCAAGGGCATCATATTAAACAGGAATCAATCAGGGCATTGACCGATTCATACTGGCTGTCAGGGACGGACTCGGTGCGATCGGAAACCGTACCTTTAGGGATGTTCCTCGAATGGTCCGGCCTGGCGATGCGCAAGACCTGTACGTTGCCTTAATCGAGTCCCACGCACGCTTGGGGAGGTTGCTAGATCGAGAACTTTTCTATTGGAACACGATCCATCTTATGGAAGAGAGGGATCGTATATACGGATTACAAGCTGTGGGCGAACGAGATGTAGAGACATTGCTGAGTCCCAATCTGCGCCGCACCCTCTCTCTATATCCACCTCCGGGTGGACAACCTCCTCCGCCACCACCTCCGCCTCCGTTCCTGTGATGTGACTCACCAGACTGCTCCTTTGCATGGTCGACAACCGGGACGCCAACCCAACGGTCCACTCGACGGTTAAACGAAAAAAAAAAAAAAAAAAAAAAAAAAAAAAAAAGTTGCATACGATCCCCTCTACGAAAGACGGTGTTAATTATGCGTTCATCGATTGTTTCTACCGGCCCTTAGAGGTCAGGAAATGGCGTTTAGTTCATGCGTTCGGCTTTATCATGTCTTTCTAACTACAAGGAAAAAAATTGTTTTATTCTTGAGGCGTTCTGTTATCTCATTTCGCAGCCGGGTGGTGGTCCCCGCCGGTTGCTCAGGGGGATTCTACTAAGGCGGTAGGTTAACCACCTAACTATCCACCGGGTGGTCGACCCCTCGTATCTACTTAGGAGTTATCCGCGCGTTCCACTCCGGTATCATCCTGTTCTTAGTTAGCTTGCTCTACTTTATTGAATTCATCAGTGTCTTTTGAATTGCTTCAGAGTCATTCTACCAATCGCCTCCTAGAGCCACTGAGAGTCGTACAGAGACGGCGTGTAGGTGGGCTGCCAGGAGTGTTAGTACTCTCGAAACTCACTTCGAAGTATTCAACCCAAGGATTAAACTTTTATTGTTACATGTACCAGTGACATAGGCAATGTGTCTCAAACCTACCGAGACGAAAGGATCACAGCTCCGTAACTTTAATGGTTTTATAGTGTTGCTGACTGGGCTCGGCAATGTTTCACCCGAACTCAAAACCAACTACCAATGTCTTAAATTCCAGCTATAAAACTGACACAAACCAGCACAGACTGGTACATCAAGTAAGAACTTTATCAACAGATGGGGCTGAGGGACATGCCTTGATCGGCATGACCTGCATTATCAAACAGGGAATTGCCTACTATCGTTCGTGTTAGAATGTCTTGTTCTATTTGGGGAATAGTATCGGTATATCCATCAAAAAGAATTAGATACGGAGAACAATGATTATATAGGAGCGTGAGGTGCATGAATAGACCAAGTCAATGGTTAAGGAGGAAATAATTATCCGTGGCTAAACTTTAAAGCAGTGATTCAGAGTAGAGTACGATAAGCGTCGTTGAGTGTATGAGGGAATATATTGAGCATTAAACTTGATGGACAACTTCTAAAGGCATGTGTCATGCCCTGCTGTATGATTGCTAAGCGACAACTGCGCGTTTTCCCTTCAACTACTGATAATGAAGAATGATTAAAATGTTCTTGCTCGGCTCGAGGGAGCGCTCTCTGAAGATCAAATTTTGTTCCTCCACTTGATCCATTTCCTCCCAACCATGCCCGCAAAAACAGCTTAAATCAACTAATAAAACAAATACATATTACAACTCCTCCTCACCATCCCTACTCCGACATCTAATCAACATGAATCCTCCTCAAACACCTCTCCGCCAAACTAACAAACGAGCTTCTCGTATGCATCATGCTAGTATTATCACTGACCAGAAAATCACCCTCCTCCCAAGTATGCCAGTAGCAGACTCGTCGATCATGCAACAGACCATCCAACACCGCACACACAGCATCGGAGTCCTCAACCCCATCAATGGTGACGCTGGTCGGATCAAAGGCCGTTTTCTCCTGCGGCCAGGGCTCGTGGTAGCGCAGTGACGGGCGGCCCGTTGCAGGGTGGGGAACGACGAGCGGAAGGCCGGAGAGGGCAGCGTCGTCGAAGGAGGCGGTGCGGACGGTCCAGGTTAGAGGGGTAAGTGTTGACAAGGGTAGGGAAGGGGGGAGGTTCTCGAAGACGAGATGAGAAGGGGCGAAGAGAGTGTAGCCGGTGTTTTTTGGGGAGGGAGTGATGGCGGTGAAGATTTGGAACCTAGACTGAATGTTAGACGGGTGTATGGAATGGAGCAGTAGACATACTTCGGAGGAAGAGAGATGGCTTTCTCGTTGCCATCGGCGTCGATCTCTTTCTTGATCTTGAACAACCCGTCGTAATGGTATGGCATCCATTCTGCGGACAGAACGTTGTTCAGCCCCTTTCCGTCGGATCCGTGATCTTTGACTTCGAGAATGAGACCGAACTTCCATGCCAAGGGCGTCCCCATTTCTTCGGCCTTTTGGACAAAGAGGTCTCGGTCAAGGGTGTCCGCGAATCCCCGCAGAATGATCGGGGAGTTTTCTTGGGCGAGCAGACGAAGCTTCTGCATGTCTACATCCTTGAACGATGGTCGTGCATCATTGATGGTTTGGATGGTTATGCCGCATGGGTAGTTGAACTCGACAGACACATCAGGGGACCATGAGTATAAGTCGCTCTTCTCTCGATAATACCACGGTCGTCCGTTCCGAGAGACAAGTTCTATCTTCTCGTCTCGATCAAACGCGTCGCGGTGCTCAAACCTCATGTGTCCATCGACGGAAAAGTAAGGCGACGAATGCCACGGAGTAACGGGTGAGATGGTCTGCGGGAGAACCGAAATCGAAATCTTGCGCGACCCATTCGACGGATGGATAGACAGTCGGACATGATCGGGGAAGGACTTCGCAATAGCTTGCGCAAATGCCTAGATCTATTAGTTATGGGTATCCATAAGGCTCAACAAACGTACAGCTCCCCGGACAATCATCTTCTTTGCAATCTGCTCGCACTTTTTCTTGTGCTGACTTTTCGAACTATCCTCGATGGTGTGTTCTAGATCTTTAGTAAGGAACTTGATGTATCCGCGGTACGTCGTGCATACGTCCTCATCCGATGCGATGCGCTCATTGACATCGTGGTCGGAAGGAGTGTGGATGCGAATAAGGTCTTCACGGAATTGAGGCGCTCTCTCCTCGTAGGTCTTCGCGTCGAGTGGGATATCGTTGACCATGTAGAGGAGGTCGCGGAGATGGACAAAACCGATGTTCGTGAGGTCTTTCTCTCGGACCATCGCGCGCAGTGCCTGTCCGTACTCCCAGACTTCCCGATCAGGCACACCCAAGAGGTCTGATGATGTTAGAACAGGTAGAGAAAGACATGAGACGTACTGACCATTGTAAACTAGACCATCTGACGCGATTGTCAACTTAGCTCCTGGGGTGTAGATGTCTGCGATCGCAGCGCAAAGTCCGTTCAGATGCGCCAAAGAAATCTCCTCGCCCTTGTCCGGTAGACTCCCTAGAGTCTTGCTGTTGCGATTCGGCGACTTGAAAGGGAAGGCAGGCAATACCAACTGGATGGCCTTTTGGGTTCGTACCTGGCCGTAAATGATGGACAGAAACTTCAGATTTCCCTCATCCGAGCGATCCTCCACATTGGACGGCAGGATACTGCGGTAACGGCCAAGAACGTCCAGGATGTCGCAAGAAGTCTGCAGAGAGGGTCCATCGAATCGACCCTGCATGGGGATCAGGGTCGATGACGAACCATCGGAATTGGACAGACGACGAACCATCTTTTCTTCTTCCAGAGATGGAAAGAGGAAGCAAGGGATCCGGCAGGAAGAATTTGCAATCACCACCACGCATCCACTCGGGATTATATACCGGCATCAAATCCACGGAGACCGACGGCGGTTCCATCTGATTGGGCCATTCTAGGGGCCAACAGTTTCAGTCGAAGGCCGGACTATTCACTACATGGTGTTGCCTACCCGGGTAATAGTTCACACGGCGATAACCTGCTCCTGCATCAGTAAGCCACGGAATTAGACCGCGCAGAGGCAAATGACAGCCCGTTCCTGATTGCTAATAGGGTTGATAAAGTGAATCAAGCTGTCTTGGCGGGTCCACTAGGGCGATGTAATCTAGGATGCAATCTAATCTCGGCCGGAGTCAGGAAAGACGTGAAGAAATCAAGAGGTGGGATTTGCGAAAACTCTGCCGTTGCCTCATCTAACCGGATCTAACGCGACCAGCCAAGATGTTGCATTGCATGATTTCAGACGCCGTTGCCTTTTCGGCTGGAACTAACGGTGTTGAGTCGGGGTCCAGAGCTGCCAAGACGGTGGCATGGTCCTTTCTCTTCATGTTTCTTAAAAGGGACGACAGGCTAGGGTCGGCTCGCACTAACGATAGCGTGGTTTAGACCCTTTCTGGCGAATCATCCGGCCCTACAGGTCGCTTGCTATCGTCCACTTAGGCGTGGCGCCATGGGTTTGGAGAAGTGCCGATCTTTTTTTTATTCCTTCCTTTTGCCGCCGTTTTGTCTCAAATTTAATGTAGCCGAAGGATCGAGTGGAGCATGGAAGGATTCCGCTGATTATTCAACCAGTATATGAACTGACGTCGAAGATATGACTTTCTCCGCGCAGCTCACTTTGCGCCCACGTATACGCAAAATGTCAGTGGGAACGGAAACAGAAAACAGCGTCGACCTGGTGATTGTCGGGGGTAGGTGGAATCCAGACGAGTTTGAATCTGTGCTAATGATAGAAGGCGGTCCGACCGGTTTGGCAATCGCCGTTCTCGCTCGATCATTAGGACTTTCAATTCGCATTCTTGGTGGGTAAACCTCGGGTGCAAGTTAGCAGATCCTAATGCGATACAGATTCCAAAGAAGGGCCGTTAGACCTGGGTCGCGCTGATGCGCTGAACGCGCGCACCCAGCAGTACCTCGAGGTTTCCAAAACACTGGACAGGCTTCTTCCACAAGGAATAACATGCAACAGTACGTGCCTCATCCCAGCCCGCTGAATATTCTAACATTCGGTCATTAGCAAGCTCGACCTTCGAAGCCGGTGAATTCACCTCCCGCCAGAGCCACTGGTGGACGTCCCTCAAACACACCTTTCGACCGAACTTTCTCATTATCGGCCAGCCGCGCGTTGAAGCCGCTCTTCTTGAACAACTCGATGTTCCTGTTGACTATGATCGCACAGTGATATCCATCACCGAGTCCGCGACCGGTGCCTCGGTTACTACAAACAAGGGGGAGACATTTTCAGGGAAGTATGTCGTAGCTGCAGATGGTGCGCGATCCTTCGTTCGCACAGCACTGGACATTCCTTTCACCGGAACAAAGCCTGAGATGGTCTGGGCTGTTCTGGATACTTTTATCGAAACAGACTTTCCGGTGTGTCCGGAGATCATCACCTTCCAGGTAGACGGACAGGCCCGAGTGGCGTGGATTCCTCGGTGAGTCTCTTGGGTTGGATCAATAATTCTTTCTGACGGGCCTCTGCAGAGAACGCGGAATGTCTCGATTCTACATCCTCCTGGACGGAGAAATCACCCAAGCCAAGGCCGAAGCGTCCGTCCGAGCGCACATGGCACCCCACAAAGTGGATTTCGTCAAGACAGAATGGTTTAGCACATTTGACAGTATGTTACCTCCATCATTCGTGATATCAAGCTGAACATTTGCAGTCAAGGAACGTATCGCCGGAACCTTCATCTCACAATCCGGCAACGGTCGGATCGTACTTGCAGGCGACGCAGCACACGTGCACGCCGTAAACGGTGGCCAGGGGCTCAACACCGGCATCGCAGACGCATTCGCTTTGACATGGCGGCTGGGGCTTGCTGCCAAAGGCCTGTCGGGACATGAAGTTCTGCGCAGCTATGATACCGAACGTCGTGCTGTCGCGGCTAGCGTTATCGAAGTGGCCGCGTTGCTAGTGCGGTCCACGATAAAGACGGCATTGGAATACGTCGATGCCATCGAGCGGAATGCAGGATATATCACTGGTAAGTCTTTTGTCTCCCGGTGCAAGTCCTGATGCTAACAGAACAGGCATGGGAGTGTCATATCCTTCGGGAACCTTGGTTCGTGAGTCGGAATTCGGAGAATTTGTCGCTGGCCATCGCTGCCCTGATTTAACGGTCACTGCCCTGTCGGACTCTCACAATGTTCATACTGGAGAGGAAAGGAGGATGTACACTCTGTTCCAATACGGCAAATTCGTTGTTCTCTTCCTTGGAGACCAGGCTGGCTCGGTTTCAGCAACAGCGCTGCAAAAGTATCAACAAGTTGCAGAGTTCTGGAATATCCACGCAGATGACAAGGGCATTGATAGTGAAGTACCCGAGTACCAAGCTCGATGGGTCGAGAATCAATCCGGCGTTGTGGTGATTCGCCCTGACTTCTACACGGGTTACGCGGGAGAAAAGTGGGAGGAGTATCTGGACGAGTTGTTGACGGCAACCTCGTGATCACCATGTGACTTGATACTTCCATAACAAATAACTACTTCCCTCTCCATACAAGTGGAAATGTACTATTAGTAGGTATGCGTGGAACGGTAGTCCCTGTTATCATTATAATCATTTGTACTATTGGGTGCAACTACGCTAATGCCTCGTAGCTTGACAGAAATATGTAGTGTAGAATCGCATGTTTTGGCAGGTGCTCAAGCGGCCCATCAACAATATCCTTCCCATATAACAAATATTAGCCTCTTTCGAACCCACTCATTATAATAATAGCGGACAAAAGGAAACAAAAATATTGAAAATATTGAAAACTGCGACGTGCAACAGCGAATTACTGGATTCAGTAGAGCGTTCCCAATCGGGAAAGACTCTTGTTTGCCGCTTGGCGTCAGGTCTAGTGGTGTTGTGGTGAAGAGACCATCTGGTAAATTTGCAATCTCATATTTAGGATATGTATGTGCATACCAAGAACAAATATGGTGACCAAACTGTCACAACGTGCTTGAGGTTAATGCAGAGCAGAAGTAAATCTAAACTTATATCAGCACGTGTTGTATGATTACCATACTGAGAAACACATCAAGGCAGAAAAGGCAGATACATGTTAGAGAGAAAACTCGAACGATTCATATAAGGCATATTTTTAGTAGCTTGTATCCTATCTGGTTCCTATCTTCGCGACTTCAAGGTTCCCATAGTCGCTTCCGTATATTGGAGAGATCAGTTCCATTCTGCTCCAATCCCAAACCAGCCTTAGTATTTCCTCATGCCCATTTCAACATTTATGAACCAGTAGCAAATAGGTAGTATCCCTACTGACAGTCCACGTTAATGCCATCCACATCAGCAGGCATTATAAATGTGCCTTCCCCATGGTGGGTGACAACTTCGCCGTTACATTCACTGTTCATGTACTCGATCCAACAGTCTGTTTCCGCGTCAGGATCCCCCATCTCAGACTGTGTAATTTCGGAACCCTTCGGGAAGTTCAAGTCGCATGTAGTGGCCGCGTCATCACCACTGAAGACTCCCTGGGGGGTTTCGATCTTCCAAGCAGTAATAGCAGGAAGAATGACCGCAACAGCAACGGATACGAAAGCGGCCTTCATATTGTGAGAAGCCCTGGGTCTCTGGAGGTTGTTCGTGGTTCGTTAGGTAAGATTTTGCTAGGGGCATTGGAGGAAGGCACTGACGATTTTCAAAAATGTTTTAATCTAGCTAAGAAATACCGCTCAACGTAAGGCCTTTTTGTAGCCTTGTTTGCTTTGGAGTGTTAGTCCCAAGGGATGGAATGCGATCATTACAGCACCTGATACTTACTGTGGAACGCTCGGGTAGAAGCCAAGCAATCGATAGGGAATCAAAGGATTGAGTTAACGAAAATATTGTTATAGCTCCAAGTTGTCTGACTGTCTTTCTAGGCGGTCTTTATGCATTTTCAAACGATTGAGAACTACATGGTTGGCAAATCTCAAAGTTGCGATGACATCAATAATTGCATATGAATGCAAATAAATGACAAGAAAGCGCATTCAATCTGCAATGTGCATGCAAGAGAATATGCCGGAAAAAAGATTGAATCTGGCCGTCCTAAACCTCTATGCCCCGAGGGATCAAAATATTCAATATAATAAAGAGGAGTAGTACGTTTCCGTATAAGATAATTTTAATCAGCTGTCTACCAATGGCTCATCAGGTTTGGCTTTGTTTCCCGTGAGCATTGCAACAAGGTTGTCAGTCAGAACACATTGATTGCCCATGCGCTCTTCTATTTCTGATTTAGCGGTCAATCCGTTTCGATGCCGAGTGATGGCTTTCAGCTAGAATATCTGAATAGGAAAATCAATTAAGACCTTTCGCAAACATCTTTCCTCTTCAAAAACGAAAGAAGGGGAGAAAAAAAAAAGAAAAAGAAAGGCGCAACGTACATGTTGTTTCTTCACCGCCACTCCAACCACCGGTTGGTCTCACAGTAGAGATCTCCATGATTCACTTCGTCTTCTACATCCTGTTGTAATCTCCAATAAAAGCTCATATGATATGCATCGTGTCTATAATCCAACAATAATGCATCCCCCGGACATCTCAGCCCACGACGACGCGGGATTACCAGAACAGGATTCTGGTCCATAGTATACCTTACTGATAGTATGCAAAGTGGAGACTTTCTGGTCATCACATTTTCTACATGTCAGTTCATGTAATACAAAATTTGTCTGCATCGATCCCTTGCCTGGGCTACAGATCTGATCTATCCTGAATACGGCATATCCCGGATATTTTCGTCGTTTTTTTGTTTTGGGGTGCAGATATGTAGACTAGGCCTGGTATTGAGTACAAATAATCAATTGACTCTCCAGCTAACACCATAGAATTACTACATATTCATTTTGCTTTTATTTTAATATTCCCCCAACCTTTCAACCATCGTTAAACCCTCCTTACCAGCTATGGATAGGATGAAGTTGTCAATAATTGCTTCCACCACTCTGCCCGCGACTTTCGTAATTGCCAGGCCCGTTAAGAGCATCATTGAATAAGTTGTAACAGCATTGGTATGTCAGGGAGAAGAAAATTAAAATAGCTCGGCGCGGTATACAAAAGGTTAAGATAATTCGGTAGAAGAATATATATAAGTAAAATGATCTGGGATCAAAACTTATCTCCTGGTATTCTTATACCGCATAATATTCAGAACTCAATTAATCCTTACACCGCGCCAGCTGTACCGCTATCCACGTACGATCAACCATGTCACGCATTGTGCCTCTAGTCAAAATGCTCATGCTCGCAGAGCTCAAGTGCCTGCTTGCTTTGGCTGGAGAAACGGGTGGCGCGCCAGTTCACCTGCCGATTTTCGGAAATTTGGATGCCAGGTAAGCATTCCCCTCGCGAGGTCCAGAAACGCCTCCCTCTCCTCTCCTACTAGGAAAGAAACTGTGTCCTCTAACTTTCGGTCGGGAATAAGATCTTCGTAAAGAAAGCGACCTAACATGCTTCGTGAGCCTGCGAATCATTCATTAAACATTGGCAATCCAGTAATACCATTGCTGTCAAAAAAGGGCCCACGGAAATATTCCTCCGCGGTTTCGCATACTCGGTTGTCTTCTCTTCTCACAGGTTGTGGCCAAGAGTACTCCCGCATGGATTGATACCTTTGCATAATTTCCGGAGGGGGAGGACCGAGTAAAGCTATCATTTCGGCCATATGTAGTTTAGCATCGTAGTGACCTTGTTCGTCATGGATATGCTGAAATAGCTCATTGCCTTGAATCATATCCCACAGCTAGTCTGACATTAGTGGATGCAACAACCCGGAGAAAGGAGGACGCACCAAAACACCCAGATTCCAAATATCCGCTTCCATCTGCCATCCGTTACCCATGATCACCTCTGGCGCCCGATAGTGGTCTGGCTGAATAGGCCAGACGCCCCAGTCGTCATCTTCCTCGAGTATGGTTGCCAACCCGAAGTCGACTAGCTGAGGTATGCTTCTTAGGTTTTTGAGTGGCCCGAAGTCATTACGGGACTGATAAACCGGTCGACCTGTCGAGTCGATCTTGGAAGCCATCGGTCTCTTGAGTTGAGAATCCATGAAATCAGCCAGGACGGTTGGATCCTCGAATGAGACCATGATGTTCTCAAGTTTGAGATCTATACAGTCGCTTGGTTAGGTATCGCTAACAGGAAGGATGGCCGAAGATGAATGTACCCGTATGAACTGTCCTGCATTCTTTGTGAAGATACTCAAGGCCTAGGAGAAGAGCACGGATGTGTGTTTTAACAAGGGGCAGTGGCATCTTTCTATCGTCAAAACGCTGCTGGTACATTGACAAGGGCTCCCTCATGGGTGGATAGACAAGACATGAATGGGAGCCTTCTGGGCCTTGAACGCCAAAAGAGTCTACCCATGTTCGGATAAGTGAGCGCCCGCGATGTGATGGGTTTGCGGTGGAAATGTGCTCTTCAACCTCGCGCTCACGGAAAGCAGAGCTCGCATTGTTATTGGCTATTTTTAGTGCCACAACAATCTCTGGATCTTCGATATGCCTGTACTTTTGTTAGGTAGAGCTTTGAATTAAACTGAACAGAAAATGTTGAAACTACCCTTGCAGATCACGCGCGAGCCATACAGTTGATGACACGCCCCATCCGACCTTGACTAGAGTTTGGTAACGATCGGCGAGGACCTCTCCAGGCTTTGCTGGGTAGAAGTGCTTGGACTCGTATAGGGGCGAGATCTCCTCGTCAACGAGTATGCCGGGCGGTAAAGGGGGCCCGGGAGAAGGGATAGGAAAGGGTCTTTTACGAGCTAAAGAAGACAAACGTCGAATGGACGGCCTCATAGTATTCATTGTGGAGTTACTGCCCGTAAGCTGATAGGAGAATTTATTATCATTGGTAGTTGTCAACAAGGCAAAAGATGAGGGAGTCTAAGCACAGTTGGTAAACATGATCACGTGGCCAATGTTCGGAAGTGTTGATCGGAATTCGGAATTAAGTAAGCAATACTAGTATGGAGTACTGATGGTACAGAAAAACATAGTGGCACGCAAGCATTTCAACCTGAACGATCTGTTTATCGGATATTTTATACGTGACCTCAAACGACCTAGTTAACAGAGCAGAAGCGAATATTAAAATATTCAGTAGATATCCGAGTCAATAGAAGTACCGGACCAGGAATAACTTGAACATGTTACATGATCGTACAGTCATACTGGGACCGACACTGCGATTTGAGTCGCCTGATTGATAACTGATGGAACTATCAGGCGGCGCATGAGTTGAAGAGGTAAAATTGGAATTATAAAAAAGGAAAAGGGGAAGGCCGGTGCCCGTATCCCTGCATTTAATCAGGAATGGCAGCCTTGCCCCCTCTTAACCCCTCAGCTGGGCAATAATCATGGGCTTTCACCGACCAATTGCAATTGTTGGGTAACATTATAACCGGGGGATTAGGCTACTAAATACCTCATCGCGCAGCCACCGCCATGTGACCAGCCTTTGGCTCTTGTAATATTTGTACTCCGCATGTTTCCTCTTTATTCTTGTTTTGTAAATTTTCTAATATAAAGCTTCCAATTCAAGATATGAACGCAGGGCAGATAGAGGGCGATGAAACAAGCCATTGTGATAAGAATCGGTTAGTACCAGTCATTGAACTGTCTAAGCACAAACCACCATGGAAAATAAACGTATTCTAACCTGAGTGGCCTATATCATAGCCCCTTCTCCGGCGACCAGAGATGTCAATTGACAAAGGACACAAATGTATCTACATCCCTCAGAAATGACACCAAAAAGAGCGATACAATGTGAGTTGGGGCTGCCTTCAATGCTGACCGTAGCAACAACAACTAAATACTGGAATTCATCAGCAAAGAAGGAACACCATCATTGAACAGTAAGAAGGGTTCTGGGTCATCCAGACCTGTAGCACTCCCGTTAGTGGTTCTCTGCCCCTTAGAATGCAATCAAGTATTGCAGAATAGGTTTATTCAAGGATTCCATGTACGATTATCTGACGCTGTCCAGCTTCTCCTGCCCGCAATGCTCTTATGTGTCCCGTGTTAGAAGATCTCATGACATCATGTATCATATGGTTCATAACCACTGTGACCGACATAGCTCTGGGGTAACCACGCTAGACCTGTTGGAAGAAATGGAAATAATGGAATTGGAGAAACAGAGACGAAGAAGTAAAGAAAAAAGAGACAATGATGCTGCGGACGTATTTGACAGCACCGAGGTGCCAGGCGAGGATCTGGGGAAAACGATATGGTTCCCTCGGGCTGAGCACTAGTCTCCTGAGACTTTAGAGGACTAGGAGGCAAGTGGGCTAGGAACGGGAGAACTCACGAGGTAGATTGCTTCTAATGGACGATATCTCCTATGGGACGAGGGGCAAGCTGCCAAGCGCTCCGCTGTTTGCTTACCCCTCCGTGGCCATTTTCTCTAGTTTCTTGCTGTAGAATATTCAAGCAACCATCCAAACCCGTCAACTTCATCGGTTCTTAATAATTATTATTTGTTTTTTCGGATCGTTTGCGATCGCAGGGGTGGCTCAGGACATAGTAGATATCTACCAGTTCCAACCCCTTTAAACTAGCTGGTTGTTCCACCAAATGACAGCACAAGGGACTGACGCACCGCCGCGGACCGCTGTGGCCCGAGATGACCTTGTCCTCGACTACGGGGAATATACCATCGGGATAATCTGTGCCTTAGGGCTGGAGATGAACGCCGTGCGCCAGCATCTTGACTGTGAGCATAGAAGCCTGCCCGTGAACTCTCGAGACTCCAACATATACATTCTTGGCGAGCTCAGCCGGCATAATGTGGTCCTTGCCTGCCTTCCAGGCAATCAAGGGAAAAGCGCATCTGCCATTGCTGCGACAAATATGGCTCGCACATTTCCATCAGTCAGGTATCGTGTTCTTGTTGGGATCGGCGGAGGGGTCCCCAGTGCACGAAGTGATATACGACTTGGGGATGTGGTGATCAGCATGGGTACCGATATTCATGGAGGCGTTGTGCAATATGACCTCGGTAAGGATACTGATAAGGGGTTCGTGAGAAAGGGATTTATGAGCCCGCCACCATCAGTGTTAAGAGCTGCAGCTTATAAAATGCAAACCGATCACATATATCAAATCGGCCAGAAAACGGATTTCTCTCAACCTGGCCGGTCTGCCTACCAGAGGCCATCGGAACCGGATGTTCTGTTCGAAGCGACCTATTCCCACCAGACTGAGGGATTGACATGCGAACAATGCGACAAAAGGATGGCTGTACGACGTCCGCTTCGCGTTGAAAATAGACCCAGAATATTCTATGGATTGATAGCATCTGGGGACCGGGTTGTGAAGAGCGCCATGAAAAGAAATGCGACGGTCGAAGAATTCGGTGATGAGGTCCTCTGCTTTGAAATGGAGGCAGCTGGTATGATGAATGAATTCCCTGCTGTTGTGATCCGCGGCATTTCGGATTATGCCGACTCACACAAGAATGATACGTGGCAGCCGTATGCTGCTGCATGTGCCGCTGCCTGCGCAAAAGAGCTTCTTTCTCACTTGGAGCCCGAGAGACCGGCTGGCGATAGCCTATCGTCATCTGTGCTTCTAGAGTCAAGCGGAGTACTTCATCAGTTCCTGGCTGATATTTGCGAAACCGACCCGCAGAATGAGATGACGCGGATTCGACAAAGCAAGGGCACCTTGATAGGAGAGTGCAATCGCTGGATTGTCCAAAGTTCTGAGCTGGACATGTGGCGGACCAGTAACGAGCCCCGACTGCTGTGGATGAAAGGTGGTCCTGGAAAAGGCAAGACGATGGCAACAATCAGTCTGGTAGACTTATACACCCGCCAAACGTCACCTGAGGAGTCGTTTTGCTATTTCTTCTGTCAGAATAAGATCCCCCACTTGAACAACGCATCTTCGGTTCTCCGAGCGCTTGTTTGGAAGCTACTCTGGACACACCGTCGCCTCGTCAAATACGTACCCGATGAATACAGGTCTAAAAGGGATCATGGGAAAGAAATATTTGAAAGCCCGAATGCGTTCGCCATTCTTACAACAATGCTTGCGGCAATCCTAACAGATCGGGAATTGGAAAAGGTTCTTGTTGTGATTGATGCTGTTGATGAATGTGAGAATGGCATGGTGGATCTCCTGGAATGGATCTTGGAACAGTCGTCAAACTCGTCATCGAAGGCTAGATGGCTCCTTTCCAGCCGGAGCACCTCGCAGATTGAGGAAATACTCCGCCCCGGGAACTATAAATTTTGCTTGGATCTTGACGCAAACGAAGCACGCGTTGCCGATGCTGTAAGCTATTTGATTGAGGTTAAAATGCAACAGATCGCCGAAAGAAAGGGGCTTACGCCAATCGACCGAAGTGAGATCCAGGCCATGTTAAAGCAAAAATCAGAGTCCACATTTCTGTGGGTTGCCTTGGTCTGCCAACGACTTCAGGGAATCTCGCGAAGAAGAATGAAGAAAGAGCTAGAAGGATTTCCACCAGGCCTTGGTCCTCTGTATGATAGGATGCTCTACCAAATCGAGAGCTTGCATGATGGTGAGGACAGAAAGTTTTGCCTACATATTCTTCGAGCGGTAGTCGTCGGGCTGCGACCACTGAATCTCGCAGAGCTGGGCGTGGTGGCGGGCCTTCCAGATGATGCCCTCGATGATATCCCCGACTTAGTGCAGCTTTGTAGCTCATTTCTAGTCTTACGTGACGACTACGTTTTCATCATTCACCAGTCCGCCAAGGACTATTTCTGTGATGGCATGGGTCAAAGGCTATTTATAGACGGAGTGGCCAATGAACACAACGTCATCGCCCAAAGAACGTTCAGTATTATGGATTTGAAACTGACTCGAAATATATACAACGTAGACCACCCGGGCAGGTCAATTCATGAAATTACCCATCCTCGACCGGACCCTCTTGCGTCTCTACGGTATCAATCTACCCATTGGGCGGCCCATTTGGCCCTTTCCATGAATCAATCGACAAACAACATCGGAATATGTGCCAGCATGGGCGACGGAGGCGAAGTCGACCTATTTCTTCGGAAGCATTTTCTGCATTGGATAGAAGCTTTAAGCCTGATGGAATCCTTGGCAAGCTCTGTTCAAAATATCCGAAGCTTGAACGATCTGGTGAAAGTCAGGATTGCGACACGCCTAACCACAGTTTGATAGCGAGGCTAACTGTATCTGTCTAGAAAATCCCCTCCTCTAGCAAAAACATGGTAGACATGATTCAAGACGCGTACCAGTTTGTGCTTTTCAACAAGACCTGTATTGAGACTGCACCTCTACAGGTCTACCACTCGGCCCTTATATTTCCCCCCCAGAGCAGCATCATAAAGAAGCTGTTTTGCCATGAAATGCCAGGGTGGCTGGCTAACCCCCAAATGCTAGACAACAACTGGAGCCCGTGTCTCTATGTCCTCGAGGGCCATACTGCTGCCGTTGTTTCGGTCGCCTTCTCGCCTGATTGTACACTGGTTGTGTCCAGCTCTGAAGACTGCACCGTTCGTATATGGGACGCGGACCGCGGAACCACCGTGCGCTGTTTGAAGGGTCACGATGGTCCCGTGATACAAGTCGCAGTATCGCATGACAGTCGATGGGTAGGCTCAGCGTCACTGGACTGCACTGTTCGGCTGTGGAACCTGCATACAGGAGCATTGGTGATGGTTTCCCACACTGAAACCTACCACAGTGCACTCACGTTCTCGATGGACAGTAAATATGTCACCTTCCTATCCGCACAAAACACAGTCCAAATCTGGAATATCGATGAAAGAGGACTCAAGCATGCTTATCGACTTCATTCGAGCTTTGTGGGCCCTACAGTGCTATCTCCTGGTGGGGAATGGATAGCGTCAGTATGTGACGATGGGACCGTTGCAGTAGGAGATGTCATGACGGGAAAGATGCGGAGGGCGTTCGAAGCCGATGAACCTGTAACATCTCTTGTCTTTTTGTCCACAGAATCCAGGATTGCATCTATCTCGCGTGGCGAGGGGGTGGTTCACATATCTGACACCAGGTACCAATATATTAAGCGCTCATACCGTGCCAGCACTGGCAAGATCTTGACTATAGGTATTGTCGGCTTTGGATACCCGGTGGCGATTTCAGCTTATGAGAGGGTCAGAATTCGAAACATGAATAACGACCACATTCTGCAAACACTTTCAGGGCACAATGGCCTCGTTCAAGCCGTCGATATCTCTGTGGATAGGCAACGAATGGCTTCCGCCTCTGAAGACCACACACTCAGAATCTGGGATGCCAATTTGAGCTATACGCGCCCAACTGCTTCGCGCCCGATTGGGGATGTAAAACTCCTCGTTCTATCACCAGATTCTCAGATAGTCGCGTCAGCCTGGACAGATGATCAAGTGAGACTATGGAGCATGGAGACGGGGGATCTCCTGCAGACCTTCGGAAATATGGCCCAGAAAGTAACGATGGCATTCTCAAAAAATAGCCAGCTTTTCGCCACCCTGCAACGCGACGAAAACATTTGTGTCTGGGATTGTTCCTCCGGGGATGTCCTACACACCATTCATTCCAGCGCAGACACTTTGAACCACGACCTACTTTCTATGGACATACCGTTTTACAATAAGGAAACCTCTACTTTTCTTAACCGTGAAGATTATGAAGGTCACTCGGGTCAAGGAGAGCAGCGGATGATGGATTACGATAACCCATGGATCCGTTATAATGGGAAAAACATCCTGTGGCTGCCCAAACTTTACCTTCCTATCCATACGGAGAACAATGGGTCTCGGTTTGTTGTCGGTTGCTATACAGGGCAGGTTTTTATTCTAGATCTTGACAGGGGCCCTAGCAGGATAGATTGACCACATCTCAGCTGTCCATGTTGAATATACTACGATGAGCGTTTACGTTGAAGTGGGTTCCGCACTCTATACGGCAGTCCGGGCATCCAGCCATAATGCAAAGTAAAATTGTTAATCCAAGCTCCAAGAGGCAGCCTCAATACAGCGAACATCTAATCACGGAAATAGACCCATTCGAAATGCCAAGGATTCGCAGCGGCCCCTCAAAAGGAGTTATATCACGCTCAGCCGGGACCATGAAACGCACGATTTCAGCAACGCAGTCGAATTGAACCCCCTAAAGTCTACCCGATATTGTTAGTCCAGCTCGGATATTAACATCTGGTACCTGTTTTGGCCTCTGCAGCTCCTCGGCCTCTCCAATGAGCCTGGTTTATTCGGTGAGACACGGCGGTTCTCCTTGCATAACATTCCCCTTGCATAGTTAGCCTCGTCCCCAGACATACATCCCTATCGGCCTTACCCCCAGATTAGCATTCCTGTCAACATTCCATTTTTCCCTATCCGAAACTTAAGCCAACGAAAGGAAATTTCACAAGGACGCTAAGTCTTGTTAAGAGCCTCAACGGCCTGGCTGGGTTGGTTTTCATAGACATCGGACCCGAAGATAAAGAGAATGTGCTTCAGCTAAATGCTCGTGATTAGCCAGGTTAATGTTTCTGGAAATCAGGGATGCAGCGAGGGGTATGACGGAGACATTCCAGAATTCGCAGATTGGGTCTCCTGTAGTGTTTCCCTAGTAGTTCTCAAACGCTTGCTTCGAACAATATCTAAACTTTGGAGTCAAATATATGACTGAGACTGTTGAGATGCAAGGGTATTAGAGCCACGGACCTGTAACTGTACATGTGAGGAACACAGATTGTCGAGAAATGTCCCGGCCTTTCCAGGAGGTACAAATTTTCGAGGCGGACTAACCGCTTGGCTCAAAACGAAGCTTTTCAGAATCACCGAAATGTGGCGTTCCCCATTAGTACTAGGCCGCTTTATGTGATCGAAATCTGAATTCAGCGGCTTTTGAAGCACTGGACGGGCGAAAAGTAAGGGGAACATGACACAGACTGGACTTGTAGTTGTGGGAATGCAGGCTGGAAGGCTAACTACCGAGGCGCATGAAACGAATGACTCCGAAAGCAGCTTGCCAAAATCACCTCGCAGGGAGATGTCTCTACTAGCCCTAGACTATTCTTGGAGATCGAGGGTTGAATTTTCAGAGGCTTGGAGGAACTGGAGACGGTCGAGGAGACGAGAAACACTGGCTCGAAGTTTCCGTAACTGAGAGTCGTAGAACACCCACTTCAAGGAGGAACTGGCTGTTTAGCTGTGTGCCTAAATGTCTATAAATACTGGTGTCATTCCCGAGTAGAGATGCTCATTCACTGCCTCCCATCCACAGATTCTCATTCGAACCATTTCTTTCCTAGTCTTCTGATCCCTCTTCCAACCGCTTCGACTCCTCCAATTTACAATGCATTTTCTAGAATCTCTTCTTTGCCCTCGTGGCAAGCTCTACCATTGCTATGGCCGCCCCTGCCCAAGAGAGTGTTGCAGTCCAGAACGACGCAGAAGAGAGTCTGAGCACCCAGGCTTGCCCTAATAGATGGGGTATTTGCGGAGTACGTAGGAGCTGCTATGACACTTTCTTTATATGCTAACCACTCAATAGGAATGCAATGGGACTAGCTGCAAGATAGCAGGAAGCAACTGGTGAGTGCTCTTTGCTGTCTTCTTGGTCGCTACCACGCATATGCTAACGAAGATCAAGGGAATGTGGCAAAGGCACTAGTGTATGAATGATCCATCTTCGATATGTTGGTACTATGTTTTTACCTAATCACTATCGGTGCAGTGTACTAAGCAGAGTGGCGGAGGGGATGGGAAGCCGTGTGGTATGGGCAATATGATTACTGAGGATCCCCAGTGCCCTGGAAGAAATTGATAATGAGTTTGTCTCGTATGAGACCAGGGGCTATATTTTAGAAGCTGGTACCTAGCTTGGAGGCCACTCATCTGTATGGGCATTTTTCACCAACGTGTCCTGTTTTCCCTTTTGACTCTATTAAGATTGGAATTATACCGAGTACAGAAGGCAAAACTCAAAGACAGCAGAATTCTATTCGCAACATGATCTAGCTACATGAAACCTGCCTGTCCGGTTTATGGTTTTCAGGGGGTGCTAAGGATAAAACACCAACGAGTGGAGTCCCAGATGCCGTGGGAAACCCTTGTTTTGCGGCACTTCATGTCTGTATTTCTCCGCGCCCACTCGTTACTCGCATCATTATCATCGTCAACGCCGACGAGGCTCTTTACCCGTTGATCTCGCATTCCCGCGCATGCCCCGATCATTCTAGCTCGATTCGCTGAAGTTCAGATCGTCGTAGTGAGAATGTCATGTTTGTGCCGCACACCGGCAGCTGAAATTGACGTTCAAATGATTCGAATTGACTATGGCAAGTAGAATTATTGAAGGATAGAAAGGGCTATCAATTCCAACTGCAGGTTACACATTATTCAAACCCCTCAGATCTATCATTCCTCATGAACGTCACGTCTCATGGCTTCATTCCTGCATGTTTTGTTCGGAATCATATAGATTATGGACATGGAAATAGCTCCAAAAACACTCTGCGTAGCCTTCTCAGCAACAGAGCCCAGCGCAGCCGTTCTTCACTCGCTCGGTACTGGGCGCACGAGGGCACGAGGGCTGCTCAGGCACGAAGCTATGGTCGCCTAAACAACTTCTCTCGACATCCTTACAATGGGCGCGAAGTGTCTGTCGAATCTGATGATTGGCGTTTGATGAGCCAGCAAAAGGTAGAGGTACTCCATATGAACAGCTTAAAACTTCATGTATGAACCCTCGTATAAAGAAAAGAATAGAATCGTCAACAATACCGGGTAGTGCCACAGTAGAAAATCAAGATTGGTCTGAGAGCCAAAGTAGCTGGGGCATGAGCATGTGCTATTCATTTGAATACGGGAGTTCCGTCAAGCAGTATGGAAGAGGCTTTGCGATGGAGAGGATTCAAGCTACACCGATTGGCGAAGATAATCTCGTCATGAAAGTAGGCAGATTTCTTGACGAACTCCCTTGCCGCACGACAGGTGCTTGCCCGGTCGACTTTCCCAGTCAGCTGGAAAAGGACTGTCGCGTTTGACTGAGCGAGGACGTGGGCATGTCTGCGTGACGTAACGCGCTCATTGGATTAGGTCGTTGTCAATTTGCCATGATCAAGGACAATCGGAGTGTTCGTAAAATCGCAATATCTGATGACCTAACTGTGCCAGTCGAGGTTTCGTGCGCCGTAATAGGATATAGAAGTCTGTTGCAGTATTCTTTTTAAATATTCACATGATTGAATTAAGCCAGATATCTTCCTTTATGGGAGGAGGCTGGTTTGGATAGTGTATGTGCTTTGACGGTTCAGATTGGATAGTGGAGTGTGGACTATAAGAAGAGAGAACGATCTCTATTAATCCCCGAATGCGGAGTCATAGAACAACTCTACAAGGTTGCTGAAAGTGCCGAGAGCTCTCATCATCCTGATGTTAATTAATTTCTGAAGTATCCTCGACGACGAGGTCACAATCCGCGCACCGGTCCCAAAGAGTATCTTCTGGCAGAGAGTTCGACAATGAAAACCTGCACCAGTATCCCAGAGCAAGCTCCACACATCGTCGAAATGTGGTATCTGATCGAGCCCAGAGATAAAGCCTCAGAATCGACCGCTCCGTGCTCGACGATAAGGTCATAATACACGCACCGGTCCCAAAGAGTATCTTCTGGCAGAGAGCTCGACAATGAAAGCCTGCGCCAGTGTCCCCGAGCAATCTCCACGCCTCATCAAGAATGTAGTATTTGACCGAGCCCAGAGACAAAGCCTCAGAGTGGACTGTTCTGAGGACTCTTCCAGGCGTCCCAACGACAATATCAAAGCGCTCGGAGGCCTCGTCGTCGTGGGATAGTCACCATGAGATATCTTCAGCTGGATCTGAAGCTTGTGGGCAGGCCGCAGCGCTCAAGGCAATGACCAGATGATAGTCCTACTAGTCATCGCGTAGAATCAAAGAGCGTGAAGCAACATGCAACCATCTGCAACCTTTCTCAGGATACAAATTGCGGTTACCATTTGGTCATGACTGGAGGATAGTGCACCGCCAGCTGATCATCAAGCCGATCCGACTGGCTCACCGCTGAGAGTGGAGTAATTCCTGGTAAAATCATGGTTGTGACGCTAGGACGCCGCGGCTCTCTTTCTTAACCTGGAGCTTCAAACGCTCCTGTTCACGAGTCCGCCACGCCATACGGCTTTCCAGTGAGATCTCGTGGGCAAGCGGTTGACTTTTAGTCTCTGAATGTCATATCGATTTTGAAAGTCTTGCAGGCTGCAGAGAGCACTTGACTAAATTTCACGACAAACTGAATCTTGCACGGGCTCTTTGCCGTTCGATATCCGCTTGTTTTAGAGCATTGACAAATACCTTCGTTTTGAAACAAGCCCCGGAAGGAGAAAAGCAGTATATCAACGCGACGCTGTCAGCTGTTATTCTCTGCATGGCAGATTTGATCCTTGATCCAGACCGATAAAATAACAGTTTGAGAAGGACATGTATTGGTCCCTGTCGGAATGAGCAACTGATCACGAGAAAAATGATACGGGAGCCCTCGATAACTATTTCCGCCCCTTCGTCTATAGACCCTGTGACAGAAGTAAAGCGCATTTTGTACTGCTTCTTGTCTTCTATTGAGATAAGCTTATGGCGTGTCGAACTCCGGTCCCGAGTGCGTTTTCAAATTAATGCCGGTTTGTAAATCTGGTGGGTTGTTAAGGGCGCCCATATTTAGATTCAAATGATCAGCCAAAGAAGGCTTCACCAGCTTGGATCAACCTTCCACTGGCTTCTTTCAAGCTTCGTTCACACCCCGGGAGATGGTCCTGAATAGGGTAGGAGACAAGCCAGTGACGTGCTCGATGAGTAGATGGATCATCGAAATGACAGCCCTACCTTCATTGCATCGAGATTTGTACGTGACAAACGCACACTGGTAGAGAGGCATACCCATAAGTGGCATTGAAAGAATTAGATGCATCATCTTGAAGCCCTTGGACTGGGTAATCGGTGGTTCTTTGTCCATATCGTGAATATGCCCGTGCTTTTCCTTAAGGTTAAAACCTTCCAATACTGCCACAATAGCTCAATGTAAGCACCTAGCGCGGATGACGTGGTATGCCAGGTACTTCTTGAATAGTCCATCTTGACTTTTTCGACAATGGTCCAGGTGCCAGGATGTGAACCGGCGAAAGATGTTTGTTCGCGGATGTAAGTCTGCCGAAAAGCCTCTCTGAAGCAGTTCGAACTCATAGTTTGAATGTTCGCTTTGAGATAGATGACTAACAGGATAAGCACAAACAGCTTGCGAAGTGCGTCGCGAAGGAAGGAAGATGTCCAATTCTGATGCCGGTCCTTCGAAGCATTCCGAGACCGTCAGCCAGGAGACATGGAGGCAGGGAGTAATTTCTCCTACCCCATGCATATCCACCAAGGCTGTTGGTCTGTGGCTTTAGAATGTTTCTTATTGTCCAGCAGTATCTCCAGTTGTGGCTAGCAGCAGCCTTTAACGAACGGATAGCTTTCTGAGTACCCTCTTTAAGGTCTCTTGGGTCCATGTCCTGCAGTTCGTCGCAATCGACAAAGTGACACCTGCCATGGGGATATCGTCCCCTGTGTCTCACTCATACTCATGCAATCAAAGCATTTATTGCATCCAGATAGACAGAAACAACAATTCTCAGGTCCTCATGACCAATCACGTCTCGTGCAGCGCGGGATTATACACCTCTGATCTCTGGCCAATGGATGATTGTACCGCACCTCCTCCCAGATGAGACGTCCATGCACCCGTATCAATGATGAGTTTTGTTCATTCATTCATTCTTTTGTGCCTGTTGTATCATCACGCTGGAAACGACAGGCATGTGATGGGAGACCACCATCTGACAACCTATGATGTGATGCTCTTCCAGCAGTGTGCCGACATAGCTTTTGTCGATTAGAGCTGATGCCCTTCATGACATTTCTCGCTTTAAAAGTCGAATATTCTTCGATCTGGATATTCGTGTTTCTCAACTTGACCAGGACCCGTCTTTTTGAAGGTTATGCATCTTCCACACCCGTGAACAGGAAGTAAATCATGAACCTCGCCTCTGCTACTGTCCACGAATGGAACCTCACATTCAGATTGCGAAAGGAAAGTTTTCCAGGGCCTTGATGGTACCAGTCTCTTCATGGACGCCAACCAAATGCCGTTTCTCATCATATGATTGTGCTCGCAACTTGAACCAATGGGGTGAAAAAGGTCTTCGCCACCAGGTTGTGCACTGGTAGACTCTCGGGCAACAGTGATAGCTGCTCCTTGATTGCATGCAGAATACATTGCTGCCATGCAGGGCCGGAATGTCATGATCGAATGACATAAACTGTTTTTCCTGTCTTGCTCATTGTTTTGAATCGCCCGTTTCTGCGAGGGGTGATGCTATACATAATCAGTACATCGTTTTGTGTCTCTTCGGCAGGGCAGAAGGTACCATGGACAACCTCGATGAGTACCTGGGCCTGAGATGGGTCAGTAGGGGAAGGCATATCAATAGCAGACAAGTTGTGTACAAGCTCTTGCTGCTTCCTAGAGCTGCATCGAATCTATATAGGAGGTTTGGTGATATATCATGGTTGGATATTGTGGTTGATAAGCAGTCCTTGGTTTCTGGGCAAGATGATGAGGATGGGGAGAATAGGGAAGATGAAGATGAAGAAGAAAAGGAGGAGAGGACAAAGGAAGTGAGATGAAGCTTGGAATTAGTGAATATTGAGGGTGATGAATGAATTGCTAATCTTTGAATATCGACTATCTTCATTCGCTTTTACGCTTTAGTATAGTGAATGCTGTTCGCACTTGACGAAGTAAGCCGACGGATCTTTCGTTTGCAGAAAAAGAAAGAAGGAAAATAAGAAAGACGAAGAGGACGATGGAAGAATGCGTTCACTGGCCAGTAGATTGTGGGAGGTTCTAAGAGAATATGTCGTCTGCGTTGTTTGAAGCATTAAGCCAAGACACTGAGGCGCTTTGCCCTATGCCATTGTCTGGCTTTTAGATGTATGAAACCACCATATAGAGCAGGCAAACAGACTCCAGACCCATTTTGCCAACAGTTCTACCTAGCAATTCCTATCACAGCCCCCCTCTCCCAATTCCCCCTTGCCAACTCCTCCGCCTCCTCAGGCTCATAAAACCCCATCCTAATCCCACTCCCACTCGCCACACTCAAAAACCCCGCAATGTCCGCCGGCGTCAACCCCTCCACCCCAAAGTCAATACCATTCCCATGATAAACCCCGGGCTGCAAGGCCTCCATAGTCACAAACCCCTACATCCTGCGGATATAGAACCGTTATCTTCGTAGCGGGCTCCCGCCTTATGGAATAGACGGAAACCAGTGGGGCAGACCTGGGTTCTCATTGGTTGTGGATACCCCTATGCCTTATGCTGGGAGATGCAAGTGCAGCACCTTATGCGCAGAGTCCACACATAACAAGAGTTAAGCAAGCCAGGCGATTTATTGGTAAGAGGCTCCTCAACCAGACTGCGGTCTAGGCGAAGATCAAGCAAACAAAAAGCAAAAAGAAATGACCAGACTGGGGCTCGATCCCAGGACCTTATCGGTGTTAACGATACGTGATAAACCAACTACACCATCCGGCCAGTTCATGAAAAACAGTTAGGCATGAAGTGACAAATGAAGGAAACTGCACGTAGCATACTACAATAACATGGATATCACTTAGTACAAAAGGCTTCAATCTACAAAGTGCCATCCACTACCTCACCCGACACACATTCTTGACCCGACTTATCGAGTCAATTCTTGTGCTCGCCCCTTCACCCAGCTTTTTGATGTCCGACACTGACATTCCTCGCCGCATGTTCGCCGCTTTAGAAATAGCGACAACGTCAAAAAGGGCCAAAGGAGTGAGAACCAGACCAAAGATTGCCAAGCGCGCATTTTCCTTGTCATCGACAAGTGTATAGATATCCAAGGCAGCGTTCCCAGTGGCACCCAGTACAGAAACAATTCGTCCAATCGTCGCGAGGGATTGAACGGCACTGGCCGCCTCCCCGATGATGGGAATGAAAAAGAATAAAGCACTGAGAAACGCAAGCAGGATAGCCTTACTTTTCTGTTCACGAATGCTCTCCGCGAATATTGTGCATGTTGTCCACAGCGTCGGAGATCATCGAGATGGGGATACTGAGTGCATCGACCAGATCATCAACGCCTCGTATGAAATGACCCGCTTTGATATCTTTAATACCGCTATCTAGTTGCGGACTGAGGGGTGTTAGCTCTTGGCGAGCCGTAGCAACCACATCTTTGGGCCAATCACGTCCTCTTTATTAAATTTACCGGGAAATACCAGGACAGGATGTAGAGTATTGTGAATTTGGATGAGAAAGGTAGCACGACTTCTAAGCCAGTTCCCAGCTGGACAGTCTTCCGATGCCCACTAGCTTTCAGCGTCCCATTCCAGCTGGAAGTGGTGACTCAGGGGGTGGCGTTTGTACTAACGAGTGGTTCATGTATCTCGGGATGCAACGCTAGCAAGCCACTTGATGATTAGCCATATTGAGAACCCTTGACATGCCAGTTAATTATTTCTCGGCGGAAATGACTCACTCTCAAGTTCGACGAGGCTGCCTTCTTTTACTTTCTCATTTCCCCACGGTTCAGATAAATAGCACGATGCTTCATGCCCACTTCAAGCTTCGAACATTGACATTTGCGTTGTTGCTATCGGCAAAATGAATCACATCGAGAGGCTTCCCACTGAGTTGCTTGACGCGATTGTTGCCTATCTCGAAAGCAGTGAGCTTTTACCTCTCTTATCGTGTAGCTTAGTGCTAAGGAGCTATACGATATGCGTACTCAGCCGACGCGAGAACGGAAAGGACATATTGATGCGTTGGGCTTGTTTAAACGGCCACCTTCCTATCATTCGCTCCCTCGTATCGCACGGTGCCTCGGCAAGTACGATAGATATCGAGTGGAATCATTGGGACAGACGAAGAGAGCGATGGGTCGAGAGGCGATCGAAGATTCTGACTCTATGCGTGGCCGCCGCGCGCAAGCAAGTGCAGGCCTTCCAACTACTTCTCCAACTAGGGGCAAGAATAGATTGCCCCGGGGTAGAGAGGAGGGAGCTTCCCAGGCTTCTGGACCGAATATGCGATCCTGTTGTTGACTGGGCCCTCTTACGACTTTTCTACGAGCATGGACTTCATACCCAAGTGTGTATCACTCACTACCCGCAGCTGCGGCGTGTTATTCATCGCCAGGCGTCGGCTGCAACAAGAGGTCCGGTGCAGATGCTCTTAGAGAAAGGAATAAGCCCGAACGAATGTCATGTTCGACATGGATTCAACCCCTCAACACCCCTGGCTACGGCTTTTCGCCTAAAGGATCGCTCCACTGTTGACATATTGTTGCGCCATGGCGCTCATATCGATGGGCCTAGTCTCACGCACTCTGTCAGGAGGCCGTGGCCCATTCCAATCTTTGTTGCCGCCGAGGACATATCCACCTATGGCTTCGAATTGATCCGAATTTGTCTTGAAAATGGCGCGGATATTAATTATTGCGCATGGGAAAGGATTCGGGACAGCTGGGGCTGTTATAAGGGTCCTGATCACTATCTCACACCGTTTCTGATATATCTGGACTCAATCTCAACTTGGGAGACTAGGAAATTGAAGGTGGAACCGGTTCAGGCAATAAGCTTTCTGGTAGATCAGGGAGCTTGGGTGGAACAGCCATTAAACCCACCGTTTGAAGGCCAAGTTCACGGTGCCAGGCTGAACTTTACCCCATGGGGTTTCGAGTTCCTTCTAAAGAAATGGGGACCGACAGCACTGCGTGATTACGACGGATTTCGTACAACAATATACTTTCTTTTGCAGAAGGCAGTCGAGAACGAAACTCTAGGCGAATCGCTGGCTCGTTATGACTACCCCGTTGACAGGTGGGGGAGAATAGAGAGGGACGGTGAGGTTCCTAGCATATGGCAAGAGCTTCTGACATACCTTCTCGATGTTCAACAAGTGGATCCAACTACCCTGCTGTATCAATACATCCTCTACAAAGGAAGGTTTATGGAATGGCAGGGTGATATTTCCCGGGCTACCATCGACCGTCTGTTGGCGGCAGGGGGGAATATCCACGCTCGATTACAGCCAGATAGCCCTACTGTGCTCGAGGAATTATGCAGAACGTATAATTATCAGGAACGTGGACGTCTTCTGCCCGGTCGGGCACTTGGCTACCGCTGGGATGAGTGGCGCGAAGAGTTTGTTCAGTTCCTGGTTAGCAAAGGTATTACCGATGGACCTGTCAGTGCTGCACATGATCTGCTTTTATTTGACTTGGATGGATTGTATGAAGGAGCGGTCTCACGCCTTTGGCTCCTGGCCGGGATTCTAGGGAAGAAAAGGACTGTGGTAGTGGGAGCAAAGTCTTGAGATGTACCAAGGCAACAGACATCTTGTCACACCAGGTCCGGGCTGTTGCACAGCAATTGCACAAGTATTATCATGGTCATCAAATCCAGACCTCGATATATCATGCAAGATGTCATAGGATCTGCGAAAATATCCACTCCCTAGGGGCAAATCCTATTATCGTCTGCAAAAAGATTAGCGGAGTCAGGATTTTATCCTGTGTTGCTCTGCCTATGCCGAGGTCCATTCATCCGCAAAGCTTAATATAGTTGGGATTATTTGGATTTTTGAGAAAACGTTATTATATATTCTTATAGATGGTAGGCGGTAATAGTTTTCAAACAGCTTATTATAACTGGAACACAAGACATTTACAAAGCGACAGTTTGTAATTATATTAAAGTGACCACCTGAGCCATAAGCCCAATATCCACATTCAAGCTATCATCCATCCCACCAACCTATACCCAATCAATATCAAGACCGCATCATCCCCCTCGCCTGCCGCATCTCCTCCTCGGACGGCAGATTCACAATCATAAGATACAACACATTCTACACCATTAGCCAACACTCCACAGACAGGTAGATTAGACAACTCACCGATTGCAACTTCTTCTTAATCCCACCCAACGGCCCGTCGCCTCTGGGCCCGCGTAACCGTTCTCGCGGATTCCGAGCCCCATAGCCAGGTGCAGAGGCAGGACCCTCCCTATACCCCTCTTCTGCAGGATACTGCTCCCCAGATCTGGAATTCTGCACACCATTAATGATATGGCTGATCGGACCTTGTCGACGACCCAGCAGACCACCTCCAACTCCCCGATCATAGCCCCTGCGACCGCCCTCTCTGCGACCTCCGCCTGCTCGACGACCCCCGATGAGCTCGTCAGGGTTGACGTGCCCGCCCGTGACGAGGCTGATGAGCGATCCGCTGTTGGCTGGATGACTCGGGTCTGCGTAGCGAGAGGTGAACTGCGGTTTGGGCGCCATGTTCAGATCGGAAGTTGGGTTTTCCATCATCTATCACCACTGTTAGAAACCCCATCCAGAATCCAACATCCACCACTCTACGAGCCGGAAGACAGGAGGTAAAAGGGAAGAAACATACAAACTGCGCCTGCCCCCTCCGATCCAAATAATCCCCCACAAACTCCCTCCTCGAATGCTTCTCCTTCAGCTTCTTCTCCGCATCACCACTCTGCCTTGCCAACTCATCTAAGTCCGGAAAGACAAGCGGCGCGGTCTCTCGGAAGGGTAAGTCCCCGTAGGTCTTCCCATCAGAGGACTTGTATTTATGCTTCATTTTGTTCATCCACCCGGTCTCGGTCCCTGGCCCGTGGTCGATGGACTGCGAGACCGTGGAGTTCAGATCGAAGCTGACGTAGGGGGACTCCGAGTCTGGTTTCCAAGTCATGATGAGGCAGTGCAGGCCGCGGGGGTGGTACATTTCTTGGTTGATTTTGTCGAAGTAGGTATTTGTCCTTTCATTTACATTAGCATTCTGCTTGATCGGTAGAATGAAGGGAAGGAAGATAGGGCAGGGGGACATACTTCCTCCGATTCTCCGCCGCGATGGCAACATCCGTCCCGATCTGAATCGCAACCGAGACGGCCATCCCGATCGCCGAAGGCATGAACATCGTGCCTATGGAGGCGAGGTTAATAGCTCCGATCCAGCCGGACGCCTGACAGGCTTTATTCGAGGTATCGAGAAAGTCGATGAAGGTGGCCTGGTCGATGCCGAAGTCGTCGAGCACGGGGGCATACGCGCGGATGAAGCCGCGCTTGCGATCTCGGGGTCGGCGCTGGGGCAGAATCACGGGGTAGGGCAGAACTGGATGGCCTTGGGGAACGGCGTAGGAGGTTGGATGAGACTCGAGGAAAACGTGGGCTAGTTGGTCGACGTCCTGCGTGGGCGTGTAGCCGGGCGGCGAGTCGTCGTGGCCCAGTTGGTCTTGGGCTTCGTCGAGTTGCCATTCTTCTTCGTGGTGGTCTTCGATGTGGTCGGGTTGGTACGGGGAGTAGTTAGGTGAAGGGCAGTGAGGTGGAGGGAAGGAATTAGATGGAGGGGAGGGTTCAGGCGTGTGTTCTTCTGAGCCATTCTGCTTGCGACCAGCTTTGTAGGCAGTGATGCTCTCCGAGGCGAGACCGATGCCGGAGGCGACACCTTTGATGAGTTTGCCGCGGAGCATGATGAAGGAACTTCTGAATGAATGAATGAAAGATCCAGGGAGAAACCATCACCTTTAAATACCCTGACCGAAACCACCCATCGGTGATCAGGCCGACAAATGGGGCGAAGACATGATATGCACCGGGCTGATGAAGCTAAGACTCGACAAGCCGCGTCTAAATTTCCGTCGAAGCCAATGCGAATCCCATAGCCCGTAAGACCGTAAAACTAGCGAGTGCTCAGCCTGACGCATCCACACGGTCGGGACAGCCTCGCGGGATTTATCGGTGGGTCTTTCGACTAAGCCTTTGCTTGGCGTGCCTTTTCTCCTGTTGCGGTTAGCGGATGGGCGTCGCATTTCGTTTTGTGGATTGGGCTGTTTTGAGTGTGACTGGAGGGTTTGTAAGTGGCTGAATTGGCTGACTGGATGAATGGAGAAGTTCTGAAGTCCCACGGAATATATTGCGCGCGGTCACGGAAATTCCCCGCCATGGAACAAAGGGTAGGGCGCCAGAGTTGTATGACTTGAGATGAGTATGGGAAATAAACAGAGGATGTTTCATGATGCTATCTTTAGCTAGTGCATGCTGTATCCACACAAAACCAATATATATAATAGGTGGCATATCAATACTCGTTTGCTCACAGTCAATCATGAGTAAATCGATCAATTAGCTATATTTGAGAATGCAAAATGAATTGAAAAAATAATATTTATATCGTAAATCTATCCAATGTGCCAGCACAAAGGAGCATTAATTACCTAGAAGGCAGCCTTGTCCCTGATCTTCTCCGCCTGCAACTCGGAAAAGCTCTCCGGCCACAGCATCATCTTCTCCTCCTTTGGCGTGGCCGCAATAAACTGGGGGACCTGCAATAGTTAGCAAACACTCTACCACGCAATAATAGAAACATACAGCCTGTTTGCTGGAAATCCGTCGCCACATGTTCGCCCGCGGGTTAAACCGCGCCGGCACGCCATGGCCACCCGTCTTCTCCTCGTCCTCCTTCATGATCTTCTGCACCTCGCGCTTGATCTCCGAGAAGTCCTCGAACGGGATATACGGGATCTTGTTCTCCTTGCAGTATTCTTCTAGACGCAGGCCTTTGCGCGCGAAGAGCACATCGGCCTCCCGCGCCGCCGGCAGATCCGAAACCCCGTCGCCGATGAAGATAATCAGGGGGATCTCGTTGTCCAGCGCGTACTTCTCCGCCAGAGCGCGTCCCTCCTGAATGGATCGCGCCTTGTCGTGGCCGAGAGGCGTGTCATGACGCCAGATGGGCTTCCACTGGCCACCTTCCTCGCGGATATCTGCGTCGTTGGCGACGATTTCAATTTGCGATGCCTATCCAGTCAGTACCCTATCTTCCATGAGAGCTGACGAACGTACCTCCTCCGGACCAAGGAACTGCTTCAAAACCTGCGCCAGAACCGGCTTCAAACCCGCACTGATCACGTTGAAATCAATCTTATGCGCGACGCAAAACTGGTGGAATTCCTTGAACCCCGGGTCCAGATCCAGCTGGGTCTGCATGATCTCGAACCCATCGGAGAACGGGATTTTCAGCGATCCCCACATATCCTCGGAGACTTCGACGAAGGAGCGCGCCCCCGTTTTAATCTCCTGCTCGAACTTCTGGCGGCCTTCGGCGCCGCAGCCTAGCGCGTCGACGAGCACATGGCCGCTATCCTGCATGAAGATAGTGCCGTCGAAGTCTAGCCTGTTAGCTTGGTCGACAGGGATCCAGGGTAAGTCGTACCTGAGAAGCAGACGATCTTTCGCGTGGTGGGAGCAATTGACATGGTGTTTGGCTAAAGGGGGGGTACACGGGGAAAGTTGAACAAGTGAAGCATCGTGAGCGAGCCAGGCTTAAAAGCCAGTCTGTGGCAAACCGGTTGCTCATTTTTCAGTGACGTGACCTCACCAGCCCAGGGACGTCAATGTGGGTTCCGGGTCGGGACTTGGCAGAGGTATGATGTCGAGAACCATCGATTAGTAGTATTAGTGGAGCGTTGGCATTGGCGAACAATACGGAGAGCTGAACGGCCGGGGAAGACTCGGTCGCCAACGGGAACCCGATAGGTGAATGACGTCATTCCTGCCTGGCTCGCCTCGGTTTCCTCTTCGACGGAAACGAACGCGGCATTCTTTCTGTTGCTGGCCGTGTGTCGGTTCCTTGTTTATCTAGGAAATAGTGTAAATTCATGTGCTTTTCATCTTGCGGTCCAGACCCGTTCCTGTCGGTCTGGCCTGGATCCATCCCACCCGGAATTTCAACGTTATGACCGGGGACGAACAGTGGGCCTGAGGTTATCCCATCGCACAGATCACTCACTGCTGGATTCCACCTTTCCCGACAGGGACTGGAGGGAAATTGGTTACAATATTCTGCAGCAAACATGGGCTAGACTACTTCTGGACAATCGCAGGGTCGATCAACATGCCTTGTCCTATGTCACTCAGTGCATCATTAACCCAGAACTACACGGTCGAGAACACCCCAATTCAAGCAGCAATAAATTTCCCAATCCCTTCAAATCCATCCAATGACCAAACTAACCAAACCCTTCATCCTCGACTATAGACAGACAGCCTAACAAATAGGAAACGCCTCCGACGCCTCACTGACCCCATCATCATAGATGACCTGCTCCCCCGGCTCCCCCAAAACCGTATGCTTATTCTCCACCGTCTTACACCCATTCCCCACATTAGCCACAAACATATCCGGATACTTCTCCCCAACCGACGCCGCACTGCCACTTCCGCCGGTAATCTCCACATCCGCGCAATTCATATACATCTCGCGGTTTCCGACCAGGTTGAACCACGACCACGCAAACAGCGCCTTCCCGTTCGCCACGTCCTCGGGAAGTACGAAGTCATACTCCGTGGTCAATGGACACCCGCCCATCATCGACTCGATGACCTTGAAGGTTTCGCCGTTGTCGTAGCTCAGGGACAGCTGGCATGAGCCGCCGCCGTGGGTTGCTGACCCGGAGAGACTGATGTTGTAGGTCTGCCCGGCGGAGAAGGTGGCGGTTGTGCGCCAGGGGGTGTTCTCGTGGTAGCCTTTGCAGGGGAAGTTGGATCCTGCGGGGCTTAGTATTGTGCGTGCGATGCTGGGGGGTGACTTACCGCTGCTTTCGAGCGGACTGGTCATGGAGTAGTCGATGGTCGAGGGGTCGCTTTCGGGGTCGAGGGCGCTGCGCAGAGGGTAGGGCCAGCTTAGCTGCATGTGAGCGGAGGCGAGGCCGGTCAGGAGGAAGAAAGAGTTGAAGAGCATTTTGCTGGGCTGAGTTGAGTTTGATTGTGCTTTGTCTGATTCAGCTTTGCTTGGTTGATGCTTTACTGATTGAGCTCGAGCAGTGCACGCCTTTTATACCTGTGTTCGCATACAGCGACACTTCTCCCGACTCTGCTGGCCATGTTGCATTGCCCCCAAGTTGCATGCCTCAGTTCCATCCTCAGTTCATCACTCCATCTCATCCATCCGCAAAGGCTTTCACATGCCCCAAACACCGACTACTACACAATATACATTCTTCAAGATACCGGTATCTTCAGCGCATGCAACCTACTTATCAGGCTTGGCTCCCTTTGGGCCAGGCACGCCAACCAGACCCCTGTCTTCGGATGATCGCAATCTCCGCATAAGGTCTGATGTTACTCCGCAGGGGATCCGGGGATGGGATCCACGGAGGTAATGCCGTCGGATCTAGGGTTGCAGTCGCAGCACTAGCCAGGCACTCGATGACAGTGATCAACGTGCAGAACTACATCGCTTATCTAGACTACAGACCGATCCAATCGCAAGACTCGCTTGTTCTGCAGATAGATTACCATCACTAGCCGCCCGTAGCTTGAAACCAACGCTACCACTGCTGGACTAGTCGGCTACGCGCGAGTCGCATCGGACGCTTGGCGTTAATTTCCAAGCTCAAGCGCTAGTCGGGATTTACTACGCTCTGATCCTACAGTTGCTTCTCGGCCTGGTAGCTTTCCATGTCGGCTGTAGGAGATTTCAGGGAATGGAGTTGTCAGGCCTGGACCAATGCCATTGTGAGGGTATTGTTGGAAGATCTTACCAGTTGATTTGATTGGTCGGCTTCCCCGCATCTCCGCAGACGAACAATACCTTAGACCTGCACAGGGCAGAGCATGGCATTGTGTAACTGTCTGCATCAGAATTGCCTTTACACAATATCCTATCTACTTGGAGAGATGTAATCGGAATTGCCTTTCCTGTCATCCCGGACCCATCGTTCATCCATACACAAACACCAATCATCCGCCATTGCCCGCCCGTCAACGATGTCATAGACAGGAATAGCCTTTTCCGAACCAAACTGGCACTCTCATCCAGCCTATGAGGCGACACCGACTTCACCTACATCTAAAATCCTCTCATATATCTATCCTCACCTCTAACCTCTCCAACCCAGACAGAATCCTGAAAATAATACCAAGACACAATCTTCAATCCCTACCTCAAACCAAAACCCTCAAAACAAAATGACAACCAACACAACCCCCCTCCGCCTCGCCATCGCCTCCGACGACGCCGGCCTCGAGTACAAAACCGCCCTAAAAGCCACCCTCTCCTCGCACCCCCTAATCTCCAGCATCACCGACGTCGGCGTCTACACATCAACCGACAAAACCGCCTACCCGCACCCCGCCGTGGAAGCCTCCCTCCTCGTCCGCAACGGCCACGCCGACCGCGCACTCCTAATCTGCGGCACGGGGATGGGCGTGTGCATCGCTGCGAACAAAGTCCCCGGGATTCGGGCAGTGACGGCACATGACTCGTTTAGTGTGGAGAGGGCGGTGTTGAGTAATAATGCGCAGGTGCTGTGTTTTGGGCAGAGGGTTGTGGGGGTAGAACTGGCGAAGAAACTGGTGACGGAGTGGTTGGAGTATCGCTTTGATGAGGGGAGTGGGAGTAAGAGGAAGATTGAGGTGATAAGTGAGTATGAGAGGGGGTTCCGGGCTGGGAATTGGGGTGGGATCGGAGGAGATGAGGCGATTGCGATTGATTGATTCATGCATTTGTTATCTGGTTCTGTGTTTTCGGTCTTGAGAATGGGTTTAATGAATGTATAATATGTTGGATTGTATGTGGGCTATGGCCACGCTGGTTGAGTGTGACTGTATTAATGTTGACTTTTCTGTTCGTCTTTATCGCTATTTTAGGCAATTCCTTCTCTGTCTGCAATGTTGAAAGCTGGAATATCCTTGTTTCACCAGATCGAGCATCTCAACACCCTTCTCCCGGAAGTCTGTTCCATTCCTCCACATGTTCCGTTTCAGTTCGCATAGGACTCCTAAATCTGAGTGCGAATCATGAAAGTTTCAGAAACTAGGAGCGTGTGTAGACAGTATACCAATACAAGATGCCAATATGCCCTGAGACAGACACATGAACCGGATCGCTCGCCCAATCAATTTCAGTTCGGACTATCGGCGGAAGGTTCTAAGCTTATCTTGCCTTGGATTGAGCTTTGGTCTTTTGATATGTGTAACCGCTTCAATTCCTTCGACACTAAATACACATAGTTGTCATGTCAGCCATATTTATGGTACTCTCAGTGCTTATTCTATCGTAATACTCAACACCTGAGATTCTCGTTGAAGCAATGACCTCATTCCGGTGAACATTCAGAATGCTTCAGATTAATTCCATGGCCAATAGTACACAGTCCTCCACCAACGCCAATTAACCGAGATCTAGATTAATCCGGAGAATTGCTGATCTCAACCCCGCATCCCCGCGTCGGCTCATCCCGAAATCCGGTGGCGCATTTTCCGCTGCCTATAGACATCGTGCAAACAAATATCGTACGATCTTGGTATGACGTGGATGTCGATCAGGGCCATGCTGAATCCATGCAACGGATAAATACATCCCACCGGAGAAAGGCCATCAATTCGCCGAAGGATGCAGTTATAAAGATGCCTCCCCAGCAGCATTTGTCAGTGCTTGCAGCTAGATATCAATTCTACCTCCAAAATGAAATACCTCTCGCTCCTCCTCCTCTCCAACTGGGCCCTCGCGTCCATCTCCATCCCCCTCAACACCACCCGGCGAATTCTCCGCCCCGACCTCTACGGCTACTCCATCGAGCCCTCCTCCCTGACCCCCTACCTCCAAAGCGACCTCGCCGCCACCGTCCTCGGTCACATCGCCTCCATCGCCGGCACCCCAGCCACCATCCGCGTGGGCGGCAACATCGCCGACCAGACCATCTTCGACGAAACCCTCTCCGTCCCATCGCTCGCCCTCCCCAACGACACCGTCGTCGACACCCTCACCATCCAAGAATCCTGGTTCCACAACTGGACGACCTACTTCCCCCCGTCCACCCCCTTCATCTACACCCTCAACCTCCGCAACACCACCTCCTCCTGGTCGACCGCCATGTCCCAAGCCTCCGCCGCAATCCGCATCCTCGGGCCCTCGCTCTCCCTGCTGGAACTCGGCAACGAAATCGACCACTACATCTCGAAGAACTGGCGTCCCTCCACCTGGAACACGACCTCCTACACCGCCCAATGGAAGACTCTAACCCACCAACTCACCACCGCGCCATTCTACACCAACGCCTCGCATAAACCCCTCTTCCAAGCCGCCGTCTTCGCCGACCCCCCCCTCGTCCCAGACCAACACGACGCCCTCGACGACTTCGACATCGTCAACGTCACCCGCGCCGGACTCATCAACCCGCGCCTGATCAAAAGCTACACAATGCACCTCTACCCGCAATCCACCTGCGACCCGCCCCGCGAAGCCAGGCTGAGTCTAAACCTCCTCTCCAACCACTCCGTCATCCGCACAAACATATCCCAATACATACCCCAAGTCGCGGCCGCAGAGCGCGCAGGGAGCATACTCACCCTGGGTGAAACAAACTCTGCATCATGCAGCGGTCGATCAGGCATTAGCGATACCTTCGGGGCGGCGCTGTGGGCGGTAGACTATGTGCTGCAGGCGGCGAGTATAGGGCTACAGCAGGTTTTGTTTCATCTGGGGCATGTGAGTGAGTACTCTGCCTTTACTCCGCTGCCGTATGAGTATAAAGGGGAGAGGTTGGAGGCCGGGGTTAGGGCGCATTTCATGTCGCATTTGTTTTTGGCGCATGCTGTTTCCGATCAGGGAGTTGGGGGGCAGGGAGAGAAAAGGAACGGGGAGAGGACGATTTCAGCACTGCCTGGGGATGAGGATGGGTTTAGTGGGTATGCGGTGTTTGGGCCCAGGAGGTTGGAGAAGCTGGTCTTTGTGGATTTGGGGGTTTGGAATTCCACCGAGGGGACGGGGAATCCGTCGACGTTGAGAGCGACGGATTCGGAGTTCAAGTCGGACGGGGAGAGGCCGGTGAGGAGCGTGGAGGTGAAGACGGGGTGGAGGGCGGGAGAGAGCGTGGATGTGTTGAGACTGCAGGGGCCAGGCACGAATGCGAAGAGTCAGGTTAGTGTGTCCGGGCTGGAGGTGGATACATTGACTGGGGCGTTGGTGGGCGAGAAGAGGGAGGAGAAGCTGGTTGTTGGGGATGGGGGGTTGGTGCAGTTTGAACTGCAGCAGGCGGAGGCGATTTTGTTGCAAGTGAAGTAGCCGGATGTCATTTGTATGGAGAGAGTGTCTATACCCCGAACCTGCCGTGTTGGTATTGCTACTACTTACCATAAATGCACAGAATTCGGGATTAGCCCTTGTGATGCATTAAATCAAAAGAAAAGGGTAGCTTCGAGACGCATGAACAAAGGATATATTGATCTCGTCATCTCACTAATCGTCCCAAGCACGCCATCAGCCAAGCATCTACAAAGCGGGGAGTCAACACTGCAGACCTTCTCATCTATCGTACCAGCACCACAAAACACTCACAATAAGGCATCATGCCCGTAGCCGACGAATTTGAATCCGCCAACGCGACCTACGCAGCGTCATTCACAAAAGGAAACCTCCAGCTTCCACCGAAGCGGTAACCCTTCCCATCCCATCCAGGAACCTAGAAGCTAAGCCGACTTCAGAAAAGTAGCCATCCTGACATGCATGGACGCGCGAATCGGTAATCTAATTCCACCTACACCCCGATACCACATACTAAGAGCAGCAGATCCAGCGAAAGCCCTTGGCCTCTCCGAAGGCGACGCACACGTCATCCGCAACGCAGGCGGTCGCGCATCAGACGCTCTTCGCAGCATCATCATCTCGCAGCAGTTACTGGGAACGAGGGAGATAGTCATTATACATCATGTAGCCCTCCTCATTCCCCTTTACCCTGGCTCTGTTCCCTTTTTGTGCATACATTTCATGGCATGCTAATGCAATATTGTGATGATAGACAAACTGCGGCATGCTCACCTTCTCAGACGACCAGCTGCGATCGCAGATTCGGACACAGCTAGGCCAAGATGCAGATCATATTGCGTTCCTACCGTTCAAAGACCTCAGACAGAGTGTGCTTGATGATGTGGCGTTTTTGAAGAAGAGTGAGTTGGTGCTGGATGTGCCGGTGACGGGGTTTGTGTATGAGGTGGAGAGCGGGAGGGTTGTTAGGGTTTAGGTTTTGGTTTGGACTTCGATGGTAGTTGGATGGTTATTTGGTTGTTGATGCAGACTATGGATATTGAGTAGTCTGTTACGCTTGATTGATTTTGGTCTTTGCCAACGTGGGGTTAAGAGTCTGAAGTAGAAGCGTAGTCAATTCATGAGTTAGTTAGTTCAATGGAAATATCTGAAAAGCCGAGTGAGATATGGCGCGCAAACAACTAGGCTTTTCAAATGTAAATAAAAGCCAGCAGATCAACTCTAGATGACAGTCAACCTGCAGGAGAAATAGCAAAGACACCAATATAAGCCCATCAGTCCAAGACTGCAGATAAGCCTGACCTCTACGCCATACGCTAGCGCCCGATCTCGCTGTAGTCCAAGATCATCCCCACCCGGATGGCGCCATCACTTGTTAAGCGTCGGGAAAATGCCGCTATTGCACAATCACGGAGGCGATGGCATAATCGAGAGCGATTCTTTGGCCTTGCTGCTTTCACGAAATAGGGTCGGAAATTATGAATATGATGTATTATCAGGAACCTTCGACAGTATTGTGATTTCGATATATAAGCCTAGAATGGCTTTCAATGCCATATTTACACCTCGTCAATCACATTATCTAGCATATGGACGACTAGCCAAACCCTAGCTAAGGCATGTCTATCCCTGTATGTCAACATTCGCCATCACTTCTCCACTATAAACGCGAAGGATGATTGCACAACCGCCGTCCAAAATGACTACCAGATCAAAGCCTAGATCAACGGGTTTGACGCAGGATTATTTAACCTTGCATCCCTGCCGGAGAGCCCCTCCTCTCGAGTCGACACCAGCTCTACATCTCCAGGAGTCAACTGAGCCATGGGGAACAAAGACGAGGCCCAGGTCTCCACGCGAACTCCGGCAAAGACCGTCCAGGAAAAATATGCCGACGTCACGCTACGACTTATCGAAGAGCATGACGATGAATTCGGACCGTTGACAGAAGAGAAGGAAAAGCGACTGCGACGAAAGCTGTACTGGAACATCATGTTCCTGCTATCCGTCATCAACATAACTCTATTCGTAAGTATCCCCCTCCCTCTTCCAAAACACCTCCTAAATCATCAGATCGACAAATCCACCCTCGGATACGCCGCCATCCTCGGCCTCTTCGAAGAAACCGGCATCTCCAAAGCCCAATACAACAACCTCAACAGCTTCTTCTACGTTGGTCCGTCCCCTCCCCCTCTCACCCCCTCCAACCCATCTAACAATCCAGGCTACCTAATCGGCCAATGGCCCGGCCACTACCTCATGCAACGCCTCCCCTTCGGCAAATTCGTCTCCGGCGTCATCTTCTCCTGGGGCGTGATCATCTTCCTCCACTGCGTCGCCACGAAATACGGCGGGCTCGTCGTGCTCCGCCTGCTCCTCGGCGCCGTCGAAGCCGTGATCGTCCCCGCCATGGAAATCACCCTGGGCATGTTCTTCAACCGCGCCGAGCAATCCTTCCTCCAACCCATCCTATGGATCACCTGCATCGGCGCCCCCATCCCAGCCGGCTTCATCTCCTACGGCCTCCTGCACTCCCACGTCTCCATCCTCCCCTGGAAGCTCTTCATGATCGTCATCGGCGGCCTCACCGTCCTCCTCTCCATCTGGGTCTGGTTCGCATACCCCAGCAACCCCGCCGAAGCTCGCTTCCTCTCTCTCGAAGAGAAAGTCCAGACAATCCGGCGCGTACATATCTCGCAGCAGAGCTCCATCGAGCAGAAGCAGTTCAAACGCGCCCAGTTCATCGAGGCTCTCCGGGACCCCGTCTCGTGGCTATTTGCGCTGCAGGCGTTCACCCTCATGTACTGTAACAACTTGAACTACGGGCAGCAGAACCTCCTGACGACGTCGATCGGGGTGTCGGAGCTGGGTTCGACGTTGGTGGCTGCGGCCGGGGGAGGGTTTGGTGTGGCGTTATGTGTGGTGGCGACGGTTATGCTGAAGTGGTTTTCGAGGAATCTGGCGTTGCATAGTGCGTTTTGGTGTGTGTTGGCGATGGCAGGGGGTATTGGGATGGTGACGATCAACTGGGAGAAGAAGCTAGCGCTGCTGGCTTGTATGCTGATCGCGGAGAATACGTACGGGGTGACGTATATTATCGCGCTGGGGTGGACGACGTCGTCGGCGGCGGGGTATACGAAGAAACTGACGCGGAATGGCATGTTCATGGTGGGGTATAGTGTTGGGAATCTGGTGTCGCCGCAGATCTGGGTGGAGAGTGCGGGTCCGAGGTATTATGGCGCGTGGGTGAGTATGATTGTGGTGAGTTGGGTGGGGACGCCGGCGATTTTGGGGGTCGTACATTGGATTCTGAGCAGGAGGAATCGGGAGAGGGAGGAGTGGGCGGCGGAGTTGAGTGAGGATGAGAGGGAGGGCTGCGTCGAGCAGCTGGATGAGAGTGGGCAGGTGGTGAGGAGGAAGGTCGATCTGGCCATGTTGGATTTGACGGATTTGGAGAATCGGTTGTTTGTGTATCCGATTTGACTGTCATCAAACATAGATAATATGGTTGAGTGGGGAATAGGATGTCAGTCTCCAGATCAGAGTTAGTATCTAGTGAAGATACGATATAGATACAGTTCATGTTGCTTATATAGTGACGCTGGCTGTTTACTGTTATGATCAGGTCTGATCTACCTCATAATTATATTTACCGTTCAGCAGTTCTACATATTCGCACGGCACAGCTGTTCTAACTACTCGGTTCTAACTTCGACGCTAACTACACAAGATTGAGCCTGGACCGAGTCTATAACCGGGTTCTGACAAAACACAGGAACCAGAGCCAGGACAAGAGAAGACTTTTTAAGACAGATCAGCTACAATGCCTGAAAGGTGTGACATTGAATTAACTTGGTCAGCTTCGCAGGGTTACTGCTTGATGTTTTTGACGCTGTTGGCGGTTTACTTGATCAAGTTGATTCTTACGATACGTTAAGTCAATGGTCTAAAGACCACACAAATGAATCCATGACCTCCTCAATAGCACCCTAGCGATACAAATCGAAGGACACCTTGGAGCTCGTAGGAGATAACTGTGGGTAGGGAAGGTAGGTAGAAGTGGATGGGACGAGCTGGAATAATCTCCGGGATTTAACTCACATTCGCGGGCGCGTCTGGTTCTCCATTCTCTTGGCATTAGCATCACCACTACGACCCTTGAAATGAAGACGCGATTGCTCCTCCACCGCGTCCAATCTTCTTGTCGACGCGTCTCGCTCGTTTCCCGGATCTACCGCTCATCCCACCAAATCGGTCAGTCCATCTACACCCTCCTGTCCATCAGTGCTAATAGACCCAGCGACTTCGCCAAAGGAGCTATTCTCCTACGCGTCGGGCAGATTTCTTCACGATGAAGAGATTCGATTACGCGAGCGCTATGTAGAATTCAATCCAGATGCTCTTCTGCAAGAGACTGAACGGTACGTGGGCCGATCCCACGGGCCTGCTACGTCCATCGCCAAGCTCGCGGAAGGGGGCTTCAATCGCGTTTTTCAAGTGACCATGGCGGACGGATTCGAGGTGATTGTAAAAACTCCGTACAGCTTTGCCTGTCCCAAGTACTATGCGACCGCGAGTGAAGCGGCGACGTTGCAATATCTTCGCCGCAGGGGGATTCCGGTCCCTCAGGTTTATGGATACTCCGCGTCCAAGGACAATCCTGTCGGGATGGAATACATCGTTATGGAAAAGGCGCAGGGAGCCAGTTTGGCGACGGTGTGGCGAGATCTGAGCAAGAAACAGCGACACACACTCGCGTCGAGCTTCGTTGAGATCGAGAGAGGATTCTTCGATCTCCCGTTCACGTCCATAGGAAGTATCTATTTCAAGAACGATATCCCGTGTGAGCTTCGTGCCCCGTTATATGATCCTCCTACTGAGAGCGACTTCTGCATCGGCCCAACGGCAGACCCCATGTTCTGGCATGGGGCACGCGCTAGCTTTGATCTCCATCGTGGGCCATGTAAGTACATCCTCCGTCTATGTGTTCAGTCTAACGATTCCAGGGATCGATCCCAAAGGGTACCTGGTCTCGACGGCAGAAAAGGAAATTGAATGGGCCCGGCGAATTGGGAAACCTATCGAGCTCGACTTCCCGCATAACGGCGTCTTCCCGGGGGTCAAGGATCCTGAAACCTACATCGACCTCTTAAACAAGTACCTTATGCTTGTGCCGTACCTTCTTCCTAAGACGAAGAGTCCATTGAATCGGCCAACTCTTCGTCATCCAGGTCTGTTCATTTAGCTCCCGCAAAAACGCAGCTAACATTCGTAGATCTGAACCCCAATAATATCTTCATCTCGCCCGACACCGGTGCCATATCTTGTATCATCGATTGGCAACATGCCAGTTTGGAACCACGCTTACTTTCTGCCGGCTATCCCCGAGCATTCGAGAGTCCCGATCCTTCACCACCCCTTGAGCTGGTCGAGACAGCGCCTCCAGCCGACGAAGACATGACCCGTGAAGAGAAAGCCACAGCAGACGAACTCTACCGCCGGCGCCTACTCTTCTACTACTACCGCATCTTCAATGGCCACCTGAACAGGCCGCATCTGGAATGTCTCCGGGACCCGCTCCTCCTTCCTCGCCAACACCTCGTGGACAGGGCTAGCCGACAATGGAACGGAAACACGATGGCCTTGAAAGGCGCTCTCCTCCGGATGATCGAGTACTGGCCTCATCTGCCGAACACAGAAGGAGTCTCGTGCCCCGTGCAATTCTCCGACGCTGAGGTCGATGGATTCCACGAGCAGGAGCAGTTGTGGTTTAACCTGAACAGCGTGGTGGATCATTGGCGGGAGCAGATCGGGGGCTTGAGCGAGGACGGCTGGGTCAGTAATGAGATGTATGATGAGTCGGTACGGAAAGTTGCGGAGCTGAAGGCTTCTCTGATTGCCACTGCAGAGGGGGATGAAGAAGATATTGCTCTTCTTGAAAAAGGGTGGCTCTTCCGAGATCGCGATGAAAGTTAAGAATAGCTAGTGCCTGGTAGCTGGGACCTGTGGATATGATCTCAGCTACCGGTAGCTTGATCGGGTATTTTGGCCATGTGCTGCAAATCGCGGACGAGATAGCACAATCAGAAGTAATAACTGCTGAGTCGATGGACTTCCTCTGGTTTTGATAGAAATCACTTTTAGTGTCCACAATCTTGATATCTTATTATTTTGAGCATGTACACGACTAGAGCAGAGATCCTAGCTAGGACAACTGCCTGTCCCTGTATGACACAATTGTGATTATGAAGCTCGAAATATATAACCCGCCCCTCCGCACCATTTCCTGCCATTCATTCTGAAGCGGAACAGAACTTCTCGAGAGTCTGAACACAGAACGCCTGGACGCGTTTTTGATTAGCCTCCAAAATAAATGGTATTTCCTCGCTTTCTCAAAACAGCACGTGCACACCGTGTAGTAGATGGCCGCGGTAAAAAGTAGGCAAACTAACACGACAGTTAGTCCCTGCACCAGATAAGAAGATACTATGCCTGTACAAAGGCCTCATCAAGCCGCAGGCGTTTATTATTATATAGATACGCACGATGAGGATTAGACTGAAACACTTCCTTTATAAAATAAAATAGACGGAGACGGATAGGTGCCGGTGTGATTTGGGCTCGCAGATGCCTAAGCATATCCTCATGGAGTGCCCGCTGCACACCACTAGTCGCAGGAAGCTGATAAAGCACCTCGGGAAAATTAAGGGACTGCGTGGGCGGGTGCAGGACTATAACGCAGTCCTAGGGAATCCGCAGACGGTATGCTATATTACCAGACACATGCAACAAACTGGCCTGCTCTAACAGTTCCGATTCGCCCAGCTAGAAGACGAGGAGAAGGAGGAGAACCTGGAGCATAATACCCTACTTGCAGGTCTCGAACTAGACGACAAAGATAATGGTTACACGGAATCGTGAGGGAGAGATACAGTTCTATCTCTACCAGTGATGCGCAGACGGGAACACCTACATAGAACAGAGCGGAAGGAGTATACAGCACCACGAGGGATCGAGCGGTAGACACGTGGCAGGCATGTGGCAGCTGCATTTAGTTGTTACTTTTTGCTTATCTACTTCATTTGTGGGATTCTAATATAGGCGTTTAGTATACGAGATTCTGCTTTATTCGGCGAAGGGCCTGCATAGCCCGTTATACCATAGATGGGCTTTATCAGGTTAATAAAATCTTGATTGATAGATTGATTGATTGATAATAAACGATCAAATTTCCAAGGGAAGAGGAAGGAAAATGAGGTAACAAGAGAGAGTAGAACAAGAATGTCGAATGCATCACAAACTGTCAAAGGCGGGCTGCGGCGGTGGTTCCATATTCTTCAACGCTTCCCCTATCGCCTGAAATGTGGCAATCTGCTGCTCCTGTTCCGTCTGAGGCAGGGCAGCAAAAGCAGCTGTTTCTTCGTCCCACTTCTTCACGCAGTCCACGTTCCAATTGCACCTCTCAACCTCCGCAAAGATAGGGTGATAGAATCGAGGGTGCTGTTTTGGCCACTCAGAGGCATGGTAATGATGCTTGACCAACGCATTGCGCGAATTATGGGTGCCAGAATCGGAATGACCTTGCCCAGCGGCGAACGCTTCAACCGTCAGGACCAGAAACCCTCCAACAACTCTGGACTCGGGGATATCATGGAACGTATGCCATGTCACGGCCTCGCCGGTGGTACGGCTCATTTCAGATAGGATGGCATCCGTAAAGGCAGAAGGCCCGGTGCCTGTTATCACATCATCGAAGTCCAGCTGAAGCTCTGAGATCGGCTTTCCTTGCTTGATGGAGAGGTCATCGAGCCAGTGGAGGATATTCTCGACTATTCGCATCATCACGGGCTGTCGGGGCTTGCACATGAAGGTCCATTGGCAGAAGGATTGCGATTTCGGACCCAATATAGGATGGTCGCGGAACTGCGGCTCATCAATTTCGACGCCTATGACCATGTCAATATCCCTTTCGTCATGAGTGCTTGGGATGAATCGCTCGACGGGTCTCAACGCTTCCACGTCTATATCAGCATAGAGACCTCCTTCTATGTACATCACAAGGTACCGAAGCAGGTCAGCTTTGAGAATCGGCGCAGTCAACGATCGATACGTTTCAACAATATCTGGTCGATTCTCCCCGGAAGGTCCGAAATTCGTTTCGACGTAGTCGAGGTCATTCTGGTCGGTCAGAACCTCGTACCGATAGCCTGGGTTTTTCGCAGTCCAGCTGCGTGCAACCTCGATGTCACGTCCGTCAAATTCCAATGGGTTCACCTTCCAAATCTGCCAGATTTTCCGGGGAAATCTTTCCCCAGCATTGGCCGTCACCTGGGTAGAGTATGATCGAGTATCGTCAAAGTCGTGTGATGTCCTGGTGACGCAGAAATAGATGAATAAGAACAATGCTACCAGGCCTCCATGCGTGAATCGACGCGGCCTCTTTGGAAACAGACCGATGGGCACGAATCTTTTCTCCATCATGACTGTGCTTGTGATGTGATCTTATTTACCGGCCTCTTGTCTGGGGAAAAAAGGTGAAAGATCGTGAGCCCGGGGAAACATAGGCTTAATTTCCCGCTCGTTTAGATTACATACAGTACGTAGCTTTGTATTTCACATGTGGTCTTCACTGAATCTGCAATACACTGCCTCGGGTTGTGTTAGTCCCTAACAGCTTGGAAGCTTATGTCTTGTTTGCAGGGCGGTCCTGTCGGTAATCCCGCGAGCAGGGTTGCAGCCACTGGTATGGGAACGGTGTAAATTTCAAGATACACCGCATCATTTGGTGGCGTCCGGACGCTCTTAGTTGATTAGCCAGACTAAATAGTAGGTAGGGATGTGGTGGGGGCAGCCAATTGTTGAAAACACCAATCGTATCCGTATGATACCCATGGAGCCCACTCAAATGCGGCCCAAAACCTTGTCAAATTGCTGAGGTGAGATCGTGCTTTCGCGGCTTCAGCCACTAAATTATTTTCCCCGGGGGGTCTGCGTTCAGACCCCGCCTTGCGGAGGTAGGAAGGCGAGTCCGCAAAGACCTGGCCCTGGCGTAGCCTATACCGAACGCAATCTAGCAGCAGCCTCGGCACCAGTGGGTAGGAGCACTAGTCACTGTACGAGTCCATACAATTCACATGTTATCGTGTTACCAGAAGCTGTTTAATAATTCCCAAGAAATGCGACTTGGGATTTTATTGATCGTCTTCTTCGACCTTCAAAGGACTCTGGCAACTTCAACTCTTGCCGCCCATGCCCACCCTACCCACCTCAATCGAGAGCTTCTCGCCTCCGTTGAACCTGAGCCCCGAAAGAGTCATCGAGGGTGGACAGTGGAAACCACAGTTAGCCCAGAGGATACAACCTCGTCATGGAATGTCGTCTTTCTCATGGATGGCCCGTTTCTTGCCCTCTGTTTTTACTGGGCCGACAAATGGCGACACAAATACGATTGAAAAGCAACGACAGCGTACCAGGCCGACCGCATACCTAGATGGATTGCGAGGCTTTGCGGCTCTCCTGGTCTACTGGGCACATCATGAACTTTGGGCCCACGATGGCGTAGGAGCGGGAAAGGCCTTCGAGCTAGCCTACGGTTACGACAACAAGTACTATTTCGCATGCCTTCCTGGTGTCCGAACGCTCTTTGCCGGGGGTCATTTTGCCGTCAGCGTCTTCTTCGTGCTCTCTGGGTACGTCCTCTCAATGAAGCCATTGGGATGCATCCAGGATGGCGACTACGCTGAACTAGGTAAAAGTTTGTCCTCGGCGGTATTCCGCCGATGGTTTCGTCTCTATATACCTGTCATTTGCACGACACTTAGCTACATGACGTTTATGCATTTCTTTAAAATCCGCACGATCACGGAGCTTCAAGGAAGCTACCTCTCGGAGCTATGGAATTGGTACGCCGAGTTCAAGAATTTCAGCTTCGTTCTGCGAACCGGCGGTGAGCCTTGGTTCACGTACAATATGCATACTTGGTCTATACCGGTCGAATATCGAGGCTCTCTGGCCGTTTACACCGCCGCCATCGCTTTTGCAAGATTTCGCCGCAACGCCCGGCTGATTGGTCAAGTCGCATTGGTGGTATACTTTTTGTACATTGCGGATGGGGCGCACTTTGCCATGTTTATTGCTGGTATGCTTTTGAGAGATCTCGATCTCCTCGCCATGCGCAATGACTTGCCCAGCTTCTTTCACAGCCTGGAGCCCTTCAAGTCTGCCATTATGACTTTCCTCTTCTATGTCAGCCTCTACCTCGGCGGGGTCCCATCGCATACGGATAACGTGCAACAACTACGTGACTCACCGGGGTGGTATCTCTTATCATTCCTGAAGCCACAGGCAGTGTTCGACTACAAGTGGTTCTACCTGTTCTGGGCCGCTGTCTTCCTTGTCTCGTGCACGTCTCACCTTCCGTGGCTCAAGGCATTTTTTGCAGCCCCGTTCAACCAGTACCTCGGCCGCATTTCATTTGCCTTCTATTTAGTCCACGGCCCGGTTTTGTGGATATTGGGAGACAGGCTCTACGCTGCAGTGGGATTCGCGCTCGATTCACATGCCCAAAATTGTCCCTGGTGGATTAATCGTTTTCCCCTGCCTACTCGTGGTCCTTTTGGGCTTGAGGTCAACTTCCTCATCCCACAGCTGGTTTTGCTGCCCTTGACCCTCTGGCTTGCAGAGGTCACGACTAGACTAGTTGACGATCCCGCTGTGAAGCTCTCTCAGCGAATGTATCAAGAGGGGCTGGTCGACAGAATCTGACAAATATCCTTGGCTTTATGATCCGCTTATTTGTTCTTTACACCCTCATGTAAAGCCTACCCTGCATTATAAATTCTTGTATGATAAAAGTCGTAGCAATTCTTGGCGTCCTTAGGTCCGAGTACGCCTCGATTGTGAAGACTTCCCATGGAAGTACTGTATGTACACCATGGGTCTAAGACCGCAGTGGAAAAGCTTGTCAGATTCTTGATTTCGGCATGTGATATTCGTAGTTTTACCTCAATTGTCACGGTCGCTATTAAGTCGGTCTTGGAAGTTGTATCTAGCGAGGACTCAATTTCATGCGCCCAGGGTACGCTGATTACCATACACACTCCCCATCGATGACTAGTGGCAAACTGCCAACCTTCAATTCAGCCCACTCCCCGCGTCCGTCGGGGCCCCGTTTTCTAGTCAACGCGTCAGTGATCGGCAGCTCGTTTTCTGAAATACAGATTATTACCTCCTACTGTTACATCCTGATGCTCTACTCTCCGCATGCCAGACTAAACATGGCTAAAAAGGCAGCCATGCGCCTGGTGCTTGTTGCAGGGCTATTGTCCGCAGTGATCCTCGTCGCGAAACTTCAATCCCACCATCTCGACTTGCAAACCGCTTTTCTATCCACGCATCACTTCGCGGTTGGTCGATATGGGCAGTCACACAGGAATGCTGGGAAATCCGAGACAGCTTGCTCAGGTGTCCCCGACCGCGAAGCCTGGTCTTACTGCCGAGATGGAAAACCCGCAGACGAGGACGGAAGAGGCCCTACATTCGAAGACGAAATATCTCAAGGCCACCACATATTGTACTCGGTATCGAGTGCCGATCGGGAGTATTTTGAGATTGATTTTGGGAGGAGGACTGTGATAAATCCCAACATCATCCCCCATCCTGAACTACCTGACACCTGGATCGTCACTGCACAACTTCATAACCCTCCTTCGGCTCGAATGGCATCAGTCTGGTTTGCGGAACTGGTCTGCAATGCGGCGTTCTCAGAGGATAAGCGACTTCTGGGCTGTCTGGAACCACCACTGCAATTGCCCATCCCAGCGACGTTCGGTGACTCCAGCAAGTGTGTCGGCGACATTTCACACTTTAGTCTCAGCGTCGGGCCTCATGATGCAAGGGTATTCTACGGGCCCGAGATTCCGTACACTCTGTACGGCTCCAATTCTTTCTTCACCTGCTTTGGGCAATGGATCTCCGATTTTCGAATCTTGGTGGACTGGGGCCTAGACACGGTACATGAACACGAGTTCCGCCAGTATCGTGAGCTTCAGCGTCCATGGCCATGGAATGCCGTTGAGAAGAATTGGTTCCTGTTCTGGGACGACGTTGGACAAATGTTCATTCACCATGATATTGCACCGGCGCGAATATTCGCGAAACTCGAGCTCGACGGATCCGTTGGGCCAAACTTGGCTCTGGCGACCACGACGTCTGACCAAGCGTGTCTCCAGAGATTCTTGCCTCAGAGTACGGACCCAACGGAGAGCATTCATCAAGCGACAAACTCGCTCGCTATCACTCTCTGTGCAAGATCGGACCAATCCTGCCGACCCGATACGAATAATACCTTTGTGCTTTTCATCATCCAGCGAAAGACCTCACGCGGCCTGCGCCCCGTATATGAGCCATATGTCGTGCTTACTCGGCGTTCTATGCCCTACGAAATCTATGCCGTCTCGTCCAAACCAATTTGGATTTTTGGTCGCAGAACGGCAGCGAAAAAGCCAGATGTATCTTCTTCAAAATCACACTCAGACGGCTCCGAGATGCTCTACATGACTAGCATCAGCTGGAAAAGCCAAGGCCAGAAGTATCACGGGTACAGTGATGACACACTGTTCCTGGCATTCGGTAGGGAGGACTCGGCCGCTGGCGGTATCGACGTTACCGCGCGAGACCTCGTAGCAGAGCTGGGTATGTGTGCGGGGTTCTAATTTCATTCTGTACTAGCAGTTCAGGCGCCTTGCAGGTCTCTTTTTCTTTTTTTTTTTTTTTCAGTTATCTTGAGGGTAAAGGCGATCTTGTTACGATGTATAATACGTAGATGTGCTTGAATACTGGGGATTCAATCCAGCACCGAACAAATCCCTGTCAATACACGGAAATTAAAGAACGAACAAAAGGAGAAAGATCACCAAACTACCCTGTCAGATCCTTGTCAGTCTCCAATTCACCTATTATTCGCAGGGGATCCAGACCACCCACCGGCAAAGGCAAGGATATCTTCCTATCTTGGTCAGTGGCCTGGTTCATTTTCACATGATTTTTACCACCATTCTGCCTGACATTGATCAACCGAGGTGAGTCCCGACCATGGAGGAGCATGTGTCCAGGACTCGAAATAGTTAGTGCCGGGATGCTTAAGCCAGGGATCCTGATCCTCCACGACGGGCGTATGCTTTCTCCGGGGTAAGAATGACAGGAATTGCTCGATGCGGGCAAGACCATGCATCACTACGCAGTTGGGACCAGGACCGTGCGCGGCTTGGTGTCTGTTCTCGTCCAAATCGGGGCGTTGGGCGAACTTTCGCGGAAATCAGTCGCCACCGAGGAAATGAGATTTCAGCAAGGGACACAGTGACGCGGCCCGAGAACTGACTGGCAGCACGCCACGAATAATACCTAATCTAATGGCCCAGAACCAAGGACGGATTGAAGTTGTTGTTCTAATTTCGATTGGTTTGCCGTTGCCAATGTTGCATCCAATATTACCACTAGAGTGTTTTCGGTAACCATGTCTGTCGATGGGACTTCTGTTTGGAGGACTCCGATCGTCGTTATCCTTTCCGTCGATAGTGACAATCGAATTTGAGAACACTCTAGGGTCTAGATGGCACAGTGCTGAAATGTACCCTGCAGTCAGGTTTTCCACGGCGTTGCGATTGTATAATGTATTCTAAGATAGGTCACAGTATAAATTATTGTAGATTGAGATAGCTTGGTAGCAAGACGCTACCAGCGTCGTATTAACTATATCAGACAACGGTGGAGTGGAAAGAACCTCTGACGATTTATCCACGCCATTCTCTAGACCAGGAACATCATGCTAGCAAGCAGGATGGAAACACCGGCCACCCGAGCAGCTCCGGATTGAATACCAGAGGATCGGTTGGACAAGGGGATGCTCGAAGGCGAGGCAGTGTTAACCGTGGATGAAGCCGTGGAACCCGTAGTCGAAGTCATGGAGGCCGCGAGCCGAGTCTGAGGGCCTCTCTCTATTCCACTGGCCGTGGTAGAATTAAAGCTGCTTGATGTGGTCGGAGCAGCAGTCGATGCGGGAGCTGAGTCCACCGGCGGGATAGAGATCGGCTGGCCAGCACCAGAGCACAAAGACACGACGACTTTGGAAACGGCTAAAGGGCATGGTGAGAGGAATCATACCCGGGGGAGTGTGGCTTCTCATACCTTGCTGGTCCGTGACATCACAATCTTGCTTGACGCAAGGCACAACCTGTTCCACAAGGCCCGTCTTTTGGCAATGGCATGCGAAGTCCGTCAGCTCAGAGCAGCCATCCGCACCAAGGGCCGAAGTGAGACATTTAAGCTTCAAGCGGAAGAAGGAAAAGAGAGTGTGGGTTAGCTATGAAACGAGATATGGACCGGGGGGTTGAGCGGACAGGTCTTACCGAGCATTGTGGGATATTGGACAGTTGGGCTCTGGTGATGGCACAGGCGCCGAGCACGACAACCGTAGCAGCCAGACGCATTTTGGCTATGATGCGGAAACGAAGGGATAGATAGCCTGCAGGTTGTCTGGCGTGAAGGGGCTCTCAACGCGACAAGCACAATAAAACTTGAATGTATCCACCGACTAGTCTTATATGTACCAGCACTCCAGGTCCAATTTTGAGCCAGCGGAGTATCCCGGGTACAAGCACATTATTCGTGTCACTTCATTGGTCGCGTAGAGCTATCTACCTCGATTTCTCTTTTCCGTTGTCTCAGTCGGCTCGTGTCTTTTCAGACTTGGTCTGCTGGTTTTTTGTACGGAGTAATCCCGTTACCATGATACGGTTGACGCTGTAATCAAGTGAACAAACCAAACCAAAGATTGAACGAGGCTGAGTCCCAAATCCCAGACAGAGATGGTTTAGCGTGGTCCTTTGGCTCTGTTGTTGGAGTGTTTGTACCGTAACTTATGTCGTTTCCCACATATGTCTTTAATTGAACGAAGTGGAGCCGGCCTGGGGGGTGTGCGGGGTCATTAGAAAACCTCTCCCTATCCTATGTACTTTGAACAGGATTAAGCACCTCTGTTGCGCAAGGTCATGATTCGGATAACTTGTCTGTGCGTCAATTTAAAGAGGTACCGTACTGTACACATAGAGAATTCCAAACAAAGCCACAGCACCAAAAGGCTCCATGATCCCAACCCACACGAGATACTATGTGGACAGAAGAACTGCGTCCATAGGGTTTCAGAGATGTCTGTTCGGGTACACGGGAAAGGTTTTACAAACTTCATGCATCCTTTAAAACAGAATGCTTGCTCCAGGGCCATGCTTCTTGTTCTAGTGAACGAGATCATGATTGCCAGTATGTCTGACCAACTAGAAGGAATGTAACTTGTTTATGTGAAGCAATCTTCCATCAATAGTTTAAAATGAGAGTATTTTACTGCAGGCAGATGTTCACAAGCAAACGAGATGCAGTAAGTGATGACAAAGTGGAGACTATCTTTTGTGGATTTGCTGGCCAAATTAGCAGCAGAGGCATTGTCTGGTGGTGAAATTTGTATTGAGTCTTACCTCTCAGAGATTTGAATCTCCGAGTCTCGGATGGCCCGGTCGTGCTTTTTGGTCATAGGCTGCTTATGGAGATTGGATGGAGCTTCGAAATGTGTTAAGCATTGATTACATGCTTCTGCATGTGGGGTAACACGTCCCATTACTTCATGCCAACACCCATACCCCACAAAAGTAAGGGTACTGGCTCATGGTATTGATGGTGGCGCGTATCGTTCGATGCACTGTGTCAGCTCTGAACATTTGGAATTGCGAATGAAGCTACTGACCCTTTCGACTTTCTCTAGAACCCTTGAACGGGTGGCAAGAAGGAAGTTTGTATCATCTTTGCGTTCAAGGTTGTGGCGTTGTGACAAATCTCAACTAACAGGATGATGAGCATATGTATCGCATTCAGTATTCTTTTTATATTGTGTGACGTAGGATCTATCGCTCAGCTTAACTGCAACTGGACATAATTTGTAGCCTAACAGCACCGGTATTAAAATATAAAGTATAATATAATAGATTATTCCCCCCATGCTTCCTGCAATGAGAAGTCTTGCAAGAATGCAACGCTTAATCTAGTATCCCAGTCTCCTAGACATAGATACAAAGCAAACCAAAGCAAACCAAAGCTAACAAGTCTATCATTCAATCCCATCTGTCGCAGATCATGGAACGTCATTCATCGTCATAGGGTCGCCATGTGTGGGGATAACGGTACCACGTGTGATGACTACCCATGCCCCATTCTTTGGATGGATCAGTCAATCGCAGGGGTGAGCGTCACGATCCACAGAACAAGGACGGAGTCTGCGTGGTAGGTCACGTAAGGTAGGAGTAGATTCTCAGGATTCCCGATGTCTCAAAGGAACAGATATCATGTAAAAAAGAACAGAAAAAAAAAGAAAAGAAAAAGAAAGAACCAAAATACCGGACTGACTAAAGCTGGTCCATGCTCAAGCTCATGCTCAACTCCGTCAATCATGCAGATCCACCATCCACCATCCACCTCCACCAAGAGTATGTTCAGAAGAATAACGCTACCTCGAAATCCTCCGCCGGAAGACTAACGTCATACCCCGGCTGGAATTCAACAATCATGTCCTGTCCCTCGGGGATCTCGCGAACAACGGTATCGTCGATGACGATGCGCAGGCCGGCCTGGTTCACGCGCAGGAGACGAACGATGCGCTCAGGCGAGATGTCGCGGACTTTCGAGAGCTGGCTTTTCAGGTTCCCCACGGTGCGTTCCATCAGGTATAACGCGCGATAGTATTCGTCGGTTTGACCGTCGACTCGGCAGAGGACATAGAAGCATGCAACTGTACGGTCTCGTTAGATGGTTCTAGACGACGGATTGAAAGGGGGCTTACCTGCTTTTCCATGGCCGCCTCGACTGCGAATAGGCACATTCTCGAGCGTTTGCCCGTCGTTGGCGGGTGTCTGCAGACTGGAGCGTGGAACGTCCGAGCCCGGATACCCGCTCGTCTCGTCGCCTCGGTCCTCCAGCATTTCCATCCACTCGGTGTCGGTGTTCATCTCCGACGGCATCTCGCTCTGCGTGGCTGACCGTGCCGGTGGCTTTGGGCTGGACGTGCCGCTCGACAATTCGACCGGAAACTGATCAGGATCGTCTTGATCGCTGGCTCGCAGCGAGAGCACGCTGGTCGGCTGCGACGACGTGAACACCTTGCGCAGTTCAAACAACTCCTGGTAGAGATCCTCGCCGGTGGAGAAGCTGTGCGCGCGACGGGGCACCCGGCTGCTACTGGGCTCGGCGTCCACCGACTCCAGCAGATGCTCGGACGGCCGCGACGACAGCGGCACGCGCACGCGTTTTTTCTTCCCCGGCGCCTTGGTGTTGTAGAACTCGGCCTCGGCGATCTTCTCCTCCATCTTCCGGATGGCCCGACGCAGGTGGATCGTGTCGTTGGAGAGCTTCCGCTCGGCGCCGTGGTCGCGGAACACCTTCACCTTGCAGTAGCAGATCTCGGTGCTGCTGGGCGCGCCCGGTTGCTGGATCAGGCCCTGGGAGACCAGCTCGGTTTTGGCGCACAGCCGCAGCGGCGCGCCCTTGACGCCCTTGGAGAGGCTGAAGTCCGTGGACAGGCAGTTGAAGGCGACGTGCATCTCGCAGCCGACGCGCACGGCGTGCGGATCGACCGTCCACTCGACGCAGAAGCCGTCGAACGAGGACCCCTGCAGCTCGACGTGGGCGGCACCCTCTTCGCGGAACCCGTCGTTGCGGACGTTGACGAACTCCACGGCGGAGAGCTTCCCGTCTCGCTTGCGGGCTTCGCTGAGGCCGCGACCGTCTCGCCAGAGGCGCCACGACCCGGTCGGGTCCTCTCGCTGCGCGGCGTTGTCGAATGAGATGCGAACGTACGTGCGGTATCGAGCGGGGTGGACGCGGAATGACGGCGGTCGTGTGTCCGTGACGGAGATCAGATACGGCTGGCACCGGTTCAGGTAGGTGACTGGGATCTCCCGTGTCTGGTTGAATGTCGCTGTGGGTGCATGCAGGGTCACTCGGTATCGCAGAGCCGGCGAGTCCTGGGATCGGTGGTCCAGAGCGACCTCGGGGTCGTGGGGGAGGGGCCCATGCAGCGAGTCGGGTTTCGATGGGATATCTGCCGGGTCAGAGTCGACCATCAAGGGGAGAGGGGGCAGGAACCCCAGAGCCGGGTCGAACGTACCTTGATGGAAGACGTTGCCTTGCGTCAACAGACCCAGCGAGTCGTATTCGGAGTGACGGCGCAGAAATGGTTCGGGGGAATTGGTGAGTCCTGACAGCATGGGGTCGATGAAGTTCAAAGGATGGTGAGACTGCAGGGGATGGCCAGGCAAAGGCTCGTCTGACAGATTGGCATCGAGATTGGATATCCGACTCCAGATCCACGGGTTGGTCGACCCATTGCAGTCGTGAGCGGGCGTGTGCAAGTCTCCCGCCGGGCTATGCAGCACAGTACACATGCGGCTGCCGGCCAGCGAGCAGGAGCAGTTCTGACGGGTGATGGGAGAGAGAAACTGGACGGGGCTCTGGTCGGCCATCACGCTGTCCTTGGGCACGTGGTCGGCGTCCTGAGGCTCCTCAGGAACCTGAGGCACCGCATGGTCGGCAGGGTCCCTCACCGGCGTCTGCGGCGAGTACGATCGACTGGCTACGCTGCCAAACTGTCGCTGGAAGTCCCGAATAAAAGACTCGTCTGGTTTCTGGGCGGTTCTCCTTGACGGGAGAAAAGTCAGTGCGTCGTGTGCCATGAAAAACAGGGATATGCATTCCGGATTGTGCGAGGTCAATTTACCTTTTTCCGAACATATTGGGTCGATCTACCAGAGCGGTTTGGGCTGTGCTTTCGACCAGTGTATGTCATTGACTTTGCTTTTAATCTGATTGATCTGTTTTCCTGATCTGCCTTTGATCTGTTGGCTAAGTTGAGGTTATTCTTAGGTGCGAGTGAACAACAAGTATGAAGGTTAAGTCACCGTCTCAGGAAGCCTGAGTCAGCGACTAAGACGCGCAGGGCAAGCCTAAGCAAAGCCCTTGGCCGAGAATAGAATTGAGCTTATGCTAATGATAATGAAGGAGGAGCTGCAGAGGAGACTCCGGCTCAGCAGTCAGGCCTTTAGTGGAACGTCCACGCAGGAGAGTACGAAACGCTAGCGATAGGCCAACGCCATTCACTGACCACCAAGTTCAGGATGAAGCCCAATGGGTCGATCTGGGGAATAAATAACAAGGTGGTGCTGTATAGAGGCTATGTGCTGCATCGAAAGCCGTCGAAAATGGCTGACGGTTCGAGAAAGATCTTCGCGGATCTATAGGAATTCACGAGCCCTGGAGACTTTGCCAGAACGACAATATAAGGTCTTTCCGTCGCAAAACTTCAGAGTCTTGACGAATGAATCTCCCGAGGAGTCAGTTGGACCACGGAACATCGTTGGGCCACACAATAAACTCGTCGAGTCGGTGCTTTCATCTGCCCCGTCGAAGGTGCTCGATCGCGCCACGCACTTCGGCATTGCGCCACGGACGACGGCCCTGTCCAACGGGCGACCCACCGACCACACCATACCGGATGAGGTAGGCCTGCGGGACGATCTGGTAATGCCACGGCGGCGCTGATTGGGCCGGCATCTCAAGCCGCCATCGAGGGCCGGACTAAGCCGGAATGGGCGGATTTCTCGCTTCTCTGCGGCCCATCTATGTTTCAACGACATCTTCGTCTGCCCGGAAACGTGGCAGGCCTCTTTCGGATCTGCCGTCGACCCGTGGAGCCTACATTTGGATGTCGTCTTGACTCGCCATCCCAGTCGTTCCAACTTATAACCGCCGTATTCCCAGAAGTCTTGGGTCTGGCGATTGACAGGGTTGCAGCCGCTTCTGGTGGGAGGGATAGCACTACTGACGAATTCGCACAATCCTGGTGGGTATTGAAATGCAAATTTTTGCGATGTGAGATATACATGTCGATGGTCTTAGTAATCTACTGTCAGGTGTCTTCATGGTCGACAGAGGATTGCTGGACCTGAATCAGGCGTTGATGGCTTAGGGGGTGGCAGGAATTTCGACAGTCCCGTGCAGCTGCCTGACTGCCTTCGTTCCTGAGGCCACCTCCTTTCTTCAACTCACTCACCCTCAGAGGGAGTTTGTTACCACGCCGTGTGTCCACCATCCACCACGATCGACGTCCCCGTCATATAGCTACTGGCATCGCTCATCAACAACGCCGTGATCCCTCGAAACTCCTCCGGCCGCGCCAGCCGTCCCAGCATGTTCTCCGACTCCCAGATCTGCTTCGTCTCCGGCTTCTGTTCCATCACCATCCGCGCCATCGGCGTCTCGATGTGTCCCGGACAGAGGCAATTGACACGGATCACGCCGTCGCCGCGTCCCCATTCCATCGCCAGACTGCGCGTCAGCTGCACCACCGCCGCCTTGGACGAGTTATAGATCGCCGACGTCATGCCCTTGTTCGCAATCAGCCCGCTCATGCTCGCCACCAGCAGAATCGTCCCGGCCATGTCCCGCTCGCGCATCTGCGCCGCCGCCGCCGTCGCCGTCGTGAATAACCCCGTGTAGTTGATACCCACCAGCCGCTCGACGTCGTTCGCCGTGTGCCCGATCGCAGACTGCACGTGGTTGACGCCTGCCGCGGCAATCAGCCCATCCAGGCGGTTGTTGTGGCTGGCGATCGATCGCATCGTCTCGGTGGTGTTTTTCTCGTCGCGGACATCCACTTGTCGATAGTGCAGGGCGCCGCCGAACGCCGGTCGTGCGCGTTCTCTCGCCGCGTGGAACTCGTCCTCCGGCTCGCGAAGCCGGTCTAAGCAGTATACTATCGAAGATATCAGTCGATCGGTCGACCCTCCATCAGAACGCACATACCCTCTCCGCCAGCCTCAGCCAACGCCTCCGCCATCGTCAGGCCCAATCCTCTCGCTCCACCGGTCACGGCGAACACTCTGCCATCGAGCTGAAACTCGGGGAACCGCTTCGGAGCGTCAGGGGTGGATTGATGTTGACCATGTGTGTGGGCCAACGCCCGGACTGGATATAATCTCCTAGACTGGAAGACGTTCCGGTTGGCGGGTGGTCTTAGGGTTGAGATTCGCAGCGCCATGTTTGGACGTTTATCTACCGTGGATGTCGTTGGATGGAGAGATGCCGATGTGGGTCGTGGTGGATAGGTAAGTCATTCCATCTCATCCGGAGTACTGCTTGTTTCTCGGGATCAACAATGCACATTGTTTCTTTTCTACGGCATTATCTAGAGACAGGAGGGTTACGTCAACGAGACGTTATAGAGCATTACCACGCCGAGACTGATCGTAGGAACAAGATACATAATTGAAGGATTCTACCTATCGCTACATCCAAATAGAATCTCAGTAAGAGTACAAGGATCACAGGAAGTCCGCGATCTGATTGGCGGGTATGATGTCTTGACATCGCGGTGACGTAGGCGGATGACTGATGATTTAATTGCACGTCTTACATAATACGAAAGCTTGTAGATCAAAAGTTCAAGGACCCAATCCTACAAATGAGTCAAACATATTCAAGCCACCCGAGTTGTGGCGGAATGATCCAACTCGCTCGAAAATATATCTCAGACCGAGACAGCCAAACCCCGTCCACTGCGGTCAGACCATCGGCAGGCAGGCAGGTAGGTACGGTCGGAGTCCGTGTCTATCACCTTACATTAGCAGCAAGAAGAGCATATAATTGGCAGAAATCCAATCGTCCCTCCAGCCGGGAAAAGTTGGCTCGGAACGCGTTGACCAAGGAAATCGTCCAGGGCCGGCATTCGGCGCTGCTGATTGGCGGGAGGCGTGCCGTCGGTGGAGGCCTGAGGTTCCATGCGTTCCGTGGGCGGTGCGCGGGTTGTAGATGGCTGGGATCGGTGGAAATTAGTGGTGGGTGGGAAATTTCATTCTCTAGATTTTTCTTTTCTTTTCTTTGGTTGAAAAATGGCCATTGGTTCGTCATGATTTTCAGAGTGGGTGGCTGTAGAAGTTACGAGTAGAATGGAGAGAACAGACATTTGCCACCGTGGGGAAGAACTCCATCGAAGATACCGACGGATAAAACTCGGCTTCTAGAAAATACGACCGTTCGGTTTTTCGATAATGGATTCAGATGCTCTCAGGCTAAGTTTCTGTCTTGGCTTTGTTTGTTTGTCCTGCAAAAAGGACAGATATGCGCCCTGATGTAACTTCCAAGGAACAAGCTACTATAGCCACTAGCGTCATAGCTCCTACACCGTGCATGTTAATATGGAGTGGCCCCGTAAGCCTGCACACCAGGTTGATTGATTAAGGGGAATGAGAGCTGTAGCACGAGTACAGGTCTGGCAAGGTGTTACAGACGCATGCATTCTTCCAATCCAAAGGCTGTGCTACCAACCGGACTGTTTGTCGCAATCTATGAGGTCATCGTCGGGCTGGCGTTCGTATCCCACCCGGGAAGAACAATGAATCCCAAAAAGGAAAGCAAAAGAAAGAAAGTGGGATCTATAGTGTATGATAATTAAGCTAAGGACATGGTTCGGGATCGTGGTGGACAAATGTAGAAATGTATTTTCTGATCGACATGACACCCACTCTTCCCGGGAAGTGATATATTAACATCCTCAGCTCGGCCAGAGAGGTCGAAACAGCCAGGTGGTGTGACAGGTGCATCAGCACTCGTTTCATCGATCTGCAATACGCCATTGGCTGGGCCATGAGTCTGGCTGATCTGAACGCAGGACATGGAGTGACTGCTAGGGTTCAGGGTGTCATCCCAGCCAATCGCAGCTCGCAGCCGATGATCTGCGTGGCAAACCTGGAACAGCTGGATCCATTCATACCATCCAAGGTATGGAGGAGGTGGTCTCGGACTGGCATCCGCCAGACAACGGCCTAGTCTTCTACCTTCCATGTCTTTCACTTTAAGACCGAGGGCGCCCGCGTCGCCATTTTTCAAGCCAACCGTTGCAGAAGTCCGACCATTTAAAAAGCATGGCACCTGCCCTCGTGCGACTGCTCGGTTTACTCTACATCGTGTCCACTAAATAGGCGCCCTCGATCGTGTATCGCCTTTGTCTAATCCTCTGCGCGAAATGCACCCTTCTGTTCACACTCCTTTACACGAAGTGCTCGAAAGATGTCCGCCCAAATAACCCACCCGCCCAGTGCGAATCTCGCCTTCCCTGACCCTGCGACCAGCGCCTTCGCTCTACCGAATGTCCCGCTTACACCGGGGTTCTTCTCGCTCCCTTCCCTCGCAAATACAGTCGACTGGCCGCTATCTGACACTCTCCCTACGCCGCCTCCAATCCCTTCTTGGGCCATCAAACCCGACCCAGACGGACTCAATCCTCCAAGCCAGCAGCAAAAGTCGCTATGCATCGACCCGTCCCTCCAACCGTCCTCCAAACCATCACCCTCTACAACCGCAAGCACAAAACCCCCACGAAGTGCATCATCATCGACACCCACCTCCTCATCAGCCTCATCACAAACACCACCATCCCAATCGAAATCCCAAATTTCGAAAGACCGCCTCAAACGCGAAAACTTCCTCGCCCGCAACCGCATGGCCGCCAGCAAATGCCGGCAGAAGAAGAAGAAGCACAACAAAGCGCTCGAGAACGAGTACGAGCGGGTCGCGCGAGAGAAGAAGCTCCTACAGACCGAGGCGGACTATCTGCGCGCGCAGGTCCTGCAGCTGAAAGACGAGCTGCTGCGGCATTCGCAGTGCGAGGATGCGTCGATCAAGGGGCATTTGAATAAGATGGTGACTCAGGTGGCGATGACGAGGAAGAGTGATACGTTTATTGATATTAATAGTTTGCTGACGACGAGCGAGGAGGAGGGGAGTGTGGATGCGGATAGTCCGTTGTTGCAGGAGGTGATGGAGCCGGAGAGGAGGGATTTATATCGGATGGGAGAGGGGGAGGTGGATGCTGCTGGACCAGGGGTTGGAGTGCGGACAGGGGATAATTTTGATGATTTTGTTGATTTCGGTTGATTACCCCTTTCTCGGATTTTCTGGCTGATGTTGGAGTTGGTCTGGTGTGCTTTTTGATATCAAGGGTCGGCGTTTGTCTATTCTGTTCTATTAACGAATGTATACGATGTTAATGTGCGTTTTGGCTGTGGTCTACAATTATAGGCGCTTATTTAATCATCTTCTGGTTTTGTTGGACTTTCTCGACTTCGTGTTTGTTTATCCTCTCTCACTCGCTCAAGATGCCTTTTCATCAGTAGGTACTCTGTATGGTGTGCCTAGGTTCGATATAATATACAAACAGAAAGTAATTTAAAAACAAAGTTTAGAATGCGTATACATTAGGCAGTAACGAAAGCTTCACCCTCGTAGCTCCGAGGTCTTAAGATAATTGCACACGGAGAATCCAGTTCGGATTTGAGATAGCGCTAGGAATAAAACTCGGCGGTGGGCGACATTTGAAGCTTACAGATGGTCAGCTAGTGTGGCTAAACACGTAGAAACCCAGGCTTTTGCCAAATTGGAAGCCTTTGGCAATTTGGAGATGAGGAAACTAATATCCGCCAGACTACACTTGGCTCATGTGACTCCATCAGCCGCTGCCCCAACTCCAGGGAAAATCTCCTCTCGACCAAGTCTTGTCTTCGTTCTTCACGAAGGTACTCCCGCAGGTGAGCAGAATGCCGAGGAACTGTCATTAGCTCATCAAAGATTGAAGTCCCAACGCCAATGGTCTTGACTGAATTGCAAAGCACCCATTGTTTACCTCCTGACCCGTTGGACCAACCTCTACCAGACCTAGTTGACCTCCCCCGCGTCAAGGAAGGTTAATTTATGAATTGAAATGAGAAAGGGGCTTCCGATTAAGCCCTCGAGTCATTCACTGCTGCTATCGAATTATAATCCAGCAGGATGCGCGATGAGCGGTACCGGGAAATGGCACTGCATAAAGGTGCGCGCACCATACTCTCAAAGTTGGCATGAATGAGATCCCAAAACTAATTAATTCGCGAATCAGCATAGGGCCCCATAAGAATATCAAACCAACCACATAGCCAACTCTTTCCAATTAATACTCTGCTTGTCCTGCTACAATCCTGAATCCAGCCCTACCCCTGATATTTCCTGGTTGCGGGAGTTGAGCTGCAATTTTGACACAGATAAATCTCGTTGATTTCTGGCCGCCACTACATTTATTATTGGCATTTCGACGCTGGTGGGATTGTTTACACTTCCGACGATGAGATCGGAGAAATATACTTAAGGGGCGTAGACGAAAGGTCATGTCTACTCTCAGCGGCGAGATTGAAGCCCAGGGGCGTTAATCGGGGTTTGGATTAAACCTTGACTGAGCAGTCTCTTGCTAATTGTTAGCATGATATTTTCAAAACCGAGAATAGCCTTTCCTCCACAACAACTCACTCTTTTCTTTCCTCTACACAGTGCGCTGATGCGATCAAGACGAGCGATACCACAATAAAGCACCGGAGCCAGCTGTACTCCCTGTGAGCATGACCAATTTGATTGTGAGGCTAGCCGGCAGACTTCAATGCCTAACACCTGAATGAACACCCTCCTATGAATTCAGATCAGGTCATACTTCAGGATCATCGAGAATCATCTCTGCTAACTTCCGTCTCTCTAGACCCGACCCTCTTGAACAGACGGCTCCCCTCCGCCCCGATACACCGCATCCCGATACGGACACTGATACTCCTGATTTGACCGCTCACTACGACCTGTGTCACAAGCGTATGCTTACATCGCAACGATATCCTGGTGTTGAAGATATACCCGCCTCACCCATAAGGATTGGTGATGGTCGTAGGAGTCAATACTAGGGAACAGAGGTGCCAGCCTTCCTCAGTCATCGGGCGACAATGACAATCTTCCCACGATTGCCGTTCGTCACATCACGCCGTTGGAATACAGAGGAGGGAGGTGCAAATGGTCTACCTGACTAGGAACCGGTGCTGGGATTGGCGCTACCTACTCCATACTTAGGGTCGGATTCCTTACGAATGATCGGGAAGAGGGCACAAAGAGAGGAGATGACAAGAACAATGGGAGTATGCGTCAGGCTGTGAAGCAAGATGAGTACTCGGTAGACTCTCTGCTGGAACAGAAATGAAGAGGAAAAAGAACGGTCCTGCCTGGATTCGAACCCGGGAATTCCTTCTTTAGGAATTACGTCATAGGGGAATGGTGGGTCTGCCAGTGGGCTCACAGCCAATGGAAAACAGGAGAAATGGATGGAAATCGAACGATTCGCGATCTTTCGTCAACTTTCTACATCCATCGGTGCCGAATACCGACGTTCCATATACGACGTCCGCGAAGTTTCATCTACTGCGCCATGCTCCCGACACTGAGAACGAGGAGCAAGAGCTCTGCGATAGGTCGCAGCCGCCCTTAGACCATCAACAAGCGACTCCGGAACGCAATCGACCAATCCCAACCCCAGGACGAGGGGCGTATCGCTTGGTGCGAAATACCGAATGGTAGCTACGGCAGTAGACATAGTCAGGTGCCAGTCTGCCATCTCAAGCAGCAGACATCGCAGCGCCGTCTCATGCAATGGCTCTCCAGGACTCACCATCGCCCCGCTATCGTTGCTTCGCAGCGGAACCAGGGCGCTGTCTGGGAAATGGAAGAGGTCGGGAGAAGAGGCAAAGATTTTGTCCAAGATGGTAACGGTGGTGCTGTGCAGCGGGTGATGGTATCGTCCCTTTGGTCCGATCGCTGTTATCTGGGCACCGATGCGGCCGAGCTCGTGGAATATGGAAGGGAGATCGGCCTCTGGAGCTGTAATGGTGATGCTGTGAGCGTCCATGACCACGGAAAGGTACGCCTGCTCAAGGAGAGCGGTTAGCTGGGATCCGCGGATGATGGTATCGTGGAACGCTCTACCTCTTCATATCCGGCCAGGATTGTCATCACTCTGCTTCTATTTGTGGCAGACGTCCATCTTGTTGTCAGTGAAATCATCCTTGCCGGAAGCACGCCAAATTGATTGTCCAAGTCTACCATGGCCCCAATACACAATGCCAGCCGCAGCGCAACAGCCGCGTGCTTTCCAATCGCCGCCGTATCCTTGGAGCACGACAACGCACTAGCCGTTAGGAAACCTGTGCAGAGACCTCGAAAACCCCCATGTGCAACTGATTTCATCATCTCGCTATGGTCGACCCCCGATTCGGCCAAGTAATTGAGATATTCCATTAATTGCACCACTATCGTCAGCGGACCCAGGTGCTTGTTCGATAATAAGGACTTGCAGTTGCCTAAGTTGTCGCTGTCGCCGGTTGTCCATCCTTTCATGTCTCGTAGTAATCCCGCACCGGGTATTTCACCTAACGCGGGATAGCCTTTCACCAGGGTGGTCCAAATTTTCGGAAGCTCAGCGATGGCGGCATCGATTGTTTTGAGTATTGTATCGTGTCTGTGGTTCTCGCGTAGCTGAAGAAAATACTCTTGAGGAGGGAAAACTGTCGTCTGAGGGCTACAGACAAAGATCGATGGGGTTTCTGACGGCATTTTGGAAGATCCTGGAAGGTTGAAGATAAGAACCACTCCCGATAACAGTCTGCATCGGCAATAGGAAATAGGTTATATGAAGCTATAAGTCGGTGAAGCACGCATTCCGACGATTTGACAGTCACGTTCCGACTCTGATTGCCGAACCTGGCGGCTATGCAAGGCGCACGTACGGAGTGAACCAATACTAAGCATTGGCTGCATGCATGTCCCTGGTGGTTGTGCGATTGCCCCTCGTCTATGGGATCGGGTGCTGCGGAGGTAAATTATGGAATGTGGTCGATGTTCATATTTGACCCGTTTCCTTCTATTCGAAATCCCCAGATAGACTTGACGGTCCATTCGACTTGCTCTAAACTGCTAAAACAGGCCAATTATCAAACCCACACGCAACGATGCGAGACAACTCTTCTGTCGATCCTGTTATGTCCCTTGCATTATGCACCAGAAGGCGCCAATGAGCTGGCAATGAGTATGTATATTTCAGCAGTCACCACTAAGATCTTTGAACCTTTCATTTGAAGCGCTCAGTTGGGGTGTTACCCATTACATGTGACCCTGCGCATGTATATAAGCCGCACACGATCGATCAAGGGATTGATTCAATCGGGCCAGTGTGCTCTTCATGTATGATAACATCATGAGACGCTGCAAAAGGAAGTTCTTTGATGAGCTGTCTGGGCGGAGACCTTTAGGCGTATGACAATTATGTCGTAAATAGGAATTAGCCTTGGACGCACATAGATCCTTCCCACAGTGTTGAAGGCAACCTAATCTATTATCCAAGGATAAGAGTAACCAATAGTCGATGAAAAATCAAGGGCCAATGACTTCAACTAGCCTATTTGAAATAGTCAGCTGGATTCTATATTCTAACATAGTAATAATTACAAATTCTCTATCTTTTAGACCTTCTCAGTTCTTCTATTCTCCATTCTCCACCCTGACCTAAAGAATTACTCTACAAAATCAAAGAATGGGCATTTTAAAATAAGTATAGAAGTTACCGGAAATAGGATTGAACAAGATCCCACGCCGCTTACAACCTACATAAACTTTTCATATCATTCATAATCGTAAGCATCAACATATGTCCGAGCCAAAATCAAATAAGTAGATCAATAGTCCCGACCAGTAAAGCCATAAAGGCCCCTAATCCTGAACAATAGCCCCCAAACTATCAATATCTGCATCCGCAGCCCCATCAAACCCATACAACACGCCGGTCCCAACCTCCTGAATCAGTGGGCCTCCACCATCTCCACCCGCAAAGAAATCCCTATTCTTGGTAGTATGGAATTCCAACGCATCAGCACGACCGTAAGGGTCTCCAATCGCGCCATGAAGCGTCATGGACTGGATGTTCTCGTCGTCGTCGAACGTATACCCCCGGTGGGGGAGGTAATCGTCTTGGTGGCCCACCTGGCGCTCTTGGCCGTCGTTCCAGGATAGACGGAGGCCTCTGAGGACGGTGTATTGTGGTGCGTCGGACGCAGGGCCCCACCAGGCGTCGATTGAATGGACCTTTTGGTCGTTGTCGTAGAGCTGAGAGCCCCAGTCGGTGCCGCCTTGGCCGCCGACGCGCTGGTTGTGGTATGCGTCAGACATGGTTTGGTCGTGTGGGTTTGTAGAGTGAGGATTAATTGGATTGTATGTAGTAGTATTTGGTTGTTCTTGGGGGATGAACTTAGACTGGATTGTGGGAGGAAAATGGAGGTATTTATATTCTTCCATCTACACGGCTACCATTTACACAACCAGGTATTGACAACAGACAAAGAAACAGTCCTCGGAGATCCCAGTATCTGATGTCAAAATTCATCACTACCGACTCAAAACAGTTACATGTGTGGGTCTGGGTCATTGTTCGGCTCTGTATCCGACAGAGCTGTCAAACTTTATTCCCGACGTTTTTTCCGCTTGCGGAACTCCAGATGGCACAATCCTATTCTTAATTGCGCCATTTTTCTTGTAGACAATGGGATTTGGAGAAGAAAGGAGTTGCACGATTTTCTATGATTCATAATAATATGGTCCATGAAGGTGGGGGGAGTATGCTTTTGTTATTTTACCGCGTGAGTGAGTTTGGAAGGTGGCTCCCATGGGATAGTATTGAGCAGGAATGAGATGATTTCCATCCAGAATTAGTGAGAAATGGAATGAAAAGAGTTTGTAAGATCGTGATGTCTGAAGAAAGCGAATTGCCAACTTTTCTTTTTTTTAAAAAAAGCCCCAAAGCTCAGCATGATTCACTAAGGTGGTTAGCTGGATACATCAGAATATACAAATGGCGGGGGTAAAAAAAGAAAAGAAGACGGAGAAGAAAAGAAGCGGCTGTGAGAAAAAGAACGATTATTATGAAAAACCTCAGCACAATTCCCATATTCTCAACAATGGCATGGAGCCAGCTCTACGTATATCCGGCAGACATGTTTTCGCCACGGGAGGAGGATCCAAACAACTAGGCTAAGGACGAAAGATTGTCTCTATCCCCCATTCCAACCGCCGCATTCGGAATAAAACCCTATTCACGATTTATATGCTGTGTAAAGAACATGGCGATTTTCCGTGAATGAACCACGGAACATGCGATCCACTAGACAGGGTACATGACAGAACCGAGTACTAAACAAATGTCGGCATTATGGTACAGCAGCTAATCATAGCGCTCAGCTTGTCCATATAGTTCAGTTCTCCATCAGCAAGATCATCCTGGACCCAAATGGCCTGGATAAGCCTCGTAACGAGAAAGAGTGAGCGAGAGGAAGCGGATTTCTCAGTTCGAGTGATGAGATCGAGGACGATGCGCCGTTCCTCGTCTGTTTCTGCCTCGCACCCTAGTACGAATAAAGGGAATTGGCGGTCGCAAGCGGCGAGATCGGAGAAAAGCTTGAAAGCTCGGGAAATGTGTTGCTGTAGTGCAATGGCTGGCTCGGAGACGTTTCCGGTCGCTTTGTTGAGATAGACCAGCATGGATAGTTGGAATAATTCAGTCATTTTGGCACTTTCTAGGCGTTGTACTCCGTTCCTCTCCGGTGTTGATATGGGCATGGCTCGTACCCTCCATTCCAAAATGTTGACGAACGACAAATATTCACTCAACTTCTCGGCTGGAGCGGTCGGTGGTGGCCTAGCAGCCACGGCGTCGCAGACATTCGACAGCAGCTGTATCGTTGGATCAAAGCCAAAGACCGTCGCAGGGGGGACCTAGAGGATGTCAATGAGGGATGATCCTAGGTCTGAACTATGTGCGTACATTGGCCCAAGGGTATTCCGATGCGCAGGCAGGTGGAATTAGCTTGTCCTCCTCCGAGCTCCAATGTAGCTGGCTGAACCGCGACATCACATCGTGATAATATATCCAGTCTAGTAAGACTTTGAAGTCACTATTTGGGTCGATCAGGCAAGATGAAGACGCATTGATGATTTTCTTGACACCGCCAATGTAGCACCTCCAATGCCCTGATGTGCATGATGCGCGGTGAATCTGGCAGAGAGTTAGAAATGCCATATTGAAGGGGTGTTATTATAATGTTGAGAATGCTACCTCGAAAGAACATAGAAGCATACCGGTAGCAACATGCTGGGCTGCTGCCATCGGACCGATATCAATCCATGACGCAGCAGCTAATGCTTTCAGAGCGGATAGCTTAAGCTGCCCGGCCTGATCTTGCAGTCCATAAAGATGGAGCGAAGATAAGGCTAGCATGGAGTGAAGCACCGCAGTAGCGGATGGGGTGTTGCTTGTCAAGCACATCCGGATGAGAAGGTTTCCGACGCTAGTGGGGTCATGGCCGAAGGTGGTTAATGAGCGAGAGGCTGTGCATTGAACTACATGGAGTGAGTAGGCTGTAAAGCATGGAGCGTTTACGAAGAACTGACAGTATTCGAAGAGGTAAGCCTCCCTAACGTTCAAGTTGAGCGGGTTGAATGGCATCGGGGCTTGGAGCACAAGTTTAGTGTATCCTAGCAGGCATTAGTATCGATTGGCTCTTTCAACGGTCAGGATCTATTGGGCTCAGATCACTTACTGTCCGACACTAGACCCAGCAAATGATAATGCATCTCGATATCCCATGACGACGCATTCACCAATAGCGGGTCTGACACCCGTCGACCCCCCTTTCTAGCTCGCGGTAACTTTCCAACCTTTGCGCGCTTGCGATCATTCGCATTCGGCCAAGACAGACGAAGACCATAGCCCTGGCAAGTCCGGCCTGACTTGGAGCACTGGACGCATGTTGGAAGGGCCCTGTCGCAGAGGATTCGACGGTCTAGACAGCGTTAGTCGGGCACCAGCAGTAGGCCGGATGAATTACCCCTGCACGTTCCACAGCCTTTATGCGTCATTTGATCTTCTAGGGACAGTGCATTCAGTCTGAGGTCTGAAAGACAGGATGATGAGACTTGACAAAGCTGTCAGCTCACCTCGAATGCCATTAATAAGCGCTGGCCCCGCAAGGCTTGGCATCGGCGTTAGAGGATCTGTCACGGTTATGTCCGGACCAATCGGGAGACGAGGGCCAGAGCTTGGCGCTGCAGGGGAGTCGATAGTCGAGCAAAGGTCAAGTATTCGCGAGTCTACCATCGTCATCCAACTATATGTTCGCAAACTGACATCGAGGGTCGGAGTTAAGCCAATGGGCAATTTGAAATCTATGGCATTTCACGGGCATCCTCTGCTAGGTTCTTCCTGTTATATATAAAGGCCGTCAAGATCCCGCAAAGTGAACAAGACACGGCAATTCACCAAGCACATAGCCTACTAGCAAACCAGCAGAAACAATCTCAAATCAATACTTTTAGGACGGTTCCCTCACAAATGCCCTCCTACGCTATTACCGGAGCCTCCAGAGGCATTGGTGTTAGTCTCACTTCTTCACGATATGCCATTGAGAAATATGCCAACCTGACGATATATAGTGGGAATTCCTCCGCCAGATATCCAGCGACCCCAATAACGTGGTCATTGGTATTGTTCGGGACAAAGCGACCACCGAGAGAAAGGTCTTACAGGAGCTGCCTGGTAGGCCAAATATTCATATCCTCCAGGCCGACCTTGTGGATTACGCTGCCCTGAAAGTGAGTACAGCAAGCAATACCCAGCCTACCGTGTCCTTAATCTGACATAATTGAATAGGCTGCGTCCGCAGACACGGCTCGAATCACTGGCGGCGGACTGGATTACCTGATTGCCAACGCTGGTCTCATTTCTCAATTCGACGCTTACGACCCAATCGGCGTTTTGTATGTCTACTACCCATTCAATCGGTTTGCTTCGACCAAGTACTAACCCGGTATTCCAGAGGCCAACAGCCCGAAGCGCTTCAGCAAAATCTGCTCGAATACTTCAACATCAACGTCGTCGGCAACATCCACCTATTCAATCTCTTCACGCCTCTTATCCTCAAAGGAGACGCCAAAAAGGTCATCGCTTTATCCACCGGTCAAGCTGATCTGGACATCATCCCGAAACTCAATATCGACTTGTGCCCTGCTTATGCTATCAGCAAGGCGGGTCTGAATACCGCGGTGGCTAAGTTCAGCGCGCAGTATGCTAAGGACGGAGTCTTGTTCATGAGCATTTGTCCTGGAATGGTCGAGACGGGGCATTTCGCTAAAGGTACGCATCTCCCATATCTGAATATGAGAGGTTGGGTAGGAGCTGATAGGGCATAGCAAATGAGGAGCAGATGAAAGGCCTGATGAGGATGCTGGGCTCTTTCAAAGAGTACGCGCCTTATATTGAAGGTCCGGCTACCCCGGAGGAGTCGGTCAAGGATGTCTTGTATGTGATGGATAACGCTAGTGTTGAGAAAGGGCATGGCGGATCTTTCCTGTCTCATCATGGCAACAAACAGTGGCTTTAAAGGACAGTAGGATGTTTGGATGCGGATCAGAACAGTCTCATGGGCCTTGGAGAGTGCTTTAAAGTCAACACAGAGAGCTCTATCAACTTTCAGTCCTCTGTCGTGTGAGTTTAGTGAGGTATAGAAATTCAAGAGAAAATTTACAAGGCGTCGGTCACTTGACCTGCTCAACCCTCGTGTCGGTGCCTGAGGCAAGTAGCCTCCCTTCCCAACATCGCCTGTTGTTTGTTCGCTTTTCCATTCCCTTTCGCCACCTTCTTCATGGCTCAATATTCCAACTAAACCGAGTGACTGGTCTCCTTTGAACACGATTCGATCAGAGTATTGTAGAGAGATATAAATATAGAAGGGTTAGATCCACTCAGTGCTAAGAATGCCTCTAATTTGCCCTCAATGTGAACAGAAAAGACAGAACAGATTTCAAATTTGCTCTTCCAGCAACTCGGAAGAAAGGTCTAAAACAATGAAGCGAAAATAAATCCTTTAATTCATTCGCTATATCGGCGATGGAAGCGTCTGGTTTCGTTTTCCAATATAAATTCGGCCCCCATCTAGACCTCCGCGGGCTAACACAGCCCTAGACTGCATATAGATTAGCCTCACAATGAAATAGCTGAGCTGACACATATGACACTAAGATAAGAAGATAGCCACCCCTCCAATCGCGCAATAACATGCCACCTTCAATCCCCGAAAACTCAATCCCGGGGCATCCATCCCATCAAACAAAACCATGGCCACTACCTCCACCCCCAGCCAAGAGCTGGTGATCGGCACCCGCAATTCCAAGCTCGCTCTCGTGCAGGCCGAGCGCGTCTCGCAGGACTTGGCGCGGGTGAATCCCGAATTCAAGTTTCCGTGGCGGACGGTGTCCGTGAGCGGCGATGTGGATAAGACGAGTCCGTTTCTGAAATTCGGCGGTCCGTCGGACGCGGCGAAGAATATCTGGACGGAGGAGATGGAGGCGAAGTTGAAGGCTGGAGAGCTGGATTTGCTGGTCCATTGTTTGAAGGATATGCCGACGAAGCTGCCGAGTGGATGCGTGCTTGGGGCGATTGTGCATCGCCAGGATCCGAGTGATGCTTTTGTCGTGAAGGAGTCTTTGCGCGATAAATACACAGATCTGACAGAGTTGCCAGCGGGATCGGTCATTGGAACAAGTTCTACTCGACGGAAGGCTTTGTTGGCGTACAAGTTTCCGCATTTGGTAGTGCAGGAATGTCGTGGGAATCTGTAAGACTTTGTCCTCTCATCTGACGCTTAGCTTAATTGACTGGTATTATAGTGATACCCGCCTTCGCAAGCTCGACGATCCCGAAGGCCCGTTTACAGCCATCATCGTCGCCACGGCTGGCCTTGTCCGCATTGACATGGCGCACCGCATCACGAAACGTCTGTCACCGTCGGACTTCCCCTATGCTGTTGGCCAAGGAGCCCTGGGTATTGAAATCCGTGACGACGATCCGCGGACTCTGTCTATGATCCAACCGATTGAGGATGGCCTCGTCCGCAAGATCTGTCTGGCTGAGCGATCCCTGCTGCGGACTCTGCAAGGCGGATGCTCGTCCCCGGTGGCTGTCTATTGCACTCCTGAAACATTGGAGAGCGCTGCCAGCCCCAGGCTAAGATTGGAAGGAATGATTATTCATCCTCATGGAACCAAGCAGGTCTCCGCTGCGTCGTCCGCGCACGTGGGAGGTGACGAGGATGCCGAAGGACTTGGGGCTGAAGTGGCACGGCTACTTGAGGAGAATGGAGGAAGGGATCTTTTGAGTGAAATTGTCAAGCTTTACCAAGAAGAGCCACAATAATCTATACAACATAAAACCTGTAACATGAAAATTCAAAGAACAAAAACCAGCAACGAAGTCTTTGTGAAACAAAGTCAAAGGGGGGGAAGAAAAAATAAAAACACAGAAACCTGTCAGTCATTACAGATATCTGACTCTTCAAGGGATCTTTTTTTTTTTGAGCGATTTGACGCCGTTGATACAGTAGGCGATAATATCGCCGCATTGTCTATGACTTTCCAAAGCTGGGTGACTATCGCCGGGAATTGGCCGTCATGAGTTCGTTTCCGAGAAGTAACAGACGATACTGAAACAGTCGGGGACAAAACTGCCGCATGCTGAAAGATGCGGCACAGGGTAGTAGTTATATAGGGAAGCTCCCCATGTCGAATTCCATATTGAGTCGATGACCACTTGCTTCATTAGATCAACCAGGCAAAGAAAAAAGCAGGTGAATCTTCTTACTGTCATATCTGGCTCAAGGGTTACAAAGCCTCATTTATCATCAATGCTGGAAATACCATATATGGTGTTATTGCTTCTCTCGACTTCCTTCCGAGAATATATGACCATGGCTAGTAGTACCAATAAGCGAAGTAAGAAAGGATAAACAACCGACAATACTGCGGACTTACCCATATAAGGCAACACCTGGTGAGCGTTGTTAATACCGGGCCTTTTCGCCTCCACTACCAGTAAATATGCTTTTGGGGATAATCTTCAGTATCGTAAGACAAAGCATAGTCGGCGACCCCATACACGAGAATATCTTTCGCATCGAGACGGTTCCAACGGAGCTTCAACGGCGTTTCTAACTGCTAATGCACCCTGTCGTAATCAATCTTTCCATTGAACCGTGGAGCGTGTTATGGCTCGATTCCTCCTCTTGAATGGCGCGAAGCATTAAGCATAAAAACGAATTCACTTTCACGCGTATGACTGCCTCGATTTTCGGAGCCCCGCAAAGCGCATGGTCATAGGCCTTCACAGGGTTATCTATACCCATTAGATAGGCTGTGTCTAGCGTTCAAAGCGGGCTAAACATACTAAGATGCTCTGGGGCATCTTTTAGATCGTCTAGTCCTAGAGCCTAGGACCTGCAGCCTTCGAGGCCCGCACTATTCAGTCTGAAAAACACAGGGACGAGGTCTGGAGTTATGGATGTAACTGCCATCGTAGGCAGTGAGCGAGATTTCGGAAGTAGCACCTTTGTACTATTTCCCAGGGCTTGCTTCATGCCTCTCTTCAAATCCGTCCCGCAAGTCATCAACTAAGACCTTGAAATGGCCTAGGAAGATTGATATAGAGACTTTTAGTCTTGAATTGTATGTGGCTATCAGGTGACTGGTCTGTGCTCGATGGGAGGGATATCATAGGCGACAAGGGAGGTATGCGATCAAGGGCTTCACCTTACCAAAGTCCAGCGAGGCAAATGGGCAATGACCGAGATGCGCCAAGGCAACATAAATCAAGAAAGCACGATCGAGATCTAGGGAACGTGGGTTCTTTACCTAGTGGACTCTGGTGCAACAGCCATCGTCACGAGGCTAGCAGCATGATGAACCATCAAACAGATCATGCCGAAGACGTTTGATGATTCGCCCTTATGCATGAAACAAACAGAGAAGTTAATCTTGAGCAGTTAGTCTATGCCCCCAAAAAGCACCGATAGTGTATCTTACGGTGGAATCGGCATCCAGGCGAATGAATTTCCACTCCTTGCCATCGGTGGCAATCCCCCAGATCGTTGTGTCTGCCCGCCTTTTTACGAGCATGATGGAGCATAGCTAACCACATTAGCAGGTGTACCTCATGAATATCCATAAATTGGCTTACCCATATAACAGATGGCCTGGTAAAACCCGTTGTGGGCGTATGACTTAGCCGCCACCACGACCAAATTGGATTCTTGGCACGTGGGATCTTCTCCATACCAAAGGGAGTAGTCCATCTTTCCAGTCACGTCGGTGAGCTTGCCTTTGTACTTCCAGAGGATGTGCACACGCGTCTCAACCTGCATATGCAGGGAGCGGTACTCTCTGAGAGATTCGAAAGACTCACGGGGTTCGGAGGCTCCGGGATGGGCTCTTTTTCTGGCGGCAAGAGCGGCGATGAAGAGGAGGTCAATTTTGATCCTGGCCAGAGCCTCATTCTTTGGGGAGCCCTTGACTACCAGATTGTAGTCGGCGAGGGATGTGACTATGCTTGTTGGCAAGACAGTCCAAAGCAGTCAAATTTGAACAAGCTTACCGACGTGGGGAGGAAGAGGCTTTTCGTATTGAGGCCGTATCTTCTATGGTCCTCCCGCGAACTGCAGACCGAAAATCGTATCCATCTCACCCAAGTCCATCGCAGTCACGGTCTGGGAAGGAAGACCGTCTTCCTGGCTTTGTTTAGTTGCCAGTTCGAGGGCATCGTGGAGATCTTTGCCATCGTTCTTCGGAAGTCTCTTGGCGAGGGCTTTTAGGGTCTTGGTGAGTTCATCAAACCATGGTAGTCTTGGAGCCATTGTTACCTGGAAGCTTTAGTTTTGTTTCCAGTTAGAAGTTGATGTGGTCGCAGTCCCACGATATAATCCCGTGGCGGGATACGGCAATCTTTTTCACTCCATGTCCTTCATCGAACATTATTCGACCAAACGCGCCACGGAGCCAAGTACTGCACTTGGTCTTCTTCCTTTGCGCCCTGACACTTCTGTCCTCTGTTTGTGCCTCTGCGAGTGGCTTTTCACCTTCGTCTGTCTGAAGGATGTCTAGAAGAAATAAAAGGAGAGTCCAACGTCAACGGTAGAGGCATTGTATAGAAGGAAGAGATAGTTGTAGCCAGGCGGCCCATGGGTAATAGAAGCCAATAGGTGAGTGTTCGGAGAGAGATGAAGACTTCGGGAGAGTCGAAGAGAAAGAAGGGGTCCTGTAGGCGGCGAGGGAAGGCGCGCTGACTGGGTGAATAGCCACCCATTCACTCACACGTCAAGATGTCAAAGTCATGATAATAGTGGTGAGTGAATACGCATGGACAATTTGTTTTGTCTTCTTTTCTACCCTGAAAAGACTTTTACGATGCTCATGGGATATAAATTCCGCCATTGGCGAAAACCGAGCCGCCCGGTCCGGCGGCTGACCATCCCAAACCCTAGTTGCATCTCGTAGCCGCCGACCTTCTTGGCCGTCCCATTCAACCTAACCGTTGAAATATCGTACTTTCAGCATTGAGGCGCAGTAGAATTGCACATTTTGATTGGAGGTTGATCCTAGGCTAAAACAATTTGAACTAATCCCCATGAGACTGTGCCGTTCGGCCACCGGCCCTCCCTCGATGCAGGTGCGGCGCAGTCAACTTGCAGACGTTTCTCTGCCTTGCCGACCTGATAAAAGGGTTACATGACCCCTCACCGATTACAAGGGTCTTCTAACTCCTGCGACAAGATTAAGCCATGAGAGCAGCGCCCGGAGCGGCGACTCTTCAAGAAGTTGGCGCCAGTGGACATCCGGTTCTTCACACTCTGTAGTCCGCGACCGGAATATTGCGGTAAAAAGCCTACCGCCACGACCCAAAAATGGTCTCAAGCAAAATACCCCCAATCCAAGGGAAATCTATTTGCAGAGGAACGATCGAGGAGGTCCTCAAAATCTACAACAATTCCAGTCACCCTCTTACCATATTCAGTCGGAGCTCCGACCGAAGTCGCGAGCGCAATGAAGTACCTTATTATCGGTTTCGCAAGATTTTCTTCACTGGTACGTAGCTCCCTATCCCTATTGGTGTAGAGAGGACAGGTTCAAGACTAAGGCAGCGAGTTCGCGAATCAGACGACACCGAGGTTCTTCAAGGAAACAGGTCCTCGGAAGCACGATGTGTTCGACTCACTGCTTTCATCGCGAAGCAGGATGAAGATCATCCGAATCCATATATCTTCGTCGAGCAGAGTGTGCGCCGAGCTGGACGAGAGCGCATCATGATCTACGAACTTCAATTTGGCGGCAAGGTTATTCCGGATCGAGAATATATTTTCCCAGACTGTGGTGACGAGGATCCTCACCGATATCCAGGACAGCGCGACTTGTTACTGTCCGTTCGATCTGTAAGCTCCCTTTCTTTTATGTTCTTCGAGGTATGCTCATGCCTCGAATAGTTACAGCAAGACATTTTCGACGACTATATACGCCGTGCAACGTACTACGGCTATGACTGGAAGGACTGGGCGTGGGTCAACCAACACGCCCTCAAGCACGGATTGGAATATGAACTTTCCCGACCAAAAATACTGGGTGAATCAACAGTCAAGGTCAGCTTTGATCCGGCTGATCTCCAGGCGCTGGTTGATGCAAAGCGAGCAATGCACTTGGCCACCGGTGGCCAGGCGAGCGATAAGATCGAACTTCTGAAACTGCGCTTCAAGGGCCTAGGTAGTTGCACAGAAGATGGCATTCAGTCGGGTGATTTGGATCTGAGAATTGTATATAAGCCTTATTAGATTACTGGGAGGTCGGAAACTATGATGAGAGAAACTCAGCCAGCATTTGAGTGTTTATGTTAACCTATTAATGGTAGCCAGGCAATATGTTTCCAACGCTGCGCCGCTAATCAAAAGTCCCACTGTTGCTGAAATATTTCAAATTCGAAGGCTCTAGACCAACACCACCTCACTCCACCATCTCATTCACGATGTGATGAATTAAAGATACGATTTCGTGTCGGTTTTCTTCCCAGGCCTGAATCGTACTGTAGGAATACTAAAAGCTGGTTAGCCAATCGGGATCCACGCAGGAATTGTTCAAATAAGGGTTCTAACTGTAGCGTCCGGGTTTATTCTGACGAATGTCCAGGAAATGCCGCGGGTGCACAACCCGTAGATTGTGTTATTTGTGCATCCTGCGCTTATCCTGGAGCTGAATAACATTCCTGACAGAGTTAGCCCGTGGATAAACACTGCTTGGGGGTATTGGTATAGAATACTTACCCATATAGGCCACTAAAGGACAAAGGCCGTCCTCCCATTCTCCGGCCACGAGGATGGGAAATACGCTGTGTGGGTCGTTCTTCTTTCTGATAGAGTAATCCGTGCTCCCATGAACAGTAATACTTCTGTCACGATAGAGGCATGATGTCTCTATGTGGCAATCGGTCCCACCTAACTGTAGATAAAGACATCGGTTTATCATTGGGTCGCTGATCAACGTGAGAAAGATGAGTTCTATGAGGGGTCTAGCGGGCTGTTCAAAAACCCAGGACTTGTATGTTGCAAGGTTGTACATTTTCCAAACCGAGACTAATTTAGTTAGCAAATCATTCGCAATCAACAAGCCCAAAGGCTGGTACTCACTGATATGGTCAATACTTGATGTCTCCACCAAGGTAGGCTCGAACAAGTGAACTTGTTCAGGTTCCATCCTCAAGTTAAAAGCCTCCTCTGCATCCTTTAACCACATTCCCTTGATGGGCCAAATGTTGGACTTCCCTAACGAAACCGACACGAGGTAATCCTTTCCAGTCTTATTACCGAAGCTCCTTTCAACAATGCATCCTGTAGCCTCGGTCACACTCTGACTCCCTAAATCCGAGTTGCCATACACTTTGTACGCTAGATTGTTGGCCTCTTTCGTAATTCTCTGAAGATGATCCAGGATCAAACGCTGTTCCCTTTTCTTGTTCCAATCAAACGACTTAAGAAATAGCTTTAATGTAAAAAGCATGATTAGTTCACATAGACAGACCTGGAATGGACGACTCGTACTTGACCACTAGGAGAAACCCTCATAAAATGCCACTTGTAACTGTCAGTAACGATGCCGTATATCTGTCTTGAGTCCTCGCTGCCGCCTGGCGTAAGGTATGGCCACTATAAATTCGTCACAAAGGCTCTCCAGCATCGTTAGACAAGAGGATAACACCTACGTAGCGCCCCAGTCAGTGTATTCTCCTTACCATCAGACATTGCTTCCATCCTTTGGACAACGAGGTTAGTTTCCAAGTTATCCCTGTCTCCGTACCAAAGTGCATCATCGACTTGGAAACCGTACTGATGTTCCTCGTAATCAAATGAGTGCGACATGGTAACTTGTTGATTGAACTCCAAACGCATTCGGCGTAACTGCTCGGGTAATGACCCATGTCTGGCTCGGTACTTTTCCATCACAGATCCGATTATTGACAGGAGGATAGCATCAACACGGGGATGGATAATTATAAGACTGCTAGGAGGGATATCGAGTCCTAGTCTGTAGCTTTCAAGTTGATCATCTTAGGCGCGGTTAGTAATAGCGACATTGACTAAGCTCTACAACACCCACGAAGATGTGACGGAGGGCGAACTAGTCGCGTAAAGGGACGATTCCAGAGTAGACAGCGTTGCAGCCAACAGGTACCGATGTGATCGAGACTTTTTTCCAAGTCATCGATAGCTAGGTTGACCTTCTCAGATCCAGATTCGGAAGAGCCCATATTGTTTTGCCGCACGTGTTGGGCTAATGGTGATTGAAGGACCCAAATGTAGATGGTAAGAAATGGATTGATTATCGTGTGTTGTTAGTGCAAGGATAAGTGAAGAAATGAGTCCTAAATGAAATGATGGCAGTCTTACGCTGTGTTGAGTCACTGTGACAAAATCATACGCGCGCCGCTATGGAGGCCCAAAGAGCCGCTCGATCGGGAAGGGCGACCCGCAGGATCAAATACAATTACAGATGTCCCTGCGAAGTTTCAGTTTAACCACGAAGACTTCCGGGGCTAGTTTGGATGAGCGAAGGGGAATATACGTGTGCTCTAGGCCCTTCGCTGGTAGGACGAAAAGTCAAAAACTAAATCATCGCGAAGTCCAAGGTCTCGGAATCACCCTCGGAGGGTTCCCACTCAGAGATGTATCAGATAGATTCTTGGATAAACGCACGCGTCATACAAGATATATAATGCTGGTGGTATCAGCTCCTCTCTGGTAATTTCGTTTTTGCTTCATGTCTGCTCACATTTCGACCAAAGCCTCTTTGAAATATTGTTGTTTTCTTTAGTCCTATTGTTACTATTATTTCTATTACTAGGAATTTTCGAACGAACAAATGGTAATTGCTATCGATGTTACGATTTTACTTTTTAGTAGATATATCGTTGTCACCAAGTTCCTAGGCTCTGGTTCCCTCTTCAAGCCTGAATATTAATACCCCAACTCTGGTTGCTCTCTTCCTATTACAATAGGTTTCAACCCATATTTCTGACAAAAAGCCTTTATCAATCACCATATTCCCTGGATGATATATTTATATGTACTGAGTCAATCCGTGAGTTCCTCCTAGCTCACATGGCGTGTTTCATCCAGTTCCACCGAGTTAAATCCACAGCTTTGGCCAATATTTCTCTGTAAAAGCGGCTAATAGCTTAGTGTAGACCCTTGTTTTCTCGGCTAATATCAACGGTGTCTCAAGTGTCATAAACCCGGGCCGAACCAACGTCCTCATTCGTGGCTTGGTGGAGTGCCGATGGAATGGTGTGGAGTGGCAGATCGCAAAGCCCCCCGCGTTTTATATTACCGATATCACTGCTATAAGAGCATGTCACCCAAGAGGCCATCTTTGCTTGTCTATATCATGAAATTGAAACAAGCGCCCCGAGACGTTGCCCTTCCTTCCCCCATTTTCGTTTCTCTCACTGCGCAACATTGTAGATTCCCTTCGCCAACCCGTCGAGTATCTGGATCAATTTCCCCTCAATATACTCACCATGTCGGAAGGCACCCTCTCTATTCCCGTGCGGCAGTTCGATCCGAAAGGTATGCAATATCGCTTTCTTGGCAAAACCGGTCTGAAAGTGTCGGCCTTGTCGTTCGGATCCTGGGTAACGGGTAAGCACTAGCAATACCCCCTCTTTTCCTCTCCCCCACTAACAAACCTCTCCAGTCGGCGGCCAAGTCGGATACGAATCCGCGCGCGATTGCGTCCTCGAAGCATGGAACCACGGCGTCAACTACTTCGACACGGCAGAGGCCTACGCCTCCGGGGAGTGCGAGCGAGTGTTCGGCCAGATTATCAAGGATCTGAACTTCAAGCGAAGCGATTTGGTGATCTCAACGAAATTATTCTGGGGCGGACCGGGCCCTAACGACACCGGGCTCTCGAAAAAGCACCTCGTCGAAGGCATGAAAGCTTCGCTGGATCGACTTGGTCTGGACTATGTGGACATTGTGATGGCTCATCGCCCAGATCCGCTTACTCCGATGGAGGAAATCGTGCGTGGGTTTACGCATATCGTGAACTCCGGACAGGCGTTGTACTGGGGGACGTCGGAGTGGAATGCCCATGATATCGAGCGGGCTCATCATATGGCTGCTGTTCACCATTTGATTCCTTCCTCGTGTGACCAGCCGCAGTATAACGCGTTTTGGAGGGAGAGGGTGGAAAAGGAGTTGCTTGCTGTGATTCGAAACTATGGCTATGGTTTGACGATCTGGTCGCCTTTGGACAACGGCGTGTTGACCGGGAAGTACAACGAGGGGATCCCGTCGGATTCCAGATTTGCGGCGGCGACTGTAACTGGTTCTACCAAGCAAGACATGGTTAACTTCGGCAAGGCTTTGGATACGCCAGAGGGACAATCCAAGTTGAAGCGGGTGCAGGAGTTGAAAAAGGTGGCTGATCAATTGGGCTGTACCACTGCTCAGCTGGCGTTGGCGTGGTGCTTGACTAACGAGAGCGTCTCGACGGTGATCACTGGGGCAAGTCGTCCTCAGCAAGTGGTGGAGAATATGAAGGCTGTGGCTGTTTATACTCAGCTGAAGGAAAACGCCGAGGTTCGAGCAAATATCGAAGGTATCCTTGGGAATACGCCTGTTCAGCCACGCCTCTTTGGACGGTGGGCGTAACTGAAAATTACCCAATTTTTGGTAGTCAGTCCATAGTCAAGCAATAATGGATTCTAAATTCACATTCCATCTGTATGAACAGTATGACATCTGCATGCTTTGAGGGAAGTTGAATAGTTTGTTCCTGCCTCGAATGGAGACCAGTGCAAGTGGCAGGGGTGCATGAATGTGGACCGCGAATCATGCTATTATGCCGCTTATGGGGCCAAGTCGTTTAAAGATGCTCTGAGCTTCGAGTTCGACAATGGTATGAGGGTTATTGCGCCTGAGAGTGCCAAAGGAGCAACGTTCAGTGCCGGGGCGGGGCGACATAGAGAGTTCAAGTTTGAGGCAAAGCTATGACTTCCTCTACTTGACCTCGACCTTACCACATATTTGAGCTCTATTAAGTGAGTAATCGCCATTAGCGTAGTAACCGAGGCTCTTTCAAACACAACTGCATCTTGTTTCCAGTATATATTTACTTTTGCGCCCCGGTAGCAGACATTCTCGGCGTTTGAAACATCTACTCTTGTCTTTATTTCTTCTGAAATTAGTTGCCATCAATCTCGTATCCAAGTGACGTATGAGAGCACATGAGACTGATTTGAGTTATGAACCTAGTCAGATGTATGGAGCGTGGCAAACAAGAAGACAACGGTCGATCTTGAATGGTCTATTGCGGCAACATGGTACAGGAACAGGCGGCTTTCTAGAGCCGAGAGTAAAAGCAGAGGACCTTCCACAGGGCTTTCCTTGACTTTTCAGAATTAAAGGTGCTCGAAGTAACACTCAGCCTGGGAACCGAGGTCAAATAGTCCGATGCTAGCCGCAAATAACCGGTCAGGTGTATACATTTACCCTGGTCCATCTGGCTGAGCTTTGACCAAATTTGGACGTTCCTGCAAGGGTCAATATTTCACCCCTGAAACGAGGGACTGAATGTTTCTGGCTCTGTATTACCTGAGGAGAGAGACTATACCGGAACCTGGGCATTTCACCAAGCCATGACGTAGGGCGTACGTGGAGTACTGAGGATAGAACCGGTTATCGACACAGATGGGCACCATGTGGTCTTCCTTTATTTAGTAGGTAAGTGGTGCCGGTTGATTATGATATCAAACGTATTACTTGCAGCCTTCTACTTTCTTTTGTAGGTGGCAAATATTTACCGATTACTATATCAGGGTGTTACACAATTTCTAAGCCATAGGAAGAAAATGATATTTCCTAGGAGGAACTCAATAACAGTCCAAATGACCCTGAACCGCCCCTCAAAACCTTGAAATAATGCCAAGCGAGCCTAAGCTTAACCAAATAGCATCTGAAGGAATCCATAAGAACCCCTGATATACAATGGCCTATAAAAATGATAGAATTCTGCCCAGTTATACAATGTACAACCATCAACCACTACCAAGATTAACGTCACTTCTTTAACTATACCTCCAATATGCACATCGGCTTCATTGGCCTCGGCATTATGGGCGTTCCCATGGCGCTCAACCTGTCCAGAAAATACCCCCTCACGGTGTGGAATCGCAGCCCGTCAAAATACAGCCTCTTAGAGCAAGCAGGTGCCAGTATCGCAGAAACGCCAGCCCAGGTGATGAAAAGATCTGATATAATCTTTGTTATGCTATTTGACAGTACCGCTATCAAATGCATTCTTGACGACGAGTTTAAACGAAGCCTCCGCGGCAAGATTCTCGTGAACGCCAGCTCCGTGGAAGTCGAATTCAGCTACTTTCTCGCAGACGAGGTACGCCGCGCAGGAGGGGACTTTATCGAAATGCCCGTAAGCGGAAGCACGATACCTGCTGAACAAGGCCGTCTGGTCGGATTGATGGCTGGAGATGAAGCTGTTGCCGAACGAATCCGCCTCGTCGTGCAGCCAATTACCTGCGCGGCTGTCTACTGCGGACCAGTTGGGTTTGGCCTGAAGACAAAGTATGCAGTGAATTCGTACCTGGTTACGATGAATGCCGGACTCGCGGAGTCAATGAATTTTGCAAAGGCACAGGGGCTGGATTTGAGTGCTTTTGGTCAGGCTTTGGCAGCTTGTCCATTGGCTTCACCGTACTCAAAAGTGAAAGTGAAAAAGATGTTGGCGGGAGACTGGTCGGCCCAGGCTCCTATCAGCGGCATCTATACTAGTATCCAGCTGATTGAGGCTGCTGTGGCAGGGGCAAATACGCATTCTCCGGTTCTGCATATTTGCAGTAAGCTATACCAAGAGGCTAATCGATCTGGACTCGGCGAGGAGGATATGATTGCAGTGGCTAAGGTCATCGAGAATTTGTGATTTTTCATGTCTCACTCAAAGACTTGTGGAATATCTTTGGGCTTAAAGTTAGCTCAATAAGTATACTTCTCTTGTTACATCAGACATTGGCTACGTCACCCGAGCCAGTGTAGATTCTTGAATGGTATTCAACTCCTCTCCTTTGACCCACGGATGTTAGGGCTTTAGCATCACATGGGCAGATGCGCTTGGATTGTCGGCCTGAGGTATCCCGTTATTCAAGATAGTAGCTGGATCAAAAGAATTGAATTTACATGTATAGCAAAAGGAGATATGTCTTATATACATAGCATACATACGCACACATTCAAGCATTCATACCACTAACACCCTGTTACTCAATGATCATAACATCTAAACCTTAAAGCACCAACTCCCAACACTCCCCGACCAATCCCTCACCCAATGTACCATCCTCCTCCGAAGCAACCAGCCTATACCCAGCCCTTTCATACTGCCGCCTTGCAGACAGCAGAACACTTTGCGTCCATAGCGTAATCCGCGAATACCCGACTTCCTTTGCGAATCTCGTACATTGATCAATCAACACAGCACCAAGCCCAAGACCGCGCGCAGCAGGCTCGACAAGAAGGACTCGTAGTTTGGCCGCATTGTCTTTGGCGGCTTTATCCTTGACCAGCATGATGCAGCCGAGGAATTCACCGTCGCGCTCCGCAATCCAGCATCGTTCTTTCTCAGGATCGTGTTGGTCGAGAAAGTCGGCTGTGATTCTGCCGACGATGGGTTCTATGGCCTGACCCCATCCGTATTCTTTTTCGTAGAGGACTCCGTGGCGGTGAGTGATCCAGCCCATGTCGCCCGGGCGATGAGATCGGAGCGTGTATGACCCAGATGGGGTGGTGGATGTTGATCCCATTGTGGCTGGGTGTTGTGTTTGTAGGTTGATGATACCTGATAAAACACAATTGCGTTAGAGGGGCTTTTCGGGCTGGTGGATCGGATCTCATTATTTGATCCGCATTCATATACTAAGTCTTTCTAGTTGAGTAGTATCTTCTGGAACCCTTAGGAGCATAATCAGATGAGTCACCCGTTTCATTAGTGGGGCATTCTCGGGCAATACGAAGCCTAGGCCTTGTGTATGGAACCATTCGTGGCGATAGCATTGCAGTGTAATAAGATTCTGCAGGAGCATACAATTTGAAGTTACCACGCCTCCGTTCCTTTAAAGTACAGGGTTCCTTCAAGGTCCGGAACTGTCCTCATAGAACAAGAATTCATCAAGACCTTTCCCAGCTGGCACCATTGGCAATGTCAGCGCCTTTTTCGTCACCATGACTTCCAACACCGCAGGTCCACGACTATTCAGCAGCCAATTCAACTTGTTCCTTACATCAGCTGGGTCTAAGCATTTTTCAGCCTGGACGCCCATCGCTCGAGCCGTCTTCACAAAGTCCGGGTTTATATTGTGACTGTGTGCAAAGCGACGCTCATAGTGGAGTGTCTGGATGTTGGTCACCATGCCTTGCTCCTCGTTATTCAGAATGATCGCTTTCACGTCGATATTGGATTGCCTGGCCGTTAGGAGCTCGCTTAGAGTCATACTGAAAGACGCATCGCCGTCGATGTCGATTACCAGCGCGTCTGGACGCCCGACCTTCGCGCCAATGGCAGCAGGTAGTCCAAACCCCATGGTGCCTAGTCCTCCGGACGTGACCAAAGTTCGAGGATATCTCCAGCGAAAGTGCTGGGCTGTCCACATCTGATGCTGGCCCACACCCGTGGTAATGATGGTGCGGTTTTTAATTGGATCGAGCAAGTCGTTCAGCTCCTCGATGACCTTCTGGGGCTTGATGAGGCCGCTCTTTGCTCGTCCCTGTTCGAACGCCTGGAATGGGTACTTCGCCTTCCATTCGCTTATTTGCGCGTGCCATTCTGGTCTTTGAGCTTGCTGGATGTGCGGGAGTAGGACTTCGAGGTTCTCAGCGCAGTCACCCTCCACCGCGATCGTGGCCTCGACCACTTTATTGATGTTCTTCGGCGAGATATCGAAATGAATGATTCCGCCACGACCCTGCTGCTCGGCTCGTCGTGCCTCGGGTGCAAACTTGGGAATGCTACCTGTGACTCGGTCATCAAAACGCGCACCTAGGCAGATAATCAAGTCGGCGTGCTGCATGGCCATATTTGCATAGCCCGAACCATGCAATCCGAGCAGGTGTAGAGACTTCGGGTCAGTCTCGTCGAATGCCCCTAGTCCCTGGAGACTTGTGGTGACAGGAATAGATGCTTTGTCGGACAGCTCTTTAAGTAGCTTCGGTCCGTCGGGAGATCCCAGCACACCGTATCCTACGTAAAGAACAGGTTTCTTGGCCACGTTGATGAGGTTTCCCGCGCGCTGAATAGTGTCCATGATTTGTTTCTGCCGAACCTCACGGAATGTATCTTCTACGCGACTTGAGGCAGCCACGCTCATGGTGCTGATCGGCAGAGCCTTCTCCAATTTTCCGGTGGATATATCCAACGGGAGCTCGATCAACACCGGCCCCGGACGACCACTCGTCGCGATGTTGAACGCCTCGGTGATCCGGCGCGGTAACTCAGAAACATCTCTCACGCTGACATTCCATTTCGTGCATGGCTGTGTTATCGCGAGAATATTGGCTTGCTGCTCTGAGCTCTCTAGATGTGCTGGCACCTGTCCGCAAAATACAACCATGGGTGTGCCGTCCGCAAGCGCATCCATCAGCGGCGTAACCATATTCGTAGCCCCGTATCCGTTTGTCACGACCGCGATTCCGGGCTTCCCTGTCACCCGGGCATATCCCTGGGCCATATGTCCAGCTCCCTGTTCATGTTGTGGGGTGATGCGCTTGAGTTGGTTCGATGCGTCTAGGACGTTGAGGACGGGGATGATCGTTTCACCGGGGTAGCCAACTAGGTTGGCCCGACATTTGTCAGTATTTTAGCTTCATTGGGATAAAGCAAAGAGGTAGGGAATATTTATGAACTAACAGAAATCCTTCACGCCATGCTTAATGAGCATTCGTTGAATAATCTCTCCGCCCGTCAAACCCACAAATCTAGACCATCATGGTGGGCGGTTAGTATCTCGCGCAAGGAAGTAGCGAAGGAGCACTAACGAGTCGTCTAACTCAATCTTTGTTGGTCTTAACCTCTTTGCAGTAGTCCAGGATGTTTGCGACGTGTACGAAAGTGGTACGATTCTGTGTTTCGTTCTATCGGGGAGGTCAGTAGACGCCGTGGGACAGAACTGTTGTAACCAACATCTTCATCGCCTGTTCTCGCTCTGCACTGGGAGATGGCAAGATAGAGGGCTCGATGACATCCTGATAATTTGGACTAGTGACAGTCTGTGACTGAAGAGATCGTACAGCTGCGCGCTGGCAGACGGGGCGTGCCCTGGTCGCAATAAGTCGGAGCATACCGGACTTCGCAACAGTTTTGCCTTCAACTAAGCCAAATAGAATTAAAAAGAAAAAAGACTTGAAGCAAACGAATCGCTTTAAAGCGACTTCGATGAATGGATTGTACCCAAGTAGATGTCTCCGACCCCGGAGTCAAGGCGTAGGTTGGTCTAGAGCATTATATTTGCTGGCGCTTGACTGGATGACTCACTGACTGTCCATGAAACAAAGCCCCGATCTCGGGAATACCCCCAGGTCTCTGTGGGCGCTAAACATCAGACCAGGGACTTGGCTACGAGATGTCCCCTATCGATGCCAGTGGACTAGCCATTGGACGCAAGAACATCGGTGACTCACTGGTCTGATTTAGGTACTTATTTATATTGCACGGCATGGGAAATTTTGAGTATCCACGATACAAAGACTCCAAGGCCCAATGTTATTACTTACTCTTTTACCGAGCAAAAGGCAGACTAGAACACTTTCGCAGACAAATGTGTTTCATCCCCGGATCGCTCTTGTTGTAGCAGGGAGCAACCGGAAAAGGGTTTATAACCACCCTCCACACCATGTTGCCACACACCAGGAGTCCAAGATATGTGAAGCCCTAGCCCAATTGGGTATGTTGATGCCTTATTAGGAGAATTGGTGCCTTATATTATCGACCATCATGTGGCATTTCACGATTCTTCTACACTTGTTGTATCCTGTTGTTGTTTGAGGATTTCTTTTGATTCTTCTTCTTTTTATTTGTCTCTCTATTCTGACTGAGGCTCTTCATTCACCTACATTTCATAGTAAATGGAAAGGAAAGGGTGTGAAATGCCCTTCGGATATCCTGACGTCGGCTAAGGGTCCGCTCCAATAGATATAGTAAGGATCATCATAATTAAATCATTTGGTTACAATTCTGGTGTACCACATTCTCATCCGGATGTTTCCTTGAACCAGCACTACGCCTTTTGTTTGTAGCCCCAAAAGCAATCATCCCAATTCAATTCGAGTTGGATCCCGTGGGGTTTGCTCAATTCTATCGAAACGCCGCCCTAGTCGCAGAATTAGACACATTCGTTATACTTTTATCCATTGATACATCAAGGACTCATCCAGGAACAGATTATTACGATCCCCTAGGAATGATCGACAACAGAGATTAGGCCCCTTGTAAGCGACTCAAACGCTTAATCCACTCTGAAGGTAATACCGATAGCGGACGTCTTTCAAAATGGCATTTTTGAGTATTCTTGAGCATGCTTGACCTGCAAAATCTGCAAGGGCAAGGCAGGGAGCACAAACTCTATTTAGAACCTAAACATGAGAGAGCGCGGATGATTTGCCTTGCATGGCACTTTATTTGTGATTGAGCTCGGCGGTCACGGCTGTGCAACACTGGAATCACATATAGAGCGTGAATTGCGTTTTCTTGAGGGTTTAATATTTGGTTGCGAAGAGATAGTCGTTTTAACCGAACACCGAGTATCTAAAACGGAAATGTCGAATGTTTGCTGGTCGCAGTTCGTGTTCCCAAATTCCGACCTAATGAACTGTGCATATTCGGTTCGAGAAATCGATGGTTCAGGGAATGCCGACAAATACATGCATTTAGCTTGTCCGGAAACACTGGTAACGCTTCTTATTGGATAGGTATCAGTAGGACAGTTACATTAGAGCAAATTTGACAGGGTTAAAGAAAGGTACCCCGTGCAGCTATAACCCAATGCACCGATTGATGCAAGGGGGTCTAAGCTTCAGGCCCTTGTTTCCATTGCCACAACAAATAATGTACCTAACAAAGCAGGCATACGCCATGTTACTATTAACTGAAAAATATAAAGCTGCGGCCATTCCAGTTTCAAGCCCTGTTCAGAGACATTTATTCTCAAACCAAATCACATTCCCAATATCCACACCTCACCCAACATCCAAAATGAAGTTCACCCTTTTCTCCCTCCTCGCAGCTGCCTCCTTCGTGGCTTCCCAGGAGCTTCCTACCTGCGAGGCTGGAACCTTGAAGTGCTGTCGCGATGTGGTGCAGTACTCCGAGCTGCCCTCGTACGTGCTGGAATACTATGGCATTGACCCCGAGCTGAACGACGCCAATGCTTGCTCCGACGGTGAGTTTCACCTTTTTTCCCACATCCATAACTTCTTTGTTGCTAGAGCTTCCCCGTTTTCCTGTAACTAATCAATCCTTTCTGACAGGAATTGATCTCGTCGACGAATTCGATGTCGCCCGCTGCAATGCCAACGGCGAGTCTTTGCAATGCTGTGGCGCTTTCGTCTCTGCTCGGCCTCCGGTAAGCTATTTTTCAATCTAACCTACTGAGATCGGATTCCTAACAATGCTTCACTTCCACAGCTCGGCGACGACTCTATCACTCTCAATTGTGAGGACGTTTTCCAGTACTAGACAGAGGCATTCATCATGGGGTCTTTGCATTCCAATTGGTATTCAACTGAGTTGAATGGAAAAGGGGCCATCTGGAGGTGGCCTTATAGAAGTTCCACAACATATGGTCTCTACACCAGAAGACACTGTGACCTTTAACATCCATAGTCTTAATACAAGAACCATTTACTTTACAATACATCGATGCTCTGGTGTCAAATGGCATTCACGCGGACCTGTGATGAAGCAGATCCAATTGATATGATCGAACGCAGGAAAGGAAGGTTTTATTGACTGACAAATTATTAGGGCAGGCAGCAGCCCAAACTATTAAACGAAGACCCAGACCACGCCAATGATAGCAGTGATCTCTGCCGATATCGCTGCGAGTCTCAATCGTACGTTGCTCTTCATGCTCATGGGATATGTGAGCAGAGTATTGTTCCTCACTTCTACGGAATGTTTGAAAACTTTAATCCTGGCCTACTTGGGGAATATGGTCCATATTTTGAAGAGGACAAGGGGTTCTCAAGCGCACTGCTGTTGGAGTATCTTCCACACGCGATTGGCTTCCGAGATGCAGATCTTTCGCCCGACATGATCAGTACAGCAACCCGTAACTTGGACATAATTCATAGTGCTGGTGTTATTCACAACGATACATATCCCAGGCAGGTTCTCACTATTCCTGGAGAGTATCCTCAACGGGTGATTTGGATAGATTTTGATGTGTCAATCATGTTTCCGGCGGAGCGGAAACGGGGCTGTCTTGATTTTCATCAGGAAGTTTACTTCGACGGAGAGCTTTTTCAAAGCAGTGTTCACAGGATGTTACTAGAGGGCTCTAGCCGATCGCCTGGAGCCACTAGGACCTGACCTTCCAGTCTATAAGACATACATGAAAACCAAACGTTCCCGAATTTGATCCTATATCGCGACTTGAAATGCCAGATAACCTGAATTTGCAACCTGAATTGGCAGATATTTAAACGAGATTGACGGACCATTCAAGAACCCCTAAGCCATCAAGATGACTCAATTTGGCTGCGACGCACGGAGCTTCGATTTGATCAGTTCCATCGTTCGTGGAATCTCAGATCGATTGCTTTCTGCCAATACTCCCATCTCCTTTTCGATAAACCTTTGAGCAGATACACTATTCACACCTACCCCTGTGATTACAGAAACTTCCATCCCAATTTGACCAAGAAGCTCCTTGGCTCCCCAAGCCGCGACAAAGTCCGACACAGCAACGATGAGAGCAAGCATATGCCTCTGGATTGCTTCACAAGTCAAGACGTCCTTTACGTGATATCCACCAAGGATTCCGTCCCCAAACTCCACGATGATTACATCTGGATTGCTCTGACTAGCTGCCAAGAGGAGTCGCAAGGCTGAGGAAATCACCTCATCCACATCACCGCAGGTTGAAGGAATTCCAGCATCGACGATCCCAAACACCGGATCTGCGCCTTCTTGTCGCAGCCTAGGCTTATCCCGCGGAGAACCCGAACCAGTGACTTTACAAGCCGCGACACGCAGACCTTTAGCGGTCAACTGACGGACCAATTGGCAGACCATTCCTGTTTTTCCCACTTCCATGCACGTACCCGCCACCCCGATGAGCGGCGCCAAACGAGGCACCTCGTCGCCAGGCGGTAGAGGCGGAACAGTCGCCTTCATCATGAACGGTTGTCCGTCAGTGCCAGGGATCGTCCCCAGGACTGTCAGCGTTGGCGGATAGCCGTAGTCTTCGTTAACGCCCTCCAGAACTCCGCCAAATCCGCTCTCGCCTAATAGCTCGATCGTATCCCCGGGGAACAGTTTGGTCGGTACGTCGCCGCTGCATCCGTGGGTGGCACATCGCTTGCCCAGGATGACAGGGAAGATATCGTTTTCAGAGATGGTGGTGAAGTCTCCGGGATTCGGGCCCTCCAGGACGTTCATCCGGTCTTTCGTGGTTTTTACGCGACATAATACAATTAGACCTTGGACTGGATTGATTTGCTCATCAACGGTGACAAGAGAAGGGATGTTGTAGCCAACGAGTAACGTGGGTATCTTGGTGATATTGTATTGCATTGCTGAGCTTTGGTTCGATGACTTGGGTAATTGAAGAACGCAAAGCTGAGAACTGGGGGGTAGGGATTTCAACAGTTACTTGATAAATTCATCATCCTCAGCACGATGTACACGTGTTTGATTATGTTTGTATCGTGTCACACGGGTTGTTTGCGACCAGTGCAATGTGTCTCTCGTACATAATGTCCACGCGGCAAGCATATGTTTGATGCTATAAATAACACTAGTCTTTACGGGCAAAGTGCGGTCAAGGAATATCCTAGATAAAATATGGGTTAATTCCAACACGCTAGACCTTTTCATTCCATACGGTAAGCCATACTCCGCCCTGTGCAGCGATAAGCTTGCCGCTCTAGGAGGATTGGAACGAGGTTGGTTTTCCTGCCCAGGACAAGCAAAAGCTCACCTTTTCCAATGCCAGGCCGAAGAACTACCAAAGAAGCGCCCGAGGGGCGGGGTCAGAATTCAAGCAATCAGACATGTCAGGGAACCCGGGAACTACTCCGACTAGTCGGAGTACAAGCATGCTCTGTAGCGCCAAGACGCTGCTGGACCTAGTTTCTGGCTTAGTACCAACCAAGGGGATGATTGATGGATTCTCCTAGAAGAATCAAGGTAGGTGTTATGGATCAATTTCCCGCAATTCCTACTGCTTCCAAATTAGAATTAGCAAGAACGTGCAGATCATGACATCATCAGATGTGCAAGCAATCGATCCAGATCGATCGCGCCTGATAGGAAAGATACTCCGATCCCGAACCAAAATGGAGGAACGGACTTTCTTTTTTGCAGCGAGGATCAGCACCTGCAGCAACTTAACAATCGCCCGTCAGCTGAAGAACTTTGCACAAGTGATAGCCTAGTTTTTCAGTAGTCATAGTGTTCAATGTTATATATCTTCTCGACATGGACCGAGCTGTGGGGTTGGCAATATATATGTGAACGGTTCGATATATATCATGACCACATCAGCGCCGGATGGGACTGACAGGCTTCAGGTAGGTGGTAATTAGTCGTGAAAAGCTGATCTTCTGCACACATCATGGCTTCACTTCGAATTACAGCATTTAAAATAGGATACTAAACAAGATATTGGAGAAGTGAGCATTAGGCTGAATCGGTCAAGAGGAAAGAGTCGAAGGAAGAAAGGAGGAGTCCGCGAGTCGATGACTTAGCAACCCCTGAGGGACTTGGAAGACTCAACTTGTGGTTCAGAATTTGTCAAGGGAAAGTCAATTTGTCAAAAGAGTCTGACACTGGCAGAGTGGACAAGATTGGCCGGGGAGTTACCCTCCGCCCGAACCGGCCAGTCTCGATTCCCTAGATAGTAGGGATCTCGGGAAATTCACGCTTCATATGCAAACCATTTTTTGTCCTTACTTCGTAGTTCGTGAAAGAAAAAGGCAAAGTCTGGTTGATTGGCGGGCGAGGGTCTTCGGTAATCCTCCAAGACTCCGAGAGACCCTGTTGGCGTTATGGACAGTGGTTGGTTGGTGCTTGTAGATCTTCCCCAAACGTGGGGCTGGCACTTGAATCTCACTCGTGCTGTTGGCTTGTTTCTTGGGACTTGGAAAACCCGATCCCCACTAGATCTCTGAACTTCCGAGAATGCTTGTACCGGCAAGGCAGGTTGGACCCGGGTACCTGGTACTAGCCCTGGAGACAAGACTACTACGGAGCACTAGTTTGTCGACGGTTCCCCTGCTATTCCCCGCTCTTTTCTGTTAACTTCAATAGATGGTACTGCTAAAACAATTGTAAGACGACAGACCATAGTCAAATTTTGCATGGGGTGATAATTTTAGAATGATATGCAGGGGTTGCTAAATGATCTTTTCAGGATGACTCGCTCGGTACACCATTGATCATGCCGATCTGGAAAGTGTGTCTGTTTTTCAGGAGACGGTTCCAGACCGTGGAAGGAGTTTGTCATGGTGTCCACTACGTGAGCCGATCCCTCGATCAGATTGATCGGCATCAGGACTTGCGTGCTCCACTGAACAATCTTTGCCGCCAGAATGTCTACCATTTACCAGCCAATTCAAGTACGGCCGACGCCCGCTGTCTTCGAGATCGATCGCCTTTGCCCACCTACCACTGTCACTCCTTATCTCTAGCATAACAACCATGGCCGACATGGCAGCCGTGCCAGGCCTCACAGTGTACAACCTTCCCACGTCGCCTCCTAATTGGGATCGCGTGGGGGTCTTCTACATAGCATTCTGCTCTGTATGGACCGCTCTTTTACTTGCCGGGATGGTGTTCTGCTTGTTTAACCGCCGTGTCCCAATGCTCAGGGTCCGCGGCCTGCCGCTTTCATTCTCTGCTATCGCGCTTCTCCATGTCTACTGGATTCTCGGCCAGATCACCTATCCGATTGGCGCGACGATGCCGACTGTCCTTGCCTACGATATTCAGTATTTTGGCATGGGTATTTACTTTCCGCTAGGAATCGCCCTGTTCCATGCCTCCAACCTTCGCTTTCTTCACGTCGCAAAGCTCCAGCGACAGCAGTTTGCTCATCCCGAACTTCGAGCCGGAAGACGATGCAATGGCTCCGACACTTCGTGGCTGTGTCGACTACGAAATATGGATTACATGAAAAGAGCCTTCCTTTTTATCGGTATTGGAATGGTCTTGCAGGTGTGTAGAGCGACTCTCGACTAAAAGTTGGCTTTCCGGAAGCTGATACCCATGGTACTAGTTCATCCTCTCCGTCTGCATGTGGCTGGCTTGCGCCAAGTATCATCCGACCTACGGTATTCCCGGAACCGAGTTGAAGGGCTCGACAGTCCCTGAGCAGATCTTGGACCTGGGCCGAGGATGGGAATGGTGGCCATCCATGTTGTGGCAAGTCATCTGGACTTGGATCGTAAGTTCCAGAATTATAACAATCAGATGCATCTGCTTACATCGATCGTCCGGTTAGGCCGCTCCATTGCTCATCTGGAAAGCCTGGGGAATCCGCGATACGATGGGCTGGCGGACTCAGACAATCGCCTGCTGCGTCTCGAGGTATGTGAGCCATCTAGGGTTGCGAAAGTCCCGTCACTAACACTCTCCTCAGTCTCCATGCGACCCCGATGTTCCTGATCGCATCGTACGTTCCTGCCTTTCAGAAGGTGAATGTTTACTTCACGCCGAGTCAATGGTAAGAATAGATTTGGCGAATAAAAGGTATCGATTGGCTAACCTGGTCTAGGATCCATGTGTCGATCATGATGTTCGAGATCTTCACTGTATTCGTTCCAATCTTCGAAGTCATCAAGCTCTGGGTCATGAGCTGGAGGACAAACGATTTGATGACCAAGTTGAACTCGGGATCTTCATCAACCTTGTTCGGAGGATCCCTGTCTCTAGACAACAAGAGCCCAATGTCGTCTAGCTTCGCCGAAAAAGGGAAGGCAGTTGAGGTTGTAAACGAAGGCAGTAATGACCGAACATATACAATGGAAGCTCTTGAGGCCGCCCTCGCAACGAAACCCGAAGAACTCCAAGAGTTCGCAGCACTTAGCGACTTCTCCGGCGAAAACATCGCCTTCCTCAGCGAAATGGCCAAATGGAAATCGGCCTGGCCCAAGAGACTCGACATCGAAAACGAGCAGCAGGTAATCGGTGCATTCAACCAGGCGCTGCGCATCTACGCCGGTTTCATCAGCACCCAAGACGCCAAGTTTCCGCTTAACATCTCGTCGCACAGTCTCAAGCACATGGAATCTGTCTTCGAGAAGCCCGCTCGCATCCTGTTTGGCGAGAAGATCGTCAACCATACATCGCCGTTCGATGTTGACCCGTTCGCCTCATCGTCTAATACGATTCTTGACATTCAGGCGAACTATACGGGAGTAATCCCCGCTGGCTTCGACATGGCCATCTTTGACAGTATCCAAGACCACGTCAAATACTTGGTTTTGACCAACACCTGGCCGAAGTTTGTTCAGGCGATGAGCCGCCGCTCTGAAGACACGGAGTACAGCGCCTATTCAGCAGAATCGGAGACATCATTGTCGAGCTGGATTTCGGATACGCGAAGGAAGCTGAAATCATTCCTTTGAAGGCATCCATTCTATGAAGTATTATGGGCATGTGGTATGCTGGAACGGTGTTATGCCTTTGGTATATTACTATCATTTAACCTTCTCTGTAGATATTCTCAGGGGTCACGTTCTTTTAATTTCACTTATGTGTTAATATGTCATTGGCCTCTCAAGGTTGGTACCCGATAAGGGAAAGAAGGGCTTGAAGAACTGGAATACCGCCGAAGCCAGACCCACAGTCAAACGCGTTGAGACTGATCTATGTCGGTTATGCCGTTCGACAGCGCAGCGACGACTCAGTATTATGCAACACCTGTGAGCATTGATGAATCACAGTAAATTGACTACTCGCTAGGAGATATTCCAATATCCTCATATGAATCTCTTATTATTCACTATCGGAATTTGATAGCCTTCGTTCTAAGAAGAAGGTTGTGAAACCAGGTCTCAATTGTACCGAAAGGCCTGAGCGGCCCCTTAAAGTAATGATAACCAAGCACGTCCATAAACATTATTTGTCGGATGCGCAGTGCTTCGAGCACATAGACTTTGGTCACTTGAGTAGGAGAATTGATCTGGTGCTGCTGGTAAAAGTTCAATTCCACCATGTAGTTTTAATTTGGCTCAGAAGGTAGTTGTCATCGAGTCATCGACGTTCGCATTTGGTGGACCCGAAAGAGACCACACCTTCTTCGTCTAGATCGAGTAAGCAACATTGTTTTGTTATTTTGATAGCAATTGCCCACCTTAACCAATTGCTGAGCTCCAATCCCTGTTTTTACCGAACAGCCAGCCCGACGTGTAAGCAGCTTCCATGGGTATACGGTTCCAAGCCACGGTAACATCAAGCCATTGATACCTACAACGGTCCGCACGGATCAATTATCACAGGCTATATAGACAATGAGCAGTCCGAGCCAGACGGTCGGTCAAGAACCGAAAGAACACACACCATGTCAAGAGGGAAGCTTGCTTCTGTCGCTGCCCTCGGCGCCGCCGCAGGAGCAGCATCGAGCCTGCTGTACACCAAAGCTCAAGAACAAGATCGTTTCCCTCCTGACACGATTTCCGTCTCCAGTCCTATCATAGAAACAAAAAACCTCTCCTTCCCGAGCCCCATCTCCATCTTCAAAGAAAAAGAAATCACATCAGGCCCCGCCAACCCAGCCGGGATTTTGAAATACGGCTTCCCCGGTCCGATTTCCGACGAGTTGAAATCCCTCTCCCTCTACGGGGGCTACGATCGTCGAACACGCAACCCCTCCTGGGTCGCCGAGCATATCACCACCGAATCAGTCGCCAAGAGCATCGCGTCACGCAAGAACTACTTCCGCGAAGACCCAGACATCCCGGCCTTCTTTCGCGCCAAAGTAGCCGACTACGCCGGCTCCGGATATGATCGCGGGCACCAGGTTCCTGCGGCCAACGCGAACTGGTCCCAGGAAGCAATGGACGATACGTTCAAGATGAGCAATATGTGTCCGCAGGTGGGGATCGGGTTTAACCAGCATTACTGGGCGCGTGTCGAGAAATTTACTCGGAATCTGACGACTCGATATCCGTCCGTCCGTGTCGTGACCGGTCCCCTGTACCTCCCGCACCGAGACAGTGATAGCAAGTGGCGGGTTAGCTATGAGGTGATTGGGGATCCGCCTAACGTGGCTGTTCCGACTCATTTCTACAAGGTGGTTTTCGGGGAGGAAGAGGATAATGGAGATGGACTTGGTGGGCAGGTTGCTATTGCAGCATTCGTGCTTCCGAATGCCCCGATTGATAAGGATAAGGATCTAAGTGAGTTTGAGGTGGAGTTGGAAGCAGTTGAGCGAGGAAGTGGACTAGAATTTGCTCGGAAGCTGGATGCTAAGCAGCGGAAGAAGCTCTGCGAGGAGGTGAAGTGTGATGTTCGTATTCAGGATTTTGCACGTCAGAGTAAACTATGATTATAGGGTGCCTTGATGGTGTTATGAATATTCTTTCAGCATGATCACAAAGTCATACGCCATAGAGGCGCTTTAAGGCTGTTTAGGTTGATATAGTTCCTGGTTGACAGTTTAGGGATGCTGCGGTTTCTGGACCGTAATAAATTGGTCGGGTCGCTTGACGCCAATACAAAGGGACAGAAAATATTTACAATGTCAATATAGAGAATACATAGCGATCACAATTGAAAGTCTAGGGCTTGTAGGAGAAGTGTTTAACGCTTAGTAAATCAGATATTTCATTCTAGCCTTCGAGACGCGTGTTCAGCTGATATCATTCAGACCAAGATGAATTCTGGACATCAAGACGGATAGCCCTGATGATGAAGATATCATGGTCGCGATCATCCTCCGTAATAAGAACATCGAATTCCTTTGACCTCAAGAACTGCTCGATTTCAGCTGGAGCTTCAGGATCTTTGGAGAAGACCTTGATTTCGACACGGCGCAGCATATCCCAGTGCTCATCATCCACGCCACGCAAGATGTCAATCTCCCCGTCGACGTTCATTTTCAGCAGGTCAATCCGGGTGATGCTGGGGTCGTTGTGCAAGAAGTGAGACAGGCGTTGAACAGGGACGTCTACCTCAGAAACATTTTCATCCCGGTGGTCGCATGTCTGTCTAGCAGCTCCTGCACCCATTAGGTCACACAGTTCCTCCCACGTCTTCTCGTACAAGGTCGAGTAATACGGGGCCAGCTTGAAGTGCGTGAGTGTCTGGGTCCCTTCTTCGGAGCCCAAGGCGACGTTGTGCACTTCCACATCAGAATGGAAGTGAAAGTCCAGGTTCTTAGACAGAGTCTCGAAGGTCTGGGGCGCAGGCTCGAATGCGAGGATCCTTGCGTGCGGGTATTTGTTCTTGATATACAACGTGAACATCCCGATATGTGCCCCGATGTCGATAACGGTAGGGACAAATCCGAGGTCACGGGAATGGTAGAGTCCCATTCCGAAAACTTTGTTGTAGACATCTTCTGCTTCCATGATGTTGTGGGCGTAGGCGGCGATATCCCCAAACTGCGCAGGTGGAGGGGCCATGATGGTGAGAAGAGGACGTCTGTCAGATGTTGGGGAATATGTGATTTAACACTTAGGGGATAGAGCAACAAGGTATAGCGTAACCGCACACGGTGTCAGCTCGGTCTGCTTGGAATGCGTGTCGGACTTTGTCACAACTTGGTTTAGTAGTCTAGCAGATAGTCAAGAGCTCGATTTCGTTTTCTGGTATATGGAGAGAACAGCGAGAAGGGACGGATTATCGACTCTATTTATAGGAAGAGCCATGGTCTTTGGGTGAAATTTGACTGTCCACTATTGTTTGAGTATATATGGAAGCTGCCAAAAAGACCCTGTAGATTCAATGAAGGTAGTAGTCTTTCGCTGAACACCCCTGGATCAGTTCTTTGACGGATTCTGCTCTCGAATCCTGGCAACAGAGATATCTACCCGATCTATCTTGAAGCGTTATTTATCTGATTATTGTTAGTTTTAGCCAACAAAGCAACGCGAGGGAAGCCCTGTTTTGATTGGAGGATTGACATTATAAAACAAAGCCGTGCTATTCCATGAGCCATATTAATTCGTGTTTCCAGTTAAGCTAAATGGGCTTTACGTGGTTGCTAAAAGTGCTCGTCAGCCTTTAATTTGCAGTGTTACACTTATCACGAAGATCCCCTTCGACGCGGTTGGTCTCTATAGAGTACAGTGTCAGTATGAGGGCGCAATCCGAAAGAGGTTGCCTAATTGCTTGGCTTTGTGGTAGCTATGCATCATTGTTGGGTTCTTTGAGTTGAAAGACACTAGTTCCGTGTTTTATCCACAATGTGGCCGCGTTCCTTTATTTGTATTGCGAGAATTGCCATAACCGTACAAACCAATAGTAGCGAGAAATCTCCTCCATGTTGAAGCACCCATCAGTCCAAGTCATTTCGTCCCCAAGTGTGATGCGTACTATCGGGACAAGTCGCACCGAATTCCCTGTACTTCCCACAGCTGACGAAGCCGCCGTTGTTGTAAATGAGAGAAGAGTATACAGTCTCATAAAGAAGAAGGTCTTGACACATTTCACCGCGTCTGTCTGGTTTTTCATTGTACTCGTCTACAGCCTCGGCGCTAACAGTCCGAAGTTGATTCTCGTTTTGATGTGACAAAAGGAGCCTTCTTATCCCATTTCCCCTTTGTACTTTTGTATTCCATCGGCCATAGACTTAAAATAATGACAAGGGGACCTGTAGGGTTATGTGATGATGTTTGACAAAAGATTGACCTCAATGGAGCAAAGCACAATCAAATATGCGGGTTATTAGTGGGACATGAATAGCCCGAGGCAAAGCGAGCACCGTCACGGGTGAAAACCCCTCTCCCGGATCGCAATACCTCGTGGAAAAACGTATGTACGTTTAGTTACCTAGGTATGTGACTATAACCCATCTATCCATAGAAAAGTGAAGAAAAGGATGATCATGCACAACTCCGTCAACTCTTCACATGAGTACTATAGGCTGTCATGTGATGTGAGGTGGCAATGGCTTAACTCCTGAGAACGTGTCATACTAGTAGCTGATCGGCCAAAGGTGTTTCAGATCCGCCAACATGCACAAGCAATTTCGTGCTGGAAAGTAAGGTAGGAGTTAGATGGCGTAAGTTGTAGAAAGTGGGTTGAACTTAGAGAGGACAAAAGCATGGTGGGCGGTGCGAATGACAGCCGGAATAGGACTATCTGATTATCCTTGAAAAAGCCATATTCAGTACAACCCGTCAAATTGCATATTGCTTACTGACTGGCTTTATTCATTTTATGCACGTAAGAGATGGGCTTTCTTGCTTGACTGGAACTTTCCCAGTTAGGTCCATACAGGATATATTCCACAAGCCATCACTGCTGCACAGGAAGGCTTAGATCTAATACTTCTTCTTTGGTGCATCAAGCTCCCCGAGCTTCTAATGTTGTTGCTGTCATCGGTTGCATCAGGAAATCGTCATATGCGAGTTCCTCCGCAGTTGGCCGCTCATCGGGTCGCCAACGGAATATTCTGCGCAAGAACTGTAGAAAGAGCGTTCGGTCTTCACCAGAAAGTCGTCGCGCTCTCATTTCGAATGACTGTTCTGGTATGGGTGTATGACCTCTCCAATGTCCTGTGATAAAATAGGTCAAACATGGGTAGTGATAATGGGACATAGAGTTAAATACCATGCTCATCCCACCATCGATTGCAATTCTCACTTTCTCTGATGAATTCTGGCGGAGGTGGTCCCATGAGAGACACCATTTCTGCTAAATGCTGGTCATCATCGAGAATTCTGTTGCGTTTTGCAAAGAAAAGATGACTGCCTTCCACTAAATCCCACGCCTAGGCAATTCGTCAGCTTCCATGCGGTAATATGGATGATTGATATGAGTAATGAACATATTGTTGGGGCCAGTCACCCGGTATCAATATTTCGACTCACCATGGTGCTAATTGACCAAATGTCAACCCTGCAGTCCCAATCCATCCCCAGGATCACCTCTGGTGCCCTATAAATCCCAGGCATGATGTCACCTCTGTGCTTTTGTGCCCCAACTCTAGCTTCACCAAGGTCGGCAAGCACCGGTAGGCCCCCACAAACAGGCAACGGCCGCGAATAATAGATAGCACGGTCGCTTAGAATCTTCCTAGCGATTGGTCTGTTCATCTCGTCTTCCTCAATTTGAGATAGGATAGTATCATCCTCAATGCCTTGGAGTATGTTATTGGAGGATATGTCTAATGAGCAGTGTCAGTGCATTCTACCTGCCAAGCGTTTAACCATATGCTCACCGGTGTGAATAGTGTTGTTCTCGTGCATAAAAGCCAAAGATATTAAGAGAAGTTGAATACTTCTCTGGGCAAGGGTTTGTGGAAACACTTCGTCCGGTAGGGAGTTCTGGAACTCCGTGAAGTTCATGCCCAATGGCCGGTATACCAAGCAAATGTGTTTGCCGTGAGGACCCACGACCTCGAATGAATCGAGGACAAGACGAATCAGGCTTTTCCCAAAATGCTCCGGGGCAAGCTGTCGAACATGCCGAAGCAGTCCGACCGCACGCGAGACACTCGACAGGAGGAAGATGATGAAGGACAACAATACCGACCAGTGTCCAGCAGTTTAGCCCTTCCGGTCGAGCTCACCTCTCGCCCTGCTCGCCGGAAGGCTTCTGCTATGGATAACAGCCCCCCGACCTCTTGGTTGCCCTCTACTTCCAGCCGATCATTATTTAAGGCCTTATCCAAGGCTTCGAAAATCACCCGCAACTTATCCCCCACTAAACAGCTGCGCAATGCAGAGCTCGAAGAGACCGGATTCTTGAGAGCGGACTTTTGTAATAACATGAAGCTAAGATTACTCGATACGTTGACAACGGAATTGGAAAGGATAGCTGGTAGCTTTGGGATCCTTCCAAGGAACCTCCAAAACAATATACAACCCCACTTTGTGAACTAGGGCCTTTTACCCACGGTAATGTCTACATGGCTGTATTCATAGCTCGCAGACCAACGATCGATCGCAGCCTGGAATTTTGGAGATAGCCTTGAGTTTGAAAAGTTGTAATTACCTGGCATACGCACTATGCGGAAGATCTATAACCGTGCAAGCAGGTGTTTTAAGAATAACCACCCTGAGTCGTCTTAGAATAATAATGTGCATTCACGTATCCTGGATTGGGTTCTTCGAGACAGCCCCGGTGCGGATGACCTTGTCGACTATCGATGCTGGTATATCCTGCTTTTTATTTCTTAAGAAACTAATTCGTCCGCGTGCTAACCCACTTCAGCCTTACAGCCCAGATTGCCCCTGAATACCAACCTGGTAAATTACCTAGCAAGATGGTGGACTACTGCATCTGCATTCAGCCTGGGCCAACCTCGCAATAATACTAAGCCACCTAATCCTTCTGCAAATATCGTCCGGCAATATTAATTAACCATACGGATTGGGCTGACCTGACCAAGTATCTTATCGCTATCTTAATAGAGACTAAAGGCCCCAGTATAGGCTACGAAACTGCACTACTGCAGGTGGCTACATGGCACGCGACCCAGTGGCGCAGTTTGCACTGGGATACAGATGGTGGCAGTTTGGCACCCTCTGGGGAGATCGAATTTCTGCCTGGCATCGTCGTGATGCAGCACCACTGGTGGTTCGTGACGACTGCCTTAAATCAGAGTGGCAAAGCGCAGACGTTTGAGCGACTGCTGTTGGGAGAAACTGAATCGATACTTGGTATCTACAAGTTAGTCATATCCCTTCAGAGGCTGGTTGACTGGACTAGGGACCAATATCGGGCGGCATTTCAGACCAGCGTTTTGGGTCTTTGATGATTTTATGGGCTGCGATGGGAGAATGCTCTGTACGGTGTACCCGAATAACACCGCTACTATAATCAAGTTCAATCGCGCCACTGCGCGAGGGACGTAAAAAGGCATATTCAAGTACCTCCATACACTAGATTGTATGCAAACGGTACCATCTTCTCCCATCCTGGATTGTACTCTATCTCGAAACCATGTTTCAGAGCGACGATTTCCATAATAAGAAAGCTAAATAAGAACTTCATTCCCATCTCTAACTCTTGGATCTCCGTCAACTATGTTCTCCTCCTTCTGACTCCCACATCCTTCCAGGAAGAAGTCACAAGAGACTAAATACCGCCAGAGAGACACTGAGCAAACACAGTGAAATACGGGATAGGAAATATGAAAACAAGTGGAAAAGAAAACAACAGGAAATCAAGAATGTCAGGACACAAGGAAGTCGATGTAACAAGAGAGAGTGTATCTACAAAGGCAGACATCCTTTACGCTAGTCGTAAGCGAGAAATTTTAAAATTAATAACTGATCAGATAGGTGAGAGAGAATGGCGTGGAAAAGCGACGAGAAATAAGGAGTGATGATGGTGGACGTGGACAGAGAGCTGATGGTATTGAATTGGTGAGAACTATATATATTATTCCTGGAACATGAATTTCCCCGGGACGCTACCCCAGGAACTTGGCCCTTCCCGCGCGCCAATCGACCCACTCACCGCCTTACGCCGCAATGAAAGAGTGGCTGGGGGTAAACGGGCCACTGAGCAAAGAGCACGGCGTGCTTTGGATGTGAACAAAGTGGGTGTTGGGAATCGGAAGGTGTAAACAGCACATGCGAGGCCAAGAAGGTGTAGAATTGGGCTTAGGTACGGACACAATGGGTTACAGTCCACGTCTGTGTATAATAGAAGACGGGCAGTAAATAGCCAATTATATGCCCCTTGGAAGAGTTTCAGATAACTAGAGCTTATATCAATCACCTAACGAACTTCAAACTGCCCTACGGATTCGGGACATTGGGTTGGATGGAGAGGAGCTTACTGCATGACCGCCTTCGCGGTGCCTCATTTCGCGTGCGACTCGGAAAGTTGATAAAGACCAAGAAGCGATTTGGACAATGGTGCCGGGTTCTTTGGCAACTTCTGAGTGTTCTTAGGCGTGGAAGCGTAAAATTGTTGTTGCAGATAGATGTCTACATGATATGAATTCACGCCACTAAGATAATTCTGGTTGAAAGGTCGAGGGGCTATCTTGGGCACTAAAGAAACTCAACTTTTCGAGTATTGTGGTTTGAAACGTCCCTGAGCCCCAATTCAAAATACTGGAGATTTTGGAGACAAAGTCAGATGCTCGACTTTCACGCGTGGTCCGCCACATGTCAATATTGGCCATGCAGTAACTGCCGTCAGTCTCGTTCCAACAGTGAGCAGTGTTTACACCACTCGGGGGCGCCGTATTGAGTACCGGGCTATCACACGCCTTATAAAGCCCCTTTAAGATTTCTATTGCCGAAGCACCTCCGACTGCTGCCTGGTTTTGTGCTTGATAAAGATTGCTGCCCGTTGCACCAGATTTTGCTTCAACAAGAAAAAACGGGAATCGTAAACTGAGCGGGTTCACCCCGGGATCGCTAATAAGATCGCGAGTCTCCTGAAGGTCATTCAACAGATATTTGGCATTTCTGACCTGACGAGATTGTAATATATTTGCGAGTGCTCGGTCTGAGATACCTACTGATATGTCGGGACGGGGATTCTTTAGATAGAATGGGGTCATAGGTGCCTGCGCGGATGTTTTGACCGAGCTGTCGACGGCCTGTATGGATTAGTTTCGTCCGCGAGTTGTGCGGAGCGATCTGGGAAGGGGTCTCCCGAATTTGTATTACTTCGAGGAGCGTCTAACTCTTGAACTCCGCTTGTATCGCATAGCCGCTTTTGGGGAACCGACGGTTGATGAACTCGAGGTTTGATATCTGGCCTCCAATCTGTTAAAATATACAATGTCAGTCTCTATATGTATTGGATGTATTGGTCAAATGCACCTCTATTTCGTGCAACCAGAAGGTTTATAGGTTTCAGGCCTTTCACGATCTCGTACAACAGATCAGTCCACTCTGTTTCTCCTGCTTGAGCCGCAGTCAGCTCCATGGACACGTGTTGAAGCTTCGATACTAAACGTTCAAGGGTGGCTGCATCTGTTGGGGGTGTTTGAAGGGCGATATTGATTTGGTCTTTTACTTCTTCAGGTACGTCCACGTCGACATAGATCCCTGCACGGAGAAGCGTTCGCATACGGTAGGTGGACTCGCTGGGCTTCTGCGGACTAGACGATCGAGATCGGGACAGAGATGATGTAGAAGGTGGAGGGAGCGACGTGTTTAGCCCCGATGCCATATCAAGTTGTGCTAGATACTCTTTCTTTAACGGGAGGCCAGTGGGAGGAAGTGAGTGGTGAGTTGACTTGGCTCGCTTATCCAAACCCTGGTCTGAGAAAGTACAGTCGGCACTTCGCTTCATTTTGGACTATCAGAAGAGGCTCTGTCCTCTTGACAGAGCCTGTTTTGTTCTGACGTATGCCACTACCCTGATGGATGTTTGGGTGGTGGCTGACGCGGTCCGGCTAAACCATCTGATTGGGGAGGAAGCTTACAAATGAATGACTCAGCGAGGTACAAATCCGTTACTGCTTGGCAACCCTGCAAAGTATGGGATTTGGAATATGAATTGGTATATTTGGACAGACATATAGAAAATATCAGCAGTGCGTAAATGACAGAATATGGTTGAAGAGTAAACAATTGTTTTCTTCTTTTTCCATCATCAATGTGCGCATTCCCAGAGGTTCTACATTTACCATTCCTTCTGTGTGTACAGTACATACGACCACAGGGTGAGGAAAACAGGGCTTCCCGTCCGCTCAGCCGTACTTAAGCCTCACGCCGGCCGGTTAGTAGTTGGGTGGGTGACCACCAGCGAATCCCGGCTGTTGTATGTTTTTCTTGGTATTCCTTTTTTTTAGCCCTTCATTTTGGTTGACTGAGAAAACCCTTAATTGCAGTTAGAAAATAGTCGTTGATGGCAATCCACGTGAGCCAAGCCTTTGAGAATCTGCACCGCATGAGAAGAATCAGACTAGTTACGAAAGATGTTGCGAAAATTCCATAGTCTAGCCTGCACGAATAGCCGCACTATCCCAATTCCTGATCCCTTATTAATATGTGCAAGAACATCGACTAATTAATACCCCCTATGGGTATCCCTATAGTCCAGAACCACTAGGCTTGTTACTTCAAATAGTATTATTCATTGGGATATATATGCGTCACGACCGCTTTCTATATATTTATATACCTGGTGAACTTCATAAAAATGAAGGAGAGAAAAAGGTTGGTCATATGGCACTTCGATCGTAGGCATACTCTAAGAGCCACACTGGTGGAGACTCAATTCGATTGCTTTTATCCAACATAATCCCACGACGCAACCGAGTCGATCGTTCTGACATTCAAATGGCTAGCGTAATTACCGCCATAGAGGTCCATGTCATGTTGAATTTGTCAGATACGCGAGCGAGGCTTCACCGACAATTCAGCGTCTCGTTCGCAATCATGGGTTTCAGTTGATCGACTCTGGGACAATTTGTGTACCGTTCAGATGGTTCTTCAAGGCTTACATTCCTATGGTCCTAAAAATGAACACCATTCGGTTGCCATTGGCGCTCCTACCTAGGAGTGTTTGTACTTCATGTAGAGCTAACACTGGAACATGCTCTGAAGGTGCATTCTAGAACTAGGGATTCTGGACTTGAAAACTGTACTAATTTTTATACCTTTATAATTTGATTTATACTGTAGAAATGTTGCAATTTTAGCGCATGAAACCAGTACTGAGGGCATTATCATTACCTTGAACTATATAGCAAGCTTTATGGTATATGCCTCCGTAGAGATTTCAATCAATATATTTTCCGTTTGCGGACCTGACATTGGCTTTACACGGCACCAATGGGTTTGCCCCTGAGCCCATGGAACGCTGCGTGGCTGCTGGGGTCACCAAAATCAACGTCAACCGGCTAGTGTTGGATGACTACTACGACCATCTCCGGGAGAACGTGGGCAAGATACCACATACCCAGCTTATCGAGGAAGGGATAAAGAAAGTGGCAGATCTCACAATCAAATGGATGGAGATATGCGGGTCTGCGGGCAGGGCATGAGGCGAGAGAGTGAATGGACATAGCTAGCTTGAATTCCTCAAGAAGGATCAAGGGTTTAGTTTGTAATTCAACGCCGACATCATAACCTGCTAATAAGTCCCTGTATGTCATTTTGCCGGCACTAAAACAGGAAAACGACGTACTTTCTTACTAGAACTTCAAAGCAAACGGAGGTCTATCAAGTGCTCCCACCAAAATTCTAAATGACTGAAGGTGTGTTTGACTGATCGATCCACGGAACGATTTACTCGGTAATAACAGGAAGAACAAGATAGCTACCCGTCTCCCCTCCAGTATAAACCGTATGCACACCCTGATTCTCATCAACCGGGGCAGTCAACCTCATGATCTCCGTCTCTGGAAGGGACATGTCGTGCCCTGACACTCGCAGCATCAGCCCTTCCCCAGCTTCGAACACGATTCCAACGGGCCAGATTGGAATCTTCAGCGGTACCACTTCTCCAGGGGTAATATCCTGCCAGGAGTCATGGTCATAGACGGGGAATTCATCCTCGCTCTGGCGAGGACGCAAACTGACATGGTGCGAAGCGCGCAGCATGCCCTGTTGACCGAGGTGCTTTGCAATGTTGACGTCTGGAACCTGAGGAGCTGGCTTGGGCATGGGAGACCAATTAAGCGATTCGAGCAGCCCTCCTGTGGCCGATATCTTGCGGATTTGCACGACTACGTCAAAGTCTGTGCCTGCTGTGGTGGACATGTAGAGCTTGACGAAGGGGCGACCGCTCAGTTCGGTGTATTTATCAAAGTAGAGGGTAAAATCCTAGAATCGTTATTTGGAGTCAAAGTCGGTTACAGGGAGGGATACGAACGGATGATGCGGTTAGGGAGTGTCCTTCATGGCTGACCTCCCCGCTAGACGTAGGCTGAGCAGTGACGAGGGAGTTCCCAGTAGCATCGAGGAAATATTTCACGTTTCTCTGACGAGAAAGCGGCCACTCCGTCTCGTGTCTCTCCTCGATTGTTCTCGTTGGACTCCCATCGTAGCCTAACAAGCTCAGCCGAACCCGCGGTGTATCCGTCTCCCATCCATTCTGGATTCCCTTAGCATAAAAGTCATAAAACCGCTGCAGGTCGTCTATCACTGCGGGACGATAGATATCGTGCCATTCCTGGGTAGCGCGCACACGGAGCCATTTCCGCTGTGTTGGCGCTGTTTCGAACGTCCGGAAGGATCCTTCACAATGAAGACCCGTCGAGTATGACGCGGTCAGGTACATGGGGATCTCGCGTATGTTTTCGGTGTGAATCTGCCTGGCCTTCCAGAATGAATCTAACAGAGGATGAGTGTCTAGCAGAGCACCGATGGCCTCGGCGCCGCCAAATCCTAGGAAATATACATGTCAGTCGAGGTTGGGAAACAGGGTGAGGGTCGGGCGGTCAGAGTAAAGCACCTGCTAGCCCTTTAAGAATCATCTCGAAAAAGGCGCCGTGTGGTATGCCACCGCGGCAAATCTGGTGGACGTAGGGGTCCGTGAGACCCTCCCATGGTGCGATAGCTTTGAGGCTGGGATGGGTGAATCGGGAGACAAAGTTAACTTGCGAGATGGCGAGCCACGAGTTGCCCCTACATTAAACTATTGTCAATGGAATTTTCATACGATGTCCAAATACACTTACATCATAATCACGGAGCCATCGCACCACGGTTGGCTGGCAATCCAGGTGATCGAGTCGTAGATATCAGTTGCTTCCTGAGACGGGTTAGTAGGCGTAAAGCAGGAGATGTTCATAGACTGACCTGTTCTCCCCAGAACATGAGGTTTCCCTCAGAATTCCCCGAGCCTCTAGCGTCAATGTCTACAACAGCATATCCTCGCGAGCACCATTCCGCGGGGTTGGGACCCTGCATTTATTAGTCACTGTCGCACTTACTTCAGAACACGGACACACCTCAAAAGTCTCGTATCCGCTCAGCTGCTGATATGGGATCCCAATTCGGAATGGCCCCATATTGTCATAATCCATTGTCCCGGTTCCGGACTTTCCGTATGGACTCCATGGGATGATTGCAGGGACTTCTTCTCCTTCCGCGGGCCGGAAGACATCGCCGTATAACTTGATGCCGTCTCTCATAGAGATCGCCTGGTCTCGTTCCCAGATCACATCCACTGGGAAGGCTTGATAACCTGGCTCTTTAACATGGCCCTTGGGAAGAGTTTGCACTGCACCGGGGTGGAAGCCGTTGTATTTGAATAAGGGGTGTTTATCTGGGGGTGCGAGGGGCGTGAAGACCGTGTCTGATTTGTGTTGTGCAGCCATGATTGCTGGGTAGTGAAGTAGTGTTTGATTCTTGAGAGTGTGCCTTTCAGTAAACCTGCCGGGGAGGTTACTGTTGTATATGGACGGTTTATGTACGGGTCCCCCACACCCAGTGGCCAACAGGGGGTGGAGCCGGTGGGGTGAAGATTTCACCCCGCCGCCCTTCATCCGTAATTCCGATGCGAGGTTATTTTCAGCTTGCGGGGAATCACACATTTTTACTATTTTTCTTGATTGGCTTTACATTTCCGACCTGACTCCTTCCACAATAGACAGCCCTTGCCCGATGATGATCTTCCCTGCAGAAGATTGAGGCAGCTATATTCCGGGGATACTGAATCATAATGACTTTTCTAGAAAGAAAAGTCTACTTGTAAATTGAATTCAAGCTTCTTTGTTAGTCGGTTTGCGTCTCTGTATAAACTCAAGGCAGTAAGCAAGTCTGGGAATTTGCCGAACCTTCGATGGAGGGAACTAATATATATTTCTCCAAATATTCCTGTTATATTCTGCGGATGCATCTAAATATATAATTGCTTAAAATGTTATAGCTAATAGTGGACTTGCTTGCATGGCTGATTACCCAGTTGTAACCTACCTAGCAGGCTACATGGTGCTTACTTCCCTCCCCCTATGTGTCATCTAAATGAAGAAATGGATGTTTCTTTACAGTTGAGCACCATAATAGGAGAGTCATGAGGCCCAAGCCAACTAAATATTATTTCTCTCTCGGCTGATAGATATAACTACCTGGAAAAACTACAGGTTACGGAAATGTTTTGATCTGAATAACAGATTATCCATGCTTGACAAAATGGTTTTGATGGAGCACGTTTGAATTTATATACAGGTTCTGGTAACATCTGAGAAATACCTAATGAGTCTTCCCTCTCATCGTGCCATCAATACCTTCCAGATCACTGTACAAACGCCATTCGTAGTCCAAGCTAGGATCATTGAATCGAGCCTTAGCATCCAAGGTCGCAATCCTGGCCATATTTTCGGTCTGCAGCTCAAAATCGGCCTCTAAGTTCTGCTCAATCTGCCAGTCGACAACGCTCTTAGGGATAACAGAACGACCACTATTGATACCCCACGCAAGTACAACCTGAACCGGGCTCTTGTTGTATTTCTCCCCAATCTCCTTCAAGACGGGCTGATCGATCACCCGCATCATGTGTGAAATCTCCTTAGACCACCCAGTCTGTCGGTAGAAGTCATTCATATTACCGAGTGGGCTGAACTGGACGACGTGAATCCCCAAATTCTGCAGCCATTGGTTGAATTCCTTCTGTTGTAGATAGGGATGGACCTCCATCTGATGAACGGCTGGGACCTGAGAGATAGATTAGCCTCCTGATGATCGCCTGGCACGTGTAATTACTCACTGTAGAAGCCTCGTCAAGCAACGTCTTGATTTCACCCATGCTGAAATTCGAAACGCCAATTGCCTTCACCTTGCCCGTCCGGGTTACTTTTTCCATTGCTTTCCACGTGTCGACAAATGTTGTCTCGCCGTGGACTATTCTCCCCTCGGCATCCCGAGGGAATCGATCAGGTCCTCGCTTAAAGGTACAGGGGTAGTGCATTAGTAGAAGGTCAACGTATGGGGTATCCAAATCACGCAGGGAGTCGTCCACGGCGCGCTCGACATCCTCAGGATGATAGTCGCTGCACCACAACTTGGTGCCGAGAAAGATGTCCTCACGAGGAATGCCGCTCTTTTTGATTCCTCGTCCAACCTGCTCTTCAACATCATATACCCGAGCTGTGTCGATAAGGCGCATGCCCTTTTTCAACGCTCGGCTGACGGTCTCTTCTTGAGAATCAGGGTCCTGGAATGTCCCGAATCCCAGCGCCGGGATCTTTGCACCGGTATTGAGTGTATAGGACGTTGCACGAGTGGTGAGGGTTCGAGAGGATACACGTCGGAAAGCGGAAGAAGGTGTCCGGAATACCGAATTTCGGACTACTGAAGCTGCAAAGGAGGCCATAGGGGGAGGGAGCTGCCTGACTAGCTAAATTTTGGGCAAGATGTAGTTTCCCGACCGCAGCCTGATCCGGGACTGGTATAGAAAGACGCTATGCGCGGGAAATGAAGGGAAACCAAGAGAAACCAAAGAGAAAGACGTTGAGATATCTTCGTGTCTTTCTACCCCGGTGTTTAAATCCCCCGCTACAAGGAACGGCTGATCGACACTAAGCGGGGAAAGCTGCGCTCGTATCGGGGCCGACGCGAGACGAGGGCCAGTGCCAAGACCTGCCTCGTGATGCGATGTGCCCTGGAAGGTGGACAATTCAATCTCCGAGTAGGTCAACTCCTGTGGAGACATTGAAGAAAATGTGACGTCCGTAGATTCGATGTTCTCTCTCATGTGTCACTCTCACGCGGGTCTCGGGTAGCCATCTCAACTTTATCCGTTGTCTCAAAGATATATAATGTAGCTGGACTGTAGACCTTACTATGTTTCACCCCGATGGTGCGTGTAGCTAAGAGCGGTCTGATTCAATCTGGAGTAATAGAATAACCGAGCCAGAGAGAACTAAAGGAAATTTGTTAACGCTACATAAGTGCCAAAGACACAGTGGAAAAGAAACCGGATACCCCATTCGTCCCACAACCCTCGGTCCCTGAAATGGCATCTACGCATAGGTGTTTCTTTCAACACATCTACTTCGTATGATATATGCCCCAGAGAACCGGCTGCTGTCTGATATTACCATTGCAGTTCATTTCTCCCTTGGCTCCGACCTTTCCATCTCGACCAAACCGCTTGACAGACTCATTGATAATATCGATAACATCCTGTCCCCCGACCACGAAGTCAACATTGCCGTGAACCTTTGTAGCTTCAACGCCAAATGCACAAGTTCCGGCCCACAGAATCTCACGATGTGGCATGCCAACCACCCAGTGTGTCCAATCACTGGTGCCATCGCCCTCGATATTCTCGATGATAGTGAGGCAGTCATCGATGCTCGGCGATGCGTCGGTGATCTGGTCTTCAAATGTTGACTCCTGGCAAGTGTCTCTTCCGGGCGGGATGTCGCAGGGATAGAATTCACTGGAGCCTGGCTTGGCAGTGTCCCAGGATTGAAATGCTCGTTCGGGGCTACAGACTGGGATCCGTATGAATCCAGGGGTCGTAATGTTGCCGTCCAGCAGGTCATCGATGGTTTCTTTGTTGGTAGGATCTGCGAGCCCGCCATTCTCCTTGACATTTTCAAACCATGTGCGGACGGAACCCTCGACCAGATCCTCCTTGGTGATGCCTCCAAACTTTCTGTATATGGTGCCCAGCGAGTCTAGTCCCGGAGGTGCCGAGAATTTGTTGTTTGTGCAACCCAGCTGGCAAGGGCCTCTACCGGTCATAACCTGACAATGGCATGTTCTGGAATCACCGTCTGGATACACGAGGTAGTATTGCTTTTCATCAACACACACACCCGTTGCATTCGCGGTAACTCTGTCGATGTAATGGCTGAGCCTGTTGTCTTCAGAGCACCCGTAACCCGAGTCAATGACAAAGGCATACGTTTTGGATAGATGCCAGATGGCGGGAATTAAATAACCAAAGAATGATTTAGCAACGTTTTGTTTTAACGTTTCGTGCAGGTAATTGGCAGAGTCAAGGTCCTCGGGAAGTCTTTCTTTGCCCTTGCCGCTGATGAGCTTTCCATTGGAAATAATGCCCCACAGGATCTCAAGCGACTCATCGGCTCCGCTGAACAGCTGCCTGAGCGCAAGAACAGTGATGGCTCGTCAGTTCTCGATCACCTGGCTCATATAGCCAGAGAAGGTATCTTCTGTCTCCGGCAATGGAGGGGTATAGACGCTGGCCGAAAGGTTTCTTGCAATGGTAACATCTTGCTCGATGATATCAACAGTGGTGTTCTTGGCGTTGTATAGAGCACTGTCCTTCGCATCGTAATATTGAAGCCTCTTGTAAAGCGACCCGGCAGTCGAAAGGTATCCGAGGGTTGTCAGTTCAGCAAGCAACAAGGGCCAACTTTCGTTGTGCCGTGGAATAACCGACAGAAATTGATCCTCGAAATCCTCAACAACCTCGCTGGGTACCGCGACGCCTAAATGCAGGTTTTCATAATGATATTTGTATTCTTGATGAACTTGGGCCAGCGAATTCCAGATAAGCTGCGCCGCGGGACCCGATATCGGTCCATTAGCACCGTTTGGACAGTCTAATGGGACACATCCATCAGAGTCAATTACTCCACAGCTGGCGCCATCCCCTGTAGTGAGGGTAGCTCTGATTGATTCCATGAATTTGATCCTTCTGTAACGGTCGGTATCCTTCCAGATTCTGACAACATCCCCCCACGCAGCGTCTGCGTTCAGGCCCTTCCATTTCTCAGAGGGCGTGTAGTTAAGTGCATCTGTGATTAGTGGGTGCTTGCAATCGAACTCGGTCCAGTTGCCATGGCGGGTGTGATCTGTCGTAAGACGCTGCTCAGAGCTATCGCGTTTATCGGATACAGCCCAGCCCTCCGACAAGCTGTGGGGTAGGGTGATATGGACGGAGACAATTCCTCGAATAAGACCAGCAGCAAAAAGGAGTGTCATATGCATCTTTTCGAAACTGCATTTGGACTCCGACTTTCTATCAGCGGATCAATATCGCGCATGAAATTGGGATTCGATTGGTATTCGAAGTCACATTGGACGAACGGCCGGATGATTGACCGCTAACAACAGCGTGCGTAAGGATTTAGGCTCCAGTGTGGGAACCTGGGGCCTTTTAGGGCAGCAGAGACAATTTTCAAGGCATAATAGTGTCATCTAGGTACCCTGATTACCCTGTTGGCTCGGGGATCGCCAAGCCCCTATGCCCAGGCCTTTTTACATGGCTAACATTGAGCACATAGGACTAGCATCGCTAGGAGTGTAACGCTGCAGTGTACCTTCAAGCCCTTTCCAGGGATTAACTGCCTAGACTTAGTGCCTGTGTGGACCTTGGCAAGAGGGGTCGGGATCTCGCTTTGTGCCCCAAACACTCAAGATTCCACGGGCCAATCTCCCGAGCGCAGAGCCTTTGTTGCTAATCAAAAATTGGTTTAGTCCAGGAGATGGACAAGGCATATCCGTACCATTGGCCACAATACCTCTAGAATTAATTTCTTGGGATTTACAACAACAACGCACTGAAAACGCATAAGCATCCCCGCGTGCATTCTCGCGGGATTATTGCTTTGGCCTGGAGAGAATATATGTAGGGTGGATGTGCTCTCCATCGTACTATGCTGCTCCACATCTAGGCCCTCTACTTAATCGACCCCCATTTGCCGGTCCTTGAAATTACTGGTTTGCCTCACCATGATCTTATCCCCGGCAAGCTTGCTACTTGTTGCCAGCTTCGGAGTCTTGATTGCTTCTGAAGTCGTGGAAGTGGACTTCCTTTTTCCGCGTAACGAAACATATGCGCCGGCCGAGTGGTTTCCAGTTGTCTTCGCCTTCCCAAATGCCAAGCCACCGCAAATTCTCAAGTCGAGTCTTTCTTACAGGCTATGGAACACGGATAACATGACCGGCCTTGACCCAGAAAGTTTTACCTACGATCTATTGTGGTCAAATTGGTCCCGTCACGACACCTACTTTGCATACCACATCTTCCATAACAAATTCGCGACGGAGGGTCGGTGGCGAGTAACTTGGAATTTTGCCTGGGAAAGTTGCGAGGGGGACGAGATCCGTTTCGAGGATTACGGTCGTTTCATCCATAATTACTCCGCTTGGGGCACTTCCTTTACTATCAAGAATTCTGCACAGAAGGTTGACCTTACCTCTGCCACAACAACAAACAGAACCTGCCCCGGGGACCAAGCGGTTGCTATCAATGCTACCGGCCAGACCATGACATCGCATTATGATACCTCATGCGGAGTAGTAGACTCCTCCAACCCGGCACCTATGGCAGATCGTTGTCGTGTCAAGGTTGACTCGACTACTGTCGAACGCATGTCTGCGGACTGGAAAGAGAGGTTGTGTAGGAACGGCAGAGACACATCAATCGATTGCCCGAAGGAGGAAAACAGCGCAGCTAATCGACTGGTTGTTATCGCCAGATCCTGCTCCCTGGCTGCACTTGGGGCGTTTGGTTTCATTTTTGCGCAAGCCTGTTCGCTACTTTGACTGTTATAGCCTAGTCAATAACCCGCTGGAGAGTCTTCACACACCTTGCTTATTTCTACTGCGTACTTGCCCTTACAATATGTATATTACTTTTTTCTTGGGCTGATGTTACCAAAGATTTTAGACGGGGTCCGGGGTCCAGTTATTGAAAGATCAAATATCAGGCAAGCCCGACCGCGGCATAATAAGCACTGACCTTTTTCGAAATGGATAAGCGACGAAGCAATGATTAATTCTCTTTGGTTGGAGTCGCCACGATCTCCAAGTTAGGGTTGGCATGGTCACATGCATCACGGACTTGTAAGCAGTGGCGAGATTCCCAGTTTCATACCACCCAGTCCCGCAAGCTTCATTCATCCGTTTTTTCACAATATGTGATTAATCCCCTCAGCCTTTCCCGATAACACCCGGAGAGTTCCATAAAATAAGAGGTAGCGCCTCGGCGAATTGACACGCAGCGCCGCGTGACAGCCCTATTGGCGTGCCAAGATACCCTTTGCCCCTGGTGATCATAACGGGGCTCCGTGAGGCTATTGTTCCTCTGTACGAAGTAGGAGAATAGGGCACATTAAACCTCGCGATTGACTCCACTACTTGTTATAGCCTCGTTATGCGATCGGTTTTCAGCGGCCGTGGCATACGGAGTGCTTCTATTGCGAGAAAGATAAAACTAGAAAATACGCTCCCGATGGTGAGATGTCCAGACGTTCAACCCCATTTTCTAGCGATTCAGGATCTTGCTAGTGTCAGTAGACCAATTTGCCGCCCAGGGCCTGTGAAATGAGCGCCAAGGAGGGTCGGAAGGCCGGGACCACTCGCCAGCCGCAACAGGCTTTGTTGTATTCGCTTGTAATGGCTAGTATGGCTACAGACAGGGCACTTGCTAGAGCGTTCAGCTGCGCTAAACTAGCTCGGTTTATAACGGCCAAACACACCTAGAAATTAAAATGAAATAGAATGAGCAGAGAAAGACCTGGGTCTGGCTCCCGCTTTGTACGTTCAATCACTCATCTTTACACTCCTGCGAATTAAAATTGGCTCTACGCATATCTTCCAGGGCAAGGCACTTTGTTCTGAATAGCACACTCATCTTGAGCTATCTTCCTCTTGCTCTCTGCCGATGGCGTGTATTCATGTATTACATGGATAATGATAACATATTTCAGGCTCACTGGTGTCACTAATTGCACAGCAGATACACTGAATATTTTATTCAATGGTTTTCTTGGATATTGTATTTAATCAAATCAATAACGCAGTTTCATTTCCTGTCTGACAGTCTGAGTTATTTCAAAACAATGCTTTTTTCCAAAATTAATTCCTAGACGCCGTCCAATTACCCAAGATAAGAGACTAAGTCCAAAATCAGTAATCCCGAAGCTGGCAGGTAACAAGCCCTTCGAGAGATTTCCAGTCCTTCCAGTTGTTTCCGTCATAGGATCTATGCTGGACGGAATTATTATGAGTGGCAACGCCGAACAGGTCAAGCTGTCCCTCCCTGCCTCGGCAGGATACTCCAGTGATAGCACTGAAGAACGTCAAGTCGCCTTGAACCTTCCAGTCACTCCACTTGCCGTTCTCGAAGGACCTGTTAATGCACCTCCGGTCGCGGTTTATGGCGATCACGTCTAAGCGGTTGGGAGCGCAGCTGATGACCTCGATGTGGCTATACACCTGGCCACCCAGGGACTGCCATCCAGACCACTTGTTGCCGTCGTATCCCTGGTGGTAGAAGCCATTGTCCTGGCCCCGGGAGAAGAGATCGATGCGGTCCTCAGCCCAGCTGACGGCTCGAATGGGGCTGACAAGACGTCCGCCCAGGTTCTCCCAGTCGCTCCAGTTATTTCCGTCGAATCGCTTGCGACGGCAGGTGTTGTCCTCTGCCCACAGCGCGAACACATCCAGACGCTCCTTACCCCAGCTGACGGCCTCTACACCGCCGTTCAGGGAGCCGCCGATGGACTTCCATCCGCTCCAACGCTTACCATCATAGTATTGGTGGTGGCAGGTGTTGTCGTGGCCACGGGCAAAGATGTCAAGACGGTTCTCACCCCAGCTGACGGCCTTGACGGAGCTGGTGAAGTTACCGCCGAGGTTCTCCCACTTGTCCCACTTGTCGTTCTGTAGGGTACGGTGGTAGCAAGTATTGCTGGTGTCCAGGCAGAAGATATCAAGGCGGTCCTTGCCCCAGGTGACAGCAGAGATGATGCTGCTGAACCCCTTGCCGATGGGCTTCCAGTCGGTCCACTTCTCGCTGTTGCGGTACTTGTGGTAGCAGCCGTTGTCGTGGCCGAGGATGAAGAGGTCAAGACGCTCCTCTCCCCTGGCAAGTGCGGAGATCTGGTGGGCCATTGTTTGTTTTTTGTTTTGGAGGGCTTTTTGTATGCTTATTTCTTGAATAATTCCAAAGTTAGCTGATTGCTAAGTAGATGTATTGTCAAGGCGAAAAGCCCATCGAGGTTCATGCAGGATGAATGTTGGTAAGGGAAACGGGCATTGTACCTTGCGAGTGTTTGTAAGAGATGCAGATGTTTGTGGTTTGTAGTCTAGTCTGGGTAGTTTTGGGAAGGAGAATATGTTCGTCCTGATCTGGGATGGTATGTTCTATTTATCTTCAACTTGGATTCACTTCCATGACATCACGGTGACTACAAGGGTTATAGTTCCGGACGCTTTGTTCCCAACGCTCCAATTTTATTATGTCGGATTTCATCTTCCAAGACGAAATGTATTCCGGGAGAAGTCGCTCAACTAAAAAGCCTTTGAATCCCCGGTTCTCAATTCGTGGTTGAATTTGCTTGTCGCTCGGGTAGGTGAACAAAGCCCCCACGCAAACACCACAGCATACACAGCAACAATAGCAATTGTGATAGTCAGATATGTATATTATGAGTTCTAATACACGAGATTGCAGTTAAAGCCTTCATAATGATGCTCCAAGGGAAAGGAAACGGCTTCAAACTCAGAGGGTAGTATTCAACACGCGGCCATTTTTCCGATAGGTGCCCTCTCAAGGATGGGTGTTCCCAGAGTCCGAGTGGTCTTCCCGCAATTTATATTGCTGCTTTGACCTCTGATATCCTTATTGCGGATTATATGTCGCTGTTTGGGCATGTGATTCAGTCTCGTTTGACTTTCTTTTATGTGAATGGTCTCGAATTCATGTGTTTGTTCCTCGCGTACAAGTGAAGTGTAAAGATCGATCGTAGTTCTACCACCACTTACTACATTAGCAAGGACTCATGCGGATCTAGGAAAGTTCAAGTCCTTGTTGATGTGTTCAATGTTTCTATTATTTCATCCAATATACCCCCTTCGTCTTAGGGTTACTACCGAGGCTCACAATACAGCTTCCAAGCGTCCATTTCTAACATTGACATTCTCAAGCTTACCTGAGTACTTCTACGCCTCAGCCATTTGTATTTGCCGAAGCCTTTTGCCAAGAGACCAAGGAATTGAACCCCATAATATTGCGTCCTTCCATCTGGAACCTAATTTCTAGTTCGTGTTTAGAGTCGCCTTCGCGAGTGGAATAGATGTGTACCCCGGATAGCCCAAGCTACCGTACAGTTGGGCATCTTACGTGTCAATGATGCTTCCCGATTGGGTGATTCTATTTGCGTGACTGAAGTGGTCTAGACTTACTTTTCAAACTTCGTGAAGCGTCGGTACAATGGAACTGAAGTTGGTTCCAGCTACGATGGGAGGGGTTTTCGCTCATTTAATTGTAATCGAATCTGCTGGCCCAGACCAATAACACCGGAATAAGGAGAGCAAATTGGGGGATTCCTGTTTCTAGGGCTCCAATTCGTACCGCAGGTCCCAGAACGTGATGATAGGACAGCCGACGTTCGTACGACATATGTTTCGAAACTAGGATAGAACTCTGTTTAGCCTTTTTTGAACGAGATAATTCCCCATATAGAAGCACGTTGTTAGGATACCAAGGCACTGTCAAGCGGCTATGAAGACCAACAGTTCCGGCTATTAGGGGCACTAAAATAGACACTTCTGAATTTCTATGGGTCTAGGTGCCTTCTCTTATGATTGACTAACCGAATATTATTCCAAGATGTATCCATTCCTCGTTGTTCCCATCATCATAGCATAGAAGTGCATTCTACGGGATGAGAAGTTGGCTGAAACCTCGTTGGGTGTTGTCTGATGTTAATAGACAAATATCCCAGTTCACACTGTTTTATTGACCATTTTATCCTATTTTTCTACGCAGCACTATGTAGTTTGATGGGAAAATAATTAACCTGACATAATGAAAGATATCCCTATTCTTATTTACGTATCTATCTGGCTCCGATGGCATTCATGGGGCCCTAAGGGGGCTTGCCTTTCTTGCTTCCAATACGGGTTTGGTTTCTGTCGTTCTATTTCTTTCATAGAGTCCATCTCATTGTTTATAGGTAACACTGATAATCGAGAAATGCAGTCCCAAAGTGTCGGTTCTTCAGGGGGTAAAAGCAGTGATGATGCTAGGTGCCGTGTTTTCCGTGAGCTCAAAATTTCAGCGGCAAGCTTTCGGGAACGAAGATGGGGGCCAGAATATGTTGGCAGGCCCTATGGCAATCCAGCCTTTAGTGCAAATTTTGGAACTGTTCAAAAATTGAAAAGAAAGGAAAGGGATTCAATCCATTTCTATATGGTAGTATTATTGGGCATATTTCTCATGCTGCTGTTAGAAGAAAACAATACAAATGGCTAAAATCAAAGGGAAGTCCTGAACATCCATAACTTGACCATCATTTGGACTAACTTTTCATGGTTAACGAGGTATAATCCCACTAAAAAATATTTGTGTTCTGCAAACCATTTGATATTTAACGGATTCTGCCCGTGACCGGTAGCTAAACTACCAGAAAACGGGATTGAAAAGAAATTGCCGGATCAAGGAAATCAAAGTGCGACGGATTCAACGTCAACAGAATGACTTTTTTTTATCGACCACTTTCTTGCAATCAAATTTGGTTCCTGAATGGCACTTGACTGGTTCAGGGATAGGGCTGTGCCGGACTGTGCTGACTAAGTTCTTTTCGGTCTAGTCTTGGCTTCATACTGGGTCTAGTGAGGGTCCAAGTCCCTGTGAGTTGGAAATGGCCCCTGAAAAACTAACCGAAGGGCTGAAATGAGCTTAGGGACGTTGCATGTGGCCAATTCGATCAAACTGAGAATGAGTCAGGTCGGCGGCTGCAAATGGTGCTTTTGGAGAGAACTTTTAAAGGTCGATCTCGCCCGGCTGCTCCATATGGGGCGAGATTAATTTAAGCAAAAAGTCAGCCAGTCTTGTTCCCTGCGACAATCGACATGAGGAGTGGGTCGCCGCTGCTCTTTGCTCTTCTGGGTGCACCCCTTGCAGGAGCTTCATTGTCGTTAAGAGACAGAGATGTGCCTGCCACACTTAAGGTGCCATTTCAGTATGGGCGTATCGTCGGTCCGAACTCGGTAGTTCGTGGTGGCCTAGAGAAAAGGAAGAATGTGGTAAACATAAAGGCTGGAATTGAGGTATAGCACTTCTCAGGAAACATGAGCGACACGAACCTAACGTGCACAGGATCATGTCTTCTTCCACACAAATATCACCGTCGGCACTCCTCCCCAGGAGATGCAGGTCTATTTTAATCTTATAGGCAACGAGTGCTGGATGCATGCAGCAAATTCGACGAGCTGCCAGTTTTACAAAGACCACGAGGACTGCGACGGCTACGGAGGATATAACACAAGCACCTCCGAGACCGCAGAGTTCATTAGTTCTGATTTTGAGGTCAACGATCGAGGCCCTAATGTCACTGGGGCTTTCTTTAAGGATACCCTAACAATCGGCAATGCTAAGATTAACTCCATGACACTGGGTGTTTCATACAATGGAATCACTAGTAGTAGGTTTATGCTTCATCGTTTGGCCTACAGATACAATACTAATGAAGCTCGTTAGATACGGTTGGTCTTGGATACGGAGAGCCAGGCAGTTCGTCGGTTTCGCTTCCCCAGGCATTGGCCGATGCTAAAGTTACCAATTCGCCTGCGTTCAGCTTGTGGACAGACTATGGGTACAACTACGGTGGCATGATTCTTTTCGGTGGTGTCGACAAGGCAAAATACGTCGATACCTTGCATACCCTCCCAATTGTGCCAGGGTCCTCGAACCTGCACAAAGCATTCCGAGTCAACATGACTGGTTTGCAAATCAACAAGACAGCGATTGCACCAGATTCTTTTACGTTAGACGCCGCGTTCGACATCCAGGCATCTCTCAGCCACTTCCCTGAATCAGTAGTTTCGTACCTTGCCAAGCAACTTAATGTGCAGAAGATTCCTGAGTCGGGACAAATCATGCTTCCTTGCTCCTTGATCTCCTCGAAGACCAATCTTACCTTTGAGTTCGGCTCGGCCAAATTTGAGTTTCCTATTGGCTCGTTGATGACCCAGACTAGCGTTGAGGAGGCTTATACTACGGATTACGAGAACTGCTATTCGGGAATTGTGGTCAACAGGAAGCTCAAAGATGAAGGCAGCATAGTGCTCGGAACCAACTTCATTAATATTGTCTACACGGTCTTCGATCTTGCAAATGATGAAGTGTCCTTGGCCAACAGAAGGTGGGATTCAGTGTCGAATAATATCGTTGAGATTACGTCGGGTTCTAATGCGGTCCCGGGTGCTACCACTACCCATGGTGAAAAAGACAAGACACAGGATGATAATGATGACAAGGACTCTGCTGGATCTACCTTTGAATTTAACAGGCTTACTCTTGGTTTTATCCTTGCTGTGGTGGGTTTCGTTTTGACATAAGGTCAATCTCTCGATCTTGGGTACATTGATGCACTCATAACTTGTATAATATTCTGGCTCACCAACACAACGAATGATAAAAAGCTATCATAATACGTCTGATAATATAAATAATACTAGGCTTTTCTTCCGGAGTCGTAACTGAGCTCCTCGCAGAATATAGGCGTAGCTGAAGGGGTTTTTGTCAGACGGAATCATGCTCGCTCAATAATCACTGCCTCAGAAGACCCAACAGATACAGTAGAATTGAAGATGCTTTCGACCATTCTCTTTCCAATCAGATTCCCAAGCCCATCTACTGTCTGACCAGCCCAATGAATCCCACTAGTAGCGTTGGATGACGGCCCTGTCAATCGAGCCACACGGACATCTTGTCCGAGAGCTGAGGACACATCAAAAGCCTTCTGTTTCCGTGTCGTGTTTTGATTAACTTCATCTAAGTTCAGAATAACCAGCTTCTTCGGCACAGTTTGGCCTGGCTCGTAAATGGCATAATGGGCGAGACCAACACCATTGAGGGATGGAATTGATGCGGTCCGAGCCCCGTCTTTGAAGTCTCCGATTAGGTCGGCATAGAACAGAAAGCCATAGTATCTAGCCAAATCACGCTTGGTTAGTCATTGTGAGGGAGGGCCATCCAGAGTTGAACACTTACAGGGCTTGAACATGTGCCTTAGTCCCATTCTGATGAACGGGTTGCCACGCACTATACGGATAGCCAACGCCGTTATGGAAATACAGCTGCTCGATGCCAAGCGTTGCGCTAGTAAGAGCGTAATCAATCATCCACAGTGCCGCTGCTAAGGTGTCAGATACACCTGACAGGCCATGGCAAGCTGCGCTGTTTGTTTCTCCCATAATGAACTGCGCCCCGACGCTACGAGAGGCCTCAATGCTGGGGAGATATTGGGCGACACCGGCGAGCGTGTTAAGGTGATTCAGGTAAAATGGGATTGTAATTTCAGCCTTTCCCTCATCTAAACTGATGTTAGCGGGCAAACAGGCGCTCGCGATTCCTGATGAATATCACATACCGGTACAAGCTTCCCCGAAATATTTATGCTCGCTGAATGCTGCAATCTCCGGCACAATATCCTTGACACCAAGCTTTGCCAATGTGCTAAGCGAAAAGTCTTGGGAGGCAGGATGGTTGGCCATTGAGCCGTATAAGAACCTTGGCAGAGCTTCTGGTCGCGAAGTCTGTGCAACAGATGCGACTAGCTTTCTCAGGTAAGAAAGCGACTGCTTCACATATGCAACCACGTCCCAACTCTTGCCTCGATTTCCGAGCTTGGTGTAATAGTAGTCCGGTTCATTTCCAAGCTCATAGTGGGTAAGTCGACTCAAGTTGAGGTAGCTCTGGGCAGCTGCCAGCTCGGCCATGGGAACCTTGATGTTCTCGTCACCCAGGTTAAGACCAAACGTGTACTTTTGAGAGCTTGGGGCGTTCTCATTCAGGACTTGAAATAGTCCAGCGTTGAATGATACGTTAACAGCATGTATGTCATCATCCGCGAAGGTACTGCTCATTGTCTCAGAGCATATCTCACAGTACCTTGCCACGTCTTGGGTGGCTCCACCAACACGGATATGAGGCGAGGCTCCAGTGCGGTCTTCGATGTTCTGTAGTAGTCGATGGGAAAGCGGGTTTGGCTTTCCAACGTCACCTAAGTAGTCGACAATGAAGTTGAATCTAGAGACGAGTCAGCATCGCCTCAGGGTATGATTATCCAGTTGAATTACTCGATTGACAGTCCAAGAAGTTCTCGCGTAATAGGACTCGCGGAGGCGAGTGCAGCTTCATTGTCGAATTGCACCTTTTCGGCTTGTGAGAGGGATATGCTCTGGATGGAATTCTCGGAGCCAAGTTGTATGGCCAGCGCGCTCAGTGCAAAGCCCAAAAGACACAGAGGCTTCATTGTGCCCACAGGTCGAGCCTCCTAGTAGTAAACTCACGCCGAGAAATACCATCAAGTCCTGTGTCCCAACCCTTTAGTCAAGGCTCGACATCTTTATATATATCCCTGTGGGCATGCCATTTGTCCCCTGTATGTCGGTGTTTGTTAATCATTTGCCGACGAAACCGGTTATTGATCTTCAGTATCAACCCCGCAGTCAATGATAATTCGACGAAAAGGTGTTAGTCAGGGCACTTGGATGGCTATAAAATATCGAATGTCCACTTCCCGAGCTGCTGAATATTCCCAACATCAGGTATAATTTTTATCTAGTCGGGGTTTTTGTGCTTGAACAAACAACATGCAATATACTTCACCACAAATATCCACATAGTACAATACACAAGGGTTCTTAGCAATGGATCCCCAGACGACCCAGTCTATCATCATCAAGAACTATATGCCGTCTTTCGTATGACGGGCTTCCCCCACTTTTGGGCTGCCAAGGCCAGGATCGCGGGGTCCCCGCATTCCGAAGTGGAGGGAATCGGCATTTGAAATTTCATCGTTTCTTAACCAATCCAGGAAGATGATGCACTGTTCCTCTCAGAAGAGCTCCTCTGTCCAGTATTTTGGTTGCTTTTGTAAGCATGTGAAGGGTTCTTTGAGATGAGGGGTATCAGATTCTGCTTCTCTTGGGGCTATGATCCACGGCCCGCGTTTGAAAAATGGTCTTTCCGCTTTGTGCTCTGGCAGATATTTGAGGCTGTTCTGAGAAGAGAAGCGATTTTGGCAAGACGTTGAGCTATCTCTTGAAGAGCAATCTTGCGGCTTTCTGCTGCCACGGTGGTATCTAAGACGGTATCAGTATATCGCTGTCTGAATGGGTTAACAAGAATTCTGACCCTGGGGCTTGGAAAGATTTCGCAAAGCGTCCTTTAAGCTTGGGAAATATCCATCAGAGGCTCTACCGCTGTCATTGGACTCTTTCAATCCAACAAATGTGGCACCTTTCGTCAGACTTTCAACCATTTCAGCTTGATCAGATAGCACAGGAGCCAAGTGCGTAATAAGGTTCTCAATATACACTTGGCAATTTGAGATTTTTCGCGGCTCCTGGACTGAGTCAGCAACCTCCTTCTTCGCAATAGAACCTCTGTGATCGCTTATTGTAACCCACCCGATTGTAGACATTGTTGACGCTGCTAAAACATTGCTTGATATTAGGGTTTTCCGAATTCTGAAGCTCTAGATTCCCGAGGATTTCATTTCTCGCAGCTTCACAACCGTAGTTCCCAATGTTTGTGTTAGAATTTCAAACAGGACTGCTTTCGACTCTATGGTGAATACTTTCGTGAAAGCACGGCGTTTTTGGACGGAGCTCGAAGTCGTCGGAGCTTGTGGTTGATTCTGAATCACTTGCCGGGTTTTCAATCGTCACCAGCTCACTGGAGATATTGACCGCTGTCGTGACAACATGTTGACCCAGTATACGCTCATGCTGGAAAAAATAAAGCGCCGGTTTTCGAAATTGTCGTTGGCAGCGATGCCCTTCCTTGGTTTTGGCATTGCAACGACTTTTGGAATCCATGGCTAAATGTCAAGTAGGATTATGTCAAGATGAAGATGGTTGGTGGTACTCTCCAAGACCATTCTCAACATTTATAACCAATTTGGCTAACACGCCCAGATTCAGCAGCATACCGTGTATTACCATCTTTAGTATGGGACCAAGTCTACCTCGGATAATCGTGACATCGAGAGATCTATCTCAATCAACCTCAAAGACACATGTGTAGTACATGGACAGCAAACCTGCATGTTTGACCAACGAATAACCCTGTGATCCGTCCCGGAGCGAAAGGCTGAGTCGTTTCAAACATCACTTGAAACACCCTGGTCTTTGTTTCACCGCCGGAATAGTGGCTGTCAATCTTCTACGTGGTCAAATAGGAAACGTGCGAGATCGTGGTCAATGGCCTATCTCAAACCCACTGACACCTAACGGTTCCTGGGGTTGTAAGAAGTTAATCGCCCTGTGGCCGGTTGTCGTCGGGTCTGTTAGCTTATCATCTCCCTGAGTAAGCCCGAACCAATGCATAAAGGCCCATTGTTAGGCTTGGGAGGCCCCAAAAAAAAGAAACTTATTTTCATTTCCAGAAATTTGAATGTCTTATTGGGCATGGTGGAGAAAACAGGAGATCTACAGTTCAGTGCTACCTGAGATATCTGTCCTGGAGAAAACAGTGCGACATGCATGCCCGATGGTGTGTTCGCCACTGAAATTGCCGAGCGTATAGGTACATGCATATTCTTTGGTTCATGGTGCATAATCACGCGCCTTTGGGGTGGCTTATAAATCGAGAGTGAATCAGATCGGGCAGATGATAAGTCCAGCTCTGCTTAAGTGTTCGCCAGTAGACAAGAGGAGCCAATCTTCCTGAGCGAACGTAGGAGAAAACGCAAACGATTTGAGATCCCCAGTCTAGTATTCAATATTATATCATCGTAAATTCGCCTGAAACTCCATGTCGGGCAACTGCTTATCTCGCTCCCTGGTCTTTAGGTATATGTACGCATCACCTGCCTCAGTCATGGGGATTGTGTTCAGGCAGGCAATGGGTTATGATACCCTAGAAGCCTTGTCATCATTCTTTCTAGTAGGAGATGTGGAATTGGGTAGTAAGTTTAATCTATTGAATCAAATCCTATATGGGTGCAAGCCAGGCAAGAGACACGAGAGACCGGGTGAGAGGAGAAGCCAAGCCTGGGCACCCCGCCTATGACGTCAACTGTCAGCTAAGGATCACCAGCGTGTGTGTACTAGTTCAAATATGGGCTTTTGCGGGCGTTCGTGGTGTTATTATTGGGCGACCTACATGCTTAGTCGGGTGCGGAAAGCGAATTATAGCGGATGGAAGACCACCAACTCATTTACGGCCCTAAAAATCTATCCTTAACAATCCAGTCGGTTTCAACTGCTTTATCATGCGCTATATTATTCTGTCCGTAACGACAATAGACCAATGCGGATATTTCTTCCACGACCATAGGGCTTCAAGAAAGGTGTCAACTGAGACTGTGGTGTTGCAACGAGTTCTAGCCAACACCAAGCCTCTGGATAGCCATGGAGATTGTAGTAGTCATCTATAAATCTACATGCTTGAGGGATTGTTAATGCGGCCTAACCAGGTATCTGATCGGCAACGCTAATTCTAATTGACATCATTTTATTTCCTAGAACTAAAATGCCAAACACAGAATGAATGGACAAGTAAATGATCTTGGAGAAAAGAAATAGAAGAAAGAACAACGCAAAACTCGGCGAACGCAGAACAGCAAATGAGCCCGAGCAGTTTGAGCCCATACAACGATATGGCTTAAATCTCTTCGCTACCCAATAAGACCCCCGATTTCAGTTCCAGAAAAGAAAAGGAAGCACCACGTTGAGAGGCTAAAGTCGGCAAGAGCGGTTTATCATTATCCCCACACATCCTCGGGCTTCCTACTTTCTAGTTAACCACCAAACCGCTGTCAGGCACAAACTGAATCGCTCAATTACTCACGTCTATCCAATTGTGATTTTTCCTGCGCCTCCAGCGGCCGCCTTGCCCGAGGTCACGATACCAGTTCGAGAGTAGCTGTTCCTTCCCTGGAGCTGGGCGTCACCTCCGTTGCTGGAGATATCACCAGCCTCGACATTGTGGTATTGACCCGAAGTAGCGAAGGATATTTCAGCTCCATCTCCTCCGCTTGCACCACCTGATCCACTAGGCTGTTGGTAGGACGCTGGTCCCAGCCTGATTGCTTGGTAACCAGTGGCTCGTCCACCATCGCCGGTGACGTTACCAACTTTCAGAGACCTGTTGGCAGACATCCTTGTCTATGGGATATAGCGGAATGGTTTATTATTGGATAAGAAATCAACAAAATGGATATCGAAATGTTTGGGAGAAAGTCGATCACGAAAGTAGGCTGGAAATGAAGAATTCAGTGTAGCGGTCGTGGGAAATGGCCAATATTTATCTGGGGTCGGTCACATGAGCCAAGCCCTATCTCAGCCTGAATAGGCAATGTCATCAACGTTCGATATGTGAGTTGGGCATAAGTAAGGCCAATCTTTCCCTTGTTTAACCGAATCTTCTATGATCGACTTATCGTACGGCGTGTCCTGCCACTTCCTGGTAGTCCGAGGTTGAAGCAAACAGATACCCCGTGTCTTGCCCTATATCGTCATTTCTCAGCCTCGTTCTTGACCACCTTTCGCAATTGCTGACGCTTCCATGTGCCATCTTTCACAGGATCTATACGTGGACCCATTCCATTAACCGAAATCTCGTCAAATACGACCCAACCTCCGAGCAAGCCGAGCCTTTGTGTCCCACTACCCAATCTAAAGCTTATCATATCAGTTTACTGATTTATGATCACAGTATTGACTCCCATATTCCCAGGTTCTGAACCCAATTCGTGGTCCTCGTGCCCACGGGCATTCAAACCGATTGGATCCCACAGCCTCGGTTCATAAGAAGCAGAAAGAAAAAGGGAATAGTCTTTGAAAGTCAGATTCCAAGAGCAGTTGCTGTCCCTGACAAACATGAGATAGGACATCAGCCACGTTTCCCATTCCAGCGCATGTAGCGGATTGGACACGAAGAATTGCCATGTGCCCGGGGGTGCAACCGATAAGTGGTCCAATGCTATCTCAGGCACCGTTCTCGTATACTTCTACTGCAAACGGGCCTCCAACTCCTGATATTTCCGTCGAGTATATCCTATAAAAGCACCTCATTGACTGGACTCAAACGCCCCAGGCAAACGGTTTCCCCAGCACTCAATTGCCCTCTTATACTCCTACTCATCTTTACACGTTCTTACCCTCTTCATCCCTGCCAGAATGTCCCACGAACAAAACAACAACTATGGGGAAGGCTTTTATAAGCCCAACCAAGGGTTCCCCGGATATCAAACCCAGTACAACCATCCGTACACCCCGCCATACAGTCCGCCACATCATCCACACAATCCTTATCATGATTGGCATTATCACTCTCAGTACTATCCCAGGCCTGATCCGCGAGCCGGATTTCCGAGCCCGCCTCCCCAGTATCAACCTCAACCTACCTGGGGATACGAACCCACCAATCCCCCTGCAAACGAAGGCAGAATGACCGTCAACAACAGCAACTGCGGTAGCGCCACCACCAGCAATTTCGGCAACACCAACATGACCAACTGTGGCAACAACCATCAAGGCAATCGTCATGTCGAGAATTATGGGAACATGCGGACCCAGAACCAGCATGGCACCCGGACTGCAAGAGTCGGCAATGTCTCGAGCAATGGCGGAAGTGCCAGCGCCGACACCAAGAACAGCAGCAAGGGCTATTTGCCGAACGCTAGGGTGAAGGCAGGCACCAATTACAATTCCGGATACCAGACTGGTGGTGGTGGAGGGTCTGTTAACATTGGTCCTGGTTTTTAGGTGATTTGCTTGTTCGGAGGTAATTTTCCACATCTACTCTCCCATTGATATTGTACTAAAATGAACTATAGTCACTCTATCCAAGGTTCTGACGGGCTCTTTTTTCCAAGTCTGTCTTTTTAATTCTTATTTTCTTCCTTGGCTGGCCATTACGACCGGGGTTTGCTTTTCTACGTTGTTTTACTTTGCTCTCCTGCCCTACTTTCTTCATTGTTCTTCTTTTCTCTTTTTTTTTTTTTTTTTTTTCTTCTTTGGTCTCCGGTCTTTAGATGATTGTCTCGTTTTGATCACGCTTGGTTCACAATTGATCTCAATATGCCTACTTTTCTACAATCCTTTCAACGACTCTTAACTATAGTAACTTATACATCTATTTCTAGTCCCGGCTTGACTTGCATGCGAAATATATATCTGCGAACTTATAGCAAATCGCACCGTAATTACTGACATGATTCTATGTTGTCTTTTCCTAGTTACTCTATTTCTCTACCTAAAAGATAAATAATTTGAATAAAAAAGACAGAAGCTGGACAAGAATTAGACAACGATAAAGTGCAGCCACACCACAACCTCGGATGACCAAAACAGGTTAAGATGAAGCCGCTTTACATCGGGATCTTGGCATGTTTGCACCGGCTGACTAATCCCGCCAAGACCCTCCCGGCTTTCTTGCTGGATCTTCCATTTTTGTACAACACTTCAACACTTTATGCCAATTCTGAAACACAATGACTTTATCTCGTCACAATGCCTCTGTCTCATCATCCGACAGCAAGCGTCTACGAGACCGATTGGCGCAGAAAGCCCAGCGGGAGAAACGAGAAGCTCGGATGAAAGGTCTGGAAGATCGCGTGGCGTTTTGCGACCAGAATCATGGACCGGCATCGATGCAGCAGTACACAGTCACCTTGAACCGAGTGCTCGAGGAGAACAAAAGATTACAGGAACAACAAGTCTTGTTCCGACATTTGCTGGGTCAATTTAACGATGTCTTATCTGAGAAATCCTCATCGCAGACGCTGCTCCCTCCGGTGGCGAATACTTGGCATCCAACTCCGGAGACGGGCTTGCCTGGGACTCTAGAGATGCAATCTCAGATCAAGAGTGGTCTACAATACGATAGCACAATATCTAGCTCTATCGGCACCGCGTCAGTGAGACACGAACCGAGAATAGGCCAACGTCCGACAGAGCCTACTATGCCGCTCAGTCTGCCAACCCAGCCCTCTCAGCCGGCGATCACACCAAACGCCATTCCAAACTGGTCTCTCACCCCAGTCAACGAATACGGAATGAACCCCGCCTTCATGCCGGCTACATGTCCATGGTTCTCCCGCCCGGATCTCGTGGCTGCGTGTCCGCCCGTCCCGGCCCCTCTGGATCTCCTCTACGGCACGCGACGTAACTACCTAGCGGACGAAATCAGCCGGGGCATGCGGCGTCAATCGCTCCGAGACCCGGAGTGTCTTGCCAGCGGGTGGTTGACATACGTGTATAGCAAATGGAGAGTGTCTCCGAACCCTGCTACCTTCGAAAGATTACCCAAATTCCTGCAGCCCCTGATGATGCAGCTGCAACGGGGACATCCGAACCTAATAGACTTGATTATATGGCCGCAGCTGCGGATAAATATGATTAAGCATTGGACGAAATATGACTACTGTGAGCTGATTGATTATATGTCCTGCTGTACGAAGGTCCGATGGCCTTGGGGAAGGGATATTTTGGAACGCGATGAGGCGGATAATTTACGCATTCCGCAGGATTTCTTTGATGTTTTCACTCAAGTGAGTGGATGGGGCTTGACGACGGAGTTCATCGAGAAATATCCCGACTTGGTGGAGGGAATGGATGTGGAGGCGCTGCGATTCTCCTATGATCCTGCAGCACGTGTGCAGTGACATGTGTGTAGAATAAATGTCAATGCAAAAGGTGAACGAATTAAGCAAGCACAACGCTCGGAACGATGACCTGATAGCTGCACCTCTACTGTGTCATACTCGTGGAAACAGCCCAAGTGGCTTGTCCGTACTTGGCACAGATGAGTCACGATGATGAATGGGGGCCGCCATGTTCCCCTGAAATCCGATCCACCAGTACAATGCTCTCGTGCGGAGTAAACCTGGAAGGTGCTTTCTGCTTTCTCTTATTCCTTTGGACACTATTGGCTATCACTAGAGGGGATTGTTAAATCTAGGCGACGGTGCGGAGCTTTGCCGGCAGATCGGCGTTGTGCAGACAGGGAGGATCCACTGTTGAATCAGTGCCCCACTAAGAATATCCAATCAAGGAGTCAGAATTTGTTCTTCTTGGATGTTTGCTTGAAAGAGCTTTCTCCTATTGGATAGACGGACAGAACCGAGGAGACTTGTTGAATCACAACTTGCAATGCAGATCGCGGATGTTAATGGAAATTACGGAGTATACGCGGGTTAGCCATGGAGTACCGATTGTATGAAAATAGATTGAGAAAAATTAGAAGATATGGCCCACAGGGCAAATCTACTTAAACTCCATGCACTGGCACCTAATTCCAGATGTATCCTTTGTTTTTTCGCCTATTCCTATCATCGAACAAATCTTTCTTCCATGAACAGCTTAACATGATGATCGCAATATTGGGCATTTTTCCAACAGTTGACCCTACTGTGGTCACTAGTTTTCTGGTACTAAGCGTACTTGCTTTCTTGTTCTACATCCAATCCGGCACCAGCCTCCCCTTGGTCAACGGAAAAGAGCGGTTGGAATTTCGTCTCAGTCCAGCGAAGAAACGATTTCTTGTCGATGCTAAATCGCTCATCGCGCGAGGCTTGAAAAAGGTATGCATCGATGGCCAACTCACGATCAAAACAGAGGCTAATAGGAGGGTTGTATACCAATAGTGGAGCGTCTTTGATATCCTGACTGATACTGGCCGGAAAACCTTGCTCGACCCCAAATACGCCAACGAGATTCGCAACCATCCGGATCTGAGCTTTGGACATGAAATCGCGCGAATTTCATGCACATATCCCTGGCTTTAAGCCGTTCAAGGAGGGAACAAACCCGGACAATATAGTTCAGGATGCTGTTCGTATGAAATTGACGCAGAGCCTAGGTGAGCATGTTATGGACAGAATGGGTGTTTTGATTGAGTTATTGACAAACTGAAAGGCAGTGTGACCAAGCCATTATCGGACGAGACTGCGGTTACATTGAGATCCCACTGGACAGATAACACTGGTGAGTTTACCTTCATTTTGAGGGGCTTATATTACTGACAGGATCAGAATGGCACACTATCAACACCAAGGAAACCGTCCTCCAGATAGTCGCTCAGCTCTCATCCAAAGTGTTTCTGGGCGACAGGATCTGCCGCGATCCCAGATGGCTTCGAATCACCGTCGACTATACGGTTGACTCTTTCCTGGCCGCCCAGTCTCTCCGAATGTGGCCTACCATCTTCCATCCCGTTGTCGCACGATTCCTCCCATCCTGTCGGAAGGTTCAATCTGAATTGCAGGAAGCTCGTGAAATCATCAACCCGGTACTGGCGGAGCGCGCGGCCGAAAAAGAAGCCGCAGCACGACAAGGAAGCACCCCGAAACGCTACACAGACGCGATGGAATGGATGGAACAATGTGCGAAAGGTCGACCGTACGATGCTGGTGCTGCGCAACTTTCCTTTTCCCTTGCGGCTATCCATACTACCTCGGATATGCTCACTCAGGTTCTTTATGACCTATCCGGGAAGGATGAGTTGATTGAAGCTCTACGTGAAGAAGCTCGCACCGTGATTAAAGAAGATGGATGGCAGAAGACTACACTCTACAAATTGAAACTAATGGATAGTATGCTGAAAGAGAGTCAACGGATGAAGCCAATCAGTGTCGGTATGGTTCATCCACGCCATTCACCTAGCCAAGGTAGCCGCTAATAGAGGACTCTAGTTTCCATGAGACGTCTCGCAACGAAGACTGTTACTTTATCGGACGGCACCACAATCCCGAAAGGTACTTCGATCTTCGTCTCTAGCAAACGCATGTGGGATCCAGAGATATACCCGAATCCTGGGACCTTCGACGCATATAGATTCCTGCGACTGCGCGAGACTCCGGGCAACGAAAACTCCTCGCAATTGGTCTCAGTGTCCCCGGAGCATTTCGGCTTTGGTCTGGGCAAGCACGCTTGTCCTGGTCGGTTCTTCGCTGCGAATGAGATTAAGATCGCACTTTGCCATATTTTACTCAAATATGACTTTCGACTGGAGGAAGGTTCTCAGCCTGAGATTATGAAGATGGGATCTGAGATTAGTGCGGATCATTTTGCGAGATTGCAGATTAGGCGGAGGGAGTCGGAGATTGAACTTTAGCTACCGTAACACGTCATTATAGGGAGATTCTTCATTTGTTATATGTATCTAAATACATCTCTCTCATTGGGACCTTGTACACGTGTCAGACTTTCTACCTGGGCCGAGTACTTGGTCTTTCGGCGTTAGTGCTCACCCCTTGCCACTCTTCGCTCCCTGCCATTGTTTATGGATCTATGACCTGATAAGGCATTAGCTTAATCCTCCTCGTCCCCCGACCCTCCCGGATTAAGGTCTGATTCCTCAATCTCCTCCATCTCTTCCAGCGCATCAAAATCCAAGAAAGAATCGCCATCATCCTGAAACATGTCGCAGACTTCATTCGTTTGCTCCGAGCTAGTGACTAGAACCTTGACGATGCAATTCACATCCTCTGAGCGTCTCAGTCCTAACACCAGCTTCAACACGGCGAGCATGTCATCCATAAAATCGTCAGTCTCGTAGCGTCCAATCTGATCAATGACTATAGAGAGTGTGGTTTCCGCAGGAATCTGCCGAACGAGCCACTCGAATACGGTGGCCAAAGTTTTCATCTGTCCCTTGGCTATGCTTTGCAGTTGGAAATGCTTGGCCGCCGCACCCTGTGGCCACAACGTAAAGTCAAACGCATGCTGTTGCAGCAATTGGGCAATGAATGAGGTCAGCATGGCGACTCCCCCGTAGAGGCGACTTTGTGAGTTTGAATCAATTCCGCTATCCATTGAGCTGCAAGACGAGGTGTCATCGCTGCCGTCGTCGTGCAAAGAGCAAAACCACACGAGCCGCACGTGGTCCTCCCGGCCCTTAAGGGCCGAGCAGACTAAGGCTGAAATTAGGGACACCCCAGACAGTTCGTAGCCATCCGCATCCGGGTCGCCTTGAATGAGAAGCTCCCTGGGATATGGGACAGCTATCCAACGGCGGAATTCTGGACTAGACACAGCGGCTTCAGCCCGGCCACGTGACGAGGGCGGGATCTGCAGGCGATGGAACAGAACATGGTTGATATCGACATTTTCGTTGTGGTGAGGGCCCAGTTTGGCCCAGAGTATGTCCTGGGTGACAGGCATTGGCGGCGGGGGTGGAATCCAGGAAGGAAATAGTGTCCATGCTGGCGGGGGAGCTAGCATCATCAAGGGTGGCATAAATCCGATTGGCATGGGCATGATTGGAGGCTGAGGCTGTATACTTGGGGATGGACGGTCAGACTTGGGGGATTCAAGTCTGTCAACTTTGTCTGCTCGTTAAATAAGTAGATCCAGTCAGCTATTGAAATGGTTTCATAGAGATGGGATCGATCACATACCACACAGCCTCTCCAATATTAATCTTTGCTCTTCACGATCCTTTTCCTCCTGATCTTCCAATTCTCGTTTCCGTTTCTTTTCCTCCTCTGCCATTTGGAAGAGGTCCTTCACCATGTTAAACATGCGGGCATCCCGAACATCTGCTAGGTGAGCTGCGTCGTCTAATTTCTGCATATTGACGCGACCTATCGCCGTAAGGTGTGCCGCGCCCTGGATGAGCATGTTTAAGCCGGTCCGATTGCTGTGCTTATTTGCCTCGTCGGCGAAGGTCACGAGGCGGGAGCTGTGTCGCTTGATTTCGCTCATACTCTCTGTCAGGGCGCTCTGGTAATCTTTCCCTTGCGTTACGGAGCCCCATATGCGTTTCCCTGTTGAATGTCAACAGATAGTTAGACATGAATCTATTCCCTGCAGCTTACATTGGCTACTCTGGAAAAACACCATCGCATCTTCGATGGCTTTCAAGATTGCCACAACCAAATCCACGGATGCTTTTTGGATCTTCCGATCCCGGGTGTAGGTGGCGAGAAAGAATTCTATCCTTTCAAAGTCCTCCTCCAGCGTTTGGGGGTCCAGGGCTGTTGCCACCTGCTCGCGGAACTGGGCCGCCGTCGCTGCGGCCTGTCTCGACATACCAGGGGTCAGTCCACTTTTTCCCAATTAACTGGTCCTCAAGAAGGAAAGCTGCACTCACATCAAGCAGGATATCCACAGCCACCAGAAAGGGCGAGATATATTCCAATTGGGCACCAATTTTGGTGATGGTCTTCAGCTGGTCGGTCTTTCCCGCTATCTTTCGGTAGGATTTGCGGAAGATTGCCTTCACACTCTTTCGTTGGGGAATCTCATATTTAACCTTCGCCTTCTCCAACCTGTTGCACACGCCTTGCCAGCTCTTCTCATTCCGGATGCTAAAGCCAGCCTTGGCCAGCCCTTGCGGCTCCGGATGCTGATCCTTTAAGCCTGTCATGGACTCAGGAAATATTTGAGCCCAGAACTTCATGGCATTAACTGGAGCTGACTCCGGGCGCGGCGGAATCTGCCCTGCGTCTGGGCCCAACATCCAGGCCGGTACGAAATCCTGGGATATCGCATCATATTGAAGGTGCGTATGCTTGAAGGCTGGATGCAATTCAGGCAGACGGTTCTCCATAAAGTCGATCGTCGCAGCCCGTCGGGCTGGCCTCGGTCGTGGAAAAGCCCCCGTATACATTTTCGAGGTCTTGCGATGGAACAACCAGACAAGACTAAGCACCTGAAGGGGGAAGGGGCCGAGAAAGAGGGGTTGACGGGAGGGTGAGAAAAAGAGATCCGTGCTGTGTATGGACTGTAAATTCCCTCATAAGAAGGCAATGCATCAGATGACTGGTGGAAACTAGTCAGTGGCTTGAGGCAGAGCTTGACATGGACCCTCAATAGGTATTATTGTAAGTGAGCCACAACAACGCCAACCGTATGAGAGTCTCTCCAGTATTCCCCCAAGCGCTTGCATAATTCAGTAACTACCAAACAGTAGAATATCTCTGTGACTCGGATTATAAATCAAGAGAGAAAGAATAAGACGCAACAGCCCATATGTAGAAGGTAGACATCGATCAGCTGGTCGGGCCCAGCCGCGAAGAAGGCAGGATCGTCGAGGAATTCTCCCTGCGTTAACTCCTGCTTTATTAGCCAAAAGAGAGGGAGGGGCAGAGATACAAAGGATTAGTACAGAGGAGAGGGAGACTTTTGTCCACGGAGACAGCAGGGCAAACAAACAGGCGATGTATCTGATACGTCCATGGCGACGCGCCAGTATGCATGTCAGCCGCACGCATTCCGGCAGGATCCACTCCGGTTGACTTGGACGTCGCCCAGACCAATGAATCGATGGGAATCGGGCACCATAGCTATCGGTGACTCTCGGGGATTCGGAGAAAGGCCGTCGATGTCGATCGAGGGGAGCCACCCTAGAGAGTAGAAATACTGCACACGGACTCCGGGAATGTTGAACCGTCATGCACACGGGTCTAGAAGTTGCAAAAGATTTACCATCGTCTAGACATAATATCATGGCTATAGTGGAGGGTGAGACTCGACTGCCACCCCCGGCAGGTTCGCACACTGCTTGCAGTTCATCGACTATGAATATCCCAACGGCAGATGCTGTGGGAGCGAATGAGATGGACCATGTCAAAGATCGGTTCGACCATCCCGACACTGCCATCGTGCAGCTGGGCGAAAAGGTCGAACAGCTGCAGCAGAAGCTCGAACATGAGCGCAGAAAGCGCGAGGAAATGCAGCGCTCACTTGAGTTCACCGAGCCGCATGCTTCCATGGGGAGACCTTGGATGCTGGAATTTGATGTATATCGGCCATCAATTTATGACAATGGTGGAGTCGACGATGTATACAGCGAAGAACGGAAGCGTTTACTCGAAGGCATGGGGTTTGACGCTATGCATGGGCGCAAACGGGCTATGATGCGTGCTATGGAAGCGGAATTGATCTGGTTGAAACGGGAAGATGAAGCATGGATGAAACTATCGAGTGATGCCGCCGAGGAGCGCGAACGTACCGACCAGATGAGGAAACGACTATTCGAGCTGCAGGCCCAAAACCCGCAACAGGGCGCTGAAACAGAGCCCGAAGAGCTGCAAGAGGAGAACGACGATCCTTCCTCGGTAGCCGACAAAAAGGAAGCGACCTATCCACCGGATCGATGGCCAATTCCCCGTCTCAATCGAGTAGAATGGAAATCTTTCATTCGCCTTGCGAGAGACTTCGCTCTGGATGTCTTGGAAGGAGAACCCTCAATGACATATTTGCCTTACAATAGCTGGGGCAGAAAGCCCTCACAGCTGATCGATGATACTCTGTCAGCCACCAAGAAAAAGCAGTTTGCTCCAGGCCAAGGGCCCATGCCCGAGCGCATCCGAATAAATTCCCACCATATCATCTCAATTTTGCAGAAGCTGGATTCGAAAAACTTCGATAATGAGCATCAGCCTATCGTTATGGTCCGGCCTTTCAAAGCGTTGGTATACTTAGAAGAGCAAATCCGTCAAATACATGAAGCCCTGAAGGAGAAGCATCAGACCCACTCGGACTCCGGCCGGGAGCCAAACACGCCGCAAAAGAACAGCGCCGATGAAGGAAAGGAATCGCAGGTCTCCGGGCAGCAAGAGAATGTGCCTGAGCAGGAAGCTGAACAAAGTGAGGAACGACAGGAGGAATTGAGCCCTGTGGCGAAAGTCCTCGAGGATCCTTTTGCTTCTTCGGCGGTAGCCCTGGAGCAGTGGGAGGTGCTCGTTGAGTTCCTGGACACGGATCTCAAGATGAAGCTGGAGTGGCTGCGAAGTGACAAGTGCCAGAAAGTGGCCTTTGCCGATATATGGTACCTCTTCAAACCTGGAGACGAAGTGGTAGACCAAGGGGGGAGGCAAGCGTATCGCGTGATTGGTGTTACAAGCCCAAGCCACCAGTTTATTTCCCCTTATCGCACCTACGGGGGTGGGTTGCAGGTAGCCGATAACTCCGCCGTCATCTTATTCTGCGTGCACATTGACTTCGATGGCAAGATTCTGGGTCCAGTGCTTCGGCGATTTGCCATCCCCCGTTTTGATGGCGAGAAGGCAGTGACCTCCTTGCGCGTCTATCCCCTGAGATTTGTTCAATCTCGTATGGCAGAAGGCCACAGTCAAGGCACCATTCGAGAGAGGCTGATCGCCCGAGGGAAGCTTTTTATGGATGTGTGCTCATTTCAGAAACACATGCACTATGGTGGTCTCACATTAGACAGTCGAGAGCAAGTAGATGGACAAGTGGTGATTGACTTCGAAAGGGCCTTGGAGACGAAGGACCGGGATCAGGGTCGGGCAGCCAGGGGCTACGGCAGCGAAGATGAATCGGATGAAGAGGAAAATCTGGCATGGCGCCCTAAAATTGACAGTCTGCTTGGAGTCGATCTTGAGCACCAGGAGAGCTCAACCTGCTACGAATTTTGCTGCAGGCAGCAACAAGTGTTGACCGACCAGTGGGCAGAGGTCAAGCGCACCGAGGACTACCGCAACAGCCTCGTGCCCGAGGAGCGCTGGCGGGAGCCCTCGCTTGCCATCGAACCACGGGCCAAAAGCTCCCTGTCACTCGGACGGGCTCTGGGAGAGGAGGATTACGTTATTATGAGCTACCGCGTGTTTGGATTCATTCTGCGCAACCGCAAATGGGGTAAGGCCGAGTTTTCACGGAAGTGTTCTGGCGCTGACAGACCGTTATGCAGCTAAGCTGGATCTCACGCATCTCACTTATATTCGACGACCTCGGGGAGAAGCTCAGGTTGGGGAGCAGCCTCAAGAGATGGCCTTTAATCAGCTGGTGCTTGATCCAGGGCACAAGAAAATGCTATTGTCGCTGGTAGCGCAGCATTACCGAGACAAAGAGTCTCCGACCGCTGGGAATGAGCAAGTGGACATCGTTCGGGGAAAAGGTATTCGAATGAGCTGGTCAACGTGTCGTAGGATTCGCTAATGAGCTTTGATAGGCAAGGGCTTGATAATTCTCCTCCATGGTGCCCCTGGAGTGGGGAAAACCACTACGGCAGGTTCGTAAGCCTTAATGGTATCCCTACCCCCAAAGGCGGTTTGCTAATTGCTAACCGTGTCATTTACAAACAAATTAGAGGGTGTTGCGGAATTATTCGAGAAGCCGTTGTTTCAGATCACCTGTGGTAGGAAACCGTGTGCCCTTAGTGAAGTCACACGCGGAGATTGACTGACTGGGAACGGCGATGTAGGCGACCTAGGGAGCACTGCCGAACACGTCGAGCGCGCACTGGAGACCAATTTTGCCTTGGCCAATCGATGGGGCTGTATTCTGCTGCTGGATGAGGCAGACGTCTTTCTGGCCAAGCGATCTCCTCAAGACTTTATCAGGAATGGGTTGGTTTCGGGTAAGGCAACGACGCAGTCCTGCCCCGTTGTGTTCCTTCTGGCTGATCCTCGCGCTAGTCTTCCTCCGGGTACTCGAATACTATGCGGGGATTCTTTTCCTTACCACAAACCGCATCGGAGACTTCGACGAGGCGTTCAGTTCTCGCATTCACATCAGCCTGCACTATCCGCAGCTGACCCTTGATGCTACCACGGAGATTTTTGAGCTCAATATCCGGCTGATTAGGGACCGGCTTCGACGGAAAAAACGGCTGTTTGACATTGATGAGAACGAGATTCTGGATTATGCTAAGAAGTACTGGACCAAGCATAAAAGGATGCGATGGAACGGCCGGCAGATTCGAAACGCCTGCCAGACAGCTTTGGCCCTGGCTGAGTTTGATGCTGGAGGCGGAGACCACGAAAAGATCCTCGATCCAAACGCTGAGATCAAGTTGTCCGTCAGTCATCTCAAAACAGTAGCCCGCGCCTATCGGGAGTTTATGTGGTATTTGAACAAACTGTACAAAACAGACCAGAATCGCCTGGCTCACAGAAAGGGACTCCGAGCCCCAGAGCTGAATGGGAAGGAGATATACACCTCGGACGAAGAAATTGGCCCGGGTGAGAGCGATGAAACCGATGCAGGAGAATCCCATCTTTCATCCCACAATCCGGGCAAGCAGCATCAGTCGGCCCCTAAGCTGACTCCAGCTGCCACATCGGTCTCGAGCCCCCAGATGGGAGCTACTAACCTGCCGCAAGCATACCCAGGTGGGCTTGCTGGGAACTATCCCTCGGCGATGGCGCAGGCCCAGGCAGGATATCCATTTTTCAACGCGATGATGGGATCGCCACAACAAGCGCAGCAACAGGAGCCCTTAATTCAGCACCAGAACGCTCAAATGATGCAGAATATTAATCCGGCGTTGTACCAACAGTTCCTCCAGCAGCAGGCCCAGATGCAGGCGGCGGCCGGGTTTCCAGGGGCTGTGCAGGGCCAGGCAGGCTTCCTGGGAGATGGTGGGCCTCGCAAGCAGTAAACTTAGGTTCAGCTATGGGTCTGTTACTCGGAAGCTACCAAGTATCGTGAAGCTCTGTGAAACGAATAAAGTCCTTGAATTCGGATGAAGACCTCGAGGATCGCCGACTCGCCAAGCCCATTGTGGGTCACATGTTAAGCTAACTATGTTGGGAAGGTGTCTGTCGTTACCTTATAGCGTGTCTCTTCTTTCAACATCAATCTTTATCTTTGTCTTGGTTTGCATTTTGATTTGAATTTGAGTTTCAGCTTAGGATTCGCTGATTTTGAATCTTTCTCTTCAGATGTTGAAGAGCTTTCTTTGCCCTGTCAGTTTCTCAAAAAGGACTGTAGCTCACGATACGACCCAGCTTCCCTTCATGCCATATTCTAGTAGGCACCTGCAACTAGATATCTTTCGAAGGACTACTGCGATTGGTTTGCTTATAACTGCCCTCCTCTCAGCAAGCCTGCTACAGCCTCGACTAAGCCGCCGCCTTCCCGCGCGTCTCGTACGGAAGAATCAAAAACACGACGCCCGCAACAAGAAACAGCGCTGCAGAGATCCACACAGGAACATCCGTCTCGATCCCAATATATGCCGCAATGATCGGCGCCATGAGACCACTGAGCCTATTAAACAGAGCGACCAGCCCATTCGCAGTCCCGCGGACCGGCGCAGGAAACAATTCCGGCGTATAAGAGTAGAGTAAGCCGTAGACGAGATTCTGAAAGAACGCGATAGCGCAAGTGAATCCAATAACCCCGGCCTCGGCGCTTGCGCGCGTGAATAGAAACAGGAAAATTCCGGTCCCCAAACAGGCGAGAGTTCCGGTGCCTTTTCTGCCGATGCGTTTGAGGTCGACGGTGAAGCCGCCGAGCAGGGAGGCTGGGATGCCGCACACGGCTTGGATGGCATAGTTGCGGTAGGTCGTTGAGATCGAGGAGTCACCTTGGGAGACGCCTTTGTGTTCCAAGAAGATGGGTATAAAGGAGTTGTAGAGGGGGTAGGCCATGCCGATTGAACACCATAAGAAGAGAAGGGTGGTGGAGAGGGCGAGACGGGGGGTCGAGAAGAGAGTTCGCAGTTTTTCGGGCTTGTATTTTTCCAGGCTACGTGATATAATGTCGGTTTGGTTGGGACCTTGTACATCGGTGTTTTCTTGCCCCTCAAACTGTGCGTTGATCTCCTCGAAATGTGCCAGTGTGAGCCAGGTGGTTCCGCCGTTCCTGCCGGCAATCTTCTGAACAACATCAACTGCCTTGGAATCCAAGCCTTGGCCTAGGAGATACTTCGGGGTCTCGTAGATACGGAAACAGAAGCGAAGCAAGAACATCGCCATTGTTAGACCACCGAAAGTCCAAAATGTATATCGCCACCCGAGGTTTCTTCATACGCACATCTTGCAGCTTGCGAAGAGCAGGAGAAATTGGCAATAAGCGGCCAAGCGATCAAGGCTGCCACAGCCTGGCCGACAGACCAGAGTGCTGACTGCATGATGAGGAGATACTGATGGGTAGCTGGTATATACTCAAGAAAAATGGCACTATCAACGGGTTGGTTGCCGCCGGTTCCGAGACCAATGAAGGCACAAAAGGTCGAAATGGCCACGAAGTTGGGGCTGCCTGCACCGACGAGTCCAGATACTGCTGAGATCAAAAGGGTAACATTAAATGCTAGCCGTCGACCGATAAAATCGGCTGTTATGGGCCACACGGACGATCCGACAACTAGGCCGGCATACTTGGCGACAGTGAGGAATGCGATACGCTCGACAGAGAACTCGTTTCTCACTGGAGCACTGGTTATAGTAATGGCTTGCATTCAGAACTAGAGGAAAGGTAAGACACACAGATTCTAATGGAAGATCTTATAAGTGTTGCTCACATTGTCAACAAACCAGCCAAAACCAGTCATGGCACAGACTTTCCACTGAAAAGGGCCCATTCCGATATCGATCAAAGCTTGATTCAGCAATGCAACCTTTTTCTCGTACAACTGGTTGGTCGCAGTTGAAATCCCTCTTATGTCAATACCATGGTAACTGTTCTCCGTGATAGCTTCATGTTGCGAAGGCTTCGGTACAGTCCTCTCAAGATCATTGAGGCGAGAAGTCTTGAGACCGTGCCCCGTTGTCCCAGACGTGGAGGGATTCATGCTTCTTGCTCTGCGCAAGAGCTCTTCAGATAGAATGCCCTGAACCGAGAGATATCAAATTGTAAATTGAAGTTGATGACGAATGTGAAATACGCAGTCCACCAAAGAACTAATACTGGATTCGTGACTCCAGAAGCAGTTTGGCTTCTCTCTATTGAAGGAAGGAATGCGTTGATAGCGAACATGGGAAGCATCTCCCTCAAGCAGAATGGAATTTCGAGTCTGTCACCTTATGTTCTCCCTATCTTTCTTTGTTTTTCTCGGTCACTCTTCCCCTCCTCTTCCCCGCATCTGTAGATTAGATTCATGAATGCCGAGAATTCTTGGCACCTTATCGCGATGCAATGATCAAGACACAATTATCTCAGACGCCTCCCTCCACTACCACCACCTATACTAAATTAGACATTTATTCTACCATCGACCACCGGGACTCAAAGACATAAAGGCAAAAACATACAACTCCATGTATATGTCGGTCCTCACCCAGCCCAGCGCCCACGGGGTTGCCGTTTTGACGCCAGCGCTCCGGCGGCTTTAGGTGAAGCCTTTAGTCCCCTAAATATTTTGCAACTATCAGAAGTTATATTTTGACATTACTATAAAAAAAATAAAAAGAAGGGGAATGCACGCTGTTAAAAACCATGGCGCTGATATTCCCCCGCTTTTCTACTTTTTATACTCCAGATTGCTTGTTCAAGATGCGTCAAGATCTGGCAGGGAGATTTAGTGTGGTTAACCTCGATGACCACAATAATAAAAATATAAAAAAAGCCGTTCTTTTAAAGACAGAGGCGGATTATAAGAAACTTTTTAAAATATTGAACCAGTAGAACATGGGAATTATTCGCCGTTCTCTAATCAATATTTATTAACTTAAACCATTACCTCCTATTTCTTTTTTTTTTACTTGTAGTTGACTTCCAGACTCTCCCTCCTCTCCCAGGCAGAAGTGGAGCCATAGAAACGAGTAGGAAGCCATAAGATAGTTATTCTGTTTTCTAGTTATTCTAGATATTATTATTCATATATAGATTTATTTATTTTCAGTTTATTGTTATGATCTATCTCTATTCTAATTCCATTCTATTTTATCTTTTATTGAGATTGATATGATTCTTATGATGAGAAATACCATATGTCAATATTAGCTAAATGCAGCCGCCTTAAGGAACGGCTTACCAGAAGCCGACCTAATCTCTCTGTTTTGTTGCCTCCCTTTATCTCTCCTATCTCTTTAATTCTTCTTCTCTTCTTCTTCTCTGATAGAAGCAGGTCGATCCTTCATCAATTTCGCTCTGACTGACTGGGCGTTGTTGTGATTTGGCCATAGTCGTATCATGTTAGACTGCTTAGGTGACTCAACAGTTGATTATGAAAGTCACTGTTAGTTTTATCTTCTTCCTCTTTTTCCTTATATCTGTTATTCCCGTTGAACCGCTACCTAGATAATTGAGAGATGAAGATTATCTTTACTTCTAGATTGAGCGCTATTACAGCAGTTGCCCCTCCTGCGAGAAGTATGGGATGCCGTCGAACGGATGATGCCGGTTACCAGTAGCCGCGTGAAATATTAATCTACTACTAAGTGCGTCTCAGCTACCCAGTTCTACTCTAAGTAGATACTAGGCTCAGTAACATATCCATATTCATATTCTCTTATTAGAGTATGAGTACACTAATAAACTATGATCTGGGATGCAGAAAAGGCTGGATCAGACCCCGTATAGACCTGAGGTATTGACAGACAATTTTCGTTGGCCAGTCGAGCCTCTCCACAGGGAGACTCTGTCGAATCGTCGGGACCTTTCCTCCCTTAGAGCGCTCAAATTGTACACTGACATTGCCAATATCTCCCTCTTGACTTTTCCCGGACGGTCCTCCACGAAGCCTCCTCTAGGGAAACGCCGGAATCCCTAGGGCATGTCCTTGATGTCATCAATAGTACAATGAACAGGAAAGTCAAGGCCACGATCCCCCATAATTAAGGCTATGCCGGAGAGAGAGGCGGAGACACAGTCGGTTTTGTTGTAGGGACTTGCGCTGCCCTCGAAGAGCTTACTGCACCGTCCTAGCAAGAAATAATGTCTTGAACGACTCATCGGACAGGTTGTATTGGCTTTTTCGGCTGCGTAGTGGCAGCAGTTGGAGGCAGATCGTTTGCACTCCCAGTTCCAGGCGGACCAGGGCTCGCTACAGTCTTTCGTTGGATTAAGGTCGACCGCTGCGGCAGGGCAAGCAAGTAAGGCAAGAGCAGAGAGAGCAAGCGAGATTTTCATAATGAAGCATATTCTGTCTAGTAACGAAGGACATTTACACGGGGAGGAGGTGTTCTTTATAAAGTATTTTCGCATAAATGCGGAGATTTCTGCTATAACACGCAACACCTGCTCATACCGAATCTGGCAAGCATACGCGATGGCTGTAGGTGGCTTACATCCGTATGCATTTGCACCTTGTCTGACCAGTGGTTGCTGTGAACCCCTCGTATATAATCTCGCTTTGTTTATCCATATATGTACGATACTGCTCCGCTTGGCTTCGAGGATATAACCTTTAATCTTGGCGACAGCGCGACATCGAAAAGGCCCGAGGACGGTATCTGTAGCCGAGCTCCTCCCCGCTCATCCGTCCGCTGTCCGCATCGTAAGATCCCTGAGGAGGTCATTCATATCGTGGCCCACAACCCGGTGAGTATATCGCGTGGGTGGACTTCCGGTTGTGGAGACTAATAGATACGCTATGCCCAAAGCCTAGTGGATCATGATTCACGGCCCGCAAATCTAGGCTTTAGTTCCTCAGATGGACAGAACCATTCCCAGTGCAGTGTTTAAATTGAACTTTAATCTAGCCATTTTCTTCAGTGTTGCAAAAGGATAAAGGACAGCCGAGTGAGACAACAGGTAAGCACTAAGGCGGCCGAAGGAGACAGATGGGACTTTTGGCTTGCACGTAAGATTGGTAGCTTCAGTATCACCCAGGAAGATAGCCAAGGTTACATTAATTGTAGTTCCACTTCTCCATGCTTCATCTCGAGAGACACGTTTGGATTGACCACTATGTCGGTTTTAAACGATCCTGTCAGCATGTCATCAAAGTCGAAAGTCTCCCTAACTCTAGGCCGCGCTGCCCTCCCGTACAAAGATATGTCGGAGCTTCGCCGGCGACTCCGATGACGCCTCAATCATGTGGTGCGACATCAGCGATCGAGCTGCATGCGTCACAGCACCCCTGAGTCAACGTCCATGATTGGCGAATCGACGAACGGAATGTCTGGCTATCAAGCGTGGCTTGGCTCAGCTCGGCCAGTGGCTCGAAGACCTCAAGAGACTGCCATCATGAATCCTGCGTTTTCGGGACGTTGATGTTCCCCTCCTGTGTGGCATCTTTCCTCGTTCCGTTGGATAGCAACCGTCGATGGTGGCTGGTGGAGATGCGGGAGGGAGCGGGAGAGGCTGCTCTGCTGAGCCAGAAATCGATATCTTTTCGCTTCATTCAAGTATCGTACAAACGATGTCGAAGGAGGATAATCTCGCCTTTGTTGTCCTGGATTATTCCGGTATTGTTGAATCCAAGAGCTAGAATCACGTGGAATGGCTTGGTCGACGCCCAGCTGTCATTGGGAGGTATTCGTCGGTAACCCTCGGAGACAATGGCAAAAACTCCCAGTTGGTTCCATCGAAGGGGTAGGAGAGGGCAGAAAAAGAAAGCAGAGCTACTAGATGTGGCAGCTGTACGTGGCTAGGTAGCGAGCAACACGGAAGACAGGAGACTCTGCTTCCGACCGAAAGTTACGAGAAAAGGCCACGTCAGTACGGCAGACTTAACAAATAAATTTATGAACTTTTAAAAGACTGAAGACATAGTAAGGCACTAACTAACTAAACCCAGCAATGTAAAAAATAAGCAAAAGCAAAAACATACAACAGCCGGGATTCGCTGGTGGTCACCCACCCAACTACTAACCGGCCGGCGTGAGGCTTAAGTACGGCTGAGCGGACGGGAAGCCCTGTTTTCCTCACCCTGTGGTCGTATGTGCTTTGTTTTATTTGCTTAGGGTAGATATTCTAACGAAACGAGATGCAATTCCGTGTTATTTCGCATGGCCTGGACATTAACATGGTCGCGGCTGCGTTGTTTATCCTATTTAACCCCCGGGATTTGCACCGGCAAGGTTTAGTCTCTCTCAAGTGCATACGACCGTATCACATATCCCATCTGTTCGTTCGTCTCGACATCAATAACGCTTGTATGTGTTTAATCCAGGAACAGTGTCCTTGACTAGGTCATATGGAGCGCCTATGGGTCACGCAGGCCTTGAATAATTAGCCAACACGCATAGAACATGTCAAAAAGCTCATTTGGTGATTGAAACGAGAAGTAATGTTGCATTTCGTCTAATCAATATTGAAAAGAATAACCCGAAAGGAACCCTCGTTCTCATATACCACACCCCCGAGAGAAGGAAGCCCAACAGTCTCGCCAAAGTGCTATGTTTTGTATTAGCTGGGCGCTGATCCTTTCTGCAGTAGAGTGCCTTACATCTTTCACTCTGGTATACCTAACATGCTGCTCTCCAGATCGAGCTCAAGAAATGTCACGCGCGGAGAAGAATGACCCAATGCAAGCGTTGAATTGTAAGCCTCAAAACTTGCGATCCGGTACTCGGGTGGAAGCCAGATGACCTTCTGGCTTCCGCAAAATATCCAATCATGACGGAATGACATTTTGTGGATTCCAGTCAGTGGTTTCAAACCGATAGTATCTGAAGAAAGTTCGATCAGTTTGTCGCCGAATCTCGGATGCTTCCCATTGGCAGCTGAGAACCAGGTCTTGTCACAGGGCTCTCCTTCATAGATGCTTTCGCACGACCCAGATTCAATATTCCAACAAGAGAGGCTGTGGCTTTTGTTAATGACCGCTAGTAATTTTCCATTTGATGAGAACCAGACTCGTCCTGCTCTATCAGCGTTGCCGTCAATGATATGCTTCAGGGTCCGCGAGACCACGTCCCAGAGGTGCACCTTTCCATCTTCTAGAGTGAAAGCCATGGTTTTCAGATCAGGTGCCCATTTAAATCTCTTGATCCTCTTGTCACTTTTAATGACATATTTGCAAGCTCCAGACCCGGCATCCCATAGACGAAGTGCAGGTTCTTCGGAAATTGATGCCATCATCTGGTCATCAGGGGCGAAAGTAACGTCCGTGATGATGTCCTTATGCCCTCTTAGGATCCTTTTACGAACCAGGGAAGCTGAATCCCAAATCTCCATAGTGTTGTTTGAAAAGGTCAAGACCAGGGAGTCGCCCCTTGTGGAATATATCAGCTTCAATGGGTGCCTGCGTTCGGTTCCATGAAAAGTCTTCACCAAGGCTCCAGTGCTCACATCCCAAAGCGAAAAGTCGAATATATCGTCATCTCTTGGAACGAGACAGACCTTTTCGCTATCTGGGGACCATACGAACTTGTTAATATACCCTCGACGATCCAAAAACATTATCCGATTATTTGTTGCCGAATTATAGAAGTAACAAACTTGGGATCCTGCTGCAAGAATGCGACCGTTTGGCGAAAGGGCCATCGGATTAACTTCACCTCGGTGTCCTTTGAGCATCGGTCTTCCAGAAAATGGATGCAGCTCGTAGTTATCTCCATCAATGCCACTCTGTGAGATGTTTCTGATGACACGAACGCCCAGGCAGTCGGCTTCTCGAAGACGGATATCTATGGTTGGTTCTTCCAAATGATCTGTGCCTGGCTCCTCTGGTTGTCTCGTTTTTTGATGTCTCATATAACGCAATGCAGGCGCAATGAAAAAAAGAATAGTCTGTAAGTACAGGGCCAAACCTAGTGTCGGGAGTAGGAAGCCTTCATATTCAGAAGGAATTGCGTACAGTAGACAGGCATTGAAGACCAGTGAGCATCCTCCAGCCCAATACATACAGCCTTTGTCTATGCTCGAATGCGAAGCAATACCCGGGTCGTTGACACAGGCATTGGAATCCGGTTGGTCTTCAGAGTATATCTCGGGATCCTGGGTAGAGTGGAAAAGGTTGTCCCAACTGTATAATATTCCCCGGGAGGCTGTTACTAATAACGTATCGTCTCTAGAGAAGGCCAGGACATTTAGGGGATCTTCATGGACTTCGGCGTGAAGGAGGCCATAGCATTTATCAGTAGCCACATTCCATGCAAATGCAAACGAACGGTGGGGAAATACTAGAAACCGGCCATTGTATGCAAATGAAACCGATGAGATTCGAAACTCATCTGCCTGTAAAAGCTTCCAAGTTTTGGAATTCCCATTCCAAAGTCTCACGCAGCCGTTTGCGAACCCAAGGGCAATATTGACATTATCTGGGGAGACCTTCAATGCCAAAGGCCTATTGGCAGGCTTATCCATAAAAAGCTCTTCCCAGAGAGATGGTATACTGGGATCCATGTAGATCTCCTCCCATAGACATGACCTTTTATTCCAAACACGGACTGCGCCGTTGGTCCAAGCACATGCCAGTAAGAGGCCATTTGGAGAGATGTCGAGAGCTTGAACACGGTTTGAATTAAATTTGTCCATATCCTTTCTCCATCTCATTTGCACTCGTTTGCGGTCGACATAGCCCTGGGAATCCTCCATGGCCTTAATCTGTTCAATTCTAAAGCCTTTGTCCTCGAGCTCCTGCCAGTGTTTTTCATTCTCGGCAACTCTTCGCTCTATGCGCCGCAGGCCCGCCTTAACCTCCGAAGACACCTTTGATGCTTCTGCAAAATTCGTTGTTCCCTCAAATATTTGCTTCCAGGTGCTAGTAGATGGGGCGCGAAGTAATACGGTCCCGCTACTCAATCCAACTACTAGAGTGCCCGTAGTAGATGAAAAGGCGGTAGCGGAAACCATACCCTCGGAACTTTTGAATATTTCTTCATATGTCGCGCTGACGGTGTTCCACAGTAAGACCCGCCCGTCCTCAGACCCTGATACCAATGAGCAGCTGTCCTGGAGGAAGCACACAGTGTTTACGGGCCCGCCATGACCTTCAAGAGCCTGTTTAAGCATGCCGGTGCTGGCGTCCCATATTTTGATAGTGGAATCTTCTCCAGCCGTTACTATCATTTCGTCGTCTGGAGAAAAGCACGTATCGAGAATTTTTGAAGTTCCATGGCATTCAAGCACCTGCCTTGAGAGGGTCCAGTCAGCCGGAACGCCCTTAATGCTTTTCACAACAGGTAGCCTGCTTTTCCAGAATAGACGTTTGATTTCAGTATTCTCCGGGCAGAATATGAGGGCTCCACAGTACACTTGCAAGGGGGCAAGCTCGATCGTTGAGCCATAAGCAAGTACTAGGCGCAAAGAGTCTTGGAGCAGCTTTGCAAATTCTGAATTCGATTTGGACTGTTAATCTGTTAATGTGGTTCGACTCTTTAATGATAACGGCGAGGAACACAGACCTGCACTTGTTTCAGAATCGATTTGATGATGAAGATACCGGTTGAGATCTCTCGCAGATGGCCCAAGCTCTCCAACCAGTGAAGAAGATGCTCCGCAAAGTAAGTGTGCACTTCTCCACCATCTTCAAACACACTGTTCTCCATGTTGCTGTCGTGCTGGCACAAATGGTCGAACCAATGAAGGCATGCATATTCAATAGATATTAACGCAGTTGATTTGAGTCGGCTCTTCGTCGCGATGGGTCCAGGGTCCTTAAGCTGGCATATATCCTGACGCAATGTGTCTGACATAGCTCGTAGTGAGCGAGAATATATCTGGTAATGGATTTCCTCGATAGCCATGTCAAACGGAGCATTCGATAAATTCGCAGACAGATAGTCTTTGGCGGACTGGTGGATAAAATACACGTAATTATCTCGAACTGTCAAAAAGGAGCCACACATACAGACCATTCTGTCGAGATCGACAAGGTCCATAATCTCCTGCGGGAGCCCTGATGTGATTCGCATTTCGAGCAAATGCAGGGGTCGGTAAACTGATGTAGCTGCTGCTAAGAGCTGGACACACCGGCGGGCATTCTTGGGATGTAGCTGGTGGATTCTCCTCATCATTTGATCGAACAATGGGATGAGACCGACAGGTGTTTCATCAATGGACTCCAGCATATCCGCTGCAAAGACGTCTTGTCGAAGCTCGGTGATCACCAAGGCAGCCCACAAGAATGTCCCATCCGATTTGAGTCGCAATCTCTCTTTTACCTTGCCTCGTATCTCTGTATGATTCCGGAGAGCTGTCATTTCCGAGACTCTGGTGTCTATAAAGTTTTCGATGGCGTGTGAAATTTGACTTGGATTGAGTTCCAGTCGCAGGCTCTTCAGCATTTCCTGCTTCCCTAAGTGCCTCTCAATGTCATCCCGATTGCGACTGGAAATTATCCACTTGACTTTGCGACCGAGCTTCATCAACTGGGTAATGAAATCAAGGAGTTGCGGCAAATTGTTCTCACACTCGTCCACTGCATCAATGACTAGTAAAGCTTCTGGTATACCTGACTCGCGGAAAATGGTAAGAAGTACCTCCATCAGGCTGTAAACGGCATCAGGGCCTTCGAAAAGTCGCCTGCCCATGGATTCGTACTTAGATCGCAGGTGGCGTAGCAATGATGGCTGTTGAACCGCTAGCAGATAAAGCAAGCCACGCAGAACAGCAGTGGCATTGTTAAGCCTCGAATCGCTTCCTTGACAGAAAAAGTACGAGAGCAATGGTAAACCGTCTGCCCTTTGGGAAACGGGGTTTTCCTTGGCCAACTCATCAATAGTGCCAAGCATAAGCATAGTCTTCCCTTTACCGGCATCACCCCTTATCCAGAGTAGCGTGCTTTCTTCATTCTTTTGCCACTGTTGATATGTTGGATGAGTTAGAACCCAGGAAAACGATTCCCGCAGGAGACCGCCTTTGCTCTGCTCAATGCGAAGCTTATCATCTCTAGGATCAGTCAGGACAAGGTCCCCAAGACAGTGCTTGTCGACCTCCGGAATTACTGTTTTACAAGAGAAGATTAGGAGATTATTTCTCATTCAACGGCCGATTGTCACATACCTTTGCGGATATTCGACCTCCAGTGTGACAAGAATGCCTTTGCGCCAGCCGCTCCTGTCGCGGCAGCGTAGTTTTGAAACAGCTTGTTCTTTTGACTGTCTGCATAGTCGCACACGCCCTTGATAATGAGACAGGGAAATATATCCCAGACACCAGGCCCCTCCATTTCGAAGCCAATAATACCCTCCGAGTGCGCAAGTTCATCACGGTGTGTATCGGATTTCATTACGGTATCAGCAGACGCCATAGTTCCAATGTGGAGGGCCGGGCCTGGAGTATCTTCATGGAGTCCGCTTTGAAGAATCTGGCTGTCCTTTTCCTTCTCGTGCAGACTTTCGTGGTGAAGGGAGGTACTAGGATTCTCCCAGACAGGCTTTCGTGCCTGGAGAGCCTTGAAATGATAATGAATACGCTCTTGAAACTGCTCGCCGATGTCCAATGTCCGAAGACTCGCGAGCACGGTTCTTATTTCAAGCGAGGGCCTTCCAAACATGGACTTAGCATCGTTCTTTCGCTGGAAGCCATCGGGATACTGTCGCCCGATGTCATATTCGACGAGGCTGTCACTGATGATGACATCTCCAAGTGCGATTTTGACTCCGTCCTTGGATACTGGCACAGCGCCACAGATACCAACGACAAGGGCCAGCTGGACCCCCGGATAGCTCATCCTCAGGTTTGACGCGACAACCGCAGCGCTTCCCTTCCCCATGTTGGGCAAGTGACAAAGAACTACATTGTGCTGTTCGATTCTGCCATTCGTATAGACGTTGATATCTCCAGGTCGTTTGCTATAGTAGTGACTATGGGTGTCGTAGGTTTCATCAAACGAGGCTTTTACAGCGTCAGCCTCGTGCGGCAACGCGCAGATAATCGCGACTTCGAACTCTTCGCGCGTTGTCGGGCGCATGGCAGGTTCCAGAAAGCAACTAAGCTGACAGGTGCTTCTAGACACACGGCAGCCAGGTCGTTGATTTGATTATTCTGGGCTTTTATCGAGGAAGCAGGTGCACAGGAGAAAAGATAAGACAGGGACAGTTGGCAGGGAAGGAGCCGCCGCGTTTCTGTTTATTTCAGCCTAATGTAGGTGCCAAGCTCAGCACAGCCGTACAACAAAGCAAAGCCTACGCTTATCTCCCTCGCCGCTGTATAAATGAGGTCAAAATAGATAGAGAGAGCACATTGGGATAGACTGAGCAAAATGAAGGGCAAAAAAAGGCAAAAAAACATACAACAGCCGGGATTCGCTGGTGGTCACCCACCCAACTACTAACCGGCCGGCGTGAGGCTTAAGTACGGCTGAGCGGACGGGAAGCCCTGTTCTCCTCACCCTGTGGTCGTATGTATTTGAGAATATTGAACTATGGAATATAACATGTAGAATTTTATTTAACCTCCCAGAATTGGAATAGCGCACAGGAACTGCGCCGGCGTCCTGGCACCTGGAATGGCCGCCTTTTGGATCGACGTCCCCTAGCCGCTGCGATAGCATCATTTTGGGAGTGGTCTTCAATGTCTTGAATATTATTCTCCTTAATAGTCTGACGATAAGATAAAATAGGCCTTACGGAGCTTCACTATTGTTTCTCTCCAAGACTCTTTTCACAATCCTGAAATCTGTGCTTCGGTTAAAAGCCTCCCTTGAAAGAATATATACACCGACTTCCTCCCTAGTAACACCTGAGCTGAATAATAAAAGTTAACTTTCCAACGCCTTAAAGTGCGTTCATACTCTTGCTCCAGAAAATTCATACTTTGTTTTCATGCTCCCTTCAGTCCTTTCCCTCGCAACTGGTATCAGGACACAGTCACAGCGACCATGTATTGCAAACAGAGTCTGGACACTTGACCCCGCAATTCTAGACTTACTCATGCAAAGTAAGACACGCATAGACATGAGAGATATTCCATCTTGGGCTATGCACTCTTCCGTCGCTTCCCGCGCGAATCATCCTGAGAACTGTCTGGTATAGTCGGGTTGGACTGGGTCTATTGAAAGTACCACATCTTTATCGAGAGAGCTGTTAGTCAAGAAAAAGCCAATGGGGAATGATGCATTGAGAACGGGCTAGTCCATACAGGCGCTGTCCGCGTGAGACAAATCTGACGTAGAGCCAGTCTAGAGAAGCCGATTTGCCAGACCTCAATAAGGACTAAATATTGGGGCAGGGTTGAGACGCACCAGTCTGACGCAAGGCGGTTCGGGTCGGGTTTCCCATTTTAAGGCCCTCGTATTCTCCTCCCTGGCATCTGTACCACCTCGTTCTTCCATTTGTGTTGCTCAGATGGCACTTCCCCTGTGTATAAGCCATTTGAACTCGACCCAAAGAACAGTATCGACTAGAACAAGTAAATAGATATCTTGATATAATCGAGCATTTAATCAACCGATACATAACATTACGAGATCGCGTAATGAGGTGGCAAGAACATCAGCTGATGATCCCTCCTTATAGCGTTCTTTTGCAACGTTCCGATTGGGTGTGCTATGTCGTACACGACCGATAAGCAGCGAAAGGACGGCTCGTGCATTCCACGGCAATGCGACCGATGCTGGAAGCTGGATCAGGAAATGGAGATGCATTCGATCGGCACCACTGGAGGGAAGATCTCTACACTAAGATCTATGTGGTGAAAGGCCCTGTGGGTTTTGTGAATCCAGTATGTAGTAAGGGTAATATGGGTGGCATTTTGGGCCGTATTTAAGAGACACTGCGCTGTGTCTAGATAGACTGAGTCGTTGTTTCGGTCGCCGAAAGGGTAACAAAGACAAATAAATGTCAAGCTGAGCTATTTTTCCTACTGCGTACGTTTCAACTCGCAAGGCCTCAGTGGCGGGGTAACCATGTACAATGAACACCCCTGTACCCTCCAAAAGCAGTCGGGATGCTGTCTTACGTGTTCATACATGAGTATCACACCAATAGACCGTGAAGAGACCAGAAAGAGAGAGACGAAGGGAGAGATGAGTAGGGTGAGATGATGAAAGAGAGATGATTTCAATAATTATATTCATTCCGTTGATACATAGTATGTTAACAATTTCCCAGTCACTAGCAACATCACTTCCAGCGTTAATGTCGATGCGAGATAGATAGATCATGCAAATAAAATAAAAAAGTAAACCCGAAACAAACCAAAACACCCCACCCACGCTGGCAAGTGCAAGAACGCCGTAAATCAAGCAGCAGTCTTCTGCATCTCCTCGATCTTCTGCTCCAGCATCTTCTTCTCCTCGAGCTTCTTCTTCATCTCCCAGATGTCAACGTACACATGGCCCAGAGGTCCCGCCTCTGGGCTCCATCCCCCATGCTCCACTCTGTACTGCTTACTTCCGTCCAGCACCTCGACCAAGTTGAGGCCATTCTCCTGGCGATTGTCCCAGTGCAGTTCGCAGATCTTTTCGTCGTCGTGGAACAGGTCCAGACGGCCTTCGCTGCCTCTTCTGCCGCGGGCGCAGATCTCGCCGACGCCGTAGGACGGGATGGTCAGTTCGTCGACGTCGTCTTCGGTCATGGGTTTGGTGGTGTCGGGGTTGTGGAATTCGCCGCTTGAGGGTGTTAGTTTATTGTCAACTGTTAGTTCAGAGGGGGAGATAGAGAAAGAAAGGAAAAGCGTGCCCTTCGATGACGGTATGGCGGATGGAGATCTCGCCCTTCTCGAGGTGGTCACGGATGTGAAACTCGACCCATTGGGAGTTGTACTTGTTCAGCACCTCGGCGGCATCGATAGTAGACATGTTGGACATGTTGATGAGTGTGAGTGAGTCAGTTGAGATACGATGTTTGTTATGTCAAGTCAATAGGAGCAGAGTCCTGGCGAGTACAAAAAAAGGTCGCGTGTGGATGCATTATTTATACTCCCCCAGAGACCCAAGACAGTGGGGTGACTCGTGAGGTCATGCATTCCTGGCCCATGGTCGTATGACGTGTGGTGGTGTGAGGCGGTTGGCCAGTGGGCTGACGGCTCTTTGCGGGGGGCGCTTTAACTTTGCGGGGAAATCGCCGGCCGCAAATGGCGTGACTCGCCCATGATTCATCATTCCTGGTCTCCCAATGGGATGTCCAGGGCGCCAGGATTGACTTTGAGCAACCGTCTCAGCGCTGCTGGGCGGGTCTGGATCGCCGAATCAGATGTCAGGTGGGTCTTTGTTTGCCTTTCGCTGGTACTTTGGATCGTCGCCCTCGTTGTTTTCGCAACCACTGCCCACTCGTCCGCATTCTTCGATCGGCGATTCCCGCCCGCTCTGGGAATGGATTGGCCTGGATGATCCGTTCCGGTCGGGAGAATGCAGCTCAAAATGTGGCGGAAAGACATGGCGATGGTTGTGAGGGGAAAATCGAGGGGATTCTTTTCGCTGTACACGGGCGTTCCTGTGGTTCACTTGGAAGATACTTCCTATGCTTACCAAATTGCCTTTGAACCATATCGACAGGTAGAGTTGCCTTGTTCCTTGCTTACACGGAACAATGAATCGCCACGACAACGAGAGGGCACATAAAGAACGAAGCAACTCGAGCAGGCAAATCCCTGTGATAGGTACGACCAATACGGAGTACAAAAGGTGAAAGATGCGGCTTGGCATAAGCCAACGAAGCCTGCTGATCTACGGTCTGGAACTACTCGAAAATGAGAACACAGCGAGATTACGTAGCAGTATGGTGCAGGAAGCAATTATAGGACGTTGCCTTACCCTGCAGATGCGTCTCCGCAGCTGGTCATTACCTTGATGGTTTAAGACCGGACTTCTGTTTTCCTAGAGTCGGTAGCGACTGGGTTCGTTCAATCCCGTGTTTTATCATGTCCAACCCCACCCACTAGGTCTAATTCTGCATGGCTCGGAATGGGCGTGATGCAAATCCCAGAGGACCCCGTAGTCTGAGACAGCAAAAAGGAGAATCAAAGTATCAGTCTTTGGTTCCGCAGGCTAACAACACAAGCCTTACACAAGCCTTCTGAGCGACTGTGCCGACGGTAAAATAAATTTTAAAACTTCCAGAGTACTTGAAAACCAAACCAAGTTCTTTCAGGAGGTCTCATGGTTGATCGCAGGGCTTGGAGTTAAAAAGCTTGAACATAGACTTTTGCCCTGGAACCTCGTGAGATGTTGCAAAATTATTTCCCCGATCCTTTCATTCTACCTTATTGTACAGTTCTTTAGGTGGTTGACATTTGAAGTGAGTCAACAATAGGGCGGCCGATAGAAATTCTGCTTTTTAATCTTTGGCAACAGTCATGTTGCACAACAGCTCGCGTAGACAAGTTGAGGGGACAGCGGGTTTCTCGCAAGTACCAGAGAGTTACTTAAACACACTATGCCCTTTTTGTACTTCATGATAGCAGAGTCAAACCCATTGACTGCAATAACAGGCCTTCTGGATGTTTCACAACGACGCTTTCCAAGGATGCTTTGCCATTCGAGTCATATTCAGAGATAGTGGCAGTGTCACCGGGTCCTGTGTAGGTTATAATAATCATCACATCCCCAACACTTCACCACTCATCGTCCGTCGCGTTCGGCAAATCATTCAACAACCGCGCTGACCGTCTAAGAAAAGAAACCATACCCGCCAATATGAGCAGCAGTGCATTTCTCCCCCCTGCGCCCCCCCCCCCCGAATACGCACCCTACGAGCTCCTCGTCGACCGCTGCATCATATGCATCGGCATCGGCTGGACGATCTGCTACATGGGGATATCCTACAAGGCGATGAAGGAGGAGACGTACGGGATGGCGTTCTTCGCGCAGTGCATCAACATCGCCTGGGAGTTCGTTTACGGCGGCCTGGTCTACCCGCCTCAGAACCCGCGCGAAGTACTCGTCTTCGTCGGCGGTTTGGCGTCTAACCTCTGTGTCCAGTATACCAGTATCGCGCACGGCCGGCGCGAATGGCAGCACGTCCCATTCATCCACCGCCACCTGGGCCTTCTTTACGCGGTCACCATCGTCGCTCTGGTCTTGGGCAATTTGGCCTTTGCGCGCCAGATCGGGCCTCATCAGGCGGAGATCTATATTGCTATTATTTGCCAGGTGTTTGTGAGTGTGGGATGCTTGTGTCAGTTATTGGTGAGGCAGAGTACGAGGGGTTTTTCGATGTGGTTGTGGTGAGGTTCATCTTGTTTCTTTCTTTTTGATGCCTCGGATCTGTTTTTTTGCGTTGTCTACTCGCCGGAATCTCCATTAACCATGGCTGTAATGCCATATTGACAGGACCGCACGACACTTTGGTTCCTGCTTCGCCATCCCCGTCTTGTATCTTCGCTCCACCTACTGGCCCGAGGCGTTCGGGTTCGCGGCAAGTCCGACGATGATTTGGATGGGGGCAACAGCCTATCTGGCGGATGTGACGTATGCAGTGTGTTTCTCAAGATTAGCGAAGGAGGAAGAGCTGAAAAGGGTCAAGCGAATAGACTAGGGTGAGACGATCAGGGGCAGGTGGTACGATGCACATCTAGATTTGAACAAACAAAACAGTGGTCTGTGCGCTCTGGCTACTGGTGATGAGGCCATAATGGACGATCGGATCTGTGCAACCCCTTTTTGTAGGCCCAATAATTTCACTCATTTGTCCAGTTTGCTGTCTTGGTCCTAGCGACTGTAGTCTCTACGTACTCAGGGCTTCAGATTCGATGGGCCAAGACACATAGTTCAGTCTCTCCTAGAAATGGATATCTTTGTATTGCATGAATATCAGTGCAGAATATTTTAGAAATTATGTAATAGTGGCTATCGAGCCTCGGCATCGCATGATCGCCCATTTAAAATGCTAAGTTGATGTTTCCCGGGCAAGTATTGGGATAATAACGAACAAGATCCAGCACAGCGCACACCCTTGTCAACAAATCTAGTAAACGGAGGCTTTCCTAGATGAGATGGAGGGATTTCGGGACGATAATCCAGTGTTCAACTCTTTCCCTTTGTCCAGCTTACCTTATCTTTCAAGAGGCTGTTTCCAATTTGGTCTTTAAATTCCGGAAACCTGAATTCATCAAGTGACCACCCACAACGAGCAATGTACTTATGCAGTGGCATTTTCCCCTTACGATATTACCAAATTCCAGCGATTTGAAGTTAAAGCATCCCAAAGCCCCTTGAAATGGAACGAACACCTAGATGCTCTTCCAAAACCATCCCGACTCTTGGCACGCGAACTACGCGCCGATCAAGAATGTCATATCAGCCAAAAGCGGGTCTAAAGCAGCACAATCCACTCAAAATCCGCAACAAGCAAGGCTATCTCCCGGTCGCACAGACTAAACCCTTCGGAGCCCGCAGACACGCGTCGCAGGCCGAAAGCACCAATGTATGGCCTATCTGGCAAGGGAGGGGGTCTATCTTATCTTTTGATGCTTAATGAATCGAACGAGGGGTTTCCAGTCTTGTTCTCTTGATTTACCATCATCTGTACAGTCTAACTTCCTCTTCTCTTCCATCATCCTATCCCATTTCAATCCAAACCATGCCCCCGGCCACAAACACATACCGTCTCGGCGCAGACGTCGGCGGCACATTCACCGACGTCTGCGCCCTCACTCCCAATGGCTACATAACGCGCACAAAAGTCCCCACCACACCCCACGACCAAAGCATTGGAATCCAGAACGGGATCCGAAAGATCCGTGAACAGCTCGGCTGGACCGACGGAGATAAATTCCAGTATATTCATCATGGAACCACGATTGCTACGAACGCGGTGCTGGAAGGGAAAGGCGCCCGGACCGGGCTGATCGTCACGGCGGGACATCGTGATATCCTGGCGGTTAGGCGGTCGCAGATCCCTGGGGGACTTGGGGCTTGGTTGCATTATTGTCCGCCGGAGGCGGTGGTGCCGTTGGAGAGGGTTATTGAGTGTTTTGAGAGGATGGGGGTTGATGGAGGGAGTGTGGGGGATGTGGATGCGGAGAGGTTGAGGGGGTGTTTGGGCGGATGGAAGAGAGGCGAGGAGAGGCCGGAGGCGGTGGTGATTTCGCTGTTGAATTCGCATTGTAATGATGCTCATGAGGCGTTGGTTGCGGAGATCGTGGCTGAGGAGCTGGGGGGCGAGGTGACGATTATACGCTCGAGTGAGGTGATGAGGGAGGTGGGGGAGTATGAGCGGACGGTGACGGCGTGTACGAATGGGCTGGTGAAGCCGGTTGTGCAGAGTTATTTGGGGAATCTGCGAGAGCTGCTGGCTGACGACGGGGATACGATTCGTATCCTGAAGTCGGATGGCGGGTTGACGAGTCTCGAATTGGCGGGTGAGCTGCCCGTGAATATTCTGATGTCTGGGCCGGCTGGAGGAGTCCAGGGGGTGGCGGATGTCGTGACGCGCCATACTCCGTATAAGAAATTGATTACGTTCGATATGGGAGGGACGTCGACGGACTGTGCGCTGATTTATCAAGGTAAGCCTCAATTGCGTCGCGAGACGGTGGTTGATATCCGGACGGTTGGAGCTGGAGGAGGTTCGATCGCTCGGTATATGGATATCACGGAGACGATGCGAGTAGGACCGGAAAGCTCGGGTGCGAGTCCAGGCCCCGCGTGCTATCAGAAAGGTGGGAAAGATGCCACGGTCACGGACGCGAATCTTGTTCTAGGCTATCTTCCCGAGAGCTTGCTCGGAGGTGACTTTATGCTGGGCGTGCAAGAAGCAGCGGTTGCAGTCGAGAGCATTGCGTCGCAAATGAGGCTCAGCGTGACGCAAACAGCGGAAGACATTATCAACTTGGTGAACGAGACCATGTATGGAGCACTACGGCTTGTGTCTGTGGAGCAGGGATACGACCCCAAAGACTTTGCTCTGGTCGCCTTCGGAGGTGCTGGTCCATTACATGCAAATGCAATTGGCAAGCTACTTGGAGCTTGGCCAGTCATTATTCCTCCATCACCTGGAACTCTGTGTGCGCTGGGAGACGCAACGACCAAGTTGACACACAGCCAGTCCTCGTCCTTAATCCGACTGCTCTCTGCAACGGCATCGTCAGACGTCAAGAGCCGATTCGATGAGCTCGAGGAGTCATGCAAAAGAACAATCCAAGAGTCAAACTCGAAAAAGCCAATGGATCTTAACATCGGTTATCATATCGACCTTCGATACAAGGGGCAGGCTCTGACTCTGACTGTCGATTTGAATGAAGCCGATTTATCGCTGGAGGACCAGCCATGGAGAGAAGCATTACAGTCTAAGTTTGATCTTCAACATGAGCAGCAATTCGGATACTGTCTTCCGACTTTTGAACTGGAGCTCATGCGACTAGAAGTGGTTGCGGTCGATGCTTCCCCCGATATTGAACTTCCACGGCTGAGCGAAGCCAGTTCACGACTACCCCCTAACGCCGCGGAGGTTTCAATAAAGAAGATCATCATTGATGGCCAACAAATGGAAGCTGCTCTCTGGGATCGGGAGAAACTGAACCAAGCCGGACTCCGTGTCAATGGTCCATGTATCATCACCGAGATGGATAGTAACACACTCATCCTTCCTGGCTGTTATGGAGAGATCGATGCGATTGGCAACATCCTGATCCGTCCGGATGAATATGCACCTCCAACACAGCCAAAGGACCAGTCTCGAGGTGAAGCGTTAGATACCATCAAATCGACCCCCCTGATCCCTACATTGGTGGCCTCCGCCCTCGCATCGATCCGCAGCGAGATGGACACCCTCATGCTGCGCTGTAGCATGTCGCCAGCAATCCGCGAGCAACAAGACGAGTTCAACGTGATCACCACTGCGGACGGCAAAATGCTCGTGGGTCAATTCGGCAGTTTCATTACGCAGTTTCTCGAAGCATGGACGGGGTCCATCGAGGAAGGCGACGTTTTCATCACCAACGACACCTACATGACCAAAGGGGCCGTGACGCATCTAAACGATGCGATCGTCCTCCTCCCCATCTTCCACGACCATCGCCTTATCGGCTGGGCCTCACAGTTCGGCCATCTAACCGACGTCGGAGGCATGGTGCCCGGCAGCATGTCGATCAACGCGACCTCCGTGTTCGACGACGGAGTCCAAATCCCATGCATCAAGCTCTACGCCAAGAGCGTTATGAACACCGACCTCGTGGACCTCCTTTGTCGCAACTCCCGCCAGCCAGACTGGTACCGCTCCGACCTCATGGCCATCATCTCCGCCTGTCGCACGGCATCCCGACGCGTCTGCGAGCTCGCCACTCGCTTCGGCACCGAAATCTTCCTCGCCTCGTGCGCCGAACTCCTCCTCCGCAACCGTACCGGAATGGCACGAATCATCGCTACAGACTTCGACGACAAACCCTGCACATTCACCGACTTCGTCGACGACGACGGCCACGGTACTGGTCCCTGGGCCCTAACCTGCACCATGACCAAGACCCCAGACAACCGCCTCCGCTTCGACTGGTCCGGCACGTCGCCCCAAAGCGAACACAGCATTAACTTCTACCTCTCCGAAACCATGTTCAAGATGTTCATCGGGTACTACATGATCGCGGCTGCCGCGCCAGGGACGGTAATCAACGACGGCTTCCACGATCTCATCGACATCCACATCCCGGAAGGAACGGTGCTCAAGCCCGTCCGTCCAGCCGCTATATCCTGCCGGACGCACATCCTCGGCCGGACCATGGACGTGATGCAAGCCCTCATCGGGCAGAAGAACGAAACCTACGCCGCCGCGGCCGGGTTCAGTGACTCCCCCCATTTCTTCTACTCAGGATACAAGCCCGACGGGGAATGGTACCAGCTCTATCAGATCGGGTTCGGGGGTGTGCCGGCGCGGAATGCAGGGGACGGATTAGATTGCCACTGCCTATTTCCAGCGATCAAGTCCATCCCGACGGAGAGTATCGAGTTGAACTATCCGCTGCGGATCGAGGCGAACGAGAGCGTTCCGGATAGCGGAGGGGCGGGGTTCTATCGGGGAGGGAATGCGCAGCGCACGCTGTATCGGTTTCTGTGTCGCGGGGAGTTCAGTCTTCATGACGATCGGTGGTTCACGAAGCCGTGGGGGATTAGAGGCGGGAAGCCGGGGTCTCGATCGCGGAAGATTCTATATCGGTATTCGAAGTCGAAGGGGGATCCTCCGGTCCGGGTTCTCCCGTCGAAATGCGATCATGTTCGTGTCGATCCTGGTGATCTCCTCGAATGGGTTACCTGGGGAGGCGGGGGACTTGGCGATCCCTTGACGCGACCTGCGGTGAAGGTCGCTCTGGAGGTTCGGCGAGGGCTGGTTACTGTTGATGGTGCTCGTGAGAATTATGGCGTCGTCGTGACTCCTGAGAGAAGCGTTGCTCACGGGGACACAGAAGCCCTAAGAGAGGAGATCCGGAAAACGAGGGATGAAGCGGGTCAACCACCACAGTACGATCGAGGGGGATCGATCGCGCAATTGACGGACTCATGCTTCGATGAAACTGGTTTAGACGCCCCTCGTCCGCAATGGGAACTAGATCCCTATGGACCACATGTGAAACTGCCGTATGTGAGGGACTGGTTTGCGCATATGCGGGTAGTCAAAGGCTGGGACTCGTTGTAAGATCGAGGGGCTCGACGCGTCCATGTGGGGAGCATCGTCATATTTTCTATCACTCCTTAAAGTGGGACAGTCGTGATACACTTGGAGGCGGAATGACATCGGTATCTAGAGTCGGTTGCAGTGGGTCTCTACGTAATGTTGGAAATCCGACAATGCACTCGTAACCGAACCACCGCCAATTATAATTGAAATCATGATATTCTGAAGCCAAGGTCCTTTCACAGTCTCGTGATTATCTTCAGATAGAAACAAAACAAGACGTTAGCGTTGCTTGGTAGTTCATTAAAATGATATGGGCAGTTCATCGGAAGAGCGGCTTTGCATTGCTTGGCCGGCAAATGCCAAGTCCAAGGGGACTCGCTGTTTTCGCACTTTTCGTGGGGTAGAAATGAGTACATAATTCCATAAGCGATTATCTTAGAGATTAGACAGAGCACTCAGCTATCGTAGTATAATGCATCCCAAAATAGCGAGGATGTCGACGGAGTGACATCATACGCGATCATCCGGTTTCGGTGGATCCTCCATGACGCACCGGCCATGCTTATTGCTTGTCCCCGGATTCTAGACCCACTCCAAGCCAGGTTTGCCTCTTGGAGATGAGGATCGTCTAGGAATACATCATTGGTCTTTCGTAGGGCTACAGGACTTCATCCCAGTATAGACGGTAGAATAACGTCACTTGTTCCGGGCTGCTTTGTTATCTATTTAAGGGGCAAGATGCACTTCAAAAATCAGTACTAAATCCAAATCACCATCCAGATCTATAACAGCGAATTAATCTTCCAATTTTCTCACTTCTGAATTTTATACCCTCATCGATTACTTCAAACCTCGATCAACCAAGCCAAAATGTCTATGCTTAACCCCATCGACGACCCTTCCTACAACACCTCCGGCTCTAGCCAGACCTTCGGTCAAAGCCCTGCTGCTGGCTCTTACAACAACTCCTCCAGTGGTTTTGGCGGTTCTCACACTGCTGGCCCTCACACCAGCAACACTGCCAACGAGCTGGATCCTCGCGTGGACAGTGACCGATCTTCCTACGGCCACTCTTCCACAAAGCCCTTGAGCAACAGCACCTCCGGCTACGGCGCCAACAACTCTTACGGCTCATCATACGGCAACAACACCACTGCCGGTCCTCATACTAGCAACGTCGCCAACGAAATGGACCCCCGCGTCGACAGCGATCGGTCCTCCACCGGCTTCAACCGCTCTCACCAGGGCTCCGTCCCCGGTAACGGCCTTGGCCATGCCGGAGGTACCTCTGGATACACCGGTGCCTCTGGCTACGACCGTACCACCGGTCCTGCTTCCTCGACTGCCGGTCCTCACACCAGCAACGTTGCCAACGAAGCCGACCCTCGCGTCGACAGCGACATGAGCAGCGGCCGCAACTTCTCTACCCATGACCGAACCACCGGCCCTGCCTCCTCCACCGCTGGTCCCCATTCCAGCAACGTCGCCAACGAGGCCGATCCTCGCGTCGACAGCGATCTCGACAGCACTGGTGCTCGCAACAGCGTGTCTCGAACCAGCCGCACCACCGGTCCCGCCTCTTCTACCGCCGGCCCTCACTCCAGCAACGTCGCCAACGAGGCTGATCCCCGCGTCGACAGCGACATGAGCAGCGCCCGCCACAGCACCACGACCGGCAGCACCAACGCCAACACCAAGGGCGCACACATCAACACCTCCCTCCCCAACGCCCTCGGCCACGAAGGCAACATCCGCGGCTCGATCACGGGCCAAGCCACCGAGGGCGTTGCGGGTGTGATCCCCATCGAAGGCAACGCAGGCCCAACGACCACCAAGGTCTTCGAGCCTCACGCGCACGCTGATGGCGGTGATCCCGCTCGCTCGGGTCCTCACTCGTCTGCTACCGCGAACAAGATGGACCCTCGCGTCGACAGCGACCGGGACAACCGTGCTCGTCACGAAGACATGGCCAGCAGCAGCTACAACACCCCTGGTAGTGGTCGCGCTTCGGGCACTGCTGGTCCTCATGACAGCAATGTTGGAAACAAGATGGATCCGACTGTCGATTCTGATATGGATGGTTCGCATGCGGGTGCCCAGCGTGTCTAGATCGCGGGACAGGTTTTATGAGTTATGGATCTGATATGCGATTGTATTTTGTATGATATCATTTGTAAATAGAGCTTTCGGGTTTTTATGAGAATTAAGGACATATTTTCAATACCTTTTTTGATTTAATTTGTGTCAACCGTAGCACTGTACCAATATTGGCGTTTTTCGCAATGCGTCTTATTTAACCACCACTTTTACATTTCTGCACCCTTGGGTTATTAAACAGAGTTTCGTACTGTTTGCTTCATGATGAGTTTCTATGTGCGTATAGATTAAATCCTTTAAAGATAATTTGATGTTGTTCATCCAGTGCCTCGCAAGTTATATATAACCGACCCGATAGCAGAACAAGCGCGAGACCATTTCAATTTCTCTCCCTCGTTAATCTCATGATTTATTATGATGTGTATAGCCCAGGAATTCAGAATGCAATGGACCTGAATACAATCTGGGTTTCTGGTACTCCGTGGACGAGTGGCTTGTTCAAGGGTTCAACTTGTTCGCGGCGTTGCGGATAAATTGCGGATAATCCGCGGTTCGAGTTGAACCAGTTGAACCCCTTCAAATGTCAAGGGATATGTTTACGGTAGAGAAAGTATATCTCGACGTAGAAAATAGCAGAAGACAAACACCAAAGCAGAAGAACTGAGAAAGGGTACAATAATGAAAAAAAATGCTAATCTAGATGTCCTTGGACTTCTTGCTGCAGCAATTACTGAGTTGTTTTGTTTCTGTCTTCTGTCCATGACGTCATCCATGTTTTTCCGTTCCGACATTCCGCCAACCGCGTCTGTCATGTGATCTGTCTGAATCTTCGGCGTATCTCCCAACAATAGTCTGGTTTTCACATCTCTAGGCAAATATGGGGATTATCGACTTCATCAAGGATATCATTCGCCCCGGTAACGGGGTGGACTACCCCAAGAATGGCGACATGGTGACCGTTCACTATCATGGCTACCTGTACGATCCGACGCGGTCGTGGAATAGGGGTCGTCGGTAAGCTTGACCTGGGTTGACAAGAGGCGATTTCAGGCTGGGGTGGAAGATGGGAATGGATCGAGTGCATCGCGCTAATGATGGTTCGTGATCAGATTCGACAGTAGTATCAAAAGAGGATACCCGTTCACTTTTCAGATTGGAATGGGAAAGGTGATTAAAGGTGAGCAGGATGGATCCTAATAATTGCTTTACTTTTTCCTGACCATTGAGATCACAGGCTGGGAGGTAGGGATCCTCGGTATGAGTCTTGGTGAAAAGTCTCTTCTTACATTTGGCCCGTATGTTTTCGTTGACTTTTGTTGGTTTTCTGGGATCTTTTGCTGATTGTGTATGGCAACAGGCATTATGGATACGGTGAACGGTATGTGATTGTGCCTTTCGATTTATGAGTTCCGCTAATATATTCGAATGAAGGGGAGCCCCTCCATTCATCCCCGGGAATTCCACACTGGTTTTGTAAGTTGTCCTTTTGTTGACTAGGCTAGGTGTGCTTTTGACTAATTGATGTAGTAATGTCGAGCTGCTAGCGATCAATGGTAGGACTGTTCAGTCAGAAGACTCGGAGTAATCGAATTGGTTGAATACTTCTCGAAACTTGCATATCATATTTTCGAATAGATGGTGTTGTATTACTGCATGTTTTATTTAGCCTGAGGTCCAGAATTCACGTTCCTATTTTTGCGCATGTATCACCTTGCACATTACTAATGCATAATCCCTGCCTGTGATTGTGACTGGCCCCAAATGGCGTCAAAGCCCCGCGGCTTTTGGCGCCCGCCATGATTCTAACGCACATCCCGCAAAGGGCCCACAGCACCAGGCGGCAAGGCACAAGCCACTGAAAGACAATATTTAAGCGCGGAGGTCAATGAGACAGCGGCTGCGACAGTACGCTTATGCTTTATCTCCACTGATCTATGGACATAAATTCATATCAAGGGAGTTATTGACCATTGTAATCGGTCATCTCAACGTGTTGGCATTTCTTACACCTCAGGTATGCCGACACGACATCCTATGCAATAAGGCATGGAGCGCACGAAGTCTGCACGTAAGGCCCCCAGCATGATTAAAGCTCAAGGCACTAATGACTGACCTACCAGTGACACCCGAGAATTATACGCGAGCAGTTATCTCGCTCTCAAGAAGATACTCGAGCACCTCCGTCTTCCCGGGAAACAATTATGTCGACTTGGGAGAATGGATGCGCCAGGAGCGTAATCTTCTCAACTCGGGAAAATCAGACGAAGATGGCACGCTCTTTGCCACCAGATCTGAACCGCCCCACGACTTGGTCGTGGTATACAACAGCGGCGAGAGAAAATGGGATGTGCAACAATACCAGCAGCAACAGCACGAGGCGTTTTCAGCTACCCCTGTCCCAGCACGAGGCCTTGGACAAATAGTCTTCCTTCGAGGGTTTCTATCACCGTCATGGGTTTCAGCCCTCGGAAGCAAATACAACATCGATCCGGAATTCTTCAGGAGACACATGGACTTTCTTTCGCCCAGCATTGACAGACATTCGTATGGCTTGCCATCACTTACCAGTTCGTCGAACAATATATTTCGAATCTGTATCAACACGATTTTGCATCGTGATGATTTTGGCGGACAGGATCTCCAGTCACAACGCTTACGCCAGTCAAATGAAATTGCAACGTATAAGATTCAACAGCTCGGCTCGACCAGAATCTGTTGCGGAGACTCGCTCGTGCGCGAGTACTCCACTGTTTGTTCATGCTTCTCAGTGGTCGAACAATGGATATCGCTCTGTGTCGCGAAAACAGGCAAAGGCTGGACCGGTAGGATAAGACGTGTACATGCCATGAGATGATATATGCTGATATGGTAGATGCAGTTATTGCTTGGATGGACCATGGCAGGCCGCTGGAACGATCCCCGCCAGGACCATGGACAAGCCACATTGAAAGCAAGGCTACGCCACTACCCGTCCTCCAACATCATCCTAAGATGGCATTTCGAACTACTACGAACCGTGTCGAATCGGCGGCAAATACTGAAGCAGAAGTTCAGCAAAGTACCACTATTCTCCCGCTGCAGTACGACTCCTTGATCGCACTGGTCGACCTAGCCCGTCGCGCCCCTCGAGATCCACTATCCATGTGCATCCCGCTATTTGCGCACGCAGCATTTTCTGAAGTCCAATTTCTGAACCTGATAGAGTCCAGAATCAACATTCAAATCAATACCATCACTCAAGGTCTTCCGGCCGACGCCTTGGGAACCCTTCAATACTTCTACAACATTCTCAACCGACATGCCCAACAACTGAAAGATAGCACCCGTGCGATCCACGTGTTGACCGAGCGAAGAAACCAAGGCATAGATGAGGTCAAAACAGACCACCACATTCCGAAGGGTGCCGTACCGCTGGGCCCCGGCAGGAGCCGACGGCAGCACACCTCAGAGACCGAGAGATCTGATAATTCCGACGGGCCCTTCACACCAAAAGGTTTGTTGGAAGACTACGAACAACTTCAAGTTCGCTGCATCGAGCTATCGAAAATGTGCACTTGGGGAATCACCCTGGCTATGAATAAAGCGACTATTGAGGAATCTCGAAAGGCGATTGAGCAGTCTGAACGACTGAAGAAGCTTACCCTGCTTGCGACGCTCTTTATTCCACTTACATTTAGCTCTAGCTTATTGGGGATGAACATTGATTTACTGGGCCAGAATACGGTGAAATATTGGTGGTTTTTTGTGCTGTGTATTCCGACGACGTTGGCGGCGTGTATGTTTTATCTTTGGGATACGCAGGTTCTGAGACGATGCTGGATATGTTTCTGGAAATGGTGTGGCGCTATTAAGAATGGTCTGATGCCTGGGAGCAGCGAGAAGGACCCGAGTCATCTTGTTTGATCTGCATGTTAAAGAAAAATATGTCTTGCTCTTTTTAAGGATTGAAATCATATTTCATAAGCGACATTCAAGGATGTGATGGAGAGGTCGGGTAATTCATTGTCGGCGGCTACAGGGGTATCGTGATTGGAGGCTACCCCGCATCATCGAATCCCTGCTGCTTCCATCAATCTCACCATCTCAAATCTCACTCTCCTTGTGAATCTTCGAGTGATCTCTGGTGTTTTAACAGCCTGCAGATCTCACCTTATCAGAGTTCTTAACATGGCGTCAGGTTTCACCACCACTGGCCGCCTTCGGGTAGTGCGAAACGCTGGAGATACTGCTCAGAGCGGCATAGAGTAAGACAATGCACAACCGATGAGAATTCGTGTTTCTTTTGGCTTACCGTATATCTTAGCATCATTCTAATTCCTGGCATCGGAACTACCTTGCCGGAGAATTGGCCGTTCGCTGACCGGGAATGGTTGGCGACTTTACCAGGTGCCCCGGGTGGACCGCGCATACTCGCATATGAATATGCCTCGCCTTTCGTGGGCGCAAAGCCATCATGGGAGTCGCTTTTGATGCTGGGCTATGACCTTCTGCAGCACATTAGTGACGCGCGATCGCCGACAGACTCGGATCGGGTAAATCAAGTGACTTTAAATAGAATACCTGCCTGCTGACAGACTTCTCTAGCCAATCCTGATTGTGTGCCACAGTCTGGGTGGCAGTATAGTCAAGCAGGCGTTATGCGTTGCCAATAAGCAATTTCCCCGGTATGGGTCAATTGTGAATGCCATAGCTGGAGTCATGTTTCTGAGCACCCCGCATCGATATGGCGACAAAAACACAACTCTGACTCGGTTCCGAGATGTCCTGGAAGCAACGACAGGAAAGGCATTGAAGATACCAAGTGCCAGTATAGAACAGGAAGGTGCCATGCTGCTCAATCTGGCCGATAGATTTGAAGAGATCTCACTTCGTACTCCTATCTTGTCTGTTTATGAACTGCGGGAATCGAAAAATAGCTCGACGCCGTTACTTCCAAAGCACCAGCAGGTCAGTTTGAGTTTGCAAGTTGATGGCGATCGCTAACTGTTATTAGTTGGTCAGCCGTGATGCATGTTCAACGCATGCTCCAATGGAAACTGTCATTGGTCTCAATCTCAATCATCACGATACCTGTCTGTTCACGAAGAGTATCGGAGGTGAAGGCCTACCAGATTTGCATAGGTTTATTTACGAGACATTGAATGATGCCGAACGTGTTGTCGCACTCAGACTTGAAGACCGTGAGTTTTCAAACATTTGCAAGGCCGAGGGCTGCAGTTAATGTTCTCAGAGGAATATCAATATGCCACCATGAGCGCCTACTCCCCTACAATGAGCGAAATGCCACTTAAAAGTGAGTTAGAATTTCAGTTGGACCAATGAGTCACCCTGACTGAGATTAGTGGAAGCCTTGGAATTTGCCGAATGCCCATCAAACGAATCCACCGAATGGCCTTCGAACAAGGCAACAGAGGGAACATCTCTTTCAGGCTTCGAGCTCGTATATCCTACAACATCTAGTGCTGACACTCGAAAGACACTCCATCTGCCATGTTTTCTGAACATGCACTCACTGAACGAAGATTTCTGTGGCCGTGAAGATATTTTGGAACGTCTTGCGGCGGAGCTTTTGCCTGCGAAGACCGTAGTAACAGCATCGAGCACCCCTCTCCGGCAATATGCACTCTGTGGGTTTGGAGGCATTGGAAAGACTGAGTTAGCCCGGGAGTTTTCCCGACGCTATAAAGACTCCTTTGACGCGGTATTCTGGGTCGTGGCGGATGAGATCGCCAAGCTCGACTACCATTATCAGCAAATCTCGCTAGCGCTTGGGCTAGAAGACGCAACTGAGTGCAAGAGCCAGGTTGTTAGCAGGGAAATTGTAAAAGGATGGCTTTCTAGTCCGCGAAAGAGCTTGTCTGAGTCTGATGAGTTTGTTCAAGCTGACCAAGCCAACTCAGAAGCATCTTGGCTACTCATATTTGACAATGCCGATGATCCAATGCTTCTGGCTGACTATTGGCCTCAGGGCAGTGGATCAATTCTAGTGACTAGTCGGGACCCACTGGCCAAAAGCATGTTCACAAGAAGGCCTTCAGGCATGGACCTTTCTCCACTTTCGCAGCAAGACAGCCTGACTCTCTTCAACCACCTAACTACAGCTTTCAATCAGGGTGAAGACGACACAGCACAGCAAATATCAGGTATACTTGGTGGTATCCCTCTAGCCATTTCTCAGATGGCAGGGATAATCCGACGACAGGATCTCACCTTATCAGAGTTCTTTGAGTTATACACAGACCACGAAGAGCATGCTAGTCTTTACGAGACAAAGTTTGACACGAACATAACTACATACCGCCACTCTTTGTCTACTGTTTGGGCATTCGAAAAGCTAAAACCACAAGCCCGCCAGCTCTTGGAGCTAATTTCATTCCTGGACCCAGACGTTATTGGGGAGGAATTATTGGTGGAAGCGTCGATGGAATTGCTTTCGGATGGAGGACACTTCAAGAAGAGCAGTTACATCGACGCAAGAGCCGATCTACTACAATCCTCCCTCCTTCAACGGGATAAGCAAAAGCAGCAGGTATCAGTCCACCGCATTGTCCAGGATGTTATTCTGTCAACAATGGACGATACGAAAAAACGGGATTTGTTTGACAAAGTCGTGCGACTCCTTTGGGTAGGATGGCCATCGGCAATGCCTACACCATCCAAAGAGCCGGTTTTACCCCAGCCAAAATCAACGGGCGGCAGACTATCCGTTAGCAGGTGGCCTGTCTGCGCGGCAATCTATCCTCACGTCCTACGGATACATCAGCTGTGGTCAACAATCCCACATCCATCGGAGGTGGCTAGCTTGCTTTTTGCGAAGCTTCTGAATGAGGCGGCATGGTGCGTATACAATCTTAAAGAACCTCTCTGCGATACGGGCTAATGTTACCTCAGGTATCAAAAAGAGCGCGGCCGAACAAAGCACTTCGACGGCTTTTTCGACACGGCCCAGACTATCTGCGAATCTTCATCACACCCCGATCGAGACTCCGTTCTCGCAGACATTTACTTCTGCTTAGGATCAATATCCATGGACACGAGCGACTTCAACGCCAGTCGAATCTACAAAGAACGCTCCCTAGACCTAGTGGCCAACATCTGCCAAACACTGGGAACTGCAGACGAGAGGCTCTATCTCGCCTACGCAGAGCGCGGTATCTCACGAATCCAAGATAAGCGGTACGAAGAGGGCGAAGCCGACATCAAAGAGGCGCTGCGGATCCGCAAAGCTCTCGGAAACTACATCCCACGATCGGGCGAGGCCAATTTGAGCTGGGCGCTTCTTGCGCAGGGGAAGCTTAACGAGTGCAACGCTCTGCTGATGGAGAGCCTGGCCGGGAGAGAAAAGGCGTTGGGGAAGGATGATAGGGACTCTGTTCGTACGGGGTTGATACTTTACGTACTTGGGAACCTTCGTGCGGCGCAGGACCAATGGGATGAGAGTTTCTCATATCACCAGAGAGCATGGAGCCATATGCGTGCAACAGTTGGCGATCGTGACTTTTACACTGCAACTGTCGCACATAAGATTGCTCAACATTTAGTGCGCTTGGGTCGGAGCGAAGAGGCGATGTAAGTGTGGACTTTCTTTTGTGTTCTCATTCCACCTTTGCCGAGCTGTTCAGGTTCATGCTAATGCATATTTAGCTCGATGCTCAATGGCGCATTAGATGCCTGGTCTGTTGATCCTAACGCCCATAAGAATGAGATTGCTCGCTCTACTTTCCTCAAAGCTAAAATCTTTGAGACGACTGGCAAGACGCAAAAGGCTTCCATTAGTCTTCGAGTTGCGGCTCGCTTGAGGAAAGAGATCACCAACGTGGACAAAGATGCGAAGACCCTAAAAGAGGCAGATTTCGACGAGATTGTTGCCTTTTGGGCTCATTGATCAGGAATTTCTTTTGTTTTCTTTTATGCGTTAAATAATTTGTTCATGACAATTGGATTACTTTTAGCTATGCTTTCAGGAAACACGAGACTCTACTAGCGTCAGTAAGTACCGATGCCCATCTGGCACGAAGGAGCAGTGGAGCCTCAAATGATCCCCATCTCTATTTGTAAGTTCATTCACACTTTGATCGATTTATCTTATTTTATTTTACTTTTCCCAGGCAATTTATACCTCCGGGTGCGGGACGGGCAAGCGGGAAGCGGCCACGCTAGACCGGATCCAGGGACGGGACTCCCGACCCCGCCGATCGTAAGAGAAGAGCCTAAGTTGTCAACAACACACAAAGACATTGTTTCTGAATACCTTTTTTCTCTATAGACTTCAGGATAATTTCAAACCAGAACCCCCACAGATGAATTCCCATGATAGAGAGTGAGCCTTCCCCCATCCTCTACCTATTGCTTTCACGTAGCCAGCTAACAGCCGATTACCAGATTCCCGGCAATCCGGGCGTGTATCTTCGACATGGATGGCCTTCTCATCAACTCCGAAGACATGATAACGCAGTCAGTAAACGAGTTACTTCAAAAGTATGATCGACCTGTCTTCAATCCAACAATCCGATCCAAGCTCATGGGTATCCCTGACTCAACCAACGGCGATCTCTTCCACGACTGGGCCGAGCTCCCTATCTCGCGCGATGAATTTGCCCGTGAATCAAAAGAGCACATGAGACTTTATTTTCCGAGTTGCACGCCATTACCCGGAACGGAGACACTTTTGTCAAATCTCATCCGTGCGAAAAGTGCTGCCTCCGGGCAGAAGATCGAGCTCGCATTGGCCTCTACAACTAAGACTTCTACATATGAGTTGAAGGTTTCGAGGCCGGAGACGAAGCGTTTGCTTGACTTTTTCGAACCGAGTAGGCGGATCCTAGGGGACGATTCTCGTATCCGAGAGGGTCGAGGGAAGCCTGCGCCTGATATGTATCTCCTTGCATTGGAGGTTTTGAATGCGGCTGTGTCGACCACAGGGGCTAAACATATCTTGCCAGAAGAGTGTCTGGTGTTCGAAGATAGTGTCATTGGGGTGGAGGCTGGTAGAAGGGCTGGTATGAGGGTGGTTTGGGTACCGCATCCAGATGTGGAAGTTGAGTATCAAGCGAGACAAAAGGAAGTATTGGCGGGAAAGACGGGACTAATTGAGATCGGAGATGACTGGCAGCTGGGGGAGATTGATGATGGTTGGGCGGAACTTATACCGAGCTTGGAAGATTTCAATTATGATAAGTACGGTATTCATCTACCGCTATAGAGAGATTCATAGAACGAGGGTGCAGAGCATGGGGGTCAATTGACTTGGGGTTGTTTACCATGTATTACATCAAAATCCATCGTCCTAGAGATATTGTTTGACAGTCCTCGGGGCTTATACGCTCTTCCAATCTAGGTCCCTGCACTACAGTTGCTCCGGTGTTATAGCGGAGCTCTAACTTCCATCGTATGTCGTCGGTCGGATCGGAAGTTGGTATGAAGAAGTGTTCCTCGATCATCTCCCTGCAGAGAATAATAATTGCAATGTTTTTCCATGCAAGGTACGTGTTACAGCCAACATGGATAGCCGAGGAGAGACATAGGGCCTCCGGTAGTTGGAAGTCAGTTCCTATCACAGAAGACAACCAACCGTTTCACCATCACAAAGAGGGCTTCTCTTAGCAAATCGTGTTGCATACTCAATAGAAGCTACATTCACCTCTAGTGCAACCGTTCAATTTCATCTAAACCACACCATGCCACGTCCACCCCTGTCTAATTAACCCATCGCCCCATTTTCGCTATTCTAAGCTGACTAAATGCCAAGAGCAAGTCAACCTTGCGGCCTTCCTGGCTCTTATGAAGTGGTACCTACGTGTACCCAGTATTCTTCTCACCAATTCCCATCAGCTATGAAATTCCTTCCCACAAGCAGTGATAAGTGTACCGGTGATCGCCCAAAGCCTTTACCAACTGTCCGCAAACGTCCCCTGACCCCGCCACTACCAAAGTCCCGTTGGCGGAAACGGCAAAGGTTATATGACCAGAAACAATCGGCCTTCTTCGCGAAGCTACCACCGGAAATCCGGGATCTTATATACCGAGAGATTCTTGCTCCTGAAGACCACCCGGAGCTACATGTCGCCAGTGCCGATGGACGATTGCTGAGTCGACGTTGCGTTCATGAAATATGTGGTGCAGGTGGTTGGCGTCATAGCTGCTGGCGTGGATTTACGGAATTGGGTGGCACATTGAGCCAAGATGCGAATACTGGGAGATACAGACCCGAGAAAGACTCTTCCTTTTCTATTCGAATGGGATTGCTGCGCTCATGTCGGCTAATGTATGAATCTCGGTTATGAAATAACCTCTCTCCTCCTTCACCGACAACCACACTAACAGAGTACAGGTACTTGGAGTCAAAGTCTATCCTCTACTCTAAAAACACTTTATGCGTCCGAAAAACACGAACAATCGTTGACCTTGGGCGTACTATCCCTCCACAGCGTTGGCAAGATATTCGCTCGCTACATTTGGTCCTCCCAATGGAACTCCACGTTGATGATATGGTAATCAAGAAAGGCGAGGGTATTTATCCTTTCGACATCCCTCTCCACTGGAGTAATGCATGGAAGGCCATTTCGGAAATTTGCTTGTTGCAAAGCATCCGAGTCTCGTTTACTGAGATCCATCCTATGCGGCCCCAAAAAGTAGATCATTTAGCTCTTCTGCTGAGATCGATGGTGACGATATGTGTCCCAGAGTATAGAGTGGACTTTTCCTGGTCAATCGACATTGACGATCTTGAAGAGAAGGTTGGCGCGAAGTTTTCCTTTACAGTATATACTGAACAGGATCGATATGACTCCTACACTTTAGACGGAATATGAAGAATCTCATGCTGCAGTAATATTGGCCCGTCATGATTGCTTCTTCATACCAGTCGCTCCTTTACCTTATTGGCAGTAGTTTATTCGGCAATGCCTACTTTCTATCTGCAGGATTCTATTATATCCCCGAGGTCATATCCCACTCTCTTTACATGTCCTCGCTTTCTGCTTCCTTCAGGAATTTGAGAGCCTTTTCAGAACTTGGATCGATACAAAGATACCAATAATCTCTCCAGAATTCGCGTGCCGCACTGTAGTCAGGCATATGCTTTCTCAACAAAGCCTTCCACTCTCTATCCTCTCCACTATCGGGAATTGAGCTGCAAACGTATTACCACCATACAGGGAAGTATCCCGACCACTCCCAGTCAATGATCCCAGTAAGACGGCCGTTATCGACCATGATATTTACATTTATCAGGTCATTGTGTGTAAAGGTATAAGGAGTAGCAGGTGGCATACGGCTGCGAAGCCGAACGCGCGAGGCCTCGGGAATATGCTGTAAACTGCGCTCCATATCAAGCCACAGATCCTCATCAGATGCAAGGGGACCATGAGGAACGTCGGAGGTTCTGTTGGGAAAAAGGAAATTAGAGTAAATTGGACCGCCATTGAGAGCCTGCAGACAGTTGGACTGAAGGCTGCGAAGTTGCTGTAGATACTGAGCAGTTTGCCTTGCTATGTTGTCTTTTTGATCCGCGGAGAGCTTCGGCCAAGCTGCGCTGAGAGGTTCGCCCGGCACGCGCTTCAGTAGGATAAAGGTGCGACCGGTGGCGTCTTCGTTCCAGGATTGCACAACGGTAGGAACAGGAATCGATGTGTTTTCCTCGACAAACCGAGCATTTTCTACTTCACGAGTCGGAGCACCGGGGCCTCGATCTTTCAAGATCATGTTTGAGCCCAAGGACCAGACACCTCGGTTGCCTGCTTCATAGAATAACTTGACGTGGCTTTCGTACCGGCAGTTTTCTTGACGTTCCGAGGTCCAGCTGCATGCTGTACAGGGGGATGAGGAGCCCATTTCTGAAAAGCAGATGCAGAAGACTGATAAGGGGAGTGAATATCCTGAAGGGATGTAGTGTGAAAGGGGTGTGGCTCGGATTTGAAGCTGAGGTGCTGCTTCATGTAGAACACGAGGACGTCCTCGATGGTGGGGTAACTCTTTGTTTATCTCCGTAAAACCTTAATAGATGAATGAGATACTCGCTCAAGGAGCTTTGACCGCTTTTTCATGGCTTGGCTACCAGAAAAGTTGGTAGTCCTGGTTCGGCATGCACAACCACTAACAAGTGTCTATATGAACGACAGGAAGAAATCCAGAATGAATAGAATGATCTTAATGATCAATCATGGCAATCCCCCGGTTACCGCAGGGCTCTATGAGGGCTGAATCTCCCACGGCATTCAACATCTAGTGAGCAATTCCAACGATAAGTATATAAGGTCTCTCAAGGCGAGCCATGGATAGGTTCGATCAATATCGACGATGTCAATCGCCTGGCAGCTCCGCAGGAAATTGAGGGCTGCGCCACTGAGATTCCAGCGCATGGTAAACTCGGTTGATGCGCTGGCGGCACTTGTGTCATTTTGTTTGCATCCCCTAGGCCTTCACTCGGTATGGTGCTGACAATGGCCTAGTTACTTCTTTCTCCTTCTCGTTAGTGGGACAAAATCTTTGTCATGGGCAGTTGAGCGTTCAGCGTCCTTCTCTTCCCGAAGGCGGTGTTTAGCCTCATCCGCGGATTTTATTTCCTCGGCTGAAGATGATGATAGCTTTCGCTTTCTTATCTTCCGCTTGGATTTAATACCAGAGCACGATTCCCTGACTTCGTTCATTTTTTCGGCAGAGTTGAGGAAACGGGCCAGCTTCCCATAATTGATCTCAAGGTGTACTCCCTGAAAGCTTCCGGAGATTTCGTCCGGCGCGAAGTCACTCAGGTATAAGTGTATATCCTGTGCTTGGTTCACGTAGGACCCGTCTTGAGCTCGGAATGGCTGTGATAGATTAGCGGAAACCATCAAAAACCAACAATACGAAGCTTACCTGAGAATTTATCTCTTGCTGTATGTCTAGGATATCTAGGTCCTCTCCCTCTTCGTGAATATAAGACGGGCGCCATAGAGACAAGGTTGACTCTTTTGTTCCGTCGTAATTGAGGTCGATGCCAATTACAGCCTTGATATCACCGTTCGAGCAAAGAATATATTGCCGAGCTAGCTTCCACATATCCTTCGCATTTTGCGAGTAGGATACTTCCAGCACTATACCAGGATAGGCTGCGTCACGGTGCTGAAATTGCGTATCCGGCTGGCGTTGCGGGAAAGCTTCTAGATCTGTTGGGTGGCCATCAAATGAACCTTCCTTCAGAAATATGCGAGATGAGCCTCCGTTGGCAATTCGCTCTGCAAATTCGCCAGCGGCATCCTTACCGCGAGCGATGCGCTCCAGCTGCTTACATATCTCACCCGCAACAGAGGTGGCAAAGAAATCGTGCACTGGAGTTGGCATGCGAAAAGCGAGAAGCGCGTTCTCGGGATCGTAATCCCACCTACACATGTCAGCTGTGGGGTGGTGCCAAGATCAAGAGATATCCTCAGTGGGAGACATACCGCACTTTGTCGCTGACGTGGTCGTGAAGCGGTCGATCACAATCTAATGCCCTTACTACTTGTCGGTATTGGTCAAGTTGCAATTCAATCGTTTTCTTGCCGCCTTGCAGAGAGGCTGGATTGTGGTTCTGGAGATCCTGAAACACCCGTAGGACGTTGTCCGCATTGAAGCTAGTTGGTCGTTGACATCGCTCGGCTAATGCAGGCGAGATCAAGGGAAGGCTGGTATACGAGTCGAGAGGAGTGGCTTCATGCGTATTTGTGTCGCAGGAGTCCTCCATAGAATCTTTCGGTACGGCCACCGACTCAGCCATGTTGGCGTGCATAGCAACCTGGGGAGATACGCCAATAGGTTCAGCCCCCGCCGGAGTAAGCAATGAATGAAACTACTAGCAAGTAGTTGAAAGCACTAAAGTAAGTGTAGAAGTGGGGGAGCAAAGGGATGTCGCGTTCCGCCTGCAGCCTCGCCTGCATCAGAGTCATGTGACGCTCAACTTGTCATAGAATTGGGCCCTGTTTACTATCTCAGCATGCCCAAAGCTGCTTTTAAAAATCAAATGTTCCCTCCCGATGCAAAAGCTTGAAATCATCTTGGCTCAATAGGCGCCATAGCAACCTACCTAGAGACCTAGTGTACTGACGAGCTATTTAGCTCGGTTTGAGATACCAAGATGGCGAAAAAGAACAGGCAAACCCAGCGTCAAAATATCTCCGAGAAGACAAAGCACTAAATAGTTCATTTATGTCTGCTAGGAGGGTCGGTGTTAGGATACATCACGAAACACAGAATGTTAAGGGTTGTCCTTGAGCCCTTGAAACCAGTTCTAACAGCCGACAAGAAACCAGACCCCACGCAACATAAACGTCAAGAGAGTGGTATTTCACAGCGAAACGATAGTGTACATGTACATAGCTGCATGCGAGTCTGAGAAAGAATGGTACCTGAAAGACAGGTCAGATAAACGCCGATGAATGTTGATAGATCAACTTACTGGCTCCTGACAGTCCACAGAGCATATCCCATGACAGGGAGAGCGCAGTTCCTATCCGAACCTCGACAACTTCCCCATCACTGCTCATCTAGCGCCTCGTTTACCAAGTCATCCGCGCGCTTGGTCTCATTCCTGGGAACCCACTTGTACTTCACTTTCGCCATGGTCCTCAACGTGTCATCCAGATCGGAAGCCTCCTCGATGAGATCTCTGTTCGCAACCTCCACTCCCCTAGCGTTTGTCCAATCGTTGCGCAACCACTTGTAAATCCACGTCGTCATGCATTTGATCGCGTAATCCGAATCCGAATAGATCACAACGCGCACTTTGGGATGTCCGTGGAGTTCATGAATCCTGTCCATGGCCTTCTCGATGCCGAGTTTGATGGCGGTGATCTCAGCACGCTGGTTGGTTGGTGCTGGAAATCTGGGAAGAAGCCTTTTGGACGCTCGAGACCATCTGCCAAAGCGCTTTTTGAACAAGGCTGCCGCTGCCCCAACTGCCCCGGGTTTGCCGTTGCCTCTGCAACCGCCGTCGACGTAGATGTGGATCTGGTAGACCATGTTGTTGTGTCGTTGAGTGAATAGAGGGGGGTTCGGGTTCTTCGACGATAGGTGGGATTAGCCGGCCAGAGACAAGTATGTAGTAGGCTTTTGGGAGAGTTGCTGGGGACTAGACGATGTATGTTGGCTGGAGAATGGTTGAGGAATGACTTAGGAGAGAGGCAGCGATAGCTGTCTGGAAGCTGTCTGGATCATAGGTCTCTCCCTTTGTCGCGGGACGGAATTTACTTCCGCCGGGGAGATCCCAATTGATTCTTCTTATGCCTTTGTTTTGGCCATCCTGACTCCGATACTCCCCCGTTTCACCGCCTGGCTTCCCTCCGCTTTCGGGCCGGTGGAGGCTCGGAGGCGGGAACAACCGGCGCTAATGGCCGATTGGCTCAGGAACGCACCAGGGGCGATCGGAGCCCGCGGGCCTCCCACACGGCTTCCATTCTTAGGTTCCGTTCCAAGTATGTGATTGGACCTTTTGGGTTACCAGCGTGCCTACTTAGAAGCCTGATGGCCATGATGAGAATATCACATTCGTTACAATAAAAAGCTCCAAAGAAACATCAGCTGCCCTCGTTTATCGACCAAAGCCATACTTAAGTAGCCAGTCATCGTGGACTTTAACTCATAGAGAATGCAATAGTAATGCACTGTACAATTAGTTTTGATTTTTTGTTGACCTACGAACGCTGAATCCATTTGAATTATAGTTATGTGACATGATAAAGATCAGCCTAAAGTATTGGAAATGCCACGACAGGAAAAGAAGCATTCGGGAAATCTACAAAGGAATTTTGATTAGGAGAGAGCGACTTTCGCCAATATTCTTTTTTTTTCTTTCTTTCTTTCTTTCTCTCTTTCTTTCTTTCTTTCTTTTTTTTGTTTCTCTTTTTCTGCGTATCAATATCAAAATGAAGCACAAAAGAGAAATCAATAATATCAAACTCCACGTAAAGCATTCAAGTAGTAATGAGATGATGGAGAGATCCGCCGACACTGAATATCATCTTGGAAAAGGAGACACATCCAACATCAAGAATCCGTATCGGACATATGTTCTATCTCACGAGACTCTGAGTGAGATCTTTGGGCTCGAGTCGACAGAAGAGCGAAGAAACCACCGGATCAAACATGCGAAGATCTGCAAAGCACCATGCACGAATAGCTGCCAGAGCTGAACGAAACCACAATCAATAGAATGTGCCCTCAACCATCGGCATCTCACGATCACGCTGGCCATTCTGATTATAAAAATAGCCAAAGTTCATGTACAGACTTTTCACTTCATACCGTCCAATGAACCCACATTCAACCATGTCTTGCAGGATGGTGTAAGTCCACCACCTACGCCCCCTCCCGCCAGGCATCTCATACTGGAAGCGGCCGTTGTCGTAGACCATGTGCCCGATATCGCTGACCGTGCATGCGCGCTGCACCGGAATATCCCACCAGACGATCGCTGAGTGAGACAAGGTATAGTTATGGTTAGACCATTCGACAGTTGAGGTTTCAGTATCTCGATCGGCTCTCACGGTGCATCGGGTTGAGGTTTCGTTGCCGGCGTGCACGAGGAATAGGGAGAAGTGGTTTCCATTGTCGAATCCTCCGAGCACCGCTATTCTGATGTACATCACGGGTCGGTGTTCCCTAAACACGGCTTGGACAGGGAATGGCTTGGGCATGTTGACAACTGAGCGTGGAGGTTTTGGATCTTTGGATTGTTTGTAGAACGTGGAGGCACCGACGGTTGGTTGTCTGAGGTTGAAGACTTGCGAGAAGGGGCATGTCCTTGCTTTTATAGCCCCTTGGCCTGAGTGATAAAGGTGAATAGGGTAGATATCAAGAATATGAGACTTCCAGCGAAAGACTTTGGTTAGATTGGAATGTTCCGAAGATGAGCAAGAGGGTGCCCGGGGATGGAGGATGTTTCCAGTTGGAGAATTGTAGTTAAGTTGGTGTTAGCGTTCACGAAATGGAATCTCCCATTTCAAGAAGATTCTACTGCATCTACGCCCTGCATCAAGTTCCATGAAGGAGAGACTTTGGTATAGAAGCAAACCTGCAATGTATTGTAGGGAATGGAACTGGATTACGAATAGCAGACAAAGACCAAAATAACACAATCATCTCTCTCTTTTATCTAACTAGAACTCTCTAAGCATTGGAATGATGACAATATTAAATTTGTTTAGACAGGAAAAGGACTGAAAGGGAAAGTGCAGTTGACAAGTGATCAAGGCGGGAAAGACAGAGAACGAGGAGAGGGTGAAGAGAAAGGAAATGAGTCGGTTGAGGAGAAAGAAAAAAAAAAGAAAAGAAAGTAAACCAAGATCAGAATAAAAGCAGAGATCTGCACTCCACTCATTTCTTCGAAAAAATCTCCATCAGCTTGCCAGGGCTCCAACGACGGATTCTGAACAAATAGTACAGCACCGTCGCCATGAAAATATTGAAGGCAATGTAAGCCCAAAGGATTCCAAAGTTGCGCCATCTATGCTCCCAGTGAATACCCACAGAGGCCATGTACTCGTCGGCCACGCTCAGAGAGCAATAATTGCAACTGCTCGTCGCTTCGGGATTCATCAACTGCCCTCCCGCGACTCCCAACATCCCGCCCAGATACTCCTGACAGGTTTGGCCTGAAGGCGGATCGAATGTTGCCAGCTCAGCTTCAGAACAAATAACGGGTCTCCCATGGAGTTGAGTCCCGGCCATTCCTCCAATCCAGTAAGTGAACGGAGAGGCGCGGTACATAAAGATCCAGAACCCGGAAAGTGCCGAAGGTGGTTGCATGACTCCGCAGAAAGTCAAAGACATGGAGAAAAGGAGCACGACAATCGCACTAGCCGTGACGGTATCCTCGATGGCGGCAATGACCATGTGTGCGAACGTACTGGCGTAGACGTAAAATTGGATGCAGTACAACAGGACTATCACCTGTCGGTCGGACGTCTGGCCGTTTCCTACAACAGGGTAATAGTAGCATGCGAATGTGAGGATGCCCATTATGATTTGGTATGGGATTTCGACGGTAATGTTGGCGATCAAGAATGCTTTCCAGGAGTATGCCTTGCTCGGGCGTTCACGGACTTCATACAGTGAGCGCTGGGTCACAAATATAGGCATTACCTGTAATTCCGTTGTTAGCTGCAATTTACATAGAACATAGTGCATGTAGTAAAGATAGGAAAGGCACGAACCTGTTGCGCAAGTGAAGCGAAGATAGAGCACACCATGAACAAGGAGAAGATCAAAACCTGCATGCCTTGCAACGACTGCTTGGCGGAATAGAACGAGAACCCAATGAAAAGGCCGGCCATGATAGCCAGCCCCCATTTGGCAAGAATGTACCCAGGCATGCGCCAGTACTGTTCGAAAGTCCGACGAGTTACAACATATAGCTGGAACCACAGCGGCGCTGCGAACTCGGACTGGGCAAGAGGATCGTCCATGGTTTCCTGTGTTTTGGCACCCTGCTCCGCATGAATCCTGTCAATTTCTGCTTGGATGCCCTGGCTCTCCGTGCTCTGGTTCCAAACATCAAACCAGTTTTCGCCCTGTCGATTGACGCCTTGGTTGACTACTTCAATCATGTACTCCGCCGGATTCTCGTCATCTCCACAGTCCCGTCCGCCATTTCCTTCGAAGTAATCAAGGAGTGTGCGAGAGTTCTGTCCGATCGGTCCGAAGTACACAGTCTTTCCTCCTCGTGCCAGGAACAGTAACTGATCAAACTGCTGGAAAAGGATGGCGCTCGGCTGGTGAATAGTGCACAGAACGGCCTGTCCGCTGTGTGCAAGCTTGCGAAGGAAGGAGCAGATCGCCCATGAACTCTGAGAATCAAGTCCACTGAATCATAAGGTTAGGTCCGGGTATAACTCTATACCTATAGCCAGGATGTGGATAACTTACCTTGTTGGTTCATCCAAGAAAAGAAGCAGTTTGGGCTTCGCGGCCAGCTCCACACCGATCGTCAACAGCTTCCGCTGCTCAACATTCAATCCTTGGCCGGGAACACCGACGACTGCCTCAGCGAAATCCTCCATCTTCAACATACTGATCACGTCCTCGACGTATTTGTATTTTTCTTCCGTCGACACTGATGCTGGTTGTCGGAGTAGGGCACTAAACCGGAGAGACTCGCGCACTGTGGAAGTTTCCAGATGCAAATCCTGCTGTTGAACATACCCGGTCTTACGCTGGAAACTTGCGTCTGGGGACCGTCCGTTCACAAACATGTCTCCTGTGATAACCCCCATCGAGGTTCGTTGAGCGAGGACATCCAATAGTGTGGTCTTTCCGGCTCCACTGACTCCCATAAGTGCTGTCAAAGTGCCAGGCTTCACCCATCCGGAGACATGATCTAGTAGACGTCGCGGCTCTCCTTTGATCTCAATGTCGTAAGACACGTCACGCCACGTGAATATGTCTGTCTGCGGAGGTAGAGCTACCTCGTTGTTGGATTGCTCGGTCTGAGTTCTTACGGATCCTAGTTCGATCGAGGTCTCCTCGTCTTTAGAACCCTTTGGAGACTTTTCGCGGAAAGCGGCAGGCTCGTGGCCACGACGGAAAACGAGAGCTTCTGCCGTGCTGGTAGTGGATGAGTTGAGCTCGGAGGCAACAAAGTATATGGCCATGAATGCGACCAAAAATGCAATCAAGATTCCAAAGTTCCGCCAGACGTTGCCATAGCTGTAGTCATAATTTGCCAGCATATAGCTGTCACCGCTGATAGTGAGTTTCCCGGCTTCTGAACCGGCTGCTGAACAAGCAAACGAATTGCCGGACAGATCGGCGGTTGGCGGTATAAACTGGGAACAGGGGAAATCGCGACCATGGAATTCGTTGGCGATAAGGACCTCGAAAGCGTAATAAATCGGGTTCAGCCAGTGTATCCACTCAAACCAGGGATGCATGGACGGTACTGGAAGCACATATCCGGTGTACATGATCAAAGCTAAAATCATCACTCCTGCCAAGCCCATGGCCTGGGCTATTGTCTTGGTCAATGCAGCCATAGTTCGGAAGATAGCGCTCATGACAAACATGATGATGAAGACATGAAGGAAGTAAATGAAGAACTGGGATGCCTCGCGTCGTAAGTTCGAGAGGAAATACATGACGACGTTGAAGGCAACGGCGAGGACGAACTTCACGGGGACGTCGCTGACAACTCCGGCGATGGCTTCTGCGGCGGGATGATAGAAAGCATAAGAGGCATGTTTCTCAACAATGGGACGCTGAGCGTAGAGGGTGTTGATTTCGGACATGGCGGTTAGGGCATTCAAGAGAACGGCGAAGAACAGGGTGGCTCCTTTGGATGTGAACCCGACACTCGCGTCTGGAGATCCGTAGAATACCGAGCCCACAATCAGAGCCATGATGATGTTGCTAATGACCGTGGAAGCCGTTGAAGTGATATCATTCCACAGACGCTGGTATGCACGTCTGGTAGCCAGCTTGATTTGCATCGGGACGCTGATTATATATGGAGAGCCTGGTCGAGCATGCTTCGCCTGCACCTGGAGCTTTCGCTCATGGAACTTAGCGGCTGCTGCTTTGTCGTCGGGATACTGATGGGCCTTCTCGTATTGCGTGATCTCGCCTTGGAGCTGATGGTATTCCGGGGACTGAAGCCAGTAGTTTTCGAAATCTTCTGGCGTACGCGGAACCTTTGTCTCCATGCCCTGTCGCGGCTGTCGCTCCTGTGGATTGGTCACCGAAGTTAAAAAGTCGCCTGTCGTTTGTCGCGCCGGACATTCCCAGCCCTGCTTCTCGAAAAAGGCCTTTGCCGTGACCGTAGAGCCGAAGAAGATCTGCCGCCCTTCATACAGAACTGTCACCTTATCGAAAACCTCATATATGGCCTGACTGGCTTGGTAGATAGCGACGGCATGAGCAGAACCGGCTAGGTCTGCGAATAGCCGAAGCGACTCGACAAACTTCAGAGCGGTAGCGGAGTCCAATCCTCGAGTGGAATTATCCCACGCAGCCAACGGTGCCCTGGCGAGCGCCATCTCAGCGATACTCACGCGCTTCCGCTCTCCACCGGAGACTCCTCGAACGAAGTCACTGCCGACCTTCGTGTTGTAGGTATGACTCAGTCCGAAGACTGCCATAATAACCTGCGCCAGATGTTTGACAGCTTCTTCGCGGCTTGCTCCTTGCATCCTGCGAGCGGGCATTCTGGCGGCGGCGGCGAATTCGAGGGTTTGTCCAACTGTCAAGTGGGGGAAATGTTTGTCGACCTATTGGAGGAAACATGAGTTAGTTAGAGAGTGCATAGAAGGTTCTGGGCTCTATCATGTACCTCTTGGTTGTAGACGACTTCTCCTTTGAACTCCTTCATCATGCGAGATTGGGAGACTCCTATATCTTCGTTAGTACCATCCTTGATACCTGCATTTTTCATCACACTCCTGCGACATAGTTACCATTATAGTTCAGGACGCTCTTGTCATCCACATCAAGCCCATGCACCTCCCCACACAGAGTTTTGAGAAACGTGCTACACCCAGCACCAGGACGACCCAGAACAAGCAGCAATTCGCCAGTTGCCAACAGGCCATTGAAGTCCTTCAAGATGAGCTTCGATGGGGATCTTCGCTGTCTCAACATCTCGCCCACCTGCGTCGGCACGCTCAACGTGGACAGAACCGTTTCCTGTAGCTGCAATGCAGCACCAGACCCCGACACATTTAGGTCCCTGAAGACAATTCCCGCACGCGGATTTGTGATCCCTTCTGCTTGCGCTCCTTTCAGAACCCACTTCAACCATTTCTCCATGTCAAATTCGGGCCCCTGTGGGTTCAGCGCAGGATCGTTCTCGGAAACGGTCCCGAGGGGTTCACCATCTCCTGCATTGGAGGTAATGCGAGAGTACATACTTGAACGACGTTTGGACTTCTGCGAGCGCTGCGATGCTAGTCTCCTGAGGTTGGTGATTTCATTATCGTCAATCCGGACAGTCGAAGCTCGACGGACGGTATTGTCGTGGGAGGCGATAGATCGTTCCGTTGCGGCCCTGAGGAGCTTGTCCTCATCTTGGCCTTCCGCCATTCTGTCTGGAGTCAAGTGTGTTCAGCAAAAGTCGAACAAGTTGTCTGGGATTAAAATCGGGATAGCATCTATGAACCAGGAAGAGCAGATAACTGATTTCATTCAAGTGTAAAGATGATTGGAATCTCGAAGACGTGGGCCAGCCATGAGAACTTATTAATGAGAAATACTTCACTACTCTGGTACGTAGTCCGCTTACTCATAGGGCTCTTTCTATTTTTTAGCGGACTATTCCCCTGAGCTTCTTGGCCTATACATAACTTTCGGAATCGGAGCGCCGGTAGATGGCAGGCTATGTTCCGCTTAGTCGGCTTCTCGTGGTAGCCCCACTGTCTTTATAGATTCCGTAACTGACGTTGCGATATGCATCGGAGTCGGGACGAGCAACCACCGATCCAAGAACCAATGCTCCCAATTTATCCTCTGATCTACGCAAGACCGGTATATTCGGAGTGAATGTCTCCGACTATCTGATTCTAGAGCTCCGTTGCAGGGTCAAGTGAAGGGAAAACTTTAATTAGAGGTAAAAAACAGGGGGTAGAGAACCAGTAGTCGTAGGTGGAGGAACGGCGAAGAAGGAAGATGCTGGGGCTGTCCACGGTTCTGGCCAAACAGACAGCCGTGCGTGGGTCCTGCTGGGCCGGAGGAATGAGGTTTTATTCCTCTTTGGGATAAGCTTGAAGATCTTGCCCGCTTACTCAGCGGTCGAGAGATTTAGCCCTACGCTTCTCTCAACGAAACATTGATGCTTCTCGGATCCCGGAAGTGTCTGCATCCCGGGCGTGGCCTCTGTCATTGCGTAATAATTCCTTCTCGGGGGGGTTCTGAACTTATTGGAACCAGAAGGAAGTTGCTCAGCATAGAGTGTGCTCAAATCGATAGGACAATGTCATCGATATATTTCCGCCCCGACATCCCCGGAACCTTTCGTTCCATAGAAGCAAAAGTCACGATACTCAATCTTTCATCTGAGTTTTTTTCTATACCTATATAAAATATTTGTAGAACGACCAGGTCAGAAAAATCAAATAAAATAAAGAAATGACAAATACTGAAGGCCCTTTTTACAAAATATCATGTTCCACAACAGATTCCCAGATATGAACAGATTCATGGATATGGGAAGTGCCAACGAAAGATCTACTCATAGAAAGTCAAAAGAATGTAGATTTGTTATCACCCTCGCAGCCACAGGGTCCAAGCTCACAGGTTCTAAACTCATATGATGATTTCATTGGGTCACCAGGTTTATGTGCGACATGGTGTTTCTTACCTCCTGCTTAATACTCTTGGGTTATACGGTCACATCTTGCACGTACATCCAAGGTAGAGGCATTTGAAATCAAGGTACCAATGGTGATAATATCAAGAGACTTGCAGCCTCATGCCCTGCTTTAAAGGATTATATCTGGTAAAGATAGCCCTTGGATGGATAACACCTTCGGTATACCGGATTGAGATCAGATGGTCTTTCAAGTTAGCCTGTTTAATATCGCGTTGTAGCGTTGTCGGATCAAGTTTTCAAGCGCTTTTAGCAGCTGCATGGCCGGTCTGGATGTTTAATTTAACATGGCACTTTGTAGTATGTTTGTTTCTAGAAGCAGAAATTGTGGGCTCGAGAAGCGCACTTCGTCATCAGGAGCGTTTAGCGTATTCACCCAGCATCTACTGTGGAATCTCCCCATCACTGATAAACCACACCCTAAACTTCAAACTCTGGAGCGTCCAATCACTGAATTAAGTCCACTGACATGCAACTGTTGAAGAGTACTAAAAATAGTTCTCGACGAGTTGGGTTTAGCGGGCGGAGATAACGACACGTGACTTGAGATCCCGACAGTTCCCCGACAAGTCCGACAAATGCCGCCACGGGTCCGACAGCCCGACAGGGACACCTTCCATTGATTTGAAGATCATAAGATTGTTCCCTGGTTCCTACATCTCACGGCACAGCCTATACCAAACATCATCATCAAATCCAAACATAGGACCCTATACCTTCAATGACGAGCGAAGGCCATCGGACTCGCATCACGCAAGCATGCATAAGCTGCAAGGTCCGTAAAAAGAAGTGCAACCGGGGGGTTCCTTCATGTAGCTATTGCATACGGTTAGTCCTCCTGATACACAAAAACAACGCTGGTAATACTGAGGAATAATGCACAGGAAAGACCTTGATTGCCGCTATGTTCCGGTTCCCCGCCGACATGGTCGTTTCAGCCTGAACACACGCGGCCCATTGCATACAGCAATACACCACGAGACACTGACAGGGGAAACAAGTGTCGACCTGGTGGAGCCTAGACCGACGTTTACGGAACTGGTGATTGAAAGGGACACTTTTTACCGTCCGCGGATTGAGGGTCTGTCAGTAAATAGTCGCAAACCCGGAACTCTCTGCGAAGAGACTAGGGGTTGTTTATCTCCACATGCTATTGCTGATAGTGTGATAGAGATGGCATTTACCTCGAGGCTCAAAACATTATTCGCTCCACCGGCAAGTTTGTAGATGATCTCACGGCTCGATATTTTCGGAATTTTCACAGTCATCTGCCCATCATCTCCCGCGTGCGTTTTCAAAACAATCTGATATCGACCGGATCAGCGCCCAGTGCCGACGCCTCGGTCCTACTACTCACTGTCTGCTTGCTTGCGTATCTTCCAAGTTCTCAAATGCATTCCCAAGATGGAGAAGCACTTGTGATGGGCCGACAGTCTCTGTATCTCGCCACGAAGGCACTTGTCGCTCAGGCCCAGGGATCCTTGCAGCCTTCTATCCCTCTGATACAGGCAACGCTCTTGTTAGCTACATACGAATATGCAAATGGTAAACCGGAAGCCGCAGTGGTCACAATTGCGGGCTGTGCGCGAATGGCGTATGCTGCTCGTATACATGACAGAAGACACCACAGCATGGATTGTGATAGCGGTATTGACGTCGAGGAAGCTGGGAATACATGGTGGGGAATCGTCATCTTTGAACGGTAAGCCTCTATACCTACTTTGCCGAAGCGGCGAGGCTGACGCAAATTCTGTTCATGGTAGAGCCTTTCTCTGTGAGACCGACAGCATCGAGCAGCCAATGGCTACTGTTCTGCCTCCCGGTGACACTCGGCTGCCAATCGATCGCGACATGCTTGATAGGGGGGATTTTCAGAGCCCAGGTTCTATACCCAATATACCCGTCTCGTGCTTGACTACACCAGACGTTGGTGGCTTCGGGCGCGCAGCTCAAGCATCTTGTCTGCTAGACCAAGTATTGAAAGGGTTGGTAGCACCCGATCTTAATACAAGGCTACCTCTGCTCGAAAGTCTGGACCGGAGCATCCAATCACTCCTGGCGTTTGTTTTGAACCACAGGCCGGAAAGAGACTCACCTTATTGTACAGCACTGTCGGTGACACTTAGGTAATTCGTCCATTACTTGCCAATCCTCCATGAGTGGCACCTACTGACGTAAAGCAGACTATTATTCAAACTACATAGCCATATCTTGGATCTACCGGAACACACTGTTACCGCTAATCTGAGAAGCCTGGAGGACTGGAAAAAGAGCTCACTGGCGGCACTTGATACTGCTACGACGATCGTTATCGACATGTCGAAGTCCCATTACAGCAATCTTCCGTCGGATGGGACCAATAATACCTCTCCAGTGATTATCTATGTGGTTCGTGCTGCGATACAGCACATTCAATCTCGCCCATGTGACGGAACTTCTCCGTGGTCGGAGATTGTGGAGACTGAACTGCAGCTCTACCTGGATAAATTGAGGCATCAATGGGTTGCTTCTCATCAATGAGTGGTGCCCATATCATGCTGCTTTCCAATATAGCCCTGTTGCTAGTTATTGAATTGAGACCCAAATTTCCGGATCGAAAAGGAATTTCAATAGATGTATCGAGTTTTAATTCAACTACCTAACATAATCCAACCACTAAAGGCCTAGCCTATCTGAAACATAAGATCAGTCTTCAGATACATGAACATGAGTCCTCGCAACCCTTTCCCCATCCTTATATGCATCCAACACCCCATTGACAACACCAGCATCCAACCCCTTCTTCACCACATAATCCAACGGCTTAATCTGCCCACTCTCCAGAAAACCAGATACCCGAGACCAAAGCTCCGCCGCAAACTCTGGATGCGCATGCGAGCTACCAAAAAGATCACGCACATCAAACCCTGCCATCTTGCCCAAAACCCTCGACTCATCAACCTTCCCACGAGGTATCAAACGAGCCAGTGCCCCCTTCTTGCTCCCCGACAGCGCATTCAGCGCCAGCAGCTGGCCTTCCAAAGGGTTGATAGCGTCATACGCGTACAGCAGGTCATCACCGACTATATCGCGGATCTCTGCCAGGATTGACTCGTATCCAGCATGGCGGTCGATGACATGCGTCGCGCCGAATGAGATCAGCTTGTCGCGGTCACCGCCGACGACCACGATGCGTCCGATACCCGCCAGCTTGGCCAGTTGAACGCCGAATTGGCCGCAGTTAGACCCGCCTCCGATGATGAGGATTGCGGTGTTCGCGGAGCCGAATTGCTTAGACGCGGCGGACCACGGGGTGAGGATCTGTAGCGTGTCGAATAACGCCACGAACGAGGTGATGATATTTGTCGGAAGAGTCGCAGCCTCATCGTCTGTAATAGAATCCGGGATCTTAGCGAGGGCACGTATATCTGCGACAGCGTATTCCTGGAGCCCATTCTGCGTCGAGCCCGGCGCGAAAGAGGATTGGTATACAATTCGATCGCCGATCGCGAGATCAGTAACGCCTGGACCCAGCTTGGTAACTTTGCCGACGACGTCGCTGGTAAGGACCGAAGGGAGGTCGCTGGCGCGAGAGCTTTCAGGGGTGAGATCGCGGAGAATGAAGAGACCCCAGTCGCGGCTCTTCTGGTCGTGAGGGTTCAGGCCCGCGACGGTCACTTTCACTTGAACTTGGTTTTGGTTGGGCTCGGGGATCGGCCAGTTAGTTGTGAGGGTGACCGGTGCATCTAGCTCGGTCACGATGAGTGCTTTCTGCATGGTGGGGTTATGGCAGGTTTGACAGGGTGTTGGTGAATGAAGTGAGTGGGTGATGTGTTGTCTGTCAGAGGAAGTATGGGGTGGGAGCGAGTATTTATGTAGCGAAAGGTCAGGATCTACCAGATTATACTGTCTTGAGAAGGCTCCATGTTAAGAGTGATTATTCCGAACAAACGCGTGTCGGGATGTTGTCGGGCTGACTTTGTCGGGCCCGACGCCCGACACTAATCCACGTAAGACTAAGGGCTATGATGGAATAGAAGGATTCGGAAATCTAGAACAGTCAGGCTTATTATTACTATGGGATGCAGATATCCCGATTATGTCAAGGACAAGAGGGGCAGCCTAAAGGAGTATCGAAAATCTATTCCCTAAAGTCTAGCTCTAGAACAAATGTTTCATGCCTGATCAAATGTTCCAAGCGACATATAAACATCGAGATTGTCTTTCCTAATACCTAGAATATTCCTTCATTTAACAATCACCGCATAAATTAAATAGATTTCTACACCCAGTAAACCCGACAACTCACGCCTTTCCACCCCTCCCGAAATACATCCTCCCCTGCCACCTCCTCAACCTCTGTCCAAAAACCTGCAACATCAAAATAAAAGCCAAAGACCCAAACGTAATCGCCGCCTGGATCCCCAATGCCTTGGCGGCCCCAATCCCCTCCACCCACTCGATCTGGATATACGTAGCCATGAACCCGCCCCAGTTACGACTCGCAGTAACCCAGGCCCCGACCTCGCCCGACCCCTCGGGGTAGCAGTCCAGGAGGTAGGCGTTCACGGCAGTCGTGATGATCATGAGACTGCCGCATTGCAGGGCCGCGAAGACTGCGATCACCATGTAGTGCCAGTGGCGGTCGAATGCGAAGCCGAGGATGATGAGGCTGATGCAGGAGAGGATGGCGGATGGGTAGACGATGATGAGGCGCGCTTCTGGGTGGAGACGGCCCGCGTGGCGTTTCGTGTAGAATGTCCCGACGGCGTCGTGGAGGTAGTGGCCGATGAACCAGCCGATTATGACTCCGACGATGCCGAAGAAGTAGAAGTATCCTGATGTGGTTAGTTGGGCTATGGGTAGGGGTAAAGGGGAGAGAGGAATGGGAGGAGATACCGATTCCGCGGGTTGAGAAGCCGTAGTCATTGGTTAGCCAGATACCGATGGTGGTGTTGACTCCGATGACCCATGCGAAGCTGAGAAAGTAGAAGATGAGGACGATCAGGACGGGGATTTTGGTGATCGCCACGACAGGTCGCATGACGCATTGTAGGAAGCTTCGCTGGTGCCAGAGCTGTACTTGGTGGGCTCCTGTGAGACGGGCGAGATAGGAACCTCGAGGGACCTGTTTTCCTTTGCGCTCGAAGAGTGTCTCGTCAAGGATAAAGACGAGAAGAAAGGCGACTCCAGACATGATTGTACACAGCCAGAACGCCCATCTCCATGAGACGTCGGCGACGATGAATGAAGTGAGCAATGGGCCCAAGTACGGGCTCAGAATGATGAAGAATTCGATGCAGTTGATCACCTTGAGATGCTCATGGAAGAAGAACATATCCTTGACCCACAGAAGAGCAGCACCTTGCCCAACACTGCAGAAGAGCCCGTTGATAATTCGAGCAGCAAGATATGAATCAAAGCTTGTAGCTGCTGCGGACCAAGCGCATGTGCCTACCATGACAGCCTGAAAAATGAGAAGAATCGGCATCCGACCGAAGTAGCCGACCAGCATTACCACGATCAACCCGCAGGACCCGATGGTGAAGAGGTTTCCGACGACAGCCCGTTGAACATGCTCTTGGGGAAGTTCCCACTGCCTGGATGCAAGTCATTCGATCAGCGACTGTATTTCTATCTCATACAAGCCATCTACTCACATAGACTGAGGAATCACGGTGATAATCGCCGTTCCTCCTGTATAGTCCGCCAGAAAGGCGATATAGGCCATGATTCCAATGATCATCCATTTCTTGCGTGACGACCAGTTCAAAGGATCGTCGGGCGTGTCCAGCGGCTGGGGGATGAGAACGTGTCGACCATCCGCGCTCGTCTTCAACCCGGACGCATTATCTGGGTATCGACTTGGATCCGTCACATATCCTTCCAGGGCTTCGGCCTCCTCGTCGATCTCAGTCGAGTCAACCTGAAAAGGCGGCTTATCATCTGTTGATGTAGAAGCCATCTTCACGAGAAAGGAGGCGTATCGCCTGACAGTGTGATATGGAGTTGGGATAGGTGCCGCACTGAGAGACAATAAAAGAAAAAAAAAAAAAAAAAAAGAACAAAACGAAAGAAAAAAAGCAAAAGGTGGGAGAGGGGGGAACTGCAGACAGCATCAAGCGTTTCGGTGACGCCTAGCTCCAGACCACCCAATCTAAACCCCTGTCTGCATCCCGTTGATGTTGCATATCCGACTTAACCGAGGAGTATTTGTTGTCTAGCACATGAGAGACGCGTCGTTAGGCCCCTTATCTGAGGATTAATTAAGTAGAGTTCTGACCGTGGCTCCACGGAGGAAATTCAATTGCAACCCTATGGGATACCTGATAGACCAATGCAAGTCTAACGCACCGTTCTGGTCGTAGACAACGAAAACATCCTTGACGTACTTGCGACTACTACGGAGTATATTGGACAACAGTGGAGCAGTTGAAGCTAAGGCCATCCACTAAACCCTTAAGACTACCAAGGCGCGACGATCCCCCGGCGCGGCAACGGGGAATCGTCCCGACTGCAGGGATTCTCGACGCCTTCAATATCTAATCCTGGTAACTTTCTGGCTGGTCCGCCGGAAGTTACATCGTTCAAACTTGGCGGTCGCGAGCATGCCATGCGGCGCAGCTCGCGGGATCCAGTTCCCTGCAAAGAGTGATATCGCGCATCCCTCGCAATGAAAATCCTTTGTAATCTCGGTCGGCCGATGCCGCGCCACATGGCCTAGTACAGTATAGGAACGGTGGAAACGAGGGCCAAGATCGTGTTGGGACAGTATTAGGTTGTTATGAAATCCTCATGTCTAGGTAGCACAGGGCCAAATGTCCCTGTTGTGTCTCCGTAACGTGACTATGTACTAAATTCGAAATTATACCAAAAGCATCATACTCTATAGGATTGGAGTGCTATTGACTTGGCCGTGTCTCCTTAATAACCAACCCCTGTTTAGTTCAAAGTTTGTACTCCGGACTATCATTGTGGACTAAAGGAAAAGCACCAATTTACAGCCAAGAAGCCCGACACAATGGTTGAAAGGCTCTTAGGCAAATGGCACGAGTAAAGGATAGCCCAGGCGGACTGGAAGTAGCAATATAGAATGTAGGAAGCCCGAAGATCCAACAGCCTGTGTGCTTCGTTGATCCGTTGCGACCGTCTTACGCCATGCCAGACACATACGGAGGCCGAGGGCCTCTTCTGCTTGGGGTTACCTGGGCAGAAGCAGCACTGACTCTGGTACTGTTTGCGCTGCGGGCAAAAACAGCGTCAATATGTCCGCCAGAGAGCATGTCCTCCGGAATATTTGGGTTAAGGTGGGATTTTGTCTGGGCGGTCTTTGCTTTGGTATGCTTTGACATCCCTATACTTGAGAATATCTAACAGTGTAGATGATCGCTCTGGCGGCACAATGCACAATGACAGTCAGCGTGAAGTACGGTCTCGGAATGCATCAAGGGCTGCTGTCGGACGCCGACATCGTCCAGACCAACTTGTGGAGCTGGATTGCTCAGGCAATCGGGATCGTCGACCTGGCTGCTGCAAGATGTGCAGTCATTGCGTTCCTTCTGGCACTCCAGACACGGACTCACCGCAAAGGAAGATGGGTACTCTTCTTCGTGGGTGGTCTCCAGGGAGCCATCAATATTGCGGAAATCGGTGTCATATTCCACCAATGCAATCCGCCCCGAAAGCTATGGGACATGAGTGTTCCTGGTACTTGTGATCTCATCGATGTCTGTTTGCATATCGGGTATTTTCAGGGAGGTAAGCGTGTCATACTCTTAATCGTTGGAGGGTGTTGTCTAAACTTGAATAGCGGTCGGGGCCGCAGCTGATATATTCCTCGCCTTCTATCCCGTGTACATCATCGGAAGACTGCAGCAAATGCGACTAGGTTTGAAGATCGGTCTATGTCTCCTGATGAGCGGCGGTATTGTGTGCGTATCTATCCCATCCCTTTTTATTTCCCTCTTTACTTTAGCTAAGCACAATCCTATACAGCGCTGGAGTAGCAGGAATCAACAAGACCATCGCGATCGCCAACATCACCGAAGCCACCGATCAAACCTACGCAATTGCCCAGCTCAACATCTGGGTTCTCACCGAGATGTGGTTCATTCTCATCTTCGGCTCAATCCCCGTCCTCCGACCATTCTTCGTGCGGTTTTCACAAAGCATCAAAAGCGCCGCGTATTCCTCCCGCAATCGGTCCGATCTACAACCTGATCCTGGCTCTCACAATGATGCATGGATGTATCTACATGATCGGCCACAGCTATCGTGGGCTTCTCAGGGGTCTGGACGGGGAGATAAAGAGACGAATGTGTTTAAGAGTAATAGTGAGGAGGAAATCCTGGGGTCTCAGTCAGCGGATGAGATTGTGATAACGCGCAAGATGACGATGATGGAAGATAGGCACTGATTATTCCTACTATGCCATCATTTGCATAGTCAGTATCTGGATTGATGAATGAAAATAATACAGAATTATGAACGGGGGTTTAGTCTTATCGAGTTAACCAGAGATGAGACAAGCATAAAGCCAACATACTAGACCAACAGCGGATCCACCGAACGCAACGTCGATAAATTAATATCTCAATCAAAACAAATTAACCCGAGCAACCAGACCACCTCCTAAACATGCTAAGGAACGGCCGTCTATTATTCCCTGTCCAGCCTTGCCCCTTTCAGCAATGCGCAGTCATTTCACAGCGAGAACAATGTGATCAAGGACCTCCTGATCCGAATGCAACTCAATTGACTTTTATCCTGCGTCGTAATCACGCAAATGAAAGTAAATGAACGATTAATAATAGTAAAAAAAGGGGGAGAAGTAAGTCTGAGCGCAATCCATGGAACATTTGACAGCTGACAGCTGCGGGGTCGGCGCTATTTAAAGAAACCACCGTCTGGAGGCATCTTCATTCTCGACACTTCCATCATCCATCCAGCAACATTCATCCCCACCACAGCATGAAGAAAAAAATAAACAGTAACTTGACAATTTTCGACGAAATTGCCAATGTCAAGAAACTAGCGGAGGCCGAAGCAAGCGGGGACCAGAATGCCCACGGTCCGCTGTTAGCCGCGATCCGCTCGCTGCAATTAACAGCGGAGACGCCGGTTGAGACGACGTCTCGCGTGAATTTCCAGGTAGTGGATCATCCTGAAGACCCTGTGGATGTCAGTTGACCTGGGTTCAGATTATGCAAAATATCTGCGTTCGCGTCGCCATCGAGAGAAGACTACTCCATGTTATCGCGGACAGCGACCGTCCGATTACCTCGGTGGAGATAGCCCGTGCGACCGACACGGACGAGTTGTTAATTGGTAATCTTATCAATCGATAGCAGTCGATACGGTGGATGTTGACCATGGTAACAATGTGATCAGTGCGCGTGATGCGGGTGTTGACGGCGATCGGCTTTGCGGACGAGACGGCAAATCAGACGTACGCAGCGAACGACGTGACTCGCTTCGAGATTCTACCGGGTTCCATTGCGGCCGTGAAGCACCAGTAAGTCAGACTCAAGATTCCCCTCATTGGGCCGAGATACGCCGAGCAATGCTGACGATCACCAGTTTCGAGCCTGACTTTGGCATGGTACGTTACTGCGGAGTCCGACCGAAGGCGTACATACTAACCCCGAACAGGGCGCGAGGCTAGTCGACTACATGCGTGGGCCTGGGGTCTCGCAATTCGCCGACGAGCCTGACCAGATGACGCTGTTCAAGTATGCCCACGGGTTCGACAAGATCTTCGGCATGCTGGAGGTGAACCCGGAGCAGAAAGATGCTTTTGACGGGTACATGGCGGCACGACGCCTGGTGCAGCAGCCGCAGTGGTTTGAAATGTACCCAGCAGCCGAGAAATTGGGGAACGTGCGGTCGCAGGCAGACTCGGTGCTACTAGTCGACGTGGGCGGTGGACCGGGTCAGGAAATGGCGCGATTCAGGCAGCGACACCCGGAGATTGCAGGTCGGATCATTCTCCAGGATCTGCCCTTGACCTTGAACCGGATCGAGCAGGTTCCGGAGGGAATTGAGCCGATGGAGCACGACTTCTTCACGCCGCAGCCAGTGCACGGTATGTCATATCACGTGACCCGGGGATCGATTTCTAGAAGGACGCAGAAAGATGGCTAACGTGGGGAATTCGCAGGAGCACGGGCATATTTCTTCCGCCAGGTGATGCATAATTGGTCCGATGCGAAGAGTATCCAGATCCTGTCCCGGATTGCAGACGCCATGGAGGCGGACTACTCGACGCTGCTGATCGATGACTACGTGCTGCCCGATACCGGGGCCGGATTGCGGGCGGCGGAGATGGACATCCTCATGTGGTTACATACGGCGGGGTTGGAACGGACGGTGTCGCAGTGGAAAGCGCTATTTGATGCAGTTGGGCTCGAGTTGGTGGAGATTTGGAACACCGATAAGGGCGATGAGTCAGTGTTGGAAGTGCGCAAGAGGGCCAGTACGCAGAGTAGTGGACCCGCGATGGTGGCGACGCAATCCGCGCTTGTTGCTGCAGGTCAATGAAACCGGACGGACTACAGGACACGGTGCAGAGTTAAGTGCGGTGGGATGAGACAGGAGTTAATAATCACGAGTCGGTGAAGCAATTCTTGACATTCAGACCGCATCGCCCCACTGACAAGTCAGGCACGACGGGATGATTGGTGACAGTTCAGCAATTGGCGGGGCATCCGCCTTGGAGCCCTAATTAGCCTCACGTTCTGGCGGATTCGCTCCCCTCCTGCTGTCGGTCTAGTGACTAACTCGACGGGCCTGCCCATTATTATTGTCCCCCGGTCCATCCCTGAATCCTACTGTCCGACACCATGCATCATGAACCCGTTCAAGAAAATCGATCGTCTCACCCCCGAATCCTCCTTTGACAGCGCAGGATGGGCCACCAAGATCCTCGACAAGGCCATGGTCGCAGTCGGCTCTTACGGTGACAAGGCCGTCTACGGTGCCTGCGCCGTGGGAATGGCCGGCGCCATCCATGCCACCGCGGCTGGCGCGATTGCCTACCAGGTGGTCCAGGGAGTCGGGCAGCTTCGCCAGATCGCCGGCCATCTGGACGGCATCAACAACACGCTGTCCAGGGACCACGCCCTGAACGCACCTCCCGCGTTTGCGGACTTCGTCTACAACATGGTCAAGAACATGATTGGCAGCTCGTCCTCTAGCGCTTGGTACTTTGTGTATCATCCCGACACGTACTGGACCCATCATTTCTCGAATCAGATCCGCTCGGAGGGACCACTCGGCAAGCGCTTCATCGGCATCTTTCAGGACCTCGACATGGCCGTCATCTTCATGCGTGCCATGAGGCAGGCGCTTGCACAAGATCCCCAGATGCAACAGGATCCCCCACATTTTAAGCTTCTGATCCCGGCTTATTATCCGATCGTGATCACCTCGCCTCTGCAGTTCCCCAAGGAACTGGAGCCCTTCAACCTCTACTGCGACACGCATGACGGACAGCCCTTGGTCTGGATGAACCTGCCTGGCGTCGAGAAAGGAATACATGACAACATCGGGCTGTACAAGCCCTCGCAGAGCATCATCAGCAAGCGTGAGTCGTCCATCGTTTGGTGTCATTTGGTCCTTGCTAACCCATGTCAGTCTTTGGCTCCAAGCAGAACTCGGCCCCGCGAACCTTGGGCACCCTCAGCGAAGCCGACGCAGGAAAGCTGTATGACCTCACCGAACGGAATGTCAACATCGAGCACGCCACCGAACAAGAAAGAAAGGAGAGATCCAACAGAAGAGCCTCCCGCTCGAACAGCAGTCTGCTGAGAGAGAATCTGGCCCGCCTTGAAGACGACGCGCCCCCCGCGTATGACCAACATTCGTTTTGCAACGGCAATAACCGACCCAACAACTCGAGAAACAGCCCCGAGCGAGGCCAGAAGAATGAGTTCGCGAGGTCCAGCACTGAGGACTACCCCAGATACCAGAACAACCGAGAGTATCAGAGATATGGCTCCGACGAGAAGATGCCTCTCTGCGGACGAAACGAGTTCTCACGATGCAGGAGTGAGGAATATCCGAAGTATCCCAACAACAAAGAATACCAGAAATACTCCGACGACGAGAAGCGCCCGAAGGCTCGCAAGAGTGAGTTCGAGAACTGCCAGACTGAGGACTACCCCAAATACTCCACCAAAGAATATCAGAAATACCCCGAGGATGAGAAACGCCTCAGATTCAAGAGCGAGTTCGAGACCTGCAAAAACGGCGACTATCCCAAGTACGAGAACGACAAAGAGTACCGGAAATACGACCTGGATGAGAGACCTCCTCTCTGCGGACGAAGCAAGAGCCAAGAATACTCCAGATACCACAGCACCAAGGAGTATCAGAAATCTCCCAAGGACGAAAAGTCCCCCAAGTCCTCGAAGGACGAATTCGAGCGGTGCAAGACTCAGGATTATCCGAAATACGAGAACGACGAGGAATACCAGAAGTACGAGGAGGACGACGAGACGGACATCTGGAACAGCGATGACGGAATGGACAACGCCTCCACCATCGCGTCGGTTGCATTCCTCGACGAAGACGACGAAGGAGGCGAGGCGTCAGATCGCGATCGAACATCCGATCGTAAGCCCCGGTACCTTTCTCGCCGACACAGGTCTCCCCGAAAGAGTACCGCCTCTCTCGTCTCCAGCATTGCTCCGACCGAGAGCGTTCTGTCCTCCACCCACGGGTCCCACAAGGGCTATCGCAAGAAGCGCAGACGCAGACGCACCCACAGCCGGACTGTGTCGAGAGCCTGAGCCGGCCTTCTACCCTCGCGTCCTGACCAGACCCGTGGACATCTGCCTGTCGTTTACCGTTTTGTAACAATCCCGGAGTGTCTGGTTCATAATATTGGGAGGACACGTTGTCTTTTCGTCCACTTGTGCATAAACATAAAGAACCGCTAGACTCGACCTTCGTTTTTCATCGTTTTCCGTTCCGTTTCCGTTTCCGTTTCCGAATTCCCCCCTCATCATGAAGCAAATTGAGATATGAATATAAATGACCGCAATATATGTGCATGAATTCCTTCGATTCCGTCGTCCAGTTTGTCGTCTTTCGCGTTCAAAGTCTATCGTTGTCAGCTTATCCTAACGAATATCCAACTACACTTAACGACCCCAATCAACATTGTAACCTCATATCACCAGTGCTCGGTCGGCGCAAGTCAGAATTGATGGTCCCCTGCATATCATGGCAGAGTGATTGAGATCGTGTTTTTGCGACCGTGAGAAGTTTCGAATGTATTCATATTGAAATGAAATGAATACCCAAGAAGACTTTCAAAACAGAGACATAATGAACACCATAACCAACCAAAAATCTTAAATGACCGAGACCAAGAATGATCCAGTGTGTCAGGCGAAATTCTCGCTTTCATTTATCAGAGATGGCAGGTCCATTCTTCTGGGCTTTGTGCTTGTTGCATGCAGCAGTTTTTTTTTGCCCTTTCTTTCTTTTCCCCCCGACATTGGTCGTTACCTTAAATTCGTCCAGATCGAACAGACCAACAATCGAGATCATATTCTCTCTCAAGACATACGGTGACGAATCGACTGTCGGTGGACTTTGGACGATCTCCATCGTCATGCTAACCACACCTGGTTCAGATAATCGGCACAATAGACGCCGATGCCCGCGGATTCAAATTCGATCTGACACAGATCTATTGCCGTTTTATACACAAAAATACACGAGCTGCTAACAAGACCTAGGCCAAGTCTGCGATTAGCAGAGATACTCCGCAGTCTGGAGAATGACATACCCACAACTTAGACTCCAATTGTCAAATCGAATGCAGGTCAACCTTGTTTGGTTCGTCACCGGTGAGATCGCAAAGTATCAAGATGAGGAACGGAGTCTCTTGTTCTTTGCCTCTATTTCCTTTCTCCATGCCGCTCGTTCCGCCTTTAGCTTTGGGGAATTGTAGCAAATGCCGACGAATTCGAAATACGCTGGCGCGAAGGGTGGCGTGGGCCGATTCAAGAACACTAGCTTCTTCGGCACTTTCATCGTGAAGTAATCACGACTGAGAAATTGGAAAGTTATCTCTTCTCTCCCAGCATAGGCCAGAATCTCGTCTAAGCCACCTTGGGTAGGAGGGTCGTATATCGTGAAATTCGGACAATTGTCTCCAAAGTAGATGTGTCCGTGCAAGCCCTCAGCTCCTACTGGGAGGTCTTCACCGTCGAAATCATCGACGTCCATGTAGTAAAACTCGACATATTTCGAGCTTTGCCAATCGTGAAGTTTCTTGAAGTCCATCAATCGTGAACAATATATCTTGAAGTGCTTGTCGCCAGGGTCTTGGCCCAAAAGCTCCTTTCCGCCTTCCTCTCCAGCCACCAAGGACTTATATGCCGCCTGGACCTCCTCTTCATTTTTGCTTTGAAATTCCCGTTGTTTCTTATCCCTTTCCGCTTCCTGGTGTAGTACGTCCTTCCGCTCTGCACGGTACCCTCGCAGCTCGTAATAAAAGCTCGCCTCAGAGCCGTTATAGGCCCTCCTATCCCAGTCGTCATCGTCTAGGTCGTCGCAGTCGCATTCAGAGACATCGCTGGCACAGTCGCATTCGCGTTCGGAGTCGGAGTCGATCCTTCGTCGTTTTGCATTCTCGTCCTCGACATCGGAAATGTCCTCATCGAACACGCTGAGATCGAGCAACTCCAGCTCTCCCCAATCGTGGCCCAGTAGACGTGCGACGCGATAATACCAGTCGGGGAATTCGTCTTGGCTTTTTTTTGTTCCTGCTTCGTGCCATTTTCAGCGTCGTCTGTTGCGATGGGCTTTTCTTGTTTTGTTATTCTTGACCTGCGGGAATCCATTCGACGCGTCTCGCGTTCGGATTGCCTGTTTGGGCGAGCCGTGTCATGTGATCGCGTCTACGTCGGTCATATCTTATTACTATGCTTTCTTTTGGATTGTTTTGGTCTTAGAAAAATCTAAATGCGAGATATATACTTCGGCGCTGCCCTCCTGCCATACAAAACCCTGTCCACATCCTCAAAACGCTGCACATCACGAACCCTACCACAAAACCAGTCTCAACAAACCACCCGCCCAATCAAACAACAGAAGCCAAAAGGAGCCAAATTACCTATCTTCCCGCACCAGCGCACGGTACGGGTTATTCGGATCCTGCTCCTCCTCCTCGACGGTGGGAATGGTCTTGCGCACGCGGCAAGGCGCCCCAATCGCCACCGAGTAAGGGGGGATATCTTTCGTCACGATGGAGCCGGCGCCGATGGTCGAGCCCCGTCCGATCCGTACCCCGGGGAGGATGACCACGTTGCCGCCGATCCAGCAGTCGTCTTCGATGAAGACTGGGTGGCCGAATTCGACGAATTTCAACCGCGAGAGCACGCTGGTGTCGTGGCCGGCGCTGAAGATGCCGACGTTCGTGCCGATTTGGACCCGGTCGCCGATCACGACGAGACTGGTGTCGAGGACTGTGAGGCTGTAGGTTTCTTTGTTAGCTTGGCTCGGGGAGGAGGGGCTGAGATGGAGGGAGGTTAAGGTAACTAACCCCCAGTTCACAAAGCAGTTGCTTCCAATGCTGATGTTGCAGCCGTAATCAGGCCGGAAAGGAGGCTCGATGAAGGTGCCGTCTCCGGCCTTGCCGACGAGCTTTCGGAGCAGTTCCAGCCGCTTGTCGAAGATCTGGTCGTAGGAGATGTCTTTCGTGTCGAGGTTGTTGTAGTCGGCGGTGAGGCCCCGAGCGCGGTGGCGGGCTTCGAGGAGCTTAGGCGTGTTGGGGTTGTACCTGATGATATCAATTGTTAGTTATGTTCATGTAAGGGGCTAGGGTTGTGCAGGCATACATCATCCCGGAGATCATGCATTCGTACTGCTCGCAGAACGGGGCGCCGCTGAGGTCGCGGGCCAAGTCGATGATTTCGGGGCGTTTCGCGGGGGCGGCCATTTTGGGACTGATTAGAGAAAGGGTAGATTCTGTGATGATTGTAAGGATGTAAGGGAGGAGTGTAGGTTGTGGCTATTTAGAAGGATAAGTTGAAGAAGACAGATTGCTGTTCGAGTGGCTCGAGAACGTGCCCCTCTACAATTCACTGACCGCATGATTGACCCATAGCTTATCCTCAGTCTAGCAAACAGCTTTCCTTTCACGGTATAAAATGCAGTTCTACAGATCCATAGAACTGCCCTGATCCACCGTATGGGATTGTCCGATGTTTTCCCGGACCCACCTGCCTATACGGGGAATTTTGAGGACTCAATGTTGTTGGGATCAGCTGAGCTCTATCTTACAAGGCACTCTAACAAGAAAATTGGGACTTCCTGTGGTTCCTCCAGTGGACCGAATGTCTTGATTACAGAAGACTCTACACAGGAACATATCCGCTGTCGAAACAGTAACAAGGGATAGGACAGAAGAGACAGGATTCATCGCGAGAATGCCGCTGAAAGTAGAACACAAAAACAAGAGATATGTAGAACAGCGAGAAGATAATGTACAAGAGCTCTAGATCCTCGCTTTAACACTCTGCTCTCGAGCGCTCTTCAGCTCATCTTTGATCTGTAACGCAGAATGAGACCCCTGCTCCAAAGCACCGTCTATCGCAGCCCGCCAACCATGCGCCCAGTCAGCAGACGCAAAGAAAACGCGACCATGCGGCTTCTGCAATTCGTCCTGATACTTGGACATGAACTGGGGCGGCCACCAGGCAGGCCCACCCTGGGACCATGGGTCTGTGTTCCAGTTGTGGAAAATCTGGGGGAGTCAGGAATTACGGAGCACTGACATTGCGGAGTATGCTGTGGGGAGGAGCTTACCATTTTCTTGACCTCCATCGGATGGAGTTTCTTAAACGACTCAATCGCTTTTTGGGGATCTCTCTCCGGGACGAACGTGTCTCGTTCATCTTTGCCAAAGCCCACGATATGCGCGTCGCCGTTGGGCGTGACTCCGTCGCCGTAGCCGAACATCAGTAGACCGGGAAACCTCATCCCGTTCCAAGATGTCAATCCTGTTTCTTTAACGTCGGCATGGATCTTTGTCATGTAGTTCACATGCCCGATTTGAATCGCCTGCTGGCGGACCGAGGAGAGCGGCGGATCAAAGTGGATCGAGTGCAGCACGTTCAAAGGGATGGTGCTGACGACTCGACGAGCACGGAATTCCCTCCCAGAATGCGACACAGCACTGACAAGTGAGCTGGACTGATCAATGATTGACTTGATCGGTGTCTCGAAAGAGTACTGGAGTCCGTTCTTCACAGCGTCCTGAAACATCGCCCCGGCCAGAGCCGACTGGCCCTCTCGAAGCTTGAACGTCGTCCAGATCGGCCCAAAGTTTTCGGAGGAATGCACCATGAGCGAATGCGAACGGATCATATCCCATAGACTCGAGTTCTCCATAGTGCCGCCTGAGATATGGAGAATGAGAGCGGTCAAGATGCCGGCTTCCTCCGCCGTGAGAAGATGCTTGATCTCCTCGAACCTCTCGCGGCAGGAGATTCTATCGTAGCGCTCGACTTGTTTGCGGTCCACGAGGATGTTGTCGAGGAGGGCGTGGGGGAGCGGGCAGATCTGTCGACAGTCCTGGCCGTCGACGTTGACGAACACGTTCCATGCTCGACTGGTGATTTCGCCGGCTTCTTCGTGTGTGAGCTTTCGAGGTGTGGCTCCTATCATAGAGTCATGTTAGGTTGAGTCGTGGGCCAGAAGAGGGAAGCATACCGGGAACATTGATCGTGTAGTAGTCGTTGTCGTATCCTCGATGATGAGTTAGAACGAGGTCGCGATCCAGCTTGTACCGTGTCATCTCTTGGAACAGGTATCCCATGTGGTGGGTCACCCATGTTCCACCCATTTCATAGAGACAGCCTTGAAGAGTTAGCATTGAGTGGCATGCATTCATTAATTTGCTACCTAGGATGGTGATAGCTCATACCATCCGATTCAACAGTATACGTTCGTCCACCGATACGATCCCGCGCCTCGAGCATGAGTACAGACAGGCCTGTTACGATTAGTTTTGGACAGAACATCTAGAAACAGGATAAACACTCACCATAGTCTGTCAAATCCCTGGCCGCCCTCAGACCGCTGTACCCGGCCCCGATAACAATGGCATCGAAGATGTGGCCTGTAGGAGCAGTGTACTTCTCCTGGGGCTCAATGACACCCCGACAGCTGAGTCCACCTTTCTTGATGCCGGTCTCCTTTCGCCAGGAGTACCCGTCAGCGGTGGTTGGCATTTTGGAGCAGTATTAAGAAACAGTTGTAAAGGTAGGGAGGAATTGGAAAGATCAAGCAAGATGATATGGAGTCACTCCACAAGTCTTCGTCTATACTCTCCGCTATACAAGGAGAGTGTATATATACGGGGTAAGACGACAGTGTTCAGACCTCATGCCAAGAGATCCCCAGAGCTTCAAAAATCATACGGTCCCGCGGAGACAGAGAGCAACGTCGACTGTGAAGTTCCATGGGACGCGGTGGATCTCAGACAATGAAAATGGGGAGATATTGGCCAATCACCGTGCAGGTAAAACTACCTTCCAAATCAGGAGAAAACAAAGAATGCTGACTTTCCTCGGAGATCGTCCGTTCAGAATGGACGCTAATCTGTTGGAGGAAGCAGATCCACACCCAGCCGATTTTCCTGTCCTCAGACCCTCGACGAGAGAACGTTGGCGAAGTATACTCAGTTACCCGAAGAGACGCAGTTAGAGCGACGGAACAAGTAGGTTAGAATCCACTAGATGTCGATGATTACTACTGTGTACATAGGAGGCATCCTGATAACCTGATTCTGAGCAGCCAGCGAGATCAGTCACAGTGGTTTAAGATTGCAAAATGCCAAGCCCTCCATTCTTCGACCTGCTGAATGCATTGGACTCCTTGAACAACAAAGACAAATATTCGAACTTTCATATCATCAATACCCCCTATAAGACGCTTTCCGATGACTGCAGTGTCGCGGCAGATATTCTCATTCCTCGGACTATTCGGGATGCTAATCGATCATCTCCGCGACCTGTGATCATTCGAATTCATGGGGGATTCTTGGTAAGTCGATACTCGATGGATGCTGTTTACTGGAGAATATTGACTAGAAACAGGTAACTGGGTCGAGTCTATATGCTCCGTGGTTCAACAACTGGATCCTCGACTATGCTCTGCAACACGATGCTATTATCATTTCTCCAAACTACAGACTGCTCCCGGAAGTGTCAGGGAGTGAGATCCTCGAAGACATACACGATCTATGGAAGTGGGTTGGTGATGGCTCAGTCGACAAAATTATTAAAGACGCTGGGCATCGGGAACTTGGCCTGAACCTCGACTCGATTCTTGTGGTTGGGGAGAGTGCAGGTATTTCTTCTATTGTCTGGATATGCATTATCTTTGCTGACGCGATTCCAAAGGTGGGTATCTGGCAACCCAACTAGCCATTTCATATCCATATCAAATTCGCGCATTGATCGCAGCATATCCCATGGTCGACCTGCAATCGAGATTCTACACAGAGGCGTTCTCGAAACCCATAGTCGGCGTTCCTAATGTCCCCGAGGAGATGATCGACAAGCATCTCGCCATGATCGCAGCGACAGGAAAAAGCAGGGTCATCTGCACTGCAGCGAATCCTCCCGATCGGGTAGAACTGGCATTCTCAATCGTTCAGAACGGCAGATTTCTGGAATTCTTCGGAACCGACAGGTCCCTTTTCCCCATGGTACGGATCGAGGATGAGCTGAAAAGAAACCCCGGGTTTCAACTACCGCCGATGTTTATCCTGCATGGGGAACAAGACTCTGCCGTACCGGTTGACGGATCGAGGAAGTTTGTTCAATTCCTGCAAAAGAACATGCCAGACACGCAGGTGATTCTGCATACAGAGGACGGAGATCATGGGTTTGACGCGCTGGCAACATTGGACATGCCGTGGCTGAAGAGTGCACTGGCGATGATTTCGAAGGAGTGGCTAGGGTCGTACAATTCACATCTTTGAGTAACATACGTAAATTGATCACAAACTCAGTGTCCTATCACATGAAACAAAACATCACAAGACAAGCGACCCATCAGTTCAGGACATTCTAAGTCCGGATGTTGTTAATTTTAGGTAGCCCGGAGAGCGAATGTCCGCCGAACAGCTCTCGTCCCATGGAAAGGCCAGCTGTAAAGTGGAAAAAGAACCGAAAAATGGCGATCCAGAGACTTCCATTCATTTTCCATGAGCCGAGGCCTGAAACGAGACCCACCAGTGGATCCAATATGCGCTGTTAGCGTCTTTCTTAGCGCCTCTTTCTCGGTTTCCCCATTAGGCAATATTCTCAACTCCCTGGCGAGGTTTTTCACGCTCTGAGTTCCTGTCGATAACCATGGCTATCGCAATCGGTGACATAATGCGGGGTCTGTTGACTGAGGGGATAAACAGAAGTCAAATAAGCCCCTCTTCGCACGATTGAACAGTCGCGATCACATCTCATCTCATCTCTGTAACTCTTTGTTTCCAACTTGTACAATTCCATCACAACCATCACACAATGCCTCAGGACTACTCCGGTGTTTCCCTCCAGGGCAAGACTGCCATTGTCACTGGATCTTCGAAGTACGTCCATACCCTCGCGCCCACGCGACATTGACATGGTAGCTGACAGCATGCAGAGGTCTCGGCGCTGGCATCGCCATCCTCCTCGCCAAGCGCGGCGCCAACATCGTCGTCAACTACGTCTCCGAGGGCAGCGGAAAGCGCGCACAGGAGGTCGTCGACAAGATTAACAACGAGATCGGCACGCGCGCCGTCCTTTGCCGCTCCGACGTCAGCAAGCCCGAGGGCATCAAGCCCCTCGTTGACGCCGCTCTGGCGATCAGCACGACCGGAAAGATCGAGATTCTGATTCACAAGTGAGTACAACCCCCCTCCTCAAAGCCTCATACCAGTCAGCGAAGGGAGACTAACGGAGACGTGACGCACAGCGCCGCGCAAGGCCTCGAAGCCAACCTTGTCGACACGACGCCCGAATTCTACGACACCCATTTCGACTGCAACGTCAAGGGCCCGATTTTCCTGACCCAGGCCGTGGTGCCGCATATCGCGAAGGGCGGACGCATTGTGTTCATCTCGTCGGCGGGCGCGCGTCTCGGAGTCGCGGGCCAGACTGTCTACGCGGCCACCAAGGCAGCGAACGAGGCGCTGGTGCGCGTGTGGGCGAAGGAACTGGGCCAGTCGCACGAGATTACTGTCAACTGCGTCAACCCGGGACCTATTGCTACCGGTATGTCTCTCCTCGAGAGTCAAATGCGAAATGCTAATAGAGGCGCAGATCAATGGTTCCAGAGTGACGAGCAGTTCCTGAAGGACATGCAGCCCCTGATCGAGTCGACCCCTGCTGCTGCGCGTGTGGGAGAGGTTGACGATATTGCGCCCTTGGTGGCGTTCTTGTGCAGTGACGACGCGAGATGGACTACGGGAGCTTGTCTCTCTGCGAATGGCGGTCTTTACAACTAAAAGTCCCTTACTGTACATACTTGGTCTACGAGGATGCGTAAATGAATAAACTTTCTTGATGATGAATATCTTATGACTTTCACTGTGCTTTATAAGCTAGTTGAGTCGCTTGACTTGAAAGACTAACCGAAATATACTAAGCTTGTTTTGTTTATTAGCAGATTAGGACGGCGTGTGTTCCTCTAAAAACACCCCTCGGGGGGAATTAAGAGACTGGAATATACTTGCAAGAGTAGAACTGAAATATTATTTGTGAAATGTGGCACAGTATGTATGGAGTAAGTTCGAATTAAATTTTAAGGAGAATTTTCCGAAGAAAGGATTGGATTTTTTACGGGCACTTTGGAATCTTTCACTATCAACACAACGATTTAAATTCTGCAATTCATTGAGTGAAGCAGATCTCTATATAAACGAGTAGCCCAAGCAGAAAATCACTCAAAAGCTGCACCCTCAGCTGTAATCTCCGCCCTCATCCCCTTGACATTGATCGCATTAACAAGCACCGTACACCAAGTTGGCGTATGCCCAGGAACAAGTCTCTGAAAGACCTCCTGCATGGTCTTCTCGTCCTCCGCATTGACGAGATAACTCGTGAGTCGATAGCTCTGTGCTAAGCCGCGCGCAGCTCCAGCATGCTTCAACGCTGCGTCAAGACACTTGAAAATGGCTTCGAACTCGGCCTCAGGCGTCTCGGAGACTAGACTTCCGGTCGCGAGATCGAGGCCAATGTGGCCGGTGATATAGATAAGGGAAGTAGTCGGCGAGACCGGGACTTTGGCGGTTGTTGCGTAGAGAGGTTTGAGGCAGTCGCCTACTGGACCGGGGAGGTTTTGGTATGTGATTGAGGACATTGTTGCTTGGTAATGCAAAAAGAGAGGTAACGGTGCGCTTCAGAACTTTGAGAGCAATGCGGCACACTATACGAGATGACTCTCTTATCACCCCGCATTTTAACTCATGAGGGGCAAACCCCTGGTTCCTATGAGATCATCTCCTGCAGACAAAGGAAGTATATCTCTCTGTTGTGTCTTGGCACAAAACCCAGTTACCCAAAGGGGTAAAACAGCCAGCGGCCCACTCGACGCCTTCACGATCCCTGTCCAGCGCCTTCTCTCCGTCGCAAACACAGATATAAACCCGTTTAAGGAACCATCCGAATGCATTTCCTCATTCAGGCCCCATCCCTACCATTTTTCCCGAGCGAGTAATGCCCCCCTCACCACCGCCATGACTTCGACTGCCCAAACCAGAAGGAAGCCAAATTCCCTCGCCTTCGCCCAGACTGATTGCCACACTTGCGCCGCTAGCGGCGTGCAGTGTGATCGGCAGCGTCCTCAATGTACGACCTGCCTGAACCAGGGTCGCAAATGCGGAGGCTTCGCCACCCCCCTGTCATGGGATGACCGACGGACTTATCGCGCAGGCGTCAGACCGGCCACTAGCGAGGCGGAACAGGCTAATACAGGGATGCGAGGCGAACGAGCTCCGAGGTCGAGACAAACTAGGCCGTTCCGTTTTGTGCTCGGGGGAAAGAGGGAGCGAAAGCGCCGCAGGGTCGATCAGCTGCCGGATGAGGCGTGTTTGCAGGTCTTCGACGGATCGACCGGGAGGATTGAGTCGGCGATTGGGGAAGGCGCTGACGCTGACGGGACGGGATTCGAGTGTGCTGCAGGTTCTGTGGCACTTGAGACTCCAGACAGGTCGTTTGACTTTCCGAATCTTGTTCCGGGAGCTGGGGATCCGGGGCTGTCTGTTGCGCAGCAGGACTATCTACAATCGCTGCTTCAGGTTGACACGTCGACGCCAGATCTGAACGGCATGACATTGATGGAACGGTCAAATGAGACGAGCGGGGTCTCGGTCTTGGAGGATATCTTTGAAGATGGTCTGCAGTTTTTGAACGCAGACAATGCGCCGCTGGACGGCGTGGTATCCACATTTCGCGCACCGATCATGGAATCAAGTGGAGGGGGACTTGGGGGCGGGCAGGTTGGCAACGAGCACGACGCGCTATTGCAGCTGTGTAAGGAGAGCAAAAACTGTGGGCCGTTCTATTCTAACGTGGTCGTGCTGTCTAGATGATACGGAATTCTGCATTCTGCCCTTGACGTCTGATACTGCGTTGAACCCATTCCGCTACCGAAAGCCTCTCCCTCAAGGATCCAAGTTGCTATTTCATTCCATTCTCGCATTATGCTGTCGACACATAAGCCAGATTACAGGGACATGGTCGTCTGAGGAGCGCGAGCATCGAAGCCAGGCCATGAAGCTATTGGAGTACACGCTTCGAAATGATCAACTAACGAGGGAAGGACTGACATTGCTGGATCCGATTCTAATTCTATTTACGCTCGACGTATGTATACCAACTTTCCGATTCCTTGACATTGCTAAGTAGATTCCCACGGTGATAGTGTACTATCTCTGCCTCTGGTCAATGGTCCACACATCTGACTCGCGTATTCTCGATCCTCGAATCCTGTGGCGGAGTATCAGCTCTCAACAACGCGCGCATCAGAGCACAGGTTGCCATGGTTGTGTGGTATGTCATCCTGCTCAAGCCACAAGGATATGGTTTACGCTCAAGATGTAAGAGGCTAATCCACGACCGAAACAGGTGGGATATCACTCTAGCCCTGGTATCCCGACATGGAACCGTCTTCCCAGAAGCCTATCTTAAGCGTCTTACACAAGCAGAAAAGCACGACAAATGGTCCTTCTACGACCTAACCGGCTGTCCCAGCGACCTAGTCGTCAACATGTTCCAGCTTGCACAGCTCGCACACCAAAGCGAGATCGCATCATCCATGACATGGCTGAGCTTCGACCTGGCACCGGTCATTCAGATCCACTCACACTTGAAAAACGGAAAGTCATTCTCGTCGTCATTCCCCACACCGGACCCTCCCAATTCCACAACCGCCGCCGCAGCCAGCAGCAAGGAACCGGGCAATTCAGCCGAGAACACCGAGGAGGAATCTGAGGAATCTTTCCACGCACAGGAAGACCAGCACCATTGCATTGAAGCCTGGCGACATGCTCTGCTGCTCTACATCGAGCGCATATTCAAATGGGACCGATCCTCGGAGCGCCGACCAGCTGCCATTCCACGTCTGCTGCGGATCACTCTGGATCATGTGCGATGTTGTCGACGAACGTCCCAAACGCAGAAACAGTTGCTACTCCCCGTGTTCCTGGCGGGTAGCGAAACGGGGGATGAGGAGATGCAGCAAGTAGTTAGAGAGTACTGTCAATGGTGGGGCGAGCGAAGTAGATATAACATGTTCCATTCGGTGCCTACTTTATTGGAGGATGTCTGGGGAGGGAATAAATGGTGGGGGGCGGTGGTGGATGAGAAGACTAGAGCTGCGGGCAACGGGGCGAAGGTGCAGTTTTTATTTGGGTAGATTGTTGTGGATGTAATTTACATTTATGCAACTGAAGAATCTACTTATATGGATCGGCCGATCTCTAAAAGGTGTCTAATATACGGCGAAAATGAAAAGTAACGTTCAGAGTTCCTAACACCTTGAAAATATGGACAGCAAGATAGGGCTAAGAACACCCGTGATCAAGCACGTGCAATTGTAATCCAAACGCATATATCAACAAAAGCAATTCAAATCACCTCATGGCGTTACTTGCATTCAAGGCCTCCCAGTCAATAGCTGGTCCTTGGAACTTCTTCCGTCTTTCGATCCAGAGGATCAAAATGATCGCAAAGATTCCCGAGATGACGATTGCATTGCTAGTAAAAACATCAAGATTAGCCCAGCATCTACTTATTACCTGTCAATCATGACAGAGAGGCTGCTCCAGTCGGCAAAATGAAAGAAAGAAAGACTTACTAATTCATATCCGCCATCGTCGTCGGCAATGACACAGGGAAACAAAACACAACCCCACTTATAATCAACCATATAATCGAGAACACATTCACCGCGTAGCCGACCACAGGGCCGAGGTTGAATGGTCTCCGTGGAAGTCTGTCGCGCCCGCAAGTCGCCAGAATCCCCTGTGGAACGGTATATGTGATGTTGAGCATTAGGATGGCGGTGTTGACGATCGAGTTGAAGGCGGCCGTGGAAGCAATGTATAGTAGGCCGTAGATGACGCAGAATGCCGCGGAGAGAAGGGTCGTACGGAGAGGGATTTTGCGGGTAGGGTCGATGTGCTTCCAGTAGTCGGAGAAGGGGAGACCGTTCTGGTGTCCTTGTTAGTGTTGGTGAGGTGGGTTTGGCTAGGGGTGAGTTACATCTCGAGAAAAGGCCCATGCAATTCGGCTGGACGTGATCCATTGGCTTGGGACGCAAGCTGAATCGGGGATTAGTAGGTCAAAGCCGCAATTCAGGACCACGGTACACACAGTAGTATAGCAAGGTTAAGTAGGCCTGTAAGAATGTGGCGACAGGCTTGCTCCCGGTCGCCTGGTAGAAGACTTCCAAGCTGGGCAAAAAGGCCTTCTGAACTGCTTCGATATCTTGGATGACGGCCACCATAGCCACGGCCCACGGCACTGCGGTGACGACTCCGATGAGAACGGTCATGTTGCTGAATAAAAGTCCGTTGTTAGTCTGAAAATTCCTCATGAGACACTAGGTGAGAAACAGGATACGCACATCACTTGAGGCAACTTTCGTCCTGGATGGGGCAGCTCTTCGGCAATATGCGTGCATGCACTGATCCCGGCAAACCCGTACTCTCCCAACCCAATGCTCATCAGCCACGCAGGACCAGGGCCCCAGCCACTCGATTCGCGATATTCGGTTATGTTGGATGGATGATAATTGCCGCGTCCCATAACAAGGCATACAATCATAACTATAAAGAGCCCGATGAAGGAAAGATACATGCATGTCTTGGTAAGGTAGTCGATGTGCTTTTGAGGGATGGTAAAGATAGGAACGACTAAGAAGATATGTTAGCGCTGGTTTCAGGCATCACCTGGAAGGAGCACAAACGAGTCAAGATGATGACCAGGATATAGCATAAGTAAACCTGCCACTGTTCACCGGAAAATTCAGGATACCAGAACTTGGCGATGCCAAAGGCCGAGATTGCCGTGAAAATGGTCCCCGAAGCGGTCGTCACCCACCAGGCCACGATGTTGAGAATCCCTACCATGTAGGCGGCGAAGTTCTTGGTGCGCTTGGGAGCAACTATGTAGGTGAAGTGGTATTGGCCCTGAAAGTTTCAAATATAAATTAGATGTGCAGTGACAGGGTCGAAGATGTGTTTCAACTCACGCCAGACGATGGGAAGGCAGAGCAGAGCTCAGCGAGTCCTAGGAGAACAATCCACTGAACTAAGGCTGCCACCAGTAACCCAAAGACAGTGGTCTGTCCACCACCATAAGCCAGGACCATGCCGAAGGAACAGGCGTAAGTAAGCCATGTGTTTACGATGCTAGATAGAAGGTACCCTTGTCAACATCACTTCCCCGGAATCTGACCCTGGGAGATTGCATACCTGTACGACAGTCCAATTGCACCAATCCATGAGAAAGAGCGGTCAAGCTCAGAGACATGGCCTTGGGCTCGAAGGATAGAATCATCTGAGTTGAGAACCTCTTCGACATGTTTGACTGAGTCGGGAGAGGGTAAGCTTTTGTCATCTAAATCTTCTGACCTCATTTTGTAAGTGGTATGGGAAAGACGACAGGGCCGAAAAAGCGATATATCCAGGCGTGAGGTCGGACAGTGGCGATGACAAGGGTCCCAGACCAGGAACGATATATAACATGATGTGTCTTATCTAAACAGGGACAAGCGGGACAGAGTGAAACCGACGAGTCAACGTCACTCGACCATTCTAGTCTCAAATGGCCTCGGACAGGCGGATGCATGATCTGCTATTCAGCGAGGAGGCGAATCGATTGTGGCAGTTACAATCCTTGCAGTCAGCGGCGAGATGACAGAGCGTGGAGTCAAACAAGGAAAGCCGCCAATGAAAAATGCCACGTCTATCTGCAAGGAGAATCGGACAAAGACTAGGAAACCCCGGAGAGACGAGTGCGGGGAAATAGATGTTTAAACTTCGTTTGTCCGGGTTGAAGCCTTGGTTGGTCGAGGCTATCTCCCGTTCTTCCCCGTATTTTCGGCTTTGACGGTTCTCACCTGCTAGATATGGGCAAAAGCACGCTCTAGTGACCTTGATGTGCACTTATCAGGCAAGTTCTCCCGCAGTATCTTGCCCCTATCTCCAGTTCCACTGATAGCATATCCGAGCCAAAGAATGCTGGAGCCTTGTCGAATGGTCTAGATGAGCAGATAAGGACGTTCTGTATTGCCGACGTAGTTTTGAGGGGGGAGGGGCGTAGATATGCACCGGAGATCGCTGGACGCTGTGGAAATTATGCGAGATATGCATGGTAATGCAAAGGGGGGAGTGGGTCGTACAAAATGGGACTGGGTGTGAAAGATCATATTCAGGATTAAAGGCATCTCATGCTGGGAGAGTCGCTATATATTGGGCAATAAACTTTCACTTACGGTGTGGCATGATCTGTGGCATGATTCTTACTAGGTTCAAAGATGAAATCACTTTAGTGCGAATGTCAATACTGGTTGATCACTCAGTTGGTAACCCCGGTTGAAGAAATTGGCAGATCCTTGAATAAATACGAGACTCTCATGATAGACGATCAAACAGAATGAAGTACAGATTACAAATAGGAGATATTTACAATCTAGCGCGTGTTTCCAGTGCATCGATAACCAACTTAACGGCATCTTGGGCACATCCATACGAGGATTGATATCCTGCACCGCCAGCACCATAGTTATGAACCACCCACGTATCGCCAATCCGCTCCTTTTCAATCCGCGTACCCCCAGCTCGCACAGGTCGCAGTCCGACAGCATGGCGAATAACATCGAGCTTTTCAATCCCTTCCCCACCAGTAAGCTGCGGACACATTCCCACCGCCCTCTTCATGATCCTAACGGCTAAGTTTGGATCAACCTGGGGATCCCAGCTTCCCAGCTGATATGACCCCCCGAGGATGGTTCCGCCACCTGCAGCACGCGTCATCACGTAGCATGCTTCTGTTTCTCCATCATCGGTGCCCGAAACATCGATCATCTTGCCGGCGTCGTTCCGAACAACTACAATTTGTCCCCGTGCCGGAACAACTGTTTTATCCTCGACTCCTCCCAGCTGCGAAGCCATCAGGCCGGTGCAGTTCACAACCAGGTCAATCTTTCCCGGTATTGTTGGCTGGCGAGTAGCATCTAAAATATGATCTAGTACAGCCCGCTTGAACTGCACTCCGTTCTTCAAGCACTGCGATACTAACCAAGGAAGGTAGATTGCCGTGTTGATGCACACCGATGTGAAACTTGTCGCGGAATCGAAACCGGGTCGGAGGTCTTCTTTGGGTAGTGTACGGAACTATTGAATCGGTAAGCAAGGAATACAAACTTGGTTATCAATGGTGTCATACATCAGGGACAACATCCTTGAACCAAGGAGTGGGTGAAAGAAGCTCAGCGAACCAGTTCGCAGTCGCAGAGCCCTGGTCTTTCGCACGGCTGTGAATCTGACATTCTATTGAAGAGTAGTTGGTAAATATTGATCTTTCGGCCACAAACAGAAGATAGAACGTACCTTGAAAATGTACACCGGCATCGGGGTGGTTCCTCACAAGATAGTCGAAGGCCACCCATGTTTGTCTGTCCCATTCGGCCGCAGGAGTGTTTCGAATGGAGACACTGTATGTTGATCATAAGTATTGATGCAGGATTGCAGCACATGCAAGGGATAAACTACGCACGGCATATAATTTGCGCCAGCCCAAGGGGATGCGTATTCAATATCATAGTCCCCAGGCATATGCTTGGCAAGAACCATAATTTTGTATCCGGGAATTCGCGATAAAAGAAGCGCGGTAGTCAGACCAGCAACTCCCGCGCTGCATTAAGTTAGCAGGGGAAAATGAGCTGGTATGACGCACATACCCTATCACCACAATGTTCTTCTCAGACATAGTTTCTTGGTTTTAGTAAGAATGATTTAAAATGAGATGGTCTAGAAATCGTCAAGATGGTCGTGACCATCTAACGCCCTGGATTTATACGAGGATCTCTTGTGAGGTAGGGAGTGAATCGGCTGATTCTTCCTTCGATATTCCCGGTATCTGAACAGCAGCATGACCGGGCGCATTTGCGATATCGACAAACCCGACAAAGGACAGTCTAGACAAAACAGGAAGGAAAGTACCTGAGAAGGCCTTATCTTGCGAAAAATGGACCCTCACGCCCCGTACCAGCCTCTGACCAACTCGGTTTCCTAATTGGGACAATTTGATCTACCCCAGTTTTCATGGCTGATACTCCGCAGTCTACCCCAGATTTAGATTTTGCCTTAATCAATCTTATTCAAATTTAGTCTATTTTGTATTCTAGCCCTCTTTGTTTCTCCGCAAAAGACGGTTTCCTGTTAAGGAATTACCCGATAAGGTTAAACCACGCGCAGCCCTAACACCAAGTATGCGCCAAGAAGATCGCCTTCACACGATGAAGGCAAAATGATGTTACGTAGTAGTGTGCATGGAGATGAGATCCGCTATACTTAAAGTCCACCGGGCATCATCCAGGAAAACAAAGCAATCACTCCCAATCCTGCTCTCCTTCATTCTCTCACTCCTCAAACCCCCTCTCCAATATCTATCACAAAATGTCGACCATGCAAAGCATCTTCGCCGGTTACAACGCCCGGCAGGCCGTTCTCCAGGCCAGCACAAACCCATATGCGAAGGGAATCGCCTGGATTGAAGGCGAATACGTACCTCTCGCCGAAGCGCGCATCCCTCTCCTCGACCAAGGCTTCATGCACAGCGACCTTACATACGATGTCCCCTCCGTCTGGGACGGTCGCTTCTTCCGCCTCAATGACCATCTGGAGCGACTAGAGGTTAGCTGTGGCAAGCTGCGATTGAAGGTCCCGCTCCCCCGTGAGGAAGTAAAGCGCATTCTCGTCGAGATGGTCGCCAAGAGTGGCATCCGCGACGCCTTCGTGGAATTGATCGTCACCCGTGGTCTTAAGGGCGTCAGAGGCACTGACCCCAAGGACATCAAGAACAACTTGTACATGTTCGTGCAGCCCTACGTTTGGGTTATGGAGCCGGAAGTTCAGCCCGTTGGCGGAGGCGCTGTTATCGCTCGCACTGTGCGCCGAGTCCCTCCCGGCGCTATCGACCCGACTGTCAAGAACTTGCAGTGGGGAGATCTTGTGCGCGGACTCCACGAGGCTGCTGATCGTGGTGCGACGTATCCGTTCCTGACGGACGGCGACGCGAACCTGACCGAAGGTTCTGGCTTCAACATTGTCCTGGTCAAGGATCGGGTTCTGTATACCCCGGACCGCGGCGTGCTACAGGGTATTACCCGGAAGAGCGTGATCGATGTGGCTAAGGCTTCTGGGTATGAGGTCCGCGTTGAGACGGTCCCTGTCGAGCTGGCCTATCAGGCAGATGAGATTTTCATGTCGACTACCGCTGGAGGAATTATGCCGATTACTTCGCTGGATGGAAAGCCGGTGAACAATGGACAAGTGGGACCGGTGTCGAAGGCTATTTGGGATGGATACTGGAAGATTCACTACGATGACGCATTCAGCTTCCAGATCGATTATACTGGAGGCCAAAGAGGTGGATTGAGCACATCTGGCAAGTTGTAAATGAATAGGAGCATGGAATCGGGGACTTAGCACATACCACATCGGCCTTTTTCGAAATAAGTGTTCAATGATATATGACATAGCTAGATTTGAATTGATCTCTTTAACTGTTGAGTTAATCTTGCTTAATATCCTTGATTGAGATTGATATGGCAATAATTTGGTTGGCTGCGGTGTAATCAGTTGGCTAAAGGTTCAGGCCTAGTAGAGACTTTCTCGGACTTTACTCATAGGCAAAGCCTTTGACCATCACACTCTTGAACTTTGGCGACCTTTAAAAAAGAGGCTAATTTTAATCCCCGGCGACACATAAACCAGTCGTAGCGTATACAATGATTATCATTATACTGGAATCATAAAAGAGATTTCATTTCTAACGCATATAACCAGGAGATCCGACGCCAGTTTTTCAAACTATGTAAGCCAAGAGCCCAATAGCTCATCATACATCATTTTCTCAACCTTGTCCATGTTTTCAAGTACTCTGAGATCTGTTTTTGACCAGTTAGTACCTGCAGTAATGTTATTTATTGCATTCCGACTTACCTCCATAAGGAAGGATCTGCGAGGCAATAATTGCGCCAACTCCATTCTCCCGGTCAGCAAACCAAAACAGATTTGCCAGCCCTTCCCACGAGCCGGATCCTGCAGCTCGACCAGTGTCGCTTTTGCGATGGCTCAGCGAGAACGAGAGTCCCCACCCTTCCGTGAGATCGTCTGCGCAAGGAACCAGAGGACATGGGTTCGCCAGCAATGGCTTTCCGGATGGAGTGTACTCATTGCAGTATCGCGGCTTGTCGGGGATTTGGTCCTTGAACATTTCTGTAATGATGTGAGAGATTGGAACAACAAATGGAATGGGTTTCCTTACCTGCCACCGTCTCTGGCTTTAGAAGCTGAGTTCCCGTTTTTGCGTGTGTTCCATCATTAAGCAGTACTGAAATGAGCTCTACATGCAACCAGTTAGTCGCCAACCTTGAGCTTTGGGGGGGACAGACTGCTGGGACTGGAAACTCACGACAAAATTCAACCGGTTTCCCAAAACATCCTGCTCCGCCCATGCAGAACCTCTTATCCTTTTCATCAGGCCTGCAAGGTAAAAGAGGGTACCGATATATGTGATCAGTCACACTTAGCGTCCCATCTGGCGCCCTCTGATGCATGTAGGCGAGTTTGTCAATCATCTCGGGTGACGGGAAGAAAGTAATTGATCCAATACCAATCGGCCGCAAGATGTACCGCTGGAAGTAATCTTCGAGAGACATTCCCATCACACGTTCGACGAGTCTACCAGCCCAGTCCACCCCAACTCCGTACTGGAACGTAGTTCCGGGCTGGTTGACAAGTGGTCGATGGAGCACGTCGGCTTCATGTCCAGAGAAGTCGTCCATACCGAGAGGACGAGACCAATCTCTCAGTTTGAGGTCTTCGAATGCATATCCAAATCCAGCTGTATCTTATTAGCTTTCTGTCATTGTGATCGATAGAAGGTAATCCTACAGGTATGATTCAAAAGCATCCGCAACGTAATTCCCCTTTTCTTAGGAACTAATTCAAATCCGCCGTCCGAAGTGCGTTCGAGAACCTTGACGGCCTTCAGCTCCGGAGCCAGCGACTCGAGCTGGTTCACATCGTCCAGATTCAGCTTGCCCTGCTCGACCATCTGCATACAAGCGATGCTCGTGATGAGTTTCGTGCAAGATGCCATGTAAAACACAGTATCTAGGGACATTGGCTGGGCACTATCCAGGCCCTTGCCCCCGGAGGCATGTTTGAATAGCAAGTCACCGTGACGGTTTACCGAACCATAAACCAGCCCTGGGATACTTGGAGACGGACGAGAGGTAGCGCGGTCTAGCACCTCTTGCATCGCAGATGCGGTGCCTGAGGATAACTGGGTCGTCATGATTCTGTGAAGCTGAAAATCTAGGAGTCGTGCTCTTTTGTAAACCGGCGTATACCTTGCCTCTTCCCGTCAGGATGGAAACATATATTCTCGATGTACCCCAGCGTAACCTGTGAACATATCCTCACCTAGTGACAATCCAGCGGAGTACACCTCTCCCCACTATTCAAACCAATTTGGCATGCGCACAGAAGTCAGGCAGTTATCCACTTTCGCCCAGAATACAGCGGGTCGAGAAAATGGAGCAACCAAGTTGACCAGTGGAGGCAAAAAGCATGCCGAGGGATTTCTGTAATAGGCAACCGAGATGGTCTTCCTTTGTGGGTATGCTCCACTTTTCCCTCGTTTTTTTAGCGAATTAATACGAGCACTAGGCGAAATAGCCCGGTGGCTTTGATTTTGTTAGTGATGGGCATAGTTGTAAGGTATTGCCGTTTTTGTCCCATTTTAACCCTCTATGAAAAGCAATCTGTACGGAGTCTATTTTTTTTTTTCTTTTCCTCTTTGGAAAAAGAAAACCAAAAAAAGAAAGAAATTTCTCCCCACATGTCACGTTCCCTTTGTTCACTACAACACGGTTTGTGGTGTGTTGCTTCCAGCCAAAAGGGTCTTGTGGCCACCAGTCTTGGTGATTGAAGCCTACCCCGAGGATACCCAGCCATGCCCCTATTGAACACCAAATATGAATTAAGGGCTTGGTGAGGTGAGTGGAAGCCGCAAGGGAGATCATGATGTGGATCACAGAATGATCAGTAGGCTCACGTGTCTTCGCTGCAATGTCGAAGCGCAAGCTGCTTCAACCACCCCACAAACTCTTCGGTATATACAGTAGTATGTTCATCACGCTTCCATTGATCACTTGGAACGCGCAGAAATTCATGCCCGATACAATCACCGAAGTTGGGCCCGCCGTTGGCATAAAAGTTCATACATGAATGACAGAGGTCATAGTCATGGCATTTGGTACACATATACCGCACTTGATCAACAGATGAGTCACAAGAATCGCAGTCCGCTTCGTGATCGATGGCCCCTGTCTCTGCGTCAATAGAAATGCCCTGATCGGCTACAATCGAGACAGAGGCAAAGTCTTTTAACACCATAGACATTCTCCCAAAGCGCCCAGGGCGAAAGGGTCTTTCTCAGCCATGGAAATAACCGCGCCAACTAAGTTCTGAATGGATAGTCTCGCCCAGGAAGTAGAGGAACTATCGTTTGACGATACAAAGTTGTTGCACTGGGGTATCTTGGCTCGAAATCGCGGGGTGGCGTATTGCCATGGCGCCAGTCCTTGACTGTCCAGACAGTGCAATGAGGCTTGGTTGTCCAGCAGCACGGAAATTGTACCTTCTCGTTCTTTACGAAAGGCAATATGTAGGAGTGTAGTCCCATCCTCTGCCTTTGAATTGACTTCGGCACCGGATTCAATGAGTAGTTGGACAATCTCAGTATGGCCTACCTGAGAAGCTAAGTGCAAAGGAGACCATTTGTCAATATCAGCCGCTGAAGAATTTGCGCCGGATTCCAGAAGAAGCTTAACCACTTCAGGGTTGCCACGACGGACTGCGGAGTGCAGAGGAGTAGATTTGCAAAGATTAGAGACTCTTATATCTGCGCCAGAGCTGAGTAGAGCTTTCACTGCTTCTAGGTGGCCGTATCGCGCTGCAGAATGTAGAAGAGTCTCGCCAAAGTTATCAAAAACAATTGGGTGAAGACTGGTTTCTAAAAGCGCCGTGACCACCTGAATGTAGCCATGACGGACTGCCAAGTGTAAAGGGGTGCAGCCATCTTTACTGCGGACTGCCGGGCTGGCGCCTATATCAAGGAGAAGATTAACAATCGACACGGAAGAGCCCACGGCTGCAAAATGCAAAGCGGTAAACCCGTTTCGATCACAGCCTGTGTGGTCTGCACCCAGACATATGAGCGATTGGCATGTTTCAATATGACCAGCGAGAGCTGCATAGGACAGCACTGTACTCCCATGTGAGCTCACTGATTTGGCGTCCACACCGGCATCGATGAGGAGTTTGAATACCCCAGTGTGACCATGAAAAGCTGAGAGATGAAGGGGTGTGTTTCCTGCTTCATCTATCCCATTGAAATCCGCCCCATTCTGAAGAAGGATCTTGACCATCTCGACGTCGCCTGATTCAATAGCGACATGAAGGGGGGTAAAGCCGGCTTTCTCTCCAGATGAAGTATCTGCCCCACTCTCAATCAGAAGCCGGGCTGCTGCATGGCTACCAAAGGAGACTGCAGTATATAGTGGAGTTTTCCCATCCACATCAGTAGCTGATATAGATGCCCCATGGTTTAATAATGTTAAAGCAGCATCTTTTTGGTTGTACGCGACAGCTGCATGAAGAGCGCTGCCATATCGACCATGAGAAGTAATGTCAGCTCCTTTGTTTAACAGGAATATGAGTGTGTCTATATTTCCTTCGCTACTGCAGGCTTGCACTGGATTCTCGTGGAATCCACCAGCATCGTCAATACCCACCATGGTCCTTTTGTGCAAATATTCAGCCATTTCAGGTAGTTCGAATAAAGCCGCATAATGCATTCTTGCTCCGGGCACAATTATTGCCTGTGACTCATCGTCCCCTGACCCCGAGGATTCTGAAGGTGAAGCGCCAGACGCCTCATATTCCTGTCGCCAGGTGTCCCAATTCCGATTCGGCACGTGAAAGAAAGTCATGAGGTGTGGCGTTATCCTCTCTCGATAATGTTGGGATCTATACACATGTTTATACCAAGCCGTGGTCGCGTATTTGCAGAAAGGGCGTTTGTTGATAATATTGTGACTCTCACCATCCGAAACATACCATGAGTCCTGATGGTCCAGGTACTTTAGGCAGTCCAGGGCGAGATAAGAGTTTTGAAGCATCATATTGGAAAAAGGCCCACTATGCTGTTGACCAGTGAGAAAGTCGACAGCCGAAAAGTGAATCAAGTGAACCGTTTGAAATTCCCACGTATTAGCAGCACTGGCAGCTCGGAGCTCCAGAAAAGAACCACATAAGCCCAGGATTTCATAATCCACATACTGCGGATCAAAAGGGTCCGGCAGGTCATCAAATTGTGGACCATCGTCTTCGTAGGTATCCAAAACTGAAACAGCTTCAGAAAGCTCCGCAACAGTCAGTGGGCGCTGTGAAAAAGTGACCCAACGTAGAATTGCTTCTGCACGTTGTCTGTCTATACTTGAGAATCTTTGGATATCTTCCCAGTTCCGCTCATAGACCCGGGCCAGTTCTGTCGGCATGTCATTGATAACACGCCGAAGCTGCCGGTCTCCTTTTAGCGGCCGCAAATCTCGACTTTGAAGTCGAATCAATAAGAACATACCATCACACTTCTTTGCCATCTGCGCTTCCAGCTCCTGCTGAAACTCGTTTGACTTTCCCGGTAGCTTCTGAGTAACAACACTTCCAGCGAAGCGAGTCAGATCTGGAGCAACAAGCTCCCTTGTGACACTTATCGCATAAAGCACTAGTCCAGGGCGTATGGGAGCTAGTGAACCGATTTCGGATTTGACATCGCCTTCCTCACGGCTTATAACAAGGAGACGAGCGTGAGACCCTGCGATAAGATTCTTCAACTCATGTAAAACGTCTTGCCTGCTGTAGCGTAGTTTGATGCTGGACGTGCTTGACCGCGGACACTCATCCAAGCCGTCCACCACAAGGATACTTTCTGGAGATTGGGATAATGTTTGCTGTAGTAAGTGGCACAGATCTGAACACGATGCTCTCGTTCTGTCGCATGACTCAAGATACTGCGAGACCATTTCAAGCACAGACTCCTCGCGATAGACAGCCTGAAGTATCCACGTTCGGAGGATGGAAATGAGATCTCTTAGGGGTTCACTGTCCGCCGAGCAGAAGAAATAGTACACTGGGACTTGATTTGTGTCACGCAATTGTTGAATGATATATGCACACAGCACAGACTTTCGAAAACCAGCAGGTCCATGAACCCAGAGGACTTTCGATGAATTTGGGGAGCTACTTGACAGCCATCTCATGTACGTAGGATGCGTAATTATCCAGTTGCACGTAGTCTCCAGGCGTGTAGCGCAGTAAGCGTCAAACACGTCTTCAGTAGAAGGGCATCTAGCCAACACGATATCCGGCCAAGGACATGTGACAGCTGTGATTGTATCAAGGTGTCGTGAAGCTTCTGAAACTGATCAGGCTGTAAGCTGTCCAGTGGAGCTAAGAGGTATAGTTTTTGGACCAAAGATTCGAAGTCTTGGACTTGACTGGACAGTTTGGTATTATGAGCGGCCGCCCACTTGAGACGGGATTTAATATTTAATTTCGAGGATCCTGAGGGTTGGCTTGCTACCGGTCCCGTAGAATTTGAATCATATTTGTCAATAACGGGGTCTGTTGTAGCAAAGAGATCATTCAAAGATTTCAGGAAGCTTGCAACAACAGCAGCCGTAGCGGGATCTTGGAGCTGTGGATGAACACCCGCCATGGCATCATTGTCGGCGATCCCTGTCTGTTTTCCCCATCGTTCAAAGAGAATTCTTGTTGAATTGTAACGCGATGTCAGTCGGAGAGTCTCTGACGAGAAGTGCTTGACCGAATGTATTTTCCTGGCCACCTCTATAGAGCGGCAACAGGCTAACGGCGCCTAGCGCTAACCCCCAATTTCCATGTAGATTCGATGATTTGAGTGTGTTCTCTGCGTCAGGAGAATAGAAAGTAGAGTCACCAGGCATAGAAAGAAATAATATTCCCGGAAAATACGAGATGCAGGGAAAATGCTTTGTGTTGCCATGCCCCGCACAGTGTATTACTTTTGCGAGGCTGAGGCTGACCAGGCTGAGACTGACGTGGCTGACGTAGCTGCCACCCTTGACTATTTCCTATATTCCCATTCGCTGATTTAACCGCTATCCCAAATATTGTAGGTCTATTAGGAAGAAGCGGCTAAAAGGTACCTCGGTCCTTCGTGGGGTGTTGCAAATGCAAAATCCATGGTTTCCACAATGGCAAGAAGCCTGGTATATGAGATGCCAATAAGTGCGTGGAGCTTCTGTCTTATCATGCTTGGAAGTCGACTGTCATAATGTTTCTCGCGCTATTTACGTCTATATATGTTTGGGTAGGAGGATGGTCAAAGATGTGATATTTAACCATCGCACCCCAGATTTCATTAATCATGATGAGTGGGTTCAATCTCTGGAGGATATAAAATCCCACCGCTTGTCATAGGGACTATAAAGCATAGTCACCCGTTAATAATAGCCGATGAGGAAAGATGATCACTGCGCACTTTCAGCAAATATGAATATTTACCTAACAGACTTATGCTAGCCGAATCTGCAGTGGAGCAGACGCCGAGAAAGTTGAAGCTACCGGCCTTCGGCTTTTGCCTCACCCATGGTTCTCGCCGGTGACTCAGCCCGAGGATAAGCGTTTGCCGGTGTCGGCGTTGACAGCATAGTGTTCCGGTGTCTTTATTTCTTTAAAGTTTCTAACTTTTACTTCCAGATGTATCTTCCTTGCCTCTAAACCCCTACTCATCTCATCTATACAAACCTCCAAAATGGCACCATCCACCATGTCCCAACGGGCCCAAGAAGCCACCGCCTCATCCAAAAGCATCATGTGGGACGTCGTCGCCGACCTATATTGCAAAACGAGCAACCCAGATGGCTTCGTCAACGTCGGCCTAGCAGAGAATATGCTCATGCACTCGAAACTCCTCGAAGCGATCAACACGAAGCTCGAGCTGCCCACGAAATGGCTCACGTATAACGACGGGCCGTGCGGATCTACGCGGACCAAGACCGCCGTATCGAACTTCCTCAATCGCCATTTCAATCCCGCTACTCCTATTCTGCCAGATCAGGTCCTTGTCACGAACGGTGTCTCTTCGGCGATTGAGCATCTTTCGTGGGCGCTCGCTGACTCCGGCGAGGGCATTCTCCTCGGAAGACCGTACTACGGGACTTTCATTGCGGATATATCCGCTCGCCCTGGGACGAATGTCGTTCCCGTGGGATTCAACGGCTGCGATCCACTCAGTTCAGACGCAGTGGAGAAGTACGAAGAAGCGCTGCTTGAGTTCCAGCAGCGAACAGGCCGACAGGTCAAAGCGCTGATGCTCTGCCACCCGCATAACCCGCTGGGCCGATGCTATCCGCGCGAAGTGCTGATCGACCTCATGCGCCTGTGCCAGAAATACCGGATGCACTTCATCAGCGACGAGATCTACGCGCTGTCCACGTGGGAAAATACAGTTGATCATGAAGGTCCAGCCGCTGTTTCATTTGTCTCCGCGCTATCGATTGACCTGGAAGGGATTATTGACCCCGAGCTCGTCCACGTATTATGGGGCATGAGCAAGGACTTTGGCGCGAACGGGCTGCGGCTAGGCGCGATTATCTCGCAGGGTAATGAGGGTCTGATGGCTGCGTTGAGGAATATGGCGCTTTATTCGTATCCGTCTGCGGCGGCGGAGTATGTTAGTGCTTTGGTTCTAGAGGACGTTGTATTCACGGATGAGTATATTCAACTCAATCGGAGGAAGTTGGGGGAATCGTATGCGTTTGTTGTGCAACGGCTCAGAGAGCAGGGGATTCAGCATGCGCAGGGCTGTAACGCGGCGTTCTTTCTGTGGGTGGATCTGGGGAAGAGGTTTTGGGAGATGCATCCTGAGGTGGGGGCAGATGAGCAGGTTAGTGATAGGGTTATGCAGAGGCTGGTGGAGAAGAAGGTGTTTCTGGCGAGTGGGCCGTTGTTTGGGTCTGAGGAAGATGGGTGGTTTCGGATCGTGTTTTCGCATCCGAAGGAGTATCTGGAGGAGGCGTTGCGGAGGATTGTAGAGGCTTTGGGAAGCTAGATCTGAAGGTCTTGTATATAAAGAGCAGTTTCTGTCACTAAATCGAATCATTCATGTCATTCTTCAACTGAACTACACATCCCAACAAATAATCAATCTACTAACACCAGCGGGATCGCCTAAACCCCATCCTCCCCAACTCCACGCTTCACAATGCTACACATGCCCCAAACATCCACCTGCCATGAAGCATTTACCCAAACATCGGCTCCTGCTTGGCGCCCTGCAGCGCACCCAGATACTGAGGCCGATCCTTAACGTAGAACTCGATATCAATCTTGCCCTTCAGGTTCGCTTCGCCGTTATCCAGCGTTCCGGCCTTGACGACCGTGTTGTCCGGCATGATCTCCAGCTCGGTGTACAGGCTGGAGCCGCAGTTCGCGCAGAAGAAGTGCTTGTTGATCTTGCCGCTGGCGCCGGTGACGTCATAGGTTTTGGGGGTTCCTGAGTTGGTTAGTTCTCTCTACTTCATTCTGTACTTTTTGGTTTGTGGTTGGCTTGATGGGATGATAATTAAGAGAGATGGGTTTACCTTTGGTCACTTTGAAGCTGGATCGAGGGACGACCGCGTTGGAAGTGAATGCACCGCCGGTCCACTATTTCTGTTAGTTTACTCGCCGTGAGGTCAGATGAGGTGAATAAATTGTCAGATTACACACCTTCTGGCAATCAGTGCAGTGGCAGAGAGCAGACAAATAGTTATCCACTAGTCCTATTAGTCTCTAGTCGCAATGCGCTTTCATAAAAGTGAAGGGGGTTGAAGGGAAAGAAAGGCATACCCTCAACGTTGTAGGCGATCTCGCCACACATGCAGCTACCGGAGTAAGGCATTATGATTGAGTTTCAAGGTGAGTTCGAGAATGACAATAGAGACAAAAAATGGAATGGTTGTTCTGCAGAGAAATGCATCAGTCGCCACGGGGCTGCATGACGTTTATATAGACCGCTTCCCCGCTCTACCAGACGCCGAAGGTGGGCACGGCGAGTGCCCAGTGGCATGACAATGGTCTAGATTTCAAAAGTTTCACCGCTTTAGTAGTAGGTGTTTCCACCGAATTATTGTCAGATCCTCTCTCTCTTCATATCACTCCAGCAAGAATTCGCTGGGCTGCTTACGAGAGATGACACCAAAAAGTCAATCCTCAACGTCGGCGTTGAGGTTCGGCCTTCGGTGTTCGCTCCGAGATCAAACCCCGAATCAAACCCGGAACATTCACAAGCCATGACTAACATCCCCCTTTAGCCAACTCAGATACAACTGCTGGCTTGGAAGAATTAGTTCCTCGGTATATCAAATTGCGACCGAGTGAATTCTATATATCAAGCCCAAAACTATCCGAGGGATCGGCGACAAAGAACTGGGTGAAATCGAAGTTCCCAAAACTGGGTAGGTCATCCGGTAACAGGGCATCGAGATAGCTGGAGTCATGCACGGGCTGCAAATGATCTGAACCGTCTCCGTTGGGGTTGGGCTCAGATGCAGTCGAGAAATGAGCCCCGAGAAGATTGCTGAGGTGTTTCGAATCGTGATCTTTTCGCTTTTGCTGCAGTAAAATCAGCAGGCCGGCGGTTCGATACGCCTCCTTCATCATGTCGGTATTATAGGCATCTGTCACATTCTTGAGAGTCTCCATAGCGTCGTCTAATAACGCCAATGACTCTGGACTGTCCATCGCCAGCAAAGTACAGACGATTTGGAAAGGCACATTTGCCACGTGGCTCCAGGGGGAATTGTGAAGAGCCAGTTCCCGGGCGCATGCAAGAGCTCGAGTAATCAAGGCAAGAACCTGCGCCATAAAGTCCCCGCAAATATTCGAGTTCAGAGCACGGATGCGTCGGAAGATAGTGAGTACAAGATTACACTGAGAAAGTACCGATGGCGGTCGTGAACGCTGGCTTGCGAGGATATTGGAAAGCATTGCCTTGAGTTGAGAAGAGTCCACTGGTTTGTGCGGATCTAGGCTCTCGGACAGAGGGATGAGATTCAACATCTCGGCCGTGTAGTCGCCTTCCGGACTTATCGGGGGCGTATAGCAGGCACCCTGCAGGATGACTCTGGAGCGTCCCAGATCAAACGATATCCACATGTTGATGTATAGTGCGAAGCCTACCAATCTTCGTCGAATGTTGTGATCAATGTTTTGCGGCGGTTTGATGAGCAACGGCTTGGATGATGGCCCGATATGGAAACCAGCTGCTTCCATTAGATGTAATAATGAACAGCTTGACATCCAAGCCACGTGAGGCGTGCCCGTCAGTCGGAGGTATGAAAGCCTAAGAGTCCATCCTGAGATGGTCGCCAAGGAGTGTATGCCAAATGCGCAACAACGTTTTAGAGACGATCGTGCGGATTCAACGAGAAGATGCTCTGCATTGAGTGGTTTCCTTGCGCTAAATAGATATCCCATTGCTGCTACTCCACACAGAACAACGTCATATGGCTCAAACGGGGACGGATGAGACCATCTCGAATTCAAGTGTTCGTAGCAGCTGTTGCGATCAATAAATCCATAATAAGGATCGACCTTCTCGAAGTACACATCTGCCAGCGCCTCCATCTCGTGCTGCGAGATGATATCTATAATCGGCAGCGCGGCGACACGGTCAGACGATTGGCGAGATCCAATATTCCAGGCAAATATCTGCGGCTCTGGAGCATTAACAGGATCAAACTTCAGGGCCAGTTGCCTAGCAAAAGCGGCGCCGGAGTTAGATTCGAGAATCTGAGCCGGCAAGCAAGTGGGTGCAGTGGGTACCTGCTGTGGCAAGATCGCTGGTGGCGTGGGGGCTTCTGGGGTTGAGTCGGGCTGCGATGTCTCCAGTAACCGGGTAGGTGAGACATAATCATTTTTATTTCTTTTCTTGCGCGAGTCCACGTCGTAGTAGCATCGGTATTCGAACTCGCTACATGTCCCACAGGGGTGGCTGCCATCGCATTTTCTCTTCCGAATCCTGCAAGGTTCGCAGGCGATCTTGGAACGTCGTTGTCGTTTGGAACGGCTTGTCATTTCAGGGGTTCCAATGGTTCGAGTGTAGCACTTGGTCAATTACAGACGTTGCTAAGGTTGGTTCGCGATGTTGTGATAACGAGTTACTGACAGAAGCGGTCTTGCTTACCAATCAAGTCCATATCGGGCTAGTACGGTATGGTGTTGCAAGTATTCTTCTGCCAACGATCACTTCCTCAGTTCTATACAAAACACTCGTTATATCCTTGTCTTTTGCTAAATTTGATGTGTAGTGCAGTATTGGGATTAAGTGGATATCACTAGGCCTTTCAATTGAAATTACGGGCTTTGATGATTTTTTATTCAGCTTTTCCTGATAACTAAAATTAATACCAACTCCCACGGAATGGTCAACAATATATACAACCTTTCGCGGCACAAGGGTTTCCTCGTGGTAGCACAGAGGGGCCTAGAAAAATGAAATTCCCTTATGCACACCTTCTATTTGGTGTTACAGGCCATAAAAGATTTTCAGGCTAGAAAACGTCCTCCAAGAATCTCTTATCTTGGCCCACCTGCCATCGGGACCCAGAGCGGATGTAACGGATGTCGCGGATATAATCCATCTCCACCGTCTTGGGGTTTATTTAAACTTTCCAGAATTTACCTCAAAGATCTATCCTTCCTGCATTCTTTACATCCATTATCCTTACCGAGAAAGATGGCTCTAGACAATCAGTATAAATTGTTTCACGTGTCCAAAACCGAGGACATTCTCGCATCCGCACAGCGCTATAAAAATCTGCGTCTCCGAGCCCTACAACTCTCGCCCTCGTCATTCGCATCCACATACGAAACAGAAGCCACCTTCAACGACGAATACTGGGTTTCTGACCTTCTCCAAGATGGCAAGGAGACGTTCATCTGCGCCGCGACTACGCCGTCGGAAACGAATCCCGATTCTCTCGAATGGGTGGCCCAAGTAACATTCTCTGGCCCGAAAAGCAGAGAAAACTTCACACTACCACCAGAGTCAGGGCAGCCGGATCCTGCCTCGGACGAAGAGGAGGAACGATGGCAGATGCTGGGCCTGTTCACACTTCCTGCGCATCAGGGAAAGGGCATCGCCAAAGCTCTGTACAGAGCTGGTTTGGATTACGTCATGTCTTATCGATCTCACCCCCCGAATGTTCGTGTGCGCTTGATGGTCAAACCCGGATTACATGATGTCTGGAGAATGTATAAGAATCTCGGGTTTCAAGACGCAGGGAGGGGCACTTTGGCGGAAGCTTTCAAGGCGAATGGTATGGAGGATCATCTGCCCGAAGGGTTTGAAAGCAACGAGGCTTTCTGTGCTCGGACATCGTATATTATGATGCAAGTCTTCCCAAGAATTAGAAATTAAGACATATTCAAACTGGCTCGGAACGGTATCAGCAGATCTAGTACTGTTAAAGCCTCACCTTTGAAAGAGCATCGGATATGTCCCTTGTCCAAACCCGTACAGTTCAATTCCGCAATAATGTAACTGTACTAGCATCACGAGATATCCATATAGACAGGAAAAAGCATCTGCGTTGAATCGCACGATACGACCTCAAAAGGCAACATCTTGACTGCACGCATCGTCTTGCGGCCATAATTCTTCTCTCCCAGTAACTGCATAAGATGAATGTGCATAAAATACTTTAACTGGTGGAGAAACTGATTTTTATGACCATTCCTACCAATCCGTGGTAAAGGTGTCAATCACGATAAATTTGTAATCACTCGTGTCTTCAGTATCTCCGTTTTATCCGTCAAACCCGCTTTACCTATGATAGTGGTGCCAAATTTAAGAGCCCTTTCCTCTCACAATGATAAGTTTTTCCGGCCTTGATATCCTTTCGATTTCTTAGGTCGAGATAAGTCCCCCTCACTAAGAGTAAATAACCACGAGTGCGAGAACACTTTCGGTAGGTCCTAGTCCACTATGAGCAGAAGCTTTCAAATATCCGAAGTGCTTCACATCAGGAGCATTATCATTCATCCTGTGGTATTCGACCTAGCTGACGAGTTCTTTGAAGCATTCGGGCAAATGTGCTTGTGTTTGCGTGGGCATCCTGCGAAAATCAACAACGTGCAATCTAATCGCTGCGCAGTAAAGAAGAGAAAAGAAAATATTAAATATGACCAGGACAGAGGGAAGGTCAGGAAATGGGACAATAGATATCGAGAATAACCGTTCCGAAACCAACATGGACCATTCAGCCGATCAAAGGCCTTTTCGAAATATTATATGCTCATTCCTGACGTGCCATATTCCAAAGGACCTTAGTCCACCGCCTGATGGCGGATTTCACGCTTGGAGTCAAGTTCTCTGGTCACACTTTACAGTCTGCAACGCCTGGGGCTATGTGACTACTTTCGGTGTCTTCCAAACATACTACACCCAGAAACTCAACGCGAGCCCATCGGCAATTTCCTGGATCGGCAGTGTCCAGGTCTTTCTTCTGTTCTCTTTGGGGGCCTTTTCCGGCCGGATGTCTGATGCCGGATATTTCAAAGCAGTCTGGGGATCGGGAGCTCTCCTGACCCTTATTGGCATTTTCATGGCCTCTCTATCCACGGAATATTGGCAGGTCTTCCTATCACAAGGCCTGTGTCTAGGCATTGGCAGTGGTCTTATGTTCTGTCCAATCCTTTCGCTCCTTCCGACTTACTTTTCTAAAAACCGCTCGTTGGCAATCGGTCTTGCAGCCACGGGCTCCAGTACCGGCGGTCTTGTTTTCCCAGCGGTGGTCGATAATTTGCTCCCGCGAATCGGATTCCCATGGACGATGCGTATCCTCGGATTTCTAACCCTCGCCATGCTCACCCCCTCGTTCATCTTCCTCAAGCCGAGGATGCCCCCGCGTAAAGGCGGTCCTATAGTGGAGTGGAACGCATTCAGAGAATTCAGCTACCTCATGTTCAGTCTTGGCATGTTCCTCGTGTTCTGGGGACTCTACGTCGCATTTTTCTACATCAGCAGCTTCGCAAGGACCCTTGGCGCCACCCAGTCCGTATCCATCAGCCTTCTGCTGATCATGAACGGCGTCGGAGTTCCCGCACGCGTGCTCCCTAACCTCCTTGCGGATAAATACACCGGACCAGTCAATCTCCTTGTCCCCGTCGCCATGATATCATCCATCGCCCTCTTCTCCTGGATCAGTGTTGTCAACATCAGTGGACTCTACGTGTTCGCTGTATTCTACGGCCTCTTCTCGGCAAGCCTTCAATCACTGTTCCCTGCGAGTCTGGCGTCGCTGACGGTGGACTTGTCGAAGATTGGCGTCCGCACGGGCATGATTTTGACGGTTGTTAGCTTTGCGGCGCTGACGGGCTCGCCGATTGCGGGGGCTTTGGTGCAGCGTGGTAATGGGAGTTATAAATACGCTCAGATCTTTGCTGCGGTTAGCATGTTTGTCGGGACTTTGTTGCTGGTTGTGGCTCGGGCTTCGAAGACTGGCTTAAGGCTCAATGCGAGGATGTGATATGGTACTGTACCAAGCCTATCAGAAATTGCACCATTCTTTGAAGGTGGAGAGGATATTCGGTGCTCTCTGTTGGACATGGGCTTGATATGGTTTCAGCTTGCTGATCCAGGGCTAAACGCACTTGGAAGTTGCTCAGGCCCACAAGACGAATCCCGGATGTCAATCCCTACCATACCGTGTTATTGAGGAAGTCTTTTTGGATGACAAACAACAATTCCTATATCAACTCAACTCAGTTTCATAGAGAATATAAAGTGCTAGCCCAATGACATGTATTTATTCAAGCATTTCCCTTTTACAGTGACTTGGCATCGTCAGAAATATTAAAACACAACACTAAGATGTCTCACTGTACAAACTGGTTAGAAATCTCTACAATTAGTCCTCAATGAATAGTCTCTTTCAGCCTGCTAGAACCCCGTTATTGCGAGTTCCTGAGCCAAAAGCCGAAAAGCCGGCCACTAGCGCCGAAGAAAGACTGACCGGGGTTTGATCGATATGGGCTAAACACAACCAGTACTTTCCTTGAGATATTCAATTCTCATTGGTTTTTTTCTTTTTCTCTTTTCCCCAGCTTATTGTATTGATTGCTTCGCCATATTTTGATTGAGAACATAAAGTGAGCCACCTGCAGTATCTCCATTTTCCTTATAGATTTGAGAGTCCTCATTAGTCCAAACAATTGACCGAAAATCATGGCTCGAGGCCTCATCCACCCAAGCAAATCATTTACAGCATTCCCATTAAAGTGCTCATTCTCTTTTCATAGGACTGTCCAAGCCCTAGAGTATAATGATCGAGTCCATCCCAACTCATATCACGCCCACCCAAGAACAACACTTACCCGTTCGGATATATATCCACCCCCAACATCAAAGCATATACCTAAACATCGGCGACCGATCCCCCATCTTCGCCATCTCGCTCGGATCATACGCAGACACATCAACGCGCTCTCGCTTTTTATTAATCGTCTTATACGAAAACCGCAGAACCAAGACAGCAATCATCCCGATGCCACAGAACCCGAGCTCCAGCGCGTGCCCGAGAACATACTCCGGTGCGTCTTGCGCGCGGTAGAAATTTGACGCCATGGCTGGCTCATGTTAGAAGCGACTCCGCAGAAAGGAAACGGGACGTAATGGAGGACTTACCGCCTGCTAGACCCCCAAGACCGATGTGCATGGCCATGCCGGCGGCGCGCTTATAGTCGCCTGCGAGGTTGACGCTCAACCAGGTGACGTTTCCTGGGAACGCGGGGTAGATTCCTTTCTCTGTGTGAGTAGTGGTCAAGCTGGGGAAGACTGAGACGTACCGATTACAGCGAGGAAGACGCCGAAGTAGACTACGCCCGGGACGCCTTTGCCGGTGGAGGCGAGAACAACGACAAAGCCGAGGGCGATGAGGAACATGAAGAAAAGGATGAATGGGGACCGTTGGCACCGTCGGTCAGATACCCATGCCCCTATTATTCCGACGATCGCGGCCGTGACGTAGATCGGGACGGTGAGTAGTTGGGCTGTGGAGGAGGTGTAGCCCAGATCCTTGATGATGGTTGGTAGGAAGAAGGATATGCCGTATAAAGGGCATGAGATGCCCCAGAACACTGTGGGTGAAGTGAGTATCGGATTGACGAGCCAGGAATGGGGGGACATACTGATCAATGCAACGTAGACCTGCCAGTCCAGCAAGGCGTCGATCACATAACGAGGTCGGAATTTGATTTCCTCCTCTTCGACCATGTGGCCAATGTGCCCTGCAGAAGTTTGAAAGCGGACGGAATGAAGGACGAACTGTCGCTCTTCCTCGGTCAAGAAGGTGGCTGTTTCGGGTGAGTCGTAAATGGCAAATGGAGCAATGAATGCCACGACAACTGTAAGGAGACCTTCTAAAATGAAGATCCAGCGCCAGCCTTCATGTCCACCGACGCCGTCCATTTTCTAAGAGTCGTCAGAACAAAGCTCCGTCATCGAAGGAATACGTACCGCAATGGCATAGGCTAGGATGCCCGAGAAAGCTCCCGCAATGCTGGCCGCACTAAAGAACATGGCTTGTCGGTACTGCGCTCGATGACGGGGGTACCAGAGGGTGATGTAATATGCGGTTCCGGGGTAAAGGCCTGCTTCTACATGGCGCAAGGAATATGAGTGTTAGTTTCATACCTCCTACAGCATTGGGAAAACGAACCAGCTAGACCGAGAAATAGACGAGCAATCAACAGCCCTTCATAGCTCTGGACCACTCCCATCAATGTCTGTATGAAAATTGTTAGCTTGTAAGCACCAGGCCCTGTCCACGAAGCATACCATGACAATTCCCCACGCAATCATGATCAACGGCAGCCATCGCGAGGGCCTCAATTTCTTCAAGAGCAAGTTACTCGGCAGCTCGAACGCAGCGTAGGTGAAGAAGAACACCGTCACTATTCGAGGTCATTTCCACGTTTCGTTCATTCTTCCGCACACCCATCTGACAACAACCTACATGTCCAATTATACTGCGGTCCCGTCATATTCAAATCGTCCAGCATCCCCTCGATCTTGGCATTCCCGATATTCCCTCGATCCAGAAACGCCAGCAAATACAGCAGCGACAGCATCGGAATCAACCGCAGGTCCATTTTCCGAAGGACGCGCTTCTCCATCTCCGGCGTGAACTCAAGCGGTGAGTGTTCATCGTGGGGGACTTTCTCCATCGTCGAGTGTCTCGGGCTGTCGTCAAGGTGGTCGATGTTCATTGTTGAAGTCTTCTCCATGGTGGCGTCGGGAATATGTAACCGGTGGAGCGAATAATGACACGAAGTGGAGTTTTTAGAGGAAACCTCTGACGAAGCAAGGCACTGGTGCCAACACGATAATGAGGTGGCTTCTCCACACCGACTTTTGAGTGTGAACTATCCCGCATTCTCGGTCTGAGCCCGATCGGCTTGGCGGTTGATCTTCGTTTAGCCCCGGAGCGAGGCCGATGTATTCAGTTGCCAAATCCAAAGGCGTAGAATAAACCGAAATGGGTTGACAACCGGCAAATCACGCCGAGGTCTAACAAAGGAACAACTATTAGAATACTTTGAAAAAAAAAGCAGGAGCACTAATGTGTTGACAAACGTCTCCGGTTTTATTAAAGCGATGCGAAAAGATACTATCTCTGTTCTCCGAAAAAAGTAAACTATGTGGTCGAGACTGAAGATATATGATCGAGTGATGGTTAATAATTGGTGCATATTAAATTCTGTACGCCCATCGGTATGGTTATGCAGATGGAGATAAATTCTGCCAACCAGAGTTGCTTGTTATTGGTGATCTCCTGCGTTTCCGAGGAATTGCCTATTTGGGAAATCGACACAGCTTCACAATTCCTGACTAGGCGCCGGATGTTGCAATACTACGCCACGAAATGCCAACACTCCCACCATTCGGCTATCCCCATACGGCCAATGTATGTCCATAGCGTCTAGACCACCCTTGCTTCCTAGGGAACTAGCCATCAATTCTTTTATTCATTATTTTTGGTGATTCTCGGCATCCTCGATTTCCCGCCGATAGGGGTTTGATTCACTATCATAGTGTAAATTTGGAGAATCTTGGAATTCTCTGACCTGGACGATACTTCAATCCATCCTCCTTCACTATATCAGGTTAGTGAATCAGTATTCATCTGAGCGTAAAAATTCACCAAAAGACCCGTAGCATAGATTCATCCTCGACGTAATCTAGTGAGCTTCAATTTCTGCATCTTCTCTACTACTCTCCCAATCTCTATCCCCTACTCAGAACATTTAAAGGAGTACATTCTGCCTTCATCAGCTGCGTCAGCTATCGCTGCTTTTTAAACCTTGAATTTGCTTCTTTTTAGCAGATACCAGTGACAATTCAAACATATTCGTTCGAGCTTGGCCCCTGAAGCCAAATTGCATGGTTGTCGAGCAAACCACGGCATATTGACAATCATCATACATATCGCCAATCTTGCTGTTTTGAACAGTTACAGCAATAGCAACAGCATATCCTTGCCTTTATGGTCTGCAATACCAGGCCACATCGACTGAGAAGGACACTTCTGACATGACAGCTCTCAAGCTGCCGGAATGGTGGGCTCCAAATATAGTAAGTGGCATCCTACAAGAGCTTCGAAAGCACCGTTTGTGTGCGGAGAGCCTGGCTTTCGGGTCCGTTCATTGTACCCTAAGAAGAAGCGTGATACCGTCACAGTTAGACTGACATAGAACCTTGCGCAGGGCCTTCGGGAAAAAGACACGTCACTCCCATAACATGTCCGGCGGTCGAGAGCCCTACTGCCAATTCGAGTAACAGAACTCGTTCTCAAGGAACCAATAACGGAGCCTGTGGGCCTCCTAGTAATTTGCTTGATCGACAAGCGAAGACGGAATCATATTGCAGGCCTGCCAAATTACGCCGAGCTGATCTTCCGGCTCGCTGACAGGCCATCGGAATTCAGTGGGCAAAGTGAACCTCTGGGTCGTTCTAGGCAACGGCAAGATAAATTCCGTGATCATTTTGGATTGAAGAAGAGTGGCGACGCCCAGTCAAGTCGAGGGAGTTGCAGAATTGTACATCAGCCGGTCAACCAGATCACTGGTCATTACTGGGCATTTGTACGATCATCTGTCTCGCTTCTTGGATAAACAATCCGCTGACACCAGCAATTCAGACTTTTCCAGCCAAGGACTAGGCCCCAATCTGCCCACCGAGACTTTTCGTTAGCTGGCTCGCATGAAGGGTTGGCTGCGAATCTGGTATATGTTACCTTCAGGGAAACAGCCCTTTAACTCACCACGTTATGCAGACCGAGGATTCGGGCCCCTCTGTAGCCGGTGTTCCAGTTATTCCAACAGCTGGCACAATTTCCCCTTAAGGGCATGGAAGCATGGTAAGATCCCATGCATTGATCGATCCATTTTGGGGTGGGGATAACAGTGCCTTCATCAGGTCGTCTTGAATACTAGCGACATGTACATATGTGCTGGCGCTCGCCTGGCGATCATCCCGCTAATAAGGCCGACTCCTCCAATTCACGAAGCCCACACAAGTCCTCAGACCATACCAAACTATCCGCCCACTGGCCAGCGAAAATAGCTCCAGAAAAGAGAGGCTTGAACGTGAAAAGCCATGCGATCAAATGGGGCGACGACATTTCGATGAATGGTCTCATCGGCCGGCAAAATATTCAACTAATCATTTCCCAATTCCGTTCATCTGTGAGCTGTCACGGGCCTAAGCATCGCTTGACTTACGAATTGCTCCCGGACATGGGATTGTGATCACCACCATGTGGAGCGTAATTTTGATCTCAGCCCAGAAGATCATGGGACTGACGAAATTTCTCAAACACCTGAACGAACCATAAATAACGTCAGCCACAAGAGGTCATTGGTCGGCACGTTGGACAGTTACGCAATTTCAACCAGCAAGTGCTGGAAGTTTTCCAGGCCCATCCCTGGAGGATACCGGGGAATGTACTATCCTGTGAAATAAAAGGCCCGAGACACATCACCCCAGATCATCCTGAGGTCGTTGTGGGGATGAGAACGGGGTGCAGGGTTGGTTTGAACAGAACGTCGGCCAGGATTTCCGCTCTGTTTGTGATCATACCACAGATATGTGAATAGTGGCCAAACCATTCGACCATGCCTGGTGAGACAAAGTGTAATTGTCTGCTTCATCCTATGAGAAGACAGAGTCTACAGAATTGATTTGGCGCTTGGCAACTTCAGAGTACGCGAGTGCCAGTACTGCCATGGTCCTGGAATTAAACGGCTGGATTCCAATCACCAACCTCGGAGCTGGAGCCATGATCAAAGGAATTATAAGCTGTGGTGATGAGAAGCGATTGCGCCCGATGGCTCTGTCTCTCCAGTCTTCGGACCGATACAATGAGTTCCCACAGCAGCTCGCCATCTCTTTTCCCGCGCGACTCATCGCCATGAAACCTTTCTCGTCAACCCGGCGAATTCGTGCCCAGAGGATCATGCACCACCCCTCTCCCAGCCGCCGCGCCCTATTCAAACAGAAGTTCCTGGATGAGAATGAGCCCGTGTTCAGAGAGCTTCACCGACGGTGAAAGGGGACCAGAATACTGGCCCAGATACCTTCAGTGTGAGGAAGTGCTTTTACTTCCTCGCCAGAATGTCAGCGACCCGCAGTGGAAACACCATGGAGAGAAAGCAGGGAAAGAGTTGGTAAGTTTGACCGATATCCCTAGGTATTTGTAGAATTTACTGATTTTTCTTTGGACCAATGGTGAATTTCGACTGCCTCATGATTTGAGGCATTAGCTTACCCAAGAATTCCCTGCTCTGCGCACAGAACATACATACACTGGCGGCTATTACTGGCAACGCCACGATCACTTCCGTTGACTGGGAACCAGGTATACCCAGGCGACCTCAGCCACATCGAAATGCTGTGAGATACCGGCGCTGCCTCTGTGCCTTGATGTTGAGCATAATTGGTCTGGACCTTTACATTCATTGGCTAGTGTTGGGATCCCTATTCCATATGCGCAAGCCAGATCAAGACAAACGCGATCACCCCCTATAGAAGTATGCCCTGTCTTAATGACATACCTATTAGGGCTGGCGGATATGAGGAGAAACCAATACCTCTGGAAACGATCCCCCAAAAGGTTCAACAGTTGGCCTTTGACAAGCACGTTTCCAAGACGAAGGGTCTCACCACGACTATACCAGGGTTTACTCATTACCAGCTTCTGTTAGTACCCTTAGCACTTTACTCACATCTTATTTCCGGGCTTTCTTCGGAAGCTGTAACCACAAATCGTGGCGCTTTTCGTGTCTGCGTGTCTAACTACACTTTCTGTTGGTACGAGAGACCGATTATATCTCTCCTTAAAGTCGATGGCTCCCAATCACCTCTTGGTTTATGAAAAACCTTCCTTACCCGTTGTGGTTAAAGTTAACATTTGACGAATCGCACTTGTCTTCGCCCACAGTATGGTTCAAGCATTTTCGACCCGAGAATACGTACCTAAATATGACTCCCCTATCGCTCCCGTGATTCCCAATGGCCAGCATTTGACTACCCCTGTGAGTGACGAGATCATCCGTTTGCTTGACGCCACGGAGCAACCGGCCGCTTGGCCAACGAGGAAGAACAGAATACTCATCTGAGCACCGAGAATACTTATCTGACGAATAACATCGTCTCCGTCCGTCGATGACTCGGCTTTGTGCACCACTTGGTCCTCAGTTCCCCAGTTCCTGCGAACCTCTCCAATATCGACATGGTCACCGCTATGTCTAAGGCGTTAAACGACAGGTCATCCCAACAATCAAACAATTTCCAACAGACCACTCGATATCATAGATCGGTTTTAAAAGCCTACATGGTGGAATAATCCCATCTATCTATCCCCACGACTTCAAATTTCCACAGAGCCTGGAGTCAACCTCCATGGGAATGCACATGCACGACGGAAGAAGACAGCTGTCTATTCAGCTTTGCCCTAATGACCTCGATGGACAGACAGCAATCGAAGATATTATCATAGACACGACAGCTGCAACGAAACTGTCAACACCAAAAGACATGGGGTGGAGGCTTCAAACATGATCCACAATGGAGCATTCAATATCCTCTTTGAAGATTCAATCAAGGAGAAAAGGAAACTGTCAAGGTCAGAGGCGTGCAAAGATGCTACAATCATCGCGGAGATCTGTGAGCGCTACAGAAGAAATACCTGAGGGCGAGACGAATCGGCTGCTGCGGCCAATGAATCGAATCAAGTTCTGCCTGCTGCAGCGCAGGCGAGCAGAAGATGGTACGCCGTTTTTGGATCCTAAGGAGGCGGTACATGGAGGAACCATACTTGGTGCTGATTGACGGGGTGAAAATCTTACCCTGTACGAACACAGCCAAGCAAGGTCATGGTCGTGCACTGAGAAAGCCACAAGGCCAGAGATAAAACGATCAGCAGCATTTTACGGCCTCAATATCGATTACAAATATACGCAACAACCCGAAGAACTACCAACACCTCCATGATACACACGCCACCATGAGTTTGTACCGAGTAATAAATTCCTATTTTTCTTTCTATGCGTCCTTTTCTATTGAGGTCCGTTCGATCCCTCTGGCTACTTGAACAACAACTTACCAAGGAGAATGAAACTACCTTGACTGCCGTCAATCGGCCTACCGCTATACCGAGCCATCCATCCGCTGATCATCAACATAAATGATAGATTACTGCGATGCAATCGACTCGTGATGTTGGCTTTACAGTACCCTTAGAAAAGCGAATGAAACCCATCAAGACAAAAAGCTTTTGGACGATACCCAAGGATTTGCACCGAGACTAGCCGGCCTGCTCGGCCTAGTCGATTCAGTGATGCTTTGGGGTCTGTACCTCAGCGATACCGACACCTCCCCGATACCCAATGAGTGGAATACCTGCCGAAAAGGACTATTTGGCGTGCCTTCTCTCCCCCCCGGCAAGAGGGTCGTCCGTGCCAACATACTCAAACGAGCGATGGGTTTGAAGGCAAGAAGGGCCATGATGTTTATAAAGCCCCTGCAGGTTGGCCACGACACTGTCAGACAGGACACCATCATGGGATCATGGGGATATCCTGCCTGTGGTATGTCCGCCGACTCATGCAGGCCAAACCTTCTCTCTTTCAATCAACTGAGGCCTCCACATATGTCGTCAAGTTTGACACCCACGACCTCGTGCGAGGGCGGAAGCTGCTAGCGTTCATGGACATATTAATTGTCTATCCGATCACTCGTATCCACCCATCACTTTATTATCATCATTATCAAAGATCTAGTGCTTCTCGCTTTCCTCTCGGACCCTCCCATCCCCCAGCATATAACAGAAATTAGTCCTAGTTTCTTGTTATAACACTCATCACGGCATACAACAGAAGCTGATGCCATGCCTTTTGTCCGGATACTATTGCAGTACACAGCAATAGCTAGTGCCAGTCTTTTCATTCCAATACTGCCACTGTACACAGTAATAACTAATACCGGTCTTTCCATCCAGACACTGTCACGATATACAGCAACAGCCGGCGCCCCCTTCTCTCACAGCCGATGGTTAGGTCATTATAATCAAACAGGACTAGCCCTATCCAAGGCTGGCACAGATGAATCCGCAGACATCAGGAGACAAGTCTTCCGCCAGCTCTCGATCTGACAAGGGTTGCTGTCGAGCTATAATCGGAGGGACCATTGGAATGCTCGAAACAGAGCTTTCTTGCTTCCTGAATGTGAACTATGCCCTCGATCAATAGGTCCTGTCTTTTTATGGCATCTTCTGATCAATCCCACAATACGGAAGGAAAAAAGGAAGCGAAAATGATGACTCTGTTCGACAGGAGTCCATTATACTGTGAACTCACAAATTTTAGACCCATGCCCGAACGTCTTGATGAGGAGGGAATCAACAGAAGATGAAGAGACGCACAGACTATACCCTGACCTTGTGACGATCCTGTGGCTATATGGATAGAAAGTGGCACGCTTCAATGTTGGAATTGACCAGTGCATTTCTCAGAACATAGAAAAAGAAATAGGGTTTTCACTTACAGATACTTGAGAACTTGGAACGATAATGCGGGATACCCGTGAATATTCCTCATGGGGCGAAGAATTATTCGACCTTGAGGTGGAATTTGTATATTCCTTTCTATAATATACAACCTGGATAGTCAGCTTCATTAGCAGGTAATATGAGAGCAACAGGCTGTCCGCCAAATTTACATGGCTCGTTTAGCAAAGATCTATGTAGATTCTTCAATGCCACGGGATCTGCCGGACGTTTGGATACTGCGTCTTTCTTTGTCAATTACCAAATAATCAAGAGCGACAGACAAAAGAAGAATGGGCGGAACAAGACCAAGAAAGGATACCGCTAATTTATTAAGTATCCATCTGAGGGCCGATGCTTGACGATAGAAGCAAGAGGTCCTACTTAGTCTGTTCCCACCTTGAAAGCTGAGATAGTCCAAGTCTATGAAAGACCCATTGAGCTGGTAGAGACACAGAAGTAAAAGACTGAGTCTCAGTAGTCAAGCGAGGAAAAATCCGGAAAACATTGATTGCATGTGATGTGGGTTGGAATTTCGCTTATGTCCAGAAGATTAAACTGAGCGTCAAGTTTTATTGGTAGCATATCACAACAATGAAATCTTTCTGGCCTGAGTCAGAGGCTAGTCACATATAGGATACAGTAACTCAAGTGGTGTAATATTCCATCAATGAGATATTTATTCACGAACATTAATAAAGAAGAATGTGTACACGAACAGGGTTGATACAGTGGTAGAGGATCCAGAGTCAGCTGCGTACAAAGCGTGTTCAGTTCTCAGATTGAATAGTTTTGGAAATGTTGGGCAAAGATTCAAGCCATCACGCACACGTATGATTACAATTTACTAGCCCTTCTACAGCGGTCAGCCAATGCAAATAAGATACAAAGATAGGAAAATACCTTTTGGGAATGGTGGCCCTGAAGGAACTGGGAAATTGCACCAACCATGTCGTCAATCTGATCTTGTCGTCCACTATCGTACACTCCTCCGCCTGTCTGAAGCAGGGCAGCGCGGATGCCTTCTCGTGTCGGCATGTCAGTAAACCACTCGCTTGGCCAAGTTGTTGGCATGTACACGTTGACAGGATCTGAAGACCACCGGTATATAGGATGGGAGCCAAGCGAGGGACCCGCTGTGCGGCCTTGACCGGGTTGGGAATCAGTGAAATGTCTGGGTCGAACTCCTACCTTCGGTAAAATTACTGTTGAGCGGGCAGGTTGTCCAACTGGATGGCGCCCGATCATGTTTTTGTTATTTTCGGGTTTACCGGACTGAGCAAGAGGCACAGCATTCATATCTTGCCGTCGCCGATAGTCTGGTCTTTTGTGGACCGGTCTCAAATCCGTTGCCATGGGTGGTTGATCGATGATGCTAGGAATTGGCATTGGAATAAATGGAGGCACACCCCAAGGGGGATGTTCCGATGGCTGTGCACCGGCAGCTTTTTGTGTAGTCTTGTTGGTGGTCAGGTTTTGTGCCATATTTTGAGGGTAAGAGTGTCCATCGTTAGCCACAGCTTGATCTCGGTACGGTATGTCTTTTGGGCGCTCATGTGAATGGTGCGAGATAGAGGTTTCAGATGGATTCGGTCTTCTCCTTTTGCTGATCAAAGCGGCAGACGAGTCTGAAGAGTCATCCTGCACCGAGTCCACGGTACCTGGCTTGGAGCTTGTGAGCTGTGTGTTGGAATGATTGCACTTCTTGCTGATAGGTATCTCGTCAGCTGTAATGTTGGTGGTCGCTGGGTTGTTCGACGCAGTGGCATCATTCGATTCGACAGCGCTGGACTGGATAGAGTCCGCCAAGCTAGTCGGTTCATGGGTGGTAGATTTGGGGTCGACCATTTGAGTGTCCCTCCTCGTGATATGATCCGCATTCCTTCGCAAGGCCCGTCCTAACTCTGTCAATTGCGGAGCCAGACTTCCTAGATCATGACAGACTTGAGCCAGAATGTCAATCAGAGGAAACAAGGCTTCAGTCGCATTCTCGATTGCTTTCAAGGTCTGTTCTGCATCCTTCTTGGCTAATTCTGTCATTGTCGCAGGAGGCTCGGTTGGGGACGGGATTTCAATTGAAGGTACGGGGATGTCAACGTCGACCGCATTGCTTGGGTTTGATCTTGCAGGACCCGTTGACGACATGGCGGGAGAATCTGGGGTGGTCATAGGTGTGGCGCTTTTATTGACACTCACGGTAAGATGTGAAGGCTTCGGTATGATGAGGACGGTAGAGATATGCGGTAGACTGATATCGAAAGAGAAGATCCTGGACGGAGAAGATGGAGGATGGAGAGGGTGGAGAGGATGGAGAGGATGAGAGGATGGAGAGGATGAAGAGGAGGTAGAGGAGGTAGAGGACGGGCAGGAAGAGAAGAGGCGGAGGGTAGGAAAGCAGCAGTTTAACCCCCATCAGGTGACTATCCATGGAGCCTGCTCGTCTTTCAAGAACCATTCACTCACAATCTCTTTGTCCGCCTTGATTTCTGTTATTTGCCATTGGCAACCCTCCTGATTCCTTCCAAGACATTTCTTCTTCCATTCTCCTGTTTCAAGACTCTTTCTTTTGGCGTTCAGAATTACCATTCTCTCTACAATCTCATAATTATCAGAATACATTATAGATTGAAGCATATCTACCACCATCCACCGTTAAAATTTCGAAATCACGCCAACTCTGCTTCCTTGTCCAAAGCAGAGCACAGCCTCAATACTATGGTAAAAGGTTCAATGCCAAATGCCTCATTTGCAGATAATCTAAGTATTTTCGTTGCTTTGCTGGCGATCAATCTTCTTCGGCAAAAGCTCTCAGTCCTGAGAGAACCCTACGAGGCACAACATCATTGGCCCAGAAACAGGCAGGCCTTCGCCGTACCTACAACGGGTTTGAAGATGAACAGAGGCGAAAGACTCATAGAACAGCTGGATCAATAATATGAGTCACAAATAATACATCCAAGACAACACGGCACTGAAATTCAACCAGAAATGCCAGTTTGTGCGGAAGACAGGGCTATATACTCCCAGCAGCCAGATCTAGTTGAGGCCGGGATTGCCGTTTTGGGTTAGCCGACAGCACCGGCTTCTCGCTCGGTGTGACTAATCAAGAACGCTAAACTTCAAATAGACTTCATCACGTGCCAATATGGCCTTCGCCAATTTCAGAGCTCCTCCAGAAACATCTCTGAACAATTGCGTCGACATACCATCTTTCGCTGCTCGAAGATATCCACGAGCCCTGCATCGCTTTTTAGAACGCTGACCCCACGTGGACCCTGTTTCCCAATCATTCAATCCCTTTTCTGCCCTCAACATCTTAAATGGAGATCATCCGCACGACAGGGCTCCACAATACCAGAGAACCACCGCATCGAATACAACTGGATCAAGGGCGTGGAGACCCTTGAAAAATACCGTCCCGGAGGCTACCATCCCCTCAGGATCGGGGACGTACTGAACAATCGATACCAAGTTGCAGATAAGCTAGGCTTCGGCGGGTACTCGACTGTCTGGTTAGCATTAGACACTCATCTACAGCGCTATGTCGCGGTGAAGGTGACTATCGCGGACTCGGTTCCGCGGGAGACGAACATCCTCAAGACATTATCAGCTCCTCGTTCGTTGTCTCATCATCCAGGATCTGACTCGGTGCCTGTCATCCTAGATGAATTCACCCTGCAAGGACCTAACGGGATACATTCCTGTTACGCGATGACCCCTGCGCAATGCAACCTGAGAGACAAATCCTTTAGTCGGCTTTTCCCTCTCGATGTTGCGAGGACATTTTCGTATAGACTTGCGCAGGCTGTTGCGTATACCCATTCTCGGGGGTATGTTCATGGAGGTTTGTTCTCACCCCACCTCCTTATTCATGACAGACTGATATCCAAAACCGGTTTAGATATCCATTTAAACAACATACTAACCAAACTCCCATCAACCCTGGACACCCTCTCTCTGAATCAATTCTATGAAAAAATACGGTAATCCAGAGACCGTCCCCATCACCCGATACGACGGTGGCCCGTTCCCATCAAACGCCCCATCCAGCGCCGTCATCCCTCTCTTCCTAGGCAAATACGCAGAGGAGTTCACATTAAACGACGCACGCCCGGTCCTAAGCGACTTCGGAGAAGCATTCCCTGCTTCAGAACCTCGTCTTGGCCAAGACTGCCACACGCCGCCTGCGTTTCGGGCTCCAGAGGCGAAGTTTCAACCGCTGACTCCCCTGTCATATCCCTCGGATATCTGGAGTCTAGCGACAGCGATCTGGGAGATCATCGGGATGAAAGCCGTTTTCAGCACTGAGTTCGTACCCGAGGATGAAATCATAGCACAGCAAGTTGATGTCCTCGGATCTATGCCATCCGAGTGGTGGACGCGGTGGGATGGACGAGCTAGATTTTTCGATGATGATGGGTGTCCTACGGACTCTTATGTGAAAAATAAATGGCCGACGCTGGAGGGATCGTTTGAGGAGGGCGTGCAGAAGTGGAGACGGAGACGGGGCCCCGCGATCCAGGAGAGTGAGAAAGCTGCGTTTCTCGATTTAATGCGACGGATGCTGTCGTTCCGGCCGGAGGAGAGACCCACTGCTGAGGAGGTGCTGGAGTCGGAGTGGATGGTGGAATGGGCGGCGCCTGACTGCGAGAGGGGCGGAGATTAATTCTTATAAGAAATTATTGGTTGAGAGGCTCCGGCGCAGGGGATATCACGCATGCAATGCAGTGCAAGGCAACGCAGCGCTGCAATCTAATGAGATAGGTCCCTATCATGTTGCTGGGCGATCTGATACCGCCGCTCCCAACCGTACCAAGGGAACGCTTGTCTGGAGTCGCGCGGGACAAAGCGAGCACTAACATTCCCGACGTATGTCTCCTGGCCTGTGAGCCCATCAAACGTGCACAGAGCGTGGAAAAGGGCGACGATTGCTCTAGAGGAGTCCATGGTCACTGGGAAGATGACTGCTATGGCGTCATGACAGAAATGGTCGTGTGGTCTGGCGGAATCTGAAGGTTATTTCTAAAGTTCTTAAGCTAAGGTCCTAAGAGAGTTTACTGCACAGGCTTTTATAGTTCAAGATTGGCCGATGAGAGCCCTCCACACCCTGCGGTCGTATGTGCTATTGTACCACAGCTGATTACAAAGGATTGTCAAATCATCTTCTTCATTTCAATAGTGAAAATAGTGGAATTGTACCGTGAGTCTAACACGCAAACCTATCAAGCCATGGTGATATCAATCCTCATCGAAAATATCCGTCGCATTGAGAAGAAGAGTCTCGACCAGTCGAACTTGCCAACCAACATCCGCAAGATTATGCGCCCCAACGCCCGTGAGTGTTGGTCTGCCGATATTATTAGAACAGTCCTAACCCTATCTTCGAGGAATCAAGTCAGCACGTACCCAAAAATAAGTGCCAAGTTGGAAGCGGTCATCTGATTCCGCTGCGAGCGATGCTGGACCCTATTCAGGTGCTATAACAAATCAGCAGCGGTAACATAGAAAGAAGCACTGCCAATCTCATACAAGTATCAAAGCTCTCAAGGCGGCGTAATGTGGATCAGAAAGCGCATTTACAATAGCATGCACACTGTCTCGGCGTACAATGTCATCTTCCATCTCTAGACTCACGGTAAGCAGAATGCTCGAATAGAATCACAGAAAGGATACATACTAGCCGCATCGATAAAAGCAGGGTAGTGCTCCAGGGTAAAGAAAGGGGTCGGCAGGTCTCTGAAAAATCGCTTCAATAGACTCGCAGCATTGTGAATGTTATGATAGAAGTTGACTGGTTTCGTTAAGTCGTGTGATGGTCCATCTGATAATGAATATTAGTAAATGCAAATATGCGCATCAAGGCTACCCACGATTTTCGTAGTCCGCAATCATGCGGCGAATGATGTCCGGCTTCTCTGTCTGGCGGTATATACCAGCCAGGTCAAGACCAAATTTCTCAATGGCTGCGATACATTGATGGACGACGTCGGGAACCGGCAGCCGAGTTCTGGAATACAGCTCCTCTATGGTGACTCCGAAAACCCTGTTAGATCTCCCAACGTCCGGCGAGGCATACGACAGGCTAAGAACTGGTGTGTTGTCGGGCATGGACGAGGCGATGTGGCTGGGCAGGGGGTTCTGGAGAATTTGCTCAGTGGATTGGGACTCCTTGTACCGTAATCTGACGAGCAAGTCTTTCAGTTTGAATGACTTTGTCGGCTTTGGCTTTTCGTGTGTAGATTGCATCATATTGGTCTCCGGGGTTTGCCATTCCGGTCGTTCACTCGTGGACGTGATTCCAAATGCCCAAGGGGCCGGGCTTTCTCTAGGGTCTAGAGCTCAGCTCATAGCAAAACGTCATTCTGCGGTCTATGAAATAATGCAGGCAGCCAGTTTCCTTGGCGGTGACTCACTGTACTGGGAGTTTGCCGATTCCCCAGGCGAGATTTCCCGAGTTATTGAACCCTGAAGATCCCTCAGATCCATGATTTCCTTCATTCTCTGAGCAATAAAAGTTTCAGGTTCCCCGTCAACGGTTTGTGCACTCCCATTGCGGTCTTGTGCCGGGGACATTGGAACAGCAATTCGTGGCTCATTCCAAGTTCGATATGGATCAAACGAATTGTCTTGGTTGGCGGTATGTGCCCCACTCTCGTAGAATGCCTCTGCCGTATTATATGGACGATTGGACAGCACTGTTCCCTCATTCATATACTGAGGGTTCTCGGTCCGACCGACGGAATGTTCTCGGGAATTCCCAGCCAAACTATCGACAGATTCATTGGATGCACCTGCGGAGCCCTGACTCTGGGACATTTCATCCCCATCCACATCGGATTGAACGTCGTCGGGACCAGTCATTCCAAGGGGGGATACGAGTGAAGCTGTGTCCCCATCAGATTCGTCGTCGGTGGAACGATGCACTTGCAGTGAAGATGCCATTGAAACCGTGCTCCACCTGATTTTCGGGTTGCTAACAATGGGGTCTTGCTTGTCGGTCGAAGGATCCTCTTGCTCTCCGGGCAAAGGAGCGCTCCTCAACCCGATCTGAAGATCCTCAACCTGCCTAGGGTCGAGGATATTCTGTAGTTCGTGGGTAACCCTGGTGCCCCATGTGCCAATCTCGTTGTCGATAATCTTATTCGACGAGTTACCCTCTGATTCCTGTGTGGCAATCGTATTCCACGTGGCGAGCTCCTCGGTCCCTGCATCTGTTACTGAGGCTGGTCGTATGTTGCGAGCCGATCTAATCGAGCCAGGACGGGATGGTACGGCCTCCTCGAACCACGCATGCTGCAAAGCTACCTCGGCGGTTGTACGTAGAGAAGGGTCAGGGTGCATAAGGGACAAAATGCAGCCTTGACCGCTTTTGCTAACACGAGCTGCGGCCAGTAGATCAGAGGGAAACAAATCGAGATTGCCCATGTATTGGAAAAGCACGCCGAGATTCTTAAACGTCGATTGCTTGGTGAGCATTTGAAAAGCAATTTCTCCAACCGACCAAATGTCGGGCGCATACGGGCTACCACGCGTTATGAAGCCGTGCAGCTCGGGCGCTATATAGCCTAGTGTCCCTTTCAGCGTTGATGATAGTCCAATTTCATCTTCAATTCGTTTGCTGATGCCAAAGTCCGCGATCTTGACCCACCACTCATCTGGGGGACACGACTTAAGAAGAATATTCTATTGAACCGCCATTAGCCCAGTTTAGCTGCTGTTTGCGGCGGCTTACCCTAGGCTTCATGTCACGGTGAGCGAACTCATTGTCATGCATCAAAAAGAGACCATCCAGGATTTGAAATGTGATCTCCTTCGCCTCGTGCTCTGGTAGCGGGGGCTTATGGTGCAGATATGTATGCAGATCGCCCAGCTCGAGGTATTCCATCGCGATGTATAAGTGTTCCGGACTTTCATACCAACCGAACGATTTCACAAAAGCACGCTCGTACTGTACACCTCAGCATAAGTCCGGAAGCAGTAACAAGATGTAACAAACCTTCCAATGCGAAAACTTGGCTATCGCCTCCAACTCGCGATTATAATTCAGCAGCGTAGACTTTCGCCGCACCTCCATCTGCTTAATGGCTCGAAGTCCATTGTCCCGTTTTGCTCCCTTTGTACACTTTTCCAGCCATACACTGCCAAAGCTCCCACCGCCGATCTTTTCATGTCGCGTCCAATGTTCCAATCGGGGGACGAGTCGACGTCGCGATTTATAATCTGGTTCATGGTATGTATGCACGGTCTCAACGCTGCTATCAGGCAGAAAGTGGGTTTCAAGTTTCGAATCGCGAACCAAATCGGGGATCCGAGGGGACTGAATTTGTGGTGAACTGCTCGTTTGTTCAGGGCGAGGGCTAAATAGCGGGGAAGAAACGCCAGGGGTGTGCGACGCATCCGAATCGTTACTAGAACCGTTACCGCGCGCCCTTCCCAGCCCGTCTGCCATGGTTGAACGGAGGGCACCCTATCAGTCCTTCGAGGATCTAGGTTTTGATTCGTAACGTCAGCCTTTCCGCGTAGGGAGATGCGGTCTTGCGACTAGTACCAGGAGAGACGGCGCAACCACCATGAGCCCGGATCCCACTTCATGAGGTTATGGTGACCCGTGTATTACTGCTCGAAGATATTGGCCCCAATTCAGCCACGTAGTGTTTCTCAAGGTCCGTACGCTTGATTGATCGTGATAGCGAGAAGAAAGGGGCTGTGATCATGGATGGCGAGGCTGTGTCGAAATCCCGAAAGTGCGACAGCGGCCCCTCCAGCCTAGCGCCTGACGCCTCGTGTCCCATTGGTTGGCTTTTCAGCCGCACCGTCACGAGGGTGTGAAAATAGCAGGATGAAGATCCATAAATAGTCTAAGCCAGTCGAGCTGTGTTCGAAGAGTGGCTGCGACTTGAATACAATGGCCGACCCGATTTCCATCATATCGGTAGTGGATCTCTGCTTCAAGTAAGTTCGTCGGGCCCGCACACCATCCTAGCTCGTCCATGGAATGCCGTCGCTAAGCCATCAGATATGGAGCATTATTGGTTGAAAGGTGTTCTGCTTTCGCCCATGCAGAGTCCGAACTTCTAGAGCGCTCGGTCCGAGTCAAAAATTATTGGATCCGGGCCGAGACTCAGTTGAAGTTGGTTCGAAGTATTGCACACACACTGGATGATGAACATCAGGCAGTACAACAAGAGACGCTAGAGCTGCTGGCAAGCAAACTCAAAATTACGGTCAATAGCATCCAGTCTGTCACCAAGGCCACGGATGTGAATGGTGGGTCGGTCCGACAAGTCCAGCGCTGGAAGTATGCACTTCTCCGGCAGAAGATCGACGGTGCCATCCAAGACCTGGAGCTGTGGCAGAAGATGTTCGACCCTTCTTGGTATTTAATCATGAAAGCCGCGACATCCCAGATAGATGCCGACTTGCACGCATTCAAGCATGCAGTTCCCGCTGAGAATCGTGCTCCAATAACGTCTGCCCAGTCTCTCAGGACGGCGTTAGATGCCACTTCTACCAGCAACCTTCGTATCTTTCTTCGGGAAGATGGGATCAGTTCACTTCAATTGACCGATCTCCCTTTATGTTCCGCACAGTGGGCCCAAAGGGAAGATCCGTCCAAAGCACTCATCCTCGAGCGTTTCCAACCATCTGCCGGCGTGAACATCAGGCAACTGGAGAAGGACGCTCGAGATCTGGCAAGAAAGCTCGCTCACTCCAGTCCCACTGAATTTGGTCTTCTGAACTGCAAGGGCGTGGTCAAGCATTCCGGCGATGACCCAGCCTCACGTGATCCTACTGCGTTCACATTCATTTTCAGAATACCCACTGGCTACTCACGTCCCCGCAGCCTGCGCAGTTGCCTCACAGAGATGCAAGGAACGGACTCCCTCTCCGACCGATTCAGCCTAGCGAATGAACTGGCCAGATCAGTCAGCTACGTGCACACCTTCGGGTTTGTGCACAAGAACATCCGCCCGGAGACAATATTGCTCTTGACGAACGACTCGTCCGTGGGATCCGCATTCCTGATCGGGTTTGACAGTTTCCGTATGGCAGAGGGCAAAACTCTCCGCAAGGGGGACGCAGCATGGGAGAGAAGCCTTTACCAGCACCCAAGCCGAATGGGACTGGTTCCGACCGAGGACTATATCATGCAGCATGACATTTATAGTCTGGGCGTCTGCCTCCTGGAGCTAGGCCTGTGGGAGTCGTTTGTGCAGTATCAGGACAAGACGGCGTCTCTGCCTAATGATGGCTCCAGTCTAAACCCGACACGGCACTCTGTTTTGGGAAACGATCTGCCGCCCGTGCTTTTCAAAGACCATCTGGTTGCACTTGCCCGTGGAGAACTCCGGAGTAAAATGGGAACGAGATATGCGGAAATAGTCGAAACGTGTCTCACATGTCTTGATCCATATAATGTGGATTTTGGCGATGCCGACGAATTTGTGGATGAAGATGGAATTCAAATAGCTGTTCGATATATTGAAAAGGTCTGTCCTTGAGAAGTATTGTCAGCCACACTTCTGCTAAACCATTTTAGGTTACCATGAAACTCAACAATATTTGTGTCTGAGACGTCTGAGCGGATTCCTCGGTCTTCCTGCTGTCCTTATCACTGAAATCAAGAAGGAAAAGTAAAAGAGTGGAGCTCTGGGCGATGGTGAGAAACCAGGGATGAATTCAGCTGGGCAATCTAGAAATGGAAACATCCTTCTTTGGATGAAAGTCCGACAGAAAACATCTCAATCCTGATGACAGGAGTTGAATGAAGGTTGAAGTGCACTTGATGTTCCTTCCATCGACAGAAGAGCAACAAATGGTCGTCACGTGGCTATGTGCACCGCCGACCGCACAAATATATATTACCACCATGGATTGAAAATGGGGATTTAATGTTCTCGTTTATACTTTTCATTAATACGGCCTGAATACTGAACTTTCATTAAACGAAAATTATACGGGAGAAAATAGTTTTACATAAATCTAGTGAAATCAAAATCTGAAACCCAACCGGAAAGATAGAATTCCGCTCGTTCCAATCCATAACGATACCAGGTAAAACCACAAGACCTACGGCACTTCTACTAGAAGAAAAAGTTTGAAAGAAGGTAAAATAATATGAACTCATAATCTGTAGCAGATGCCATGCATATATACAATGTTCTACATATAAACAATCCCAACCCCAACTCCATCCGATGTGTATCCCCCAAACAAAAACATAAAGAGCATAACACATGCGATAATCTTTCCCTTTTCACTTAAACGTTCTCGGCATGGTAGGACTGAGACTCCTTGCGAGCGTACTTCTCGTCGCTGTGACCGTCGCTTCCGAGAGAGGGCATCTGGAACTTGGTGCTCTTCCAGGGCGCGACCTTGTTGACGTACATCCAGTCGATTTCCTCGAGGGTGCGGCCCTGGGTCTCAATGACGAAGAAGTAGACGACACCGATGGCGAAGAAGAGACACCCGGCGAAGACGTAGCCGTAGGCGAAATCGATCTTCTTGGTGATGAAGGGGGTGAAGAATCCGATGAGGAAGTTCCACAGCCAGTTGGCGGCAGTGGCCAGGGCCATGCCCTTGGCACGGTACTTCGAGGGGAAGAGCTCGGCGGCCAAAGACCAGATCTGGGGACCCCAGGACACGGCGTACGTGGTGATGAACAGGCAGGCCAGGACGATCATACCCTTTCCGGCGCCGGGGGTGTTGGTGGGGGTCTCGACGTCAAGGGCAAAGTGACCCACGGAGGCAAAGGCCATGAAAAAGATGAACATCAGGATGGCACCGGTGATGAGGGACTTGCGACGGCCAAAGTTCTCGATGATCCAGAGGCCTCCGAAGGTGGTTCCGAAGTTAACGGCTCCCAGGATGACCTGGGTGATGAAGCTGTTGGAAATACCGGCACCCTCGAAAATGGTAGTACCCTGAGACGACCATTAGTATGAGACACATGATACCGAGTAATCAGAATAACTTACGTAGTAGAAGAAGTAGTTGGCACCGGTAAGCTGCTGCAGGGACTGGAGCACCATTCCAAGCACGATGCGGTAGAACATGCGGGGAGCGGTGATGAACTCGTGCCAGACCTGCTCCTGGGACTCGGCATCCAGCTGCTGCTGGACCTCCTCCAACTCCTGGTAGATGAGACGGTGGTTCTCGGGGATACCGTACATCTTGGCCATGGTGGCACGGGCGTTGTCGACACGGCCGTGACGGTAGTCAAAACGAGGACTCTCGGGGAAGAACATCATGCCACCACCGAGGACAAGAGCGAACAGGAAGGTGAGACCCAGGGTGATACGCCATTGGGCGGTGCCCTCGAGGGTGTTGGTTCCCAGGTTAATGCAGTAGGACAGGAAGATACCCAGGGTGACGAAAAGCTGGTAAGAACAGATCATGGCACCACGGATCTGACGAGGAGCACTCTCTCCCTGGTACATGGGGACGATCAGAGAGCAGCCACCAACACCCAGACCGGTAACCCAACGACCCATGGCCATCTGGACCCAGTTTCCGGAAGGCGAGGCGATCTGGACGATCAGACCAACGTTGAGGATGAGACACCAGAAGGTAATCGACCACTTTCGGCCAAACTTATCGGCAATCGGGGCACCGCAGAGCGCACCGATCAAGGTACCAATCGACAGAAGACTGACAATCAAACCAGAACGGACCGTGCTGAGTTCATAGTCGCCATCACTATTCTGGGCACCATAGCGCTGCAGATAGTTGGACATTTCCTGGAAACCAGAGATCTGACCCGTGTCATAACCGAAGAGGAGACCACCCATGGAAACGAAGGCTCCCATGACAAAGGCGCGTAGAGTGACCTTAGGAACGGGGGTGTCTACGCCAACCTGGGAAGGCTTGTTTATCGCGATAGACTCTTGGCTGGAGTGCTGAGGGTGGGGAGCGACAGCAGGGCTGATCGACTCCCCATGATGGGCAGAAGTTTCAATGCCCATCTTGAGGCAGGATTATGAGACGGAGGAAGGAAGTCGTGAGATCGAGGGATCGGGTCGGAGGTTTATTTCACAGCTAAACAATAATTGACGCGAGTTGTATGCAAGGAAGGGAACACGAATCCCAATAGAAGAAGCAAGGATTCACCAACCACGGGGTATCTGATAGGGAGTGGATGGCTGGGCAATACAACTGGATGTCAAACAGAAAAGAGAAAATCCAGATCCGGGGGGTGTCCCCTTTTTATGTTACATTTGCAGCCCCTACGAGAAAAATGGAGATGAAAAAAAAAAAAAGAAAAAAGAAAAAACCACTCCGTAATAGTAACCCGACCTGAGGAGAAAAAGCCCACCCCATGAGGTGGAGAAAGCCGAGTGCAGAGCCAGTGTCGAGCCGACAGGCACGGGGAAAGACCAGACATTGCCCACATCTTCTCCGTCGGCGTGTGCCACAGCGAATCCGGACGACGGAGAGGGGCCGGCCGAAACCGACGAGAAGGGCCAGTCAGGAGGGCCGGAATGCTGGGGGAACGGCCGGGTTGACCAGAGAAAAGGAGGGACTCCGTCGCAGTTCGGGATCCACGGCAGGCTCGGAGAGGCTCCTGGTTCGTCACGGTGGCCAACACCGTCGGGACGTGGTCTGGAAACTAGACGAGATGAAGGGGATCAGCGCCACAGGCTGCGATGTCTGATTGAGCGGGATGCCCACGGTCAGTTGTGGTTCAGCGAATCGCCATGCATCGATGTCATTGGCATCTACATCGGCCGGCGGGATCACCGCAGATATTTGGGAGACGCAGAATCGGCTCCGAAACCGACGAGGCAGATGAAGCCGTGGGCGAACGTAGCCACATTCCTGGGCGCAAGCGTCGGCATGCCTAGGCTGAAGCCGACTTGGCTGCGAGCGGCGAGATGAAAGGAGAAGGAAAGGCGAGAGTGAAGGAATGGAGGGTCACGAGATTAGTGGAGGACTAGGCCCAAAGAGGCTAGGGCCCACCCACAACTCCAGAGTTTCGGCAAGTCGCCTGGAGGCCAGCCCGACCGCCCGGAAGGACACGGAGAAGACGCAGGGCTCAACTCTGGAGCGCCTGGAGAAGCCCTCGTCTTTTCCCCTTCTGTTGACCGGTGAAGCCCAATTCTCCCCATCAACGCCCTCAAAAAGGAGGGGAAATGCGGAGTGAATCGCCACTAACAACGTGCCATGACATCGCATTGCCGCCCGGGGTTTTGATATTCAGGTTTGCACCCAAAACCAGTAAGCTGTCGGTCATTATATCATAGCTCCATCGACACAATTCCTCACCTACCAGCCTATCCCGATTTTCTCTCGCAGTCGGTCCAGCTAGTAAAACTACTACTTGCCGACCGAAAAGCCACAGAAAGTCGGCCCCGAAACCCGGCAAAGCGAGCTGAACGCGCTCATTTCCCATGACTAAATTGCGCTGGAACCAGAAGGCAAGCCGACCGAGCCGATTCTCGTCAGTGGCGTTGGGTCCGCCGGCGTGGTTGGTTCTAGAATCACCCACCGTCATCCAAGCTTTGTGGATGCCTTGGCCTTGGGATCATACACATTACTCGTACAGTAGTCCTTCGGGTTTCCAATCCATGCGCATATCGATATCAGTTGGTACTGTAGATTCTTTTTGACTTGATTATTTTTAATTATTTAATTGATTTTGTATTCATACCTACTACTGAAAACGACCCTACGCAGCGGCAAATCAGGACCGGCGTGACCGAATCCGGAAGAACGCTCAGCCTCTAGGGCTAGGGCTGGCACCTGATCGCTTACAGTCCGGAGACGCGCCATGACGTCGTCTCCATAGCCTCCCCTCAATCTGGAGACGGAGACCTTCCGAAGTCTGGGATTTTACCCCGTGGAACTTGCCCGGAAAGACAGATGTCAGCCCGGACTATTCATCTTCCCTTCCCCGTGCCTTCGAGAACCGCCTTTCCGCGCCACACGCACTGCCCGGCTCGCTACCTCGCTACCGTGTGTTTACGGCGTATGTTCCTTGACTGTTGATTCCACGTGTTCCGTGGTTGGGATCCATTTGAACTGGTGTAGTCTAATTGCCACCGCGATCGTAGTCAATGCTTTGATGCCATCAGTACGCCGGTTCGTTGCTCGGGCGAGATGGTTCGTTGCGCCTTTCGATATATATTTCCGAGTCCGTGTTTACTCCGCCATCCGTGCCAGCTGCCGGCCACTCCGGGGAATCGACAAGGATCATACCAAGTATTGTTCGAACGCTTGTGGCGTTAAGCCGGCTGCGAGTAATTTTAAGGTTCTATACCGGAGCAATGAACGAGTGGCATGATTAATGTGGTCATCAGGACTCCTGTCACACGGCCGAAGAGACCTGATGGCAAGAATTCCTCCGAACCGGCTTCTACTTGGAAGCGACCGCAACGTCCTACTCCGTAGTACGGAGAATGTTCCAAAACCTATGTCATCGATGTCAGATCCAGTCCGCCCTCCGAGACGCAAACAATGACATTCATTCCTCGGAATTACCGGGGCACCTCCTCGGAGCCATGACGTCGATTTTGCCAACGTGGATGCCGATCAAGTTTCACCAATTTCCCGCAAACCAATCATCCGTTTTAAGTTTCCAACTGCAGTTTCATGCAGCTAATTCATAGCGGTGCAGCTAGCTGAGAACCGTTGAAGTTAGTCGACTTACGGCGGTGTTCATGTATTGAAGAGGCAATCCGACCGCCAGATTGCCAATCATTACTCCGTCTGAAAACTAGGGATTTCGTCTACGGAGTAAAATGGGGAAAGCATCGCGGGGTTTTCAATGTTTCAAACACCCGCGATTAGCAGTTTATTCTCCGTGGGTCAGCATCTTGCTGTTGAATCTGAGGTGCAATCTGCCAAGCATTCGCCGTTTGCTTACCCCTCCATGGCATTTGATCGACAGCGTGGAGGAACCCTTTCTCAGCTTTGCACCCATGCCACTAGTTGAATTCGTTCAATATATTGAATTGATCATCATCAGTAGCCTACCCCTACATTCTATACGTCAATAGGGTCTTGGTATCCGCGTCAGGGTCTTTGTATTTTTTATTTTTTTTAATAAAATTTGAATTATCTTGTGACGGACTGTCCATGCCAGTCCTAGCCCCATAACATCGGTCCGCTACAAGTGTAAATTTCCTGCCGCTTATTCCGGGACTACTATTAGGAATATAGACTCTCGCCGGATACCGAGGGCCATCCAGCATGTCACCTGACGACATTCCAACCCTAAGCATTTCCATCACGATATCTGCTTTAGTATCAAGAAAGGAAATTTTGGATACCCAAACGGAAATTCCCACATACATTTCCCTTTCTACTGGGATCCAAAGATGCTAGACACCCATATTCCAATTGCATTCCCTATCTGGCCAATCGATTCTCATGATTCACCACTTGAGTGCATCCATTTGAGTCCCTCGTTTGGTGAATTCAAATTCACCTGGACCGGGTAATTCACCATAGAGCCCACCATATAGCTTCGTCTTCCTGCAGCTTCCTAGATCCTGATTCTTCTCTCCTCCACATCTCTCCTGAGGATCGAACCTCTTCTGGATCCATCCCCTTGGTCAAGATTACGTCTTTCTTATGTATCTCATCCACTTATGGCCTGGTTGCCTCATGGCTTGCCTCTAGATACAGCTCTTGGCTGGTTGACGGACCCGAGAGACTTATCCCCTGGTAGTGTGTGTCTACTTGTCTGACCGTCATTTGGCCAAGCCCACTATCACTGCTACTGTTCTCATTTCAACAAATAGCCGAACCTCAGCATATCTTGTTCCGAACTACAGAAATAGGGGGTCGCAAAGACCAACATACAGTGAGTAAATTGACAGAAGAAAATCCCAAAATACCCCTGACCACAGCTTTTGAGCTTGCCTGAATCAGGCCAACTTCGCGCGTATGGGACTTGATGGCTAACACGCTGCAGATCTGGATAACTCGCAGAATAAGAGCACAAATGCGAACAGAGATGTATGGCTATTCTCCAACATGGCCAGTCAAAATCCCTGTCCGGCAGCGGTGCTTCTGCTTCTTCGCGGCCTTCGCCAGTTCACCAAGGACATTTGGACCCTAGTTGCATGGTAAAACTAGCCGGATGCTGTTGGAAAAAGCCAACGGATAGTGGCTATAACCTCCTGATGCAGAGCGAGGCCCTGGCAGAATCTCCCAATGTCGATCTTGAGCAAGAGTGTGGGAGCTGTTCACGAGCTCAAGACATACACATCTTCCTTCTGGTTTGATCTTGGTGATGTACGGAATGGAGATCGAAGGCCGTCATCTCCATTTTCAGATGGTCATTGCAAGAAACGTCCGTTTAAGGACCGAGTATGACATGAGTGACAATGAAAGCAGCCGAAAGACTACGGAAGAAGCAGCAACCGCTCAGTGTAGCGAACCTTGCTCAATAGACACGATACGAACTCCATGAATATCACCCAATCGGGACATACATGCCTGACGGGGATCCGTGGCAAGCCAGAACAGTATCCACGGGTTTGAACATGTTTCAGAACCAAGCGATTGGTCCCTCCTGGGCATCTGGCCGAAGGCAGACCGTTCATTTCGCCTCTATAGAGACTGCACCATGTTGCTTTGTGGTGACCCTGGTCTCACAAGGACGAGAAAAGGGATTTTGTACCTGTGATGAAGGAGACATTCTTCCGGGGAGGCAGACCCCGCATGTTTCCGAACCTGCGGCTCGACAAGGGCAGCCAGAATGCGGAGGTCTCGAGAGGTTTAAGCCCTCTCCCTCTAAGTTCTGCGCCGGCTACCCTGTTCCATCCCTCTGAGGATGGTCGTCCCGTTGTCCCTCCTGATGGGGAGCCAGAACGTTTCAATAAACCCCCCCTCCCCTGCCGTTAGAGGGCAATGCCCCTTGCTCCGAGCATGGTGACCAGGGGGGCATGCTTGACGTCAATGACGTGCTCGGTAACTTGGACGAGGAGTCCCACCGAGCTGGCCAGCGCCTGTTCTCTCGCAATGTCTCGGCCTCCTCTAGAGATCGAAACCATATCACACTGCCGCCTTGTTCTATCTCGGAGCCCCCCGAAGCCGCGCCAGCCTCAGCCTGGTGTCTTCAATACACGAAGGCACTGGGGTCAAAACCTCAGGTGATTTGCGTTCGATCGTGCGTTCTCAAGACGTGCGAGCGCTGCGCGGCTGGCAAGCATTCTTAAAAGTCGATCCCCATTCCCCTGCGGGAGGAGGCTTCCAAGGTGTGGGCCGCCCGTGGAAGCGAGGACAAGGAGACCCGGAAGACTGGTTGGCTGAGATTGTAGAGGCTTCCCCCAAGTGGACAGTCGACGCTCCGATTCATGCCATCCGAATGAATGAAGTCAAAGTCGGCCTTATCAACCAGGTCAGCGAGGATACCGTCCAGGTCGATCCTTTGAGCAAGCCTCTGATCCAGAGCATAATGATACCGGCCGACAAAGACTCTCTGACTACTGGAGGAGGGAAATTTCGACAGAATATGTCGGGAATGCTAACTACAATTACCGCAAAGTACCGGATATAGCCTGCTTTGACCAGGCGGGAAGCCTACGGTTTGTGGGGGAGATCAAGACACCCTGGGTGCATGCACATAGCCTTCAAGCGGCCCTGAAAGATGAAGACATAGAAATACCTATGATCTCTGGAAGGGCGCAAAGCCAAAGCACCGTCCCGCGCTACAAGATGCTCTCCGGCGCTGTCGCAACCGCCTCCGGGAGGAACACCGCGACTTCTCATCAGACAGACGCCAGACGCAGGCCGTAAGATGACACTCGATCCGTCGCCCGCCCACGTCTCTGCTGCCGCGTCGACCCCAGTCACCCCCGCTCGATCAATCGTTGGTTCCTGGGCAGAGTCACCCGGCTTGTATGTTACAATTCTGCTATAATATCGCACCATAGCTAATATACTAGCCGGGGGCGGTAGAAAACACCTGGGATTTCATGCTCCGTCGCCCTGGGGAAATAGGGATCCACAAAAATCCAAAATACACCCAGGCATCGGGCTTATCTCGAAATAACAGCCTTTCTTTACAAAATGGCAACGTGGACGCTCGTTACCGTGAGCCTCCGGTTATATATGAACATGATTCACAGACCTGTCGAAGAAATCGGTTCCGGCGCTCATCCCACTCGACAGAATCCCTCAGACCCTTGCTGCGATCAAAGAGGTGACAATAGATTGTCATTATGGCGTCCCGGCGAAGTCACTAGCGGCATACCTTGGCCTACACAGACGGCTGGGAATGAATTAATGCCCCCCCCCATCAAAAGCACAAGTCCAGTGGCAGACAGATGATCGAAAACCGATCTTTTTCACTCTATCAAAGCTGGCGGCCTTGCCTCTAAAGGCGAAGAAGCAGATACCCTGGAGGTCCTTCGAACTGGGAAAGTCGGCACCTCACGAACATCCTCCCATCAGACGAGCTAGTGCAGAAATCACAGGAAGATTTTCATACCGACTACCGATCCGGCCTTCAAATGAACGTCTTGTTAGAGGCTGCCAATAAAATACGGACATTGTCCTCTTCGAGAGTCCCAGTCGACAGAATCCTTATCCAGTGTCGAAAGCCATTGCAATGCCGTCCTACGAGAGTGACACGGTCGTCTGTTTAATTGGAACAGGTTGAAAATCCTGAGCCAGTCGAACCATTTCATTACCCAGATAAGGTACTACGCTCGATCGTCGGTGGCAGATACCAAGACATGTATCGCCAGTATTATCAATCCTCATTATATCACTGCACGCGGAGACGTCTGGAAGATAACACAGAAGGTATTCGAAACCGACCGTGACACTGAAGGGCGCTTCATGACCACGAACAATGAAACGCAAGCCGTGTGTGGCTCGTCCAGACAGCGGATCGTTTCACAGGACATACCTAGCATACCATTACGCGGACAGGATCAGCACTTCGAAACCCGAGCAAAGAGACATGACCTTCAAAAATGACGGGGGACCTCCAGGAGAAAGGACTCCAGGAGAAAGCCGCGCACAGCCAGTTCATAGCCCCCCAACACCAAGACTCACGCCCCTTTCGAGACTAGGAACCTGTGAAGCCAAGTGGCCGGGAGCCTTCCAAGATAAACTTGGGCTCTGGTCTATATGCACTCTCAAAGCCCGAGACTGCATATCATGCGGAGCGGAATCTGATCAACATCCTTCGTCAAACCGAACGTGCCCCGAGAGGTTGAACAATATAAATCGGCGGCGAAGGCCTTGACTATGACATACGAAATTGAAAGCTGATGTCACAGCGGAAGTGGAAAGACAATTCGGAAAAAGCCAAGCCGAGATCAAACCTGAATCATGGGCAAAAGCTCATACCTATACAGAGTCAACCTTCGGGTTTTGTTATGGTGAAACCATTTGTCCGTTGTACAAGTGGATATCGAAGACGTCATTATCCACAGAATCGAGATTACACGCAAAAGTGGTCTGAAATACCCGGTTCTACAATAACTGGTTCTGCAATACCCTGTGCGCTTCGGGTCTGGGTAGCACGACGAGCTATCAATGTGTGGCGATGCCGTCGGCTGCTTATAGCACACTGCGCGCCAGCTAGTCCGGTCGGCTTCACGCTCGGTAATCCTGTACTTCTCTTGGATGATGAGCCGATTGTCATTGAAGATGAAGAAGTTGCAGAAGGACACGTTCCAAGCATTATATCGGACGAAGAAAAAGAGAAGGAGGTGGATGAGGATGGAGTCGTGCTCGTACAGGTGCCACTGCACTCCAATAAGGATGATATGGATCCGCCCTAAACGTGATACCGATATACGATATTGCCAATCATCAAAGGGTAGGAAACTGAACCCCAGTCGGACATGCTATGGAATCACCTCCTTGAATAAAGAGCTTTTTATCGGCATACATCGTCATTCAGTGGGATGGAGCTAGAGGTGGCCACTTCACTCTATCGCCACATGCGCACGGCTGGCCCAAGCGCCATAAGACTCTGAGAACCCTAAAAAGACTACCGAATCCCGATCATATTTGTGGGCAATGCACGCGTTTTCACGGCTTTATCGTCCTTACCGAAAGGAGTGTCTACGGACATTAAGCCCGGAGAAAACGCTCCTGATGAGCGGCTTTCTATTGCAGCTGAAGTATATCCCTTGGAGAAAAGACATCCAGATACAGGAAAGTCCTCACTCTGGTCGCCATAGCCTCAATTCTCATCGTACTAGAAATATGGCGCCGGTTGCTACCCTTAAACCATACCTCAAATCAACTGACACGACTGGAGAGGATATTCTGTTACGAACCTTTACAAGTAAGCAATCTCACGCAAGAAGCAAAGCCATCGTTACCCCATACATGGCCCATGTTATCAGGTACCGGAACCCGCTTTGATGCTCTTTTCCAAGAGCATCCTGGCAGCATCCTGACAGGATTCCGGATAAAGGATTATACATCGCAGAGCGCACTATATTCTACATTCCTCTACAACAGAATGGCTCTTCAAACGGAAATATTCAGACTGGCCCCATATATCCAACATGCTTCTCGGCCGCTCGAGAACCTAGGGAATCAAATGGGACACGCCCGCAACTAATGGACTGCATGAAGTGGGTTCAGCGTGGTATCTTTCGGTCCCGACCACAGAACATTGACCCCATGGATCTAACTGAAGATGCACTGGGGCTCTTTACTCTTATACTATCATATGCCAAAGCATCGACGTACAGAGCTGTGGGCAAGTTCCCGACAGCTTAGCTGTCCATCCTACTTTGTCTAAAATACAGATTCATACCTGACAATACTTCGAAATGGCAAAAGGCACAACGTGGGAATATGACATCGACTTGAATGATGTCCACACGTGACCAGAATTTCCAGGGAAAAGCGTGCTAGAAGTTGAGCAAACCCAATTTCTGCTCTATCGCACAATACCTTCAGAGACTCCACTACCAACCGACGGCGATTCATCGAGATACAAGGGATCAAGCTACCTGCAGCAGGCAAATGGAACATTCAACACATCATCAACAATACCAAGAGAAAGGATATATTTATACTTTTATAGCATTTCGCCTCAGCCAAGGACTATTTCTAATAACCCGATGTCTGACACATTTGCCAGTCTTCATCTCCTCAATCCCACAGGAGCACTTTGTCAACCAAAAAGATTCTCAGCGACCTACAGCACTCAACACCTTCTATCGACTTCATGTTCCCACAGGATATTCTTGTCCCAGATAACGCGTTATTCCTGCAAAGACTCCTACGCAAAGTCTTTAAATGTTCTGCGGAGAAGAAAGTCTTTGAAAGTTCTCTCAGTCCTGGACAGCGAGGCGAAGAGGGGAGCCCCAAGTTAGCAAGACTGTTTTATACATTTAATTTCAGGAAGTGGGCGACGTTCTCCTTTAAAAGACCAAAATGAGTCGACCTACCCCAAAGTCCTTAAAACGTGGGGATCATTGAAGGTCCAATGTTCTATACCGACTGCTACAGTATCCTTGCAAGCTCTGTGAGAGAGGGGCACGGAAATGAGGAGAACCAGGATGTTTATGAACGACAAAATTGAAGAGAAAGCAACGCTCGACAGCAAAAGCAACACAGCAGATTCGTATGAGACGAGACAAAGTATGGGCTAGGCAATAACCCACATATCGCTTGCAAGCCCCAGTCAGGTGGACTTATGTCCTTCCCCCCTTCGCCGGACCGTTGCCATGCTCCCTGTTCCATTCATAGCCCCGCAGCTACAGTGTCACCCCCAGGATCAGCGGGATCCTGCGAGGAGCCTCTGGAGATATGATCTACAGAAAGGGTATAACAAAGATGTGTGCCATACAAGAAGGCTATGTCACAACGGGCCCTCAAAATGGCCAACTGAATACCCCAGTGGTTCCGGATACTAGTTAAAGGGGCAAAAATTCCTAGTCCCTGCCTCAGTACGTTCGGTGCAGCGACGAAAACGGCGTTCAGGGTCGACTTGCTAACAATGTCGGTCAAGAATCGTGGCCTTTGCGGCAGAAGGAATCGATTTGGTCTTTTGTGACTTCAAGAGCACCAGTACTGCGGTATTTCGGACATCGACTACGATAATACGACATGATACACGTGTTCAATACATTAGGATCACCAGTGCGGCGTGGAGTCTTTCTGGCGTTAACTCGATTACCTCAAATATTTCAATGCTTGAACTGACGACATTCGACTGCGAAATGATTACATCAGAACATTGTGCCGGGGCAGCCTTGATTCCTTTCCTAGAAGACGTTAGCCTCTTGCTGCTCAGTGAGATTGATTACGATGCACTACAGTCCCGAAGCTAGCGGAGCGGTTCTGATTCCACCCCTGGATTTGAAAGGATGAACTCACCGTACCTACAGTGGCCAGATGACGAGCCATCCTTTTCAATGCTCACTTGGACTTCGAGAATACACGTTCAGGATTATCGGAGCCTAATCAGAGACGTTCCGCGCCTCATCATGGAGGACCTTATCTTGTGGTCCTCGGCGACCAAAGACTAGAGCACGATGGAAGGTTTGTAGCCAGGCCAACAAGAAGACGAAGATT